AGGCAAGTTTCATCGTGTCGTGGTTTCTAGGAACCGCATTAGTGACATTTATCATCGTAGACAATTTCATCTTTACTAGCTTCTTCATCCAAGAGTTCCCGTTCTCTTTTAGATTGTGCTTTTCCTTGTTCTTCAAGGTATTCCTTGGCTAATCTGTCTTCTTCCTTAAAGAGTTTACACATGGCTTCCATATTTCGTCGCCATTCGCCTTCGCAACTGTATTAGTATCCTTCCGTAGATCCGCAGTCGGGGCATCCTTAGCATTTATGGTTAGGGTTTTGTGAGTGGTACTTATTGCAATTATAGTTTTCCTTCCAAATTACTGCTTGTTTTTTATTGCACTCGTAAGTAGTGTCAGTGGATCCGCAGTGTTCGCAGATCAATTCCATGCTGAAGTCTAAGTCTTTATTAAGTAGTTTATAGAAGGTTAGAGAGTTAATTCTAACTTCTTTCCAAGATTTTGCCTTCTTTAGCTTCTTTAGATAGTGTCCTGATCCATCCTTATCGCTTTTGTATACAAGGCACACATCATCATGGCAGGCAGTCCAACTAAGGCTGGCGTAAGGTATTTCAGTAATAGTATCTACCTATGCATTTTCCTTTATAGTGTCAATTACTGCCTTATCTTTTCGTTCAGGACTTTTCCTATTTCCTTCTTATTTCTTCTTAAAATAGCAATAAGCTTCCTTATGGCCTAACTTGCCACAGAAATTACATTTTCCTTTAAACTTAATGGCTTTAATAGTATCAAGGTCCATTTTGCCTGGTTGAGTTCCATTGTCCTTAGCAACATACTCATCTCTTTTCTTTCCTTAGTTAGCCTGTGGATAAGGCTTAGTCATAGTGCCATTTCTTTCAGTTTTTCATTCTTACTTCCTTTCCCATTATCAGTTATCAATCTTAATAGCTTCCTAAGTAAAATCAGTGAAACTAGTTTTTTATCAATCTATCTTATAAATTTCATCCTTAACTTCAGATTTCAGGCTATAGTAATAGATTTCTTTCTTCAAGTCTTCAGTCCAGTTTACTTTAGTAAATAACTAAAGAAATATTAAAGTATACCGGTAACATAGTCCTTTCTATTTAAGGTCTCTAAGTTTCTTTTCTACTTCCTGGGTTTCATTAATAATCCCAAAAGACTTCCTTAGTTCTTCTTCAAAATTGCCATAATTGGTGAAGATGGCCATGGTTTAAGCTCCTCAGTTGTCAGGGGTGTTCTCTCAATAATCCTTCAAGATTGCTTTAATCCAGTCTCCTGCTGCTTCATCCATTCAGGTTCCTGCATATTAAATACATTCAAATAGCTTAATAGGCGCAAAAGAGTTTAGAAAATAGTATTCAAAATAAATTTAAAGGTCGTCAAAGAACTTACGCAGTTTTACTAGGTCTCCATTAAACTTATCAAGGTAAGGAGGCCTAAGAATTTCTCCAGGTTGTTTTTCAATTATCCCAACGAATTGCACAACAGGTGCAACTACAGCAGGTGCTACAGCCAGTAGCACTACTGGCAGATTATAAAGTACAGCAAGCTATTGCTGTAAAACATTAATAGTTTATATATCATTAGTTCTTTATACTTCCAATTAGTAGACCAATCATTCAAGGACAGCTAAACAGCTCATAAAGTCCTATAGATTTAATAAAGGCGCTTAATGTTACATCTGCTCTTCCACGCTGGACTAATCCATGGGTTCAATAGGGTCTTAGAAGTTATCCATTTCAATATTGCCCATAGGTCTAGTAACCGTCCAAACAAAAGTTATTAACATATAACAAACCATACACTAGATAGTTAATATAAGGTAAATTCCCAAGGGACAAACCTAGAATAAGTTCTTCAGGTTTATATTAGCAGATAGGTTAAAAAACCTATAGGCAATAATATCACAATAATAGTCACCAGTAGGGATTAAAAGTGCTTTCCAATCAATAAATGTAAAACTATATTAACAACTAGCTATCTAAATTATCTAAATAAGCATAAGAAGTAAACTTATATATCCAGTTAGTATTTCTAAATCATAATAAATCAATATTAATTCCCATCAATCCTGAGTGTACGTCAAGATAGATCGAACATGATTCATATCGACCCATCGCTGATTAATGCACCAGGCCTAAGTTAATCCAGCAATGCCTACCCAGTAGGCCCATAGTTGCAACCATAAGAGTTGGGTCATAACATAATACTTTAATTAAATTTTATAATTTAATTAAAATTTTATTTAAATATAAAACTTTAATAAAATAATATTAAATTAAACTATTTTAGCTATAAATAAAGCCTAAAATTAATTAAGCTTAATATTATTACTTTAATATATAAAATAAAAAAATACTATAAACCTACTTTATAATTTTAAATATTTTAATAAAATATTTAAAAATAATAAAGCTACTTTATTAAATAATATAATTAAATATATTATTAAAATATTTTAAATAATTATTTATAAAAAAGTTAAAAAAGAACTTAAAGAAATTCTATATATATTTATAAAGGGTAATTATTTAAATAAAAATTTATTTTTTAATATAATATTATTAAAACTAAAGGTTTTTATTTATAATTATAAAACTTTTATAAATTATTAAGCTATTAATATAAATAATAAAATTATTTAAAATTAAAAAAATTAAATAATAAAAAACTTTTTTATTTATATTTAAAAAGAAATAAAGATAAAAAAGCTATCTTTAATATAGTTAAATTACTTAATATAAGAAATATAAAAATATATTTATAATTAAGTAATATATAATATTAATAGCAGTATTATTTTAAATTTTATATTTTTTAAAGAAGTATTTTATAATTAAAAAAAATATAATATAAATAAAAAGTTTTATTAATATTTTATTTATATTATATATAAACTAAAGAAAATATTATATATTATAATAAAATAAAATTATTTAATTTAAAATACTTTTAAAAGCTATAAAATTATAATTATAAATAATAAAATAATATTTTAAAAATTAATAAAAACTATATTATTTAAAGAAAAAATATATATAATTAAATCTTTTAAATTAAATATAAATATTAATTATATTAAAATAAAGAAAAATAAAAAAAATAAAAAGTTAAAGAATAAATAAAAAATAAAAAATAATAATATTATATTAAATAACTTAAATTAATAAATAATTAATATTATTTATAGTATATAGTATTATATAAATTTATAAAGTAATTAAAATAATTTACTTTTATAAAGGGGGAATTTATTAGGTATAGTAAAGTATTTAACTGTAATATAAACTATTATATAGTATATTATATAGTATAGTTAGGTATATTATATTATATATAATTAGTTTTAAATAGTAGATAGTTTAGATAGAAGAATTAAGTATCTTTGACTATATGAAACAGGACTATAACATACATTAACTTTATAATAGTCTTATAATATCCTCTTAAGTTAACTTCAGCAGGTCCTTTATAAAAATACTAAAGTAATCTTAATAATAAAGGTATTTATTTCTTTATATAATTTAGCAGGGCGCCTATGTATTTAATTTTTCCCAATCATTAAACATTTTCCTTATTAGCATACCCCCCGTGCTATATAGAGCATGCACGGGGATTTGGCTGATTTTAAAGCCCCCCTAGTAGGAATTAGGTAGTAATGCATATAGCACAAATACACGCATAGTATAACCTCGGATCTAATTGGTGATATGTCATGTCTTAGCTAAATGTTTTAAATGCGGTGAAGACCAAAAGCTCATGATTGTCAGCTTCCGATAAGATGCTTCGTTTCTTCCGTCTTACAGTATGGCTTCATGTGCAGCTGATTAACGGTGTGCTGAGCACGCAACTAAGACGAGCTGCCAGGGTCCAGGGCCTATGGATTCCTCCGATGCATGCAAAACCTCCTTGCAGCAGCAGCCCTAGCTGCAGATTTCCACATTCGTGCAGCCGGCCTCTCGGTAGTGGAAACAGGGCCAAGCGCGCGAATTCACAGGTTGACTCATGCTCAACTCGCACATGCAGCTGGGATTGTATAAACATTTTGTAATTCTCAGTCATCGCCTCATTACAGTCTCGCTCTTCTACTCCGACGAGCTGTCCCCGGCTAGTACCGAGTGAGCAAGCTCGAGCGTGAAGCTCAGACTTTTCACGCGTTCCAGAGCTCCGGCCTGCAGCCCCACGCAGCGAGGCGCCATGTCTCCAGATTGTGGCCTCGGAGCTGCTCGCTCAAGTCGCAATTCGCTCGGAGTTGTGGGAAAAGAGACAGGTCTGGATAGAAATGGATCCTTCAGACGACGACTCATGCTGGTTGAGCAGGCATAGCCTGGCTACAACTGCGCTTTGCAACTGTACTTCGTATTGCAGAGACTTTGCGTGCTGCGCCAGAGCTGCCTCGTTGTATACGCAGCACCGCCAGAAGAGAGTTTTCTGACTGCAGCATCTCGCTCGATAACGCAGCGGCCCCACTGACACGAGATCCAGCAGTTGTTTGTTTTTGCTGATTCAAGATTGATCAACAGGGAGCTGGAGGGTCTCACGCATCATCATTTGCTCCAGCCATCGTGGTGAGGCAGAGCTAGCCGGCCCAGATAGCGGGATACCTCGTCGCGACTCGCCGCCTTCACGCGTGCGCCAGCGCCAATTCACTGCCAGCGGCGGCCGGTGCACCACAGCCGTGCAACCCCACCATGGCAGCCCACGGTCCTGGGCGAGTACCTCGCGGGTACTGCTCCAGCTGCCATCCCTGTCCGCCCGTTGCCCAATGCAGGGCGCCCAGCCTCCGAGCTCTGCTTGACGGGGCTTTGCCTGACCCGCCGCAAAACACGTCTTCAACGCGTCGCGCCACGTGACGGCGCTGTGCCATTGTTACAAAAACCTCTGGCGCCACCCACGATGCAGCACCGTCTTCACTTCAACCACCGCGTCTGCACAGCATCTCCAGGCATTTCACTCTCTTGATTCTTCACTTTACGCGCTCGGTCTTGTTGTTGTGTCTCCCCCACCAGAATCATATCCAATGGCTGCCGAACTCACCCCCTCCAAGCAGGTGAGCACACCACTGTACCGAGCTTCTAGTTCTCGGCCGTGCTCTTCCAGAGCTTTCCAATTCATAGAGTCGCGGGGCTAACGCAATTTTGCACAGGCTGCTTCTGCCATTGACTCTTTCAAGATTGAGTCTCCCGTCAAGAAGATCAACTTCAACGCTTCCGACAAGGAGAACCAGCCTCTCGACGACGCCGCTCTCGAGAGCCTAGCCAAGCAGATGGACGACAACCACAAGCCCACTGAGACCGTCAAGGTCGACAAGTCAGAGACCAAGCCCAGCGTGGCTGCCACAATCAAGCCTGATGAGGTTGACGAGCCCATCCTGCAAGAGAACCCTCAGCGATTCGTCTTGTTCCCCATCAAGTACCATGAGGTATGTGAAAAAGAGAGATCCCCTCACTTCTACCCTGGACGCGTTCCGACGCGTAAAGTGGCACCCCACTATGGGACAGGCATACATACAATGGGAATGGGAATACCAATTGACTAACCATTGCTCAATTAGATCTGGCAAATGTACAAGAAGGCTGAGGCTTCCTTCTGGACCGCCGAGGAGATTGATCTGTCCAAGGATTTGCACGACTGGAACAACCGCCTGAACGATGACGAGAAGTACTTCATCTCTCACATCCTGGCCTTCTTTGCTGCCTCGGACGGCATTGTCAACGAGAACCTGGTCGAGCGTTTCAGCGGCGAGGTTCAGATCCCCGAGGCTCGATGCTTCTACGGTTTCCAGATCATGATGGAGAACATCCACTCCGAGACATACTCTCTGCTCATCGACACCTACGTCAAGGAGCACAGCCAGCGCACCTACCTCTTCAACGCCATTGAGACTATCCCTTGCATTCGCAAGAAGGCCGAGTGGGCCATCAAGTGGATCCAGGACAAGAACTCTTCCTTTGCCCAGCGTCTCGTTGCCTTTGCTGCTGTTGAGGGTATCTTCTTCAGCGGAGCCTTTGCCTCCATCTTCTGGCTCAAGAAGAGAGGTCTCATGCCTGGTCTGACCTTCTCCAACGAGCTCATCTCTCGTGACGAGGGTCTGCACACTGACTTTGCTTGCCTGCTCCACTCTCACCTGAAGAACCGCGCCAGCAAGGAGATTATCCGTGACATCATCACTGATGCCGTCAGAATCGAGCAGGAGTTCTTGACTGAGGCTCTCCCTTGCGCTCTTCTGGGCATGAACGCCAACCTGATGAAGCAGTACATTGAGTTTGTTGCCGATCGTCTGCTTGTCGCTCTCGGAAACGAGAAGATCTACAAGTCCTCCAACCCCTTTGACTTTATGGAGAACATTTCTCTGGGCGGCAAGACCAACTTCTTCGAGAAGCGTGTCGGCGAGTACCAGAAGGCTGGTGTCATGAACAGCACCAAGAAGCCTGTTGAGGCCGCCAGCGCCGAAGAGTCTAAGGGTGACAACGGCGGCGACTTCAGCTTTGACGATGACTTTTAAATCATTGGCTTGCGCTCGCATGCAATTTTCACTCCCATCTCTTGGTCTTTTATAATTCTTGTTTTTTACAGTTGGCACCATGTACATTTTTTTGCGGAAAAGATGCCGTCTACGGGTTGGATCGGCAAGAAGGCGTTGAAGTATTACAGTGGATTGGGAGCTCATCTGTTGGTTCCTTGTATTGGTTAAGAGGTTATACACAACACAACACACACTGCGGGCGTTTGGGATATTGTTTATATTTGGATGAATGCAAATTCTCTTCAATGGGGGATGATAATTGCGGAACGTGGCATTGGATTATGATACACTTGTATGGAGTATGTAGCTACGCAACAAATAGTCCAGCAAATAGACCTGGATAAATGATCAACTTGAACTCTCTTTTTGTGCGTCGTGATGTGTACATGCATATACATTTCTAGAAATTCGTCTGGTGCGCCTTTCGTATGTCCCTACGCCGTATTCGACACGCAAATTACTCGGCATATTTCTTTTCCTTCCCGCTCAATCCCACCTCCATAACTAGGTTCACGTCCATCAGAAAGCAGGCCAGCCCTCTATCCATCTCCTCTCGACCCAATGCCAGCTCATTTCTTGCCCTTCTTCTTCTTCTTTCCACCACCGCCGCCGCCACCTCCTCCAGCAGCGGCACCCTGCTGCGGTGTCTGTTCTCCTTGCGGCGTCTCCACCGCCGCATCAGCATCCTGCATCGTCTCCTCCGGCACGTCCTGAATGCCAGCCATGGCCTTGCCCAGGCGTCCCAGCGCGGCGGACATGAGGCGCGTGACCTCTGCGGCCTTTGTGGTGCGGTACTTGAGCGTCACGCCGCTGGCGGGATCGTACGTCTTGAGGACGAGGCTGCCGCGCGGGGGTTTTGGGTCTAAGGGAGCTGTTGATTCGTCTCCTGAGCTGGTGGTGGTGGTCTGTTTGCGGGGCTTGACGGGCTTGATGGAGTATCTTGTTGTGACGCGGGTCTGTTAAGATAGAGAATGGAGCAGTTAGTTTCTTTGCTTTTCTGGTGGTTTTGGGAGAGATGATGAGGAGGGGGAACTGACTGAGGAGGGTCGAGCCTCGAGGAGAGCGACGGAGTGGTCGAGCCATTCCTGGCTCGTCTTGAAGTATGGCATTGGAAGTGGGTTATGATTGGCGCGACGCCATATATATGCGGTTGATTGTGGGTGTTTTATACGAGGTGAGGATGAGGAGAGAGAGTGTGTGTGGAGAGGGAAAGGCTGCAGCTGCGATGCAGAATGGGGGAGTTTGAGACGAGGCTGAGGTTAAGCTGGACGACGTCGATTGATTTGACGCTGCCTTCTAGTGGCATTGTGGTGGCATTTGGCAATTTTTGGTGGGGCTGCGGGGTTGGGGTACGAGGTACATGTGCCTGGCGGAGAGCTCAAGCAGGATAATGCTCGACTGCTATTAATTATCTACCTATAGGTACCTGAATATCTACGTATGAGTAAAATACAACATTATGTGATATTCCATTCTCTTGAACATATAAAACTTGATTTTGATTATATATAGAGCCCAATTCAGCAGAATTAACCACATAGCCCTCACGCAATTATCCATTCTCGGTAAAAGAGTCGCACGAGTATGCATTTACAGAAATTCCATACAGGGTAGCGCGTATACTACCTACCTAGCAATAGTTAAGGGAATTGTTATTTAGCACTCCAGGCTTATTACTACTCAATATCCTAGTTGTAGCTAATGACATGATTTTAAAGCTATTTTAATCTTCTACTTCTACTCCTTCTCCTTATGTTGAAGAATGAAGAAACGAACTGGAAATAAGTGTATTAGAGATCACTAGAGGACTAAGTTCGTTCCGTGCGGTGTGACACGTACGATGCCTCTATATATGTCTATTTACATAGCGAACTCTAAATGATGAACGTGCAATCAATGTTCGTTCCTTCCAACGCCCTATAATGATCCTGTTGGTAATTTTCGGCAGGATAAGCTTTAGAACTACTACTATTCAACAGAATGACATGCAAACGTGCCCCAAAAAGAGCTTCCACTACCTTTCTTATTCTCATCCACCAGTCAACACTCGACGATTACAGCTGTTTCAAGGTAAGTATTCAAACTTTCTGACCTCTTACCTACGTCTATCGCTAGCGGATAGCCTACACGGAGGAAACGATGCCGAAGACTTCTTTCAACCGATTTATACCTAAATATTTCGCCTTGCCATTTGGTGGCTGCGCACTTGGCCGACGCTCAACTATCCAAGTTTTATCCATCCCTTGGCCGATCCACCCATTTTTAACCATGCTTCCTCACCAAGTTCGCAATCCATAACTTGCAGCCTTTCGTATTCATTCACATGCCCTCCAAAGCCATGATCTTTCGCAACCTGAAGGCACATAAGCATTGTGATAATCCACTTCCCAGGCCGTTGCATGTCGGGTTTCCCCGCCAAAGCCATGAAATCCATAGTACAGAGGGCTTCTTGTTGCTCCCGCCACTTTTTATGTAACCAGATATAGCCAAGAGGCAGAGACGTACCGCTCGATGGAAGCGGAGAGACAGCATAGCAGTTGTTGAGACCATTTGAGCCTTTGGGTTTGCTGGCTATACTTAGCTTCGCGATGCTTGCATTTAGTCTCAAATTTGGTTCACGATTGAAAAGATTCATCGCTGCAGGAAACCCAAAACCGTGTGGATCTCTATAAGAATCTGCTGGCTTTCGAAGCTTGCTAATCTCCAAAAAGCCAGGACCAGCTTGACTGGAAATATCAATTTGTTTAGACCCATCTAAGGGAGCAAACATCTGATTTGTGTGGGTTTTACTAAGTATCATTGCTCGATCGAAGAGGACAGCATGATCCCAGCCTAGCCATGACCAGCTAGGAAAAGCAAGATTGCGCAACTCAGGATTATGTTGCTCGGCGCGCCAGCAGAATGCCAGATCAAATGCAAAAGTGGGCAGGCCAAAGCAGAACGTGCTTACGACCCCGTCCATCACCTCTTTATACATTTTGAGTATACCCTGAAACGCATTTATCTTGTCTATTTTCTTTGTCGTGATTCGTGAAGAGTAGTGCTCTACTGCAGACAAATATGAATGTAGGCCATCGCCCTCCCTGATATTCATAGAGAGCATCCCACCCACGGTATTATATCTGTCCAGCCTTGGACGCCCATTCTCCCTAGGGAGAGATGCCCCCGTTCCGCTGTATACGCCAGATTGACATTGCATATACAATCCACGGCCAGTGAAAAAGATCATGCGGTGTGAGAGGACCTTTTCTTGATAACACCATGCGCGGCTACTCCACGGTGACGCCTCGATAACTCCATATAGGTCATCGGCCGTTGGACAAGTGCAAGCATCAGCTATAAAGCTTGCCGATAATCCCGCACTAGCAGTGCTAGCTGAAATAGCACTGAGTGTGCATTTTGCAGCAGCGTAGATTTGTCTCATACGCAAAATTGAGAGTCTCATATCTCGAGGCGAATCTTGCATAATGCAAAGCGCATCAACCCACAAGTATTGCTCACCAAGACTATCACAAAACGCAATAGCATCTCTTACTGTTTGGGGCATCTTGGGCCAAATGGTGGCAAGGCCGCCCTCTTCTGCAAGCTTATCTGACATATCCACCGTCAGCTTTGGTTGATCAACTGCCCCCCATACGTATGATAATGCCATATACCGGCAATTTTCTGGAGCGACAGTGATGCAGCGTCGATGGATATCAATAACTCTGAACTGAACTCCAGGAGTAGTTGGCCATTGAATTGCCAAAGGATGGCAATTGTTGTGACTTGTTTCCTCCCTACATCGAGCTAGCCACTGACGAATAGGCTTCGTGCGAGTCTCGTCAAGTTGTAACATTATAGGCCCATACTGCAAGACAGATGTCGACAACAGGTGTGGATTTTGATTTTCCAAATATGTATAAGTCTGAGCCTGTAACGCTTGCATATGGGTCGCGCCCGAGGTGTTAGGAGTTTTACTGACGACGCTTGCCTCAATGGACTTAGGAGTTGTCTCATCTGGTGCAGTATTTTCAGCCAAGGACACCGACAAGATTCTCCCGGCCAAAGATCATTGTACAAACGACGAGCTTCCTCCCAATCCGTGTCCCAGTGCCCATCAGAACTATGAAACAGTTAGTAATGTCAAATACCGATACTATTAGAGCTTTTGATTAGCATTTAGTGACGGACCTTAGCTCAACAATCCCTGGCGCTAATAAGTATGCCCTCAACAAAACACAAGTGATTGCAATATCATAAGGCTTTCTGGCAGTTTTGCACCAGGTTTTGTGAACCTCTCGGCTGAGGCGGAAGGGCTCGTGCTCATCCTCTGCAACTCCATTAAACCAGATCCCTCGAATAGGATCAGCAACTGCAGGTGTGAGTCGGGAATCACCGTCCAAAGGCCCTGTTACAAGCACATCCGCCGCCTCCAAAATCATTGGCACTTCCTTTGTCAAGATGGGCCAAATACTCTGCCACTCGGCTTCGTCCCAGCCATGAATGGTGTAATGATGTGTATACCTATATCGTTAGACTCGTCACCTTACATGCACTACTGTAGGACGTGTACATTACCCCATTATAAACTTTTTGGTTAATTGATATTCATCTAATACTACTCCAAAACGAGGTGGCGACGAGGATACTAAAAAGATGTAAAGCTTGAAGTGTGGAAATATCAGGTTTTATTTACTGTCGCCTGCCTTAGAGTCGTGGAGTCCGTAGTTAGGGCTGCTGTGGGTTGCCTGATCTCAGATCATCGCTAGGCTGAAGTGTGCATTTACGAACCTGCAAAATAGTGGCAGTGTAGCTGCGCCTTCTCAGGCTGAGTTTGGAACGAGGCTGAAGCCAACATAAATATTGTGATGCTGGCCCATCCTCCTCGAGAAAATGGGGCCATCGTTGCCAGGTTGGCGTGCGGAAGCCGTCACGCATTACGTTATCTCACAACGCAAGTCTAAAACTTCGACTCTGTTTTAGAAGGATTGGGAAATCGGACAGCGAGATACAGCTAAGATTCGGGCTTTAGATGTCCCGTCGTCCAGTCCCAATTAGGAGCACTGCCCGCTATGCACATGCAGCCTGCAGAGCCACTGCGCCATCCAACACCAAAAAGCACATGTGCCCATGAAATAAGGAGGTAACAGAACTAGCATCTCTCCTACTAATATGAATGAGCCTTAGACACGCTCCAGACCTTCTGCTCCTCTGTGATTCAGTTGCTTGAAATGAGCTGCCGTTTTGGACAAGCTTCGCCAACCTGCTGCGTGCCGAAGTTGAAGGAGCCTATTAAGGATCAGCAGCCATTTCTCTTGCAGCAATGGACAGTATTTCCGAACCTTTGCCATTAAAGAGGCAGAACGCGGGCTCTTTGGATCGAGATATCTCAGATATTATCTGCATGCTATATCCGCATTCAGATACTGCGCGAGTTGATGTCCAGCAGCTGCTCAAGGCCGAGTCGCCGTTCCTCGCTGTCTGGGACGACTGGCCGAGTCAATTTCAATCCGACCCCGCAATCTATGGCAACCACGCCATAATCCTGCGGCTATCAAGCCAAGTTCACAGCCCCGCGGCCGGCTTTATCTTTGGGAGGAACCCTGGTAGATGCGACATAGTCTTCACCAATGATCCGCTGAGGAGGATCAGCAACATCCATTTTCGCATATATGTCAACGAGCACGGCACTGTCATGATCGAGGATTTGTCTACCAATGGAACCTTTATCAACGATTGCCACCTTAAAAGGACCCACAAATACAAAGACCCTACCAAGAAGCCCATTGTCAAATGGATGTTGACCTCAGGATCAATTATCCATCTCTACCTACATAACGAGATGGAAAACCTTGCCTTTCGAGTCCGAATCCCGCGCCGCAATGATGAATATATGGATGCCTACCAGCGAAAGGTGGACCACTATTTCCTTCGACATAACTTATTGCCGGAACCAGTTGAAACGATTGTTGCAGGTCCTGGAGGCCACGTTGATAGCGAATCTCCCACTACAGCCAAGATAGGTGTTAGCTCTACTGAAAAAGTTCTTGAGAAACTCTTTTATTTGACCCAAGATATACAGACAAATATCACCGCGCCTCCCACGGATTCGGGATATGGGTCCACATTTGCAGCAGAGAGCAAACTTGGCATGTCAATGCGGCATACTGATATAAAGCAGTCCACACAAGAAATAGCTGATCATGACATTAGCGACACAGCTACTGAGTATTCAGATGAATCCAGAAGCACGTTTTCGAAGAAGCGGAGTTTTATATGGGAACTAGCAAATGAGCTGTTCAAAAATATTAGCTCATTAAATGTGGACGAAATGACCCAAGCAAGGGTCTCGAATATCCTACCTGAGCTGCTCCAGGCATTTGCGTTGAAGGTTGGTTATGGTGCTAAAACGCAAATGCATCGAGATGTCATGGCTTTTGTGCATAGGCATAGACGGTGAGTGATTTATACATATCGATACCACTGCTTCTAGGAGATTTGAGGTCACGATGAGAATGCTTATTGATGTGTTTTATTACGATTATTTTGAGCTATAAGTGTTGACACCTCTGCTTATCTAGTGAGATCGCCACGGAGTTTGCAGACATTGGTTTCAAGGACTCGGATGATTCTAACCTAAAAAAGCGCAGAGCGGAGGGTATGAGCTGGCAAGATCGTACGAGTCTCTGGTTCGAAAAGACTTCATTTGAAACAGAGGAATCGCCGGAAGAGCCTGTACAATCAACGACAAGAGATGATGAAGCTCTAGAGGATGATGTTCCAGACGAGTATGGAGAAGTGCCGGAGAGCTGGCTTATTGCTTACCGGAAGCTCCTTACAGGTAGCAGCGCGTACGAAGAGCTCCTCGCTCGATTGCAAAGAGAATTTTATCTAGTTCCAGCAGAACTAAACATTATGGGAGAGATTCGAGGAAGAATTATATCTTCGCTCCCATCGCCGCATAAAGTCAGTAGGAGAATATCGCCACGGAGCTGTCATGCCATATTTCAACTTGACTGGGATATCATTGATTTTTTCAATACTCAGGGGTATTTAAAAGAGTCTTACGAGGTATTTGAGGGCGTTATTACTATTACTGGGTCTTGTCAGGATGCCCAAGCTGCAACTTGTGCTCAATACATAAAACAGACGTGGCCCTTTATAGGAGAAATAGTCATTCGGTTGGTCAAGGATGTCCTCAAGGGGGCGAGCCATGTATATCTGTGTAGGTGTTCAATTCTCATCAACTTTTGTTATATTAGGCTAAACTCTGTTGATTTAAAGTACCCGATCGAACAGCAATTACGGCATGGATTGACACACCCAAATTTATGCTAGAAGTCTATGGAGTCTCAGTTTCCATAGCAGAGATTGGGGAACTGTTCTCTTGGCTTGGAGCTGCTCTGAGAACCTCTCCACGACACAACGGATTAATGTATTGTGTGCCAAATGTTCGCAATATTGATTCAAATACCGCGCTATTAACGCACATTATGACGCCGCCATCATCTACTCTTGTTATCTATGAAATCAAATTTGCGATGAACATAGCCCCCCGATCCCTACCAGCGGCAAATGGCCAGTGCTGGCACGATATTTTCAGGAATCCAATTATCGTAGGAGGGTATCCTATTCCTCAAAGACTTAAATGGAATACAGGTCTTGAAATTCCTCTTAATATTATGGCAGGACTGGCTCGGACTCGGCGGGTTAACCGGTTTAAAGAAAAAGTATACATCAAGGGCTTTTCAACAATGCTCGTTCCAACTGAGAAAAATACAGACATGATTTGCTGGCATCTAATCTATAACGAGGACGGAGATCATATATCCTACTTGGATGATGATCAGGATCAAGAGCAATATATTGGACAGCTAGATCTGGAGAACTATCGACATGTTTTGGGGTGGTGCTCGGAAGCAAAATTATATGCGGGTAAGTACTTCTTTTAAATATGTCTTACTGTTAATGAGTTTTTGACATAAAAATAAAGGTTCGGCAGGAGCACGTCATCCTGTAACTCACTCGAGGCTCCCCAAACCTCATACAGGCTGTGCTCTCTCTGGAGTGAGTGTTTCAGAAGGAAAAATGATACTGAATGGTCCAGAATTCTGCATTGGAGCCAAAGATACACCGGTCTACATCTCTCGTAAAGGCAATATCCGGCGGCTGAAATGGATATCTACCAAGTTCATTCTTTTATGGGATGAACGCGATAAACGGGGCTGGCTAATCAATGGTACGACTGCTCTTTTACACATCATACGAGCTTTTTTGTCGCACGCAAAAGAGGACAACTTCAAGTCTGCGTTTTATTTCAAGGACGAGGACCTTCAAGAGGCGGAAACCCCCTTTACGGCCGACTCTGCCATTGCCGTGCTTCTTAACCCCCACAATAGACGACTTAAGCTTTACGAAGAAGATGACGATGACGACGACGACGAGTATCTTTTTAAAACTCAAATTGACCATTTTTACAATTTGCTGGAGAAGCTCATTGATCATCAGGCAGATATTGCTGGAGACTGTGGAACTAAATTGAGTAATAACCCGCGAAGATATCTTGAAGGATGGGATTTTGAAGATGTGGCGAAAGAATGTCCAACTTTATATCCACGAGTGGCCACTATAGCGGATGCTGGAAAAGGATGGGTGGATTTTATAAGGGCTATCCATGCTGTCACATTAGTCGGTCGAGGTTTTGGTGATATTATCAAGCCCGTTGGCCGAAGTCAATGCGATTCGTGGGCCACGCTTCCAACGAAGCGATATTATATCGCAAGCTGCGTTTCTGATTTGGACCGTCTCTTGAAGTTAGCCGGATGTCACCAAGATGGTCATGCTATGCTCTGCGATAACATGATATATCATACTCCGGCCTCTGTTTATATGTCCTGCCAATGCAGAGGTACATTAGGACAGAAGCATTGTGAGCCTGTTCGAACGATAATCCCGTCGTCAATGTCCATGGATGTACCTTTTATAAATCATCCAAGCCAATCCAGAGACCTGGGCGCAGTCATTCTTGGATATAATTCCCATTTCCCGTTAATCTGGGGAGACACTGGTCCTCCCCAACAAGGTGAACTTATGGAAAAGGAGCCTTCACCCAAAGCGATTAAGGAAAATGTAGATTCTGGTTTCGGCTCAAACTCAATAGTGTCGGAGATAGAGAGCCCCTCAATTCCTCAGTCAACGCCGGAAACTCAATATTCAGCCAGGCCTAGGGACCTTTATCCCGAGAGAGCGAAGAAACTGGTGCAAAATCTCACGATCCCAGCCGACAGTGAGACAAACTCCTGGAAGCAATACGCGGTAGGGATTATCTGCCCGCTAGCAAAGGAGCTTAAGGCAGTCCTAGCCCTCTTTGACAATAACCATTGTAGTCCAAGCCCAGAATCAGAAGATAGTGACATATACTTTCTTGGGGATATGGCTGGGCACTGGGTCGTCGCAACGTGTCTTCCAGCTACCGAATACGGAACCAATTCGGCTGCGGCCACAGCTGCTAATCTGAAGTCCAGGTTCTCTTCAATTCGATTCTGTCTCCTAGTTGGTATTGCAGGTGGTGTGCCCTCAGAGGAGAAAGACATTCGCCTTGGTGATGTGGTTGTCAGCCAGCCTACCGGTACCAGTCCTGGGGTGATTCAATATGATCTTGGGAAAGAGGAAGATGGTAATCATTTCCGACTGACGGGTTCGTTGCAGCGCCCGCCGCGCGTCTTAATGAGGGCTATTAGTGCCATGGAGGCAAATCTGGAGCCACCAGCTGGCCGATTGAATAAAAATCTTTGCATCATTGCAGATCGCTTCCCAGAATATAAGTATCCAGGTCAAGACTTGGATATAACATATCAGGCCGCCTGTGCGTCATGCGTCTTGCATCAGGCATGCCTTGGATCTTGTTCTCACATACGGCAGCGCGTTCCACGTACGACAACTACACCCATGATTCACTATGGACTTGTAGCGTCGGGCAATCGTGTGATAAAGAATCTGACAGTCCGCAACCAAGTGGCACAAGAGCACGGCATCCTGTGCTTTGAGATGGAGGCCGCTGGGGTGATGAATACGGTGGACTGCCTGGTGATTCGCGGAATCTCCGATTATTGCGATGCTCAAAAGAACGACATCTGGCAAGAGTATGCGGCTGCCACGGCTGCAGCATATGCGAAGCTTTTGCTCGGATTTGTCCCCAAAACAAAACGTCCTGGTGCTGATAGCACGGAGCGAAATGGAGACATGGCACTAACTAAGAAAAGGAAGCTTGACCAATAGAACAGAGTGACGAGATGAGCAATTACATGTGAGTAGTTCGTACACATAAATTATAGAGAGAGTTACAGAAAGTCTATATTGGTTTGTAAGGGATTGCTTTATTCAATGTGCCAACACCGTGGTACTTGCTCACCTTGCTCGCCTTGCAGTACCTCTCATGATCGCTCGTTCAGGCCGCACTCATTGCCTTTCGGCTTTTTGTGGGAACGATGAATGCCGCGCAGATAGGCCTTGCAGATTAATGTCAATAGAGAGGGAATCACGATTACAGGCAGCTTTGTCCCGTTCTTCTTTCTCAACGTCATCTACATCTCTACTCCATTCATACTTTCTGCAACGCTGAATGAGGACTACACGCTATGACGATCTCGTTGATTGGGAGTCGATGGCAGGCCAAATATGCAGAGTCTGCATAATAGTCTTCATTAGTGAATAAGTAACTATTGTAAATTACAAGCCAAGTCCAATACCGCAGCCGATTTAGCGTGAAGTTCGTGACACGCCATCTTTCTGATACCCAAGGCCCGATTGACTTTAAACCGGGGGGTATTTGCGGTCTTTGTTGGAACGGCCTCCATTGCATGCCGAACATAGCGGGCGAATATTAGCAATGCCATTGACAAGGCATATATTCAGCAAATCACCCATCCCGAAATGGAGCAATATCGCATAAAGTATGCTACCGGGGTTGTTGAGAGTGTAACGGCCATCCATGTTTCCGGGAGGAGATGTCACCCGCATCTGGGTGGGCCTGATGGCTCCTGTCAAGAAGCTCTGATCGGTGAAGATGCGGATCCATGCGTTACTGGAGTGCCTATCGGCCTCTTCGAATGCGTTGTACAGCTGCGTGCACTTTGGTCCGCGAGGCCCTTCGACGGTGAGCTGAAGGATGCGCATGACCTTGGCCACGGCTTCAATCTGGCCACCGATCTTGGGCCGTTGATGGTCCATCTGCAGCAGACGATCCGGGAGCACCACGCCGCAATTGGTGCAAGTTCGCGTCACTTCGTTCTTGGTCTCATTATTGAAGTACAAAAGGTTCTTCATCTCGCGAGGGTAGAAGGTGTTGAAAGTGCTATAATTCTTGAGGTCCGCATAGGTGGTGGACTTGCGTGACATGGCATCAAGCTTTTGAATGTACCCAATTGCGATGTCCAAGGGCAGCATACCCTCAACGGTAGGTGTGGCCAGGGTAATTTCTGATTTTGCCTTGTTAATCGTCAACACTCCCTGGTCGATAGACACGACTCTGCCGCGAGATATGGTTGAGGGACTGTTGAATGATCCACTGGCGGCGAGAGCCCACTTGGCCTTGAAAGCGGATTCGAGGTAAGCCATGATGAGAGCGTTTTGATTCAGAAGATGATAAAGTCTGAGTGATCTGTAAAGGCTGATTTGACTCCAGTTTCCCGGTATTATATATATGCCTGTGCACAATCTCTGGGCTGGGCATCAATGATTACCAATCTGTCTGGCACTTATAGCCTTTTCTTTTATTTTTCTTTTCAAATTTCTGTTCAAGGGTTAGCTGGTACCGCAATAAGATCAATAGCCAGTCTTTGCCGCTGCCAGGGAGCTCAACTGGCTGACACTAGAACATACCTTAAGCGAAGATACCGTGCCATGGTATCCAATGCTGCTCTTTGCTCTTAAGCTCACCGGAGGCAATCTCTATCAGCTGAGCCTGGCAACAGCCCTTGGTGCGTGGCTTCGGGGACAGCATGATGATGGAACCAATCAATACCTCGCTTTCAGTGCTAGGAGTGTGTGGCATGCTTTGTATAGTTCAATAGCTCAGTCCCCCCCGGCATCATCCAGCTAAGCCTTCACTTCTCCTCAGCACTATATACTAATGAAACTAGGTATACGCGGAATTGGTCTGGCTCATGCCAAGCCAAGCATTTTGCCTCGTGGCCCTGCCGATTCTGGTTGACCACGTGCATATCGTTCCTGATCCGGCTGCGGCAGGCATCGTCTAGATGCATCTTGACCGAAGCCATAGGCTGGAATATGCATATATGCCATCTTGGGTGCAAGATCCACAGCGGCCCGTTGCACAAACTTTAGCGCTCGGGGTTGTGGCTTGCGTCGAAGTAGCCAAAAGAAGGGGGGGGAATGGCTGGCCCCTCCGCAGAAAGGGACCAAAGATGGGCTGAACGCCCAAAGCGGGAATAGGATTGGATGGTCTCGATGCAGCCGCATCAATAGTCTCAATCGACTCAGCTAGCTATAGCCATGCTCGCTTCCGCCGCTTAACGGCCTCGAGCTCGAACAAGGAATTGCTAATGTGAGGGATGAAGAGGGAAAAGAGAGACAGCTTAGAGTTGAGTCATGTTTATGTATTGGGCACTTGCAAGAGATCTCGTCGAGAGGAATGAGAGGTAATTCGTCGAAAACGAGCAGCAGCTTTGTGTTATGGTACACTAACCTCTGACAGTTCCATTACACAGGGCCCGTCTCACCACTCTCTCTCTCTTGCATGCACTAATAGATTTGCCACTACAGATCTGGACTACTGATCCCCCCTGTTCTTCCTGGCGCACTATTGACCTGGGATCCATGTCAAAGCTTCACAGCCGCTGCGGACGAAGAATTATCGAGATCCATTTTCTCTGAACTGCATGGCGTCTAGCATGTCTGTTCGTTGGTTCTACATTTAGTAACCAACCAAAGTCTTTGCCTTGTGGTTGGTTCCCCTTTCAGCTTCTCCACGGCGGGCGCTAACGGCCAAACGCCAGCCACCAACCGAGCTATCATGGCCCTACTTATTAGTGGCGTGCAGGTTCAAACTAAACAACCTCACGAGGCTGACTGGTTTTTATCTCGGCGAACTCTCTCCGCAGGACATGCTATGTAGATTGCACATAGCCCATGCTGAGAAGGGTTAACAGACGCAGCCGTCGGTTCTTTGTCCTCGGTACAACCCTCCCCCTCTCGCCCTCGCTCTCTCGCTGCAATTTGGAACAACGATACTATGCCAGCCGTGGTGTTTCCAGCACTCAGCCTTACGCCAGTGCTTCACCAGATGATCCATGCTAGGACCTCTGGCGTGGGAGATGGCACAGGCAAGCAATTGACATTATGACTTGCCTCCCCTAGCGTTTGACCGGCATGGTGTAGATGCATATAAGTCCCGTCTCTCCTGTGCTCCTTGTTACTCTCCAAGCCATCCCCAAATACTCACGAGGACGAACCCGGTGCTCGCCCCTCGTCCGTTCTTCTCCTGCTGAACCTCCTCTGCTTGACATCGCCGTTCATCTAGACAGCAAACATGTCTGCCCAAGAAGACCAGGCTCTGCTCATGCTGCAGCGGGCCAACCTGTCCCTTCGCAAAGCCATTTTAGCCAACTTCCCTTGCGCCTATGAGCAGTATGTGTGCCTGTCATTGCCAGGCACCGTGATCGATACCACTGAAGGAGGAAGGCATGTGTTCCTCCACCATACCATGCTAGAATAGAATAATGGCCATGCTAATTCTGCGTGCTGTTCAGCTTCCTACCTGCACCCACAGGAATCACAGCTGATCAGCGCAATGCCATCTACTGCAACGAAGCCATGTTGGCTGACACTATGATGCCGCTTGACAAGGTCATTGTAAGCGTCTACCCAGAAACCACGCCGGATGGACTCCATTGCTTACGCTGAATCTTCTCAAGTTGGGTCCTACGGGCAAAAGTGTCACCCGCAGCTACTTCACGTCCCTGGACATGCTGGTGCCTCGCAAGACCGACATTGGCACCTTTGACCTCAACGGGGGAGCCTCCCAAGATGCCAACAGTCAAGAGTACAAGTATACTTTGGCTATGGAATACCTTCGTAAAGCAGCGCCAGCCTCTGCCCAGAAAACCAACAATGATGTGAAGGGATCCAAAGACACACTCGTCAAACGCGGCGTCCCTGCTACAACGGTTGACTTGTACGTCGAGAAGCAGCTGAACTGGTCCACGGCCCGCGCCAAATGGGACGCCGCTCGAAACGAAGCCATTGGTGAGAAATTGTAACTCTATTGGTAAAAACTCGGCGTCTAATGCTTGACGCAAGAGGCCAGGGAATCACGCCCAGATAAGCAGAGCGCTGCCGCGTTCAGTTTGCGACAGAAGAAGTTGAAGAGTGTAAGCATGATCGCGTTCGCGCAAATAGTACCACTCGGTGGTTTAGCTTATTAGCTGCTGATGAGAATCATCACTAGGCTCAAGGCGAGCTTCACGCTCGTTGGATGGACTGGGTTGTCAATGGTGATAAGCTCAAGGTTGACTACTGCTTCGGTAAGCCTCCAAATCGCGACGAGCAATCAAGTCGATAACTGCTAAATGCTCATCTGTATAGCACTTGTCGATCGTGACAGCATCATGGCTCGTATCGAGAGAGCCAAGGTACGACTTGCAGTCCACCGACCGTTTAGATGATCAGAGCGCTAAAAAGTTTTGCATTTCAGGAGGCAACGCGAGATGCGATGCTCACCAGCATCGACGGCACTGAATGGGCCCAAGTCCACTTTGAGCCAGCAAATTGGTGAGCACTCTAGATCACTGAACATCTTACAGCGAGGTCGACTGTTGACTCCATTCAAGGGCAAAGCTATGCCGGGACAAAGCGGTGGCATGGCGCACACGGCATCCAGCGAGCCCCGCGCACGTACAGATGCAGCTGGATAGCCTGCGCTCGATGAAGGAGGCTTATAATGCCTATGATGCCGTATGATTCTCCAGAACAGGCAAGATCTCAAAGTGGTGCTTACAGTTGGCTAACGATTACCAGCAATTGGCACAACGTGCCGCAAGCGGCCAGCCTGGAGGGACTGCACCTACAGAGTTCGATATCAACACGGCCAAATTTCCCGATACAAACGTACCGGACATTACATCCAAAAAGGAAGAAATCGAATCCAAGGCCCCTGCCTTGCAAGCAGCATTCAAAGATTGGGAAGCTGCCAAGGCCGAGCCGACCCCTGACGCGGAAAAAGTGAGAAGACTGCAATGGAAGGTCGCCGCGCTGGAAAACCAAGAGACGATGAGAGTGGTGAAGGAGTACAATAAACCATCAGTTTCAGAAAACAAGCTGCAGGCTGCAGAGAAGCGCCTGAGAGAGGCCTATAACGCGATGTATACCGCTGAGAAGAAAGCCAGGTCGATTCCGATAATCCCGGGGGCGGACAAGGAGCTCGTCGAGAAGAAAGACGAGTGGCTCAAGGCGAGAACAGCGTTGACTGAGGCACAGACGGACGAGACTACAGCCCAACTCTCAGCCAGCGGAGCAGCCAACTTGCGAACGTCGATCAAGTCTCGGATTACATCCTTGAACTCGGAGATTCAGCGTCTAGAAGGTCGCTTGGCTGGAAATAATCCTCCAGACATGATCGTCGGGGTAGAGGGTGACAAGGAGGGACCCATTGAGAAGAGCAAGCCAGATACCAGCGGTGGTGCCGTTGGCAGTGGCCGTGGCGACTCGGGCACAGCCGACGTGTGGACCGACATTGCCTTCACCGTGAGCGCCCAGAGCGACGACCACAAGCTAGAAGAGCATGGCATGTCGGGAGCCTTCCACGCAGAAGCTCAGACGTGGTACGCCGCCGTCAAGGCGGAGTCGAGCTTCTCCAAAAACGACAAGACCATCAACGACTTCATGTCAAAGTGCACCATCAGCGGCTCATTCTCCGCAATGGTCGTTAGCATCAAGAGGCCATGGCTGCACGCCGAGCTGTTCCAGGACTTTGACATTGACATTCCGGCGGGCACATTCCTGAGCCCCGGGGCCAAGACCATCAAGTACTGGGTGGAAAACGGCGATAACGAATACAACGGCTACGTGCGAACCAATTACGGAAAGTTTCCTGCGTATCCAACGGCCTTTATCGTTGCTGCTGATGCGAATCTGTCCTTTAAGAGCACCCAATCTGCGGCAGAGGAGGCGCTCAAGGTGCTGCAGACTGACAGCAGTTTAGAGGCGAGCTTTGGGAGCTGGAACATAAGCGGAGGTGCTGGGGCAAAGTGAGTCAACTGCCTCACATAGAGGACCATCATCCTGGTGCTAACCAACTTTCTGCTCTATAGGATCAAAACAAACGACAAGAGTGCCAGCCAGCACATGGAGGTCAAGGACGGGGCGTTGCAAATATCCTTCCAGGCGCCGCAGATTATCGGGTGGGTGAGTGAGGTCCTGCCTGAGCTTCCACGCGGAGATATTCCAAAGGCTGGTGGTCTCCACGGAGCGCCTGTGAGGGGATACCGTGCCAACATGTAAGTAAGAGGTGGGAGATTGGAAGTATAACTGGATATTGGCGCTACGATAGCTGGCTATTGAAGTGTCCTCGTTTGAAGAAGGTTTTTTGAGTACAGTCATATGAATTATACACTGTTGTTTTTTGGTTGTTGTAATCTGAATGCATCTGTTTGCTTGTTTGGCGAGTTAGCTTAGGCATCGTGACCAGTGTCAAGTACCGTTGATCTCACAGTCAAGCTGGCAGTGAAATACGTGATGTCAGCAAGGTCAGGTCGCCCACTTATCCTACCTATGATGTATTCTCAGATCCGCCTTTCTTCACCTCAGAAGAGTTTCAAAAATGGTCATTCCTCTGCCATGGCCTGACTTTTAACGCACAAACCCTATGTTCAGTCATCCCTAAGCACTCCCCACCTACGGATAGGCACGGTTGTTCTCAGATCGTCCCATCATTTTGTTTATCCCAGAGTCAAAACTCAGTATCACACAAGTAATCTAACGCTTATAGAACCAAGTATATTACTATATTTCTACTGTCCTTCCGGCATCTTCCTTCTCCGTTCCTCCCCCTTCATAATAATGCCAAGGTTACTTCGTATCACGGAAAAAGACACAAGAGTCGACCACGGGGGGCGTGTCGAGTACGTGAGTCTTCAGCATGTGAAGATACTGGATAAACTGTCATCCTCGTGGTCACTCTACGAGCTCATGTCCCCGCAAAAAGGTTCAATCCCCTCTAGGGGCTAGGTTCAAGGGACAATCGAGTCGCGAAACGTCTTCCAGGGTTCGGTGGGCTGCTTGGTCGGGCTGCCCGGTACCGTCTTGTGCATGAGAGCGGCCTTGTGGCAATCAAGCAGCGACGTGGTTGCGGTGGTGCTTATACAACGGACTGTGAAGTTGTTCTTGTCCGTATCCTGTGCGTTCCAGGTCAAGCTGAAGTCGAGGCGGGCGCAGACGCGCCATTTGTTTTGGTCCTTCTTCATGAGGTAGTCTGAGAAGTAGGCGCGGGAGATTCCCTGTTGAGTACCCAGCTGATCCTTCATCACCACACAGTTGGGCGGGAGATCTTCGTACAAGGATTTGTCCCAAGTCGGGGTTTTGCCGGTCAGGATACCCGGGGCGTCCAGAATGGCGGTAAATTTATGGGGATCCGAGATGGCGTATTCGTACGAGTCGCGGAAGAAGGGTCTGGGCACTGGGACAATGATAGAGTCTACCTTCCAGCAGGTGTCCCAGTTAGAGGGCTCGTTGCCGTTTGCGAAAGTGTAGTCTGTGATGTCGTCCACTGAGTTTACCAACTGATAGGAGGTCGTGTTTGTCTTGATGACCAGGTTGCCGTTTATGGCGACACCATTAGCAACGAGCTGCCGGGTGATGAACTGGAGCCACTCGAATTCCTTGTACTCTGTATCGTCCTGGAGAATCAGGGCGAAGCCGCCATACTTACTGGTAGGCTGGGTCAGCTTGCTCACCAGGGCGGCGACGCCAGTACCGTCGATATTTTGCAGTTTGGCATTGACTGCATTTTCCGCTGGAGGGGGATTCGTAACATCCTGGGCAACCAGCTGCGCAAGCTTATCGCCCCATTCTTTTGTGAGGTTATTATGATCAGCCATTGTTTGTCTTTTGATTCGTTGTCGTCGAAATGGCACCGTTTGCACGTAGGGATCAACGAGGAAGACGAACAGTCAAGCCAGGCTGTGGAATAGTGACGACCCAGAAGCAATTTGTCCTGGCTTTAGGCGAAGGAGAGTAATTAACCTCGTGGAGTGCAAGAGGATAGATATCATGCTAATTTATACATCGTATGAGTGCAACGTACACTGGCATGCAGCAACACACCATGACAACCCCTACACTTATGCTCTGTTCCCTGGCCCATTCCAGCTGTGGCTTGGATGGGCCAGGTAGCCACAATGATCGATAGTTCCTAGTGTTATTAGAGCTGAGACCAATAATCAAGGGCCCAAACAGTACAGACCAGCCTATGGCTGACATGAGCTGTGTAAAGTCATCATCAGGCCCTTTCAGCTGGTCGCTGTACAAGCTGCGTCGGAATTCATTGGCCAGTCTCGACTACAGCCATGACCACAAAGACAGCTAGTCTAACGAAAGAAGTGAGTAATAAAATTTCATAAGGGAAATATAATTAAAACATTGATTATTAATAGATTTGTTACAACAAAGTTAGGAAAACATTATATTTTTATAATACAATCAAATTATAAAATGAAATACTGGGTAGATACTACCCCTTGAGTTATATAGCAAATACCCCACGGTAGCTGTAACCCCAGTTTTTATATATATAATTCCAATACAAGCTACCAACCGGCAGAGTAAACACCGGCTGTTGTATTTTTGTTTTTTCTCTTTCTGCTTCTGATTCTCAATTGCATATCTGCCTTAATTTAGAACCTTTTCCTTGGTAGAACCAAACATTATCTCATAACGGTGGCTGTATAGACGGCTTGGCTTCATTTTCTGTGGACAATCGCAACTGCAACATCTCCACCCATGTATGAAATCTTCACATGATACATTCCATTCATACAGCCCGACGGATGACTGCGCCATAGTACTGTAATGTGTACGCACATCGTGGCTTTTGCTCGCGCGCCAACTTGATGTCGGTTCTAGCGCCCGCCAGGGGCCGTCTTCAATCTTCATTTCCCCCAGCAATTGATTGCGGGGAAGCTTTTGTTAGTCGGGTTCTCTTCTTCACGATTGCGCTGCGGGGATCTATGCGACGGCGTTCAGTGGCTCACGCTAGCTGTAGAGGCCTTCTCAAATCCGCAAACGAAGAGTAGGAGACGGACGTTGATTGCCCCGAATTACACGCAGAGGATGAAGGTTCCTGGTATAAGAGACTGTGGTGATCCGGCTTGTGGCGGTGGTCATTCTGCGCTCACAATGATAGATTGTCTTTGAGCGTCTGTCAACTCAACACCAGCGAAGAATCCCTCGCAGCATCACCGCCACCCGCAAGATGAGCGACTCGACACCAACACGCCGCCCCTTCCACGGCTCGTGCCTCTGCGGCTCCGTCAAGTACATCGTCTTCCTGACTCTCCCCCACAAGCCGCCCATCGACACGCCGCTTCCCACCGACTCGGCCCGCGCCCACCAGGAGTTCTACCGCTGCAACTGCGTGCCCTGCCACAAGGCCGGTCACTTTCACTTGCGCACCGTCTGGGCTCCCGAGGACTTCATGCTGCTCTCCCCGCTGGATCCCCTGGCCGAGCTCGGCGACTACACCTGCAACTCGGGCGCCATCCACTGGCTCTTCTGCAAGACGTGCGCCGGGAGATGCTTCCTCTTTACGGGCAAGGGCGAGACGGCCGAGGTGGATCTGGACGAGGTGGGCGTCAAGGACAGGGACGGGGGCAGGATGGGCAAGAGGACCGTCTGGCGGCCCAGGGCCGAGGGCTGGAGCGAGCAGAGGGGAATGGGGTGCTATCTCAGCGTGAATGGATATACCGTCGATGCGGCGCAGGAGGGGTTTGAGCTGGGCGAATTCACGGCGAACCAATGGGTTGCGTATGTGGACTGCCTCGAGCTCCATGGTCCGGAGCGGGAGCCGCGGTATGACAAGCCTTATGAGGGCGGCGCGTTCTGAAGACTGAAGAAGACTGGAATGCGTTCAATCTGGTGTAGCGTACTCAAGGCGTTGTAGACGTGATGACAACGAGCCGGAGCAATAGACACACAGGTTACATGTAATGATTTCTACCAATCACGGGCAGCATCTTGAACCGGTGTTCATATTGGGCCTGAAAGATGCAAAGGAGTGGGTGATGTACATGCCTAATTAACACCTGGACGACAAAACGGTGCCTTTTTTGCGTACTTGTGCACCGTCCCCGTCAACTCTGGAATGGCAGTGTCCGCACAGTCAAAAGCCGCGATACTGAAAGAAACAAGAGTGAGGACATGGGCGTATATTGGTACGGCGTTTGTCAATTTTTGGAGAGAAGCAGGGTGTCTGATGCAGCGAAGTGACTTTTCTAGTTCTGGCAAGCGTTAACGCAGCAGCAAACGCATTTAGTGGGTGTTTAGCGGTGCAGCACCTACTAGAGCCCAATACATGCACTATGCTCCAAGGCATTCAGATCTACACCCGCGTATGTAGTGTATGCAATCCTCACATCATGCATTTCCTACCACCCAACCTACAAAAGGCTCGCTGATTCTTCTGTCTCGACAACACTCTCTTCAGACACTCTTTTCTTTGACCCTCTTCCACAACCATGTCTCAATGGCGAGTCACGGCCGAGCATCCGCTCCGGCAAGTCGAGGGGCTTGACCATGAACGATGTGCCGCTCTGCACAATCTCATCGTTGAGCGAGGATGGACGGCAAGCGGTCGCAGCCTCAGCGATCTCGATCGCCGGTCGTGGTGGGAGTGCTATGGCGGCGACGCACAACTCGCACCACACGCTGCGAAGTTGAGCCCTACTGTGATTGCCTTTCTCAAGGCGGCGTGGCATGGCTACGTGATGACGGCGCAGCCCCAGCACGCATTCTTCAGATACCTTGCCGGACTCTGCTCGCCGGAGGATCTTTGGCAAAACACCAACTACGGCGACGACGAAGACGACTCGAACAAGCGGCGCTACGTGACACTCTACATGGCTAATTGGGCCCTGGGCGCCAGTCACCCGCTGGGCCTCGTGTTTGATCAGCAGACGTCCACGGCAATACAGCACATATCCATTCATGATACAAGCGTCACGATGAATGGTCGACAGATCTGGCTGCCCCTCGAGCTCATTCTTGAAGGCTTCCTCGACATGATAGACCAAGGCAAAGCGCTTGCGGTGGACTCGTCCTACGATGGGGAGCAGGAGAGAATTGACCCTTGGATTATGCCCTCCTATACGGCTTGTGACTTGGACGAGACTCTCGAAGCTTTTGGCCGACTGAAACGCGCGATTGAAACTCGTATGCCTGGAGCTCCTAGCAATGAACCGCGCCGCCTTAGAGATGCGGCCGAGTCGAGCACACTCTCCCCAAACAGCTTCGCTGGCCGGTTTTTGGAGCGGGCCCCGGAAATTCGGTTTGACTACATCGCGCCTGGTCTTCGCATAGCCCGTCAGCAGCCATTCTCTTCAGTTAATGTTGACCAAAGTCACATACGGCCCGTATTGCTGTTCGAAAGCAGCCAAGAGGCTCATCAAGATACGGAACGAACGCCATGGGGAGCAGAGGTCGTCATATCGCCCTTCTCGCCGTCCTTTCGGGATATATCGAATTATCCTGCTGGTCTTTATCTGACGGAGACGGATCCGCACGGCGCACATCCTTTTGAAGACGGCTGCAAGCTTATCCTGCCTTATGCTATCGGAGAGAATGGCTGGGCTCGAACTAGCGATGGCGCACTTTTTGGAGAGAATAGGCACGCTCAGGGACCAACCGCGAATCCAGTGCCACGTAGCACAGACCTATATCAACTGGGATTCAATCACTTTATCGAAATTCACGATGTGCAATTGAAACATGTGCTGTCTCACTGGGCAGATATGGTGGAGAAAGGAAAGTGGGCAGTTGACGCTGATGGCGTTGCTGGCGGGATAGAAAAATGGCGGGAGGCTGACACAGAAGATCATTGGCAAGACTATCAATTACCAATGTCTTGGTAGATTCATACATTCAAATCAGCCATCATTATCTGGCAGAGCTGTTATTTTTTATTCATTTCAACATCCTACTCAGCTCAGTCCGTTATGCCTGTCTCTACGAAGACGAACAAGAACTAGAATAGGCCGTTTGACAATTCGCCTTTGCACAATAGTCCGAAGTGCTCCCACAATAGCCACTTGTGCTGCAGCAGCCTCCAAACTGAGAGTCGGCACAGGTATAATTGCCCGTCTGAGCTGTACTGCAGAGCCCGTTGGGGCTAACGGCACTACCTGTCGTGCTACACGCACCGGAATAACAGTTCCCAACACCGCAATATGCTGAGGTTGAGCCGCAGTAACCGCTGACTGAGCAGCATGTTCCGAACTGGGTGCCTGTACATGTTTTGTTTCCGGCAAAGTTGGGGCCGCAGCTCCCATCTGTCGAAGGTCCACCATTATCAGGATCACACTTGCCGGAGTAGCAGTTACCTGGTCCACAGTAGGCTGCAAATCATAATTCAAGATCAGTATATCATCGGGAACAAGACTCATTCACAATTTGGAATAGCAACGCACCAGAAGTACTTCCACAGTATCCAGAAGTCGAGCAGCATCTGTTACCAACTATCAGCTAGATTCCTGAGATATCTCATCACATTGTGGTACTCACGGGCCAAAACTTGGATTATCACACGTTGTGCCTCCATTAGCAGGACCACAGGTGCCATCAGTCGTCACGCCGGTCGAACTGCCGCTGCATGCTCCAGACACGCAATTGCCAGCTCCGCAGTAACCTGGCGTCGAGCCACAGTATCCGCTGGTTGAACAGCATTTTCCAAAGTTGGTGCCTGTGCAAGTGGCATGGCCCCAAGCTGGTCCGCAAGTTCCGTTTGTCGACAGCGGCGAAGGCGTGACGGGGGCCACGCAGACGGCGTAGTTGAGCCATAAGTTGGTGCACCCACTGTTGATTTCCGGATTCAACGTCTGGAACGATGTGAAGTTTATACCGAAGCGCAGCGCAATCTCGTTGCAGGTATCCCCCGCCACCACGTTGTAATACAGGCCGCAGCTGTCAACCGTGCCAGACTGGGTGGGGATGCTGGGAGATGCTGTGGTATAGTACGAGCCAGCAGCAGTAGGCGCATAAATGACTCCGCTGGGCACGAATTGGCCATCAGGAGGGCTGGAGCAGACCCGCTGTCCAGGTGCAAGGCGCTGACAGTCGCCTAGGATGTTGGGGTTCCAGCTGAGGAACATGAGCGTTGTGATATTGTTCGTCGAGTTGGAGTACTGCAAAGCGAGCTGATCGCAGGACTGTCCATCCCAGATTATCTCTCCGTCGCAAGCGAGTGGAAGGCAGATGGGCGAGGTAAACACACAGAAAGGGTCGTTTGTGGCAGCCATGAGATCACCAGTCGTCACATTGTATTGTTCGGCCAGTTCTTGACAATAGATGTTCGAGGCGGTGGGCGGCGAGATAAGCTGCCCTGCACAAGTTGTTGCTGCGCCACTGCTCGTGGTGGTGGAGGGAGGCAAAGTCCCCGATGCTGAAGTTGCCGTGACCAGTGCATTGGATACAAAGAGGGTGGAGGAAGAGGTGGTGACTGGAAGACTGGTCGAGCAATTTTGTTGGATCAGGTTGTATTGATCGAGAAGATAGGTGGATGAGTCACCATCTTGGATGAATGGGTTGAGAAGCCGTTGCCGCCACATTTTGATGAAGCATTCATTGCATAGCTATCATCATGTCAGTAAGAACTATATAAGAAACATATAACATATAAAAAGTAAAAGTGACTTCTCGATATTGGCCACGGTTGGGGTGCTGGATAATGGAAGCGATGTGTTGGATAACTAACATGTTATCTAGTGTGACTTACCAGATCATTCGGATACAAATTTGTTACAGCCATCATGTCTGAAGTCACGTCTGTAGTGTCAAATGTTGCATTGTTGCATTCTGGAGGATTGTCTGAAGGGTCGGCATTCCAGCACATTTCTGGGTCATATCTTCAAGAAAAGAGTCAGTTCTTTACGTGAGTTCAAGAACTCGATTTTGTCAATGCTTGCCTGATTACATCGCTTCCTTGCCAATTCTGCGACTCAAAGAAGCACCAGTTCGACTTGCTACACAAATTATTAGTCAGAACAGCGCCCGATTCATTTGTGAAAGTTGCTGAATAATATGCACCTGTCCTGCAAACAAGCAATGTTGTAGCCATTCTGAAATACAATAGGCAAGGTTTTGGCTTGCATTACACTGCCCAGGAAGTTCAGAGTCTCTGAAGCACAGCTTGATTGGACGAGGGAAAGCCAAGAGCTCAGTGATTTCGAGCAGCTGGATGTGCAGAGTGCAGTTATGTTGTCCATGTACCAATCTTTGAAATTATAGCATTTCTGTCAGTTTGTATGAAAACTAATTGTTGGAAGGGGCTTACAATCCATGTCGACGCCCTCGGCTGCTCTGGACATGTTGTTCTCATCGCAGTCGATGGTCGAATTGCTAGAAAGAAATTTTTAGAATACTCAAAGCTCTGATGAAAAACATTCAGTTACGAAACAGCTTGGCAATTCTTACAGAGCTGTTGTGCATTGTGATGTGATGTCATGTATTTGCATAAGCTCATCAGGCGTATATGTGTCGAAGATTTGGAACTGGGCACTCGCGAATGATGCCAGTGCACCAAGTGCAACAACAACCTTGAATAAAAGCATCGTATAACTCCAATTGAAGGTAGAGTGAATGTAAAGCAAGCAATGGACGAATCAATCAATCAATCAATCTGCCCATAAAGACCAGAATGAGGACGGGGGAGATAGAGACCGCCGTGGGTAGCAGGCACTTCTCAAGAAGCCGGGCCGGGCTTAAGGGCCTCGCAGGAACTCTTTACAATCCGGCAAAAAGGAGCCGAGATTCTCTATACTCAGACGATGCGTCCACTTCCTCAAGGCACGGCATGATGCCGGAGATATCCTCTAGTAAGGAACCGTAGAGCGTGTGGGTGGGTTTTTTCACGACCCCGCTGCTTATCAGCGTGATCGGACATTCTAGCTGGGTGAAATTTTGTTGATGTCAATGGACAAAAGCCGAGGAGGATCCTAGCTATACACCCACACACTCGGATCGTTGTACACGTACAGTTAGACTACTCATTTTCTTTCTACGCATAACTGTATGCAGTTTAGATTCGGGACATCGCGCGCTAAGATCGCCAAGAGATGCGGGGGCCAAACCATTTCGATTGATCGAATTATGATATTGACCGTATGATAATTGCCGTGTCATGTACACTAAGCGGCCGCTTCGCAAATCCTTCCAGAATCCTTCAGGATCTGCCGACAATCCGTATCGTCATAGAAGCGTATTCAGAAGCGTACTCAGCTGTGAAATTTGTAATGGATGTCTGCTGCGCGCATCCCTTCATGCGACCGCATATGCGGTTTATCCGTGTGTTTTAACGAATTGGGTCAGAAACCCGAAAGCCCAAAATTAAGCTGTCAATGGTAGAGCTGGCTTTCATAGCCACCCAAATAAGTTGTTGGTCAGAGATATATGCTCCCCAGGCTCTTTTCACTAATACAATGACTGACTGAGTTGTCAAGACAATCATGTTTTGGAACAAGTGCCTATTAGTTGCGCTCGTCGCAATAGCTGGAGTGACGGCAGAGAACCAAACTCTCTACAAGCCGTTATACCAGAAATACTCAAAGTCCACGCCCAAGTTTCAAAACGTATCTGGTGCCGATGTCAACCCTCTAATTCTCGCTCTCAAGGGCCATTCGGCAGGCCACAAGAGCCAGGGCGGCGGCGGCCACCATCCACATTTCCTCGACAAGCGTCAGTCGGGCGGAAATGGCCTTGGAACTGGTCTCTGCGCACCAGGATCGCCTTGCGTGAACGGAGCATGCTGCGGGAAGACGGGAATCTGTGGTTACAGCCCTGATGAATGCGGTTCCGGAAACTGCCTTTCAAACTGCGATGCCAAAGTTTGTTTTCTTTCTCCTTGGCTGCTGTTGAAATATCTTTCTGCTTTGCTTACTTTTATCTTTTTTCTAGGCTGAATGTGGCCAGTATGCTCCTCCAAACAATGCGACTTGCCCGCTAAACGTGTGCTGTTCTAAATATGGCTTCTGTGGAACTACTGATGTGAGTTACTGTCTACATTTCCTGTCAACGCTACCTGCTAACAGAACAAAACAGGATTTCTGTGGCTCTGGCTGCCAAACTGGATATGGAGGCTGTGGCCCTGCACAAGAGCCCTCGTGTGGAGGCAGCACCATCCAACGTAGAATTGGTTATTATGAGAGCTGGTACGCAAATCCTATTTGACAGTGCTGGTGTAATGAATTGAATCCCATTTTCTAACATTTACAAAAGGTCTGCTACTCTCAAATGTGATAGCCGCCTACCGGGAGACATGGATCTCACCGGATTCACGCACATGAATTTTGGTGAGCAACTTCAAAAAGGTTTCAGCTCAACATGGAGCAAAGACTGATTGATTATCTTCAATCCCAGCATTTGCATATTTCAACCCGACCACTTTCGAGATGATGCCCATGAACGCGGGCGATCCTGCTCTGTACAGCCAGTTTACGGATCTCAAGACAACCTACCCCGGCATCAAGACGTGGATCTCTGTCGGCGGGTGGTCATTCAACGACGCGACTAACAGCCCAAACACCCAGACTGCGTTTAGCGACATGGCCAGCACTGCTGCAAATAGGGCAAAATGGATCAAGTCTCTCACCAACTTTATGCAGACATACGGCTTTGACGGTTAGTGCGGACAATAACCGACGTTGCAGTCAAAACAACCCAGGGACTGACATTCCTTTAGGCGTGGATATTGACTGGGAGTATCCAGGTGCCCCTGACCGAGGAGGCGTCAACGCTGACACCGAAAACTATGTGACTCTTGTCAAGGAAATGCGTGCTTCGTGGGGCAGTAAATACGGTATCAGCGCAACTCTGCCCAGCAGCTACTGGTACATGCGCTGGTTCGATCTCAAAGGTTTGTTTCCTCTATCTTTCTGTATTTTCTCCGCTGTCCCAATATAAGTGTTCACCGCTAAAGTTGACAACTCCTGCAGGATTGGAAGACAGCCTTGACTGGTTCAACTTTATGAGCTACGACATCCACGGCGTGTGGGATTCAACCAACAAGTTTACCGGCCCTTTTATCCTGCCTCACACAAACCTCACGGAAATCAAGCTCGGCCTAGACCTGCTGTGGCGCAATGGCATCGATCCCGGCTATGTCACGCTGGGGCTTGGCTGGTACGGCCGCAGCTTCACTCTCTCAGATCCCTCTTGCAGCACGCCCAATGGAGTCTGTCAATTCAGTTCCGGCGGTAAACCCGGGCCGTGTACCAACTCTGCCGGCACACTCTCCAACGCAGAAATCTTCCAGGTTCTTGCGCAGACCGGGGCAAAGCCTTCGTTTGACTCGACGGCTGCTGTCAAGTGGATCACCTGGGACACCAACCAGTGGGTCAGCTATGATGACGGCCAGACTATGAAGCTGAAAATGGATGCTGCGAACAATCTCTGCATAGGCGGCGTTATGATATGGTCGGTTGATCAAGATGATACCAACGGAACCAGCACTTCGGATCTGCTCGGGTTAGGAGCCGCCAACGGCATATCCTCCGCAAAGGCACTTGAGCTCAAGCAGAATCAAAGATATGCCGTAAGCCAAGCAACTAACATGAACTCGTGCTACTGGACATTCTGCGGCGACTCTTGCGCCTCGGGCTACTTCCCACAGACATCATCAAATGGGCAGGTCAACGGCGTAAGCTCCAACACGGTATGCAAAAACGGCCAGCTCGAGACTTTATGCTGCGCATCCGGCACCAACATGGGCACGTGCGAATGGGAAGGCTGGAATGGCGTCGGCATGTCTTGTAGCGGCGGGGGCTGCCTGGGCTCTGGCTCGGTGGCCATCGCCTTCAACACCAACAACTACATCAAGCAGGCGGCCGTTGGTCTTTTGAAGGACCAGACATGCCACGGTGGGTTCCAATCGTACTGCTGCTTGGGCTTCCGGGCATCTCCCAAGGGGAGCATCTCCAGCCTCGACCTCGTTGGACTGAATGGAAAAGATACAAACCCAGGACTCAATGTGGGCAAGTTTGCAGGCCTGACTGTGGCATGTACAGCAGCAGCCACAGCAGCAGGAACAGCTGCAGGTACGTATTTGCGTTTTTGTTTCTATCAAGGACTTTGTCTTGTGGCTGACAATACACTTGAATCTTCTTCTCTCAAGGTGCTGCCGCTGCCATCTTCACTTTTGGCATCGCCTTCGAGCCCGTGTTCGCGGCCACCTTTGCTGCCGTCTTCGCAGCTTGCGAAATCAAGGCAAAACAGGCTGCTGCACTGCAAGCTGTTGGTGTTGTGGCGGGCGTACGCACAGGAGGTCGCGGGCAGTCGAATCCTGTTCCTCGTCCACCCCCCAACCAGCCTCAGATTCCACCGAAGCAATCAAAGACGCAGAAGCTGGGTCAATGGGTTAAGACTTCGTACGATCCGAAGACGACCAATGACTGCGCGGTGACTTACACTTGCAAATATGGCCTAGGCTTTGATGAGGTGGGTTGGTTGGATAAGAGCCCAGAAGGAAGTGTTTAATCAAGCTAACTCTTTGGAAAAGATCTGCGATAACCAGTCCTGGGGCATCGACAAGGCTAATGCTGGCCGGCGTGTGTATCATTACGACCGTAAGTGTTTAATACTTGTCTCTTTCACAGCGGCATTTAGAACAGGCGACTCTAACGCCAGCAACTCTTTCTTATATAGCACGCGGTCCTGATAGCGAGTATGCCAAAGCCCAATGGGGTTCGACATGGCGTAAATCGTGGTATCGCACAATGGCCCAAGCCGGAAACCCCGCCCGGTGCCAGGTGTAAGTGCTGACAGGACCTCATCAAACGCTTTGAAACATACGGTTTGCATGGAACTAACTGTTACCAAAAGTGACGAGTTCCCTATGGGCAGTCTTTGGGAAGGCAGAGCTCCCTTTGGCAACCAAGTCTGCCGTCTGGTCAACGGAGTAGCAAACCGTCGCCAAGGCACCGACTTCCAGCAGTGGCTCTCTGCAATCTGGGCTCCCTGCTCAGCATTGCGTTCGTATTACGGAAAGCCAGATCCTCCTATTACGTGGGAGTTCAGTCATACCCCCAACGACCCTCGACTTGTCGCCAACAGCGCATTCCCGCATTTCATCCAGAAGTACGGCTTCGACTCACAAACCGTCAACTCCCTCTGCTGGGCAACGTACCAATATCCAGCAGGCAATGGCCAGCAGGCAATCATGACGGCTTCAGACCACGGCTTCCGCGCATTGCCAAATGATCCCATGTATCGTGCTTACGGATGGCCACCTCAGCAGTACTCCATCAATCCCAACAATGCGCCAAACCTACCAGGGAATGTAGCCAGTGCTCAGTGGCAGAAACGCATCAACGCCAGGGCAGCGCTGGAGAACCTGATTCCGGTCCAGTTTGCAGATTCGGCAGAGGTTCCCATTCCTGTTCCTTGCGGCGAGTGCAGCCTCATCATTGACGAAGACAACGAGGTTGTGTATGACCAGAGACCACCGGCGGAGGTCCCTCTCACAAAGACGGCCGGTGAGACTCCCACGCCAACTGTTGCTAAGTATAAGAAACCAGAGACTGGAAATACGGTCGACAAGGGCCCAGTTGAGACGGGTTCGGCTTCTCAGCCAAACTTTTGATGCGAAGGAATAAAATTTTGTTTATGGCTATTAGTCGCGTAGATGTCTCAAGACTGTGTCATTAAGCCATTTCCCTCTCTGTCTTTCGGGCGAGCAACTAATTCGCTGTGAAGCGTACTCGAAGACGAGGATTTGATGTGAAAAAAAGGTAAACCGGATTATTAACGGCCTCAGAAATCTTCTGCAGATGAAAAGAACTGGCATCTTTATGAAACCAATAGGCTCATCCTCTCAAACCCGGTTCTTCACTTATTTAAGAAGACACGTAGTTCCCTTTTCATAACAGACATAGTCCCCATTTAAACCACTCAATCCTGTAAGGAACTTATAATGCTTTCCAAAGTGACAATTATATACTCTATGATGGCTGAATTAATATCAGATAATCTAAGCCCAGGCTTATACAGATTCTCTATCCAAATTATGCCCAGACTGCATGGACTTTGGCTTTCTCCAAGGCCCTATGAACTTTTAAAGCATCATCAAGAGTGGCGTATCCATCTTCTTCACCTTTGGCAAACGCTTCATATACCCTCGCTACATTTTGTCCCGAATAAGACACCTGTTTCAAAAGTTCCCCCTCTCCTGCGTTGAAATCAATCTCCTTTGCTTCTCCCCCAAATTCTCTCAACTTCAGTTTCAGGCCTGTAGGACCCCAGTGGAAAATGCCAGGTTCACTAGTCAATGCAAGTTCTCCCTTGGTCCCGCTAATGATCCACCGGAAGCCAGTGTTGTCGACTGTGTCAGTCGAGGTGCGCATCGTCACTGAGGCAAGGGCACCGCTTTCCAAGACTCCCTGAAAGAGCATTGTATCTGGAGCTGTGATGTCATAAATTTCTTGGACAGTGTTGCCTTTGTCGTCAACAATCTTCGTTTTGTTGTTTTGCGTTTTGAAGGTCGACTGGATGTCCTTGAAGTCACCGAGGATACTCAGATGAGTGTCCAAGACTAGGTCTTATTAGAAATCGTTCTTTTTATCTGCCATTCAAAAATGCTAGTTGGATAAAACTTACTGTGTCCGACGATCAGATGCAAGCGGCTGATACCAGAGTCAATATTCAGAAGAATTGACTGCGACTCTGGCCACATGGGAGCAGCCATAAGAGCGTTGTGGCCGTTGAGGGTAGAGACCACTACATCGCCGATGGCACCGGACTTAATCAAGTCCTTCATATGCCGGAAGACAGGATGGGCACGGCCTTGTGAGCCGCTGAGAGCCTTGACGCCAGCGCTCTTGGCCAGAGCAGCCAATTCCTCAACCTCAGCAACTGTCGGCGCGATGGGAAACTCCACCAGAATGTCCTTCTTGTGCTGGAGCAGAGGCTTCATCAGTTGGTAATGTTTGCCAATGGCGACAACGATGGAGACCATGTCGACGTCAGGATCACTAGCAACCTCATCGACAGAGCTGTAAGCCTTGACATCGGAGCCAAGCTTGTGCGACTCGATAGACTTTTGGGCAGACGCAAGTGAAGAATTGCAAATACCGACAATCTGATAGTGAGGAGAGGATTTGAGAGAGTTTAGATGCTGGATTCCCCATTCGCCTGTCTTGTAACCCGCGCTGGATGTGGCAGCGAGCCCGATGATGCAGATGCGGATAGGCGCCATTGTAGTGAACGAATATGTATGAAGCTGAGAGTTGGATTACGAATCGTGTCCTTTTGTCGTTTGGTTCAATGCCATCTCGAGTTTTCCTTGAGTTTATATACACACATATATATACATATAAGAGAACCTGCATTCATTCTTTACATAGCACTATTATTTAGAGGCCAAAGCTACCAACGCCGTATACGAGCCGACCAGGGCGTTACAGCAGGATCCACAAAGTCCGCGGCAGGTCTCCACTTGAACTCCGAGGAAATCGGACCCTGTCCTATTTTCCGATCTTGGGCGCCGAGTTACGGGTCAACTATCCTCAAAAGAGCCAAAGCTAGCCCATTAAGATTGCAAGCTCATTACTAATCCATGATCATAAACTGAAACTTCGAGTTCAACACCGAGGACTTTCTTTAGTCGTAACTTGGGTTGATCCAGCTTGTGTTTCCTGTGCCTCTCAGTCTCCGCGGATAATCGAACATGACGTTCTCTCGCCAAAAGTCTTGCACCCACTGCAAGCAGTCAAAATTACGATGCAACCGGGCAACTCCGACATGTTCGCGCTGTGCTGAGCGCAATCTGGCGTGTGATATACGCGATATTCACGTGTCGCCATATTCGGCCTCGCGCCGTTGGAAAGCCCCTAGACTGGAAACTGTGGATATTGAAGCTCTCGAACATCAGCACAGCGCCTTTGGTGTCCCACCGGATATTTTCGATGTAGTCTCAACTGGTGCACCTATTACTCTCGGTGATGAGAATGTGAGTTCCAACTGGATGGTCACTGATAGTTTGGAAACTGGTCGTTTGAATCCGAAAGGTTTTGAATCTGGGATTAGCGATTTTGGTCTCGACACTTTTGAGGACCAATTTGGCCTGCAACTGATGCCTGACGCCGAATGCCCGGGGCAAAATGCCGTCGAGACGTGGACACCTGCCTGTGTCGCACCCCGTGATGATTCTGTTCCAACCTCACATTGGGATCCTCCATCCCTCTTACGTGAATCTAGTTCGGAGTGCATCACCTCGTGCGACGGCACGCCGTCCACCCTAACTGTGCGGACTCCCTCCAACCAAGGCTCCCTGCGAAGCCGCCCAATCCTAAAAGGCTGCATGTTGACCAACATGGTCCTGGGACAAATTACTGGCTATCCAAAGATGCTTATTCTGGGAGACCGCCTCCCGCCATTTATCCATGCGCCTTGCTACACAGACGAGAGGCTTGCTCCAGAATGCGGCGAGATGGGGAAACACCAATGCTTACCAAAGAGGCTTGCCATTTGCGCCAGCCTGGTGGATATGTTCTATTCGCGGACAGATGCCAACGCGGACTTCGTCTGGCAGACGATATACTCTGAGGGACAGAGATTGCGTGAAGAGGTACCATTTTCTTGCTTCATGCTTACTGATACCGCTGTTGTCTTTTTTAACTTGCAAGACTGACCTTTCTCTAGCATAAAAGCTTAGACTCATACGGCCAACTTGCTGCCCTACAAGCGGTCATCATATATATCCTCCTGCAAGCTCAGGACCCAGAGACAGCGGAACGAAATGGCGCCAATGCTCTGCTCTTAGTTATGATAGTATGTTAAGTTTATCTAGTGCCTTTTTGAACAATTCATCCGCCGTTCAATAATATTTACCTGCTGAATTGGCATAAATTAGGAGCTCTTCACTTGTCTCACTGAGAGCATTGACTGGGATACATGCGACTTTACTGAAAGATCAGACAAACAACACTGGGTATTAAGAGAGTCTTTGAGACGGTAATCAGAAATACACTCGAGTCCCGGGCTAAAAACAACATCAATTGCTAACTAAATATTCAGGATAGTCGCCTTACTCGGCCTTGTCGAGCTACTTTTCGAAGGCCTAATCCCACCTCACACAGCCCAAGCCAACCCTCCGTACAAAAACTTCCGGTCTACTCCTCTACCCAGTCAGCGTGACTTGTGGGAAGCCCGCACCAACAGATCCTGGAAGCGAGAGCTGAAGCTCTACCTCTCAGGCCGGACGTCGCAAGAAGTGCTAACAGTCGGGGACCTGTTCGAGTTAGATAACGCGGGATGTTTCAAGAACACGTGGAACAATCAGCAGGCGTATAGCAAGTTGCCGGATGCAGTCAGTTGGTGTGGAAACTCTGATTCGTTGGGGATGTTAATCTGGATGGTGCTTCCGTTTCAAAAATGGAGAAAGAGAGATGCCCTCTGGTGATTCGAGGAACGAGGAATTCATACATGAGCCAATTTGCCTATAACTCAGTATCATATTCACTTTTCCTTGTTAGATTGGCTCACTCAGCGTACGTTTTGTGGGTATACATAATACACGCTATACACACATCGCACGTTATCTGTCGACAATATTATTTTTATAGTTGTCTCTGACCTTTGGACCCTGACTATTTTCAACTTGTTCGAGAATACTTCAACTCACTTATACTTATACAACTCGCGGTATAACAGCGCACTAATTTTATCTAATAGCTAGTTAAACTAAGTGAAGTTTTTGGCGGTTAGGCGTCCAGAAGGTGGGGTACCTGTAGATGTAAAAGTGAAGCTTGTGTGACCATGGGGGTTGTAGTATTCTGTATCCTTCCAGCCTGGCTCGTTGTCCGCCAACTCGATCATGTTCACGAGGTCTACATGCAGGATGCGGAAGTCATTGAAAGCGAGGCAAAGGCAGAGGGGGAGGCTGATCACACTTCCAAGGCGGTCTCTTAGAAATCTAGACGGTAACAGTAGCATGCTTGGCTAAAAATGACTAACAACTTTGCTCCCAATTTCAAAATTTTCAGAGCCAAAAAATTTTGAAATTGGGAGCAAAGTTGTTAGTCATTTCCCATACTATTACTACTTTCAATCGAGAGACTAAAATTAGATGTCTTTAGTGGCTTCATTCCACCAGCCACTCGCACGGCCACCACCACTGTCATCTTTTCGGAAATGAAACCCGAGCGTTTAATCAAACCCGATCTAATATTCAAACCCGACCAGTGGGTTGGAAAACTAAATTCAAAGCCGAGAGAAAAGTGGGGCCAGAGAAGAAAGGAAGAAGTCGATGTATATCGCATTCGTCTTATTTACAGAAAATTTGTCTTGATTCAAACCTAGACTACTTCATCTATTGTGCTAATAGTGTCCCCTTGGCAGCATTTAATTTAAACATTCAAGCTTCATATTCTGATTTTTGGCCCGTCGACTTTACGTATATTAAAGTGCACACCAGGGAGCTTTTTATTCCGCGAGACCTCTAATATGGGGAACCCGACTCAGAGCATTCAATCCCATCAATCCGATGAGTTCAATATTGCCGAAAACAAGCAAATTGACACATGGAGGGGTTGGGTCGTTGTCGCAGCCGCTGCAAGCACAGTCTTTGTTTATTTAGGAATTATCTACTCATGGGGCCTATTAGAAGCAAGCTTAGTGGACACAACTGGCTACAGTTTAACAACCCTCACATTTGTTGGATCTTTGGCGACGTCGTTTATGATATCAGTGAGCCTTTTCGCCCGCTTTTGCATTCAAAGATTTGGGTATCAAAAAACTGCCTTGGCCGGAGCATTCCTGATGGGACTCGGCGAGTTTGTGGTCTCTTGGGCCTCTGACCAAATTATTGCCCTATTTCTTCTACACGGTGTTACATTTGGGGTAGGCGGAGGGCTATCCATGTTTGTAAGTAATTTTATGGGAGACATGGATTCAACATACTGTTCAGCTTATTGATATTTTAGTTATTTAGGCTTGCTCTACTGCTCCCCTCTCATGGTTCAAGAGGCATCGTGGGTTGGCAGTTGGAATTGTTTTTGGAGGAGGCAGCCTTGGAGCTGCTGTATTCGGCGTTGCGACGAAGTACATGATCAATAACCTGAGCACCGCATGGACATTTCGCATACTTGGTGTCTTGGTTTGGGCTGTAGGCATTCCTTCGTCATTTTTTATCCGGCATTCTCAGATGCCAAGGTCCAAGGTTACTGGTGCACAATGGTGAGTAATATTTATACAAATTCAGTTATGAACTAATACCTCAAATACCACGCTGACACTTTTCGTGCATGTATAGGTTTCTTTTCCGTGATAGAAGGCTTATGATTTTGTCCATTGGACTCGCCCTCTCGACCTTTTCCATCTTTATCCCACCATACTTTATTCCGATATTTGCAAAAGCCATCCATGGCTTTAGTGACAGCGCTTTAGTTGGTTTGGCTGTTTGGAATTTAGCATCCACAATAGGCCGAGTCTTCGGCGGATTCGCCGCAGACCACCTATTAGGACCTATCAATTGCCTTCTGGTGTCCACCTTTCTGACAGGAATCAGCGCTCTCTTGATATGGCCATTTGCATCAAATCTAGCAGTCCTTTTGGTATTCATCATAATTAATGGTATTGGGTGTGGATCATTCTTCAGTCTGGTGCCACCCGTATTAGGGCGAATATTTGGCGTGGAGACCATAGTCGAGCTGCTTCCTATGGTGTGGACGACGTGGTTCTTTGGTTTCTTTTTTGTAAGGCACCCTTATCTTCCTGCACAAACCTGCACTAACGTTATATCAGGGAACCCCTATCGCATCTTCCTTGTACTCTCTATCAAATGGTAACGGTGTTGCACAATATCGTCCTGCCGCATTTTTTGCTGGTGCTATGTCAGTCCTGGGATTGACTTTCATGCTTGGCGTCCGCTTCATGGTTGAAAAACGGATCTTTGTCATGGTATAGATATTAAAAACGCATTGAGTGCACCCTTGAGCTCCTGAGCTCTATTTATCATAAGCAGAGTCCGCCTGATCTTGCTCCAAGAAGAGAGTAGTAGCCATGTTTTCGAAATCTTCAAAGTCAATATCCTCGAGGTTTGACCACCACTGGGGCCACAAGCTTTGTTCATCAGCTTGGGTACCGAAACTTGCAAGTGGATGGCAGAGAGAATTGTCAGCATCAACATGGCCAGGCTCTAAACTACGATCCTGTATCTTTTGTGCTGATATCGGTGCCTGATTAGCCGTCTCCATATTTTCCATTTCTTGGATCTGTCGAGCTGATCTATCAACCGCTCGAAACTCGTGAATAGATTGATGCAGGATATTGAAGTTATATCGAGTAGCCCCTTGATACTTCTGGCGGTTCGTTACTGCACGCCGGTATAAAACCGAAAGATTTTGCAGAGTTTTGATCTAGGATATTTAGTTTGCGTAAAACCAAGCAATATAACCAGAGATACTTACCCAAGCTTCACCCAACTTCCACTTATGTTGAAAATCGCGCAGATAATCCAAACAGAAGTCTGTGAGTTTTTCAGGTTCACTAGTACGATTCAGATTCATTCGTGGAAAGATAGAAATGTACAAGTTGAAATGACAGGCCAGGAATGCGCAATATCCAACAAACGGGGTTGAAAGGCTTGCTCCGCATTCTGATGCCTCATTGAGAAGCCTTGCTATTTGCTCAGATGCGTTGAACAGCTGCTGCGCACTTTGCTCCCACCATCCATGCGGTGCTTCAGCTTCTAGTAGTGGCGGGTCGACTGGCCCACACGGAAGTGTGTCCGGTGTTGGTAAAAAGGGAAAATATTCGCGGTGAAGCATAATGAGACTGCAGGCATTAGAGAATTACCAATGGCAAAAGATGGATGGGTCCAGGGGCACAATACCTCGAATAATAAAGAAGGTTCAGGTATGTAAAAGACTCGGCATATCCGAGTGTCATATGCAGAGCAACTCTATTGTTTGGATAGTTGAGCCGTGGGTGCTGGCGGGCTCTCCAATGCTCTAACTGCTTCATAGAACTTGACCAAGGAGATCCGGGAGTCCATGGACAGTTGGCTTGAGCACACATGCCTGGTGCACCCCTTCCATCGTGCGCAACAAACTTCATGATTTGAGACCAAATCTCAAACCCAGCGACGATGATCTCAAAGCTGCGAGTTATGTCTAGAACCGTGCCAGGAGTGCTGCTGTCGCAGTCGCCAACAGAATTTATAAACCCTTGGAAGATAATCCCTTTTTCTACACCAAAAGCAAACTCAGTAGCGCTCAAGGGATGCTTGACGTGCATATTCATCATTTCCGAGATGGGCAGCATGGGTGGGTTATATGTGCCTGAGCTGACCATACGCTCCAACACGAAGCAAGACCAATAATTCATGGTCTCCACTGCTCGAGCTACAGAGCGTCTGGGATCGAGGGTTTGGCCGCTTTCAATAGGAAAGGGGGCATTTCCTGAGCTGCACAATGCTTGCATTATACGAATAGCCATTCCTATTTACCACCAGTCAACACAAAAGAAAACAGCATCATTATCACATTGTATGACTGACCACAGTAAATCCATGCTTTGTGAAAATGTCGATTGCCCCAGTTATAGAGAGTGATTATGAGGAGAGTTTGAACTACCTCTATCTTTGGCGCATCGAGGATGAATTGCGTTAACGTACTCTCGGCATACATAATATATGTTTCTGGATCCCGGAGCTTGGAAGTCCACGACTCATCAAATTCCGAGCATTGCATTCTCACAACGCCGAGAGCAGCAGCTAATAACGCTGTGCTCTCTTTAATACGCGTCTTTCGAGAATAATCCATGAAAAAGGTCACATGGAGTATGGAAAGCTCGGGAAACTTATTCGTAAAAATATTAAGTGCTTTAAGTATTATTCCATCTGGTAGCTGTAAAAGCTGATTTTCATCGCAACTTTCTCTCAGGGGATCCACAACTTGATGCGTTGAGGTACGCAGTTGCCGTGATGGCTGAGCATCTGAACGACCTGTTACACGACGAGCTCGAGCTACTCTGGATCTGAGAAGTGCAGCTGGCGTCCTGGTCCGTTGCCCAGTAATTCTCACATCTTGTGTTCCAGATTTGGTATGTGGTTCTGTGAGAAAGCAGTCTCTCACGCCGGATTTCTTACATCGTGCACAAGGTGGTATACCTGGATGAATGCACTTTACTTTGGAGGTTCTAAACAACGTTTAGCGGATGGATAGCGATCACACCACTATCGTAGAACCCACCTGCATCTATCACAAGATAGGCTTACACGCATGATACTGTAATAAGAAGTGCTGGTTTTGAATTAGTGAGTGGCCGATGATGGACACGTCAACATTCGCGGAGGAAATGAAGGGAAACACAAAAGAAACAAATTTTCCGGCCAATGCGTAAGCCAACCTTTACCGGTTAGGTACTTTATTATGTACGGCAAGCATTACAAGATGGTTAAGTCTAAAATTGATTATTGGGCACTGAAAAAACGCCGACATACAAATTACATGTAACCTCTTCACAAGCACGGGTCCTCAAACATAATTTAATTGCATGTATGTATTATTTTTTTTTTTTCGTCGACGGCTCCTCTGAGACTAATCCCCAGCTTCGGGCATCACCCAATGCGTAGTTGCTGATTAGCGTTTTCCCGAGCGAAACCGGAAATCTACTATTTTAATGAGGTGTGCCGTATTACCGACACAAATATTTCCGAGTGAAGTGGATCCCTTGTGACTAGCGAGGGCTTCCTTCATTCCCGAGAGAAAAGCTTTCCCGAGCAATCGTCAATCTAGAAAAAACGGAATACCGACACGAGGGAAATCATAAACTAAAATTTATATAATAAAAGCGGGAACTGCGTGCTTTGAGTTTATATGTATATATACTATCAACTATTCTTCAGAGGATTATTTTGTTAAACAGAGTTGTTCATCAATGAATTTCGAATACACAATGTCGGGTTTCAAACCTACAGGAAGCTCTAATCTTGTTACTATAGAGAAAGAGATGTGTGGAAATGAGAGCTTCATTTCTAATCATGCACCATACATGGCAAAGACCTATGATCGAGCCAGCCTCGTATTCACACGTGGACAGGGCTCCTATCTTTGGGATATGGAAAACCGCCGGTATCTTGATCTCACCTCTGGAATAGCCGTCAATTCCCTGGGGCATTGCGATGCTGAGATTGGGAAAATTATTTCTAACCAAGCAAGTCGTCTTGATTATCTTATTTAAATAGAATAACCTAGCTTACACATATAGCAGGCTACACAACTCATCCATATATCCAACTATTTCTACAGTGATTGGAACTGCAAGCTAAGCAAGCTTCTGGTTGAAAAAACCCGAGAAGCCGGATCCATGGGTGATGCTGCCGCTGTCTTCCTGTCAAACAGCGGCTCCGAAGCAAATGAGGCCGCTTTCAAGTTTGCAAGGAAGTATGGGAAGTCTATTGACCCCAGTGGTAACAAGTTCGAAATAGTGTCATTCCACGGTTCATATCATGGACGCACATTTGGCAGCTTGTCTGCTACCCCACGGCCTATTTATCAAGACGCCTTTGCTCCTCTCGTCCCAGGGCATCGCTACGGTACGTTCAATGAGACGAATGGCCTGGTGGATCTTATCAATCCTAGAACATGCGCCGTCATCGTCGAGCCTATTCAAGGGGAAGGCGGCGTGCATGTTGGATCGGAAGATTTCATGACCAAACTATGTGATCGCGCTCGTGAGGTCGGAGCTGTCGTTATTTACGACGAGATTCAGTGTGGACTTGGACGAACTGGATCTTTTTGGGCTCATACCAAATTACCACCTCGCGCCCACCCCGATATCATCACTTGCGCAAAGGCCTTAGGCAATGGCTACCCGATTGCAGCAACTATCGTTGGCAAGAAAATAGCGGATGTGATCCATTTTGGCGACCACGGTTCCACGTACGGTGGAAACCCATTGGGAGCCAGTGTAGCCCATCATATATTGCACCGTTTGTCTGACGAGTCGACTTTAAGACACGTGATGTCAATGGCGCAGTTACTGAGAGCTGGACTTTTATCCCTGCAGCAGAAGTATCCCACCTTTATACTAGATATCAGGGGCGATGGGCTGATGATTGGTGTACAAGTCGATCGACATGTAAATACCGTCGTGGCTAGTGCGAGAAAGAATGGGCTTCTTATCATGACAGCTCAAAACAATGTAATCAGAATTTTGCCCACTCTGAATATCACTCCAGACGAAATAAGGCAGGCGTTGGAAATACTTGAAAAGGTTTTTATAGATATCCAGTAAGTAGTAACAATACCATAATGCAAATGAATAAAACAGGGGTTTTGAAGTCAACAATATTGCAATTCCGCCGCGCAAATTACTGCCTATAAATAATCTTTAGCTTTTTTTATAAAGATTTTCAGCATTAATATATAATATATACTATAATTAAGTAATATCCTTTAAGACTGTAAAAATTTTTAATTATAAAATAATAAAGCTCTTGATTATTATATATTAAGTGGCAATGTCCGCAGGCCTTTGTAAAACGGACATGACGCCTTGCGCTATATTCTGCTACATATAGCCATAGGTAGCCCACATTAAGCAACCAGCCCAGAACCACTATATATCATAGGTGGATCTATCAGTATGCTATTAAATTAAGCCTCACTGAGCTATATGGGATGTGGTATACGTTGAATATTATATAGATGTTTAGATATGGTTGTCTAATACTAAGGCTTGACTGTTATATAGATGGTAGTTTAGTATACCCTACCAAATAAATCCATATTCTGAATTTAGATGTGTTAGATATTTTACGATATAAGTTTCTGTCTGGACTTCTCTTTCCGAAACAAGTGCAAGTTTTAAGTGAATCTCGCCATTGTTGAACTTGATTAAAATGAGACGTACGAGCAAAATTATCGGTGGCTGTAGCTCTAGATAGAAAGCATTTGAATAACAAGAGACCATATGGCACCAAACGTCTATCTACCTAAATATAGTCTTTGAAGAGGGATAAATTAGGACAACTACTCAGTCCAATGGTAGAATCTTGTGACCGAGGTTTCGCAAATACAGAATTTTGTCTTGTTTGGTGGTCCCAAACGTGTTATCGAGAGCGAGGTATGGCCGCACGAAGAACCCCTTCTTGGGGATCTCGTCCTTAGCATTCTGTCCGCTGAGTACTTTGAAGATCTTTCTTATCCCGCCAATGGTCGCCGCCTCTTTGAGCCGTTCCGCTGTGCGACGGTAGTCGTATCCTGACCCAAGCGGGTCATTCTTCTCGCTATAAGAATCCTCGAGCGCCTTGTGTGCCCGTAGGCAGTAGAGGACAAGCGCCCCGAGACCCGCGGCGTAGGCCGTAGCGAATGAACTGCCCTTGTCGGACTCGCCGCCCGGAATTTGGATCTCCTCGCCTGGAAGGAGAAAGTCCCGGTCTGCAAATATTATCTCCTTGGCCTCCTCGCCGAACATGGTCGCTGAGCCTATCCTGATAACCTTTTCGTTACCCACCGGAAGATATTTGATGATCTCGGCTGTAGCGCCCTTATCGGGAAGAGACGTGAACATAATGACGTTGTTTGCTTCGACGGCCGCGTTGAGCTCATTGGCAAAATTCTTTCCGCCCTCGTCCGCGCTTCCGCCCTTCTTCTTGAAGGACCAGCTCATAGAGATAATGTCAACCTCCATCTTTCTTGCCCATTCCAGAGCCTATAATGGTAGATGGAAGGGTTAGCACGTCATATAGTATTTATATCAGCCTCAGTGTCGCGAACGCTCGGCTGTGCAAACGAGCGCTGTTCTCTCACCTTAAAGCAAGATTCGGTCGTGAATTTTTGCTTTTCATCACAATCGTCTAAGCGGGCGATATAGAGTTGAGCCATGGGGCAAAGCTGCCGGATGCAGTCAACCATCCTTGTTCCATGACTGCAGGGGCCTACCCAGTACTCGCCGTTGTCCCTGCGGAAGGATTGGCCCTTTCCACCATTGAGACCCTTCGCACCGTTGAGACCCAAGCTATCAAGAGAGACACCATCATCCAGCACAGCAACCTTGACAGTTGGATTTTTGTCCGCGTCGATGTTGTTGGCCATATTTACCACAAACTGCTTGAACGGTTTCATCTGCCTGATCCATTCATCGGGGGTAGGCCTATTACTCTGTGTCAACCTTTGGAGAAAAGGGGGGGGGTTAAAGAAAACGTGAAGTGATGGGGGGAAGACAAAATATATATGGAAAACCACAATAAACCTACGTGTTGTTGACGGGAGAGCTGCTGTCGTTATTCCCTCTCTGAGGGTTCGCATCGCCCTCACTGCCGTTTCTCTGACCGGACATGGATTTGGGATACTCTACCTTGATGTTGCTAAAGTTAAGCCGCGGGCAATTTTCGGCCAACTTTAATTTCATCTTCTTTTCGTAAGCTTTGCAGTCGGCCTCGTCGTTTGTGTTCTAAGGAGAGGATTAGTAAATTCACTTGAAGGCGATCCTCTCTCACCAGGGAGAAAGAGATGGGATTCATCCTTACTTTCGGGTAGATCTCAATCACGAGATGTTCAAGCTTGGTTCAGATTTGAGTTAGATAGACATTTTCATCTCAAGGACTGGTATGGATGCTCACGTGTTTCATTTTGTGAAGCCCCGAGCTACATGCCCAACCGCGGAGGACAGCGGTATTTCCGAGTGAATACAGATAAACTTCCTTGGCATTGGGAGCAGCATCATACACCGTCTCACTGCATATATCGTACTTCTTCCACTTAAAGATCTCGATCTGGAAGTCTCGGTAGGTGCCGTCAAGCCTTTGAAAACATAGAGACTGTCGTATTGCGGCATTGCTATGGGGCTCAGGACCTGTGTCATCAACTTCCACAGAGAAAATCTTCCTCACATTGCTCTCCCATAACCACTCAAAAATGCCAATGTAGGGATTAGAAGCTTGAGGTGTAACGCTTTCAGCTGATTCGGCTTGTTCTTCGGACATATTTTGGTTTTCTGAATGCGGGGCTTGCGGGTTCCAGTATGGCAACTGCACTGAAGCCAGAATTGTCTCAAAGAGCATTCCTGATAACTTTTTCGCCTTTGCGATGTAGTTGTCATCCAGTCTCTTCGATTCTCCAAGAAGATTTAAACTGATCTTGCGGACTACCGCAGCGTTAGCACAGAGATACGAGACTGGAATTTATAAAATGGAAAGCGCCAGACTACAATCATAACGTACCACGTTCAGCATCTCCCCAGTAGAGAAACTTGAGCTTATCCTCTAACGCACGCTCCGTATTTGGAGCTCCAATACAAACCATCTTCAACAATTCTTCAGTCCTCTCGTAAGAAATTTGCCGCTTGTTGCTGTCGTTGCTGTATGAGCCAGCTATCTGAACGGGGTTAGTCTCATCTTTAACTCGTTCTTCATCATCATTATCGTCGTCGTCATAATCACTGTCTTCGTCGTCTTCGTCGTCATCGTCGTCATAATCGTCGTGATTGTGATCGCGATTGTCGCTATTGCTGCCATAGTCGTAATCGTGGTGATCCCCATTGTCAGCACGGTCATGATCCCAATGACTCGCATGGCCATGGTTGTTGCTGTCATCGCTGTCACCATCATGCACCGCCTCCGCGTATCCATCGACTTTCATGTCTAGCTCCTTGAGTAGCCGATATGCCGTCTTACCTGCATCATTCTCGGCCTCGCTGCCTGCTTCGAAGTAAATAGAAGAAGGCGACCTTTCTACTAGTTCTTGGATAACCAGAGAAAGATGCTGGTAATCCACTTTGGACTCTGCATAGAGCCGAATAGCCATTTGGAGTGGGCTGAACCCATCCTGGGCTGCGCTGTCAAAAATGTTATGGGGGCAGAGCTGGAGCAGGAGCCGGAAGCTTTCCCGAGGAATTGTGGGCACCCCTTCGTCCGGATAGACGCTTGAGTCGAAATTGGTAGCGATTATGAGCGACTGGAGGCACGTCTTATGTGATTTTTTTTGACGAGCTAAACCGTCTGACAGCGCCTTCTTGATACCGTCGTTCTTCTCTTTTAGTTTTGGAACGTTAATCTCGGCATGAAGACAAACGCGATGACTGTCACGGCTGGCACTCGTAACATTGTCAGGCTTGATAGTTATGATTTTCTCGTACTCATATCGCTTTCGCTCGTCTTCTTCATCTTGTTTCTCCAGATTGACCGCCGTCGATGGCTTCTTGCTTTCATCACGGCGGCATTTCTCGAGCAAGAACTCATTCACGGACTCTAGCGGACATTTTTGGTCTTGCTCAGAGCACGGCGTTTCTAGACTAGCTAGAACCGCATCCGGGACCACAAGATTAATCACGCGAAAGACGATCTCGAGCTTGGAGTCGGAGGCATCGAGAAGCGGGATGCTGTCGTGCACGTTCTCTTGGATAAGCAGATTAGGCTCATCAACTACCAGCCGCTCAACAAAGGCCAGTATCTCTTCTGATGCAGGACTATACTGGGTTTTATCGGCAGCTTTAAGAGAGAAAATTATCCGATGCAAGAGGTTCCACCCGTAAGTATCGGTTTTAAGTAACACGTCTTCGTAATCATTGAGATTGATGGGTTCGCTGTACTTTAGAGCGTAAACAATTTCTTCGTGCTTGCGCCCGTTGTCCTTTTGTGATTCTTGTTTTTTCGTGTTCACATTCCCTCGGCCGGATTTGTTTTGCCCATTTTGAGTTCTACCCTGTCGTTTTGACTGGTTACTTTTACTGTTTGTCTGGGACATGATGGTCTGCAAAGTGCAAGAATTTCGATAGAGCGGAAAGAAGAATCTTTGCGACAGGCCCAACACTACGCTCAAAACTTTGACGGAGTAGCAGTGATCCCACAAGAATGGGTGGCCCTGCTTTTCCTAAGTCTAATTAAATACAAATCAGTACCATTGCACATGCACTGCAGGAGCCAATCCTCACTCCCTTGATGCCCAATGTAACACACCCCGAAGCCGATAAGGTCAACCTTTGGAAGTACCCTACTTGTTCGTCTGTGTTACATCAAAGAGTTTGACCTTTGTAAATTCTCTCTTGAAGATGGTGTGCTCGGTTAAAACCCGTCCCATCCTTCCCCGCCTCCGACTCGGATATTGTATAAGTACCTGTAGTCTTGCACAAGGCTCCGGTTCCCATCACAGCCTAACGGACTACTCTAGGCTGTTTGCCCGTCGACGGAATGGCAACGCTCGCAAATAAGAAGACTGATGAATTTTCCTTTGATATTCAGCTCGACACTGTCACTGAAGATCGCGGCTATCACAGTCGTAATACTAAGAATCAAGTCCAGCGGCCTGATGTAGTCGATGATATCTGCCAAGGCCTACTGGTGCAAGCTCGCATCGACCGAATAGTCCATGGCACTCAGACAAAAGGCGGAAAGCCAGCGACCTTGGTCATCTTTGGCTTTCGTTTTCATGGCATTGGTAAGAAGCGGCGCTTTCGAGAGGCTGCCATTACGATCCTGTTCCAGGACGAGAAGAAGCAGGAAGACGCCGACCCTGTTGTTGCCTTCCTCTGGCCCAACGGTGACTTTACACTCGGCGAGCAGACGGATGTCGACACCGAAGAGAAAGCGGGCGGCGAAATTGGCGTCAATGCTGGGTTAACCTACGGGGGAGTCGACGTTAAACGCACTTGGGAGCAAAGGAGGAGTTACAGACAGACAGACCGTGCCAGTCTGACTGGCTCTATCATGCTGGACACAAACGTACGGGACTCGGGGCTGCCCAATGCCGTACTTTTGAACCTCAGCGAGAACGAGACAGCCAGATCGGGCCTCGTCACAGACTTTCGGGCCGCCGTGCTTTTGTTTCGTGAAAACAACTTGGACAAGTTTACAGCCAAGATCAGTGTTGATGCCAAGGCAAACTTCTATTACAACCTTGTAAAAAGCATCCGAGACGTCACGGGCCATTCACCTGCCAACGATCCCATCCTTTTCCAGCCTGGTCCAGAGAATCAGTACATACGCCCAGTCACACTAGCACGGTATTTGGAGGATAAACTTGCTGAGGAGGTGGATGAGCAGAATTTGAACAGCAAGAGGCTTAATCGCCTGGTAGGCGTGCTCGGCGCCACAGCATTAGCAACAAACATGCTAGATTAGACTTCAAGCTCTCTAATTAGACTTGATTGTCTAGTTTATTTTCTAACTCGGGTAATTAGCTTAAAGATATGTCATTTGTTTAAGGTTAGGTTGTTCTTAAAATCTAGTTTTCGAAGTTTAATGCACCGCTAATCTTCAATATTGAACATGCATGTCTGGTAAATTCTTTCTCTTTATGATACATAATATATTTTACGTTGCTCTAGCTACCTACTCCCCTACCTATAGGACATTATTCTTCCCTTAGGTAGAAATGTGTTGAGGTTTGTACAGGTACAAGAGGCGGGGAGCATGGTTGGACTGGTTCCGGTCTGAGCTGAAACTCGAGAGTCACCACGCATGCAAGAACAAGCATCAGTTCACTATTCCGGTTAGATTCTTGAAATATTTTTGCACTGGCTCCGTTCTTTTCTCCTCTTTCGAGAGTTGGGGGCCGCTTTGTGCGCCCGACTTAATGCGTTGGTGGTCGTCTTCGGAAGTACCATTCAATGCGGCGACTGGGAAAATTCTGCCAATATCTTTGTCGAAGTAAGCTGTTTGCAATTTCCTTGTAAGATACGCCACTACAATATAGTTTCAATCTTTTTCCTTTCCTTTCCTTTCCTCTCCTTTTTTTATGGCCATTGGCTACCGGATACGTACATGCGAAACGATGGCGGCCGAGAGACTGAGAAAAGAGAGGGAAGAAAAGCAGTGGAAATACACGTACAGATGCCCCTTGCACCTCCAGTCTACCTAATTACAATCCAAGACAAATTGCTGACTTGTGCTGTTTTCTATTTCAAGCATATACATGGTGGGATTTCCTGGCGTTGTCGGACATTCAAACGATAGAAAGACAATATTCCATGTGTCTGAAATAATCAACCACCTCGTGCAAGAAGCACGGGTCCTGCCATACTCTATTTTCAATGGCGAAGTAACCACTCGTTCACAGGAAGCAGACATAGCTACAAACGCGGATGACGAGAAAGTTACAGCGCTGGAGAAGAGGACTCGTAACATTGTCGGGGCGAACCGTCCGTCGGTCGCTGGCGTGGTGACCTCTATCGGGACTCCTGGCGAGGGTACACTTTCTCCCAAACTGACAGAGGAAGATTTAGAGGATGCGGCATCTGTTGCTAGCACGACTTCAGACCCGTTTTGGCTGGCTTCGATTGAGAAAGAAGCCAGGGCTCTTCTTGACTTCATCCTTGGCATCACTTCCAGCGGGGAGGACGCGCATCGAAGCAGCATCCTGTTGGCCGGATATGGGTTCGGTGGTTTCGTAGTTAAGCAAGTAAGTGTTTTCGTACGCACAGCAAGAAAACCGTATCTAATATTTCGATATTGCTCAGGCCATCATCCTTGCAAACACAATCCCAAAGTACTACGATATCGCGTATAGTGTTATAAGACTTGTAAGTGCCTTGAAATCACCTTCCTCCCCGAGTCTCTTGGGCGTATCATAACGGGTCCCTAGGTGTTCTTTTCAACGCCCCATCGAGTAGATGATAAGAGGGGATGGGAAGGCATTCTCCTAGACATGATCAAGGCACCAGAAGCAAGGTTCCTCGGCAAGCTCTCACAAATTCTCTCAGTATTTGTGAGCTCAGTGTCTCAACTTTCACATGTTTTCCACAAGTTTGCGTCCAAATATTCCATCGTAAACTTTATCGAAGAATGCGGGATATCAATGGACGAGGCGGTAAGAAAGAGCTGCAATTCTAGATGCGGGGCTATAACGAAGGCGCTGATCTCATAACCACAGGTAGTAGGCAAGCTGGGAATGTTCAATAACGATTTTGAGGACGTAGTTGTGTGTAAACAAAGGGATTTTAACACCATCATACTTTGCGACATAGACAGACTCGAGCAGCTGGAACCGCTTAGAACCCACTTTGGCCCAGGCCAGCCTCGCAATCATGGTATGTGTCAATGCCTTTCTATCTTCGTTGTGTCTCGGCGTACATGTTCTTGGAGTCCACAGCGGTCTGTGGAGACTTCCAGTCGGTCACATCTGTACTAACGCTACAACAGATGCCTTCTTCCATCTTGGTCAAGCGGTGCAGGCAGAAATGAAGAAAGCTTATTTTGAAGCCCTCCAGGTGCTCTCAAAATCCCATTACATCTTACACCAGACCATGGCGCTGGAGCGATACGAGGATTTCATAATGCTCAAAGACATATATGGCTCGCTTCTTAGGGGGGTTGCCTCAAAGTTCGTCCGTAATACGGGCGCCATCCAGGTAATTGGACCGGCAGGGTACGGCAAATCTGCGCTCTTAAAGGTCATAGTCCAGGAGATCAGGCAGAAATCGTCAGTTATCATCCTCAACAGCTCTCTCACTCCTTTAGAAAGAGAAAATGCCCCAACTTTATATGGCTTGCTTGCATCTTTCCTCCATCAAGCCATCTCCCAACGGCCGTCCTTGTTCTATGCCATCAGCAGTATGGTAGCCGAGATTCTCCATCGCGATAGCTGGACAGAGAGAAGTCTTCGTATAGTGTTCACGGCATTACTCCACGCCTGCGAGGGGATGGATTTGCTGATTCTTATACATGATTACGAACAATGGCCAGTGGAAATACGTTCTTGGTGGACTAAAGACCTGCGACAGCTCCTACAGTCCTGCGGCACCAGATTTACGTTTATCACTAGCAGTCGTAGCCGCATCGAGAACCTAGCCTCTCAGAAGGTTCATGAAATCGACCTGGAGAGAAATTATGCAAAACATCGGAGAAAGTTCGTTCGAGCCAAGCTCAGCAGCCTCCTAGACAGAGACTATGGTTCTATTATTTTGAGACAAGGTCCTCAAGCCGATCTTAGGACCATGATAATAGAAAAGGCGGATGCCTTTAAAGGGTCTTTTAGAGGGATTGACGCTTATCTAACACTATTGTGCCAGAACTTCCCCTTGACAACAGCGGGAGCTATCGAAGGTCATATCGAGGCTAGTTCAGGGACCGAAGAGAGGCTCTATAATCACGAGATATCAGCACTCCGAGTCAAACATGTAGATATCTCCTTTTGGATTGCGTCAGCAATCTCGTGGATGATGTTGTCTGCGAGACCACTCCGTTTAGAGGAGCTTGCGGCTGCTACAGCCATCAACGCTGACGATGACACCCTGAGTGATATTCAAGAAAAAATATCCATGGACATGGCAAAGGACTTGAAACGACATTTGGGCCCCATAGTTGCGGTGGAAAACAATCACGGTTGCATCGCCAGTGTGGCAGCAAGATCTATACTGGCCGCAACCCCAAGTAAAAACCTCGACCTTCAAGATGATTACAAGCTCACAAGGCTGTGCCTTCACTATCTAAGACTAGTCCTAACAGAGGAACATCAAGAGACAGATAATGGCGAGCCCAACATCAAAGAAACCCAGGCTGAAGCAGCCAGCGGTAAAGAGAGTATGGATAAGCAAGATATAAAGGTAGAATTAAAGACGCCCAAAACAACACTTGAAGCTATGCAACAAGACAGATGGGCAGAATGCCTCTCGTATGTCTCCAGGAAGCACCAGAGTCACAACAACTACGAACCTATTTTGGAATTCCTTGACTACGCTTGCCGGTTCTGGCCTACGCACTTCCTGCACATTGAAAACCCCGATTCGAGCCTCAAAAAGGAAGTAATCAACTTCCTGCAGGCGTCTCATGGGCAGAAATGGTTCCAACTCTATTTGATTTGTCATGGCCAGTCCTTAAATACCTTCTGTAACGATGAAGAGGCCGAGAAAACAACAGTAGACATACCAGAATGCGAGCCTACCGAAATTCGGAAACAACCTGATGATGCAGAGAATGAAACTCAGTCACATCTTGGCTCGTCATATGAGACAGGAGCCACTGGGCGACAATTGGCGGTCCGTATGGCTTGTTATCTCGGACTCACACCCATAATCCCAGAGTTTCTTGGGTCTGCCATGCTTTCAACCAGTTTTGCCATTGTTAACGCGCACCGTGGATCCTCAGAGAGAGTTGTTACCATTTTAGATAATGCAGCTCCATACTATTTGAACTGTGCTATTTTAAATGATGACGCAGACTTGGCGAAGAAACTATTTGAGCTTCGAAAGTCGGAAACTGCCAAGTACTATCCTCTTCACAAAGCTGCTTTAGGAGACAGCTTGAATACTTTCAAGATCCTATTTGGCTTGCTGGATGACCCAACAGAGACAAACGAGGACGGGAGAACTCCCCTTCATATGGCTGCAGCTGGAGGGAGTACGAATATAATCCAACTTATTTTAAGCAATAGTATAGTGAAATCCGAGCTGAGAAGCACTGAGGATCTTTCTACACTAGACCAAGGAGACAACAAGCTACAAACACCACTGATCATAGCAGCTAGTATGGGCCATGTGGAAGCTACGAAGCTCTTGCTTCAATACAGCGCAAAAGTCTCCATCCAGGATGACGCTGGCAAGACCGCGTTACACTACGCAGTTCTAATGTGCCCTGCAGCGGTCGAGGACTTGGTGTCCCAAAATTCCGCCCACATCCGCGATAACGACGACTGCACAGCTTTGCACATTGCCGCGAGGTCTGGGAACGCTCGCACGACGTCTGCTATTGTGGTTGCTCTGCGGCAGGGGTCCCGATTTAGGGAAGTAGTGAATTCCAGAGACAAGGCCAACAAGACTCCATTCCAATATGCCGCTGAATATGGATACAGGGCCATTATCGAGGACTTTCTCTGCTATAAGGAAGAGATTGAGGAGGGAAACCTCAGATTGGCAGCACAGCTTACCGCGTCCTGCGGGCATTTATCAACATTCCGTTCGCTTATATCTAGAACGGATGTAAATAACAGAAGCCAGTTGCTTGTAGCAGCATCAAGTGCGGGACAGCTGCTCATCGTACAGTATCTTTTGCGTGAGAAACGTATTTCTCCAGACAGCGAGTGGCAAGGCCTGCGACCACTATGCCAGGCGTCTGCAAAAGGACATATAGAAGTCGTACGCGCTCTCTTGAGATCTAGAGCCTCAGTAGGTATAGCAGACGAGCAGCGAAAAACACCTTTACACCACGCAGCCGAGAATGGAATGTACACGGTTGCCAAGACACTCCTCTTCCAAGATGCTAACGTCAACGCCCCGGATATGAACAGAGAAACTCCGCTGCATAGTGCAGCGAAGAGCGGGAATACCAGCATGATCGAGCTTTTACTGGAATCTAAGGCAAACGTCGAGGCATGCTCACGGACCAAAGAGACGCCGCTCCACTTGGCCGTTACATATCCGGAGGCAGTTAATACCCTCCTCAAAGCTGGCGCAGAGCCTAACGCTGTCGACAGCCTTAAACAAACTCCTTTACACATGGCGGCTCGCGCTAAATACTTACAGTCTGTTCAATATCTTCTCCAAAACAAGGCAGATATCCATGCACGAGACGATAACGGCCGGTTGCCATTATATTACGCCATACAAGAAGACGACCTTTCCATGGTTCGGGAGCTATATCGAGACGATGATGATTTGAAAACGAACTTATCTTGGGCGATGGATAACTCGGCCGTTACTGTCCTCGACTACTTTCTACAACTGGATCATAAAAATAAGGATGGATTCGACAATGCTGAGGCCGAACTACTCCATGTCGCGGCGGCGAGTGAATCGGTGGAGGTTCTCGATGTTCTCCTTCGATCAGGGGTAGATGTTAACGTGCAATTCCAAGGCTCTAGCGCCTTACACTCTGCCGCTGTGAACGGACGTGTAGCAAATATTCGAAAGCTTCTTGAGTACAAGGTAACTGTGGACATTACCAACGACAATGGGCAGACGTCTCTACACTTAGCAGCAGAAGCAAACCATGCCGTGGCAGTGGAGGTTCTCCTACAGGCAGGCTCCGATATAAACGCCCTGGACGAAGATTCTCAGACTCCAGTCTTCATTGCGGCTTACCATGGGAGTGTTGAGAGCCTAAAAATGCTTCTCCAGCACAAACCTGACATCAGTATCACTCGATACGACGGGTGGACCCCCCTTCATGCTGGCGTTGACAATCTGGAGGTCACGAAGCTACTGATTGGCGCCGGTGCCAACCCAAATATGCCCAAACATGACCAGTGGACTCCTTTCCACCTCGCGATTAGTTGGGGTGATCAATCCATTGCCGAGTATCTCCTCCAACATGGGGGTGACCCCATGTTGATCACAGAGGATAGCGATACAACTCTCCACTTGGCCGTGGGGGCAAATATGAGGGAGATGGCTGAGAACCTCTTGGAAAGTGGCGCCAAGGATTATATCAACGAACGAGGAGGACCCGAGAAGTATACCACACTCCATATCGCATTAGACAGCTCATTGGTTGATGTTGAAATGACGCGGTTACTCATCGAACACGGAGCCGACCTAGACTTGCGAACGAGCGAGGGTTTGTCTACGCTAGAACTGGCTGTCAACGAACGCGATCCCGAGAAACTCAATTTGCTTCTTAGCACGAAGATTACGTCGCGGAAGGACCCTGATTGGAAGCTGGACGACTTGATTCCAGCATATTGGAGAGTCATAACCTTGCATGGCCAGGATATCGCTGAGGACCAACACATACCAAGCACAGAGTATCATAACATTATCAGAACCCTAGTAAAGAAAGATAAAACGTTATTAAACGAAGAGTCAGCTGAGGGGGGCCTCAACGCCTTAGAAGCGTGCCTCTCTAAGCGTAGCAAGCGACGCAAGGAGGAATCTCTAGCCATTCTTCTTGTTGAACTAGGTATAAACCCACTCTCACGCCGCCACTCGCATTGCAAATCGGCTCTCGAAATCGGAATACTTTCGCGGCAATTAGTCAAGAATGATTTCCTAAATTTGTGCGTCAGTAAAATCCCCGGAAATGCCACGGACGCCGTGGCCTTGGGGCTAGGTTTCCAGGAGCTGCGCATTGCCACCGAGCTGAACCAGCCCGATATGTGGTGCAAACTTGAGCCACTGAGGGACCGGGTGGGCAACAAGACTGATACAGATGGCTGGAGCCTTGATCACTTCGTCCATCAAGCCTCAGGCAGGATTCCTGCTCAAGCAAAAGTGTTGCCTTCGACATCCTTGAAGAAGCCGCAAGGAATGGTATTTCCTTCCTGGTGGGCCTCCAATGACCAGGTGTTGGAAGAGCGTTTCAGGATTGTGGACGATGGACTTAGGATTCTCTTCTCGCGTTAGTATCGCTCCCCGAAATAACTTGGCTAACAGTTGATGCTAACTAGCAATGGATGAATCTTAGTGAGCCGTACAAACATGGTGAACTTACGAGCAGACTTTCCCTTCCCGCCTCGCTCGATCGATCCCAAAAACGGCGACATACGGTATTTTGAAGTCAAGATATTACCAGCTGACAACATTGTGGAGGATTTTAACCATGAATCTGAGACAATTCCTCTTCCCATTATTGCCATCGGCTTCTGTGGAGAGTTCACAGACATGACGAATGCAATGCTCGGCTGGAATGTTTGGACGGTGGGCTACCACGGCGATGATGGTAAGATTTTCAACAATCAGGATACCGTACATGGAGATTATGATACGGGACGCAAGTTTGGGACGGGTAATACGGTTGGCTGCGGAATAGACTATTCCAACGAGGAATATTTCTTTACTTGCGACAGCGAGATTGTTGGTATGCTTAGACTTCTTTATCTCTATCCTAGTCGAATTGTTGTCCACCATGCACTAACGAAATAACAAATGCAATAGCTCGTCACAAAGACAATTTGATCTTTAGGAAGCTGTATCCTGCTATTAGCCACCTGGCCGGTTCATGCAAGGCCGAGGTGAGTTTTGACGAGAGCAAGTTTGTCTGGCAATGGCCAAAGAGACAATTGACTCGGGCTTCAACTCGGCCTCTAAAGTGAGCTCGCCGGGACTGGTGTTGGAAGGCGTATCTATTTGAACCAAAGCGCGTAGTCTAGATATTAGGAATCTTCATTACAAGCTTGAAGACAATCATCACAGGATAGCGGCTTGGTTTAAAACTTACCACTAGACTCTATCAGCAGCAGCAACATTAGTAAGACTTTCCATTGCATTAAAATATACAAAGTTTCCTTAAGTATGTAATTAACATAAATTTTAAGTACCATACATATTGGGAGAAGCCGGATTTAATCAAAATGTACTATATTATATGGGCTATATGGCGTGTCGTAGGGGAGGAAAAACCAGAACGTACTACATATGGTAGGCCTATTTACTACCCTGGGTTAATTTCAGATGAGCCTCACCCGCAGCTCTGTGAGTTGGATAGAACAACTATGGAGCGGAGATGTCATTCAGACGTTCATGTTACTGGCGAGCGAGTATCTGCAGGAACCACACATTGTAAATTACCCTAGATAGGCTACTAACAGACACAATGCAACCGTGTATGTCAATGCCAAAGACTGCGGGACTGCTGAAGAGGTGATCCCAACAAGATAATTGGAAAATCCTTGAAGATGGAATCCGATATGCCAACGCCGTTTACGCCGCAATTCTTGACAACTTGTCTATTTGCACCATATTAACATCTCGCGGTCACTCGCTATCGTCATCGGGCTGTGAAGGTTGCAAGGAGACGACTGTTTGACATCGCGAACATGGCGGTTCTGCACTCCTCGACGGTGTCTCCAGTGGTGACCGGTTTTTCAATACGAGTTCCTTGGACTTTATCCTGTCTTCAACTAACGGCATAAAGTATACAAGAACTTGAGCTCTCTCAATTAGATAGCTAAAAATAAAAGGACGCCCTGATGACGGCAAGGGCTGCTCCGAATGTGGCCAGACTCATTTCGACAGGAAAAATACATCGATATTCATTTGGCTCGAGCATGTATTAGTTCTAAACCATACTTTCTAAGTAATCTCGCAAATTTGTGGTTGGTAATCCCAGCTGTGTATTCGCAAGGATATCCTGAGACACTGAGATGTCTCTCTGGCCTTGAAAAAGAGCACCTCTGACAATACTCTCGATGCCTTTCTTTGGATTACCGCCTGCAAGTAACCTCCAGCCTTCTTGGCGAAGATTTTCGGCATTGACGTACGATACACGCCACTTTGACTGGGTAATATCCTCCAAGTCTGCGAGGATCTCTGATTGCGAAACGATGAAGCTCCTAATCAACAGATATTGGTTGGCACTATCCACAGGCCTTTTCAGAACGGACACCACGCCCTGCGCCATGGTAGGAATTGTCGTTGAGTCGAAGCGAGCTTCACCAGTGTCAAAGATAGTGGCTGTTCTTTCTGACACCGAGAAACCCCAGGCTCCAGAGTGAATGCCCTGGTTATCGTTTACGTTAGCCACGGCACAGGGACATCAGATACGATATATTCTGCCCACCACATCAAATAATGCGCCTCCAGAGAGGCACGTCCAACTGAAATGCGGATGCAATCGACACTTTGCCCGAAGGTAACCAATCAATTGAGTCTTGGGTGCCATGAGCTTCTTGAAGTCTTCAAGTGGCTGATCAATGCTGCTAGAGCCATATTCGCTGGGAATAAATCGCCTGACGCCGGCCTGACATGCCGCATCGACCATGACTTTCTGAGCTACAATGGGCGGCCCAGCAGCCACGGCACTCACCACGGCGTCCTGACCCGCGAAGATCTTAACAAGTGACTCGTAGGTATAGTCGCTAGTCACGAAAATAGTACCGTTGAGTTCCTTTGGATTCAAGCTTGAACTCCGGGTCACGACTGTGACGGTGAAGTCTGCATCTATCAAGGCTTTAACAATTGGCCGACCAACTTGGCCAGTTCCCTACACACCAAGAGTGCTCAGTACATATTAGGCTGTTCACAACTGTGACGGTGGAAGTGGGCGTCTTACGCCGAGAACTGCGATATTGCGAAAGCTTGCCATCTTAATGCAGCTATTGACAGAAACTTGTCAAGGTTATAATCACCGCCGTGTTTTCAATTGAAAGTGAATTGTATTTATTAAGAATTCTACATTCCATGCACTTAATACGGCCCTGTTCATCATTTATACCGGAGCACCGCCCCATATGCAGGCGGCAACTACAATAAGCGTCTAACGGGGCCATCAATTGTTACTGAGTACAGTATGAGTTACGTATGCCCTAAAGCCTATTTAATGACGCATGCCTGCAGTCTTTGGAATCTTGAATGTTCAAGCATAATCTATTGCAACTTTACGCGAAACCATCAGCCCTAGTTTGAGTAGGTTGTCACTCACAGCCACCTCGCGACGAACTCCGCATTCAACTCCGCATCGTCAGATTATATGCAGATAGTTTAAAGCCTTGAGTGAGAACATGAAATAAACACATGGGCGCAATCTTGCCCGAGTTCCGCAGAACTGTTCTTTTCTTGCAACTATTATTGATTGCTCAATCTCCAGACCCGATGGCGGCAACCACTTACCAACCATCGACAATGCGCGCTTGGACATTCAGCAGCGGCGGCACGCCAGAGCAGGTCTTGTCATTCAACCCATCCTTGCCTGCGCCCGCAATACCAAAGGGCTCGGACGTGCTGATCAAAATATCTCACGCTTCGCTCTCTTCTCCTGGCTCCAATCTGATGAGGGACATTCCGTCTCTTTTGAGGAAAAACGCAATACCGGAGCTCGACTTTTCTGGGCGCGTCGTCTCAGCAGGTCCTGCTGTTCCAGCTGAATTCACCGTAGGGGCGGCTGTGTTTGGTACCGTTTCCAAGTTGGGCAGTATCATTCATAATCAGGGAACGCTGGCCGAGTATATTGTGCTGAATGCGGATTGCATCGCCGTCAAGCCGACTAACATAACTTTTGCAGAAGCCGCTTGTCTAAGCTGCCTCGGACAAGTTGCACTGGAAATGGTCCGTCGGGCTCAAATAAAAAAGGGCGATCGAGTTCTTGTCAATGGGGGTAGTGGTGCTGTAGGAACAGCCGCTGTCCAGCTCTGCAAGGACTTGGGCAGTTTCGTCGTGACAACCTGCTCCACCAAACACGCCGATAGGATGAAACAGTCTTTAGGAGTAGATGAGGCAAGTGAATCTGATTTCATGTTTGATATTGACACAGGGAAATGGCTAACCTCTCCCTCGCCCAAGATGCAGATTATTGATTACTCTAAGGTCAACTCCATACCTACCGCCCTTGAGAAAGCCTACAACGCGAACCAGTTTGATGCAATCCTAGACTCGGTAGGCTCTCAAGAATTGTTTCGGCGATGCCCAAAGTATCTCAAGTCCGAGGGCTTGTTCATCAACGTCGGTGACGCCGACGCGCAGACTGGCCGACTTGGTTTCATTCTACGCACACTTCAAAATGTGTTGCTACCGACTATCTTGGGTGGCGTACCGAGACGGTATATTACGTTTAGCGCGCCGCTGAATGGAAAAAATGCGGCGCATCTTGGAAACTTGGCTTCCAAGGGCAAGATGCCGGTGTTGATTGACTCAACATTCCCATTAGAAGACGCCATTAGCGTGAGATTGATACCGAGACGGCGGCGGCTTGTATGTGTCTATACTAACACGGTCTCCAGGGATACAAACGCTACAAAAGCGGTCAAGCACAGGGTAGAGTTGTCATTGACATAGCGAATATGGATGCACAAGATCAATAAAGCCGTGCTCTGTTAGCACTGCCGGTTTAAGATTCTCGTCGTATTACTCCGTCCGAAGAAGCGACTGAGAAATTACCGTCCTGGGAATGCGCGCAAAGAGTCTCTGTGGGCAGTCTATACTGGATTGAAGACTATGCTGATCAATTCAGACGAATGATGTGCCAAATTCAGGAGGCAAAGCGCCTGGCTGGGATATTGTGGCTCGCGTGAAGAAGATATAATAATGTTTTATTGGAGATTTGGAGATTTTGCCAATTATTAATGATACTACTGGCTTAGCAAGCAGCCGCTTAATCAACCTTTTTGTAGGCTAAAGAGGTGAATTTATTGGTGGAGGGACCTTTGACATATTAGAGATATACTACAGTATTTACTGGATATCTAATGCGAAGCACTGAGTCTGTTGAAACTGACCTAAATAAATCGGGGTACCGAGATGGGTAACTCACATATCGGCTGTATGGCAGACTCATGAGCACGTTAAACAACTCAGCGGAGCGGAAATGGATTCTCCGCATGCCAGGAACTTGATAAATCAGGACGCCTACATAGCCACGGCACTGCCATTGAGAAACTATTGACGAATTTCACAGCAGAGAATAGAGGTGATCTTCCGATTGGCTAGATCGAAGCGCCAAGACCTTTTTTGCCTTTTTCGGAAACTGTACTATTTTAGCCGAGCTGAAGCTCACCGAATGACCCGCAGCCTAGATGGCAAGATAGCTGGAGATGAATCTCATCTAGAAAATAAAACAATTGCATTCGGCGACAGCTTAAGTATTCCCATGCTAACTTCTTTCTTCTTATATTTAACTCAATTACTACTTAAACCTACCTCGTCTGACAGCTATACAGGCCACGGCACAAGAACAAGTCAGTGAATCATTTGATCAACCTGCCGCGGCAGCGTTCCCCTTGGAAGGAAGCCGCAGGCACAGCTGGGGATCATTTTGAGGCGAATAAAGTGTCCAACTTCTTCTATCTTGAAAGAGGAAGAAGTTCTTCTCTTAAATTTGTAAGCCGGATGCCATCCAGTTCGGTCAGACCACAAGCTGAGTTACGCAATCACCAAAAACATACCACCACAGGTAGGGAAAATTTCTCTGTCCCATCAAGTACTTCTCTCCAGCGTAATGTCTTTCATTTTTGCGTCCCGTCCGCTCTCCCAGAGTCAAGCTAACAGGAGGCAGATGAGTATTTTCGCTTATCATCACCGACGAACTGGGACTATTATATCTTGTTGCATTTTTGTTACATCTATTCAACATGGGTATATAAGCTCAATGACTCGTGTAATTAAGCACATACGACCATAGGTAGTGGAGAATTCGGGGTCCCGTCTGCTCCCCCATAGACAAGCCACTAACCGGCAGATTAGTAGTTGAGTGGGTGACCATCAGCGAACACCGGCTGTTGTATGTTTTTGTTTTTGCATATTTAGTTAGTGGTTGCTTTATAATTACCAGCAGCACAGTGTTCTATCACATACGACCATATCCATTGGAATATACGGGATCCCGTCCGCTCTCCCAGAGTCAAGCCAATGAGAGGCAGATTAGTAGTCAGGTGGGTGACCACTGGCGAACACCGGCTGTTGTATGTCTTTTTTACAGCTTGTTTTTTTATGTATCTCTGACTTGGCTCACGATGGTTGCTATTTTAAGGTCGCCCAGCGTAGAGGTTGACCCATGTCTATTGCTGTGGTGGAGCCCAGTCAAGGGTAAGAATAAGTAATTACTTATGAGACAGCCAGATATTCAGCAAATGTTTTTAGTAAAAGCAGGCTCAATTATAATCCAGAATATGTAAACCAAATCTCAAGTAACCTGTTCTAATAGGAAGCCTATCTAGCTATTTTGTGTTCAGGGGATTGAATTTGGGCAGCTATGAGCGCCGTTACACTGATTACTTGATAAGAACGAAGGTTTGTGTAAGTGAGCGTGTGGACAAGTGATAAAGACGTAGCAATAGTTGTGTACATGGCTAAGCTTTTATTCGTAACTTGAGCGCCACCTTGTCTGAAACCTTGCACCTCCAATCTCTGAACTTCTGAGGCTCTTTATCCAGTGTCCTCTTACCACAGAGACGGCCGCCTAGCCCAATCAGAATAGATAAATGGCGTTACATCGCGGTACTGGGCTTTTAATATATTAACAAGCCCAATATGATATGTACTTGTATGGCCTGTCACTATCTCGACTGCCTACTCAGACAAACTTACAACTAGCTATTTGTTCTTTGGAAACTATCATGTGCTAACGCATGAGAAACTGGTTTGGTATATAGAGCTTAAATAACTGATTAACTAAACTATAAACAGAAGACATAATAGTACGACTGAAATAGAATTTGTAGATAAGATTATTACTTAGCTTCATCACACTAATTACTTAATACCAACTTAATTGCTTGCTAGCATAAACCTAAACCCAGAGGTTTGTCCCCGGCTCATTGACTTATACTATCCCATACAGACCAGTCCGTCACACTCTTAACAATACAGTCTTCCATTCTGATCCTGGACCGTAAAACCAGACACGCCAAACTTATCCGGCTTAGTCCCCGCCTTATCCAAGAAAGTCAACGGGGCCGGCGCTCCAACCTGTGGATTATTCCCAGCCTGCAGCGGCGCAAAGCCTTTGCTCTTTGCCGTATTGTAATCAAGCGTCACGCCAGCCGGCAGATTGGGACTGCTGTACAGAGTGCACGACCTCTTGCCGCCATCCCCAGACATAAAAGTGTGTTTCCACACCCAGTTCGTACAGGTCTTTGGGCTCTCGAGGCATTTGGCGGCGCAGTCGCAGGCAGTCTTGAAGCCGTCCTTGAAGAAGAAGTGAAGCTCTGTGACGACGCCTGTCATGTCAATTCCCTGATAGTAGCGAACGCAGCCGCCATTATTGTTTGGGGCCTGTAGATGCGGGAAACGTTTTTTGGTGATTTTGCTTTTGCAAATGGCCCAATCATCGTAGTTCTTGAAGTTTGGGAAGATGTTGGCGTCATCGTTGTTGCTCTGGGCTAGGGGGTTCGCCAGGGCGGTGGAGGCGAGGATGATGGCGAGGATGGTCGAAGTGAAGCGCATTTTAGCGAGAAGATTGATGTGAGAGACTCAGGCAGATGGGGATTATCAGTGAGGGACTGGTGGTGAGAGACAGCGCATCTCTTGGCATAGTCGACCCTTTATATACATCTCAACTTGACGGATACGTTTCAGTAGTCTGTAATCGCGGCTGTTAGTTGCATTGAGTGTATTGGCCAAGCTGGTTTGCTATAGCTTCAAGTTATCTGTCGGGAAATGCGGAGGCGATGATTTCCAAGTGGCGCGGATAACTTTCAGTCCGAAGCCTACGACGGTGCATGTGGCTTCAACCTGAAGAGAATATAAATAGTTCATGTTAGTATTTCTCAATATGCAGTCATCCGCATACAGGCATTGGCCAGGGTCGTCACCAGGGCTTGGACAGAGCAGTGCTGTGACAGTTCGGTGCGTTGCGTAGCAGTTCAATTAAGCCTTTTACTAAAGCCAGTGGCTGTGGAGTGGCAGATACTCTGTGGAATCAAAGGGTTCCCCTATTGAGGGAGGAAACAGAAAAGGACACTGTACTTTAGTCCAGAATGGCCAATATAACGCGTCTTGATTGTTACTCGCCACAAGAGGCATGTTGTTACAGCAAATTGCAGTTTTACTATAAATCTTGGACTCAAATACTGTGATGAATATAGAGAATAAGAACTCGTTAGGTAACTAACGGGTCCGTTGTATATCGCTACAAATACAAAATATCTAAGAAAATACGGATACTAATTTTGTAACTTATTACGAAGGTAGGTAGCAAGTGGCGTTGTCATAACCAATCACACCGTATCTATGTCGCATTGTTTCGAGTAGCTGACAATGCGCCACTAAGCCACATGCCCAAAGTCCAATGTTACAAGTCATAAGAATATATGGACTAAGATAGCAGAGAACTCAGCATCCTGTCTACTCCCCGTAAATAAACTTGATCGGCAGTTCGCATTGGTGAATTTCAGGTTCAAGCTGCTCCATTATAAATAAGTTCCTAAATGGTAGACGAGCAGCTAAGTGGGTAACTTGAAGTAAACACAGGGTGTTATATGCTTGGATATATAAAAAAGAGAGATATTGCTCTATGCAACTTTAATTTGACTCAATGACAGTTATTACTTTAAAGTTGCCCAAGATAAAACCATCAATATATCTCTGCTGGTGCAGTGGAGTCTAGAGAATGCTTTAAAGGCTAATAACACGGCCAATTATGCAGCAAGAAGTTTTACCGACAGGCACATCCGCATCTCAAGAGCTATAAATCAACCTCATGTTGGATATATATAATGAGTGCCTGGAAGATTGATTGGTGGTATAGCAACGGTGAGACAGATGGTTAACCTTTATCACACAGCGCTGCCGCTTGCAAGTAATTTGAGCCTTATTAATCAACGATTGAAGCGTCTATATCCATGCATGAGAAGACAAAAAAATTGTTAAAATGCAAAGCAGTCAATCCCATCGCTTGAGCCACTTTTCACGACGCCGGGTATCTACAGGGCCCCCTTTTGTTCTCCTTCTATTTCAAATAAGAGAGTTAGAAATGCCGTCACCGTTTGTAGAAACTAGATCCATGTGTTCGAAATGTCCACTGCCTCCTCCTGGCTTTTATGCATGAGGATCCGGTAACCAAAGCACCAGATCTTGATCCGCCGTTGCGAAAAAGTTGAACCGCGGGTTAAAGGCAAGCACAGCCGCCTCTCTCTTATCCGGCAGCGTCCATGTTGGTTCGAGAATTTTGCTCTCCGACGGCTGCTTCAGTGTATCCCATACCAGCACATCTTGCTTCGAGCCACCGCTCAGCACATATCGTCCATCTGGCGCAAAACAGCAATCTCCACTGCTCTCAAACGCACTGGGATCCGTTGAACTCGGGCCAGCGCCATTTGTAGGAAGACTTTCGCCCGCAGCCAGTCGGCGTGTTCCTCCCGCCGGCCGTCGGAGATATGCCTTCAGATTGCCCTGGAAGGCGTCGAGGAGGAAGTGTCCGCGGCCCTTTGTGCCCACAAGAATAGACTTGCCATCATTTGAGAATTCGAGCTTGGTCCACCCCTTGACGAGATGCTGCGAGTCAACGCCGCGGCACTGCTCGACGACATCGATGGTGGTGAATGGTGCCTTGTCATAGTTTCGGATATCGTACAGCAGGACAGAGCCACTGCTAGGACATGCAACGGCAAAGACCGTGCCTGAGGGATCGTATGCAGCGAGGTAGGGCGATTTAAGGAAAAGCTGGCCCTGCCAATTTTTCGTCTGTGTATCCCAAAGGCGGACAGTGTTGTCCTGTGAGCATGATATGAAGTTGTCGGTGCCCGGGTGGACGGCAAGCGCCGTTACTGCAGCATCGTGGCCCTCAAAGTAGCGAATAAAGGAGTTGTCGTGAGTAGCAAGGTATCGGATAGCATCTGCGCATAACGTAAAGGTTTAGCTGCAGCAACAATAAGACAGGGGCACGGTGGCGTGTGTCACTCACGGTTCTGTTTCGTACTCGCATAGATGATACTAGAGCGAGTATGCGTAAACTTGGCCAGCTTGACGCCGTACTTCTTGCTCAGCAAGCTCTTGTCATGCCGACCCTCTCGCACGTTGTATATCTGGATCGTCTCGTCGCTCGCCGACGTCATGAGCAGCTCTCCATCGTCATCGTAGTCAATTGACAGGACTCGAGGCTGGGGCTTTCCATCTTTTATATCTTCGCGCCGTAGCAGCTAAAACATTCCAACTCAATTCCTTCATGTCAGCTTTCTGAAGCTCCATCCGGTATCGGCAGTTTTTCGCGGGACAAGACAAGACGCACCTTTGTCGGGCGAAAGCTGGAGACGACGTCGCTGAGATTGGACACGGGCGCGCTGGCGGCCAGATTCCTCGATATATTGAGCGCCGCAGAGCCATTTGAGCCAGCGGGATGATCGAGATCCATGGGCGTAGAAGCCATGATGGCAGCTGAATCTCTTGTTGTGATGCGATGCGATGCGATCGATGCGTCTTTCGACAGGCCGAGGCCACGGCGGCCTACGCAGCGCTGATGATATTGTTCAAAACTTCGAATAGAGTGACTATCGTGCTACAATATATTTTATAGCGGATATCCAGGCTAATTGAGTGGGTGCTGCGATTGCTGGCGGTGGTGAGAATTGATTGCTTGTGCTTTTGGCAGAGCAACGACGTCACGGTTTGGGTTTTCGCGTAGCGCCAGGACGCCAAAGCACGTGCCCCTCAGCAGGGTCATGGGTTGGCATGAAGTAGATGATAACCGGACTCATAGAAATTGCAATTTGGCAATACAGAGATAATTATATATATTTGTTAATAGTATTTACAATGCATATAATATTGTACTTGACAGCTTTGTTTATTCTTGGCTGTTGTGCGCAAGATAAATGCTGCATCAAGGCCAATATGTTGTAACCCCTCCGTGTAAGTCAACCAACGGACGCACATTCTGACAGTTTGATTCGCCTCCAACTTTGACAGGGTAAGAACAGGGTATATGCGCTTAAATGAATGATATCACCAAAGAAAAGGGGGGGAATTCAAGAAATTAATCAAAATAGAAAAAAAGCTCTTACTCAGTCCTTTGGCTTATCCCAGTCGCCGCCACCGACAATATATCATGCGCACTGCTCTGTGTAAACGCCCTCGACACCATAATTCCTCCAGACTTCAACTCGTCCAACTCCACCGACATAGTCGCTGGTTGTGCGGAAACCTCTACAACAGTCTCGCCCCCCGTTCCCCCGGACAAACCATCGCTATTGTTGAGTTTCGCCCAGTCGTGGTGCTGCAAACTCCCCTTGTATCCTCCGCCTCGCCGTTCAGAACTGGATGCTGTTGCGACGCTCCTGGAATGCGTCACAGACTTAACGGTAGACTGGATTTTATCCTTGATTATGACCAGATGACGATATATCAGAGGAAGGTTTGCGCAGAGAATGGCACCGCAGGGTTCCCAGGCCGAGAGGATACCCAGCGAAGCCTCGTCCCCTTTGTAGAGTAAATGGGTTAGCGTTCAACACCTGGTAGCAAGACGAATAAGTTGACAATAAATATAACAGCAAAAACAGCAACTTACAAGTGAAATCTGTAGAGGCAACTCCAAACACAAACGACAGCCTGGCCGCACTAATCGCACATGTCGCCGCCCCAATCCCAAACATGAAGCACAGAATCACCCTCCTCTCCTTGGCCGCATGGAGCCCTAGAATCACCGGGATCGGCATTGAGAATATCCACAGATCCGTTACCATGTTGGTCACATTGGTAAAATACGTAAAGGCCTCCTTGTTGATGCATTTCCCCCGAGTTTCGCCCCACCACGCCTGGATGGGCTGACATCCAAAGCCCAGCACAACCTCCATAACGATAATCCAGGCGCAAACAAAACAGGCGGTGCTGATTACGAGAGTTCGAAATGTACGAGTGATAAAGATGCGGTAGTAGAGGGTCAAGACGGAGAGTTTGGTGAAGCCGATGGCGATGTCGTAGAAGTGACTGAAGATGTAGTCACCCTAAGAACAATTGTGAGTAATGAATAGATGGCTCTCGCTTACGATAGATGGAGAATGAGAGAATATGAGACTTTATGTACCTTGAGAAACATTTGCACATTGTGTTTGGGAATAGCTTGTATATGGCGCCCCAGTCCATACGGCGGTCCTTTTAAGTAATATCAGCACTGACTTTTTCTGATAGTTCGTATCGTTTTCACACACCATATATCAATCCTAGTGCACATTCAACCATGGCAACGAGCTTCAATCATTCTTCATCAGTATCCGTCTCGCCTCAAAACATTAAATATGAGAACCTCTTCTTTGCTTCGACATCAGCATCACGACCCTTGGAAACATACCGTCGCCCACAGCATAAGATAGTCTTCAAAGCCAAGCCGCCCCTGAGATGAAGACACTGCCCACACTCTCCATCCTGTGCTTAATGCCTCGAGTCCAATAGGAATCGAGTAGAAGGCTGTGACCAGCCCCGTCTTGGACTGGGCCAAATATTCCGGGCTGAAGGAGGTTGAATCTGTCGCCATCTCGGGTATGGAATTATGATGAATCGCAATCGCAATTGAATCTTTTTCCTCGACATGCGATGTGCTGATTCTTATCCAATGAGAGAGGGGTTGAGGGGGATAGACACGGAAAACAGCACAGTCAGACGTTGTGCTGAGTGGCTTCGGTTATTATCGTATCGGTTTGTATCGTCTCAGCAAGCCGTTCCAGACGCCGTGATGGATGCTCTACCCTCAAGCGAAATCGCAACCGGCAATCAAAGCATCAACAGCTCGTGATACCAGCGACAGCCCTCTGGCCGGAGCCGTGCCATGTGCCACTGATACTTGGACCATGCACATCAAACGCACAAGCAGCACATGGATATATTATATGTATAAAAAATAGAGTGACAGCAGCCAGATATGTGGAACCGAGCAATAGTCGCGACAGGGAAAACAGAAAAGATATAACAGATAAAAAAAAAAGGAACTGCCCCGGATCATGCGCAGTTCCATGGGCTGCAGCGAACCGCTCAAAAGAAAATTTACCCCATCAATCAATCTGGCTGGGCATGGATCTCGCCCGCCCTGCTTACCACACAGTCGATATCACACCCATTATGGCCCAATAATACGACTCTGATACCGCAAGCTATTTTCCCCATGGTAGCCACACACACCACTCGTTTCCCATCGAATAGTCTCGCCCATATGCAGAACAAGCACTAACAGCGCCTGTACAACCAACGATGTCAACCGCTTCGAGAGCTACCCACGGAGGATCATCCTCGCTTCTCCAGGGCGGTCCAAACCATCCACTGAGCGCCGCGAATTTCAGACAAGCCGTCCAGCGGCTGCCAACCACATACCAGCGCTGGAAGACATGGAAAAGCCTTGGCAAAGCGCTGCAGGTCGTGCAGAGTGTGGAGAAGAAGATTGCCAGCTTGACAGGACCGACTCGTACCAGGAAAAGACTTACATCTGAAACTATTCGAGGAACACACTTGGTGATGAAATGAGAACCAAAAAAAAAAAAAAAAATAGGAAAATTATTCTACTTTCGTAAAAAAAAAGATAGTATCCTATACTATCTCTCTCAACCCATGCGAAATAAAAAGAGCAAAGCTGAGAACTAAGCCATGTGTGATAGAAGCCTGGCACTGAGGAAGCAAGCAAGGATTCGAGATTCGTGAACCATGGCTTGTCTCGAGCCTGCGCGCTATACCAGGTGCAGAAATCATGGCTGTCATCAGGAAGCGTTAGCGGTATGAAATTGCAGAGTAGGATCCTTCTATCCCCAGACAGTCGTGTTGTCTGTGCTTGTGTATGCTCTGCAGAGAGTCATGTTCATACATTCATACAAGTATGTAATACCTATGCACAAGCATCCATCGCCTCAGTTACACCCAACAGAAATCCCTTTCCCCAAAAATGAAAAAGGGTAACTAAATCGAGAAGTTTATTTCATTTGCTAAATGCTACATCAAATATTGTCAATCTTTAACAGTTTCGCTACGCCTCCCTTTTCTCTAATCCCACTTCATCATCTCCCTCCACATCCCGATCATGCACTGCGCACAATTCTCACCTACGCCAGGGCCAAGTCCTATGCTCATGCAAGCATCTCCATCCTCATGGCCTATCAAACGGCAATAATGGCTGAAAACGTGCAAATCGAGGCTGGACATCCCGCAGCATGGGGAGCTGACTAGGGTTATTCTTGGCAGGTAGTCTACAGTGGAAGAACAAGAATACCACACGCCACGTTGGGATATCATCAAAAGTGCAAAGTACTGTAAGAGCTTGCGTATCACTATTAGTACCACGGGGACAGAAAAACAGGGAATGCGAGGATTTGGGACACACGCGCCAATATTATGCACATCAATCATCAAGCGTCAATTCGTGTAGCAGGTGTTCATGTTATAGTTTTGTATGTACGCACCTATTCATTCTGCGCTCCCTGTTTTTCTGTCCGTCGCTTGAGTACACACCTACCGCTGCTAAAAAGTGCCGCTGAAGGAACAGGGGACTGACTGGGGGGCTGGCCTGGGCACTTATGCATGTAAGACAAGATGGCATGAGGCAGTAATAACTGTCTCCTCCCGCCTTCACTTGAGTGGCCGCCGCATCCCAAAGATGTGCCGCCCATTAATCACCCATCACGGGAATGGAAAAAAGAAGGAAGGAAAGAAAAGACTTTGTTACGCCTCGGTGGGCATATACGAGACATGGTCCATTGACTTTTGGCGTTTTGCCTCGTTGCCACGTTGGACTGTCTGTTTCGTAGGATGACCTGAATCATCTTTATTTACTGCATGTTTGTTCAGGTGCAATCACACACCGAAGTTGTCTGCCAGGTTTTTCTTCTGTTTCGGGCTGAAAGCCTCCGAGTGGTGGAAGAGACATTTACAAAACTAGCACCTTCATGAACCCTGCTGCCGGCCATTTCGAGAATTACCGTCATCGCGGGCTCCAACAAGCTTCTCTATTGCCGGACTCTTATACTACTATTCAGCTGCCGTAAATTGCAATCCTTGCAGCCAGCTAGCAAGGATGTATAGAACGCCATAAGCGCAAGGGAACGGGCCGCTCGCTCTTAATCTTTCGGCCGTAACTCGCCATCGGCCGTGTCTCATGATACAAATGCTGCTACCTAGAAACAGCAAGTCATTTGCCATACAAACACACAAGACAAAGTCCCCATCACGCGCAGCCTCCTACGGGCAGCCCAGCCACTGTGAAATACGAGCCGATGGTCCTATTTCCTCTTGCCCACGAGATATGTACTATGTGTATCTTGCATCAAAGTCATGCTTCTTCACCAGACCCAAGTCACCTGAATCATAAAGCTGGCGGAAAATCACCAGCCACCCCAGTCTTCGCCAAAGCTGACACTGCCGTAAACTCCGATGCCTCAAATGACAAGCTGCTCCATCTGTCTGTCCCTGCAGATACAGTAGTCGAGAGATCACAGGTTGTTCTTTTCCAAAATGGAAAATGAAATTCAATCATACCGGCACCTCGTCATTTTCCTGACCCACCAACATCCTCATCTGCCTCGAAGCTTTGGAAATTATTTCACCATGAAGCACATGTCAGCAACACTAACAATATGCATCCCACATTATGGCGTGTATATTAATTCATAACAGTTGCCAGCGCCCAGCATTCAGCTCTCCCGGTCGCAGCTGAGGCGACCGGCATACACAGATTAATTATTTGTACTACCTACTATATTTGCGCTGCCAGGGCCTTTTTGTTTGACCCTCTTCCCCGGACCGCTTCGGCGAAGCCGCATCTTCGTCTCCCTGATTTGCGCATCTCAGCAACGAACCTCAAATGCCATCCATGTCCGCCATACACGTATTCAGCTGTCTTTGCCCAATTTGTCTGCTGTTTCCGCCCTTTCCTCGGGTCCAATTTTTCATACACACAATATTAAAAGAGGACTTGAGAAATGCTAGAGTGCAGGATTGATCACGGATCGCCTAGTGCTCCCGATCCCGGATGCGTCGTCCATCTCGTTTCTCGAAACGCTTGAGGATAACTTGTATCCACCATGATCGATTCTCTTTGTGTTCTCTAACCAACAGTCAGCCACTTTCCAGAGACTTGTTCCAGTGTCTTAAAAATTGCTCTCTTTCTCTCTTGATGCTATTAATTAGTCTTTTTTTTTTTTTTTTTAATTCTTGCTTTCCTTTACAGTATATAAACTATACGCAATAGAAAAGAAAGGTTTCAAGACTTGGGCGTAGAATCTCGCCACGATGAGGCGCGTTGCCAGCTCCTTCGTTCTCGCCCTGGCCATCGTCACAGACCACGCATCGGCCGCTCTTCCTTCAGGATCTACTCCATCCGCTACACGACCCGCCCCTCAAGTCGATCTGGGGTACGCCGTTTATGAAGGCGTTTACAACGAAACCTACAATTTGAACACCTGGAAAAGGTAAAAGTGCCAGTCTCAAGAGGGGTGAGACAGACCTCAGCAGCTTACTTACATGCTTCTGACGTAGCATCCGATATGCCGCTCCTCCAATCGGCAATCTACGATGGCAGGCTCCTCAACCACCACTCAATGCGACCACGCGAAATCGCATCGTTCCCGCGGTAGATCAACCTCCATGGTGTCCCCAGTCCGGCGCCTATGGCGTGCCCTCAGTATACGGCTTCAACTCCAACCTCGGTAATGAAGATTGCCTGTATCTTAATGTTTATGCGCCGCCTGCAGCTGAGAAGTTGCCCGTCCTTGTCTGGATCCGTAAGTTGTGAAACAAGGCTACATGCATATTCGAAGTTGTCCCAGCCAAAAAGCTAACCAATATGACAAGATGGCGGTGGCTATTCGGTCTTCTCTGCCACTTACAACCCCAGCTCCATGATAGATGACAACAGCAATGGCTTCATCACTGTTGAAATTCAGTACCGCCTTGGCGCCTTTGGCCAACTCGCCTCTGCTGACGTCCGGCGACACGGGAAGCTCAATGTTGGTTTATTAGACCAACGCTTCGCACTTGAGTGGGTGCAGAAATACATTTCCAAGTTTGGTGGTGATCCAACCCGTGTTACACTGGGCGGCGAATCATCTGGCGCAGGATCCGTCATGTATCAGTCTCTGGCATATGGGGGCGAAGATTTGGGACTTTTCACCAACGTGCGTAATTCAGGTCTCTTCTTCTCGTTGATGTTTATTGACCGTAATCAGATCATCTTGGCGAGCACATATGTCCCTCCCATTTACCAATTCAACGATTCCGTTCCCACCAGTAATTTCAACGACTTTGCTTCAGCCGCTGGATGTGGGGAGACTTCCCTTACAAAAAAGCATCATTCAAGTGTATTCGACTGCCTTGTTGCTGCCGACACAAAAGTCTTGCAAAATGCCAGTGGCCTTGTGTCAACTACAAACGGCTACTTTGGAAGCTTCTCCTGGCTACCTGTCATTGACCACGATATGATCCGATATCGACCTTCAGAACAGCTTCAACTTGGCCGGATCAGTGGCAAGCGCATCTTGATCGGAGTATATACATCCCCTCTAACAGTAATCCTAATAAGCCATGACTCTCCATGCTGATAATCAGCTTTTCAACAGACCAATGCAAACGAAGGTGTTCCACTTACAAACCCCAACGTCACCACCAAATCAGAATTCGACGCCTTTATATCTTCCACTCTCCCACATCTCACCACCTCTGACATTTTTACTCTAAATCAGCTTTACGACACAGCCACCGCCCAGGCTGGCAACAACGGAACACGCTTCGACACGACGGGCGATGGTGGTCCCACGGCAAACACCGTCTCTGGTATGGCGACGGGCATCCAGCAAACAGCCTTCAACGTTGCCGCTGAATCCATCTTCCAATGCCCCTCGCAGTGGATAGCCGAAGCTTTCAGCTCAGGACGACAGGCGTGGAAGTATCAGTACTCACTCGACCCGGCATACCACGGGGCAGATCTCGGCGCCTACTTTGTCAGCACCAGTGGCCTGCCGAATCCCGGCTTTCAGCGAAGTTTCCACAGGATATGGGGCAACTTCATCATCAACGACACCCCAGTCATATGCGTAAAGGATGCAACTGGTGGAATGGCGAACGCCACGGTTCCTATCGACACCACCCATCCGGACCAGATATCCTGGCCGCAGTACAGCGCGCAAGACGCAACATTCATGAACTTCAACACCACAGGCGGAGAGGTGTCTCTGGTCACAGTTACAGAGGAGCTGAGTTACTATGTACGCACGGGAGCGGGCATCGTCAACACTTTTCGCCTTGCTAATGCTACGACTTGGGAAGGCGGGCGCGGCGATAGATGCAGATTTTGGCAGTCTATTGCACCTAGAGTGCCCAACTAAAGATGCCTCTAACCCAAAACAAAAAATTTATCAATCATTCTAGAATCTAGATCCTCTTATTCTAAGAGGGGGAGGGGGGGGGGGGGGGGGGGTGGTGTAGTAAAGGGCCACCAACAGTTTTGTCTGTATATATTACCAAGGTCTAGGGCTAGCTATGAGCCCATGTACAAATAAATTATGGTAATAAAATGAACTATTTCTAATTTTTATCCACCTATGTGCTGCCAGATATATACATGTTACATTAAAATGCTCCCGAGCATTTTTTTAAGAAAATTCATACACAGGCATAAACATGTGTATCATGCTCCAGCCAACCTTTCTTGCCGTATTCTTTTCCAAACCCCATCAAAGTAAAACACAATAAAGAAGTAGTACCACTTTTGGTCAGCGTGTGCGTGAACAAGCACATTCTCGTAGGCCCATGTCGGATATACAGCGTCCGAGACCTGGGAGTCACGAGCCACATCAAAGGTTTGAGCGTCGCAAACAGCCAGAGGCCAGTCGAATAGAGGCCCCTTAAGAGGCTTCCAGATACTTGAGAACGGCCTTCAGATGTTGTAAATTACCGAAACACGGGCTGAGTTGACTCACTTGATGATTTGCCAGCGATGCTGGAGAACTTCTTGTGCACGCTCTCCGGAAAGAGTTTGTAACATTCGCCTGCCTTCCTCGTGAGAGAAATCTGGCCACCCCGTCAATACTAGTGTGGCGTTCAAGGAAGGTCTGTGAAAAAACAAACCAATATGGACGAGCCTAGCTGGCTGTTGATCAACATATTCTGATCCAGTCGAAACTGGGAAAGTGGGATGCCGTCGCCGAACCTAGAATAAGTGTTGATATATCATCGCTTTCAACCGCTGTTGGCTTACCATACTGCATAGTCAATCACTTTAACATGAGGCGCTTGCAATAAAGCGCGAATATGGTTCTCTAATTCTGGCACATAAATGCTAGAAATCCTCTCGCCATCAGCGTAATCCTGGTAAGCCATCTCAGTGGGGAACGAAGCCAGTGTGAAGCCATTCTCTTCGATGGTGGGGTTCAGTGGCCTCGCATCGTGGACAGTTACGTCTACCATTTCCACCGTCAAATTATGACGCGGAGTGCCATCGTGTGGAGTGTATCGACAACTATAAGGCCTCACGGTCTCATACAGCTTGTCTCTCTTGAGGAAGCCAAGCTGGCTTTTAACATTTCTCGACATGGTGATGCTCAAAACGAAGAAAGGACATTGAAGGTAAGAAAGAAAAGATGCCTAGCTGGTCGACGACGCAAGAAATTAAAATTAAACACGTGCAGTGAAGTACTTTTACATGCACCTTCTATACATATGCAATCTTCGACCATCACATAACTCCATACATCTAAGCCTACCTAATAAGCATATCTATAGCAGTACCTCGATTTAGGCGCACATCACAGCATATGCGATTTGGCTTGAAAAACGTCGCCTACGATAGGAGGGTATTCCTCAAGATCCGCGTAGAATACAAATGCCCTGCAGTCAAGACTCTCCCTCAAGTTGCCTTTTCTAGCGTGCGGGTTGTGAAAACCAGAATGCGGACATCCTAGTTTCAGATATTAGCATTTCATGTAGCTTCAGTTCTTGTATCAGTCAAACATACCTGGCACTGCAGTCTCGTCGCTATCTGCACTCTTAAACATCAAAGCTTCCCAAGTATTCTGTTCTGGCACATAATACCATTGAAAATTCGGAGATGGGAAGATTTGCAGATTCTCCGTCACAAAGTCATCAAATACTATGTCTCCGGCAATGGTGTCCTTTGCAAAATCTACTGACCTCGAATCGCAAAGCCCTAGCGGCCAGTCATCGAGGGGGCCTTTTATCGGCTTCCATACGCTGCAATAGTCAAGTCAGACAATTTCCGCTTCCAATGCCTACATGACACTTACTTGATGGCTTGCCAGCGGCTTTTGAGAACTTCTTCGGCTCGATCTCCAAAAAGAACTCGTACGATGCGTTCGCCCTCTTTGGCAGTGAAGTCTAGGGCCCTGTCAGTCCCTTTCACCTCAAGACGGCAAAACAGTTGTCTCTCTGCCACGTAATTCTTACCAATGTGAGCCAACGCTGTCGGCTGATCGTACTGATACTCCTTGCCTGTTGAAACCGGAAAGCTTTCATGACGCTTTCTAACCTGCGAATATCAGCAAGACGAATCCAAAGCAACTCGTTGCCCCCTCATGCTTACAGCATAATCCAAAACATGCACATATTTTGCCCCCGTTTCAAGCTTCAAAGCTTGCTTCACTTCCGGGATATATACGCTTTGCACTCTCTCATTGTCCCAAAATTCATCATAGGTTAATTTGGAATGAATATTGATAATCTGAAAGCCACATTGCTCTATGCGAAATGGCCCTGCCCCTGGCTCCCGGATGCTCCTTACCGATATAGGATGCTTCACCTTGACATAATTACTCTGGGGAATGTCCTCTTCAGGCAGGTATCTCATACTGTACGGCTTTTCGGTGTCATATAACGGCACCCGATCAAGGTAATACATTGATGACTCAATTGTTGGTCCATGGTCCCCACCGCATTCGCTCTTAATATCTTGTTCTCCTTCCATTGTCGGGGCAGGATCTGTAGTCAAGAGAATATACTGATTGGGGCGAATCCTTTGTATAATGTCTCGATGATATTAGTGACAACACCATAGAAGATAAGTGCTAGCTGCTATTTTTGAAAGGCTTCCGACGTATTGAGAGCCATTTCAACATGTATTTGATTTTTTTAATCAGAATTAGCTACAGATCAGTTATAGCCAATGGCGTGATCTTTTCGATACCTGACATGTATTGCCAGCACATGCCGCATATTTGCTCGTATATGCAAGCAGGAAAGGTCGTGATACCGAAAATCAGCCTCATTGGTAGCCTGATTTACATATATTGAGTATCATGCCGCTCCATATGCTCGAATTTCCGGATCCAGTCCCAATCCCCGTCTCTAGTCCAGCCTGTGTAACCACATCCCCCTCACATAACAGAGTATATGTTGCAATCAGAATGGTATAGCCACATATATGAATACGGAGCCGAGTTGTATTTTTAATAACATTTGTTGTAAAATGCACGTTATCATTTGCGCAATTATTAACACAAGCGAACCTGCATAAATCATTATAATTATTTATGGGCTTGTTGCCCGGACTGCGAGCTGAATGCGTTTGCACCGTTATAGCAGTAAAAGTAGCTGTTTTGTAAAATGCGGGGCTACTTTCACTTTAAGTAAAAACAAAAAGAGGGAGAAGAATGAAGATGCTTGTTCCTGTCTTAAACCGACCTCTAGCCATTAAGAGAATGAGGTCAAAAGGCTTGATTCAAAAGGCTTGATTCATGTAGTTTTATAGCACTTTCTCGTGATGCTGTCCTAATAGCCAGCTATAGCAGAATCTACCTTGCAATATGTAAGAACTGGTTATAAACGATAAGAACTTTAATATTGGATTAAAGCTATAGCATACAAGAACTAAGCTTTGTTTAATCTTGTTTTAAGAGAAGAATCCATCTTCCTTTTATAGTACAAGGCATTTCTAAGCTTATTGTTCTGATAACATTTTCTTTGTCCTTCATCTACCTGCCTAGACACCTATTTTGGGTATGAGATAAGGTACCTCTACCTATGAACACCGGAAGTACCAGGAAATGTCACCGCAGCACGGTCGCCTTGGTGAACCTGATTCATTCTCACTTCTTTCAGCAACAGGCGCTCGCAATCCAAACTGCCTCCTACCAGTCAGTCCGCCCTCCTCCCAAGCAGCCCAGCTGTCAATCTGCTTTGAAACGTCCTCCGCCCACGAGGCTGAGATGCCTTCCCTGGCCTCGGCAGCTGCGGCTCGCGTCCTCGTCCAGCGACGACGCAGCTTCTGCCAGAAAGATGCCGCGGCCAGCGCCGAGCGCCGTGCAGATCGAGTCCAACATGGGCCCTGAAGGCTACATATTTGCGGTGTCCGAGAACCGATACATCGCCCCATCGTCGAAACGGGTAAGAACTTTGCAAGCTGCCGTCTTTAGCGTCGCGGGTTGATCTAATAGGTCGTCTTTCAGGACTCGGCGCTACCGAAATCGAGCGCGGTGGAGTTAAAGTTAGCAACTGTGTTTGACATCCCGCCAGACGGCCCCGCCAGCATCACCGACGAGTGGATACGCAAATGTCTCGACGAGTACAAGCACGACGATGTATTCAGCGAAGAGTTCCTCGTCTGCGTGGTATTCAATGCATCGCGCAAGCCCAGCGTATCGAGTGAAGCGATCGATCTCCTGAAAGAACATGGCATGAAGGAATACGTCGTCACCTCCTCAACCGACTACTTGCCCGGCCCGCATGTCATTGTGGACCAGCAGCTTAGAGAGGTGTGGAAGCTAGTGGACGATTCAAACGGCACCTGCATGGTCACCTTGAAACCACAAAGAGAGTAATGGATAATAGACGTCATCTTCCGCATCAGATAATCACAAACTAACAGTCTTTTCTTAGCCCATTGAGTGCACCTGAGCCATTTCTCATCGGCAGCCGAAACGGCCAGGCTCTCAGCTTTGCCATACCATCACGTATCAAGAACTATGCCCATCCTTCTCCGCTTGCAGGGCTGCGCGTCCTTGTTAAAGATAATATTGACTTGAACGGAATCAAGTCGTCTGTTGGCAACTATGCTTTCTACAAGACTTTTCCTCCAAAAGCAAAAAGCGCCCATTGTGTTCAGAAGCTAGTTGACAACGGCGCCGTCATCATTGGCAAAACGAAACTGACGTCTTTTGGAAATTGGGAGGAGCTTATGGAATACACCGACTACCAGGCTCCGTGGAATCCTAGGGCAGATGGATATCACTCACCCGGAGGGAGCAGTTCGGGTAGTGCTTCGGCCATTGTGGCCAATGACTGCCTCGATATTACTATTGGTACTGACAGTATGTTGTCCTGGAAAAACGTTTGGCAACTGAGATGGCAATAATCTGACAGACTCATTGATAGCTTGGGGTAGCGTCACCCGCCCTGCCCACTGGTGTGGATGTTTTGGCCTTCGCCCTAGCATTGGAGCCATCTCTGCAGAGGGAATTGAGCCATATGTGCAGTAAGCAAACGCCTCCTAAACAGCCTACACCAGACTAACCACTCCAGATCGTGGGATGTTCCCGGAATTCTCGCCAGAGATCTCGGCAAATGTAGAAATTTTGCGGCCGAATGGCTGACATTCGATCAGTTTGAGAAGACGCCAAAAGTATGTTGCCAGTGAACACGACCGTCACCACTAAGCTAACACGCACGCAGCAATTTTCTTCAATCATCTGGCCAACCGATTTTTGGAAAGTCATTGATCCCGACCAAGCTAGCAAAGCAAGATTATTCGCCCAGTCGGCGGCCGCGAAGCTAAATGTCAAGCTTGTAGACATGTCATTTGAAGAATGCTGGAATGCGTCGCCACCAACTGAGGATGCAACTTCGCTACCTACATTCATTAATCCTGTATGTCATTGTTACTCATACTTGTGCATACGTGTCCAAGGTCTAATATATACGAACAGGCTACCGAAGTCTTGGCGTATGATGTATACCATAACAGCGAGAATTTTCGCCTTCGGCATAGGGATTTGTTTGGGCGAGCGCCGTATAAAACGCTTCAAAATGAGCGAATCTGGTAAGACTTTGCAATATTCAACTGCAAAAACGCCACCTCTCTTCCTTTCTTTATTCTTTCTTCTTTCTTATGTAGATCTGATACTTATCTAGGTCTGCTGGAAAAAAAATTACTCGAGAGAAAAGAGACGAGGGATTCTAGCGAATAAACACGTACAGCAAGTGGTTCCAACAAACAGTACGGACCAAGGATAACACAGATGCGATTGTAATGCTGCCAATTGAGACAGCGGGACCCAGATACAGGGATGAATTCCCCGAGTGAGAAGAGTCCCATCCATCCAAGCTATTTCAGGGGAGTAAGCAGTCTGACTAGGCTCTAGGTTCCAGAGGCCGCCGCAAAGAGGCGTTAATGCTCTAGCTATTGGCCCCGTCACCAAATCACCAATCCTTGCCATCCCAAGTAAGATAGATACAAAGTCATGACAGAATGGAGTAGATATTGATGATGGGTAGTTGCCGAGATTCCGTATCATTCGAGAGTTAGCGGCCGGGAGGAGAAGTTGCCATTCGCAGTAGCACTTATGGGGACGCCAGGTATGATCATGGAGCCATGGTGTTGTGCCGACTTACCAACTCACTTACTTACCTCTTGTAGGCTCTGATTTGCAGTTGATTGATACTGCAATCCAAATCCTGTCGCACTTGAATCTTCCGACAGTTGCTCAAACCGGAAGATCCATGTATAACAAGCCCGACCAGTAATGCCGTGCATCATCCGACGAAACATGATATCTGCAAGGTTTGCCGAGGATCAAATTGAGTATCCAGAGAATAGTCGGTTAAACATATCGAAATACCAAAAAATTTCAAATCGCAGCAACGCGGGTCTTTTATCTCTACCATCACACCAATTACATGTGCTTGGAGTGCCCTGTATTGGCGAGCTCCATCCAATGCGGCGGAACACGCGCTAAGGAGCTGACATCCAGGCACATACATCTGCACCTCAAAATCGCCGATGGGGGCTCTCTCGGCGGACTCTCGTAATTCACAACAAGCCAATCGCCCACATCGCAAGCAGCTTCACGCTCCCAGTCTTTGGCCAATCCAAGCGTGCTCATTGTCTCTCCCTCAAGTGTGTACTTTTGCCGACTAGCCGCAGATTGCTCCCTCGCTAGCCGTGCGGCTTTCGTCGGCGCAGCTGTCTTTAGATCCAACCATGCGTAGAACTGCTCCCAGAGCCATCAAACAACAACAAATACACCAACTTGCAAGTGCTAGCATAACTCAGCAAACAAACCTTATCAACAGTCAAAGCCAATCAATCAACCGGCCCCCACGATCCCTTTTCTTCCTCAGGCGATCAACAACCCAGGGCTGAATAATGGCGGGAAAATACAGCGGTGGGAAGGGCCGATGCGTGGCTGGCCGATTCGGCTTCCGCCATCCATCATGGGTCAGGGATCCGTCATGGTTAGTGTGCATGCATGCCTACATCCGGTTCGGGATGATTGGATAATCTCTCAGACGCCGAAGAGGACAAGCTTCAATCTTCACTCAATCTCCCTTTGGCTTTGGACCCCATGGAGACTCCGCAGATTAGATTCGAGCCAGCCAGTCCTCGTAATCGCCCGGCGCCGGTCAGACCGAGAGCGTGGCTTGAAACTGTGGTGGCTGCGAGGAGAGCTGCACAGTAATAAATGGCAAGCGTTGCTATAACATCGCGACAAGATAGTATTATCAATCGTATCGGCAGTTGATACATTCTGCAAGGGGCGAAAAAAAAAAAAAAAAGGCCAGCCGACGCATCGCATCGCATCCTCTCCTATCTCACTCAAACCCATATCTAATACGTACTTGTAACAAAAAGAGAGTTGATGCCTTGCCGTCTTGTCGCAGGCACAGATGACGTCCCGTAATCCGAATCCTCCTTCGCGTTATTAAGCCGTCAGCTTACTTTTTTTTTTATCGTGTCGATTGGTCCCTGACCGGACGTTACGTTAGATTCGCTCCCAGTTAGCCAACGCTGGCGCCAAACTTAATAACGTAGACTTCCGAATCTCCGTTGTTCGGCCTTGGTGGCTCTCTTTGGGAGGGACCCTTTTTTTTTTTTTTCTTTCCCAGACCCTTTTTCCTCTGGCGCGCATAAGCTCAGCCCAGCCGTGGAGAGAGAGAGAGAGCCTCTGCAGCGCGGAATATAAGATGCTCTAGTCTTCCTAGGACATATTTGTTTGGCGTATTTTTGCGTGTCCACCTGCTGCTAGTCGTTGGGGCTTCCCCATTTACTATCCATAAACTTGTTGCCATTGCTAGCCGACTGTGGCGCCGTCATCGGGTCTTTGCTGTCCTTCGTTTTTGCCAGAATTGAAATCGCAAATCGTCGTTCGACCTTCTCTTCATCCCGCATCCCGTTTTCTGACAACACCGAAAGAAAAGAAAAAAACGAAGCCTTTCGCCAGTTCGTCTTGCTATTGTCCAACAGCTGCGCGGGAGGCGAAGAGGTCATGTCCACCACCGTAGGGTAAGTTGCGCAAGACCTGCGCCGGTTTTCGGGTTGCGCCGGACTCTGGGGTTGGCGAGGGCCGTGCAATTCATTCATTCATTTTCAAATCCTTGGCTAACACGACTTTTCGATGCCAACAGTGGTTTCGCCGCAGGCGCTCTGGCGGCTTGCGGAGCCGTCACAGTCACTCACCCGGCCGAAGTGCTCAAGATCCGACAGCAGCTGCAGGGCGAGCTGCAGCTCAAAGGCGCGCAGCCGCAGTACTATCGCGGTCCGATCCACGGCATCAGCGTCATCGTCAAGAATGAGGGCATCAAGGGCATATACCGCGGTCTGGGCGCCGCCTACATCTACCAGGTGCTGCTCAACGGTTGCCGTCTCGGCTTCTACGAGCCCTTGAGAAAGTCGCTCGCCACGCTGTTCCTCAAGAACGAGAACGCGCAAAACATGGCCATCAACGTCTTTGCTGGCGCCTCCTCCGGAATCCTCGGTGCGGCTGCTGGCAGTCCCTTTTTCCTTGTCAAGACCCGTCTGCAGAGCTTCTCGCCCGTACGACCCGTCGGCACTCAGCACAACTACCGGAATGCCTGGGATGGACTGAAACAGATCTATCGCGGCGAGGGCTTCTTTGGCCTATACCGCGGCATCACTGCCGCCATGGTTCGAACTGGCTTCGGCTCCTCGGTACAGCTGCCCACATATTTCCTGGCCAAGAGGCAACTGGTCAAGCATGTCGGAATGGAGGAGGGCCCTGCTCTGCATCTTGCCAGCAGCAGCGTCAGCGGCTTCGTTGTTTGCTGCGTCATGCACCCCCCTGGTTAGTAGTCTTCCATTCAAACCATTTGCAAAGTCTTCCAAAGCTAACACGGCCGACTTAAGACACCATCATGTCTCGTCTGTACAACCAGCACGGTAACCTCTACAGCGGCATCTTCGACTGCCTCGGAAAGACGATTCGAACAGAAGGAATCTTCGCCATCTACAAGGGCTTCATCCCTCACCTAGCCCGAATCCTCCCCCACACCATCTTGACTCTCTCCTTGGCCGAACAGACTGCCAAGCTAGTCAGAAAGGTTGAACACCGCGTTCTGCCCATGCTAGGGTATGAGGAAGAGCGCCTCTAAAACTAAAACTCGAGAGAGCTTGCGTTACAAAAATTCCGGGGTTGAATACCCACTTTGTCGACCCTGTCATTTAAAACAGGCTTGATTTCATCGCGTACATTATCAGTATATGTTGTTACGTCTTTAGGACTGCGGTCTCTGGTTAATAGATCACGGGTATATTTCCGGGCATGTCCCAAATTTGGAAGAGGAGGGGGCACAAGGCATGGAGAATAGGGGAAAAGCTCATGGCGGCATGATTTTTGCACTGGAGTTGGTAGTCTTCATGAATAGATCTGAGCGCACTGGCGCTGCTGTATAATGGAATATTCACTTTATGCTTTTATCTTATTCCAAACTTTTTTTTTTTTGGGTTCAGTTTGTTTTTTTTTTTTTTTTTTTTTTTTTTTTTTTTTTTTTTTTTTTTTTTTTTTTNGCTGCTGTATAATGGAATATTCACTTTATGCTTTTTTTTTTTTTTTAACTTTTTTTTTTTTGGGTTCAGTTTTTTTTTTTTTTTTTTTTTTTTTTTTTTTTTTTTTTTTTTTTTTGTTTTCTTCTCTTCTTTCGCTATCCCCCCATAGAACGCTTGCATCCATAACACAGCTTCCCCTTGCTCTGTGTCAGGGAGCTATCTGCAGGGTCGTCTCCCAGCTCGCCAGCCCAGGTTGAATCGCCTTCCTCGTCCAGGGTTATGCCGCATAAACGGCAATACTGCGATGTTTCAAGCCTGTCCAGTTTGCCCGCAGTGCGAACAACATTGGTCACTATACCCGAGTAGGGACCCTCCACGCCGTCAAAATATCGGGCCATGACTTCTTCGATACTTTGATCCTTGTGAGAAACGACGCTTGACGATGCCTTGTCAGGAGAGGGAATAAGATCTTGGACAGAGGGCATGGTGCTAAGGTATGTGACGATTTCGTTTTTTAGAATCTCTCGTAAGGGGTAATATATGGGGAACTGAATCTTGGATTCTTCTTGACTTGATTCACCGGCGCTGGCCGGATCTGCGGTCCGGCGGTAGGTGCAGACTGCAAACAGTCCGTCGCTAATCTGCCAAGGAACCGCAAAGCCTCTGCCGTTAGCAACCTCAGACAGCGTCAGGCTAGCCAATGCAGTGGTGCTATGGCCAAATAGCAGGGCAGAGTACGACCTTTCCAGGGCCACGTGAAGGAGAAGATGGCGAATGAACAGCCTTAGACTGTCAGCACGTGAAGTCACCGAAGGGAGCGACGAAAAGAATTGCCGTAGCCGCTCAACATCGCTTCCGTCTCCAGGAATCGGTATCGTAGTCCAGTCAATTGTGTTGACGCTGAGAACTTTGCTTAAATGAACACACTCCAGTGAGACGTTGGGGAACTTCTCGCGGTATCTCGCAAGAAGCTTCTGGGCAGGGGTATCATGCGCATCGGCGGGGTGAGAGAGGTCTGTGTCAATGTGAACCACGAGGGGCTCAAAGGGCGATGATCCCTTCCTTGACGCCTGGTATTGCGCAGTCTTGTCAAGGATCTGAGTGAGTGCAGTCGAGGAGGGTCCAAAGGAAAGGCCAGCAACGTATCTCCTAGGCTCAGGCTTCGGAGACGCCCTGGTCTCTCGCTGCAGTACAGTGAACCGCTTGATGACCTTGGAGTCAACATATTCTCTGAAGCAGTTCCTAAATGGCGTTGAAAGTCAGCGTCAAAGGACTTGTATCACCGAATTACACAGAGTATATGTATATGTATGCTTGGCATCAAGGGGACTGGTATATTGTGAGACGTGTATATCCCCCAAAGCAGTGGTTTGACTCACTCGCAAGTCGCAACGTTTCGCAGCTCAAACTTTGCATCTGGCGCTTTGCAGCGCGAGCATGATGCCGCCATGGCAGACTCTCTCTTCTCTTGATATGGTGGATATGAACGACTGCCTTCTTGGTGTGGCTGAGGCTGCTCGCACGTCACTGGCTCCGTGCCGGCCGCGGCTTGTCAATATCTCAGCAGCTGGTTCTGTAGTTGTCGTTGGGTGATTTGGCATTAGGCAAATACCATACCAGGGCATGTATTCGCCAGATTTCCGCGCGTGTGGACAGCGAAACTGGTGGCGAGAATTTTTCTGCGGCTGCGGCTGGCTGGTCGCAAGTCGCTACTCAGGTAAGCAAGAATAGGCGACAGGTGCGACTAGGCGTCCGCTCCTGCTCCATGACCTGGACTTGTCGACTTGTTCCCCGTTTGTCCATCTTCGTTTCTCTTCGCATCTTAAAAAATCAATCTTGCCAACGAGAAGATATTTCATCTGATTCATCTATTTTCTTGCTGTTTCTATTCCGCCCCGGCTGCAGCGCTCAACGTCGCCCGAAAAATGGCTTTGCCAGGAAGCACCACTGCTCATTTCAGCCCCTGTCGGTAATTGCCCGCCCAACCATCTACCGAGACGATTCATGCGCCCATAGCTCATTATAGCGCTCGCTTCACGACAGCCTGGACCGACCGGAGCGCCCCTCCTGGTTATGCGAAAGCATTGATGCGCCCAAACACCTCAAGTTGCATATCGCGCCTAACGAGGATCGGCGCTGGGCGTCTCAGAACCATTACTAGCACTAACCTAGTTGCTGTGCTACTGCTACTAGGTACTACCAGCAGCACTATCGCCAGGCCAGGAGTATAGCAAAGAGAAAGGACGAGTGCACGACGAGTGCAGCATATCGAGAGAGCTCCAACCCGTCACAACAGCCACCGGGGCGCAGCGCACGCAGTTGCGACTGATTACGAACCTGTCACTGCTAAGCCTTGTGACGTCAAACGCCGCGACATCTTGGCCACATTGTGGCGTTGCTGATCGAATATCCGTCCCGCCAAACCCGCCCAGCTGGCTGCTCCAGGAAGCATTAATTTAACCGCCGGCGCGTTGGACTCGTGCAGCGTGAAGCAAACCAAACATAAGGCGCTGGCCAGTGCCGCGACCCTGTTTCCCTGTTTCTGTTTCATCGTCCCCTTTCACGCTGGCTGCTCTGTCGTTGGCGCTCCAGCCAATCACCGCACTGCTTATCCCTGCGCTTTCTGCGTTCGGCTCCCCAGCCAATGCAGCAAGGCGACTCATTCACCATCCACACACTCGACACGGCGCCTTTGAAGCTGAAACCGCAAACAGCTCCTCTAGCATTGTTCTTTCGCCTTTATTACATGTCGGCGAGCCAAAGCATGATTTATCATTCGGCCACGCGCCCATACCTGGAGGAAGGGATAATCGCTACTCATTCTTGTCAGCCTTACTTCTAGGCTTCCTCCGTTGCAAGTGGCCAGCGCTACCGTGGTGAGCCTACCAGCCAAGTACGAATACGGAATCTCGAGACGCCAGCACATCACCCGACTTGAAACTCGATATCGTGGCCGATCTAGCTGAAGCCACCTTTTTCCATTTACTATTTTCTGTCTCTGGCGCTTCGCCTCAGCATCGGCTGCCTCTACCCTGCCTTTCTAAACTTTATATACACTTTTGTTTACCCCTACGACTGCACGGTTCTGAACTCGATCGACATTCCCACAGCCCCTCAGCTCCACCAACCGACTTCCATCGAGACGCATATTCCGGCCTCGAAGAGCCAACTACAACGACTTTGACGCTTGCTTGATTCGCTGCGAGAGCAAACACATCCTTGCCAAGTATGGCAGCCCCTCAACAGGGAGCAACGAGACCACAGGAGGTCGATTTCGCTGCCCGCAGCTCCTGCGAAAACAATGCGCTTAACCGACGCAGTCGCTTACCCCTGGATACGTCGGTCGCTCCCGTGCACCAGAACGGGTGCTTTGAGATCGATCGTGTAATAAAGAGCGGATGTGTTCAGAAGCGCACCCAGAAGACAAAGGTACGCTGCGCGTCTTAGTACAATTTCTGCCCTTTTTTTTTTTTTTTTTTTTTTTTTTTATCTCTGAGACTTGGCTTGACGTCTGCTAACGCGTTTCTTGTACTATCCATAGAACTGGAAGAGCGTTTACCTTGTTTTACGACCAAATGCCGTTTCTTTATACAAGGACGACAAGGAAGCCAAGCTCCGACATCAGATTTACCTGTCAGAACTCTCTGCCGTCGCCATCCTCAAGGACCCAAAGCACAAGCGAAAAAATCTATTTGGACTTTTTTCCGCCTCGAGAAATTTCCATTTTGCGGCCCCCACGCCGCAGGATGCGCAAGAATGGGTTGACTTGATCCGCAAGGTTGCCAGGCTCGACGAAGAAGAGGACGAAATGTATTTTGGCAGCCCGGTGGCGCATGGCATGTCGCCAACCGCGCCAGCACTCGAGAGCTGGGGAAACCACATAGACAATGCGCTTTCAAGCTCGCCCGAAAACCTGGGCCCCTTTGACCCTTCTGCGCCAAAATTCATGGGAGGACACCGTCGCTTATCATACACGCTGGAATCCTCTGGTCTATCTGGCAACGAAATGCTCTCGTACTCTGACTTTTCCGACAGCGAGGTTCAACGAAGCCATGGCGTATCCTTTGAGAATCTCGCCGTCAAACCGATTCCCGAAACAACAGCAACAAACGCGCAACCTCGACAGGCCGTCCTACCAGGCCAACGTCCAGAAACGTCCGCCCGCTCGGCGAGTCAAATAAGCGCCGTGACCGCTGAGCAGGAATCCGAACGGGTTATTTGGCAAGGCTCGCTCTGGATGCAGCGAACCAAACGCGGCGTACGTCAGTGGAAAAGCATGTGGGGAGTGCTGCGAGCGCGACAGCTCGTGCTGTACAAAGACGAGTCCGAATATGCTGCACAGGCCATCATCGAAGTGGCTGACGTTGTCAACGTTGTCGAAATCGACCCTGTCAGCAAGAGTAAGACGCACTGCCTCCAAATCATCACCGAGGAGAAAACGCACCGCTTCTGCGCGCCCGACGAGGAGTCTCTGGTGCTATTTCTTGGTGCATTCAAGAGTCTGCTGACCAAGAGGCGAACGATGGAAGCCCGCACGTTAGCGACCGTCGTGGTTAATCCTCCATCATCATAACGTTGGGTCGAAGCTCGTTTTCGCGAGAGCTTCTTACCTGCCTACTTTCGCTCACCATTTCATTTTCTGTCCTGTTTTTTTTTTCTTTTGTCGTACGATCAATACCCTCTTCCTTTCGTAATTTTATATGACGAATTTATGACTCGACTATTATTCTTTATTATACCAAATTAGTCGCACTTACATGTCTTTTTCCTTTACTTTCATTTCATTTCATTCCCTGGCGCACACATACACACATCACAGCTTAGAATGGGCTTGTGGCTAATACAGGCGCATTGGTGGAGTTTTGAGACGCTCTTTCTTTGTCTTTCAGGGGGGCTTATCGCCGTTCTGAATGCGAGCAAGATAATAGCCTTAATAATTGGGGAGGGTAATGTCAACGTGTGGTTTGGTGGTTGGTTCGACCATTCTTTTTTTCAGCTATATATGCCGGGAATTTGTTGGTTTCAATTCCACACCAGAGATCAAAGAGCTTGTCTCTGACTCTTTCTTTTATTCATACTAGTTTTAGTTTTATGCATGCATGGGTATGCCTTTTGGGCATTCTTTATGCTCATATATTTGGAGCAAATTAATTTTCTTCTTTTCCCCTTTGTATGATAACAGGATGACGAAGAATGCTATGATGAATGTTATTTCGCCTTTTTTATTTTTTACAACACTTTGGTTTGGGCGTGCAACCGCGGCGATATGTATCAGATGGTCACTTGGGTACTATTTCCAACAGAGAACGGAGATAACATATATAATAATATGTACATTTAACATATATAATTAATCGAAACGTGAAACGTGTCGAGCTCATAATACTTTGAAAGCAGCACGGGTATATGTATATAACATACAGTCTTTTATCATGTTCCACCCCTCCCAATTTCCCTTCCAATTGCCCCAGACACCGGTGACCGTTCTTTTTGTTTCCCGATCGAATATCGACGCAAAAAGAATAAAGAACCGCAAGTAAAGATACATTCCTTCCCACAGTGGTCGATGAGGCGAGAACTGAGGAGTCCCAAGTAGAAAAGAGAACATAGTTCAAAGAAAACGAAACAACTCAAAAAAAGATTTCTCCAACCTTCTTTCCGCTCGGAGCATCGAGATATCAAGACAACGCAACTTTCCCCCATGCATGCACCCAAAATTTCAAATTCAAATCCAAATACCAAAAAGTGAAAAAATTCCAAAGCCATCGTTTTCTTACAATTTCTCCCATTGCTCTGTTCTGCCAAATTTCTTCTTAAGACGTCGTCTCATCCGGTTTGTCCAGTCCAAAAAAGGCAGTGTCAAAGTCACCGCCAGCATCCATAAGCTCAAAGGTGCTGTCGCGGTTGTTCATAAGGTCGTCAAAGGTATCGTCTCCGGAGCCACCTAGGCTAAAGTCAAAGTCCATTCCGTCGGCGGCTCCAGCATCGTTGCCGAAGAACTCTGTGTTGAGATTGGCTGAGGGATCAAGGGCTTCGATTTTTGGTTCTTCAACCTTTGCGGGAGCGTTGGCGTTGGGGATTGAGATGCTATGAGCGGCGGCTGAGATTGACGGCTGGTTGTTGTTATTGTTGTTATTGCCAGTAGATGGCTGGTCAGGTAAGAGGTTGTTGAGATTCAATATTTCATCCCCGCCATCAGCCGGGGCAAAGGTGGTTAGGTCGAAAAAGGGCTCCTTGGAAGACGTATTCTGGCCAGAAGCTTCGTTACTCGGCGGCGCGAGAGTGAATTCCATGTTGGTAAAGTTCATGCCGGAAGTCTCTGCCTTGGTGCGAGGCTGATTTGAGCTGGTGGTTTCAGGCAGCATGTCTATAGTCGGCTTGTGATCTCCAGCGGGCAGCCGAGAGGCGAATCCTGGGCTGGCCTTTCCGTTGATTCCATTCATGCCGCCGGGTGGTGGCGGTTGCGGTTGCTGGCCGTTGGACTCCCCGGCAGAGATATCCATGTGGTCGGCCTCTGAAAGATCAATGCTCATATTGGGGAATGGTGCCATAGGCTTCAAGTCTATGCTCTCTGCCATGGGCTCGTCCTTGAGCATGGGCTCAGGCGATGTGGATGGGATATCAATAGTTATGGACTGCTGAGGAGTAGTTTGTGTTTGGGCCAAGAGTTTCTTCTTCCTCTCTTGTAGCTCATTGAGATCTCTGAGTAAGACCGACTTGGCTTCAATCTAGCCGTGGGGACAAACAAAGAGAGTAAGCGATGAATAGCCAAAGAAAACAACAAAGAAGCAAGGGCTCGGAGAATAGGGGGAGGTGAGTGTGTGAATGAACAGAGACTGGGGGGTTGCTTACAATTTCCTCTTCAAGCTCGTCCAGCGCGTTGTGGAAGAGCCGAATGGTCTCTGGCAGCTTGGATTGTGAAGTGCCAGGGATATGTGTCAGATTCCCGCGAGAGTCTTTACGCGATGCCCGCAGGGCCTTTCCAGTTTGCACGAGCTTTGGTGGCGAGATGGTTGATTAGCTGGTGATGAAGAGAATGAAATAAGAACAGCAAGATGATGAAATAAGCCGCGAGAAGCTGAATGGTACGCAAGCATGGCTAGACTTACAACATCGTTGATGAGTGACTGGAGGGCGTCTAACGGCTCCTGTTTTGGAGCCGAGGCCGGGACTGAGTTGGACGTCGCCATGCTGCCGGATAATCAGAGAGCACAGCAGCGAGAAGCCTGGATCAGCAGAGAGGCGTCGAAGACATGCACACGCATCCGCAGCAGGATGTCGGAGGACTGCGGCTCTGTGTTGGATGGGCAACCCGAAGGCGGCCAGGAGAGGTCGCGAGCGAGGCTGAAGGGCGGCTTTCGGCGCTGCCTCTCGGGCTGAGTTTTGCTGGGGCTGACAAAGAAAAGGGCCAATGGGACGGGCAGCCGCGCCAGATCAGGCAGTGCCGCAAGACGATGGAAATGCACAGCAGGGAGAGCGTTTCCAGAGTCCGGGTGCGGGTGCGGGCATGCAGGCAGTACTTATAAGAGGAGGATGTTTGCCCTGGAATTGTGTCGATGGGCTGACATGCCGCATCTTTGGCAACAAGGGGGTGAGTTTGCGGTGGCTTGCGCCAAAAGCTTGAGGCCCGGCGCTGGAGAGCCCTGGAGAGACTTGGGGAGGAGAGGGTAGACGTGTGGCTGAGATGCGATGGGGCAGGTACTAAGTACATGTCTACATGCCGATCCTGCGCGGAAAGCAGCGGCAGCTGGCAGCGCGGCAAGTATCCTCTACTCCGCGCATCTGCCGTTTCCGCCATGCCCTGGGCGATATCTGCGCCAAGGCGATAGCTGTGTGGCTCAGGCAGCTGCTCTGGACGCGGATTGGCCCAGCTTCCCCCGCATATTGCTGACTTGAAAAACGGCTAATAGATCTTGAGGAAAACTTCCGTAGGCTGGTTTCTGCTGCTGCTAGTAGTAGTAGCGGGCAGCGGCCGGCTAATTCTTTAGTGGAATGGCAGTGTCTGTTGGGGAGTAGTTGATAACGTCTTGTTGCATAGAGGCACATGTACTATTAGTCTAGGTACCATATATCAGAGAGTGGGCTACCGTACAGGAAATCTTGCTGCACGAGGTGCTCGTTTGGTATTCGGCTTGACGGCAATGTCCATTCTGAGCGGCCGGTGGCAAGCTGAACTCCCACAGGAACCCATCTATACAGGGGGGTCCTGTGGCATAGTGGTGTTCCTCGAACTTGATGTGTAGGACCAATACGTAAAGGTAAACTAGAGTCAGCCTTCTTACTACATATGCATGTCTCACAACTTTGGCTTAACACATACATATTTTCAAAGAGGAAAAAAAAAAAGAAACACTCAAAACCCTCGCCCTGCGAAAGAACAATGGCTTCCATGTGGCCTTGTGGAGTTGCCTGAAACTGGCCGCGGAAACGGGTGTGGCGCCGTGCCCATCAGAACATAGCCTCGAGACGGCATCGCCTCGTATTCGCTGCGCTGGGGTGCATAACTGACAGAGCCTAATGGAATTATCTGATGAGAGGTATACGTAGTAGCTACTAGGTGCCTGGCGGGCAATGGAATCCGGGGGATGTGTAAGCATGTTGGTGTATGTATGGTGTCGCTACTATCTAGAGCGATATATGTATACTTCGACCATGAATGAATTGCTGTCCAAGCATGGTATATAGCTGTAGATGCATCACGGCCGGCACATTGCTACTCTACTTGCAGTGGTTACTGACTGGATAGAGGCACAAAGCACATGTCATGTCGTGAGTACATGTAGTTGTTGGCAACCAAAGGAAGGATTCAGGCTGGTGATCAACATCAAATACTCGCGGCTCTAGGGCTTATAAGCAGCTATCAGATCAGATGGCTACAAAAGACCCAATGCGCTATGATACGAGCCCCTCTGCATCATCATGCTGGGAAAGTGAATGGCAAACTATTGATAGCTGTACACAATTATTCCGTCAAAATCCTTCTTCCGCCGTCATCAGCTCTGTGCTACAGGCAATCTCGTATTATCAGAGCCGTGGTTCGTTCAGACAGGCGGCCAAAAAAAGTACAAAGCGGCCTCGCCACATGCAGGGTAGCTTCGCTCCTCTCGCCTACCAGGCGAAATTGTTAGCACCAAGCCCGGCCTCCACTTTGTCCAGCACAAACCTTCACCTTATCATCTTTGCCCAGCTAGTCCAGGCTGGTTTTTTTGTCTCTTTTCCAACTGCCAAGTCGCTGTGTGTGCACGAACGTCGGAGCGGTTGGTTTCGATTTGCGGGACTCGTTTCCTTTATCGTTTTCTTCTGTTCTGTTCTTTTCTTCTTCTTTCCTTTCTCACTCGGCATCCGGTTTTTCTCTTCCCCTGTCTTGTTCCTGTCTTGTGTGTCCCGCCGCAGCCTCCTCAAAGGCGCTGCAAGCTCTCCCAGGCTCTGGTCCGCCACCTACAGCTACACGCACATACGCAGCTCGCATCGCATCGACTCGATTTATTTCCAGCATCTTTCGACGCCCCGTTGGAAGCACTTCTGTTTGTTTGGTCTTTTTCCCCCGTCGTCCGTGGTTTAGCGAGCTTGTCTTCGGAACCTCTTCGTTGCATCCCCCCCTAAGACCCCTCCTCTCTCCCGACTTCTCCTCACCCTCTTGTTCGCCACCGACGGCCGCAACACCCTGCGCGCCGCCATCTCCAACCAGCCTCTGCGCGCTCGACCCGGTCTCTGACGCAGAATCCGTACAATCGCAACAATGGCCGACGCTGGCGCTGTCTCGACCGCTGCGCAGCCTGTGGGCGCCCCTGCCGCCCAAAATGGCCAAGGCAACCCAACTCACCTCCCCCCGCCTCCTCTTCATATTCCGCAGAATACGAACCCAATCCCGACGGCCATCACATCCCCCCGCTCTGGCGTTGATGGCGGTGGAATCCTCTCGCCGACCACTGGCTTCCGACGAGCTGCGCCTGAGCCTAACAAGCGGGCCCTCTACGTTGGCGGCTTGGATCAGCGGGTGACCGAGGACGTGCTGCGTCAGATATTCGAGACTACGGGCCATGTCCAGAATGTCAAGATTATCCCCGACAAGAACGTATGCTATTTCCCCCCTGCCCCTTATGCAGAGGGCTGCGTATGTGCGAGATTTGCTAACAAGGAGTCTTCTGAGACGTAGGCCAAGGGCTACAACTATGGCTTCGTGGAGTACGACGATCCTGGTGCGGCGGAGAGAGCCATGGGAACTCTCAATGGACGACGGGTTCACCAGTCTGTATGTTGTTTCCCTCTCGATTAAACCCCTCTAGTTGCTTTCCTTTTGTTCTCCAAGATCTTTGCCGCTGACACATCTCTTTATGAAAACATAGGAGATTCGAGTCAACTGGGCCTACCAATCCAACACGACGACCAAGGAGGATACCTCAAACCACTTCCACATCTTCGTCGGTGATCTTTCAAATGAGGTCAACGATGATATTCTTCACCAGGCCTTCTCTGCCTTTGGTTCCGTCTCGGAAGCTCGCGTTATGTGGGATATGAAGACGGGTAGGTCTCGAGGCTATGGCTTTGTCGCCTTCCGTGACCGACCCGACGCCGAGAAGGCCTTGAGCTCCATGGATGGAGAATGGCTCGGATCACGGGCGATTCGCTGCAACTGGGCCAACCAAAAGGGCCAGCCGTCAATGGCTCAGCAGCAGGCGATGCAAGCTATGGGCATGACGCCTACTACTCCCTTTGGCCACCACCAGTTCCCTGCCCACGGCATCGCTAGTTACGAGATGATCCTTGCGCAGACACCAAACTGGCAGACCACGTGCTACGTGGGAAACCTCACTCCTTACACGACTCACACCGATGTTGTGCCTCTGTTCCAGAACTTTGGATTTGTGGTGGAATCGCGGTTCCAGGCCGATCGTGGCTTTGCATTCATCAAGATGGACACGCATGAGAACGCGGCAATGGCCATCTGCCAGATGAACGGGTACAACGTCAACGGCCGACCTTTGAAGTGCAGCGTAAGTAAATCCTTTTTTTTTTTTGGTAAACCCCACGAGTGGTGACTATACAAGGTTGCTGACTCTCTCATCTAGTGGGGCAAGGACAAGACGCCCAACTCTCAATCGTTTGACCCTCAGCAGCAGCCATATAGCCCCCAGACTTCTCAGGCTCCTGGCTTTCCTGGTACTCCTACCTTTTACCCGCAATACGGAGGTGAGTTGAGCTGATGCAGCAGCGGTGGCGATGCCTCTTGGATTGAAGAATTAGGATACTAACACGACCATCTATTTACAGCTCAATACAACGGGCAGCAGGGCAACTTTGGTGGCCCGCAAGCCGCCTCTCCTGCAGGATACAGTGGTTCTCCCATGGGATATGGCGGCCCTCAGAGTGCCGGAGGATATGGTCGCGGGCACCAGGGTCCCAACGGTCAGTGGAACCAGAACCAGGGGCAGAACTTCAACAATGGTTTCGGCGGCTATCAGTCGTAGTTACCGGGTATGAACTGCGAGTGGAGGATTGAGGAAAAGAACGCTATCATGGTTTGGGAGGGACTCATTTTTTCTTTTTGCCATTTGACGTAACATACTCCTTTCTTTGTCTCCCCAGTTCTTGTTGATTTTCTCAAAACTTCTCTCCTCTCCTCTCCTCCAACCCCGCCCTTTTATCTACTGCCATCTTCATCATATGGCTCTTTTCATTCTGTATCAGCCATCTTCTTTTTTTCTTTTCCAGTGTGATTTCCAAAGGGCTGTCTCTTCCAGGGGATTTTCTTCTCATGCTCCTTTGCCGTGTAATTTTCTTTTTATTTCATGCACGAGAGAAACGAAAAGTTGGAATGATTTTTATCTTGATTTTTACTTTTTACCTTTTTTTTTTTCTCCTTGACAAGCGCCATTCTTGGAGATACCATTTTTGGGCATATGGAGCAGGTAACTCCTCTCTCTCTTCATCTCTCTCTCTCCTTTTATTGCTTGTTATTCAAAAAAAAGCCTGTTCCCCATATGATGATGATTACGAATTTCTCTTGTCTTGCGCTCTATGAAAGAATTATGCGTGGCATCACCATATTGTGTCTAAAAGGGTTGGATTATCTGAGAAGAGCACTTGCAGCCAGAGGTGCTTTGCTTCTGTTTCTGTTTCTTTTCCTCTTCCTTGTTGGTGGAAAGACTGGAGCGTTGTGGCATTTGGAGAATCAAGAGAACGAGAGAAAAAAATAATGGTGTGTATTTTGTGTGAAAAATGACGAAAGGCGGGGACAATGAACATGTAGCCAGACTGCTTTACCTCAGACCATTACAAAGAAACATGAATGTTGTTTATACTACCTTAGTAGTTTTGGTGAAAATCACGGATATACCGATACAGATTTTAGTCCAGCGAGAAGATAAGATGTACGTATTATTGACTAGTCGGCTGCAGATGATGCTGCAATTGATGAGTGTCTGATGAGTGTCTGAAGACTTTAGATGAGTGCTGCTCGTGCTATTGCTGGGTTTCTTCGAGGCAAGTCTACACAGCTGTTTGATCGTACGAGGCAGACGACGGGGCGGTTTTTCTCTTACAGTACGCGTAGCATTCGCTTCAGGGTAATGAGGCGGGGCCCAATGGAGGAGGACGCTGGGCCTTTGGCATGTGATTCGAGCCTGTAGGTACATGTAGATGAGAAAAGCTGAGCTTCCATTTCGCGAGAGGACGGTGAATAGTCTAAGCGGTGCTGCTTGGACGAAAGTGCCTACCTGTTGGCTTTGAAACGCTGGCTGCGTATAGCTACTAGTAGGTACTATATGTATGCATGCGTAATAGACATTTCTGTGCTCGTCATTCCGGGAAAGTATATGTAGACGTCTAGTAGGGGGCATCAATAGTAGGCGTGTTTGTCCTTATGGAGAAGAGTACAGAGCTTTTTTTATTCCCTCTTTGTTTGTCTTTTTTTTTTCTCTTTTCCTCGAGGCCCAATGAGTTTGAATTTGATAGAGTGAGATGTTCTCTTGGTACTATCTGGCTGATAGATTATCCTCGTCCCTTGTATAATGCGAGGATTTGAAATAGCTACCTGCCAGCGGGAGAAAAAGGGCGTTGGTGATTTTTTTGTGACTTGGCGCTGCTGCTGGGCGGCAAAGCGGCGCGCACGAGCGCAATTGGCGATGCTGACTCGCTGAAGACGGCGTCAAGAGTGGAGTTTTGGGTTGGGGGGGATGGACGGAATAGGCCGCGCGCGCACATGGAGCATTTCTTAGCTTTGGATAATGAATGGGCTGCAGATTCTGCCTATATGTAGGTACATGCGAAGTAGTAGCAGGGAATACTTAGGTAGGTGCTTTATATGCCCATCACGGCACAAACTCTGCATCAATTGATGTTGCCAGCAGTACAGCAGTAACACGGCAAGAGTCTGCAGCAGCCGAGCAACTGTGCTGTATCTGTAGGGATCATGGATATGGCGGCCAGATTACGTGGACTGATTGTTGCGGTGATTTCGAGTGGGCCATGCGGTTTTGGCAGGGAAGCACAGGATACGTGTGAGGTTTCCAAGTTGTTGATGTTCCAGTGTCTGGGGCAACGGATGTCTCTGACTGGGTTGTGGTGTGATACATACTAGTATAGGCAGTAGGCATATGCTCGTATATTACCTGTATTGAGGCAAAACAGGGCGTACTTTGCAGCGCCAGCAGCACAGACGGCGGTCGTCAATTGCTGCCATTGCCATCCATTTTCTCGCTAGGTCGCAGGAATTGCCACCAGTCAGTATATGAGGCATGTGCACGCAACGTCCAACGGCCTCCAAACCCCCACCATGTACATCGCTGCCAACAGTCGCCATTGGCCTGGGTTCCAGGTTGAGTGACGGAGCATGGCTTTAGGCCCCGAGATCTGCTGCTCTAGAGTTTCACCCCCCCGTCTCACGCCAGACAGCTGCTCTTACCGCAGCAGGGCTAGTACTGACGCAGCTTAGCGACCAGCTCTCCACGCAGCCAGTCAGGTCAGACACTAGCCCTGGAGTCTAGAGCGCTGCCCACTGTAGTCTTCAGCGCTGTGCCAGCCAGACGTGTCCGTCCAGATGGACATCAAATCAGCTCGGCCCTTTGCCAGCCACAAGAGCCGCCTGGCTAGCGAGGACATGCTGCACGTAAGTATTAACCTTCCGGTGACTGTAAAGCATCTGCGGCGCCATCCCAGCCTTTCTTCTTCTTCTTCTTTTTTTTTGCTGCTTCTCTTCTTCATCCCTCGTCCCAAAGACTCTCCCGCCAGAGGAGGCGCTGCTATGCAGGAGGTGCCATGACGAAGCACATGCTGGCGCGCTACGTACTAGTCCTGAGGTGCTGCTAGACCTAGACACAAACGAATTACACCCAGCCGGGCAGCATACCAGCCCATCTCCACAGCGTCCATCGCCTCCGCATCAGAATCGCAGCAGTCAATCGCCAAAATCTGGGCCCGCCGGCAACTCGTGCTGCGTGCTTTCGGGCCTCCACAGCGCGCGCCCAATTGTGTGCGGATAACGGCGTCGGACCAACGAAAGACGAGGGCGAGCGCTTTGCCTTTTCAAACAAGGAAAAGGAAGCAGGAGAGACAAGGCAAAAAGTAAAATCAGATTAAAAAAAAAAAGATAGCACCTCAGTCAGTCCAGTCAACACTGGATAGCGCTGCTGCCGCTGCCGCTGGGCCTCTGCAGCCGTGCCCTGGGCCTCTCTCCCTCACCCGCAGCCCGCGCTGACGCCCCTCCTTGGCCTTGGCCCTTTCTGCCCAGCCAGCCCGCCAGCCCGCCATGGACAATCCGCAGTGGTTCCCCGACCCTCAACGAGACTCTCAACGACGCAACCCCAACGGCCAGCCATCGCGAGACTATCCGTCGCCGCTGTCCATCTCGGCTGCCGGCCACGCCTCTGCCTCTGCCGTGCCGCCCGTTGCTGCCGCGTCGTCGTCGTCCAGCCGTGCGGCGTCGGCCTACAGCTACGACCAGTTCCAGCACCAGCACCACCATCACCACCAGCAGCAGCAACAGCATCTCCCTCTCCACAGCCAGCCTCAGGGCCAGAGCACGCATCCGCTCCAGCTCCCGTCGCAGCTCCCGCACCCGCTGCAGCCCGGCGCCCACCACAGCTCCGGCAGCGTCAACGCCGTCGCCTCGCCTCTCGCGCGCGACACCAGCGGCGACATCGCCATGCACGACGCCCACGATGCCCATGCCGGCATCAAGTACCCCATGAGGCCGCACCACCAATCCCACCTGTCGGGCACCCGCTCGTCGGGGCTCTACTCGCCGCAGGACCAGCCGCAGCAGCAGCAGCAGCAGCATCCTCAGCTCCAGCATCACCACAGCCAGAGCCAGAGCCAGAGCAGCCAGCCCTCGTCCGCCGCCCAGCGCTACTCGCCCATGGACACGCTGTCGCCAACCTCGCCCTACGCCTCGTCCAAGCCGCAGTTCACCAGCTCGCCGTCGCAGCAGACGCCCCCCAACGCCGGCGACTACTCGCAGAGCCCCTACTACGTTGGCCGCGGCCAAGGCCCGCCGCAGCTGCCCCCCATTGCGTCCTACACCACCACCCTCGACGGCTACCCCTCGTCTGCCGTGGCCGCGCTCGACGGCGCCTTCAGCGACTCCAAGGCTCCTCGCCGCCAGAACCCGCCCGCGATGAGGGCCGTGCCCGAGTTCAAGAAGATCAAGTCGCCCAACGAGCTGCAGCCCAAGAACACGAGGCAGCCGCGGTTTAGGCGGGCAAACCCAGAGGGAGGCTTCATCAGCGTTAGTTTCTTCTTCTTTATCCTCGCTTCTTCTTCTCCCCTCCCTTTTCAAATTCAGTCGTCTAACGTATCCTTACGTTCGAATTTAGCCTCTCCAAGCTTTGACGGCGCATCTGCCTGCCACATATCGCATCTGCAACCCGAGCTTCAAGTACGAGTCATCGCGGAACCCTCGCCGAGTCTTAACGAAGCCTAGCAAGGGCACCAAGAACGATGGCTACGATAACGAGGATAGCGATTATATCCTCTATGTAAATGACATTTTGGGCTCCGAGGAAGCTGGTCACAAGTGCGTTATACAATCCACAGTCGTTGCCATGCCATGAACTCTCTCCCTCTGACTCATACACTTATATTCAGGAATCGATACCTTATTCTCGATGTGCTGGGCCAGGGTACTTTTGGTCAGGTCGTCAAATGCCAGAACCTCAAGACGCAAGAGGTTGTGGCCGTCAAGGTCATTAAAAATCGCACAGCTTATTTCAACCAGAGTATGATGGAAGTTTCTGTGCTTGATTTGGTACATACATTACTATTACCGCCCCTTCTTGGCTTTTTTTTTTTTTTTGCTTTTTTTGCTAACTTGTGGACTTTTCAAAGCTTAATACAAAGCTGGACAAAAACGATGACCACCACCTTCTCCGTCTCAAAGATACCTTTATCCACCGCCAGCATCTCTGTCTCGTCTTCGAATTGCTCAGCGTCAACCTGTACGAGCTTATCAAGCAGAACCAGTTCCGCGGCCTCAGCACGACTCTGGTCCGTGTCTTTGCCCAGCAGCTCCTCAATGGTTTAGCGCTGCTCAATAAGGCTCGATTGATCCATTGCGATCTGAAACCGGAAAATATCCTGCTAAAGAATCTCGAGAGCCCAATCATCAAAATCATTGATTTTGGATCCGCCTGCGACGAGCGTCAGACCGTCTACACCTATATCCAATCGAGATTCTATCGTTCCCCCGAAGTCTTGCTGGGCCTGCCTTACTCGTCTGCAATCGACATGTGGTCCTTGGGCTGCATTGTGGTGGAGCTGTTCTTGGGACTGCCCCTCTTCCCCGGGTCGTCAGAATATAACCAGATTGCTCGAATCGTGGAGATGCTTGGCAATCCTCCTAATTGGATGATTGACATGGGCAAGCAGGGCCTCGAGTTCTTTGAGAGGAGACAGGACGAGTTTGGAAGGCGGACATACCACATGAAGAGCATGGAGCAGTATTCGCGGGAGCACAACACCAAGGAGCAGCCTAGTAAGAAGTATTTCCAGGCGAACACGCTCCCAGAGATTATCAAGTCATACCCCATGCCTCGGAAGAATATGAAGCAGAGCGAGATTGATCGAGGTAAGAATTCCTGGCAACAACATTTTCTTTTACCTACTCTGAGATGGCTAATCTGAAATCGTAACAAACTCTGCAGAAATGAACAATCGCATTGCTTTTATCGACTTCGTCAGAGGCCTTCTTAACATTAACCCTCTAGAGCGGTGGTCACCACAACAAGCAAAGCTACATCCCTTTATTACGCAGCAAAAGTACACAGGGCCTTTTGTCCCGCCGATGAATCTCAAGTCGAGCTCTCTTAATAGGTCGCCAGCTCCCGGAACTCAGCAACAGCAGCAGGCCGAGGCCCTTAGCAAACAGCGAGCCGCACAGGCCCAGGCTCAAGCTGCACAGGCTCAAGCACAGGCCCAGGCAGCGGCCCAGGCCCAGGCTCAGGCAGCGCAGTCGCAGGTCAACTCTGCGCAAGGCGGATATGGGTCTCCAATGGGCGGTGGCCAATATCAGCAGTCTGCCCATGTGCCGGCTCCGCTATATTCCAACAGCGGCCTCTATAACCCTGGGGCTGCTCATGGAAATGTGCCCCCTCAATACGGACCACCACAAGCTGCCCAGTACGGCCAGATGGGTATGCAACAGGCTCCTCAACAGATGCCGTCATCGCAATACCCGAACTCGGCACAGCCCAACATGTATCAGCAAGGCGGCATGAGGACGAACAGGCAACGGGCATCAACCATGGAGCAACAGCAAAGCGGCATCCCCCCAGCTCTGCAACGGGTTGCTAGCCATCTCGATCCAAGCCAACCTATCCGACTCCAGCCTAGCCCGGCGTACTATCCCCCAACTGGCGAGGGATTAGATAATGCGGCGGCGCGCGCTGGAAGACGAGGAAGCCGGGTTCAACAGGGTGGTCAACGAAGCAACAGGGACTTTATTCGTAATCTGGAAGAACGGACTCTGGAAGAAGGTTTTATGGGCAACCAGAACCCATGGCATTGAGGCTTTTAGCCATTTTATTTTCCTTGTTTTTTCCGATCCGATACGAAAGAAGTCTTATCTTCTGACTGTCATAGTGTGTCAAATTCATGGGTATTAGGATGTGTATGATTGGGGCATCAGACAAAGAACCATTCGCCGTTGGCTACGTTGAACATGGGAGGTTTAATCCCATGGGTTTAGGGTTTCCCCGCCGACCACACCGATGGCTTGAAAGAAAGTCGTACCGATTTGAGAAATGTGGTCAAGAATGGACCAATGGCGGCATATGTGTTTTCTAGTTGCGGCGGAAGAAAAAGCCCGCTCTGTCGACAAAGGATGTTTTCTTGAATTTGCCCATAACCGAGCCTCATAACCTCAATTGCCTGTGACGTTGTTGAACCACACACACGATCCCCTACGATGCAATGCATGAAGATGTGGACATGGATGGATTTCGACGGATCAAGCGAAGGAAGTGCGCTTCGGCTGCCTGTACGTAGCTGGAGGCCGATTCCTCCTCAAGACGTAAAGGTGGCAGCCCGTAATTGTTTCGCGTTTTTGGGTGGATTATGGATGGGAGAAATACACGCAGGGCTTGGACTCTTTCTCTCTCTTTCATCTTCCCTATCTTGTCCCCTCTTCATTTCTGCGGGATCAATTCTTGTTTCTACCTGTGTACGACTACCTCCTATCTGCAATTGATGTCTCATTTTTTTTTCCGTTTCTTTCTTTCTTTCCCGTTCCCGTTCCCGTTCCTCGTATGTATCTGCAAATCGAGACTGGCCTACTTTGTGTGTTTTTGCAGGTGTTTTCCTTTTTTTGTTTGTTCTTCTAAGGCAGGTTGGGGGAGGGTGGGTAAAGGGGCTGGAAAAGAAGCGTTGGAGAGAAAAAGGGGAGGAAGAAGGGGGGGTTGTCTTTAATTTTTTTTTATTCGAGGATAAGATGGAAATATGCATTGTGTGTGTTTTTTTTTACATTGTGTGTTTCGCGTGTGGGTGGTATTTGAAGAAGGGATTGTAGCGGGGGAGAAAAGAGAGTGGGAGGGAGAGGAGAGGCGAAATTGCATTTTGAGAAGAGAGATGATTTGATTACGAGATGAATTAAAATGGAACATTTCCACGACGTTTTAATCATCACTGTGACATATAATGCAACGTGTATCCGCGTTGGATTCATCTCGATACTCAAGGTTGAGTGTGACTTGAGCTGCATTGAAATTGCCCAGATGTGCACGATAGATACCGCTACCTGTTCTGAATCAAGATCTATATATTATTTTTTTTTTAATTCTATTTATGGCATTCCCTATTCCATCCAACCGTCCATACCACCCTTCCTCAGTGAAAAATATTTCCAAACACTACTAACACATACATACTACCACTCTCGATGCTTAAAAAAGTGGCAGAAGGGGAAGAAAGAAAAATAGGAAAAAAAAGTAAACAAAACGCTCGATTATTAGCCGTATCATATATGTCCGAGTTAAACCCCCCCAAGGCAAGGAAACCGCTGTAGTCCTAAAAACATAAAGAGAAAGGTGGCACCCCGTGGAAATACAAGAAAAGCAAAGAATGCAAAAAAAAAAAAAAAATAAAGAGGAGGAGGAGAGGTCTGATCCTCGACCTTGAACTCTTTTTATGATACAGATCTTCTCCGTCTGAGCTCTGCCGACCGCGAACGAGTCTATCGTCCGCCGTTGTTGGAACCCTTTTGGAATCCTCGGCCTCGCTTGTTGATGTTATTGTTCTTATTGCCGTCGTTGTTGTATTGCAGCCTGTTGCTGCCGCCCCTTGACGAGGGGGGCACGTTCTCCCTGTCCATGAGGTCGTTGTTGTAGTCGACGATTAGGTCGTCGTCTTGGGATGTCTTTTGGCGTCCTGAGAAGGGTGAATTGCGATTTGCCTTGTAGCCGCCTGGCTTGGGGTACACTTTGATGATTCTACCGTCGGCCTGAAAGGAAGAGGGGAGGTTAGCGGTGATGATGGTGATGTTAATATAAGGAGGAGCGTCTTCTTACAGTCTTGTTGTTGAACGTCTCAATTACTTTCTCTCCGCCCTCTCTTGATGCAAACACCATCTCCACAATGATAAACGGCTGCGTCTTGACGATTTCGCAGCTGACCATCTCGCCACCAACCGGCGTCATTGCGCTCTCGATATCCGCCGCCGTCGTTCCAGGCGCAAAGTTCTGTGCCATGACGGCAAACGGTCCTGCAAGCCCCCGAATCGTCATGCCGGTATCTCGCGCCTGGGACTTGCCGTTCTTTACAATGTTGACCTGGCGTTTGACAGAGTCGTCGGTCTCCATGCGGTCGAAGGCAGCCGTTAGTCTAGCGACTTTTTTCTTGGCGGCGGCTTTCTTGGCGGCACTGTTGGCGGCAGCACCGCCGGGGAGGGTGATTCGAGAGCTGAGAGGGGCATTGGCGGATGAGTTGGGTCGGTTGACGGTGCTGTGCAGATCGTGAGTCCATTCGCCGTTGACATCGCCCGCGGGCACGCTTGCTCTGCGGCGTCGAGATGAGGTTGCGGTGACGGCTTTGTTCTGAGGCTGGGACTATTGATTTTTTTCGACCAGTATTAGCAAGACTGGAGATGAATAAATGCGATGCCCGCTCCGTATGTGACTTGGATTTACCTTCTTCACGCCGACACGGCTGGCGAGCGATCCTCCGATCTGAGGCTTGGAGTTGGTCGGTGCGCTCTGGCGACGGCCCCTGGAGAAGATCTTGTCGGCGAGAGCCTCATTCTTCTTGCGCTCTCGGGCTACGGCTGATCAGTATTTCGTTTTGAGGCAAGGCAATTGACAAGAGATTTTGTGCGTGTCGAGGGTTCTCGATGCTGCGAGTGTGCGCGCGCGCGCGACGGGCAGAAGAGCGTACCGGTATTGATGATTTTTTCGAATTCGGTGGCAACGGGCGCCATTTTTGCGGTCTTCAGCGTCTTGTTTGAAAGTTGTAATGGATGTCTCGTATAGGCGATGATTGTCTGAAATCTAAAAGTATGCAAAAGAAGAGAGATGGGATCTTGGATGCCTTTTTTTTTTTCCTTGGTCGCGTCTCTCTCTCTGTTCGTTGCGGCTGAGCGCTGAAGGGAGAGTGAAATGCCTTGGTGAGACTTTGGGAGGCTGCGGGCATGTGATTGGCTGGCGGCGCCGCTTCAAGACAGGCAGAGCTGCAGCGCTATTTCTGGGGGCGGTTTAGCGGGTTTGGGGGGGTGGCGGGATGTCCCCTGTCTAGTGGACGGGCGATAAGATAGGGATAAGATAATAATTTTCTTTTGAGGTGGATGGCAAAGAGCAGGCAGAGGGACGGACAAGTTGATGCCGAATACAGCGATGCCGGGTTCGGCCATTTTCAGATAATTGCTGCTCGATTGTGTAGCTTGAAGAAAGAAAGGGACGAGAAGGGGTCTTTCTTTATTTTACATCTATTCTTCTTGGATATTCGGCGCAATGTCAGGAAGCTTGGGAACCTGCGCCGCCTGTCTGCGCCGTGCGTTGCAGGCGTCGACTCGCAGCAGAACCGGCATCCTTCCAGCTGCTCCCCTGCAGACCAGCAGGCGATATGCCTCTTCGGTAGCATCTGCAATCACTGAACGGACCGATGCTCCACGGACCCTCATCTTAGAGCCGGCCGATTCTGAAGTCTCCAAGAAGAAGAACCAAGAGCGGCTGGAGCGAATCGTCAAGAAAGAGCTGGCGCACATGAATACGAATGATCCTTGGAAGATTGCCCAATATGTGGAAAATGCGCTCGCCACTGACAGATTTGAAGAGGCCTTGCTTTTGACAAAGACTGCCGGCAAAGACCAACAGGTTGTTGTGGCCTGGAATCACCTCATCGGCTATCTGCTGGGCAAGCAGCGGCTGCGGGAAGCTATCAAGCTATACAATGATGTTTGTCTTTTACAGTCACTCCTTGCCTTCAATTCCTGAGTTCTAACAGCATATCAGATGAAAAAACGAGGCCAGCTGCCCAATGTCCAGACATTTACAGTCATATTCCGGGGCTGTGCCCAATCGCAGCACCCCAAGATTGCGGTTGCTGAAGCTGTCAGGCTATACAATATCCTTCTCAGCGATAAGCGTCTGCAGCCCAACTCAATACACATGAACGCCGTTCTCAACGTTTGCGCAAGAGCCGGCGACCTCGACTCCATGTTCCTCATCGCCGATACTGCCAACGAATCCACCCGTGCCCCTACGTCGTATACCTACACCACCATCTTGAATGCCTTGAGATTTCAGGCAATCCGCGATGGAGAAGTAAAGGATATAACGCCGGAGCAGCAAGCCGCAAATATGCAAAAGGCTGTGGATCGCGGAAAGAGCATTTGGACTGAAGTTATTGACAACTGGAGACAAGCCCGGCTGGTCATCGATGAAGAGCTGGTGTGCTCCATGGGTCGCTTGCTCCTCCTCGCGCCTAAGAGGGAAGAAAAGAGGGAGGTGCTCAATTTGCTAGAACAAACCATGAGCATCCCCAACCTGGCCAATGACACCACCATGGATGCATTCCAGGACTCCGAGATGAAGAAAATCTCTGTTACTGGTGCTGCGAAGAAGGTGCCTTCGTCTAGAGCAGTGTATGCCATCCCTAGCCGAAATACCCTGGCCTTGGTCTTGACGACTTTGGCCTCTTCAAAGCTCACCACATGCGGCATCAAATACTGGAATCTCCTGGTCCGCCATTATGGCATCATACCGGACAACGACAACTGGCTCCGCATGTTTGGTATGCTCAAAGTTGCCAAGGCCAGCGCTCACGCCTCCTCAATCCTAAGCCTCGTTCCCGACGAATTTATCGATGCCAAGCACTACGAGATCGCCATGGAGACGTGTGTCCGCGACAACATCAACCCCAACGCCATTGCCAATTCAAACCGAGTGCTAGAGTCTATGCTTGAGCGCCTCCCTGTCCCGGGCTTGCACGCTCTTCGTATGTACTTACGGGTTGCCCTCGTCAGCCACTTTCAGTTCCGCGAAAGAGTCCAGAAGGGCGACGAAGAAGGCGCTAAGCGTGACTATGGGCTGCAGATAACAACTGCCCTCGCACATCTATGGGAGCCTTATAAAAAGGTTCACTACCACTTCTTTAAAGAGAGCTCTAAAAGCAACGATTCTAGCCCAGGAGCAGTGTACAACAGCCAACGCGAGGTCATTGCCTTGGCTCGTCTCATGTTTAGCGCATTCAACAAGGTTATCAACGAGAAGATGCTTCCGGAGAAGGACGCACAGGAACTCCGCTCGGTTGGCGCAAAGATTAACCGCGAGATTCAAAAGTTCTACTCGGGCCGTGAGGAGAGAGAGCCCAACTTGCGACAGGCTCGCCGTGGCGGTGCGGACCAGAGGCGAGACGCTGTTGAGCCAGATGAAGAAGACAACGCGAGTGAAGAGGATAGGCTTAATAGTGGATTTAGGCCGGGAGGCGACTTTGTCTGGAATACGACAAGGCAAGCGCCAGTAGATGAGGAGAGGCAGCCCCGGAGACCTTGGGATGCCAGCAGGACAAGACAATCGCGAGGAGAAGACGAAAGGCAGCCTAGGAGGTCATGGGATGCCCGCAGGCCAAGACAGTTCCAAGCGGAGGAAGAAAGGCAGCCTAGGAGATATAGAGATGCCACCAGGAGGCAGAGGACGTATTAAATGTGTACGATTCATGAGTGTATGATATAGAGACAACGACCGTTACTGTATACCATCAAGCCTCTTGTAAAAATGGCGAAATAGGAGGGCCCAGGAGATATTCTCGGGTTGGGTCTTTTAAGAAAATATACAATTTTATCTCCTCTTCCAAATTTTTTTTTTTTTTTTCTTTCTTTTCACAGCAATTGACATCTCGTGTTGCTGGTAATGTAGTGACGTTTGCTGATTGTTGATATCCACAGCATCAAGCTTGAGCATAGTATCAGTCTCAATAAGTTCATATCGCCAGGGGTGGTGCATAAATTCTTCCCAAAGAACGTGCCCCTCTTAGCGACCCCACGTACCGATTACAGCGGCCCTGACGCACTAACAGCCAATTAATTTTAGCGCGTTGGCAACAACGCGACCCACGCGTAAAGACGCGTTTACTACAGGCTTGTATTAATTGGCAGCGAGGGCATGTGGGATGTACAGCACTTCACAAACCATCTGAAACCTCGCCAAAAGCCCGAGTCCCCGCCTCACTTCACCAGCGCAAAGCGAGTGGCCTTGCCTGATGTCTGCATTTTGACCCTCATTTCTGGCCATTCGTTCATGATACCCGGAAGAAACGCCACTCCGCAATGCCAAAGGTCGACCACCGGGCGAAGCTCGCCGAGCTCAAGGCCCTGCGCAAGGCGGGCAAGAAGGCATTCGAGAGCTACCAGGTAGAGGATGCGGACAATCTCTACGACGAGGTTGACGAGGCTGGATACAAGAAGATTGTGCGGGAGCGACTGAACCAGGACGACTTTGTGGTCGACGACAATGGCGAGGGCTATGCCGACGACGGACGAGAGGACTGGGACAGAGTGCGGCAGTACGAATCAGACAGCGAGGGCGAAGGCGGACTTCCTGTGCGTGGGAGGCCGAGCAAAGCATGTGAGTAGCATTAGCGATATGAGGCATCTTGGCCTGCTCCAGTGATGCTAATACCAATCGGCAGCCAAAAAGAGTCTGCAGGAAGAACAGGCCAAGCGGGATGCCAACGACCGCAGCATCAGCGAATACTTTACCAAAGGCGCTGGCAAAGCTCAGTCCAAGCCCAAGGTACGAGACATCGATCCAGCGTATCCATAACCAGAGCGAATGGCTTACCAAGAATTGCAGGTTGTCAAAACCAAGGCAGATGACGACTTTCTTGCCGATCTGCTAGGAGAGGTGGACGCCAATATCCCAGCACCAGCCCCAAGATCCTCAAAAATCGAACGATCCGGCGGCGAACGACGCAGGCCTCGAGAGCTATCTCCTGCGCCAGAGCCCAGTTCCAAGAAGCAGAAGAGGGTCAACATACGGCTGCCCTCGCCATCACCAGCCCCCGCGAGCTTTGACGATGATGATGGCCTTGTACCCTTGATTGATGACGAGCCCATGAGCACCGCCGATATACCCATGAGTGACCCAGCGCCGTCTTCGCCTGCTGCCAAAGTCGCCCAACGCAAGGCTCTGATAAAACAAGAGCCGCAGAGTGACGACGATGACGACATGATGGAGATTGCCCATGCCGGTGCCGTCAAGGTTGCTAGTGTCAACATGGCAGGCTCACGGCCTGTGAAGAAAATCGTCAAGGAAGAGCCGCAGTCGTCCCCGGTCAAGGTTCCAGACACTTCTGTTGATCCAACATCTTGGAACGAACTCACAGAGAAGCTCAACGTCGTCAGCTCCTCTCTGTCAGAATCTAGAGGTATCGGCAAGATCGATCACAACGACGCCATTGAAGCCGATGGATCCTTGAATTTCTTCTGGACTGACTACACCGAGGTCAACGGCAGTCTATGTCTCTTTGGCAAGGTGCTGAACAAAAAGACACGCTCGTATGTTAGCTGCTTCGTCAAGGTTGACAATATCTTGCGGAAGGTCTACTTTTTGCCCCGCCAACAGCGTGTTCGAGACGGCGAAGAAACTGGCGAAGATATCGACATGGGCGATGTCTATAACGAGGTTGACGAAATCATGACCAAGATGAACGTCGGCATGTATAAGATCAAAAAGTGTGAGCGCAAATACGCGTTTGAGCTGCCGGATATCCCCAAGGAAGCAGACTACATGAAGCTCTTATACCCTTACACAAGTATGTCTTGAGAACTAATGGCCCCCCTCCCCCCTCCTGACCTATTCGCAGTCTATTAATCTGCCTGTATTAGAGCCTACACTTAACATGGACGTAAAAGGAGAAACCTTTTCTCACGTATTTGGAACCAACACTGCTCTATTTGAACAGTTTGTGCTATGGAAGAACATCATGGGGCCTTGTTGGCTGAAGATCCAGGATGCCGACTTTGGCGCTATCAAGAATGCCTCCCACTGCAAACTTGAAGTTCTGGCTGAACATCCTAACATGGTGTCTGCCATTCCCGATTCTGATAATATGGAAATGCCCCCCTTGACGCTCATGAGCATCGCTCTCCGAACGGCATTCAACGCAAAGGAGAACAAGCAAGAGATCCTTGCTATTAGTGCCCGAATCTACGACAAGGTGCTTTTGAGCGATACAACTCCCGCGGAGAAACTTCCGTGCAGGACATTTACCGTCATCCGACCTCATGGGCAAGCTTTCCCCATGGGCTTCGATACTCTAGTGAAGAAGAGAGTAGAGCAAAAGAAAGGCCTGGTCGTTTTAAAAAAACAAGAATCAGACGTGCTAAGCTTCTTCTTGGCCCAAGTTGATGTAGCGGATCCTGATGTCATTCTTGGTCACCAGTTGGAAGGCGTCGATTACAGCGTACTGCTGAATCGTTTGTTGGAGAAGAAAACTCACCAGTGGTCAAGACTTGGAAGGCTGCGGCGATCTCAATGGCCGTCCGCTATCGGCAAGGTTGGTGGCAACGTGTTTGCTGAGCGCCAAGTCATGGCTGGCCGGTTGCTCTGCGATCTCGCCAACGACGCAGGAAAATCCGCCATGTTCAAGTGTCAGACGTGGAGCTTGACAGAAATGTGCAGCTTGTATCTCACAGGTGACAATCGTCGCCGTGATGTTGATAACGAAGTTGCCCTCAACACTTGGGCTAAGGAGAGCCAGGGTCTCATGGACTACGTGACCCATATGGAGGCTGATACACACTACATCGCCGCATTAGCTGTCAGTGTGCAGCTGCTTCCCCTTACCAAAGTCTTGACGAATTTGGCTGGTAACTCTTGGGCTCGTACCTTGACTGGAACACGCGCAGAGCGAAACGAATACATTCTCCTTCACGAATTCTACCGCAACAAGTACATTTGTCCTGACAAGCAGACATTCAAGGGACGACAAAAGGCTGAAGAAGAAAACGACGAGGAGGCTGGTGAGGGCAAGAAGAAGGACAAGTACAAGGGTGGTCTCGTCTTTGAGCCGGAAAAGGGTCTTTATGACAAGTTTGTGCTTGTCATGGACTTCAACTCTCTGTATCCTTCTATCATTCAGGAGTATAACATTTGCTTCACTACGGTGGATAGAACAGCATCGGTAAGCTGATTTCGAAGTTGTTTGACATAGACCTGCCATTAACTAACGCTTGCCTCTAGGCCGAAGATGAGGATGCAGTTCCCGAGGTTCCTGTTAACCAGGACCAGGGCATTCTCCCTCGACTCATTGCCACGCTCGTCAGCCGTCGTCGTCAAGTAAAAAGCCTCATGAAGGATAAGAAGGCCACACCTGAGCAACTTGCTACTTGGGATATCAAACAGCTAGCCTTGAAGCTGACGGCCAATTCTATGTACGGTTGTTTGGGATACACCAAGTCTCGTTTCTATGCTCGTCCCCTGGCTATTTTGACTACGCACAAGGGTCGAGAAATTCTTCGCAGCACCAAGGATCTTGCCGAGAGCAAGTCTCTGCAAGTCATCTACGGTGACACTGACTCCGTCATGATCAATGCCAACGTGGATAATGTTGCAGACGCTTTCAAGGTTGGCAACGAGTTCAAGAAGGCCGTCAACGAGCAGTACAGGCTTCTGGAAATTGACATCGACAATGTTTTCCGTCGTATCCTGCTGCAAGCTAAAAAGAAATACGCTGCTATCAACTTGATTGAAAAAGACGGCAAGTTCATCGAGAAGATGGAGGTGAAAGGTCTGGATATGAAGCGTCGTGAATACTGCGCTCTCTCCAAAGAGGTATCCAAGCATTTGCTTGACGAGATCTTGTCTGGTGATGATATTGAGGTTGCCGTGGCTCGCATCCACGAATACCTGCGAGAAACTGCTACCAAAATGAGGGAATTTACCATCCCGGTGCCGAAATATACTATTTACACGCAGCTCGGAAAGGGTCCCAAGGAATACCCCAACGCTGACTCCATGCCTCAAGTACAAGTTGCCCTCCGCGATCTCGCCAGGGGTAAAACTGTGCGCAAGGGCGATGTCATTTCCTACATCGTCACAGGCACTAGCAAAAGCTCGGAACCTGCGCCAAAGCGAGCCTATGCTCCGCCGGATCTCAAGGCTGACCCAAATCTGCAACCCGATGTGGACTGGTATATAGCTAAACAGATTTTCCCGCCTGTCGAGCGTCTGTGTGCCAATATTGCGGGTACTTCCACGTCTCAGCTTGCTGAACAGCTGGGCTTGGATGTCCGCCGATATAGCTCCACCCAGACGCAGCAGAACAGCTCAAGTGACGATCTCGAGATTCACCCTCTCGAGTCTCAGATTCCTGACGAAGTCCGGTTTGTCGACTGCAAGCGACTCTCTCTACGCTGCCGAAAGTGCAAGGCTTCATCCGTCTTTGAGGGCCTCTTGGGTTCTCCAGATCGCGTCACTGCGTCGGGTGTCACATGCCCAGGCTGCGGCGCAGTCATCCCCACGCTCTCTGTCGTAGCGCAGGTAGAGCATACGGTGCGCCTTCAGACGTCCCAATATTACGAAGGCTGGCTCGTCTGCAACGATCCCCAGTGCGGCAACAGAACTCGCCAGATGAGCGTCTACGGCACCTGCTGCTTAGGCCCTAAGGGTCTGGCGCGAGACTGTAACGGCACAATGCACTACGAGTACACCGAAAAGGCCATCTATAACCAGCTGGTGTACTTTGCCAGCCTGTGGGATGTGGAAAAAGCCAAGGCTAGAGCTGCTGATACAACGAATGAGATTTCGATACAAGAGCGAGAGAAGATTCGGGCTTTGGCGGAGCACAACCGTGTGCGCTTCACGACGGTCAAGACTGCTGTGGATAAGTACTTGGACAAGTGCGGCAGACAGTGGGTTGCCATGGACACGCTTTTTGCAAAGCTTGGATTCAGCAAGATGTTTGCTGCTCCAGCTGCTGCCTCATGAGGAGGACAGGGAGAAGAGGGCTGTATTTGGGAAAATATATTCATGACGGAATGTTTTATATAATTGTAATCTGTTTCGTTTTTTTGCGAGAGAAAGAGAGAGAGAGAGAGAGAGAGAGAGGACAAGCATATCTTAGCATGGCATGCAAAGACGGTTTTTGTTCCAAGAAAACAAGCCAACTAACTATTTGCGGCGTGGAGCTGAGAGATGATGGATGGCGTTTTTGGGAGTTTTTCATGGAAACTTTTTTTAGGAATGCTGCTGCATTGCATTGAATAAGATGGGAAGAGAATTTGTAGTTTACGACAAAAAAGAAAGAAAGAGAGAAATGTTTATACAACTATAGTTAAGAAGAGAACAAGGAGCTTCTGATTTGCTGTATACCATATTGAATTCCATCTAGAGGGAAAAAGTCATTTGTTGCTCATGCTAGATAGACACACATGCTTGATGATAACTATGATGGGAAAAGTCTTCAGCTTAAACCACAGATAGGTAGTTATGACATTCCAAAAACATATACTATCCCGTCATGTTACGAAAAAAGGAACCATATCAAATTATTTCATGAAAACATTTAATTATTTCCATCCACCAAAAACTCTTACAAAAAAAAAAAATAAGATCTCAATTTTGTACTTTCTCCCCCCCCCCCCCCCCCCCTTTCCCACTCCCCACACACACTCTCTCAATTCTTCATATTCTCACACTATATCTCATATGAGAGAGAGAAGAAGAAGAAAGAGCAGGTCAAAGATTTCATCATAAACGTGGGGGTGAAAAAAACTCCAACATCCCAAAAAAGAAAGAGAAAGAAAAAACCCAAGGGCCAAGTCAATCAATCAGTCAATCAGCCAGCCAATGTACGTGTATAGCAATAAAGTATACAGCAGCACATTGTGGGAGAAAACATGTTTACAAAAAAAGAGGAAAAAAGGATCATGAGAAATAAAAAAAAAAGGGGGGCAACAGGAGTAAATATCAGATATCAATCAACACCTTCCTTTTCCCACCCTCCCTCCTTTGTAAAAACCCATCCCCTGTATCTGTGCCTGGTTTGCCTATCCTTCTCCCTTCCATTTCCTCTCCCTTCCATTTCCTCTCCCATCCTGTCGTAAATACAACATCCATAGTGGCCAAAACAAGTGGGAGCCATTCAATTGTTCTGCCACATTGAGTGTCTTGACTTCATGCTAAAAGAAAAAAAAAATCGTTCAACTTCTTAAAACATCAAGCATTCCCTAATTATCTCCTTTTTCATACGTCTCGACGTTGGGTGTGGTCATCCATTTTGTGTTGCCGAATTTCCCTCCCAAAACCAACAGGGTGGGTATTGCATCCGTAGATTTTCTCCCAGGCGTGATCCTTTACGCCAGGCGATGATGACATTGACTTGTGTGTCCCTTTTGTTTTTTCAACTCCGAGCCACTCAGTATTAAAGATTGGAGCACACCAAAAGGGGACATTAGAAGAAGCTATAAACACAATTCATGAATAGAAAAAAATCATGATGAATTCCCTAGTCCGAAGACAGTAGAAAGGGGGGAAAGAAAAAGAGAAAGAAAAACAAGTTCCTCTCCCCTCCTCTTGGGGGAGGCAACATCTGTCCACCCGTTATGGTCAAATGATCTATGGGGCAAAAGGTATCGCGAGTAAAATGCGTGCTCAAACTTTTAGTGAAACGTTGCATAAAAGCCTTGTAAATGCAATAAAAAAAACACAACCCCGCCTTTAGTCTATTTCCCTCCCCGAAATGCAGAGACACCGAGAATAAAGAAAACTTTTTTTATTCATTGTCCTTCTTGTCAGTGGCAGGGACAGCCTTAGACATAAGAGGCGAGGGTCCAGCAGAAGGAGGGGAAGCCGGGTGGTCTCCGTCCATAGTAGCAAGCAAACTGGATGAATATTAGTATTTAATTGGAATGGGGGGAATTGAGCGAAAAGAAAAAGGGGGGATTTGCTTACCTGAACGCATTAGAGCTTGTGGGGCCAGGAGTTCCAGCGCGTGAAGAGCTGTTGGAATCATCGCCAGAGCGGCCAAGGGCGCCACCAGGTCCGAAACGTCTTCCACTGTTGCTACGAGAGGAGAGCATCGAAGCGGGACCCAGGGTGACATTTGAGCTTGATGCTCTGTTCATAGATGAACCCTTGAGACGTCTCAGGTCGTCCACACCAACCTGGTTACTAGTTTGCTGTTGGAAGCCACCAGAAAAGTTGCGAGCATCGCCGCGACCGACGGGAGGTCGACCACCGCCAGGACCTCGCTGGTTGCTTCGTGCGGCTTCCTGAGCCTTTGCAGCTTGCTGAGCTTCGGCCTAAATTCAATTTGATCAGTACTCACTGTATGAGAGAGGATAGGGGTTGTTGAATAGATGTATAAACTCACCTCGGCGCGAACCTCTTCCAAGGTCTTGGGGCCCTTGTTAGCCTCCTTCGAGACCCAACGGGCTCTTCGGAGGTCGACAATGTCCATGAGCATGAATTTGATACGGCTCTGCAGCTCAGGCAGATCAATCATGCCCTGGATGCGCTGGAAGTAGGCGTCTACCAAAGGACGGCCCTTGGTTTCGTCAAGATTGGCACCAATAGTGCGAAGCAGCTTGCAGAGAGACTCGACTTCAGCCTCGTCTGGCAGACCCTGGTAGTCGACCAGCTTGCGAACACACTCGTGCATGATACGCTCTGTAAGCATGCCCAGCTTGAACAATTCTCCGATGAACTGAACGAGACCAAGTCCTCGTCGCTTAGCTGCGGCGGCGGCGTAGTATTCGTCAGATAGGAGAGCAGCCTCCGTAGGCTTAGCATCCGTAGGCTTATTGTCGGTATCTTCAGCACCCTCTGGGGCTTCCGGCAGGTTGGTTGTCCAGCCACGCTCAAACTCCTCCTGGCATCGGTTCAAGAGATACTTTCGGAAGAGGTTTCCGCCGCTAACAACTTGGCCATTCTTGTCCTTGATGTTCTCGTCACGGATATCAGAGCTCATGGTCTCAAGCATGCGCTTGCAGAACTTGGCATACATGGATGCCCAGTGAGCTTCATCAGTAGCCTTCTCAAAGGTAAGCTGGATGACCTGGCGCAGTGTCCGGCCATCAGACTCATCCTTTGACTGCGAGGCAATAAGCAAGATCTGATCCGCAATACGGTCAAAGTTCTCAGGTGTCATCTTGTTTAGAGCGGCCTTGACCTTTCGCTGAACCATCTCTGGCTCCATGTGCTGGCTCGGGCCAGGAGCTGCAGCACCGGGCTTGGCTCCGACACTAGTAGGCTTCCATCCGGTGGCAGAAACAACAATGGGCTTGAGCTCCATGCCAGCGGTGAGAGGCATGGTCTTAGCAGCCTGTGCTTCCTTGGCAGCGTTGTCGTTGCGTCGGCTACCACGAGTAGACCGGCTGGACTGGCGGGGAGAGTTGGGCATGTTGCGCATGTTCTGAGAAGAAGTGCGAGACATGGCAGATGAACCGGGGAATCCAGAGCCAGGGCGCTGGAAGGATGCCATCGGGTTGACCTGCGGTCGCGGCAGGGCGCCGCTGGCAATAGCCATGCGGTCGGCTGATGTGGTTCCGGGAGGCAGAGTGCGTCCTGCAGGAACACCAAAAGAACCGCCGGGGAAACCACCTCCACCGCGAGATCCCTGTCTGGCTGAGCTAGGGGTCTGGCCTCGCGATGCAGATCGGCCGCCATCGCCATCGCCAATCAGCTGCTTAATCTGCTGGTGGAACTGCAGTGAGGGTTGTTCCGTGAAGACCTTCTGGAACTGGAGCATGAAAGCGGCGTCGTACTTGAAGGTCTTGCCCTTCTTTGCGACGGCAGCGTTGAGGGCTGGGTTGGGAGACTTGATTCCTTCGGGGTAGATATCCTGGTTCATGACCGCAAGGAAGCGAGCAGATTTCAAAGACTGGAGAGCGGCACTAGGCTGGGGGGGCTCCACCGCACCGGTCTTGATGGGTGCCAGGTTCAGAGCAGCAGGCTTGGCAACTCGCTTCTCCTTGGGACCGGCAGCCTCAGCAGACTTGTCTCCAATGCTCAGGTCGCCCAGCTTATCGGCAACTGAGTCGGGGCCAGCAGGCTCGTCCTTCTTTTCGCCACGAGCCAGAGCAAGAGCTTCAGTAAAGGAGAGAGTCTTTCCAGTAGCTTCAGCAGCCTCTCGTCGCTTCTCCTTCTCTTCTTCGAGTCTCTCCATCTCTCGTTCCTGTTCTCGAAGCTTTCGGTCCTGTTCTTCAGCATTGGTCTTGGCATTCTTCTCTTCCAATGCCTTAGCCGCAGCCTTCTCAGCGTCTCTCTTCTTCTTGTGCTCTGCTTCCTCTGCTTCACGCTTGGCCTCGGCAGCCTCCATCTCCGCAATAATCCGCTCAAGCTCTTCTTCTTCGGTTTCAGCCTTGGCTGGCTCCTCAGGCTTCTGAGCCTCCTCGACCTTGGGCTCTTCCACCTTGGGCTCTTCAACCTTGGGCTCCTCAATCTTGGGCTCTTCAACCTTGGGCTCTTCAACCTTGGGCTCTTCAACCTTGGGCTGGGGCTCAGGCTTAGTCTCCTCAGATTTCTTGGCTGGTTCTTCAACCTTGGCCTCCTCAACCTTGGGCACTTCTGCCTTGGGCTCTTCCACCTTGGTTTCCTCTGCCTTGGCCTCGACCTTGGGTTCGACGGGCTCTACCTTGGCCTCAGGCTTGACTTCAGATGTAGCCTCAGGCTTGGGTTCAGGCTTAGGAGCCTCACTTTCCTTCTTCTCTTCTTCCTCTTTGGAAGCGAGCTGCTGCTTCTGCGTAGCGGCAATAATCTTTGCCTTGAGCTCCTCCTGGATCTCCTTGGCGGACCTGTTTACTGAGTGGCTCTCTGTACGAGCATGGGTGGGCGTGTCAGGCTTTTGAGGGGGGGTTGGGGTTGAGGCGACAGGAGGAGTCTTGGTCTGATGGGTGCTGGGAGAAGGAGAAGCTGGCTGCTTGAAAGCCGAAGTATCAACAACCTCACCGGCAAGATTTTTAATTTGAATTGCTGCGCTCTTCCTCTGGCGAGGAGCAAAGGGGCTTCCACCCTTTGGCTGGGCGTTGAGAGCCTGTGGGTTAGATGACACGATGGCGGGCTGGCTCGGCTGGCCGGCGCTGGGAGCCCGCTCAGGCTGCGAGGGCGATCGAGACATGCTGTGGCTCTGTTGGTGGAACGGAGGTACGAAAGGCTGGTTGAAAGGCTGGGCGTTGGGTTGGGGGGGTCCCATGTAAGGCATGCCATTGTAGCCAAACGGCACTGTCATGGGCTGGCCATATTGGTTCATCTGCTGCGGGGGAAATCCGTACGTCTGATTCTTCCAAGTTAGCAAGCGCTCAAATCCTCCGTTTTCAGGAGATAGGTCAAGTGAAGGCTGGTGATTGGGGGGGAGACTATTGAAAATGGGGCTGGGAGAGGCAGGTGAGTCCTGTTGAATTCCACTAGAAACCGGACGCATATTGTTCTTGTCGTGGGTTCGCCGCATTGTATCTGCACGTTGGCCATTGTTACCGAAGCGGCGCTGATACTGCTGCTGTTGCTGCTGCAGAACGTCGCTGGGAGATGGCTCACGCGCGGGGTCCAAGGGGCGTCCCGTCTGAAAAGACCTGTCGTGCTCACGACGGCCTTTTGCCTTTTTATAGTTGGGCTTGGAAAAATGCATTTTGGTGACTGCAGGAAGGGGGTACTGTACTTGTTGCTGATGTTGCGGCGCCATGGGTGGCGGATAATGGTACTGCGGAGGCGTTCCCATAGCCAGGTTGGGTGGCGGCATCGTGGCGGGAGTCAAGTTGGGGGTGCCGGGCAGCGAAGACACCAGAGCAGGGCTTCGTGTCATGGGCTGGGGCGAGTTCGGGTAGGGTCGATTCGGCTGGAAAGCAGGAGGCATGCCACGGTTCTGGGCAGGGCCAGGTCGATACTGGTTGTTGGGAGGGTAGCCCATCTGGTGGTTATTGTTGAACTGAGCAGCATGAGGGTTGAATGAGTTACGGTTTCGGTTGTTCTGAGGGTTAAAGTTGCCACGGCTGCTGTCACTCTGCACAGAATGGCCAGACTCGCGGCGGAAGTGTGAATTGGGCTGAGATGCCAGGTTCTGGTTTGGAGGCACGGAACCTTGTCTCATATGACGCTAGAAGGATAGTTAGTATTTGACGACAAAGGTCTACAAGGAAGGGGAGAATATGGGGAGAGAAGAGAAAACACTTACATCACCGTCACTTCCAAGGCTACCAAAAGTCATCTGGTTGGTGGGCTGCTGCAAGCTAGACGGAGGTCGGCCACCGCTAGCAGAGGGCTGGGGAATAGGCGCAGGAGAGTGAGCGGGAGAGGGAACTCGGTGGTGATTGTTGCCCTCAGGAACTGGGATAGGAGCCGAGTGGCCAACATGAGGAGTGCTGTGACCCATGGCAGGCGAGTCGTATCCAAACTGGATGGCCGACTTGGCGGCGCCAATGGAGCCGCCGTTGGGAACGAAGCCGCTGGGGCCGTTGGCAGCCATGGTGACGGAGCCTTTTCGAAGGTGGTCGGGGGCAGAGCCGTTGAGAGTGCTGCCGCGAGCGACGGTAGGGGCCGCGGCCTGTTTGCCGTTTACTGGAGAAGGAGATGAGGCAGCTTTGGCATTCTGTGCCGTCGAGGCAGCTGAGCCAACTACCAGGGGGGCGTTCGAGCCGGACGCAACTACAGGCGCCTGAGCGGGCTTCTTTGGCGCACCTGCTGCGGAGGCATATGAAGTTGCCGTAGGAGCGTTGGTGTTGGTCGCCGGGATGGGGTTCTGCTGATTCGCAGGCGACGTCATATGGGGAGCGGGTGGTTCGCGATGCGAGAAAACGAAAGGCTTGATGGGTTGTTTTCGTTGGCGGGGCGAAAAGGCGAAAGGTAAGGGAAAAAAAAAAGAAAAAAAAAAAGCCGGGACGACTTTTTTTTTCCTGGTTTTTTCCGGGGTGGTGTTCAGAATCGACTCAGCGATCCTTCACTTGCTCTCTGGGATTGTTCTCGGCGAAAGGGGACCAAGAACGCTCGAGAAGAGAGGATATTGGATTCGGCTCGTTCGACGACGACTGGCTCGGTCGATGGTCGAAAACGAAGCGGCGAGGAGATGAGGCCGACCGGTGGGGGAAACGATCGCAGACTGAGCTACGATCCCGCGGGGTGGCGTCAAAGAATGAGCAGGGAATTGAATCTTCTGCTACCGAGGCCACAGAAGATAATTCCAATGCTGGTGAGGAGAGAAAAAAGGCCAGGCGAGAAGAAGAAAATCCACCGCACTGCTCTCGTGTTTGGGTGATGAAGGTTGGAGAGGAGGTCCAAGCAAGAAAATTTTGGGCAGCAGGAATACAGGATGTGGGCGGAAGGGGCAGTGGCCAAGAGCGCCGCTAAAAGGAGGGGTGGCGCTAAAAGGCTGCCCAGACTTTGGTTCCCTGCGCTAATTTTTTTGTACGTACTGTACAGCGGCTGTTGAGAGGGCCAATCTGAAGGTTCTGGGTAGCAGTAGTTGAGTTGTTAGTGTGTAGGGTGCTTGGAGCACGAGCAGCAGCACCGCACAGTCTAGAAGAAGTACTACTTACTACTAGGGGTTATCTATCGTGCGGATGGATGTAGGATCGATGTTTGCCTCTTGTTCTTGTTCTTCTTCTTCTTCTTCTTTATGGTCCTTTCTGGGCGGGGAGTATCGGCTATCTCAAGCTGCACCAAGTGAGAGTTTTATACTTTTTGCAAACGCACCGATTAAACGCCAACACGCTGCGCTGTGAAAGTGGGCGAGAGTCGAGAAGAGCAGCGCCCCCACCCGTTCTATTTATCAAATGCGTTTCCTCAGACAGAGCTTTGTTTCTTCCATTTTGTAGTTTGTGTCTTTCTTTCTGGTTCTATTTTTGAAAATCGACTGTGGCTTTTTCTTTTCTCTGGGCCGTGAGCAAACAGAGCCAACACACGGCCGTTTGTTCTCCAGCTTCGTATCACCGGCGGAAATGAGAGAAAGTGGTGGATATGCCCTATGGATCTTTGACGCAGGTCAGAAACTCTGAGCCAGTCGTATCATCTCATTGCGGCTCCCTGCTGCTGCTGCTCGTGTTCACTGCCAGGTCCCGCCAGTTCCACGATGCAGTCGTCATGTATTCCTCCCTCTTTCACTGTTACTGAGATACTATCTTCACACCCTTCAGCTGCAGTCTTCCACATGCTACAGTAGGTTCTCTGTAGCGCAGCTTAGACATGTCGTCGGTGTTATCACCACGTGACTTTTACGTCAACCCAGCATCAACCCTAGTCCAATGGGCGGCTTCTGCTAGGTACCTAGTCCCGATCAGTCGGGTACATGTAGCGCTGAGATAGGCGTTGACAAGTATCAAGCGTCAAAGCCTTGGAAACAAGAGATAAAAGAGAATTCAAGTCTTGAACAAGCCATGATGGTGCATCGCAGAAGCATCTTTGTTTCCGATTTCACAAAACAAATTGTTCGTTTCTTTGCGTGGCGTTGATGACCTACAAAAGACCATGCCGCCACAAGGCACAAACAAAGCGTAGCATGTGACAATCTCCAAAGCATCGCAACGCCTTCTGAGGAGTCATAGCAATGACCTATGAGTCAAGTCGAGATTGACCTGGCTCTAGTTATATGCGAATACTCCATATCTAGAAAGTCCTTAGATGCCGCCACATAAGATTTCTATAGGGCCGCCGAATTTAACTTACTATCTCCATATGTACCGCGCTCGGTCTTGATGAGAAGACATCCAAACTCCGAACTAGCTGAGCCGCATTGAGGAAACCACCGAGCGGTCTCGCAGACGAGGGAGAAGCCGGAATGAATAACCATGTAACAGTAGGTAGCTCAAAATGCATGGCCGCTTTCCAAGGATGAATTCTGCGGTGCCCCATAATGCCGGCTTTTGCAATGCTGCCTGACTGTCTACAAGTACCTCGCGGCCTCGCTAAATAGAGGCGTGCCAACGGCGTTCTTATCCAATGCCAGAGCCACCAAAGACTAGTAGTCCGAAAGAGAGTTGGATATTTTGAAAATTAAAGAAAGAAAAAAGAAGAATAAAAATAGTAGAAATGCTAGCATCAACACATCAACACCGAATTTACCCCTAGAGCACCGTCCAAAGCAAAGTCGAAGCCGACGTTGTAGGTTAGCAACTGTGTGGCTGAAGGAGACGTAATTGGTCCCTGGTACCTAGAACCCTCTGTTGAACGTTTGAACCCCTCTATCAGCCACAGTGACGAGGTACCTCATGTATTTTGGAGGCGATTTCTTTGTTGAGAAATGAAAGAGCGAGGATAGCTGACTGTTCATTCTTTCGCCAGCTTACGATTCCTATTGGATGATTTGCAAGCAAGACGGTTTGTCTCGCCACTGATAGGTACACAGAAGAATCTTCACGCTCAACTGCCTTGTCAACATCTGGTATGAGGTAAGCCTGCATAATAGGTACTCAAAAACTTCAAACGCAGCTTCCGAAATCCCTTGGATGAAGTAACCAAGCACTCAATTGTTCATTGAAAAACAATATCCAGATTGCACAATGCTCAAAAGAAAGGGCATTATTCAGGACTCCAGCTATAACTAGTGTCACATATTCACAGCTATTTTAATTTCTCCTGCTTCAACTGCTTCAACTGCTTCAACTGCTTCAACTGCTTCAACTGCTTCAACTGCTTCAACTGCTTCTATATTTTCAAGTCTTATACGCTGCTCCAATGTTTTTATATGTAAGCCGACTCTTTCATTTATCCATGGACAAGGTGCTACTTGTAGATAACAAAACTGGGGTCCAAAAGAAATTACATGGGCCCGGCAATAACAGAGTGACCTGTCCTATGTAGTCGCCCGCTAAAAAAAAAAAAAAAGTTGTTTCAAATACACCCCTGGTGTGATTATATCATAAAAAAAAAATTAGAAAGATACGATTGTTTCCCCAAACACAAGCTAGGAGTTTTTAGTGGCCTTATTTTCCCCTACCAAATCGGCCCTGTGCGAAAACTCCAAAGCTTGCGGCCACTGTCTTGCAACGTTCTATCATTGATGTCGTAAGAAGCCGCCGGTTAGAGCCATCAAAATTGTAGTCTTTTCGGAAATTGGAAATTACAAAAAGGAATAGAAACAAGTGACAATAGCTCTAGACTGAGGTCTCTTGGGTTGTAGAATCCATGTACATAAGATACCATGTTACCAAGGATTTGATACAGTGTGTGGCTGAGAAGTACCGACAAACGACAAGCCCTCAGAGCGGTATCACCCGAACTCAGCGTCACGAGATAATCGTCGCCCTGTCCTACCAGAAAATAAAAACTGCGAGAGGCAGCCATTCATCATCACCTGATTACGAGACAATTATTGCTCCAAAAGAAAAAAAAAAGAAAAAAAAAAAAAAGTTCAAGTCGGCAACTGCCGATGCCGATGATGATGATGATGCGAGGATGCACTGTGGCCGATCTTCCGCTACGAAGGATGCAGTATGCAGTACCGTGCTGATTGATGAAAGGAGAAACATGATCCTCTTCATGATTAACCCGATACGCTGTACATTTGATAGACACTTCAAAGTCCGGATACTTGGAAGAGGACAAGCATACGTGCCCATGGCCATCACCAATCGCCTGTATAAGTGCTGTACTCCAAGGACAACAACCAATATCCCATTTTCTTTCCCCTATTCCGTTTCCATACTGCAAGCTGAACTTCTCAATCTTAATAGTATATGAAGCAGAAAAATATCTCTCTATACAAGTCCAACATTGAAGAGCAAGCTTCACTCTGTACCAGGTGCCATCTGCAAAGTCGCAGATCATCCGCCTTCAATGACGCACCTTGTCTCGCCCCCCATGTCATCACATGTGCAACGAATTTCCAACAACCCAAAAGTTCACACTCTCGTTTCGTTCTGCCATTATCTAACGGTATGCATCATATATGGAAAAAAAGGTAAAAGCCCCTTTCAGCCGAAAATAAAATAAAATAAAAGAATGCAATATCATGGCTCATTTCTTTGTTACATCCTTTCACATCACTAAATGTCCCTTTTTTCCTTTATTATTTTTCCCCTCTTCAGTTCAATTGGGTGTAATTCCACGTCCCCGGAAACTGCAATCTCTAATTCGCCTCTCCTTCTCGGACTTCAAGAATGTCTGGCTCTAGAGCCCTGTCTTCTTCCTCATCGTAATATCCTCCCTGTCCCTCTTCGCCTGCCTCATCAATTGTAGATTCCATCAACAGGCCCTGCTCTGCTTGTAACTGATTGATTTTGGTTTGTGTCATCTCAAACACATACTGCCCTATGTGCTCAACACCCTCCATGGCGACTTCACCCTCCACTGGGCCGTCTTCCTCTGTGTTTGGCCGTTCCGCTCCGTACAGCTCTCCTGTTACTAGCATCAGTTTGTCCGGACGTTGTAAAAGCACGTCAAAAGCTGGTCGGAGCTCAGGGCAGGCTTCAAACACTTCTCGGCGTCCAAGAACGTAGAGTCCAAGTCGCGCGCGAGAAAAGGCCACAGTCATACGACGGACGTCGCGAAGATAGCCCACTCGTGATGTGCGAGTCAGAGAAAGAATGATGTCTAGAAACTCTATTAGCTTTTGATTTTTTCCCTAAAAAAGATGGTGATATGAGAAAGAAAGAGGATAGAAACTCACAATCATTCTGTTCTCCTTGGTATTTGTCGACTGTAGCAACAGCCTTGGGCAGACCAAAAATGGGACTCGAAGCACATCGGTGGGCGAGAACATCTCTCACCAGAGCCTTTTGACCGGCATATGTCGTGAGTATGCTAATCTTCTCAGCTGGGTATCCTAGGAGCCGCATATACTGGTAAATGGCCACCGCGTATTCAGCCTCACCGAGATTCTGAATAAAGTGTGGCGTCGGTTCCGCTTCACCTCGGCCCTTGTAGTCGGGGACATTGATGAATTGAAAGTCGTATTTGAAGCCAGCATTTGCCCGCAAGAACTCTGGGTTGGTCTGTACGTCGGGGAGGCTGTCAAGCTTGGGGTATCGCCACTCGTACAGCTTCGCAATGGATGACCGAGCACGGCCTTGTTGATCCAAGGTCACCGTGGGCACGCCAAGCCGAACCAGCCGCGAAAACAGCGACTGCTCCAGGTTGGCATAGTGTCGGAATGCCAAGCTCTGAATAACCGGCGAGTTTTGGAAATGGTCTCCGCATAGTACGACTCGTTGCAGCGGTAACTGCCCGTCGACAGGCTTTTGCATCGCCAGTGGAATAAACGTTTCTATCTCGGTGATTTGCGCCGCTTCTTCCATGACGACGTTGACATAGTGAAAGCCAAGTGCTGCAATCTCGCCTCTCCTCATAGCCGCATGGGTAGTCGTCATTGCGACAATGCGAGCCTCATTAGTGAGGAGATAGTTAGCCTTATCCTTCTCACGTCGCAGGATCTCAAATGGCCGGATGTCTGCCAGCTCAGAAAAGATCTTGGAAATGTGGCGGTAACAGCCCTGAGCAATGTCCAAGACTTGTGCTCGGTCCGCTTCTTGCGGGAATAGGGGCTGGGGAGCATCCGCAAAATAAGAGTGAAAGGGGAAATGCTGCACAACGTCGGATGCGCTAGAGGCGTCGGATTCTGCTACTAGAAGAAACTTGGCCCAGGCCGGCTCTACATAAGCAACGTTGAAATATCCTGCAGTTTCAGCCGAGTTCTCATGTGCTCCTGGAGCCCCCAAGCTTTCTGCCAGCTTCTTGACCTCAAACAGAAACCTGTCCCGGTTGTCCAAAAAGGACTCGACGCGGCCATACTTGCTGAAGCTGCCTTCAGTGTCCAAATCTTCCTCGCCGTGGCCGAGACGTAGGAGGTGTCTCTCATCGATATCCAGTGCAATGATTTTAGAAAAGAGTTGGTTGAGAGCCTGGTTGCTGTGTGCGATGAGTAATGTCTTTTGGTTCGGAAAGTTGTGGTAGATGTTGTTTATGATTTGTGTAGCGACGTCTGTCTTGCCTGTCCCTGGGGGTCCGACAACGACGGTCAATCCAGGTTGAGATCCGGACATGATGGCCTCGATTTGAGCCGGAGTAAACCTCACAGCATTTTGCTTTGGCGCATCAAAGGGATAAGGGCCATTGTTGGGAGGCTTGTAGGTGGAAACCTTGAGAGTCTCTACCTCTGACAGCAGCGCTGGTTCTAAATCACGCCGTCGCTTCTTGGATGGCTTGCCGCCCTGAGGCTCTTCTGCTTTGTCAACAGCTTCAAGGACATATGGCGGCCCAAAACTGCCGGTAACATCATCGCCCGGCTCAACAGTCTTTCCAGGTAAGCTTTCAACCAAGTGCTGCCAGCCCAAAAACGTGTCTCTGTAGTCGATTGTCTTGAGCCTATTGGGCAGATTTTTGTAGTGCGCGCCAGCCGGGTCGCCGTAGCCCAGAAAGACTTCGTGAAGCCATGAAGGCAGTGGCATTTCGGATAAGACGAGGGTGCGGATGGCCTCCAAAACCGGCTTGAAATTGTTTTCCCTCTTGTTCCGTCTGAGCAGCAGGTTAATGCCTGCATAGACATCGGGCTTACCCGCCGCGGCTTGCTCAGCATCATGCGCGTAAGTTGCCGAATCTAGCCTCAGCTGGATACGTCGTTTTGGATCCAGGCGCTCTCCCCGTTCCCTGGCGTGGTGGCCTCTGTCGTCCGTGATTTGAACGACTTCGGCAGTTCGTACCGCCAGGACACCGGCCTTGTCAGCTTCTGACTGGGTTGACCTGCCATTAGCTACTCCTTGGCTAGATGAAGCGGGCTGAATGGCTAGCAAGAAGACAACATCGCCTGGACGGAGTGTGTCCCACTCTCTGCGCACACCGTCTCCTAACCGTTTCGCATCAAACGTTACTTCAGCCCGAACCACAGATGGCTTATCGTCTCCGACAAGAGCAGGGACGACTTCTAGTATTGTCGGCTTGGCAATTGGCATTGCCATTTTCGAGAAGCCTGCGAAGTGGGTTTCTCCAGGCCGCCTGCTTTCCGGTCGCAGACGACGCAGCGCAGCCTCGATGTCCTTTCGGATTCCATAAAAGGACTCGCAGCGATATAGCACCAGCGCCCTCCAAAGAAAATCGCCAACTGAAAGATATTGAAGATTCAGCTTTGGGAGGGCTAGAGGATGTGAGCCATCGTAGGAGTCTGCCCGTTGAAAGCTCTCATCAAACAGAGTGTCTTCACTTGGTACCAAGCTTATTCTCTGAGCAACCTCCTGGAAGGTCTTCTTCCGCTCAAAGGTAGTCAGGAGAAACTCAATGAGAAATTTGCGATCAATACTCACGCTGAGACTGTCGGGATATGTGGATCTGAGGTCCAAAAGATTCACCAGCTCGAGCAACTCGTCATCGTTAAGAGGCTCAAGATGTGATACCAACTCTTCTCGCTTATCAACCGCACCGTAATTTGACAGGGCCAGGATAGTAAGCTTATCCTTGAAGTGCTTCAAAGCAGTTCGCTGGAGCTTTCCTAGCAACGTACAATGCCTGTCAAAGGCCTCTGATCGGTTTAATTGAATGCCAGTCTGGTCATCAATGGCAAAGAATGTGTAGTGGGAGAGAAGAGCGTGAAGATCACGCAGCAGAACGCTGGACACGTCGTTGTATAGCGGAGACAGTCTCATCAAGGGAATGAGATGCAAATCCTGGACTAGGGAGTTTACGTATCGCCGAGTGGGCAGCTGGCTCTGCAAATCAGATATAAACTCGGTAAATCGTTCGCAGTAAAGAAGCGTCTGCTCTGACTGGTCGCTCTCGTCGTACAACTGGTTGATAAAATCAAGGATAAGCGTGTACAGCCATGAACGCTCGAACCGTAGCCGCGCTTTGGTGGCCTCATCTGCCGCATCATATCGCTTCTGGGCAGCTCTCCAAGCTTTTCTAAGATGCGGCGAGGAGTCGAGATGGGCCTCTTGGCGCTTCTCGGTGGATAGGTTATGCCAGATGCCAATTGATACCAAAGGAGCGCATTCCTTTCTCACAATAGAACAGTCGAGACTCTGGAAAGCATAGATGAGGAAGCAGAGGAGGTGCGTTCGCAATGTCGTAGACAAAGTCCGATCGAGTGTCATTGATAGAATACGGCGGAACAGGGACGAAAAGTCGTCGGGTCTCTCCTCGAAGATTTCTATTATTTCGCTCTCACGTTAGATGTAGCCTTCAACTTGGCTGAGCAATCAGACTTACTCCATGTTTCGAGGTGTTCACGCCTCTTGACATTGCATATCAAAGCTAGTATGAGGACATGATGGTTGGACGACTCTTCGGAATAACCAGGCCATAGGTAGCTATTGCAACGCGTTAGAACAGCTCTGAAACAGCTAAATATCACCGAATTTCAAAGGAAGTCATACTTCTCCAACGTCTGTAAGCTCTCCAGCAGCAGCAGCAGCTTGTATGAGAAGCCATCCTGCTCTAAAACATCCCAGATGCCCTGCTTGACCACGTCATTCTTGACCTTGACCTTGGCCGTCTTCTTCCCGGGCTTCAGCCAATGCTTCCGTGCAATCTGCACAAACTGGTGCTCCTGCTCCTCCACCTCTGCTGGCGTTGGGCGCCCATCTGTGGTCTCCTTCGGCGGCGGACGTGTCGTCGCTGCTGCTCTGCCAGCGCCGGTGCCTCTGGATCGCTTCGCGTTAGGCATTGTGAGGCTACAGTCGCGTCATGAGCTGCTCGAAATATCCGGCCGGGCGTCCCAAGGGCTGGTGGACCGACTAAATGCTGCAGGAGAGGCTCGTTTCTGGGACAAGGTGGGCATTCATGCGCAGCCGATGTTGCGTCCACGCCTGGCAACGTTCCCTGTGCACAAAATTTCAGCCTTGCGCGAGCTGGAGACCCACTGAGCGGCAGCGCCAGGGCGAGCTACATCTTATCAAGTATCTCCTGACAGCCAGTACCGCCTGGCCCATGCAGCGCTTGCGGCTGACTCGTGTACCTGCAGCAGCATGGAACCATGCGGGCATCTCTCTCCAGTCTCAGCCTTCTCACCTGGCCATCGAACAATTCGCGACTCAACTCAGCACTTTCTTTCACAGACGACTATCCGCCGGCAACGCGACCCTCACAATATCGCCTCTGCCAAATTTATCCACATACACACTTACAACCCTTAATCTCGACTAATTTCGGCTTCGCTTACGTTCAACAATCACACTCACACCCTGGCGATCCAGCATCCGTGTCGGCGACTCGACACGGGTCGACTTGGGCATCGCTTTAGCGTTTGAAATCGAGTTTTCCGCCATGCCGGCCCTCGATATCGAGAACCCAGGCGTTCCAGCCGTGAGCGCGTTCGGGGAGCTTCTGAACGAGCTGCTCAACGAGGCCTCCGCGGCAAAAGAGACAACCACCATCGAGCCTGCTCTCTCAAAATCTGACTTTGCCAACATCTTCGATCGAGTTTCCTCCTCGCTTGCCCGCGCTAACATCGCGGGCACCGAAAGCAATGCGCCTCAGGACTCGCTCAGGTCTCGGCAGTTTGCCGTCGTCGAAACAGCGGCTCGCGATTCCTTCAGCAAGCTAATCGTAAGCCGACAAACAAGCTCTTTTCGAACCCCTCCAGAAACTAATCCATAAAGGCGACAACGTCAATTGATAGCCCCAAGTTTGTGCGGATGTGGAATTTGCTAGATATTCTTTCGATACTCTCCGACGACGGTCAATGTGACCCTGCTCTTCTCTTTTGGCTTGTGGAGGAGCTTCTCGACAGCCAGACGATTGCGGGATGCCGCATAATATTCGACTTCCTTGAATCAAGACGAGAGCGCATCACCGCCAAGCACTTTAAACAGAAGAATCTTGTTATTCTCCGCAGTTGCAACGAGCTGTTGCGAAGACTCTCTCGCGCCGAGGACACAGCTTTCTGTGGACGAGTATTCATCTTTATGTTTCAGAGCTTCCCTCTAGGAGACAGGAGCTCTGTCAATCTACGAGGAGAATACCACGTTGAGAACGTGACATCTTTTGAAACACCAGAAGATGAAGACAACAAAATGGAAGTTGATGCTCAAGCCGAAGCGCCAAAGGAGTCGGGGGCGCCCAAAGCTGGTGCAAAGAATGGAGCTCAAGAGTCAAACAAAGCGTTGGATTCTGACACGCTATATCCTCTATTCTGGTCTTTGCAGGAAAGCTTCAGCCAGCCCTTGAAATTGTTTGACGTGGCCAATTTTACAAAATTTAAGAGCAGCCTGGAGTCGACAATCAAGGCTTTCCAGGCGATCCATGACGACAGCTTGTATACATCAAAGTCGATGGAGAATCTTAAGCGAACTCTCAAGAGAAAGAGGGACGACGATGGAACTGAGACGCTACCAGAGGCGTTTAATCCCAAGTATCTTACGAGTAAGGACTTGTTCCAGCTTGAGGCAAGTATCGCAATAACCACCCTAAATACCCTCATTGGCAAGCATCTAACAGTAAAATCCCACTATAGATTAGCGATCTCTCTTTTCGGCGACACGTCCTTGTTCAGGCTCTCATCATCACAGACTTTCTCCTATCCCTCTCAAAGGAAGAGAGGGAGAAACGAACAAACATCAACGTATCCAACAAGTCGGTCATTTATCCTGACCAACTGAATGAAGAAAATGTAAGAGACTCCTACCCTGACAGAGACTCCATACTCACATACTCACTTTGTCCTATCTCCAGACGAAATGGGCTACCGACATAAAAAAGGTGATATCAGACTATCTCAAGCAGGGCGCTGATGGGCCATACTTTTTTCGCATGGTAGAAACAGTGCTAGCTAGGGATAAGAACTGGGTCTTTTGGAAGATGGCCAGTTGCCCGCCCATCCAGCGCGACCCAGTCTCAGCCCAAGGCTTCCTCGAGGCAAGGGAAGCCGCTCAGCGCATGGCGACAAGCAAGCGGCTGCGACCAAATCCGCTCAACGCCGTGCCTCTCGATTTTCTCGCAAACGAGGACGAAACCTCGGCTTTGGATAAGCTGAAAGATGCAGAGCGGTACCAGCTGCCCGAGTTGGACGCGTTCAAGAGCAAAATCGCAGACGACGACTTTGAGATTGAGATGCCGACCAATAGCGAGACAAAGGCCGCGGCCGTTGCGGGCAAAGCGAGCAAAAGCTGGAGAGCTTTGCGGATAGCGTCGAGATTCAAGCTAGCGGCCTTTGATAAGCTCGATGACCCGAAGAAGATTAACCTCATCTTTGAGGACGACATTGAAGGAGCTGAAGACGAGGAGGATGCTGAACCAACCGCGAGCGAGGACGACATGCCCAAGAATCGCGACCCCATCATCTTGTCTGCGTCGTCTGGTATTGACATTTCATCGCTAAAGGCGAAGCTCATGGATCTGCATAAGGGGGTATTCGCCCCTGTGGTACGCCATGCTGTGCGCGAGCCCAAGGACGGAGAGATCAATGGCAAAACATACCATTTCGTCAAAGCCCAGGAGTTTAATCAGCTGCGAGACGGTGACCGATTAGTTGAGTACACCAGCCGCGATGGAGTCGACTATGGCACAAGCAGCAAGGCTGTTGAAGCTGTTGTTGACGCAGGCAAGGTGCCCATCATTGAGCTCGATGTCGAGGTACGTGACTGCACTCTCTTAGACATCCCCTTTACTTTACGCCTTTTTTTTTTTTTTTTTTTTTTTTTTTTCCCTTTTCTCAGTCCTGTATGCCTTCCAGTCAGATCAGTCGCTTACATATTTTTACCTTACCAGGCCGCTCAATTCGCCAAGGACATGGACTTCTCAGCCCGCTACATATTCATCAAATCCTCTTCCGATGAAACCTTTGACGAGTCCAAAACGAATGAGTTGTTCGACACTGTAGTTGTAGACAAGGACAATCTCGAGGAAACGGCCACTAGTGTTGGGGAATTCATTTACGCGGAAAAGCAAGAGGACCAAGATGAGACGACAGCTAATGGCGATGCGAACATGGAGGATGCACCGCCTGCAGACGGCGACGAGGAGGAGGCGTAAAACAGCCGCATTTACGTACAGGCATTTTTGGACTTGTTTTACTTTTTTTTTTTAATGACAGCATGGGCTTCACGTGGGATATAGGCTTTTGTGATTTTTGATTTTTTTTTTTGGTTTTTTTCAATATGAGTGTATTTTTAAAAAGTGCTGGAAAGTCGGGTTCGAAGAAATACCCAAGGGAGTCAGAAGCAAGATACCAAATACATTGGTCATATAGTCTAGTATGTATACAAAGAAAGAAAGCATGTTTCACATCACAGATCATATGCAAAGAGTGAAAAAAAAAAAAAAAAAATGAGTGGACTGTACGATTTCAAAAGAGCAATCTACCAAGTAGTACTACTGAAAGTCCGGTTTTTTTGGTCACACATGCTCGATACATGTATATATGTATATATATATAACAAAAGGAGCCATTTCAACATCAACCCCCCTCGACAGCTACCCAGCTATTCTTCACTTCCCATGTCATGAAAATTCCAATCTAGTAGATGATGGGAGAAAAATAGCACGCTAAAAAGCAACGGGCCTGTCGAAAGTAAGTCTCCCAAACAGGAGGAGGTGAGAGGCGATTTCACTCGTCCTCTTCGGAGGATTCCTCCTCTTCGGCCTCCTTGAGCCAGTTGATAAAGGGCTCGGCAGCCTTGCGGACCTTGCGAGAAGTAGCAACGTCGACGTACTTCTTGCTAGCCTTGGAGCCCCAGGGAATGAGGACCTCCTCGGAGGCAAGGTCATGCTCATAGTACAGCTGCAGGATCTTGGCGACTTGTTGCAGCATTTCGGGGTGCTCCTTGCTGAGGGTGCCGATGAGGCGCTCAGTGCCACCGAGCAGGGCCTTCTCATGCTTCTCAGATGTGACAAACTGTGGAAAAGGCGGAGTTAGCTAAAGGAAAATGTTGTATGCAAGGGAGTAAAGGGAATGGTGTAATAGCTTACCTGCTTGAGCATACTTGCGCGCTTAGGGATCTGGGCAAGAATGTTCTTGTCAAAGACGGTCTGTACCAGAACGAGAACAGATCGGTGCTTGTTCTCGATGCCAAGCTCCTTGGCCTTGACATAAATGTTGATGGAGTCAACCTTGTCAACGCCACCCTTCTCCTCAGCTTCCTGGACAATCCAGTTGCCAAGGTCGTCGTAGACGGTGTTGCCACCACCCTCGCCGTCCTCGTCTTCATCATCGCCGCCGCCAATGTTGAGCTTCTGCTTGAGCTCGCCAGGCAGCTGCGCTTGGCGAGCCTTGACGGCTTCCGCGCTCATGTCGACAGCCCACTCGTCATCCTTGACCTCGATATCAGCGTTGGCAGCGGTAATTGCCTCAGCCTGGACCTTTTGGAACTCGTCATCGCTGCCGACGTCGGCCTCATTGTCGCCAGTCTCGTTGGAGCCGTGCTCAGAGCCATCCTCGCCACTGGCGTGGCCATTCTCTTTGGCATGGCCGTTCTGCTTGGCCTTTTTGGCAGCTCGGCGCTCGGCCTTGTCCTTCTTGCCCTTCTTGGGCTGGTTCTTGAGGATGAATCCACTAAGCTTCAAGCGGAGGTCAACGTCGGTGCGCTGACCGCAAGCCTTGCAATCGAGAATGATGTGATCATCTTTGATGATGACATCGGTCTCAGGGTTCTTGCATTTCTTGCAAAGGACAAATTTGTTGATGAAGCCATCGAGATGATCCTGCAGCTTGGCGGCATCGTGGGCGCCGTTGATGATCCAACGGTCATCCTTGGGGTCAATGTTGGTCTGAGCACCAAGCTCGAAACCAAAGTACTTGATGACGTAGGAACCAGGGCGAGCAAGAGACTGAGCGACGCTGGACAAGTTGACGACAACGGTCTTGATACCGTTACCCTTGCCTTCAATCTTGGTCTGGAGGCGCTCCATCTTGTAGCGGTAGAAGGCATCGCTGACATCGCGACGAACGTTGACGAGAGCCATGATGACGGTTGTATAAAGATTTTTTTTCGGAGATGATCTCTTGAATTGTGTTTTTGTTTTTTTAAGTGGCGAGACGAGGGCTTGAGGGCTAAAAAATTACGTCTGTGACGAAAAATATCGGCATGAAGCGACTCGAGGCGTAGTAAGACGATTGTGATTTTGACGCTGGATATAGCGGGCGAGTCGGGGGGCGAAGGGAACTGAAGAAGTTCAACAATTATGCGTACTGGACATAGGGAGGACCGGACAGATTCTCGACTGCAGTGAGATAGGCATGAACTCGGAATCGAGGCTAATATCAACCGTCGGATCTAATATCGGGACTGCTAGGTTTCCGCGGTATGCGAAATAGCTGCAGCGTGAAGAAACGTCTGGATACGGTGGCGGAATCGTGCTGATACATAAACAACAAGGTACCGGCAATAGACTGCTAAGTGGGCAGAATGCTGGTAGAAGCAGACAATCTAGGGAGATTGATGGAGGAGGATAGCTGAAGAAGGGCGTATGGCTTATATCACAGAAGCTCTGCGGCTATGTGCGGTTGATTGCTCAGCTGGAGGCGAAAAAAATCGCTGTGGAAAAAAGTGCGCTGCGACCGACAAGACAGTCAGCAGGCCTGGCAGATGGTGGAGATCGAGAAGCTCAGAGATTCTGGCAGATGCAGTATCTGACGGAGTCGATACGGAGTCGTCGAGTTGGATGAGGGGAAAAGGAAGAAGGGAAAGAAAGAAGAAGGTGAAAGAATATAAAGAGGCTACCAGGATTTTGAATCAGGCCGAGATCCAGGTGGGGGCAAAGTTGTCAGCAAGCGCGGAATTTTTTTTTTATTTTTGGCCTTTAAAATTTTCTTTTTTTTTTTTTTTTCTTCTTTTTTACACTTTAGTGCATCACGGCGCTGCAGAAGGGTTCATATCCACTAAAGCAGCCGCTGGCAGCTGCGACTCTTCCGGCGTCTTCAGCGCCCCGGGGCTCGCTCTCGGCTTCTCTAGCGCCATCGCTACAGCAGCACAGCAGGCAACCACCAGCAGTGCGTGCATCTGCGCCGCCGACACGGGCCCGGCATATCTCCGGATACGCCGAGACAAAGGCCGCAGAAAAGTGTGCTCGGATGGGCTTCTGGGACTGGTGCACGGCACGTCTGTGTCGAATGGATTGCGCGTCAGACTGGCGGCGCGTTCTAAGCTGCATTGAGCCATTTGCTGCAGCAGTTCTTGGCACGGAATATGCGGGCTCATGCATGCCTGTCTGTCTGGCTGTCTGTGCCCTAGGGCCTGGTGCGGAGAGAGCCGACTGGGCTCTGGGCAAATTGAAACGCACATGCAAAATAGTCGATACAGCTATAGAAGGTCCATATCTGGGCTCTAATTTTTGAAACATCACGCCACCATCTGCCTACTGACTACTGACTACTAACTACTAGTAGTAGGAATTGTTGGTATTCGTCAGACGAACAAGCAGATGGAGAAGAGCCATGTGATTGACGATGCTGTGCCCTCGGTGTTTGTCCAAACAGCGAAGGAATATCCATATTGCCGGATTTCGGGCCTAAGGGCTTGTACAACCGCTGCAGCCTTTCGCGAAAATCTTGTTTTAAGTTCATCTGTGCATGTGCATAAGGGTTCGTGTATTTTTCCAGCCAATTGATGCCCGGATGCTGCTCTCGATATATCCTGATGGTTGCCGTTGGGCATAGCCCTCGGCATTCTTCCCAGCCCATAGGAATCATGTATACGTAGCCTATTACCGTGGTAGCAGTATTCAATTCCATGCTCTTTCGATTCTGCTGGTTCAGAAAGGGCATTTGACTACATGGAGGTACGTTATTAGTTCAAAATGGCGAGTCCATTTATATCGCTGCAGGGTAGCGCGATCACCGTCATATACTACCAAGTAGTAGGTAGGTACCAGTACCACATGTGCTATGTGTGTATGTATGTCCACGATGATCATTTTCGTATTTCACAATTTATACACTTCCTACTGGCTATTTACGTCGAGGGGGTGGAAATGAAGAAGGCATTTCTGGCTCAGAGGCCTCGATGAGATCAGCTGATCCGACATTGCCATATCCTCCGCCTTCATAGACTTGTGCGGCGTCGTGCTGTAGCTGGAATAGATGTCTCGCAGCAGAGTCTTCATTTCGATAATGGCCAGACTAATAATAACGCATCAAACTTTGGTCAGCCCTGGGGAGATTCTTATTGCCAAAAAAAAAAAAAAAAAAGGCCAAAAAGTCAACTTACTGCTTTCCAACACAGCCTCGGCCTCCGTTGGAAAACGCAAACTGCATCCGCCTTCGGTCTGCATCTCCGTCCTGCTCCAGCCAGCGATCAGGGTTAAACCGATCTCCATCAGGGAACACATCACTGTTGAGGCGATGCACCGAATAGGCCTGGCAGCTCACAATCGTCTGCTCGGGCAGCCAGAAGTTGTCAACAGAGCGGCCCCCCTGCGGAACGTACCGCGGCAGGGACATTGGGATCGGCGGGAAGCACCGCAGGCCTTCGTTGACCACGGCGTCGAGGTATGGGAGCCGATCAAGGGGAATTCCGGGATTCTGGTGCAATTCATCCGCAAGCTTGCGCTGGAAGCCGAGCGATCGTGGTTGGGATAGTTCCCACAGGAGGAAGCATAGGCCGTCGCCGGTGGTGTCGATGCCGGCAGCCATGTGGTCGAGGCATTCTGCCGCCTTGTCGATGTAGTCGAGATCGCTCGACTTTTCTTCGAAGCGGCTCATGAGAGTGAATGATGCCGGGCCGCTTATCTGGCTGGTTTCCAGCACAAAGTCGTCTGCCAGGGGGGTTTCTCGAGGCTTTGCGAATATGTATAGGACCTTTGAGAAGAGACGGTATAGTGTAGGAACGTAATGCGAAATGAGGCGATCTGTGGAACCAGGTCAGTATGAGCTCTGGCTTTTTAGACTCTGACTGGTTGACTTGCTCTGCAGGCTGTCGTCTGCCGCTACTTGATGCATCATTTCCTCGTCGTCTTTGTTTGTAATACAGTCGGTTCCATGGGGATGAAACAGGTGGTGAGTAATGCAGTCACAGGCATATGCGTGTAAGGCTGTGGATATGTTCAACTGATTAGCAAAATTTCTATCATTATCGTTATTCATGATTGTGTCAGAAAGACAAACGCATCTATATAATAATTCCATTAGCTTATAACCCTTATTTGTTTAGCGATACTGTTTTGTATCCATCTTGTCGACTTACAAAGATATCTGCTACACCTCCCGGGGATGAAACACAGTGCCGAAGAAATTTGGACGAGCGTTCTTGGACCCCGGTGACGGATGCACTTTTCATGACATTGCTGTTAGCATAGCGGTCGGCAAGGATCCTTTTCCTTTTGGCATGCTGTCCAGAGTCATGTCAGATGAAAGTTGCTTGGGCAATTTGTCAAAGCAAAACATACACCTGCTTTATCCAACGTAGTAAACATGGTTCTAGTTCAACAATCACCAATTAGAAGGCTGTTTCTCCACGAACAAAGGCAATGATGGATTCTCACCTTCTCCCGTAAATCTTGAAGAGGTCATAAAATTCAGTCTTGTCGTACCCGCTACCTCCGGAGCAGTAAATCTCTTTCAGGGCCTCCCACGACGTAAAAGACACCTCGTTAGGGGCAATGCGGACAACTGGGCCATACTGCAGGTGAAGCTGGTGGACGTAGGTGGTTCTTTGGGCATGGATTTCTTTCCACTTGAGGACTAAAGTCGTAAACTTGGACACAGTTGGGCCCGGGATTTTGCTCAAGGGCGATCTGAGGCACCGGATGAGCTGGATGGTGGCAAGCAGAGCTGCCGCTGCTAGGAGGACGACGGGAGAGAGAAGCAGCATGATGGAGATTATTGTTGATTCTACCAGTAGTTACCGCAAATACAAGCAGGCATCATCGAAGCACGAGGAGAGAACCAGCCATCTATGAGTCAAAGCCTGAAACAGAAGCATGTTATTTATATGGCGTCGGCCAACTCTATGCTATCAGCGAGCGGCTGATAACGATTCTCGCCAGCCTCCGTAAACGGCTATTTAACGACCCCGCCAGAGCGCCGATTCCCCACGAAACCCCGCAAAATCGAGCCAGCGCTTTGGATGTGCCACGAGGTGGTTGATGGATCTTTGCCGTTAAAGGACAATATCATGAGAGCTGTGCCTGTGATGTGTTGGTAGGTTTCGGGTCATTCGAGGAATATGACTAAGCACATTCTCTCTCTTTTATTTTCTTTTATTTCATTTTTAAAATTTTTTTTTTTCGTTGGCTGCATTATGTAGGTGCTTGATTTGGGCTTAGCAGGACCTACCTACTAGATTTGGTAAGTGAGGTATCTGCAGCTATAAACCTTCAGGTCATCGCAAGTATTTGCAAATGCCATAGTCTTTTAAGGTGAGTTTCGGTTGAACCTTGGAAGAAAAAGAAAAAGAGCTAGAGAAACAAGGAGACAAGATAAGCGAAGACAAGAGAGAAAAAAAGGACTACGGAGTATCAAGACGCGATATGCAAAGAACCCTACGAAAAGACCAAGTCGGGCAGAAGCACAATTCGCAATATCCGCAATAGCCGTACAAGCGTTGAGGTTTCATCTCATCTCTTGCTCTTCTTTCCTTGTTCGAACATCCCATGTATCAATGGATTATTATCATATTATCATATGTGACAGAAACCATACAACGTCATAGGTCATGCACGAGAGGCTTCACGCAGGAGCAGAGACAAAGGAAGTTGGACTGGATCGAGTCAATTTTTAGAAACCGAGTCTGGTGAGCTCAATTGACGGTGATGGGGAGGAGAAAGACGCAAAGAAATGACATCATTGCCTCCGTTTTTTTCGTCTGTTCTTCTGCAGGTCCCCTTTTTTTGCAGAGTCAAAAGATGGATGGATGGATGGATGGATGCTTGTGCTGCAGCACAGCCAGCCGGGTCATGTATGCGCTACTACCCAATCGCCCAATTCTAGATAAGACGGTGGTTATCTCGCGTATCATGCAATGCCACGGGTTATTTTCTTGAATATCAAAGTGCATACCGGTATACCTATCACAAGTACAGGTCATCAATTTTCCTGACTGCCGTATTCCTGCTGCTATTTACAGCATCCATGTACTGGCGTGCAGGATGCAGCAAGCTGAAGCAACAGCGATACGAGCATTCTCATCTTAGACTACATGTATGTACATGTACCTTGCATGAGCGTTACTGGCTGTTCTCTTGAAGCTCTCCTTTTTACGAGTGTTAGTCTTGTTCTTGTCCCTTTTTATTCCGCTATAGCCTGAAAAAGTCAGCAACACGGAGAAAAAAAAATGAAGATCAGCCCGTTCGGGGAACGAAGTAGCCCTAATGGGCGTGCGTACCTCTTGTACGTGGAAAGTGACAAGCTTGGGGAGTGGATTACGAGGTACGGGGCATCAGTTCTTCAAGGTTGTCAATCGGCCCGTATGGCTTAATAAGGTCCCTGCATATGCCTAGCAAGAGTCGATGACAAGCTCTGTACTGTAGTAGTATTTATCTGATTACTACTACGCTACAGCTAAGGGATGGAGGATATCCGTCCGTGTATATGGGTGGCGATTAAGCGGAGACGGGCATCAAACGAGACAAGCTGAGCGCCTCCTATCTGATTGCTTGATCCATAATACCACTCACTTGCAGTTGCGCCTACTAATGCAGCTGAAAGACAAAGAGAAAAAAACCAAGCATGCTTGTGCAGATACAGCAGCAGCTGATGTGTCCAATCAATAGTCCAGAGTCTGCCGTATCTAATTATAACTCCAGATCCACCGCGCGCATCCATCTCAACGCCGCTCAACAATCAAGCTTGTCCCACCTGGGCAAGCCTCGCCCGAGCCCAGGTGTTTGCGGCTCCCTGGTGGATCGCAGCACGTTTCTCTGGCTGCTGGCCCTGGCAACTTCGGATGCCTAGTTGCTTGACAGTACGAGCGGTTTTTCCATTGGACGGCAAGCAGAAAGTTATGGACAAGACAAGCCTAGACACGCCAGTTTCAGCCCTGTGAGCAGCCTTTTGGCAATGGGTTTTGGATAATACCAGCGTTACAGCCTGCAAAAGCTGAGCTCCTGAAGATCGCCTTTTGCTCTCCTTCTCTCCCGCCGTCTCTCTAGCCGCTTTCTGGTTACTCGGTCCTTGAGCACGCCCGGCGTCCAATCACGCAGCGCACGCCTTGGAGAATCCCGCGGAGGAGGCTGCATATCCGGCGTCGTCTTCTGTCTCACTGCAACTCTCCGGACATTGGCTAGGAAAAGGCGTGTTCTTTGCCAACTCGATCACCAAGAAGCCACGCATCTCGTGGATTTCCCTGTTTTGCTCTTCGTCTCACCGTTTTTTGCTCAACACAGCCTTGCGCTTCCCTAGACGCACCGCAACACTACTGCATTGCATCTGCCCGTGGACGGCTGGCCTTCCAGTTTTTTTCGACACAGCCTCACTCCCCGCAGCACTGCGTTTGTCTAAGCCTCGGGGTCTGTTCCGCGGGAAGCGTAGCAGCGTGCAGCACAGTAAGTGGCAGCACCAGGAAAAAAACCGGGAAATTAGGTGCAATCCCTCGTCGAAAAAAAGGACTCAGGCCGTACCAGAGCCTGGCTTGCTGGGTTTAGAGGCCGCTGCTAGCAGGTGCATCGAGCCGTGACTTGGCCGTGACTGAGGGCGAGTCCACAGTCCACACCACCCCTTTCAAACTAGGCGACGAACCCGATTGAAGACGCCAGGCCGGGCCAGCTCATCGCCAAAAATAAACCTCCCCCAGCCAAACCGCTCGTTTCTTTTGGTTCGAGGATGCCCAGCTTCGGTCGCCTGGGCAAGCACAGCAACCGGTCGCAGCACGCGATTGCGGCCGAGGCGCCACAGCAGGTCGGCGCCGGGTCGGGCCTCAGCAGCAAGACGGCGAGTACAAGAGCAGCGCCAGGCCCAGGTGCTGGCGGTGGTGCAAGTCCAGCTGGCAGCGGCCCGGGCCCAGGTGCGACGACGACGGCTGAAGCTGAGGCAGATTTGCGCGCGCAATCCGCCTTGCCGACGGGCTCTTCATCGGCGCTGAGCTCCAGCGAGTCGTTTATCGTTCAGCAGCAGCAGCAACAGCAGCAACAGCAACAGCAACAGCTTCAGTTTCAGCAGCAGCCCAGGCTGTCATCTGGAGCACCGCCGCCGCCGTCTCACGGCCAGCTGTTTCAGAGCCAGAACCCCGCCGTGGCAGTGCCCGCCTATGACGAGCGCCAGCTCCAGCAGCTCCAACAGCAGCAGCAGCAGCACTACCAGCAACTACAGCAGGCGGGTCCCCTTCCACCCCAACAGCAACAGCAGCTGCAGCAACAACAACAACAACAACAACAACAACAACAACAACAACTACAACAACAACTACAACAACAACAACTACAACAGCCGCAGCAGCAGTCTCTACCACCGCCGCCGCCGCCGCAGCAAAACAAGCTGCAGAAGCAACCACCGCCGCCGCCGCAGTTATTGCAGCAGCAAGCTCAATCCCAGCCGCAGTTTCAGCAGCCCGGCGAGTTTGTCGACTCCGCTTCCTCCTCCGCCTCCACCGCCGGCGCCCGTCAGAGCCAGCGCTACAGCATCCACAACCTGCTGAACATCTCGCAGACGTCGCTGCACGACCAGGCCGGCTATCACCAGGGCCAGATTCAACCGCAGGCTCCCGGCCAGGCCTCTGCCTCGTCCGAGAAGCGCTCGGCCCGCAAGATCATCAAGGGCATCTTCTCCGGCCGCGGCAACCACGACAATCACCGCGATCAGCAGAACCCCTCATCGTCATCGTCTTACGATAACACCGTGGGACTGGCCCGCAGACCGTCCAAGAGAGTCAGCACGCTTAACCAGCAGCCACCAAACCTCAAGACTGGCCTCTCCGCCGTGTCAGACCGCGATTGGCACTCACACACCCCCAGCTCGTCCGTGCACCAGACGTCGCCGCTACAAGGTGTGGGCGAGGCCGAAGAGTACTACGCTGCAGACCAATATCACGACCTGCAGCAGCAGCAGCAGCAGCAGCAGCTTCATCAACAGCAAGACCTGCGAATCGACCCTCGACACTCTGTGCCGCCCATAAATACAGCACGCGGAATTGGTGCTCCAGACGACATCTCATCGCCCTACGACGACGCCGTCTACCACGCCCCGCCCCCGTCTGCCCTTCACCACCACTCGCCAAGCATTTCCCAGCAGCAGATCTCACCATCTCAGCTGCAGCCTCAGCCTCAGCCTCAGCCTCACGTGCTCTCATCACAGGAATCCCTACAGCAGCAGCTGCAACAACAACAGCTTCAGCAACAACAATTGCAACTGCAGCAACAGCAACAGCAACAGCTTCGATACGATCCTCAACAACAGCAGCAGCAGCAAGCCGCTTACGATCAGCAACTGCCGCCCCCACCTTCGTCTTCCCAGCAGTATTACAGCAACTCCAACTCACCGCAAGATCAGTATCAGCAGACGACCGACCCGCGCATCGTCACTACGCATCTGGTCACGGGATCGCAACAGCAGCAGAACGCAGAAACCGTATCCCAGCTGTCGCGCGAGTCCCCAGCCCCCGACTCGGATCAGCGATCGTTGAACCAGCAGCCGTCTCCTGCGATCCACTACTCAGTGCCGCAGGCTCACGACCAGGCTTCCAACGTTGCCCTGCCGCCCTCGCAGCCAGCGAATCAACAACAACAACTCTCGCAGCCCGCCATGGCACCGCCTGGAGGAGGAGGCGTACCGACGAATCGCCGAGCAGCCGATGCTGAAAAGGCCCTGCCTGGAGCACCGCCGGGATATCGTCACACCCACTCAAACTCCAACAACCTGAACGCGCCCGGCGCATCCCTCCAGCCCGGCCAACAGCCTGCTGGAACCAGTGGCGCAGCCGTTGCCTCTGGCGCCGGAGCTGCAGCTGCCGCCGGCGCTGCTGGTGCTCCTCCGCGGTACGAAGCAGCGACTGGCGACCAAGGCCGGAACAGTCCTCAGCCTTCTACCCATGAGCGCGACAGTACCGAATCTGATAAAGCCTTTAAGGAATTGCGTATGTCTTCCATCTCTGTATCTGTCCATGTTGCCTCGCACATGGTACGTGTCATGTTCATGTTAGCTAATTACCTCAACCTGAAATGCAAACAGTCACAAAGTACAAAAACGTCAAGCGCCTCTATTTCGATGGCAAATCTCAGATCGAACAGCTCAATGGCCAAGTTGAGCATCTGCAGAATGCCGTCGCCAATCAACGCATGTCACAGTCGCGCACGGCGTTGGACGATAACGAATATGTCAACCGATTCAACCGACTGAATGGCGCCATCAACAATCTGTCATTCAACATCCGTAAGGACTGGCGACGCCTACCCCAGTGGCTGGAGAAATTCGTCAGCCCCGACGCCCTCAAGACAGGAAAGCAGGAGATGACGGCAGTCGGTAGAGCGGTCATTACCAAGTGGGTTGTGGACGAAGTCTTCAACAAGTGCTTCCACCCAGACCTGGACGCGTCCCTTAGCTCCCAGCTCAAGGAGATTGAGCTCAGCATCCGGGGCAATGCGTACACCATGCACAGCCAGGAAGAGTTTGATGCCTTGACCACAAAGGTGGTCAACTGGCGAATGGCCACGCTGGACGGCCTGCAGCAAAAGCTGAGCTCCTCAGCGTCGGCCGACAACCGGGCATCGTTGATTACCAAGATGCAGACAAATCTGGCTGCTCACCTGTATCAGTTCCTGATCGAGCCGCCACCGGCCGGGGTTGACGGCAGCACCTCCATGATTGTGGAGCTCGCTGTCGGCATTGCGGCCAACTTGCCCCGAGAGAGCCGCGACGTCACCATCCAGTATCCGCTGCCGGGCGATGTGCTGCAGGCCGGCGTGATGGAGGTTGAAAAGACCCCGTTGCCTCCTCTGGACGGCCAAAAGGAGGGAGAGTCCAGCAAACCGGATAGCGACGCGGACAAGGACAAGAACAGCAGTAGTGGAGACTCTAGCAAGGCTGGTAGGTTACATTGTCTATTTCCCCCACGCGTCAGGGGGGGGGTTCATAACGCCATTTCCCAGTTCATTTTAGCTAACCTGATAATTTACACATAGGCTTCTCCAAAGATGCAAGTCGGGTGCGATTTGCAGGATTTGTGGCTCTCGAAGTAAGAGGGCGACAGGTCTTGATGAAGGCGCCAGTATGGGCGTTGTAGTGGAGGAGACTTGCGATTGAACCTTTTTTTCTCTTTTCTCATTTCCTTATTTTTTTCCCCCCCATACCGAGGCAGGCATCGAATGGATATCCCATCATACTTTGACCCTCTCCTACTTTCTTCTTCTCTTCTTTTTCTATAATTTCATATGCTGTTCTCTTGCTGGCACTGTCGATGGTTCTAAGAGGCACATATTTTTCTTTTTTTTCTTTTACTTTTTACTCTATTTATCTCATGGATGTTATATGAAACGATAAATGGGGTTCATTTCCCTTTCATCGGATGAGAGACGACGACGGGAGGATCGGGAGGCTTGTCTTTTTTTTGTAGACATACTTGAGGGCCGTCTGAGGATGAGGATGATGAAGATGAGGATGAAGAAAAAAAAAAGACATGCCGGGTTAGACGGACGGTCCTAAGAGGCTATTAGAGTAGATGATGAGAGAAATGATTGCTACGTGTGAGGGATTGCTCCTTGCTCCTTGGCCATTGGTGACTGTTTCGTGGTGATGATGGCACAGGAGGTCGTACCAAGATATCAGCTTGATGCACCTAAGCTTCATGTTGTCAGCCTTGTGTGGAAAGGCCCGTTTTTTTTTTTTTTTTGTCTTGATATTCCAATCTTGCACATCTCATATTCGCTTACTCACCCCTTTTCGATCAAATTTCTATGCATGTCGAATGATTAAAAGACAAAGGAAAAGAGTCATCGCAACACCCTGCCCCAGTGGCAATGCACGATTCCAGTATTTGGTTGCTCTGAGGTCTCAAAGGGCTGAGTCACACGGGTACATGGACATTGCACGTAAAGTAGCGGGGAAACACATGTACCGTCCTTAGTCCAGCACCCAGGACAGCTAACAGCCACAGCAACAGGCCCTGGTCACTGAGTCATAAAATCGAGGCATGATTTGGCATCCTTGCTTTTTGGGGGAGGCGCATTTTGAGTAAGTGTTTTTCTCTGCGCTAAGCTGGAAACGGGGAGATGGTTTTCTCCTTTTGGGGCTGACTGTGACTCTTTTTCTAATTTTCAATTTTTTTTTATTTTTTTTTTTCTTATTTTTTCATCATTTTCTTTTGTTCTAGCGCGGCGAGATGGAAGGGCTGTTCTGCTTCTGAGATCAAAATGAGATTGAGGCTGGGGACTAAGCGGCGGATCTGGAGAGGCTGATTTCTAGCAGCGGCTTTAGCGGGTGCTCCGCTGAGAGTCATCGCTGGAAGCAGCACCACTAAGCAGCAGCAGAGCCACTAAGCAGGTACTTAAAGAGGTGCTGATAAACCATCGTCTCCCCCACCGCTTCCCTCATTCCGGCAGAAAAAAAAAATTAGTGCCCAGCTTCGCATCAGCTGCCTCTGCTCTCTCTTTTTCTTCCAACGAGCGACGACTCTTTTTTTTTCACCTTCTTTTAATCCACCCGCTTTTTCACCATTACGGCTATACAGGGAACGACTGTTGGTACTACTAGCATCATGGCTGTTCGCGCTCAGTTTGAGAACTCCAACGAGTATGTTGCTCTGAATTTTCTGCGGTGCTGCATTGCGTCTTTGGTGGTGGGGGAGGGGTAGAGCAGAGATCGAGAGAGAGTGAAGAAGAGAAGGATTGAGTCTCTTTCGCTCTCTGCGATGCTCCTCCTTTCTGTCGATCAAAAATGATGCGGAGAGAGACTTGATATTGGCTTGGACATGTCGACTGACTTGGCATTCTTGTGCAGCGTTGGCGTCTTCTCGACGTTGACTAATTCATACGCCCTGGTGGCTCTCGGCGCCAGCGAGAACTTTTACAGGTAAAGAAGCATTCTTCTTCTCGCTGCCAAAAAGACCACAAATCTAACGCAGCATGGCCAAACCGCAGTGTCTTCGAGGCTGAGCTCCAGGACGTCATCCCCATCGTGCGCACCACCATCGCCGGCACGCGCATCATCGGCCGCCTCACGGCCGGCAACCGCAAGGGCCTTTTGGTGCCCACCACAACCTCTGACCAGGAGCTACAGCACCTGCGCAACTCGCTGCCCGACTCGGTCCGCATCCAGCGCATCGAGGAGCGCCTGTCAGCCCTCGGAAACGTCATTGCCACAAACGACCACATCGCCCTGGTGCATCCGGATCTCGAGCGCGAGACGGAGGAGATCATTGCCGACGTGCTGGGCGTCGAGGTGTTCCGCCAGACCGTGGCCGACAACGTGCTGGTCGGCAGCTACATGAGCCTGTCCAACCAGGGCGGTCTCGTGCACCCCAAGACCAGCATCCAGGACCAGGACGAGCTGTCCAGCCTGCTGCAGGTCCCTCTCGTTGCCGGCTCCGTCAACCGTGGAAGCAACGTCGTGGGCGCCGGCATGGTCGTCAACGACTGGATGGCCGTGACTGGCCTCGACACCACGTCCACAGAGCTCAGCGTCATCGAGAGCGTCTTCAGACTGGGCGAAGGCCAAGGCCCCAGCAACATCAACACCACAATGAAGGACACCATGGTGGAGAGTTTCTACTGAGCGAGAGGCTCCCCTTTTGTTTTTGTGTAAATACATATACTACCATGTTGTGATTTTCACGTTGATGTCGTTTCAGCTGCTTTTGGGATTGGGCCTTTTTTATGACTTGCTTGGACGATACAGGCATGGTGTTGATGGAAGGGGTGGAAAACAAACAACCCAGCTTTATGAGCTTTCTTTCGTCGCTTTGTTTTTGAACTATTATTATTATAGTCTACGGTCTTGTATGTAAAGACGGAGAGGAACAGGATGGCAGGCTGTTTCTACTCTTGGGCATGCATGGGAGGCGTTTGTGTAATCTTTTCTTTGCCTTTTACCTTTTTTTCTTTTTTTCTTTTTTTTTTTCTTTTTTTTTTAACACTTGTTGGATTTGATCCTTCATAGAGAGATGTGTATGCATGCTCCTTTTTCTATCAATGAAAATGACCATTCTAGTGTAATACTTTTTTTGTTCTTTTTTCTCAAAGACTGTGCAAGTGAAAGTAGCTGAATAAATCAATTACTTATAGCAGGTAGCATTATCATTATCATTTTTTTTCCCCTACTGACAATTTCCAGGTCCGCAGCCCATCTTCAATGCCCCTCATCCTCGCAATCTCACCGCCTTCCGCTTTCAGCGACCGCATTGGCAGCAATTGAATAATTTCGCTGCCCCTCCATCCATCCATCCATTCCCGCCAGCAACTTTTAGTATCGATCATCGCCTTATTACACCGGGTTTCCTTGTCGCTGCCACATAATCTCACGAAACAATTTTTCTTCTTCTTTTTCTTCTTCTTCTTTTTTGATATTCTTGCAATATATACGGCATATATAATGACATCATCATCATCCAATAAACCGGCGTATCTGCCCCCTTCTAAACTCGGCACCAAAGAATAGTAAGCAAAACACCACAAGACCAACTCCAAGACCCATTTCCATGATATATCTACACACACACACACACATATATATATATATAACTAACGCGTGATTTCAAAAACCAACCAGCTGGGACAACCTCTACACAACCGAACTCACAAACCACGCCGCCAACCCCTCCGACACCGGCACAAACTGGTTCGACGACTCCGACGCCGAGGGCCGCATCGTCGCCTTTCTCGAATCGCTCGCCGACGACGACCAGCACGTCCTGCCCGCGCCCCTTTCGCAGCAGGATGCGTCCTTTCTGGATCTCGGCTGCGGCAATGGCTCGCTGCTGTTTGCGCTGAGGGACGAGGGCTGGGGGGGAGCCATGCTGGGCGTGGATTATAGCGGGCAGAGCGTTGCGTTGGCGAAGAACATTGCCGAGAGCAGGAAGGAGAATGAGGGCGATGGAGATGAGGAAGATGAGTCTACACCGTCGGTTATTAATTTCCTGGAATGGGACCTGCTCAACGGCCCGCTGGCTCTCACCGCATCTGCTGCTGGGGGGGATTCTTCCTCGCCGCTGGCATACACTTCCTCTCCGTTGCGGCTTTTCGACATCATCCTCGACAAAGGCACCTTTGACGCCATCAGCCTCTCCACCCACGAACCAACAACAACATCATCATCATCATCATCAGAACAGCAGCAGCCCCCTCACCCCTGCGAAGTCTACCGCCGCCGCCTCCTGCAGCTCCTCAGCCCCAACGGCGGCATCTTCCTCATCACGAGCTGCAACTGGACTGAGCCCGAGCTGCGGGCGTGGTTCGCCGACGATGCGGACGGCGAGCTGCGCGTCGTGGGCAGGGTCGACTATCCGACGTTTACGTTTGGCGGGGTCAAGGGACAGACGATTAGTACGCTGTGCTTTAGGAGGGGGTGATTTTTTTGCAAGAGTTTTCTCTATGTCAGAAAGGGGGTGGGGAGATGAGCTGAGGCGAAGTGGACTTTTGATACCATGATTAGCGAGGAAGAGAGAAAGAGAGAAGAGTAAATGAAGATATTGAAATCAAACTAGAAAATAGAGTCTTTTGTATATATATATATATATATATATGCACATATATCTTATGTTATGTTATGGGTTCCAGTTCTTAAATGAGAATGTGAATCTTAATAGAAAGCGTGAGCTCAACTTCAAAAACAGACTGTATAAACGAACCAAAACAAAACAAAACAAAAGTCAAACAACAATTATACTTCCAGAGGAATTCAACACGCCCCCCCCTTTTAAACTGTTAAAACAGCGCATGTTGCTTCTTACCCTACATTATACATCTTGAGTCGGTTCCTCCAAGTCTACATAATGCTTCCACCTTTATACCCCTTTCATCCATCCATCCATACGTCCATCCACTCACGTATTACCCACCAATCCATCATTTTATCCTTCTCTCTGTCCTCCCCTCTCTCCAAGCTCCGTGTATTCACGTATCGTTATTCGATTTTGAATCTTTTTTTTTTTTTTTTTTTTTCCTTTCCTTCTGATTTCCTTGCTTTTTCTTCTTCTCCTGTTTAGTGGTTCAAAAAGGTCTTCTTCTTCTACTCTCTCACGCCAAAAGCTGTCCAAAGATGTAGGACAAAAAAAAGGTAGTTATCAACAACAAGACAATAGAACGTGCAGCAGCACAGAGTAACGGACAAAATCATTGCTTCATTACGGGTTCTCTCTCATCTATGGTGAAGTATTCATAGGCTCTCCGCCTCCTGAGGCTCCGGTGCCTGTCGCCTCAGCTACCGCCTGCGTCGCATAGTACCGGACATCTACATCGTCATCCTTCTGCAGCTTGGTCAGGTTCGGCAAGATGCGCTGCTGGATCAGCTCTTGGCCCCGAGGTGAGGGTGTTGCCTGCTCAGCCGGCGTCTCCTGCTTCTCAATAGTATACAGGGTTCCCTGCTCAGGCAGACGCTGTAGGGCGTTGATGAGGACCGAGTAGGTCTTTGCAACGTTAAATCGGATGTTGGGGATGTCGTCGTCAGTCATCTTGTCCAGCATGGGCAGGATAGACTTGGAAATAACATCTATGCTGACAACAGAGGCCAGAGTCTGCATGGAGAAGAGTTAGCTTTGTAAGGAGCAAACGCGCTATACATGCCATGAATGAAAACTTACCGAGATGGCAAAGCAGGTAGTCATCCGGTACAGATAGTTCGGGTGGTTGCCCATGGTCATAACCTTGGGAATGATGGCCTCGCTTGCCCACTCCACGCCAAATACTTCGGTCAGTTTCTTTAGGTTGTGTGTAGCAGCCTCACGGATGGAGAAGACGGTGTCACCAAGCCATCCCATGCACAGATTGCTGAGCTTTTCGTCAAAGAATTTGACGCCCAGCTGGCTGGCCAGCAACGGAATGTACTCGATGATGGCGAGGCGCACACGCCACTGCTTATCTTCTGCCAGGTTGACAATAGCTGGCAGCAGTGAGACAGACAGGGGCTCAATGCCAATGACTTTTTTTTGTAAAAAAAAAAAAAAAAGATTGTTAGCTTATAAAGATTCTCTCCAGATTTCATAAAGTGTGTGACAATGTCGTACCTTGGTTGACCAGCTCAAGCTTTGAAATAATGTGGAGCCTAACTTCTGGGAATTCATCCTTGAGCATCTGGAGGAACATGGGCAGAAGGTGGTCGATTGTCCTATTGCGCACGAGTTAGCCTGTCATATTACCACTCATCGCCCGCTATCATCACATACTCCTGCTTGCCCAGTATGGGAGCCAGGCCACTGATCTGAGTTCCCAATGCAGCGCGCACGTGCTGCGACGTGTCCGAGACAAGGTCCTCGACGCTTCCCATGATGTCGTTGAGAAGTGTCTGCTGGTCTATGAGGCCGCAGAATCCGGGAATCTGGCCGGCAATGGCTGTCCGCACCTCCGCCTCGTTGTCCTTAAGAAGCTTGACGAATGCAGGCACTAAATCTCTCGAGACGACTTCCTCGTCGACTGCCTTGGCAATCTATAAAAATATCAAACAAAAGATGTTAGTAAAAGGGTGGATAGCAAATACGATACTGACGAATAGGAGCTCCGCTGACCTTTTCAAATCTATCGGCAATCATGTACCTGACTCTCCAGCTCTTATCCTCTATCAAATTTCGCAGCGAAGTCAGCAAGACTCCGTGACCAGCCTGCTGCTCCTTGGGGACGCCCTCGGCGATGGCAATGAGAATCTCTACGGTGAGTAATCGAACGCTGTCCTGGTCGTCTTGAACGAGGTGCTGGAAGAGGGGAATCATTTCGTCAATGACAATGGCAGCGGGCATCTCCTTGACAAACTTGGCGAGGTTGGACGCGGCTTGGCGTCGGACCATGGGGGTCTCATCGTGGACGAGCAGGCCAAACTGTTGACGGAGCTGCTCCTGGACGGGAGGGGAAACTTTTTTGTATGGAGCTGTGAAGAGGCCACATCCAGAAACCTTGGATGTGAACCAGTCTGCCTTGGCGAGTCTGATTGTGAGGGGGATGAAGAACTCTTCGACTTGTTGCGGCGAGAGCTCCTCGCAGATCTTGTTGAGAGACTCGACGGCCTAGGTTGTTGTTAAGCATGCGTCATCAGCGAAAGATGCTCCAACTAGCGTCATTATGCATATCATGTGTCAAGTCAGAGCTTACCTTGTCTCGAACGACGGGCTCCTCTATGGCGGCGAGGTTCTCGAGAGGGGAGAGCAAGACGTGGCCCCAGGAAGGACCTCCAACGTATTCGATGAAGTTGCCAAGCTCCTCGCTCAGGGCAACCAAGACTTCGTCCTCGTCCTCGACGGACTCTGTAATAGAAATGTCAGGTTAGGCCTATATCGGCGAATAGCTAGCGTGGGCCAGGAGGAAGGGGATGGAGAGTGGCAGAAATGGCTATAACAGAGTCGAGTTGCTACTGACCGTCGAGGAAGGGAATCAGCTCATCTCTTGTCCGCTCGGCGCCGAGGGCAAGAGCAATTGTAGAGAGCCGGTGGATCGCGTTGAGTCGGAGCAAGACATCGTCGTGCTGGCAGAAAAAAGAGTCCCGAAATCAGCATCACTCCGCCAAAGAAAAGCATGGACAGAAGCAAGGAAAGGGAAGCAGAGGCCGGGCCAAAGTTACCTTGAGCTCATCGATGAGCACGGCGATGGGATAGAGCTCGTCGCTGGCGTTTATTGCTTCAGCCATGGCGTGTCACGAGGGAGAAGCAGAGACGAGCGGCGGGGGAAAAGGAGAAAGGCGCGTTGAAGCGGGCAAAACGGATCGCCGAAGCACCGCAGATGCTGGACAAGGCCGGATATCGATAAGAGGGAGGGGGGAGGCGAGGCGATCAAGCGAAGCAGGCGAGGTGAGGCCGATGGCGAGGCGGGCCTTGTTTGAACGGCTGCGGCTGAGGCTCAGGCCGAGGTGGGTTTCAAGGTCGAGATGGGAGGTGATGCAATGGATCTCTGTTGCGCGGAATTGAGCAGCGACAAGGCGCCTTTGCCGCTACCGAGAGGCGGGTCCTGCGAGCACGAGGAGCAGCGGCACGAGGCGAGGCTGCGGGTTTTCCAGACGGCGGAGCGAGGCTTCGCAGATGCAGCGGTGCAGAAGCGAAGCTTGGAATTGGGAGGAGGGGTGAAGATGCGAAGAGAGAAACCAGCTCTGTTGGAGCCCAGCTAAAAGGTGTCTGGTTGCCAGCCGCCGTGCGGGAGTCGACGCAGGTAGGGGGTACCTGGCGGCGCTGAAGGACGGCCTGTAGCAGAGCAGTGCTGCTGCAGCTGGGGGAGCGGCGCCAGGCTGCTGGGTACATGCCATCGCCGGACGACACCGCACCTGTGGCAGGTCTGCCGCGTTAGCAGCCGTGGCGGATTCGCTGCGCTGGGCACTAACAGGAGCTGCCCCGCCACGCAAGTACCTGGAGCCCCCACTTCTCCCCTGTAGGCCTTTCGCCTCTGTGCAATTTGCCCCTTTGCAGTGCGCGCACGCATGTACAGGTACCTTATCGGTCTATGTATGGTAAGATTGGCAGCACCTCTAGCAGCACTACAGGTTCGATATCTCGGAGCGGGCATTCGTTTCCAATTTTAGGTGCATGCAGCTGCGAGTGCATCACGACAAGAGTCACTAGCAAGCACCGTTCAGGTGTTTATATACACGAACGAAGCAGCGAGTGCGTGAATGAGAGATGACGGCTACAGAATATGAGGCTGGAATGGAAACATGTTGACAGAAAATGGTCCCGATGCGTCGTGCTAGCAACGAGCAGGTTTTTGCACCCAAGCCATGATACAAGATATAAGCTGTGGCTGCTGTACAATGACGGCAAGCTTACAACAAGCTGCTACAGTATACAGTATTGCGACTCGATATCCGTTTCCGTTCCTCTTCCATGTTCCTTGCCTCTCCTCTCTAATGCATAAGTAGCCAAGCAGGTACTATAGCCATTATGCTACAAACATGGTGCTTGTGAAACCGGGCGCCTGTAGCCTGACAATGGCCCGTTAGGGGCAAAATACAGCCAGAGTATGATATCAATTGCGAGAGGAACAAGGAGCATCGATATTCCGGGCGACCGCACTCACCCCGCCGATATCAGGACCCGGCTGCCAAAACTCACCCGTTAGTGAGGTACCTGGCCGGCCCTAGCACCGCCCGCAGCGCGGCCAAGTCCCTCTGCATCATCCCACTATCAACGCTGCTATCACCCCGCCATTCCCAAAAATTCCTGTGACTCAAAGGCAGCGAGAGCGACAAACCACGACTTTGGTCTTTGCCTGGCACATCAACTCAGCATCGAATCTCGTCGCCACCATGCCGACCATTTCCGTCGACAAATACAAGCTCTTCGAGGCCCTTGGCCGAAAGTACGTCGCTCTGCCCATCGCCCTGTCTGCATTTTTTGGCATCCTGCGGGCTTCCCCCCTCCATATTCCGTCTATTATATGTGATATATAATCCACATGTATCATATATTCAACCACCATGGCACATCTCCATACGCTGCCCCAACTAACGGCCTCGCCACCGCTGCAGATTCACCAAGCCAGAGTTCGAGGACCTCTGCTTCGAATTCGGCATCGAGCTTGACGAAGACACCGAAGACGAGGAGCGTCCCATCGTCGACGGCGTCCAGGAGCCTCCCCAGCTCAAGATCGAGATCCCCGCCAACCGATATGACATGCTCTGCTTCGAGGGCATTGCCCTCAACCTCAACATCTTCATGGGCCGCACCGCGCCCCCCAACTTCAGAGTCGTAGAGCCCAAGGACGGCATCCTCCAGACCATTACCGTCTCTCCCGATACCGCAAAGGTCCGGCCCTACGTGTCTGGCGCCATCCTCCGCAACATCAAGTTCACCCAGGATCGATACGAGTCCTTCATTGCGCTGCAGGACAAGCTCCACCAGAACTTGGCTCGCCAGCGAACGCTCGTGTCCATCGGAACCCACGACCTGGACACCATCAAGGGTCCCTTCACATACGAGGCACTGCCTCCCCGGGACTTCAAGTTCGTCCCCCTGAACCAGACCCAGGAGCTCACTGGCGAGACCCTCATGACCTTTTACGAAAACGACCGCCATCTTGGACGCTACCTACACATCATCAAGGATGCCCCCGTATACCCCCTCATTCTCGACTCCAACCGAGTCATCTGCTCGCTGCCCCCCATCATCAACGGTGACCACTCCAAGATCACCGTCAACACCACAAACGTCTTCATCGAGATCACCGCCACCGACATCACCAAGCTGGACATTGTCACCGACATCATGGTCACCATGTTCTCTCAGTACTGCGCTGAGCCCTTCACCGTGGAGCCCGTCAAGATCATCTCGGACCACAACAACCAGACCCGCGTCACTCCCCATCTGCGTCCTCGCGTCACCCACGCCGAGGTCGACTACCTCAACAGCTGCACTGGCCTCAACGAGTCCCGCGAGAACCTCTGCAAGCTCCTCTCCAAGATGGCCTACGTCGCTCGGCCGTCGGACAAGGACTCCAACCTGCTGGAGGTGGCCGTCCCCCCTACCCGTGCCGATGTCCTGCACCAGGCCGATATCATGGAGGACGTCGCCGTCTGCTACGGTTTCAACAGACTGCCTCGCAGCTCCCCCAACCGCGGCGCCACCGTTGCTGCCCCTCTCCCCATCAACAAGCTCAGCGACATTGTGCGCATCGAGGCCGCCATGGCCGGATGGAGCGAGGTCATGCCCCTAACTCTCTGCAGCCACGACGAGAACTTTGCCTGGCTCAACCGCAAGGACGACGGCAACACCGTTGTGAAGCTGGCCAACCCCAAGACGCTGGAGTACCAGGTCGTCCGCACCTCCCTCCTGCCCGGCCTGATCAAGACCATCCGCGAGAACAAGAGCCACAGCTTGCCCATCAAGATCTTCGAGGCCGCCGACGTCGTCTTCAAGGACGAAAAATCCGAACGGAGAGCCCGCAACGAGCGCCACTTCGCCGCCGCCTGGTGCGGAAAGTCCAGCGGCTTCGAGATCGTCCACGGCCTGCTGGACCGCCTGCTGCTGATGCTGCGCACCAACTTCATCGCCGACGGCGGCAAGACCGCTACCGTCAAGCCCGATGGCTACTGGATCGAGGAGCTCAACGAGGATACCTTCTTCCACGGCCACGCCGCCGCGGTGTATCTCCGACTGGGAGGCAAGGAGCAGCGCATCGGCGAGTTTGGCATTCTGCATCCCTCTGTGCTAGAAAAATTCGATCTAAGGTATGTTGTTTTGCTTTTAATTAAGACATTCAGCTACGTCATAAACCAAGGAATTTAGTAGTGCTAACAATGTATGTTTCTAGATTCCCCGTCAGTACTTTGGAGATTAACCTAGAAGTCTTCTTATAATCTACATAAAAAAAAAGACATGATAGCCCCGGATTTTGATAAAAGTTTAAAAAAGAAAAATAAGGGATAAAGTAGATTTTGACAAGTTGAAGAAAAGGAAAAAGCACTAGACATTCAAGCATCGATTTATTAGTTGAGCGTGTATCTCTATAGATCACACTCAAATTAGCTGCCAAAGAGACATGAGAATACAAGTAAAACCAAAAACAGTCCAAAACCATCATTGTTCCAATTTGTATCTACAAAAAAAAAAGAAAAAAAAAGAAAAGAAAGAAAAGAAAGAAAGGGAAAAAAGTGAAAAAAGTGAAAACGCCTTCAACCATTAAACATTGGATTTGTCTCATCATTCATTCAAAATCATACACTTTACTACAAGTATAGAGCAATTCATAAAAGAAAAAAGTGCTTCCAATAGAATCGCTGAGACTGCTCTCTACAATCTACTCCAGCCTTTTTGTCCATTGTTTCATACAATATTTTTTGGACTCCTTTACAGGGCAACACAGCTGTTGCATACCGCTCGTAAAGAACTTGTATATCCTGGCCTGACAAAGTCGCTTTTGGTAGTATAAGTCATCCTATAATCCCTCCCTTCATCGACATTGATCGTGCCCCATCATCTGCCCTTTCTCGCTGGATAAAAGTCAACGTTTTCCATAGCCAAAACAAGCCTGGGTTAGAGGGTAAGTCAATAAATGGAGGGAGAATGGACAGGTTGATGCTAATTTTCTATCGCGCATGGAATGCAGAACTTCTGTCAACCTATTGTAGCCACAACAACGCTTATTTAACGCTGCAATCTCCACGACTCCCCCAATTGCAGCCTTGTTCTCTTTATGAAGAAAAGACATATAAAAGAAAGAATGAAAGCAGAGCTAAACTGTTGCTGCTCTTAAAAACAACCTGGAAAACTAACTAACAGGCCATTCGGGCACGGTGACATTTTCATCGAAGCTCGGACGCCCGAGATCCACAATAGTCATTTCAGAGATTGTACGCGGTCGAGTATAGCGGTGATATACGGTATTTGGCGTCTCCATAATCGAGTAAGGCGCCGGGCCTTGGTTCGAAAACACGACCTCCTAAGTCATCTCTCGCATCTCTTGCTCGCGAGAAATGGATGCCGCGGCCGAGCGCTCGGGAACAGGATCGGCGGCCCGTCCAAAATTGGACATGACAGCTTTGCTAATGTTCAGACCCGCGATGCCGTCGCGAAGAGCAGCAAACGCACTCATCCCGTCCGCAGACACGCTGTGTTGCAGAGCGGCTTGCCTATCTTCAGGGGTAAGGATGCCATGCACAGTCTCGGGAGATGAAATGACCGACTGGCTGGCTGAAAGACTGGGCGGCTGTGGGCTCGGAGCCGACGATTCCGGTCGCGATGCCGGCCGCGATACCGGCCGTTCTGGAATTTGTTCGGCTTGGACAACGCTGGGGTAGTTCAAAGTCGAGACGGCAGCCTGTCTGTCGCTTTCAGCAATAGCGGCAGCGTTGAGTGCACCGTTCATCTCGTCCTCTGTCCGGCCGAACAGCTGATGCCACCAGCGAATCTCGTTGAGCCGTGGCAAGATGATGCGCTCCTTGCCCTTAACATGGTCATCGATGGTAGGATCGTAGTCGGGGTTTGTAAATTCGGCCCTTCGGCAGAGGAAGTAGTCCCACACGGATGCGGTCTTCTCAGCTACGCCAGCGTCTTTTCTCTGTTTCTCCGAGTTGTACAAAAACGTTCCATATTGACAAGAGTGCAAATGGTAGAGCAGGCGGCGGAGGAAACGCTCGTTGAACTCGAAGCGCGTCTTGTTCTGCCGCAGCAGCTGGTACATGCAGTCAAGAAACTGATGGAAGACTGGGCTTATCATCTTTTGCACGGTGGCTTCTTCGTCGACTACCTGGCCGCTGGCAGTCTCGCCCATAGTGGCCAAATCAGCGTCATCTTTGTTGGAGCTGAAAAGACGCTTAGCACCGCTGATGACATTTTGAAAGGCATCGCTGCGGCCGTCATTCTCCCCGGGCTGGACCTTTAACCCGGCGAATGCATCTTTCTGGATGGTAAACCAGTCCTCGGAATTGAGGTGGCCAGAGCGTAGCCTAAACATATATCCAAATGACAGCCAGTCTTTCTCGACGAGGACAATGAAGCCATCAATGGTGCGGTAGTAGGGATCCAGCATAATTTGGGACAGGGCGCTGAGTTGACTGGTGCGATCCCAGCCATCCGAGCAGTGGATCAGGACGTGCGAATGCTTGATGCCTACTTGACGGGTGATGATGGCGGACCCATCGAGGATGTCGTGAATGTGTTTTAGCCAGTTGCTCTGCTGCAGAAGATCGCGGTTGGGGGGTAGGGGAGATATGTCGGCATCCTTGAGCGCATCGACCACCTTGAGCAACGAGCTCCGCATGATGTGAATGTTGTCAATGTTGAGGAAGATCTTTTCTGCGAATTTGTACTTGTCCATGGGTTCCGAGCCCATGCCCTGGGCCTGGTTCACCATGGCGTTGATTGTGGGGCGAGCATCGACAATCAGATTGTTCTGCTGAGCGCCATAAATCAGCCGCTTGCCCGTCTTGTCGTCGTAAATGGCCATGGACCTAGAAATGAGCTCGTCTTCATATCGCTCCTTGTCCGACAACTGGGTCTCCAGCATAACACTGCTGTTGAACATGTCGGTCTGGCTCGACATGGGAGAAGGGTCCTCGGAGCTTCCACTCCCGTTATTAGTAAGAGCCGAGAAGGACGCGGCAACAAGCTTTTCATCTTGGACATTGGTCCTCCGGGTGATGCCCGCCAGCGGTTGAGAGCTCCTGGTAATGGTACAGTTATTTACCGGGTGGATATATGTGAGGGCAGGGATTCGATTTCTGGAGCGGTATTCCTTGGCATATTTGAGGACATTATCGGAAATCTTGGATGGCACAACGAGAACCGCCGGATAGGTATCGCAAAAGCTATAGTCTTGGTTAATGTTTGTAATCCTCCAGCCCTTGTCTGGCAGCTTTTCGCTGATGCCTTGTCGGCGAAACTCTGCCTTGGGATCGTAGATGTTCCAGCCATCGACCTCTCTCTCCATCTTGGGCGGTTTGTGGCTAAAAGCAAAAAGGTTCTGAACCGTCCCAAGTTTACAAGTGCGACACTTGATGTGGTCATAGGCTTCTCTCGCGATCTCGGTGGTGTCGAAGTTGAAGGTGATGTAGGTGAAGTCTCGGCATTGGATGCGTATAGACGGGGCCTGCCGGGACGACGGAGGCGTCGGCCGAAACGTGCAGTGCGAGAGCATGGGATACGTTATCCATCGTTCACGCTTCCTCTGCGACTGTGCGGGCTCTTGGCCATCATGCGTTGGCGACGGGATGACTGCGCTGAAGATCATGTGGAAGTCGGTCAGCGTCAGCGTGCCAGTGGCTGTCTGGCCGCCGTTGATGCCCTGGACATGTTCGATAACCTGGGAGGACGGCCATTATGTCAGGACCTGTGATTCGCGTCTCGCCTGAGGAGGGCATCGAGCAGCAGAGCTGTGCCACGAGAAGCACATACCTTCTTTGCCTCCATCGTGGCTGATCCAGCCGCCTTTGGCGTTGTGAGAGCTGCGATGGATGTTGACGCGGAGGTTGCTAGGCTCGTCACGAAAGCGTCATATAACAGTTTGTATAATTATAAATCATATAAGAAAGAAAGCGTATAGCGTCGTGGGAAAAAAAAAAGCTGCGTGGCACAGTGACTCAACAGAAACATCGAACGGCAGTGCAGGAGCTCAGCTTTGTTGGGAGCCAGCAGTGACTTCGTGACTAGGCGAAAAGAAGATCGATCGAAGGACGGAGAGACAGCGAGTAAAGCAGCTTGTGATGCTTTGGCTGGAGCGGATCGAACATCTAGTTTCTTACCGCCAGAACGCAGAGAGTCACCAACAAGCCGAGCCTGCGCAGAGCATTGCTGCCGCCGAAGCAATTGCCAGTAAATCGTCGACGGTGGCCCGGCAAAGAGATGCAAGGCAAAGAGACTGGCGATGCGATGGAGATAAGCAGAGGAGCGTCGTCAGAAGGTCTCGAAACGGCATCACAAGTCCAGGCTCAGCAGGGCCAATGCTGGCGGGGCAGCTGTTGGGGGCGGGGCCCAGGCTTGGGGGACGCCCAAAAGAGCGTCAGGCGCGGCCATGGCGCTGAAGCAGGGCAGCTGGAGGGGTGGAGGAGGCCGTTTAGCGGTGCTGCTGCTACAAATACAGGGCGCGCCGCACTACGAAGATGCTAGCAAGGCAGTGGAGAGTGCTCCATGGCATGTGCTGAGTCGGCAGTGCTGGAGAGAGAGCCAGGAGGGGAAAAGAAGCAGAAGCGGAACAACGTCGGCAAGTCGCCAAAACTGATTTTCCGGGCGACTTGCTACCGCGGAAATGACCTCGCTTGTTTGCGCTAACGTTCCGCTACGCTTAGGACTAGCGCCAGGTACGTACCTCGCTCAAAAATCAGCGAAAAATACCTGAATTGAAAAAAAAAAGTCCCGGCTTAGGGCTCAACCCACACAAAGGGAAAATTGGTGGAAGCGCCAAACCGCTCGAGGCCACTCCAACAGCTCTCCTCGCCCGCAGCCCTCCAAGTGCCCGTCTTTGGAAACCCGCGAACTTTCTCCCTCAACAAGACAGAATTTCCAGTCAACAACAGACTCGAAAAGAATTCAAAATGTCCCACCCTGGTGCTCAGATGTGAGTGCAAAAGCCCGTTTGATTAACCACAGCCCCTCGTCATATCGATACACACAACTACGGCCCTGGCTCTTTTTTTTTCTTGTCGTTGGTGGTTGGTGATGATGGCGTCAATTTGCTTCTTGGAGGGGGGAATTAAGAAGATGAGAGAAGGATGAAGGAAGAGGAGGGAAGCATACAGAGCATTGGCTACAAAAAAAAGAGAACAAAGAAGGACAATGTGAAGGAAGAGCCAGGGTCGAATTGCTGTCTAGTCGATAACGACTGTCACCACCACCACCACCACCACCATCACCATCACCATCACCACCACTATCATCGCCAGTTTTACTGACTTTTTTCTCTCTTGCAGCTCCAAGCGGAGAAAGTTCGTCGCTGACGGTGTCTTCTACGCCGAGCTCAACGAGTTCTTCCAGCGTGAGCTCGCCGAGGAGGGCTACTCCGGCGTCGAGGTCCGCGTCACTCCCACCGTCACCGACATCATCGTCCGCGCCACCCACACCCAGGAGGTCCTCGGCGAGCAGGGCCGCCGCATCCGCGAGCTCACCTCCCTGATCCAGAAGCGCTTCAAGTTCCCCGAGAACTCTGTCTCCCTCTACGCCGCAAAGGTCCAGAACCGCGGTCTGTCCGCCGTCGCCCAGTGCGAGTCCCTGCGCTACAAGCTGCTCAACGGCCTGGCCGTCCGCCGTGCCTGCTATGGTGTCCTGCGCTTCATCATGGAGTCCGGCGCCAAGGGTTGCGAGGTTGTCGTCTCCGGCAAGCTCCGTGCCGCCCGTGCCAAGTCCATGAAGTTCACCGACGGCTTCATGATCCACTCTGGCCAGCCCGCCAAGGACTTCATCGACAGCGCCACCCGCCACGTCCTGCTCCGCCAGGGTGTCCTGGGTATCAAGGTCAAGATCATGCGCGGCTCCGACCCCGAGGGCAAGGCCGGCCCCCAGAAGTCTCTCCCCGACGCCGTCACCATCATCGAGCCCAAGGACGAGCCTGCCGTTCTCCAGCCCGTCAGCCAGGACTACGGTGCCAAGGCCGCCCAGGCCCAGGCCAGCCAGGATGCGCGAGTTGCTGAGCAGGAGGGTGCCGCTGAGGAGGAGGCCCAGCCCGCTGCTGAGGAGCAGTAGGAAGCTGGCTCAGGAGCTGGTTGGTAAAAAACGGGTTGGAGGAGGAGTCTTTTCTTTTTTTGTATGTGCATGATGAGGGAAATCCAGAGAGAAGAAGAAACCAACAAAGAAAGGAAGACGTTGTTGTGTATGTCGTGGATGATATCAAGCCACAAGGCAAAGGGATGGCGGTCAAACTTTAGGCGTCAATGAACATTTGCATCTGCTTAAGGGCATGGAAAGGTTTCGTCTTGTTTTTTTAAAAACATGGTAGACAACATTAAGCCATACACTAAAAAAGTGAGACTTGAAAATCTTAAGATTTAAAAAAAAAAACGAAACATGGCCAAACCAAGTCATTCGCCTCGTACTGTAAACCAATACCTAGTATATACGTAGCACCTATGTCCGTATATTTGTATATATAGGTAGCCAAAAAAAAACAAGGGGGTTTGAAAGAAAAAAACGAAAGGGTATTGCAGGCATCCGTCAGACGGCCCCTAGTATAAGGTAAAATAATAATAGTAATACACTCGCCTCAACCTCACCAACACAAGACACACACTTAAAACTCTGTGTCTCTCTGTGCCTCACTCTCCTTTTGCTTTGTCCCAAGGCCACAACGGCTCACGTTCTTCATTTCTTTCTTTTCTACCTCGGCATCAAAAATGCTAACCAAAAAAAACCCCAAGATATCGTACAACAGGAGCATGCTTTCAAATCCAGTTTCCTTTCCGATCAGTCATGTTTACCGTAAAATAAAAAAAGCAAGTAAGTTATCCCACACCCGCACAACACAAGAAACAAACGCCGCTCCTCCTAAAGAAATAGAATAGCAAAAGGGAAAAAAAAAAAGTTGTAACCGGAAAACCCCCTCCTCCTTTCACTTTATAGCCGTAGCCGCAGCTGCTGCAGCTTTGCTCCCGATGTAAACGATAAAAAGGAAACTTGACAACCAAGGGGGGTTGAGAATCAGAAGAAGAAAACAAGGAACAAATATTTCTAAGCCGCCTGGGCTGGATCCTCCATCTCTCCCTCTATGGGATTTCAAAAGCGGCCGCAGTAACTGAAACCTGCAGGTGCAGCTGGAATCCCTCTCCCTGCTCAATAAACACGCAAGTTCTCCCCCACTTTTTTCCCCTTAAGAAATGGCGTTGAATGGCAAATATACAGATTTGGTTGGCCACTCTGGGCTGACTATTTTGATTTATCTCACAAGAGATGCGTGACAATGGTTTCGGGTATATCCATCATACTTTGACCTCTCTCATGTCTTCCATAGTTGTGATAGAAAAGAAAAGAAGAATAGAAAAGAAATTGTTGAGTGGCAGAGTTCCCTACTACCTGTCGGCATCCTTTCGTGACTGGAGCTCAATGTCACTGCTAGTGTACTGCTTCTTGCCGTTTGCTGACCCGTTTGCCATGCCATTGGAGCCATTCGCACCGTTGAGATGGCGGTCCTCGTCTTCGCTGTCGGCGAGGTCGGTGAGGCCGAAACCCGCGGCCTCCTCCTCATCATAGGCCCGGATCAGACCTTGTCTATCGCCGTGGAAGCTGCTCAGGCTGTGCCTTGAGGTGTTTTCGCTTCTGCGGGATTGCATACTGCGGCGAGTTTGAAAGCCAGAGATCATATCTGTGCCGGCAGCATCAAAGTCGCCTCGTCCGGCAACCAGTCTCTGTCCGTGAGGATCTCCTCGAGACAGATTGAGCAAGTAGACTCCAGTGAATGTAACGAGGAAACCGCAGAGCAGTGAGAGCGTATTGACAGGGTCGGTCGTGTTGAAGCCGCTGAAGAGGATGAAGGAGGCGCAGAGCGTCGCGGTGGTGAATGTGACGTAGTAGAGCGGGTTCACACTGGAAAATACCGTGGTTAGTATGGATGATTTACGTTTAGGTCGCGATCACACAGGCACAGAAACAGCCAGCAGGTTTCAACTTACATGTTGGTCGGGAACGAGGCGAGGGCCTTGTTAAAGTAGTTCATCTGCGTCAGAATGCAGACTGTCGTGAGAATCATAAAGACGTAAGTCGAAGGGTGCGAGAACTGATTGTGGCCAGCAAATGTGAGCTTCAGAGCAATGCCAAAGGCCTTGACGGACATGACAGAGATGGAGCCGACAGTAGAGCAGATGGAGAGGTAGATCAGGGCGTTTCGCTTGCCATAGACGGGGGCAATTCGGTATATCATGAAGACGGCAAAAGCCACGACGGCAAAGGCATACAAAAGAAAACCTGGTCATGATCGTCATTAGTCTTCCGAGCCACACTCAAAATCAAATAACCGAAGACGCGAGGGGGAGATTGGTAATATCAAAAGACAAGAAAGGAAGCCGGGTTCCGGATCATGGCTCGTCGTCATTCGTACCTGGTTGGATGGCATAGTGAAGAATCTCATCGACCGTCTCGATTTCCTCGTCGGGAGGGGCGTGCAAAACGATAATGACGGCACCGATGAGGCAAATGGCACTGCCCAGCTTCCCCAGCGTACCAAGCTCTTCATCTAGGAAATATGATCCCAGCACGGCGCCGATCAGGACACTGAGAGCTCCCAGAGGAGTAACCAGGATAGCCGGGGCAAAAGCATAGGCGGCGAAGTTGCATATTTCTCCGATACCAACTGTAGCGGGGGAAAGGAAGGGTTAGAAGGTGACTATCGAATTTGATATCGGCGTCAGTTGCTCACGAGTTGCAATTCCCGCCCACCACATGGGGCTCTTCATATATACAAATCCATCGCCTTCGAAGCCGTGTCGCTCTTCGGCTTGTAACAATCCCTGTGCACATTGTCAGTCAAGATGTCCTCGTCTTCGGTTAGGCCGGCGGAAGATTGTGTGTTGTGTGCGGCCGAGAGCCGTGACGGGTCGCCGCAGAAGAATCTGACCTTTTTGGTGATGACGAAACTGGTGCCTGAAGAAATGGAAGCGTAAGCAAGAACACGCTGCCGGAATCAATCACAGAGAGGACGAGGACATACCAATGGCCAGGGCCGATGACATGGCCAGCGCCAGGCCGATGTATCTAGACGCGATGGAGTCAGCGAACGGCGTTCCACGAGGGGCACCTCTCTTGTCCCCAAAGAGGCCTCTTCCAAGCAGAAACGTACTTGTCCTCAATCATGCTGAGCGAGCGTTCTCTGGGACGATGAAGCGCGCGAGAGGGCCACGGAGTGTGTCGTATCGACGGAGTACGTCTTCAGCGGCTCCCTGGACAAGGGAAGAGTCGCGAACGAGACAAAATGAGCGTGCGCAAGGACCAAATGGTAGCGAATGGACGTTGTCGACGAAGCAAGAAGGAGCGTAACAGAGAAAGTCTGTGGTCGGCCGGCTAGGCTTTGTGGCGACTCCAAGGCGGGGGAAGGCTTGCGAGTAGCTTCGTTAGATCAGATCAGGCCTATCAAAAGCGCGAGGCTCGTCTTCGAGGCCGTCGTCGCTGGTTTTTTTTTTCTTTCTTCGTTGCAAGGGAGGGCAAAGGAGCAGCGCCGGATCGTGCTTCGTGTCTGCTGGCTGGCCTCTTGATGTCGTACCAGAATGCCTGTTGTTGTGTCGTAATCCGCCGTCCAATTCCGTCTCTAGAAGGTAGCTTCGAACTCAAGCAAAAAATCAAGATGCAAATGCACCGCAGACGCAACGCCGACGTGGTGCCAAAGGAGAGGGAGGGGGAGAAGGAACAAGCAGGGCGATGATTGGCGCACAAAGGAGAGCGAGAAAAAGAAGGCAAGGGAAGAAAAAAGGAACGATCGCGGATGTATTTTCTGGTGGCTTGTGGGTTTATTGGAGTTCTGGCATCGACGGGTTGATTGGACTCTGGTCTTGGGCCGCGTGTGGCGCTTTATTGGGGGTGTGGGCGAGCTTTGGGGAATGGGATGCGTGTCTCACCAGCGTCTTTCTGGGCTGTTAGCGGTTGCTGCTGCGTGGCTACAGGGCACGGCATCGGTATCAGCGGGCCTGGACAGAGGCGCAATGCCTGGAGCGCTAACTGCAGTAAGCTGGGGGTCTGGACGGGTACCTGAGGGGCTGGCGGGCCAATTGCTGCTTTCTTACTGCGCAGTGCAGTACAGGGCGGGGGGGTAGAGACCTAAAAAAAGACGGAGGGACTGAGGTCGAGGATACATGGGTGAAGCATGTCGCGCTGCGAGCTTCGGCAAGTAGAGTTTACGTGCATGGATGGCGAGGGTACATGCAGCAAGGTCTCGCGCTCATCGCTTTATTGCCGCCCAAGTACCTACCCAACCTTGAGAGGGAGTCTACTACCTAGTAGTACTAGGTAGGTACTACTACTGTAATCCAGTGCAAGGCAAGCGCCTCAGCGTGCTGTGTAGCATGGAGTACATACTACCTACTAATGTATAATCTCGTTCATCGCTATCAAGCATTCATTGGAGGCATGCCGTGGAGCGTGGAGGGGCGCCTTTTAGAGCCAAGCAATTTCATCGCCTGCTGCCGGTAGATGCGCTGCTGGTGGATCGAGGCGTCCTAAAACAATCGAGCCCCTGTCGTGTCTGGCTTGTTTCACATCATCAGGCAATCTGCTGCGGTCCCCATTCCCATGAGATTTCCCAGCAGATGGACGGCGATCTGCCCACTACGGCCACGACATGGGCTGCTGTTGATTCGTTACGGCAAGGCTGGAGATGCTGGATTCCTCTTGGCCTGGTTGGCTGCCTCAGTCAGAGAATGGCGCTTCGTATTCGGCAGCCTTGCAACAGCACTTTTTTGCTCCGGAATATGGGGATACGAACTTTGGTGCTGTAGGTACTGGGTCCATTTTATGATGGAATGATGGAATTACTGCTACCTACCTTCCATAACAAACACCACATTGCTTCTCTCGTGGATTATTGTAGAGCTCGAGGTGGAAAGGCAACCTCGCCAACTTCGGGTAGAGATGGAGTCGCACAGGGAGGTGTGTATCCTATCAACGCGGCAAAAAGACACGAAAAAACACGGTTGTCAAATCTCGTAAATTCCGATGCCGCTTATCAACCGGAACGCATGGGAAGACGTTTTTTATCCAAAACCCGCCGACGTCATTGGCCACCTCTGGTTCACAGGGCAGCTGTAGAGCATTAGCCTCTGAATGAACCCCAAGTCAATATAGAGAGAGCTGCCTGTTTATCTTACTAGGCACTTACCAACGACTCCTATATTAGCAGGTAGTATTAGGTACTGTAGTATTAACAGCACTAGCAACTCTGTAGTCATCTTCGATTTCATGTCACAGAGCTAGTCAAATACTTCAGCATCACGAGACTCGGACAGATGCATCGTCTTAGACACTGAAAACATGCTGCGCCTCATTGGCCCCCCAACAACTTCTCACGCCCGCTAAATTATACGCAGGTCATGCAGACACGGGGCATTGTCCCCATCAGTCTACCTATATTAGTAAGTATATACATATGGATATATGTATGTAGTCAGCCTTCAAGGCAGGTCATCCATCAGTTTGCATTTTCTCATCGTGTACCCGGGCATTCATTACTCGCAGGTAGTGACAGCGATAGTGCCCTCTAGTAGTGTCCTTTGCCCTGAATCGCTCGCTGTGGAGCCTCTCTGGCAGCCACTTCCAGGTTTCACACAGTGCCAAGAAAGTGATCGACCCGCGCACTGCTTCGTAACTAGGGGCCCTTCCTTCTGATCGATTGGGGATAAGATGTGCAGCGAGAAAAACCAGAAAAATATCCAGCCCCTGGATAAGTGGAGTAGACGACGCGCAAACACACACACGCCCCTTGTACAGTATGTATTACCTGCGCTGTGTCTGCTTGTAATTCGCAGCGCTCTCAAGACAGCAGAATACCGATAGTCACATGTAAGCCGTCAAGGCCGCGGGCACCAGCAATATGTGCGTCAGCAGCAGACACGTGACGCGGACCCAAGTAGGTATTACGTTGCTGCTGATACCGTATTCCGAAGCAAGCCCCAATCTCCTCTCAAAATAGCACACTAGTATGTATAATTAGACAAAGAGATAGATATACCTCCATATTCTCTAGGGCGCTTTCTCCCGACCTAAAAGAGAAAGGACGCAAGGAGCAAGGAATCGCGTGGCTTTACTACAGAGTATTTCGTATTGGCTGTAAAAAGGGGAGGGAGAACTAATACTACAAGAAATTTTCTCAACAACAGTCAAAAAGGTCAAAAAGTCAAAAAGTAAATCTTCCGGCGCCGGGAGTCGAACCCGGATCGCCGCGGTCCTTTCTATTGAAAGCGCGGTATGCTAGCCACTACACCACGTCGGATGTTGCGTTGGACTCGGAATCCCGTGACCAACTGAGTTGGAAACAGGCGGCATAATTGGTAGTAATAAACCTATGGCTTTGAGCGGGCACCAACAACAACAAATCGTCGTTGGCTTGAACGTTCAGTGAGAGAGGTGCTTACCACCCACAGATCATATCGTATTCATCAAACCCCAGCTGGCCCATAGGATACGGTTACTGGCACTGTTTAAATTCAATGTGTGCATTAAAGACATGTGCAACAGACCTCTCCGTCCGTAGAGCTAAGTCATAATCTATATGCAGACATACCTGACCTTCTACTATTACCGGAGCCGTAATTCCAAAACGCCAAAATATCCCTCGCGTGGCTACCTTTTTTTTTCTCTCCAATATCACGCCGTAAAATCCCTCCAAATGTCTATCCTTTCTCCAGTGATTCAAGTGGAAAGCATACAGCCTATGCCAAATACTAGTCTGGCTCTTAAATCGAGAGAATGCGGTATCAAAGCCCTCAACCTTCATATGAAAGAGAGGGGCAAAGTAAGATAATTAAAGGGAAGGGGAAAAGGGATAAATAAATAATGAAAAGCTGCAAAAAGGAAAGGAGGCTGGTAAACAGGCTGATCGCTCAGCGCCAACCCAAAAGCAAAGTCGCCTGCGGCTACATGGTCGTACGGTTTCGCACTGTTAGTATAGCCATTTAGGCCCCTACCTGGAATCGTATCTTGTCTTCAGTCAGAAGCGTAAAATGTGTAGTGGCGTGTCCTAGGGTGCGTATAGAGAGTCATCAGAGATTTCGATATTCGTAAGAAAATCACGCTACTGACTGTGGTTAGTACTCCGTTATAGGTAATGGGCCATCTCGCCCTATCAGGTTGATCCAGATGTGGCTGCAACAATATGCATTTGGGGGAAAGTTGGCTTCGTCCTCGTTGTTAGTCTTGGCAGGGCAAGGATTAAAATCATGGTCGACGGCGCTTGGCATCTGTAAAGTAATCAGCTTTTGTTTACCGCATAACAAGTTTCGCTTTGGCTTACCTTGTTCATCTTCCACGCCTTGCTCGTCCTCGGTACGACGCCGTTTTGGTAGGCCAGAAGGTGTACCGGGCATTTCGTTTTTGGCATCGTCGGGGGCGTCTAGGTCATCTCTCCAGTCGATCTCAGGCATCTCATCCTCAAAGGCTAGATCTTCATTGGTAATCTCTTCTAGCCCTTGGTCAGCGCCCATGTCCAATAGGGTAGACATGCCTTCTCCGTTGTCGGCTAGTGTGTTGGTCGTGCCAGTGTCCGCCTCATTGGTGTCTATATATTCGTCTACAGGATGCATAGCAAGCTGCTGTGAGTCTTCGTTGCCCACCTCCACGTGTGCCATGGCTTCATATTGAATTTCAGCTCCATCATCTACCATAGTCTCCTGCATCTCAAGGTGGATAAACGGATTGGCATCAGCGTCTTCATCTTCGTCATCTAAGTATCGTTGGTTAGAATGTAGCGAGACAAAAGCTGTGGGGGTATTGGTGACTATACCGTATGAATATGTTGCATCTGGAGCGTTATCTGCCTCTGCAGTTGCATCCGCGTGGCCGGAATGATTTACGGGCTCTACAACCACAGCTTGAAGCTGCTCATAGCTCTCCTCTGCGTCATCGCTATACTCTCCTTCTTGATTCGCGTTCTCTTCAGCATCTCTAATGAAATCTTCGGTCTCTGCCATGAAGTCTTCGCCGTCATCTTCATCTTCTTCATCCTCTTCTTCTTCTTCTTCATCCTCATATTGGTCTGCAGATTCGATTGGTTGCTCTTCAGCGGCTGAAGTCTCCTCCTCGTCCTCGTCTTCTTCTTCCTCGTCTTCTTCTGAACCCTCAGACTCTTCAGTGTCAGCATCCGCTTCTTCATTTTCTTCATTTTCGTCGTCGTCGTCGTCTTCAGCGCTCTCATGAGTCTCCGCAGCCTCATTGGCGTCGCTGTCCTCGCCATGATAATGACCATGTTCATTCTCAGCTTCAGCAAGGACATGGTGATGCCCAACAGGATTCTCAAAAAGATGAATCACTTCATCAAGCCCTCTGCCAGCAGCTGCACTTTCTGCCAGAAACTCAAATCGTTTACTAGCGCTCGATCTCGTGAAGAGATACGTGTACAGAGTTCGCGAGCTATCAGGATCTTGATTCTTCACCAGCAAGTCAAAGACCTCTAACACTTGTCGTAGCGTAATAGTGGTGAGTGTGTTGTGCGCTGTGGCCTGTGGAGCAGTTAGTTCAACTCGTCCTTCATCTACGCGGCCGGATACTTTACACACCTCTGCAAATTCAAGCCCGAGTTCGTCGACTTGGAAGACAAGTTCATCTTGTGCAGCAATCTCATTCTCCAGCTCTGAGCGTAATCCAACAAGCACTGATTCCATCGAGTGATCCAAGACTGATGGATCAGAAAAGAAACCCTCGGTTTTATCTTGTGAAAAGAATGGAAATTCGTCTCCTTTATATTGCACAGTGATTGCTGGAAAATCCGGCGCTTCTGAATCCTGCTCTTCTGCTTGCGATAATGAATGATCTTGATGATATGCCGGAGACGTCTTTTCTTCCGAGACTTCTACCACAGCGTCTGCATCATAATCGGAGTCTGTGGCGTGAGCATGCTGCTCGTACACTTGATCATGCAAGTCACTATTCTGGGTTGGCTCAGTCTCGGTGTGGTCGAATTTAGCGACAGTCTCTCCAGCGTCGGCTGCAGATTCCTGCTCGTCATGCTTTTCTGCGTCGTCTTCTTCGTCATGCTCCCAGGTTATCTCATCTTCGTCATCTTTGGGCGCTAGCTCTGGCACCTCGGAGCTACCAACGGGTGCATCTGCTAAGGGTAGGCTAGCAAGCTCTGCTGTGGTGGTACTGGCGACATTTGCCGCAGCAGCCATGTCGTCATTTGAGTTACCCTCGTGCACACCACTGCCTGTATCGTCCGGCTTCTTCGGAGAAACTTGTGTAACTGTAGCATCTTCGTCCTCATAATCAATCTCATCTACGGCTTGCTCTGCCTCGGTAGCAGGAATATCACCAATATTTTCGTTTCCACCGGCCTCATTGAAGTCTTTTGATTGCTCTGCTTCCAAAACAGTATTGTTATCTTGATGCGTCGCAGCGTACATTTCTGACTGTTGGTGCGTTTCTTCAACAGCATCATCAGTGTGTTCATAGTCCATGTCACCCTGTGGGTGGCTCGCTTCCGGACCCTGTTCAGCTTCGGTGTATCTCGAATCGGCGCCTTCTATGTCTTCGACTGGATGCACCTGTTCTGGCGCACCTGAGGCGTGCTCATCTTGGTGAGATGACCATTGCTCGTGGCTATGGTTTTCCGTCGTGTCGATGTCGTAGTCAATAAGATCTTCATCCACATGCTCGTCAAATTTCATTGGCGCTGCCAAGTCGACATCCATATCGAGTTCTGCCATGGTTTGCCACGGCCTCGAAAGTATATCAACGTTCGGCTAGATAGTGTCAAGGCTCCGCCAAAAGTGCTTCCGTCGATGGTTGGTCTGCAAGCCGATATATGCTTCTTTGTGGTGCAATAATACGAAATAGGGATCGCAGTAGCTTTGGAATAGAAACAAAAGGTGTTGCGCAGGGCCGAGAAGTGGGTGGGCAGTGTTACGCCACTCGCGATATAGCGTTTGCAGGCTGTTGATTGCGAGCGGGAGAGCAACACATTGATGGCCAAGGGGAAAAGTATATGAAGAATAGAAACAGGCGACACGAGAAACGCGTCGTACGGAACCAGAATAGCAGAGGTTGGCCCGTATTCGCGGTGGCGTGGAGAGATGGAATTGGCGAAGCTTCACGGCTGAGGCTAAATGAATGCGACGACATTCTTTCAGAGAACAGCGAGCTTGAGACCAGCTGGCCCACACGTGAGAAAGAGCTGACTAAAATAGGTTAGCGCGCTGTGATTAGTCCCAAGAGCAGAAACGGGGCATGCGAAGCGCCTAGTATGGGGTACATGCTGTTTGCTGGTATATATACTGTAAGAGTGGGTGCTGGGTACTTGACAAGCAACCGTTAGGTACTGAGTACTCTTCGCTCCATCGCTTTCTATGGCTATCATAGGGAAATACATGCGGTGCCCATGTACTGCATACTTCAACCCCTCGGCCAGCTTTCAGCAGCAGAGCCCCGCCACTGTAACTGCTAGAACACGTGACGCCGCTGCTCTAGACCAGAGCGGTAGCCTTGTCACTGAACCGCCAGCTCCTGAGTTAGACGTGGCTCAATTGAACCATCTGGCTGACGCTGCCCATCCCACCAAAGCCTCATTTCCACGGCATTTCAGCCCTTTCTACTGCCAAAATGGTGCGCACCCGGCTCCAGAATGCTGCGTGCAGTTTCATTGACCGCTAACTGTACCCCAGGTTGTCCTTGCGGCCTCAGTGTGCACCCGGGGCGGGAAAGCTGTCCTCTCCAGACAGTTTCGAGAGATGCCCAGATCCCGCATCGAGGCTCTCCTTGCATCGTTCCCCAAGCTCGCAGACAGCGGCACTCAGCACACCATCGTCGAGCAGGATAATGTGCGATTCGTTTACCAGCCTCTCGACGAGCTCTACATGGTGCTCATCACCAACCGCCAGTCCAACATCCTCCAAGACATCGATTCGCTACACCTGTTCGCTCAGGTGGTGACGAGCACCTGCCGGACTTTGGACGAGAGAGAAATTCTTCGAAATGCATACGAGCTTCTCAGCGCATTTGATGAGCTGGTCACGCTTGGCTACCGAGAGAACTTGACCATCAGCCAGATCAGGACCTTCCTGGAGATGGAGAGTCATGAAGAGCGCATCCAAGAGATTATTGCACGGGTACGGACCCTGCCCTACTCTTTATCCATCATAGCGGGCCAAAATACTTACATGAATCGATATAGAATAAAGAGCTCGAGGCTACGGAAGAGCGGAAACGCAAAGCGAAGCAATTGGAGATGCAGCGCAAGGAGTCGGCAAGAAGTGGTCGCCCCGCCGCGCCACGAACACCCGTTTATCCCACATATACTCCTCCCTCTCAGCCAAGTGCCAGCGCCTTTGACTCATACGAAGCCGAGAAGAACAAGACATTCAACAAGTACGCACTGTTGAGCTCCGCGCTCCGTTTGCTCTGAGAGAATGCTAATTGCTTTGATAGGCCTTCCACGCTCAAGGCGAAGGGTATGCAGCTCGGCAAGAAATCAAAGAATACCGACATTTTCGAAAAGGTCCGAGGAGATCTTGGCGCCGGAGCCGATGATGCTCCTCTTATAACCCCTACACCTGCAGCGGCTGCCGAGCCGGAGCCACGGATGTCATCCACCCTGGACCGAGATGCTATCCACGTCACAATTGCCGAGACGATAAGTGCCAAGCTCTCAAGAGAGGGCGCAGTCAACTCGATTTCAGTCAACGGCGACCTTACGCTGCGAGTTTCGGACCCAAGCCTGGCTAAACTCAAGCTCGGCCTACATGCCATCCCATCGCATGGTGCCCAGTTCCGTCCTCATCCGAACGTGGACCGCAACCTCTTCAACAACTCCAAGGTTCTGCAAATGAGCAACACCGCTCGAGGATTCCCAATTAACCAAGGAGTTGGCCTTTTGCGATGGAGAGCTTCGCCAAAGGCGGACGACGCAAGTGCATGCCCTATTACATTCACCGTCTGGATCAACAAGGATTCCGACAAGTACAACATCACAGTCGAGTACGAGCTCACGGGCGGCGATGCCCTCCGTGACGTCAGCGTAATCATTCCTTACCAGGGAAGCGAACCTATCGTCTCCAGCTTCGATGCTGCCTACGAAGTATCTGGAGACACTCTGGAGTGGAACATTGGCTCGGTCGATGACGAAAACCCTAATGGATCATTTGAGTTTGAAGCCGAAAGCAATGATGAAAACGACTTCTTCCCCATGACTGTTCGCTTCAACAAGACCACACCCTTTGTGGACGTCGACGTAAGTTGCATATCATACCCAGCACCATGCCATGCCAAACAAATCTTTGTCGCTAACAACTGCCTCAGGTCACATCCGTTTCTTTGCTTGACGAAAACGAGGAGGTAACATTCTCCAAAGATATCAGGTCTGCGGCAGACAACTATTTGATTGAGTAGATGACTAGAGAGACTTAATACTAGAAGCGTGGATTTCTTTTTCTTTTCCAATTATTTATGGGGATTTACAAAATGGGAGGCCCTGGCGCCTGGTGGCTCTGCTCCGGGATTGTGTAGAAGAGATAATGCTTCAAATGATGATGTGATGCGAAAAAAAAAAAAATCTATGCCAAGGAGTCTATGTGCCATTGAAGCTAAAAGCCACGCCGTTTACCGAGGTGAAACTGCAATAGAGTCCCTTGGCTACGCCGACCGCGACAATGCAAAGGGTATTGCTTGGTTTATCTTCAATATTTCCTAACATGACAGGAATTCCAGTATAGGTTCTCTTACCAACGTTATGATATTGATACTGGAGATGATAGGTGGGATCACACCATCCACTGAAAATAGGCCAGGCAGAAGCAGTTCACGGAGCAAGACTTGGAACTTAAACATTAAAGGTGAATTAATAGAGCTAAAGACGGACTAAAAGACATAGTATCTCTCTCGCTTGGAATACGCACAGAAACAATTAAGCCGCCCACTCAGCAATCATCTTGTCGAAATCCACATCATATAGCCAATCCAAGTCAAACGGTTCAAAGACGCCGGCTTTGACTGCATCTGGCAGTCGTCTCTTGTTCACCCTGTCATTTAGGCCCAATACCCTGTCCACACGCGCCTGTCTACCTTGCTGCCAGTTCTTCAACGCTTTACCGATCCGCGCAGCATCTTCCTTTTCGTCGTCTGACGGCTTCTGCTGCTGTACCTTTGCGACTATGCCGGCAAACGTATACACGTCTTCGAAGGCCTGGTTCACGCCTTGGCCGGCAGTTGGGGGGATCGCATGAGCCGCATCGCCGAGGATAACGACACGGCCTTTGGCCCAGGTATCCAGCTTGGGCACAAGGTAGAAGGGCCACAAGTTGATGCCCTTGAGCGGAATGTTGGACACGGCATTGGCCACGATGGGGGGGAAGTCGGCGCTGCCTTCGCGCAGAAAATCGATGCACCAGGCCTTGTTGTTCAGCAGCTCGTCCCATCCAGCGCGGTCGTGCTCGTGCTGAAGGAGCTTTGGCTTTCCAATGAAAACCTCGGAGCCGTCAGCGCGCTGCGGCGCAATGACAAAGGCACCATGCTTGGGGCTCATGATGGTCACGGGCAGCGGGTAATTGGGATCTGCTTGGAGCTGCGCACGAGGCACGGCGGCGGTAACACCAATCATGTTTGTGAATTTGGGAGTGAGATCCGGGTACAGGTGCTTGCGGACGCGGGAGTGAATGCCATCGGCTCCGACGAGAAGCTTTGCGCTGGCGGTGGATCCGTCGGCAAAGGCCCAAGTGACGGAGGTGGACGATTCAGAGACGATGTGGTCAAATTTCTTCTGGTACTCGACGGGAATGCCGGCCTCACGGACCATGGACACGAGGACGTTGATGAGCTCGAAGCGGTAGATGCGGAGGGCTTTGTAGCCGTGTTTTTCCTGGGAGCCGAAGACGAAGTCGTCAACGGGTTTGTCGTCATCGGAATGGAAGTAGAGCTTCTCGAAGTTGTGGCCAAGGGGGGAGATGTTCTTGTATACGCCTAGGGCGTCGAGAATCTTGAGGGCGTTGGGGGAGAGCATGATGGCGCCTCCGATGTCGAGAGATGCCTCGCGAGATTCGTAGAGGACGCAAGGGATGTTCTGACGGTGGAGAGCGAGAGCGAGTGTGAGACCGGAGAGGCCTGCGCCGATGATGGCGACGCCAGTTGCTGGGGAGGACATGTTTTGGGGTTTTGGTGATAAGAGGTATAGAGGAGCAAGTATGTTTGCTACGAGTATCTGTTACTTTGAGTATATGAAGAAAGGAATCAGAAAGCTTGATGACTGTTGCTGGTGCTGTTGTTGCAGTTGCTGTTATTGTTGTAGTTGTTATTAGAATTGAATGTCCAAGATGAATTGAGAGATTGTTCGTAGACCTAGCTGCTATATATACATATCCAGTACAGTTCCCATTCGACATCATCCCTCAAAGGATCATGGCCTCGCTAGAGTTAACAATCCTTCGTATCTCCGACGTCCAATCCAAAACGTCCAGACAAGAAATCAGCCTTACGGCGAGTCAACCGCCCCTGCAAGTCAGCTACCCAAATCCAACGTCGAACCGAAGGTTAGCCCGGTTGAGAGTCAGCCACCCATGCGCCACCCAATTGGATAGAAAGCTAAATTAACCTTGATATGTCAATATCGTAATGTTAGTTAGCTAGTCGAATAGATTGATAAGCGATTTTTCCAATGTGTTCTTTTGCATAATGTACCTACCTATGGAATAAGACAATGCCACTTAGGCGCTTGCGCTAACTATCGCTTAGCCCGCTTAGGGTCAATCCTTTACAAGTGAACAGATCCATTTCAAAAGGCTATAGGTTTGGGCTCGGTTGGAGGCACGGCTTAGGCTTACAGGGATGATCCTCTCGCTTATGGCAAGGTTGGGCAGAGGAGCCTGAAAAGGAATTTAAGTTTTGCTTGATTATAGGGCTTGTATAAGTAGCTGGTTGAATATTTCGATAAGTAGTTTATTCATATTGTGTTTATTTGCTAAGTGACCTGTTTATTATTTTTATAATACCATGTAAAAAAAACCTCAATATTCGATAGCCTTTTATTGTAAGCAGTTATTTTATATATGGCTATCTCGCCACTGGGCTAACTTGCACTACAGACAAGTCGGATCCGGGGCAACATTGGCAAATGCGTTAGCCGAAAGCCTCAACTCTATATCTGTCTCGGCCGGGACATCTACCCCACTCGGCCGAGTGGGACGGATCGGAGCTGAATTTTGGCCGCCTCGAACCGAGGAAACCAGTGAGGTTGAAGTGGCTGAGGCAACGGGTTGATGCAAGAAGAAAAAAAATGATGGAATGAGTCTTTCTGGTTCAGGGGGGATATTATTCGTATTTCCGACGGCCTTTGGGAGGAATGGGCGCCAATAAAGCGATTGGAAAATAACGCCGAATGCTGCCTTTTACTGCGCACTCAAGTAGCATTCTCTGATGGCGTAGCCAGTGTAAGTACGAGATTCTTCCACTAAGCTGTTAGGTTCTATTTCCACGTTTTCCAATAGTTTCTGAGAGTTAGCTTTGTTTATTTTAAATCGCTACTAGGTAATTATACACGCTTATCAAACTCCAGGCAAGGGCGCTACAAGCTACTTGTAGAAGAATGCCCCATCTTTTAGTGAGCCATCGGTCGGTGAGATGCCATAGTTGGGAACTATTCCCACCTGAAAGATTGCAGGACTTGTTAATAAGAAAGACGACTTAAAATTTAAGGGCGTTGAGAAGTCTCACCAAAACGTAGCCTCGGCGAGGATACAAGTGTTTTTCGGCTGTTGAGCCAATGTCTGTAGATAGTAGCTGCGCAGGCAGATGTAAGATTCCATAGCCGATAATCAAGATGGATGCGCTCCATAACGTACTAGTAATGTCCTTTTCTCTTCTATTGCAATCTCTTCCAGCGCATCAATCAGTTTGCTTGCCAGCCCCCTACGGCGATACTTTGGCGACACCATCAACATCTCCAAATCGCCTCGGAATGGCCCCGTATCTGCTTCCGTCATGCCCAGCTCCACAATGCCAGCAATATCAGAGTCTTGCTTGCCATCCGAAGATACCAAGGCAATCAAGGTGATCCGATGGCCGGTGGAAATTTGAGAAATGCGAGCTTTCCAGAAGGATTCCATTTTCTGGCGCTTTTCGAGAGTGAATGGCGGGTGGAAGCGCAGCAGGGCGCCATCAGATTCGATGCAGTCAATGTGCATTTGGATAATGGCAGAGACATATTTGCCATGTTCAGAGGGGGAGAATCGGGTGATGGTGATTTGTTCCATTATGCAAGTGTTAATTTGCTATTATTATATAAAGAGAGAAAATAACTACAAGTGGCATAAAGAGAAAAGGAATTGGGCAGATGTGATGTTAAAAGGATGCAGAGTTGTCAACTAGGTAATGAGTCTATCCATAAACGCGAGAAATACGAGAGACGCTTTACCGGATAAATGATCCGTGAACGCGCGTAGCAATACGACTTGAGAAAGTTCAACCAAGCATTGAAAAGATGACAATACGTCATTGCAGATTTAAAACAGGTCAAGACAGGCTTATGCTTTAAATTGCTCTAAGTCTCCGGGTGCTGTTAGAGGTGTTGCCAACTGGCTACTAATAAGCTTCTTAAAACTACAAATATACCTACTTTATAAGGGATCCTACACTATAGGCTCTAGCATGTGTAGATAATTACTTGGATGCATTAAGCTAAAAATTCAAGTATATTTTCTTGTCTTACAGGTATCTAACGTCTTGATATTTATAAATATAGTAGTAATAGCATCTATATGCCTTTCAACTACCTATAAATAGTAAGTAATAAACTTGTAAATTTACGAGAGGAGGAGTACATAAGCAAATATTACTAAGCAGCTGTGTCCCACTCTAATATGGGTTAATTCGCTAGATGCAGCGCTAGCTATTTTTACACTAGCGCCATTCAGAGCTTTGAAAAAGAAAAAAATTATCTCCAGGGGAGGATTTGAACCGCCGACTTTTCGGTGAGATGTTACCCATTACAGCCGAATGTCATAACCAACTAGACCACCCGGAGTTGTCTTTTTGTTGTAAGACATTTTATCGCATTGACTTATAAGGGAAAGAATGGTGTTTTCGTGCATTCAAATACGCAGCAAAACTTGGTAGAGACTTGGGAGGCTTCAAGCGCTTCTTATAGAACCTCTAGCTCAACGCTTTAATTTTGGCCCACCCCTTAGCTGCCGACTAGCCATCGTGGCTTCATTCCACTAAGGCTTTTAGTCCGGGCTAGAGCTGGCGCTTGTCCAGACTAAATACTCCAAGCGGCGACCAACAGCAACTAGGCTCATCCCAGTTCTCCGACGGCGAATATCGAGGTCATTGGACTAATTCTATTGGGATTTAATGGCTGCTAGGTAAAGATCGGTATAGTAATCTTTTACGCGTCTAAGCTACCTGGGGAAATATTTTATAGTAGTGAGACTGGGTTTTGCAGTACACATCTAACAGGCTATCTTCGATTTCAGCAAGTGGTTCGACAGACTCGAATGATCAGAGTTCATCGCGGAAGTCGGCAGACTTGAAAGAGGAAAATCATCGCGTGGCTAGCGATCGGCTTTGTTGGGACGCACCTGATTGGCTGGTTGGAAAATACTTGATCCATCCCGCTTATCCTACAAGTGGCTGCAGTATTAAAATGGGCAGTCAGCGCAAAGCGTCTTAGTTAGCATGCGGTAACTCTGTACGCATACCCTATAAGAGATGGAAATATAAAGTAAATAAGCTGAACTTATTATCTCTAGTATATAAATGATTTCGTTGTGTCGTTGTATTTATAAGTCCTTGTATTAAATCGGGAGGTTTTAATTATGTGTCTTATAGAGCAGCTGGAACATTTACCCAAGGCTGTAATATCGTTTCTTCTGGTTTAGAATTCGATTTTACATGTTTTATCCAAATATTGTAGCATAAAATTTAGCGTATCGGCAGATGTATCCTTAGCTCTCTACTCTCTGGTTGGCTTATACTCTAGCGTACTGGAAAAATAATTTTCCAAAGCCTAATTGCCCGGCTTAAAGCGAGCAAATGCCGAGGTTTCTCCATACGGGAAAGCGGCAAAGCGACTCGAGAGCTGAGCAGCCCCTGTTCGCTTTGACGCCATCGTGGAGACGTGGGTACCGCTATAACGCGTTAAAATGGGATGAGATCTTCTCATCTACCGCTGCTCTGGGGCGGATTTGCCAAGTCTCGGGACTTTCTCAGCTGTCGTAGTTCTCCTTCAGCTATCCCTATACATACGTGTGCGGCCTAATGCAAAAGGCGGTCTGTGAAACGCCAGGCAAGCCAAGTGGCTGCGTAGATGCATCTCCCCAGCGAGATGTGCTGGCATGGTGCAAATGGAGACATTGGCTCATCTACACGACTCCCATCTACACGACTCCCATCTACAAGACTCCCATCTACACGACTAGATCGTCTTCCTGGAGCTTTGCAGGTACATATGCCGTGTACATGGGCAATGGCCTTGCATCACAGTTTAATAGACTCTCTCAAGAGCACTCGATAGCCTGTGTCGTGCTACATCAATATTCATTCCCCGCACATGCGGTGTCAGTGTGCCATCGCATGTTGTATTTCTGCCCCCAGACTGTGTGCGCGCGTGATGGCAAACTCATCAGTTTAGCCATGCAGGGCCAACTGAGACATCCTAACGCAGACAAGAGAAGATGAGTAAAGTGAATGAACCCAAGACGACGCCCGTGGCCTCTTGATCGTCGTCTGCTTGGACGTATAAGAAAAGAGGTACCCCTGTGGCTCTCATGGCTGCCTGAAGCATCACCTGCATTTCCGCTCCTGGAGAGCCAAGACTCAGTCTTCATTGCATTAATTGCTGTAACTGTTTGATATGTGGCACCTTGTTCGGATACTGGCTGCATCGCGGCTTTGGTTCAGCGATGGTGATGCACTCGAGACCGCTCGAGGTGGCCACGGGATTTCATCTCGTCTGATTGTTGATCGCCATGGGTTTCTTGACATCACCGAGGTGCATTCATCAAAGTCAATGGCTCTTGATGCAAATGGGGCAACTCTCTGGCTAAAGAGGCGTGAGGTGGATGACGGCTTTACATGTCCATCATTGCAGAGTAGCTCATATCCACTGAATCTATCTCTTCGGGTTGGCGACGATGGTGCCAGTTTCACGCTCGGACTTGTCAAAGTGCCAGATATAATTACAGGTTTGTTAATTTCTCATATTCTGAGCATAGCCATATGGTTGTATACATGCATGCTTACAAGTTCTTGTGAACAGCTTGTTATAATATTTCGAGGCAAGTGTCTGGCCTCTTGAAGCCTTTGCCTCACATCTCCACCGAAGATGTCACCTTCATTAGCAAGATGATTAGCAATAAATTTGTGCCATATCAGAACATTCCGCATGGATATCCGAAGACTTTCGAAGATATCAGAGCTTTAGGGAGACAATATTTTCCCTTTACGCCTTATAGCTTTGAGCTTGCCATGTGTATTTACGACTGGACGACTGCATCCTTTGCGCGCATGACCTTGTTTAAAATCTTTCAGTACACAGATATCGATTCGGGAATCCCCTCGCTCCCTCACCCCTTGGATCGTGAGAGCCTTACTTTGAAGATTTGGCAGAGCAATTTCTCTGCATATACACCCAAGGACGCCGATTACATGCGGACCTTCTTGATGGAACCAGCACACTCGTTAGACCATCTCAAAGCTCAATTTGACGAAGTTGTAGATGAAGTTTACAATTTTAGCGAGATTGAAAACCGCCTCCTCGCTGCAGCCGCGCGATCCATGCCTCGGACATCGCTCGCGTCGAAGTCGCAGCTGTTTAGCGGGCAGGTTGACATTCGACAGCTAGGCACGAAGCATTTCGGCATAGAATTTTACGAATGTCCTTTAAACTCGGGTCCTGTTGACTACCAGCTTGAGCATCCACTGACAGATGCCCTTGCTAGCTATTTGTCTGTGGGAAAGACCATCACTACAAAGATGACATGGAGTTTTACAGATAATATCGATGACGCCATGCACTATTCCAACGGGATAGTTCTTGTGTTGAACCCTCTGTCCGATGCGTGGCTATGGGATGATATGGCGTTCGTCACGCCCCTGTCGGATGATCCGGACAAGATAGAGTATATCGCTTCTCCGGGCACCCGATTTGAGATTCAGTCTCTCCATGACACCAACGTCTCGGGCAAAGCTGTTACTGTTATTGGCCTGAGACCCGTTCCAGGACGAAGTAGGCGGCTAAGGGTTCAAGGGTGAATAGAGGGAATTCATATACGCTGATTAGCTGGAGAAGATATTATAACCCCGGCTGAAAGGGACTTTTATTCTCATGGATATGCTCAGATGCCGCGCAGTCTCTATTAAAGAGCGGGACTGAGATGTCACTGTACGGACATTAGCGAGCAACTGAGAATGTATGACGACGACGAAGATTGATGGAAAAAGTGAATTACTTTTAAACGTTATAAAAGGCATGTGGTATATATGGGCTTGACCCCTCGGAAGATTTCTGGCTGTCTAATGGATACATGATACATATTTTAAGACACTACGCGAATAAACCCTCAACGTTGGAATTGATCTGCAGTATAGTTATGTGAGAAGAGCTATCGCTTACGAAGCAGGTATCCGTATATTCCTTCCATATGCAGATGATGCCGAAATCCTACCATACGCATCCCACCACCCGTTCGTAGTGAGATAGACATTGGCTGGCACGATATTTTGTGGATCTACACCCCTGGTTTTCGACCTGTCACAACCACATGAGGAAAAGGCGGCGGTATTCCTACTTAGCGGTTGGCGCTTCTTGCTCGTCACATTATCACAAACACTCTGCTTGTCACCGCCACTGGTTCGTAAAGTGGTGGGCAGAATGGAAACTCCGATACGGACTTCTACATAAAAATCAGGACAGAGGGCGGCTCCGAATTAAATGGGTACAAAGATGGGTTCCCCGCATTACTCTCTTTCTCATTTTTGAAAAGATGTAAATATTTGCGTAAATCGGATGGAGAAACGCTTTGTAGTATTTCTATGGAATATCGAGTAGCGTGCGTGGTGGGTTGATCCTCTCCACAAAGCAAAGTGACAGGGAATAGGATATCTTTTAGGCAATTTAGAGGCAGTCCAATTCAACCTCTGCCTTTTGAGTTCTTTATCTGCGCTTTTTTATTCTTTACTGTGGCATTTGTTTTTTTGTTCTACTGCTTAGTGCTGAGAGTTGCAAAGAGATTGCTTGTCTCGTTCAGAATGGCTTCTGGCCTCAGCCATGCATTAGTTGTAGCTTTGCAGTCCTCATTGCAGGCAACAACAACTGTGTCGCTACTAGCTGGAATTGTTTCCCATCACCTAGTTTTCCGACCGTTTGAGATTGATGGCTATGCTTGGCAGCTGTTTTTCACATACTTTACCGCATTTTTCGTTTTAATCGTTGGCAATGTATACGCTGCTGGTTATAGCGCTACTCTGGCTTTGGTTCGCGCTTTGCTTGTCACAACCGCCTACAACACTGGAGTTATAGCTAGTATTCTCATTTATAGAGCCTTTTTTCACCCCCTAAGACGCTTTCCAGGACCATTTTTGGCCAAGTTGTCTCGATTCTATGCCATGGATAATGCAGCAAAGAGGGTCAAAGCATATGAAGACATTCAAAATCTCCATAAAGAGTATGGAGATATCGTTCGAGTTGGTGCGTCATCTTTATATGTATTTGCTTTTCCATCATATGAGTGTTATGAACCTTCTTAATGTTCATTGCAGGTCCTCGCGAACTATCTATCAATCGACCGTCGGCTATTAGAGCCATCTATGAACATCCCACACGAACAACAAGATCGCCTTGGTACGCACAGGTATCGAATGACGTAACCAAGATTTCTCTAAATTCGACTCGAGACTTGAAGGTGCACAAGCTTCGTAAGAAGGCTTGGGAGAGAGGATTTGGTTTTCGAGGTATGAAGATAGATGTTCCTCTCCTCTCTAGCTACACCCTGTATAACACGGTGTTATTAACTACACAAAAGCCCTGGCTGTCTACGCACCACGTGTAAGAGCCAAGATAGATCTTCTGCTATCAAAAATTGCCGAGCATAGTGGCCGCCCGATTGATATGACGGAATATGCCATGTTCTTTGGATTTGATGTCATGGGAGATGTTGGTAAGTGCAGGCCATCCAAATAGTCCACAAAAAGCATACATATTTATAATGTACACCAATTTGCTATATCCTGGCTAATAATTCCCGAAAGGATTTTCGAAAGATTTCCATATGCTCGAATCAGGGAGTGAGCATCCAGCCATTAAAGGTGTTCATGAAAGCATGTTGGCTATTGGCGTTCTAGGCACAGCGCCATGGCTATTATCCATGATCTCTAAAGTGCCAGGCGCGGCAGCGGGCTTTTCTCGCTTCACTACATGGTGTCACCAGCAACTTCAAGAGAAGCGTAAGGTGAGACCGCCCCGCTTACTTGCCATTATTTTATCATTATATGTTACATTACATAGCTGACTGCTTAAAAGGTTGTGGCCGACGAAATGGCAATGTTCAAAGACCAAGATCCGCGAGATGTCATATCTTGGCTGATCAAGGCATTCAACGAAGGCGATTCATCAGCTCCTCCTGGTGAGATGGCTATGCAAGAAGATGCTCGCCTCTTGATTATTACCGGAAGGTATGTGTGTACAGGCTTTCACCTACTACTTGACCACATTCACTAAGTATCTTGTCTAGTGACACAACGAGTGCAGTTATAACTAATGCGTATGGAGATTTCCACTTGCCCCTTCGTCTTACACATATGTTGGACTAAGCAGGATGTAGGCTTTACTTTCTCGCACGAAATCCCGATTGCTATCGGCAACTTCAAGTAGCAGTTGAAGAGCAATTCCCAAGAGGCGTCAATGACTGGACATATGAGAGAAGCATCCCGTACGTAGACTATGTTATTCAGGAGACACTGAGACTGAAACCTTCAGTCCCTGGCGGCCTGCCTCGAGTGGTGCCTCCACAAGGTCTCATGATTGACAACGACTTTATACCAGGCGGCACAGTTATTGCAGTTCCGACTTATACGATACAACGAGACCCGCGATTCTGGCACGACGCACATGTCTTTGAGCCGAAAAGATGGGAGAACCTTTCTACGGAAAATGCTCCCTGGATTCCATTTACTCGAGGTCAATGGGCTTGTCCGGGCAGAAATTTCGCCATGATGGAGATTCGGATGGTCATTAGCCGGATCGCGCTCCAATATACCATTGCAATTGCGGAGGAGGATCTCGGGAAGAGGTTTGACAAGGAGGTCAAGGATACTTTTACTTTGACGCTGCCACCATTGCGGCTTGTGTTTAGCCCCAAATGAGTTGCGTCGAATTCTTAGCTTCTATTGGATGAGGAATGTGGTTGAACTTTTAGAGAGAAAGAGTAGCGACTTTAGAATGTCTTAATGAGATGTTGAAGATACCATTTTTGGATGCTCTCTGGTTGCATAAACTTGTTATATATACGTAATGCATGAACGCAATTTTTTTTTTTTTGCCAATCTTTCTTCCAAACACCTTAATCGGTGCAACTTCATGCACCACTAGTAAATTTTGCATACTTTATCTTTCCCCATCTATTTTCGCTTCTTTGCCTTGTTCCGTATCAAGAATGCGAGGCTGCTGTTTTCCCTCTAGTGAGGGGCACAGGCAATACAGGGGGCGTTATAGAGGGCACGGTAGCCGCACCAGGGGACCGCTATCCGATCCAGCGGCCAATCACAGCCCTACGGCAGGCCATGCCAGAAGAGTCGCTTCAAGTCTTCTCCACCAAGCCGCTCTCGCCATCCTTGCAATTTTACCTCATGCCCAGCTTCAGCTTCAGCCGCAGCGTCGTGTTTAGTTTCAGTCTTGTGGCGGCGTTGATAGCAGTTGCTCTGGTCATCCTTCCCTCGCCTTGGTCGGTTTCAGACCTCGTTTCTGGAAAGCAAAGCAGCAGCAGCAGCAGCAGCAGCTCCATCCCCAACGTCCAGAGCCACGCCACCAATCTCGCCAATCCCGACAGCAAAAAGATGGCTTCTCGGGCTGCTCCGCTGGTGTTTCCGGCGCTGAGCCGACACACGGCCACGGTCATCTTCGTCCACGGACTGGGCGATAGCGGTCATGGCTGGGCCGATGCCGTGCAGCTGTGGCAGAGGAAGCACAGGCTGGACGAGGTGAAGTTCATCCTGCCAAATGCGCGTGTCATGCCCATTACAGTGGTGAGTCTATCATGCCGTGGGTGTCTGTGTCTTCTCTTTCTCCCTCCCCCCCTCTCTCTCAGAGACGCCAGACACAGAAAGAGGTAAAATGTCATGTGGGTTGACTAACGGTTTGTTGTTCACAGAATGGAGGCTACCCCATGCCTGCTTGGTTTGATGTCGTATGAATCCCCTTCCGTGCCTTGTCACAGATCTACTCGTATTCCAGAGTACTCCTGGTTTCTATGCGTGTCTATGCAACCTAACACGAGGTGTGTAATAGAAATCTCTTGGCGCTTCATCGAACATGACCCTTGACGAGAGGTCTCGCGATACGGATGAAGCTGGTATCCTCGAGTCTCGCGCCTACCTCTACTCTCTCATCCAGAGTGAAGTTTCACAGGGCATCTCCTCTGATCGCGTTGTGCTGGGCGGCTTTTCCCAAGGCGGCGCCATGAGTGTCTTCTCCGGCATCACAGCTCCCTTCAAGCTGGCTGGCATTGTTGGCATGTCCTGCTGGCTACCTCTCAGCCACAAGTTGAAAGAGTTCATCCCGGGGACCAATTTCAACCAGGACACGCCCATCTTCATGGGACACGGCGATGCGGACCCGACCGTTCTGTATGAGTGGGGTACAGCTACTGAGCAGAGACTCAAGGACCTCAACTATGATGTGAATCTAGAGACATATGGGTGAGCATCATCCCATCATCCCACTTCCCTTTTGTTCATTTCTCATATTCATGTTCATGCTGCTCGCTCGCTATCTGGAGTGTACTTTTTATTCTTTTCCCTCTCTCACCTCACCTTACCCCACCTTTTCTTTTCTTTTCTGTTTTTATATACGAGCTGACATAATGTCAGGGGCATGGGACACTCTGCCTGTATGGAGGAGTTTGAAGACGTCGAGTCTTTCCTCGTTTCGAAGCTCCCTGCGAAAGGTAGTGCTTAATGAACAGTATTTAGACGGCCGCATAGAGAAGGTGGTGCATGGCTGAGCTACAATACTTCCAGGAAGAATTGAAAAAAGAAAAAAAAAAAAGGCCTGGAAATAATGCTGTTGCATTGGGAAGTGCCAGAGCAAGGTGTAACCACATTTTTCCATTGCGGAGTAGCAAGCATTCAATTCAACTGACGGGACAGTGGTTCTCTCTTACCATCCCCTGCCCAATTTAGCGACCCCACAACATCTTATATTGTCCAGTGACTCTTCTTTATTGGCTGCGTCTTCTTATTTCTAACCTTGTTTGGCCTGTTCCTTGTTTCAGCCAACGGCTCACTGCACAAGCCTGGGCTAGCAGAGCCATTTGCTTGGACGGCCAAATTTCAGCCTTTTCATGAGGCATTCCCGGATGACGCATTTAGAATGGTCCTTGTCATACAGCTATACAGCCTTGCAAGGGCCATCTCATCTGGAGGGTTCCGATCGTGTTTCAAGACGGAAAAATTATTCCCACTAATGAACGGCTGGGCACGATGCTACGTGATCGTTCCACGGCGCACGTCTAAATGGATTGGATGCAACACGGTTAAATTGAGCTTCGCATTTAAAGCAACGGGAAAATGATGTTGAGTTTAACTCTTGAACTCATTAGGCAAGTTGTTAAGCATAGATAGATACTCTGCGTCCAGACCTCGAGCCGGCTGGACCTCGGTGCTGATGACCCCCAACGAGGGCTTCAACTGAGCCGTTGTTTAGTTACCTGCCAAATCTGTCGCCGCTGGCGCCGTGCCCACCAGCGCTATTGCCGAGAGAGGGTCCCTGGGTCAGATAAGCGTCTCACAACGACATTCACAAACTGCGGAGAGCTCTCATTCGCCGTCAGCTGGGCTGCCCTGGCATGGCCGCTGCTGTCTGGCGTTAATCCTCCGGCCTGGCAGATGGAATGGAACGCCTCCCCATGTGACAGCGAGGCACGTTCTTCGGGGAGGTAGCAGTAGGAGCGGCGCACGACGCTACTGTCATCAGTTCAATCGGGCTGAGTGGAACGGGCTGTCGGTTGCTGGATTGCAGTGTTCCGGCTGCCATTGGACGGACCATACGACTATACGATGGCCCCTCTCTCATTGTGTATGTGGTGTGGTGTATCTGCCTCTGTTCGCCTGCCGTCTCAGCTTTTTAGGCAAGTGCTTATAGACGAAGACGTTTATCGCGATATCATGTAACGTTATTCCGGCGGCAGCATGCTCTCGCTTGGAGATGGCCCTCATGTGCGCATGCCTCTATTGGATTGTATCGGATAATGGTTCATGAGGAACCCGCCATCTTACTCGTATGCTTCTTTTCCGATGGCATGGTGCTGGCTTAGCTCGGAACGCTAGGAACCGATGACCCTGGACTATCGCCGTCTGGGGCATCTCAAACTTGGCTCATCTGGCCAGGCGGGCCCTGGTCGAGCCGTTCGTACCTGGAGCTACCTTCCGGATTCTCGACTAGGCTGTCCTAGCAACTATTCTTGACTGCCGCATTGGGCCGTTCTATTTTGGCCGCGCTTACACGGCAAGCTGTTTCGTTTCACCACTGCTACGACAAAGTCCCTGGAATCTATTGCAATTGAGAATTGAGAAAATGATAAATAGTTGTGCCAGTGCCAGCTGCTTGTTGATTCAGCAAGTTTCCATTTGGACAACTCATCAACAGCAGCAGCAGCAGCAGCATTGAAGATCTGGTAATCTTCTTCAGGCCTCTTGTATATATCTTGCCGCCTGGTTTCCATTCATTTTTACTGTATATACATATACACATATATCCAAAATGTTTTTCAGCAAAGCACTGGCTGCTACCGGCCTTCTGGCCTCTGCTGCTCTCGCTGCACCAACCATTGAGAAGCGTGCCGCTGGAGGCAAGCTTGTCGTCTACTGGGGTGCTGAAGATGATAGCACTACTCTCGCCAACGTGTGTGCCGATTCATCCTACGACATTGTCAACTTGGCTTTCCTCGACAAGTTCTCTGCTGGTGGTGGCTACCCCTCGCTCTCTCTGAGCACTCTTGGTGGCCCATCTGCCGCTCAGAAGGCTGCTGGTGCCACTAACCTCCAGGATGGTTCTTCCTTGGTTCCCGCCATCAAGGCCTGCCAGGCCGCTGGTAAGCTGGTCATCCTCAGCATGGGTGGTGCTGTCGACTTCTCTCAAGTCACCCTTTCGGGTGATTCTCAGGGACAGGCGGTTGCCGACATGGTCTGGAACCTGTTCTTGGGTGGTACTGCCACTCCTACTCTCCGTCCCTTCGGAACCGTCAAGCTCGACGGTGTTGATCTCGGTGAGTAAAGTCATTCCCAACGTGATAAAGCCGTATCGTTACTAATATTTTATCTTGCAATATAGACAACGAGACTGGCAACCCAACTGGCTACCTGGCCATGACTCAACGCTTCCGATCCAACTTTGCCAAGGACACCAGCAAGAGGTACTACCTCACTGCTGCTCCCCAGTGCCCCTTCCCCGATGCCTCTGAGCCTCTCAACGTCTGCCAGCTCCTTGATTACGTCTGGGTCCAGTTCTACAACAACGACAACTGCAACGTTGGCCAGTCCGGCTTCAACACTGCTGTCAAGAACTGGAGCAAGAACATTGGTAACGCTACTCTGTTCATTGGTGCGCTGGCCAGCGGTGCCGATGGTGACCAGGGCTACGTCTCTCCCAGCTCTCTCATCTCTGCTTACAACGGTGTCTCTGCCCTTAACCTGCCCAACATTGGCGGTATCATGCTTTGGGAGGCTCAGCTCGCTGTCAAGAACGGCAACTTCCAGAAGACCATCAAGGCTGCTATCGGCTCCGGCTCCGGCACTACTCCTCCTCCCGCCTCCTCCACCACTCCCGCTGGAAGCACCCCCACTTGCTCTTGGGCCGGCCATTGCGCTGGTGCTTCTTGCAGCTCTGACAACGACTGCTCCGACTCCCTCACCTGCAACAGCGGCAAGTGCGGCACCGCTGGCAGCACTCCTCCTCCTACCACCTGCTCTTGGGAGGGCCACTGCCTCGGCGCTTCTTGCGGTAATGACAACGACTGCTCTGACCCTTACTTCTGCTCCAACGGCGTCTGCTCTCAGTAAGCGGCGACTAGGGATGAGACGACGCGGAGGAAATTGCTGGGGCGGGATATCGAATCTTCTTGTACATAACTTGAGATGCTAATTGGGTAAAGAATTGTGTATAAAACCCATTTTTGTCTATATATAAAAAGCGAGCGAATTGAACTGTTTTAAGTTTAAAATGATTATATGTGTCAGTTTAAATTGAGTGAGCTGTTCGTGTGTTTAAATATCGGGTTGTGATATGTATAAAGCCTTTTCATGATGCTCCTATATGAATTCCCTTGGGAAGTTGGGCTGCTATTCCCAGTAAGTAATGGGTTGATTCGACCAGATTTCGACAATGTTTGTTGGTCAATTTTTCGAGGGAACACGGTACATGCTTCGACGAGATGATACATGATGCATAACGTTATTTAACATTGATACAATATTTGCGGGTACCATCTGTTATACGTAGTACTTCTACTGGCTAGACTATACAAGCTTTTGCTAGACTTTATGAATCATCTCTGAGTTATCCCGGCTATTATTAGATCATGTGAATCCAGGGTAGACGGATAGCCTACTCGAAGTCGCTAGTCTTGCAAGTGGATATCTATATGTAGCTTGTTTGGGTTTATCGTCCATCGTAGCTACTGTTGCTGAAGTCGCGCGTCAGCATTGTGAGAAGCTATAGGCTATTCATGTAAGACGGTAATAATTAACTTTGCTTCAGTCAACTCTCCAATCAGACTCTTGCATTCTGTAGTTTAATAACCTCTTGCTCATTTATATCAAGAGAAGAAGAGAAAAAAAAAGAAAAAGATAATTCAAGCCGTACAGCTTATGTAGGAGTGCGGCGCTGGCCACTAGTATGCCATTGCCACCTGGATTCGGCATAGCGACTCAAACAGCAATCTTCCTCGGCTTACTGGGGATCGACCCGCTTCTCCGCTTCTCGTGTGCGGCTGATTCCACGGAGTTAGTAGAGGAGCTTGACGAAAGTGACTTGTAGCATATTTGCACAAGAGTCTTGTGTAACTCCGCGGTGTCTTTCTTATAGCATTGTTGATATATACTTGCTCTTTTATTAAACTAGATCATAGTGGCTTGTAAATGGATCAAAAGTACATGTAGCTTACTTTCCGAGTATCTTCCCTTGAGCGGCTTGAGTCTAGTTGCAATGCTTCAGGACTTAGTAGTTGAGTACACGGCAGCTGTCACTTTTTTTCTCACCCGCGCGTGCAACCCCATGTTAGCTATCAATACCTTGGTTTACCTGAAAAGTTTAATGTATGGCTGTATGTATATATATGCCGGTATTATACAGCTTGACCCTGATGTAATCTTAAGTCTTGGAAAATCATCCTTCCTTCATCCCGCCTTCCAAGTCGAACATAACACATGTAGTATTTTTCCACTATTCCTAGTTTTCCTCTCTATCTCTTCTTGTCCATTGCCAGCTCATATACCTACATCACAATGAGCAACACACGCTTGCCGGGAGGTTCGATCCCCAACGAAGTCGGAGCTGACAAGCGGCTGCTCAGCACGTCAAAGCCTCCAGACGCCCGCATGCAGCATCTCATCGACGAGGTGAACAAGCACGGCTTCGTCATCATCCGGGACGCCTTTGATGCCTCCACCGTGGCCGCGGCGAAAGCTGAGGCCCTGAGGCTGACCAACGACCCGGAGACGGCTGGGCCTGCTGGCCAGGCGGGCCGCAACAACTTCGAAGGGCACAAGACGCAGCGCATGTACTCGCTGGTGAACAAGTCGCGGATCTTCGACGCCTTTGCGCTCCACGAGGATGTGCTGACGCTGAATGATCATTTCCTGGATGCCGGGTATCTGCTCAACTCGTTTCAGAGCATCAACATCCTGCCCGGGGAGACGGCGCAGACGCTGCATTACGATCATGGCTTTGCGACGCTGGAGAGGCCGCATAGGCCGCTTGGCTCGGTGAGTGCACGCCTTCCTTATTCCCTGTCTTTCGTTACTTATACACGATTGCTTCCCTGAGCATCTGTATGATGTTGAAGCAGCAACGGCCTAACGCTGGAGGATGAATATCAGGGCGTCATGATTGCTCTCGACGATTACACCGCCACCAACGGCGCAACTGTCATCGTCCCCGACTCTCACAACTGGGATTCAAACCGCATCCCCACCATGGAGGACACCGTCCCCGTGATCATGCCGGCGGGCAGCATCATCTACTTCCTCAGCACGCTGTGGCACGGCGGCGGCGCGAATACCAGCGACAAGCCCCGGTTGGCGCTGACGGCGCAGTACTGCCAGCCTTGGATCCGGCCCATGGAGAACATGATCCTGGCGGTTGACTGGGAGAAGCTGGACGAGCTACCGGAGAGGCTGGTGGGCATGCTTGGCTACAAGGTTGGCAGCCCGTTTATTGGCTTTGTGGATGGGCACAGTCCGAGGGCGGCGGTGCAGAGGTTGCTGGCTAAGTGGAAGGGCAAGGCTGAGTCGAAGCTGTGAGAGATGCTTGTTTTTCACCATCACAAGTTGGTTGCATATAATGTGTGTAGCATGTGCGTAGAGAGGAACGAGGGTTAGCTGGAGGTCTGAGTTTCATGTTATTTAATACATCAGATGGCCGTCTTTTTGTTTGGACTCGACTGGCTTGGAGACATTTGTATTTGCAATTGATGGTTGGAAACTGGCGTCGACTGAGTTGATGCTCGTTGTTCTTCTTCATATTGGGCGCTGTTACACTGGAAATATGCATAATGTTATCGAGCCAATTAGACACTGGCCAATCAATGCTGGGTGTAAAAAAAATATTCAGCGTTGCACCTAATCTCTCGGCAATCTCGTTGGCATTGACACTTTGAAATGAGTTATTTTTACTGGCCAGCGCTGTCGTACTTCTGCAGGGATGCAGGCGTACAGCGCCATGCCAAAAGTCTCTTGTTGGTTACATGTAGGTGAATAAGACCACTACAGCTTGTAATTATAGTGCCTCAAGTGAAGAGGGCATTTAGTTGTCTTGCAGCAAGGGTAAGAAAATCATGCGTGTGTACTCTTGGCTATATTAGACGCGATCACATCGGACAAAGGGTAATTCATGCTTATTTTCTCTGCATTAGATTTCTCTGCATTAGATTGCCCTCTTTGGGAAAAGGTTTGCTTGTGAAGCAACTGCTACTACATGCGCATGTGTAAAAGAGGTAATGTCCGAGGAACTTTTGACCAACAGTTGCTTCGCCATGCGCGCCCACGGTTGAGGGTTGAGATTCAATTCATTCGGAATGACTCATTCTCATGCCAACGTTTAGTCTCTTTTCGTATTTTAAACTAAAAGTTCGTGTATACCGTCGCGAAATGCTGCATCCAGATCCCCTGGTGCGGGGTCGTTGCTAACACTATAGGCGAGTCTGACTCAAGCTTGGGATGATAATCAACTGCTAGCGACAAAAGACACAGCCTCAGCCTTACAAGGTTGACTTGGAAGGATCTGGTCTTGAAATCCTCTTCGTGTCGTTGAAGAGAACAAAGTTTGTGACTCAGATGTGAGTTTATGAAAGAAAAAAAAAATAATATATTGTCGTCGTTGCCGTTCTTGCTATTCGCGTGTGGCATCTTCTTGTAGTAGCGAAAGTGTCATTCTGTCAGGTCGCCATGGCGAATCAAGTAGCCTTTGATCTGAAGCTTCTTCAACGCTCTGCGCCGGGAGACCAGGCAATCCATCTACGGCATGTCTTAACTAGCAATCCGGGCGCGGCATCTTCCCTCACCTCTGAGCTGATAACGCTTGTGACATCGGATGCTCTCCCGTCCATTGTCCTCTCATTATGGCCCATGGCTGCCGACGAGCCCGACGCAATAGTCGCAGTCATGCGCCAGGAACTCTGCCTCAGTGCTCAGAGCTCAGCCATCAAACACTTCTATCGCCACCTGCGCCGCGAAAAGACGTTTGCTAAAGCCTGGGAAGCCGTCGGTGGCGCTTCCGGGGTTGCACAGCTGGCGGCAAAGTTCAACTTGGGTCATGTTCGTCTTCTCTTCAACTTGCTTGGAGATACTAGCCGTGCAAGAGGTGCGCGAAATGAGCGCCAGAGTGCCATGGAAGAGCTCTTGACGCTGTTGTGGGGAAATGACGGGGAAGCATCTGCCGTTGGCACTGACGGCGGCCCATTTGATAGCCGTCCATTGCGCCGTGAATATGTAAAGCTTGTTCCGGCTTGCAGTGGTGCGTTTAGAGTAGAGTGGGCTGAGATGAAGCGCCAACTCCCGGAGAGATATAGCCACTCTGTGACCACAGATCAAGAGTTCTTTGAACATTACTACAACGAAAAGCTACGGCGCAGCGAAATCACCGCTTCGAAGTTTCTACATAAGATAAAGGCCCTCGCCATGAGGCGTATAGACTACGGTTTGGACATTCTGCACATGTTCACAGAGAGTGAAACATTGCTTGGGGCGTCTCCCAGTGATCTCTTGAAAACAATCATTGATCCACTGGGGAAGCGATTTTTGTCCAACAGAATGATATCAAGTGCCGTGACGATGCAGTTCTGGAGCCGTGTCGTCAGCTGCCTGAAAGAGTGTCGATTATTTCATACGGAATTTGGCAATTTCGTCGAGCATTACAGAAGGATTGCTGCTCGCTTAACCAAGATATGGAACCACTCACGGGCACAAGCCGAGTATACGGACCTGCTGGCCACACTGTTTTCTCTTCTACCTCAAACTGTGGTAAATAGATATTCACTGGTCGACTTCATAAGGCAAGCTGCCCGGCCGCTGAGGTACCGGTTTTTACGCCTATTCTTAAAGAACGCGGCCGGATATCAAGTTGATATTGGAGAGCCTGATAGCTTGGACCACGCAGAGTTTCAGAAGTCGTCACTCCGCTGGCCGGTAGGCATATTTTTTGAATTGTCTGCAGACGAAGCTCTTCCATTGCTTGTGAAAATTTTACGGGCAGGAAAGGATATCAGACCTGCCTATGGCAATACCTTCATTTTCGAGCGGCAGGACGTAGACGACAGAGATATAGCCGACCACCATATCTTACAGGCCCTTTTGTTGCATCGGAGTACGGCAGCTCTCCATTCCGTGGTGACAGATCTGGACGCCATGAGGTCCGATATTCGCCTTCGAGAGCTGCCCGGGAGGATGAAAAAGGCGACTCAAGGCCGTACCCCGGAAACTCGAGCGCAGTGGTGCGAGGCTACTCTTTCACTTTGTGTAGCAATAGGGGATCTTAATCTCTATGCGGAAACGCTTCGCTGGGCACGGCGGTTCAACAAAGACCCATTGACTGTCAAAGAAATATATAACAAGTCTTGTATCGCAAGTCATGAAGGGGTCAACCTTCTAGCTGTGCTGCCCTTCATCAGAGAGACGCCATTGACTATTACTCTGGAGCAACTTACCAAGAACATACACTCTGCAAATGAAGTCTTGCAAGTTCTTTTCGAGACTGCCATCATGGCTGTAAACGAACCAAGTTTCAACTACAGAGATTGGAAGGCCACCTTTGGCTTGATTAGTGAAGTAATATCCCGCCGCTTAAATTGGGCAAACGATTTCCAAGATCGCAGCGAAATATCCGACGATGCGCTTTATGACGCGGTATGGGAGCCGACGTTTACCATGCTAAAGAAAATGATATCAACTCTTCTTAGCCCTGCGGGCGAGAAGTTTAAGTCAATCAATGCCTATGCCATAATATCTGGGAGTTTAGTCAGTGAACCTGAGATTATGCGGGCACCAACTATTAAGTTTCTCAACAATTTGGCGGTATTTCACGACTCCATTTGGGCGGAGCGCCGGACGCGTGAGACGCCTGCCATAGTAACAGCTGGCGACTTTTGGCCCAAAGGACTTGCTATCCAGCATCTGTCCGACCACTTTGGCATGGCCATGGCATACCTCCCTTATACACGATCGCGAATAGAGCAAATTGTGTTTATGGATGTCCATAAAGCCTTGGCGTCAGTGCAAGTAGACGAGGAAACTCAAGCGGCCATTGGCGAATTTATAGATAGCTGGCATGAGGCTCTGCGGCTCTATATTCGTCCTCCGCGGGTGCTATATAGCAAGAACCCGACTTCTAAAGATTTCCCTTTACATGTACAGCATCAAAAACGCATTGAAAGGGCCTGGAAATATGCGACTGTTGATCTTTCCAAGGATCGCATGTCTCTGGAAGAGGCTGAACGATTTTGGTGGCCTGTATTCAGTCACCATCGGATTTATATTGAGAGAGATGAGGTTGGGATTGATGAATCGGCCAATCAGCGTCCCGAGCCATCCCTTCCTGACGAAGACGAGGACATGCATCCAATTGAGTGGAATCCCGACCCAGACTATGACCGGATATCGCAGCCTGAGAAAAGCAGGTCTATTGCGCCAACATATTTGGATGTTTTGCTCAGTCAGTCAGAATATACAACGGCGTTTTACCCGAATAGAGACTCAAAACCTTCCGCCCTTGAAACTGTCAAGGCAGCTATCCCGGGAAAGCCACGTCCTTGTTCGTTCTGGGAGTCGTCATGTACCACCGGAAGGAAGCTTACTGGCAGAGGAGCGGATGCCTATTTAACGGCGGGAATCCTGGCTTTGAATCTGGGTTTTGGGTCAGACATTTCCTTGCTGAAGACGCCGTTCCCTGATGCCAGCATGGCGCGCATTCCGGCCGTGTATCTTGACCAAGAGTTTCTTGAGAGAGAAGCAATCAGTGGCACTCAGATTCATAGTATGTTGTCTACGCTGAAATCTTATGTGCCAACGCGCCTGCTCGTCCGGCTAGCAGCTTCGGTTCTTGAGAATATAGGGAAAAAGCCAGAGCCTGAAAAGCCGTATGCAATTTTTGAGATGATAATTGACATCATATTGCATGGAACCAATCCATCGTTGGCATTCCCATTAATTCAGCAGTTTGTCTTGGAGAATCCTGACGCAAGTTCATGGCATAGAGTGCTCCTTAATCCTCAGGTCTTTATGAGACTCCTTCCATCTGATGCAAAGAGATTCTTTGAGAGCTTTACAGATGCCATTCTGGATAAACTCCAAGAACAAGCAGAAAGGCGCGCAAAGGACCCCAATCCATCGGAAAGTAAGGGGCCGCTGGTCAAAGTGACTACTGTCAAAATGTTGGCGCAGCTCTTGAGAGAATGTCCTGTTATTGACTCGAGCTTTGCAGTGGATTTAAACATTCGAATTCTTCAAAGAGCTTCTCATGTTGATATTCGTACAGCCTCTATAAAAGCGCTCATGGAGGCAATAACTACGACTACTAGCCAGGTGGTGAGGCAGCGGATATTTGATGCTCTGTTTGAGCACGCTGCACCGATGGCGTCCGCAGTCCACGAGGCGCAGTCAACTGTGGACTGGAATGCGTTGAAATCCGATGACGAACTGCCTGAAATATGGGGAGATGGCACTGGGAACTTCATAAACCCCCCAATCATGGACTTGATCATGTGCGCAGGCCCTGGAATAGACCTACAGTCTGACCAAAGTCGAGCTTTAACGAAACTCAAGCATTTCATATTGGATTCTTCTGCAGAAACCAACAGACGATGGATGGACCTCTTCTTAAAGAAGAATGGATTCAGCATACCAGACAACGCCCAGCTTCCCGCCATCCCGGTGTTCTCGACAGCACTGCATACTTTACTCTCTTCAATGAAGCTGGACACTTCATTAAAGTACATTGATCTGATGAAGCGATACATGTTGCTGAAAATGAGCCCTCCCAACTGGCTGGCTCGTATAAACAAATCCGTGCGAGACGATAAAGTTCTTTCTAGGTCTAATGCTGGCAAGCACTGGTACAATCTTTGGAGTAGCAATAGCTACAAATATATGACCGATACTCTTGCAATCATTCGTGTGTACCTTGGTCCTAAGAATAGGAATTTGCGAAATAACGAGCAGTCTAAAGCGTTTTACCAGTGTTTGGAACAGTTTATTTTCGAGATTGGCGACACTTTAGTTACAGAAGGGCTGTCTTCTCAATATGCGTCGTTCTTAAGCAGTATCTCGTCTATTGACCCTGAAAGTTCCGTATGGAGGCGCCTTCTGGATAGGATAGAAAGCCTTCGAACTCCTGCGTGGCAAGCCGATCCGAACCGAACGCCAAAAGTACTTCCTGATACGCTGCCGCTCAAGATTAAGATGTTGAACTTGCCCAAGAAGAAGATTACGAATTCAGATGAGGTTAAGGGAGTTATGAGTAGATGCGTGAATGGCGTTGTGGAGCTTCTCAACGAATTTGTGTCTAGCGGAACCCCGTACTTTGAGAGATTCAATACGCTTCAGAGGGAACTGGGAACGGTTGAGCCTCTGGCTGAGATGGCTATCATGCTGGGCTCTGAGCCTGCACGACGTAGCGCGGACGAAGTGACTTTGGTGGATCACCTTCGACTGGAGCTTACCGTAAACATGATGAATGGGAGTAATGTTCTCAATAAGGGTTTGGGAAAAGACCATGATGAGGATGTTGTGAAGGCGGCTGCTGGCTTGGTGATGGACATGACTGATAGTCATGTGGAGTACTTTCGTACACTGGCGACGCCTTTGAAGAATGGATTGAAGAATTCTAGTGGGTTTAATTGGTGGGATTGAGAAAAATTACTGTAAGGGAGGCTGTCATAAGGGAATTTTCTATGTGTCGCTACGTACATTTGTTTATATTTTTTTTAGTGATACGGAAGTGCATAACAAAAATACGGCTCTATGCCAATGCTTTTATGTGTGGGCATTATAGTATTGTAGGATTGCTAATTTGTTATTGATCTTTCTTGGAAGTAAACGGCATGGAAATATTGTCCTCCCACGCAGTTGTTATGATTTGCTTTATTCGCGGATAGTTTACGCAATAATGTAGCTGGTTGGTATGATCTGAATAGTTGTACTTGATAGGTATACGCCTGTTATGGTGCAACTATGAGAGTCAATATAAATGACTGCTTCTACCACATCTACTGACTCTAATAGCAATGAGATATGGAATGGCAGTTTAGCTGTTGCTTGATAAAGGCGCCAAAATGGAGTTCTCACCACATGTCACACCAATAATGCCGTCCACAACTGTGGTAGCTCAAGATGATACCGAGTTGCCTCCTTTTCAAACATACTCAAGAGACTCCTCTGTGGGCCGTGGAGCAGCCGAGGCCAGTTCTATTAGCAATTCTGCTCATAATGCAATCCATCATACTCATTCCACTCAAGAATCTAGCCCCGCAACAGTCGCAATGTAGCGATATCCGTATCCCGGCTACCACAGCCAAACATGAGGGGGCGTCGGACCAGATAAGCGCCCAGCTAGACAGAATGCGCAGACAGATACAAAGCAAAGAAATCTGGATTTAAGACGAGACTGTAAATGAGTGTTTCCTATGTCAGACTCTATTCATAGTATTCCGCAGAAAGCACCACTGCCGAGCCTGCGGCTTAATCTTTGATTCCAAGTGCACTGCTGTTATTCGTCCATGGACCATGCAAAATTCGCAGTCCCGTCAAGTACTCGACTCATGGTTCGACATCTTGCACATACTCTGCTCTGATGGAATCGCGTGAGAGTCTGGTGTTGTTGCACCAATGCCGAGCTAAGCACTAATACCGGGATTCGCTCCATGGCACAGCCACAGCCCGCATCGCCGCCTAGTTTGCGCCGTTTGGCATCAAAGCTTTCGGATCCGTCGACATGTGAATTCTCTGCCTAAACACGATATTGACGACGACACGAGGTCCAAACAGGCACGCTAGGCAGCAGCTGCACCAAAAGCCAGCCATCGTGATCACATGACTATGTGTATAGCTGGTACTACTATTTAGTTCGATGAACGAGACGTTGCTTCGGCTCGCCTTCATGTCATGACCTATCCAGGTAAATCCGAGATGGCGTCTCTTTTGGCTCTTCCACAGGAACTGACTCTTCAGGTCCTCCAACTCCTCCAAGTCGGCGACTTGTTCCGCCTCAGTGCCACTTGCAAACACTTCCGAGCCCAATTGGTGCCGCGGCTCTTCCAGACAATCCGCCTCACCAGCGATGAGAGAGTTGCGCGATCCGCATTGGGGGCCGTCGAGGCTCACGGCCAGTACACAACTCGCATCGACTTTATAGCTCACTGCGGGCCCCATGACGGGAAAATGGTGCCAGCCCTCACGCCGGCCGCAGCCAAAGTCCTCCAAGGTCACTTCACTCCGAACTTGAGTACCGTTAGTCTCAAGTTTGACTTTGACTTTGACGACGGCGAGGAATGGGATGCGGGCTGTCCAGACGACCTTGAGGCCATATCGATATATGTATTCCGTTGCGAGGAAACTGAAGAGTATGTCCGAGAGAGGGAAGAGACATGGCAGTGGCGGGCTCTTATGAACGAGACCTGGCGGGCGCTGGCAGCCAATATCCATGTGAGGGAGCTTATCCTAGACAACTTTATTCCCAAGTGGACATCTACTTTCCGCACAGAAGAGTTTGGTCAATTTCTCTCCCGGCTGGAGACTGCAGCCTTTGACATTCTCGGCATGGATAACGGCGCATGTTGGCGGACTAGTACGGAGCCGGGCTACACAAACTTCCTCTCTGATCTTGACGATTCTTTTTTCCACCACATGACAGGATTAAAACATCTAAGTATCAATACGTCGGATCACCTCGGTCTCAAAGGCATGTGCCACTCCCCGCTTGCGCTTAAGCCCGACCATCTTCCACTGCTGGAATCGCTAAAGCTTAGGAGGTGCTTTATTGGCCCGGAGCTGGTTTCGTTTGTTCGCGGCCACACGCAGTTTCTCAAGTCTCTCGATATCAGGGACTGCGTTAGTGGGGGTAATGCTTACTCGGCGGACACTGGCATATATTGGGCCGAGTTTTTTGATAGCGTGTTCGAGGCGAAACCGGCGCTTACCGAGTTGATTGCTGGAAGTAGTGCTCTCCTGCGTGAAGGACTCCTGCCCGACTATTGGTTCGACGCAGATCCTGAAGTCCCTGAGGAGATTTATCGGAAGCTCAAGGCTGACCCAAGCATGCGGTTGTTTCGATACGCTACTGTAAATACTAAATATGGCCAACTCTCCCTAGATTTGGAGACAGAGGAAGAGGAGTTTGAAAGTAGCAACGACCAGAAGGCATTTGACCGACTTGTTGGCCTTTTGAGCGAGAACGCTGCAAAAACAAAGCGATGATGACCTGGGCGTACGAATACCTCCTTACAACTTATCAAACCTTGGTATAGAAAAAGCTCTTGTTGGTATGTTGAGTAGCGATTCGAATAGCAATTCACGTAACCATTTGAGATAAATTGACAAATGACAAAATCCAAATCATCGGCATCAATGACAACGTGGTCGATTCCCGTCAAGTTCTTCATCATAGTTGAGCGCCTTCCAATTTTTGCGCCCTTGTCTTCTGACGTTGGAGCCACAGGGTTCCGTTTTCTAAAGCCCCTTGGCGATGGCGTTATACACAGTCAGACCGCCGGTTCAACATGCCCATTGCGTTGGCACAGTACTAGGAAAGAAAGGCCCACTATCGAATATTGCGACTGAATACGGTATGCATGTTGGTTCCGAAGAGGGTCGGGCCGCGTGTTCAATTTCGGATTATGATAGATAATCAACGTTGCAACCAACAGCGGTGGAAGCGGGTACATGAAGAATGCTTATCAAGGGCGGAAGCCGCTGCAGCTGCCACACGATTCTCTACGCTTTCTCACATATTCGTACGATTTGAGCTGGCAAAAATGGTGTAACGCTTGACAAGTAGGCATGTTTGGTTTCTTTTCTAGTCCGGCAACAGCGCCCCAGCACGTGCCGACTGACCTCGTTGTCCCCGTCGGCTTCTTTGACGACACGATTATATTTAGAACGTTTGTGTTATATACCCTGTTTGTTTTCGACGACGTACTGGATCCTGAGAGATTGCGCACTTCGCTGGAACGTGTCGTGAGTCGCCCTGGCTGGAACAAACTGGGCGCTCGGCTGAGAAGAAATGTACGCCTCCCCCCCTACCGGCCAGCGCCGATATTAAACAGCTGTGCGCCCATTTAGGATCGTGGCGAACTTGAGCACCATGTACCAGCCGTCTTCTCCCCAGATCGCCCGGCAGTGGGTTTCGATCATGTGGATTATAGCGCCTTGGCTGAGGAAGACCATCCCGCGGCATCTTGCATACCCCGTCCTCCCTGCAATGGCCGGCCGGCGGTTGTGGGAGATCCCGATGACCTCTCGGAGCTGATATATGGCCACGAGGTACCTAAAACGCTCGATGATTATATATATACCGACCGTCCTCAGCTTGGTCTGCGTGTTGTCTCGTTCAAGAATTCGACAATTGTCGTCCTCCATTGGATACACCTCGCCTTTGACGCGACAGCAAAAAAGTCTCTTCTCGATGCCTGGATGCTGATGCTTCAGGGCAGAGAAAATGAGATTCCCGAGCCACTGGCCCCCCAAGAGTATATTTTAGAGCGCTGTGGCAAGAATCCCACAGAGCCCCATGCCCTCGCCGAGCACCATGTGTCCAAGCTTGGCCTTGTCTGGTGGGCACTTCAGAATTCCTACAACTTGATAGTCAGGAAGAAAGAGCATCGTATGGTCTGCGTGCCTGCTGCATACCTCGTAAAGTTGAGAGAGAAGGCTCTCGCGGAACTTGCTGCTCAGGCTACTTGCGAGAAATCAGAGGTTCCATTCCTAAGCGAAGGAGATATCCTCTTGGCTTGGGTATCTCGCTTGGCAATGGCTAATCTTTCAGAGGATTTGGAGAAAACCGTAAGTGGCCATTCTTGCTGTATTCCGGACCACTGAAGATGGTATGCTAGCTTTTCCATCTAGGTTGCTATACAACAAGCCTTTCAGTGGCGACCGATGTTGGCGGACCTAATACCAGATAAACGACTATTCCTCAGCAACTGCGTTGGCTTTCTTAGCACTCTAATGCCGGCTAAAGACCTTCTTCAAAAGCCACTCAGCTATACAGCATCCCAGATCCGTCGCTCGATTAAGGAGCAAAGCTCTCGCGAACAAATTGAGGCCTACACATCACTGATTCGACTAGACCCAGCCAACAGGGCGCCTCCATTCTTCGGTAACAGCTCGATGCAGTTGCTCATGTTTTCCAACTGGCAAAAAGCCAACATGTACGGGACCGATCTATCGGCTGCGACTGTGACGCCACGGCGCACACCACTGACACCATCCTATGTCCAGAGCGTACAGGGTCCGTACAACTTCTCTGATGGAATAATCATCGTGGGGAAAGATGCTGGGGGTAACTATTGGCTCTCTGGATATAGAGCAAAGGGTCTCTGGGGGATGATGGAAAAGAAGATGGAGGAGGAGGTGATCTAAATAAGGATGATGGTTGCCCTGCGGCGGTTGTCGTTTAGAAGAACCTGGTTGAGAGATATCTTTATAGATGCTTCCACATACGCATTCAATCACATACGACCATAGGTAGTGGAGAATTCGGGGTCCCGTCTGCTCCCCCATAGACAAGCCACTAACCGGCAGATTAGTAGTCAGGTGGGTGACCACTGGCGAACACCGGCTGTTGTATGTTTTTTGGACTTTTTTACGCTTTATCTTTTTGTTGTTTGGCTGTCGGCATGCATACAACGTAGGCGCATGCAGTGAGTGGTGGCGGGGTTGGTGATTTTCCCAAGTACATGTACATATAGTTGGGAGTTACTACTAAGGTGTCAGGGAGTCACTACATACCTATCTATGTAATAACTCCCAGAACTTCCGTCGATATAAAAGACGTCGTGGAGACCATGGGAATTAATGTATATTTAATAAGAGGACTCGGTGTAGGTGTCTTCCAATTACATACGACCATATGAAGCAATTGGTGGACTTTAGGACTACCAACATAGTATGGCCTATAAGATTTGACTTGGGCAGTGGAGAATTTAATGCCCCATTAAGTTTTTTACAGCAGCTCAGTGGCTTTCGGTTTGGTGCAGCCGTGGCTTTTCAATTATTGGCCTGCGTTATTGTTATCTAAGAGTAGTAAACTCATGCCATTCGCTAAACTGAGGTAAAATAATTCATAAAAGAAATTGGAATAGGTTGACCAAAACCAGATCATCGGCGACAATAATAGCATACCTAGTCAGCCCAATGCTAGCCATGTAGTATCCTACCGTATACATAAAGTAGATATCATGGTTTCATCTATGTGGATCTCTATAGAAAGCCTAGTAATAGTCTTCATCTTAAGAGAAGATTACTACCTTACTGGACTCATATTCAATTCTTCACAGCAAGTTTTCCAATCAAAGTGGACACAGGGCCCGTCACGGCACGGCGACTAAACGATGGCCGACCTTATACTCCGTATTGTAACACATGTAGCATCTGCAAGTTAAGGTATATTATCGTAGTAAGATTATACACTCAAGCTATAAGATACCTTGATGCTTGAGTCAATCACATACGACTATAGGTAGTAAAGATGTCTGGGTCCCGTCAAATTCTTTACAGTGGTTCAATATCCTCTCTCTTTGCATCCTTGGGCTGTAGAACTGGAGCTCTACGTCTTCATTTTCCAAGGCGTTTAATAGCTTAATGGCGCTACACTGAATGACAATTTCCTTTGATTACATTATATAATAGCAAAATAGACTTTAGCTACTCTTTATTGCTTATAATCTTAATATAAACACAATACTATTATTATATAGACTTATATTATAGATATCAATTACTTCGAAATATTTGGATTATTCAATCAATCCATTGCTGTTTTCTCGATATCAAATCCGAACCTATAGTTACGACTACCCTGCCAGTTCTTAAATCTGCCGAGTTTATCATGATCGGTATGCGCATGTTCTCCAGTGAATGTATTTGTGAGATGACCATTCCACTCATACTTAAAACCGTGATGTTTAAAAAATTGCTTTCCCAAAGTGTCGACATGGACCTCGGTGGCATCGGACTCTTCAAGCAGTGCATTGAAAATATTTTGTTTTGCGCCTGCAAGAGCTTGTCCATATACAGCATCCCAATTGTCACGGACCTTGCCAGAGTAGCCCCCATTAGCATCAGTCCACTTAGTAAAGGTAGTTGACATCGTGTAGTAGTTACTACTTTAACAGGGACAGATACTAGTATTTAATAGATAAGAAGAAGGGTGTTAATTGTAGAGATAGAATACCAGGGATATATGTTTGAAGAATACTTGAGAAAATGTTAAATATTATGAGTCTTCCAAAAATTGTCTTACATTTGGGTATCTTCACTTATATTTATAGTTTATCTCCATCCTATATTACTGAGGCGCAGTCTTCTGACAAAAGATGTATAGCTGATTGTAAGTTTTAAATTACAAAAGATATGACAATAGAATTGGGGATGGCCTATCCGGTATCCAAGCCGGCGTATTTAATATCTAAAAAAGTAAAAATTGTACATATAAAGTATAAAAATTAAAGTAAATGGCTTAAAGTATATATTTAAGAGAATTTAAAATATATATATATAAATAGAAATAACTAATTATTAATAAAGAAAATTTATAATATAACAAACAAATACTGTAAAATAACAAAAAGCAATATATTATAATAAATAAACACTATACTACAGTAAAATGCGCTGTATTATATTAAATAAGCGTTATATTATAGCGGATAATCGCTATGTTATAGTAGAAGGCCCTGTATTACAGTGGCTGAAGATATAAGAACTTTCCTACAAGCCGTGCTTTTTTAAATACCAAATACGCCTGCTTTAATAATACTGGATAGGCCATCCCTAGAATTAGTTTCTTAGTAAAAAAAATAACAGGTATTTGTATCTAGAACAGAGCTGCCTCGAGACTGACTACGTAACATGAGCGCCGTAGCCAAAGTTGCTAATTGCTGCTTGCATTCCATTGCAAATCTCAGCTCATACTTCTTTAATGTTAATATCAAATTTACTTTTGCTGGCGTTTTACTATATCCTCAGCCGCTATTTATCTTATGTCGATAATACTATGTTACTATAGTAATTCAAGGTCGCATGTTGCAATTGCTATACTAAGTATAAAATAGTCTACAGAAAGACTATGTAGGTAATAGTTGCTAATTGCATTCCATTACAGGTTTTAGCTAATACTTATTTTATATTAGCATTAAATATACTTTTACTAGTATCTTATTCCATCTGTCAGCCTACATTGCTCATATGCTTGTAATACTATATTATTAATTTAAATGTACATTTTGCAATTTCGATATCTAGTATTCTATATATATATATGCTATATAAGTAATCACAGGATTGTAATAAAACTGATGCTGTTTGCATTCCATTAAATTTTTGAGTTAATATTTATTTAATATTAATATCAAATAAACTTTCGCTAGTACTTATATCTTCAGTCCATGTTGGAAGAATACTGTGTAAAGGTGAGCGAGAGAGAAGCTTAAATATTAATCTTACTTAGTAGAGTCCGCGAAGAGAGAAGGAGCTAGTAGACTTGAGAGCACGAAATCTTTTACCGGAAGCAGCCGGTCAGAGGTTTTGATTTACATGAAGTGGTTCACAATATGCATTCGTCTGTCTACCAATGTGCTCATGTGCTTTCAAGAAAAGGACTCAGCGTGGGTGCTTTCCCAATGCATAGGGTCATATAGAGTAATTAGTAGAGATAAAGGATTTACGTGTTTATTATCCAGCCCATATAACAATAGGCAGTGGAGAATTTAGTGTCCTATTAAAATATTTACTAGTATAGCTTAATATCTTTCTGTTTTATGCGGCCGTGGCTTTCCAATTATGGCCCGCGGTAATTGTTATCCAAGGCTAGTAAACTCCTGTCATTCGCTAAACTGAGGTAAGCAGCTGTTTTTCGCTCATCATTCTAAGCTAAACAACATAATACGGGTACTTTAGATGCTTGATTAGAAGCAGCGCCCGCTGAAGTGAGGGGTTCTAGCATCTACGAATATAAATCTGATGATAGCACCAAATGTCCCTATTTCAACCATATATCGAGTTAAATTTCATCGCTTGCGCAATTCATGTGACAGTCACATAACATCTAAGCTACCATGAGCAGCGCTGCAGATGGCATCGTCTCACTATTCCGCACTCATGCCGCGGCTCTCGCTAAGCAAGACTGGGCCACAATCACGGCCGGGCTTCATCCAGAGCTTACTCGGAATCACCGGGCTCAAACTGCCGAGCAGTATGTTAATCAAGCAAAGGAAGGATTTAAGGCTATTCCAGATCTACATGTCACGCTGGACCAGGCATTTGCCGATAAAAGCAGCAGCTACGTATTTGGTCGCCTGATCGTGCGAGGCACACTCAACCAAGAATTCATGGGAATCAAGCCCTCTGGAGGCCCATTTGAGTTTTCGGAACTCACTTTCTATGAGTATAAGGATGGTAAAGTTCTGCGGATCCTCACAGCTACGGATAAAGAGTCGATAAAGAATCAAGTCGAGAGCCTTCCTAGGACGCCATTTGATACAGGATATGGCTATAGGCTTCCTGAGCAGGTGACGGGGTTGAAAGAGAAATTTATAAATTTCATAGAAGGCATAAGCAAAGGAAATGCTGAGGAATCTGTGCTCGAATATAGTGCTCCCGAAGTGTTGTTTAATGGCGTACAAAAGGTCAAGGCAGAGGAGATAGTCCAACAGAATCTTGCCGTACAAGACGCTCTCATAGAGTTGAAAGTGGAGGTTGACGGGCTGGTCGTTGACGAAGAACACCAGCGGGTTGGTTCTGCTTACTTCATTACTGGACGGGTCGCCAAGCCTTTCAAAAACTTTTTGCCAGGTCAGATCTTTCAACAATACAATTACGTTATCCATTTCATTAATGAGGATGGGAAACTCGGAGCCATAATATCAGTTACTGAGAGCGAGAAAGCTATCGGAAAAGTCAATACTGTGGTAGACTAATGTGCTAAGATATAGCTGGCCAAATTTCAGCTCTCCGACTATTTTAAAATTTATATCTACTTATATCTGATCCTCTTTGAAAGTAATAGCCTTTTATTCTAACGAAGATTAATTGGAGCACCTTTCATTCTTTCGATACCAAAGCATGGTGAGAGTCACGGTGCCCAATACCGCCGCTTCATGCTAATTCTTGGCGGGAATAAATGTTTCCACATTAGGCAATACGAAATATACATTCCCGTTGTCTCATTTCGTTCTCATATCCTTAGACTAAGCTCAAAATAACATTGTTCCAGCCACGAGCGACCCTGTGATAGCGCGACAGGCGAAGTTTATCGTCGTTTTATATACTTGGCTATACTGAGCATGAAACGGACGATTTTATAGCTATTCGTTCCGTAGCCACAAGTCTCAGGACATTGCAAACCCATGAAGCGGCTAAGATTGTTTGTAGCGAATATCGACTTAGCTATAGATTATTAGCACCGCCACGAAGGATTCAGACCACCACTACAAAAATAAGGGCGAAACCTCAGAATTGCTGTGTGCTATTACCGGCGGCTGCTGAAACACTGTCGCGTAGATGTTAAGCGACTTTTTAAACACCATTCCCGAAGGCGGGGGAGAAAGATACAAGTTGAACTTTGAAGGAGCGGCATCGGTGCTTCTGGGTAGCTATAAACTCTGGCAAACTGGCGTAAAATACTAAAAGAGGGTTTGTCGTGCAATCTCCTACTACTTTTCTATCCTAATAGTATCTCCTTGCAGAACGAATTTACTCGAAAGACGCATAAAGCATGTCTGGCCTCGAAATCGTGGCTCTCGTGCCCAGCATCATATCCGCGTGGTGTGCTATTGCTGTGGAGTATAGATCATGGCGCAAACGTAGGGCGCAGCGAGCGAGCCAACAAAAGAACACTATATTACAAAATCATTTAACAAGTATTGCTCCGATATTAAACAACCAGTTCCAGGAGCACTTCCGGCGAGGAGGTGGCGCGTTTAAACGGGGAGACGGTAAGTTACTCACTTGGAAGCAAATGTCGACCAAGAAGGAACAGAGAGAATGAAGGTTAAGGCTAAAAGAGTGCGAAATATAACAAAAAAAAAAGTACTCTCGAGTATCATCGTACTCTGGTCCAATTCGCTGATGTTTTGCAGAGATAGGAATATCCGCTTTGAAAGATCAGTTAATACATGCTCAGAAGATAGAAATCGACCTCTTGAAAAGCCAAAGAGACAACCCTGGCGATGTAATTCATCCCAATCATGATTCTATCTTTGGTGAGTCTAGCACCGGGCGCGATGAGACCATGGCGATTCTTTCTCAGCAGTACCAACGTCTATCATAAGCGCAATCTATCCAAAGAGTATCACCTTTCGTATCATCTTCCTCTCTTCTATCTCAGGATCACGCAGCTGGGTCTCAAATAAACAGCTCCGGAGCTATGGTATTGTACGACGGAGCAACTGGTTCTCCTGGAAATCCACCAATCCTCATGGACAGAAAGCGGCTCCGGGTAGATGCCTATGGAGTTGCCAACTTCAAGAGCCGCACGACTTCCGGTGGCCCCTGCCAGTCTGGCTGTTACAAGATAATATGCAACTATGAAATGACCGAAGTGCATGTTCGAGGCATTTTTATGGATGGTTCTGTCACATCGGCTACCTTCAACGGTGTCATGTATGCTGTAGCCCTTTCCCTTCTGCCATTGCTCCGCTGCTCCGGTGGTTACCGCTTGCTGACCGTAATTATTTCGACTTTGTAGGCCATACCCGAATTCTCGCATATTTTCGTACATCCCGGGCACCGCAAATACACCTGTACTTAAGGGATTTCAAGGTTGTTTTACGGTTTATCCAGAGGCAGGCAATGTTGTCGCATTTGAGCTGTGGTGGATGGGGGGATAATGTTCCATGTTGCGTGTTACATCTCAATCAATGCCATTTGAGAAGATTGTATCGAAATTATCAAGAAATTTAAACTTCACTTCCATCTTAACCGTTTATGGTGCAGAGTAATCTTTTATCATATTCTCAATTTACCATGCTCATACAATCACCCTCGGCCGTTTCTTAGACTCACGGCTCTGACCACTGCCCTATCAACTCCCCAAGACACCATTTAGCCCTGCAATCATATAGTACAAATGATACGGAGTTGATCAAGTATTAGTATCAGCTTATAGCTTCGGCTGGTGATTAATGGATGGTAAGAAAAAAGTCATGACTCCGTGTATAGTTATAAACAGTTTCAGGCCCTTGATTTAGCACATACGACCATAGGTAGTGGAGAATTCGGGGTCCCGTCTGCTCCCCCATAGACAAGCCACTAACCGGCAGATTAGTAGTTGAGTGGGTGACCATCAGCGAACACCGGCTGTTGTATGTTTTTTATTTTTACATCGTTTCGTTGGTGGTTGCTCTATAATTACCAGCAACACAGTGTTCTATCACATACGACCATATCCATTGGAATATACGGGATCCCGTCCGCTCTCCCAGAGTCAAGCNAATGAGAGGCAGATTAGTAGTCAGGTGGGTGACCACTGGCGAACACCGGCTGTTGTATGTTTTTTGCGTTGCTTTTTTGTTTCATTAATATTCTTGTAATCCAGCTGGCGTTGCATCGTGAGATCTTGTTTTCGGTGTTGTAACTAGAGGTGGGGCTGCAGCTTTGCATATGCGTACGCTCGTAGCGGCCTCTGCATATTCCTCCTCAAGATTACACACATAAACAATCCTGAAATATGGTGCATTTGATGTGTGATGTTTTAAAAACTATAGGTGGTTTCCCAAGGTAGTTAATGTTATTCTTTGTTGTTTTGCTTAGCGAATCCATCTATGTGTCTATCTGAGGCAAACTGGTGGCCGAATTGCACACTTATTAAATCCTCCAGAAAGCCCATATCGACGGCGAGTGATCGACTGCTGAGTAGTCGACTACAATTTAGAAGTAGAGGCATTGAGCCGCCACTACCTGGTCCCCAATTTTAGTTGGGATATCAGTTTGGGAATCATTATACGAAATGACCACTGAGCCACCGCCGCATTCTTCGTCGCTGTAAGACGTCAGTCAAGAACAATAAACGCAAGCAAAGAATCCGACTTACTCATGCAGAAAACATTTTATAGTATGGCCTTCTATGGTTGGGATCCAGATAGAACCACTATAACGAGTTGAGTTTGCGAAATTAGTATTATTTAGGACATGGTACTCACATGAAGTCAGAAGTGATAGGAGTGCAATCATCGCTGATAAAGAATCGGCCTCCCTTATAATTCTCATGAGTGAACAAAAGTCCCTATATACCGGTGAATTTGGTCAGTGAACAGTGGTAGCAGTGGGGTAGAATTGAACCGGCTCACAAAAGGGTCTGGGACTGGGGTTTTCTTGACAGCCACAGTCAGGGCAGCGAAGGCGAAGGAGACCAAAGCGGATGACTTCATGGCTGGTATTGATCAAAGGTAAACGATAAGCAGTCGGATGTTCGATGGAGAAACCAGCGATTTGAGGCACATGAAGCGCCTATTTATACATCGTTCCGATACTATATATTACGGTATTCTGAATACAGGGACATAGTCTTACATAAGGTATCAGAGCTCAAGTCAGAAGACAAATACGGGAGCAGAATCAAAGTACACCATGAAAATGTAATGTAGTTGATACCCGCTCCGCTACTTAGGTCCTCGACTAGGACTAGGCCGATCCCAGTTGACAGGCTGACGTAGGGAGGGAGACTTGGCTGAGTAAGAGTGTCTTAGATTGTCCTTTTGAGATCTACAGCCGATCGACTTTTACAAAAAACATTACTCGATCTTGGCCAATGCGCAAAGACGCAAGGTTCTTTACGAGGGGTAGCGTTCCCAAAGGCTGGTTATTGGGCTGCTTGTCTCAGTTATCAAGGTAGGTGAAAGAGAGGGGGCTCCAGTCGGTCAAAATGCAGTCCCTGGTTTAATGGCGGAGGTATTGAATCTTAAAATGGAGCCTCACTCGCATCACTAGGCCGTGATCTAGTATTGGAGTTGGGGGATTGCTTGCATACGACGTGGAGGGTACAGCGCCAGTACCTGTACTCACTGTCGGGAATGCAGAGAATGGAAACTGAGACATGGAGGGAAAACAATGCGTATTTGAATATAACTGGACAGTGACTTGAGTGCTACAGAGTAGTTACATGCTACTGATTGGCCTTTTTTACTTTCGCCGTCTTCTTGCTAACTATTGGCTTGCCGATCAAAGCACGTATGAAGGTGAGTTTGAGTTGCTACAGGGATATTGCTGAGCTACCGAGCTTGGTTTCATGCGACTGACGACTCAAACAGACCTACGGAGAAGCAGAAATGGCGGTCAGGCTGGAACAGTACATGTATCTTGAGGTACATTTAGATATGCTGTACACGCATTTTGGGAAGAAAACGATAATGCGAGGCAAGTGATAGATGAGACCTTAGAATAACACTATTAATAGAAAAGATTTATAGCATAATTGACTAGTCCTCATTAATAGCATCTCATGTGGAGGTAAAGCGCATTATGCCTGAAACTACAGTTAACAATCAACATGAGCCGATAATATATATCATGGGCCACTGATTCGAATGATTGTTCGCGAGGCTAAGTCGTTTTCCTAACGAGAAGCATTTCTTGAACCCCTATGGGCTTGATATCCGGAAAGCTCTTGTTGAGAGCCTTCTCAACGGGGATGTCGAACTGGCCTCCAACAACCCAGCTTCCAAGAAGAGCCAAAATCTGCCGAGCAAAAGGTTCTGGGAACGGAGAGTTTGCTAGTTCTGCTTTGTGAGAGGGGAGCTCAGTGACTTCTCCTCTTGCAAGCTTCTCAATTGGATCGTATGATACTTCAAACTGAGTACCTGAAATAAAAGATGTTAATGAAAGAAGTCCATTCAACTAATATAGCTGGAGATCTGCCTCTTCATACCTGTTACCTCTTCCGCTATTTTGACGAATTTGTTCCAGGTCGTTTTCTCCCCATATACGTACGTTATTTCCTCCCACTTTGGAGCGCCCAAATATGCAGAAACGAATTTGGCGACGTCGTATGAGTAGATGAGAGATATCGGTTCATTTCCAGTTCCAGGGATAGCTGCCTTCCTGCTGCTCATGTCAACAGCAAAGGACATGGGAGGGAGGTGTGTTTTGATCGCAGGAATTCCATAGTAATCCATGAAAAAGCCAACTGAGAATCGTGTCCATTCGAGTGTGGTGCTCCGTAGCGCAGCGTTAGAAGCTTTTTGGAGTATCGAGACGGGGGATCTGAGCTCATTGTTAGTTCGTATTTAGATAGTATTGCACGGACTTCTTACGTCTCAGTGGGAAGCGATCCCCAACCGCTAGCAATAAACCGGGATACAGCTGAGGCTTGTTCTGCGGCTTTTATGAGATTGACCTCAGCAGCAGAGGATGTCTCGTCAGTCACTTGAATGGTAGAGATGATTATCGCCACTTCATGCTGCGCTAAGAGTTTGGCGGTTGCACCGATATCGGTATAGTCAACGGCGTAACATGGAACATTATCCAAGACTGTTTGAGACTATATTATTCGCTTTAGATGACTTTAGATATGTCTTAATGCTGAGAAAAATTCCGTACCTTGCGTCCTAGAACAATGACTTTGTAACTTGGAGACGTTGCAAGAGTCTCAACAATGGTGCGGCCAACGTTACCCGTGCCACCAGCTACAGCAACAACGACTGACATTTTCAAATGTATATTAACCAGTAAGCTTAATTATTTCTCCGCTGTGCAAGTATGTTCTGTATTCGAAATCGAAATGGAAGACATAAGACAGTCTTTAGATTCACAAATGGACATGATTCCAAGGCGTAGTATTTATATACGTGAAAATGAGCGACACTTCTTATAAATCCAAATGGTTATCATTTATTTCTACAATTTGTCAGCTCTTATGTGTAAATATTAATTCATGTTTCAAAGCAAGTTTAGACATTAACAATCGTTATTTCGCTGATCTAATTTAGCTTGACATACAAGAGCTGCGCGCGCTTTCCTAATTTGGAAATGCGACGACATTCGCAGGTCTTTATTTAGCTCTCCAACAATTTTCAGCATATACTAAGTATATAGCCGCCAAATGGTATATGAATCTATGTATTTTGGTGCAGCTGAAATATAATATTTCATGCTCATATTACTAAACATTGCATACTGATGCTGTAAATCTTACACAAGATAACAGGCTACCAAGTCGCTAAAAGCCCAGTTGTCCGCATACGCAGCGTTTATTCCTATTAGATGAGTAATACCTCAGATCCCATTATCTGAAAGCAATCATATAGTCCCCATGAGTCTCCGTCCAACTCATCTCGAAGCTCCCAGACTTGTTCTATCAATCGGAAAGCCCGTTTCGCAGGACCTAGAGCTTGAAACGACCCCAGAGCAGAAAAGAGGCGCCTAAATGTATGCTCCTGTTCTGGCATAGCTAAGAATCCTGAAATGCAGAGGGGAAACATGAGGCTGCGTATTGAAAGCTCTGATGAGAAACTATCCGCAATACTCAAAATCGAGTTCACATTCTCGCGGATGTAAAGGCTACTTGGCTGCCAACCATCTAAAATAACCGACAGATACATTATCGCCGCGTGCAGCCAAACTTTTGTTATGAGAACATCCTTCTGCAGTGGAAGTTTCTCGCTTTGATTACAGGATTCCATAGAATCCTGCTGCGTGGGATGACATTCTGGCCGGATATTTGCTTCAATTCCTTCCATACGTACTTGAAGTTTTGTCTTGAGATCAGAACCTTTTCTCATGAGCTCTGCCAAAAAATACTCCTCTTTGCTCTGAGAAGAGCGTTTTGCAGCTTCCATTTCCGAAATCTCACTAAGAGCAGTAAGGACCCAACCATGGCATCCGATAACTGTCTCCAGCCCGGGTAATGGCTGGGCACTACCGTCCGGAGCTATGAGAGCTTTACGATTGCTTATTAAGCTCTGATGATGATGTCGTAGCCGTGAGGGACGCCCTAGTTGGATACTCGCTATAATGTCTGAATATAAAAGAAATGAACCATAGAATTGAAAAGCAGCTTGGTCGTTATTCCAGGCGCGGAATCCTAATTGTATACCATCAAATATCGATGGCCTATCCATCGCTTGTATAATTGTTTCTAGAGAGTATTTACCGTCAGTCGCTCCGTGAGATTGAATTATCTCTTTCAGCAATGTCAAAGCGGCTGACAAATGCATCTTCCAATCTGCTCCCTGAGGCATGGCTGTTGCGAAGATCAAGTACTGAACAACGCTTTCTAGAACATGTAGCTTAGAGGATACATCTGAACAGCCGCCTTGTAAGTGATATTGATCCGTGTCATGCTTAATAGCCTTTATGGACATCTCCATATGCTTGGCAAGCGTATCCCAAACATGCTGCTCGCATGGGGTGCGGAGAGTATGGGCCGCATCTTTAGCCAGAAAAAGGGTGAAATAATATGCGCTGGTGCTAAGAGCACTGTGGTATACCGCCTTATTGGTTTTGAATAGCGCCGATATCCAGCTCCGTCCACCGGACAGTATGGCGGGCTCGTATTGAGGGAATAGAAGTGGGAAGACTGTATCAAGGTACAAGGTGATGAGGAAATTTTCTGTTTCCTCTATAGTTGATCCATTCGCAGCAGTAGCCGATGAGCCACGGCCTGTCAGAGATGGGCCTGAAGAGCTGGCAGAAGATATTTCCGGCACCGCAGTTGGCGATCGTTCAACTTGTTGGCTGGTATGAAGCGAGAAAACCCGAATCGCAGCTTCACTGCCTCCTCTTCGAGCTGTAACTCCTTGCTTCACTTGAGCCTTGATTGCTTGTGTTTTTTCCAATTGCTTCTCGCCGCCGTCCATCCATTCTGGGCGCTCTTTGTTATAGCAGCAGCCGATATCTAGGTTGGCGCAACTCTTGCATACTGGCCGATTCCGGTCGCATCTTTTTCTTCGCAGTCGACAGGTCCAACAAGCCAAGGACGTCATTGTGAATCGGAAAGATCCGAATAGTACAATCCGCTACCTTTTGGTAAGTTGGCGAGTGAAAAGACTGTTGCTGGAACGAAGACACAGTTGTGATTAGCAAACGACTTGAGTTCAACTCTTATTCTCTGGCGCTGAAATTGGAGAACGCGCGCCTTCCAAATGGAGCCAAGCGTATATTTAGAACCAGCAGAGCAAGACTCTTCTGCTGTTACTCAGCAGGACAACACATGCAATTAGATATCCAGCTCGCAGCCTCAGGATTTAATCATCCTTTCTTTTCTCTTTCTCTCCTTCGTTTTCTTCTATGTCTTTGTTCTTGGTTGTTGTAGATGGTTGGCCAACCGGTTCAGGATCATGTTGTATTGACTTTGTAGGGAGACGGATGATCATCCTATCTACGCACTCAAAAACAGCTCTGTCTGGCAAAGTAAGCTTAAAATTGACAACACTTGCGACCATTGGTGCTCAACCATGATCAAACTTGAGGCGCGGTGGGAATTCTCCAAATTGACGGTATTCTGGAAATAACACGCATACAGCCACTCCCATGCACGACCCATATCATTACGGCATAGAGAAATACGTCAGCTGAAATCAAATTTATTAGTTTATGGAGAAATGATATATGATAATGACGCAAGCTCTCGACTTTGCAAAAATCGCATGGCTGTTTCAAGGCTATTAAATATATCATGGCTGAAGAGTGGTGCTGGAATTTTAACTTACATTCTCTAGCTGCTTTGAAGTGTTACTGTTGCCTCTTTAGGAAACTTATGGCGATACCTCTCGGCTGCTTCTTCGCAATTGTTATTTATATACTCATGACATGTTATCATCCTGCGCCGCGCCAACTCATCGCTTCAAAGCGGATCATTGCCGCTTTAAGTTTCATCTCTCAAGACGTGAACTGGGCTCCTTATCAAAGCTCGAATGGCTTTTCCACTTCCGCAAACGGTCGAGTATTTGATAGCTCAAATTGGAGTTATCCGCTGGGCTGATTTATGTGGGTTCGCGTACATATTTAGCAACCTGATCCCTGCATTTTAGCGCGGCAGTGTTCGGTAGTGATTCACTCAAAGGATTTGCGATTCATCTCGCGTTAGCTAGCGGGAATGGGTTTAGTGGTGCTTATATCCGTAGTCAAAGCAGTCGTTTCACTTTCAAAAAACTGACGAATCGTCGCAACAAGTTTACGCACTCGATTCATCATCAGAAGGCCAAGACATATCCTGGAAACTTATTTTCTGTCAAGTGAGTTAGTGTATACAGGAATAGGTAAAGCCATTGGCTGAAGTGGCAGTCAGAAGACGAAGATGAAGAAGATTTAAAGAGGGCGACTGGCCCTGGAATGGAGACGCTTTTCTTCAAGCTCTACCACTTCTATATACAGATACCTATATAAGCGACATCAATACACAGCGTTTCTTCGAGTATACCCACAATCTATTTAATATCTCGCCTTTTATCTCTTCAATTTCTCCAAAATGGCCTTCTCAGGTGTCAGCTATAAAGATGATATGAAGAGACTCTCTTCGGACCGCTACCGAGGAACCACCATTACAGAGTTCGAGGAGTCCTCATCTACGAGAAGCTCCTCCGACTCTGATCCACCAAAATATGAGGAAATATTAATCCAAAGGCAAAGAGATCTATTAATCAGCGGCTCGAATACTTCGTTCAACTTTTCGAAGCCAATTGCAATTCCCGCTACAAATGCAGATCTAGGGTCTGCATTCCTTCGAGCATACCCACCTGTGTTGGAAGATTTGAACATTTCTCGAAATGAGTTTCTAGAATTTCTAGATCACCTCAACCGCGCTATTGTTGCAAGCCCAGGGCTGCGAGTTCTTGGCTATGCGTCTGATGTTGTTGGATTTGTTCCCGAGCCGACTGCTCAAATTGTTTCGGCGGCAGCTGGCATTAGCGCAAATGTTGGAACTTTTGCCATGTCCAAGATTAGATCTGAGATGGTCATTCGACAAGCGAATAAAGACATCTTCTTTCCCAGAGGCTTGGAGGCAAAAATTACAAAGTTGAAATACGTTGCCAAACTTGCCAACATGCCTATACTGAATGAAAAGGGAAAGATAGATAAGCAATCGCCTATCTTGGAGCCTCTTCAGGCCCTCGCCGAGTCAAATGAGCTCAAAACCATTAGTGCTCAGCAGCGCCGTCTAAGAGCTCTTGAAACGTGGATATCTCCTCTGGTTATTGAAGAGCTTCCTCCAGTCGCCAACCCCTCCAATCTTTTGAGCAAAGTGGATGTTTTTGTCAGTGAGGCTGAGCGAAAGTCCGCCGAGAAATCTATGCTCAAGAAGAGGGTGAAAGTGAACGATAAACACGAGAAAGCAAGCCAAAAGGCCCTTTCGAAGTACGAAAACTCCATGGGGCGTTTTGAAGAGAAGGCGAGAAGCGTTGGTGAAAGGGACCGCCACGCAGATAGAGATTTTGAGCGTCTTGAGGATCGTCGCCTAAAAGCTACTCTCAAGTATGAGAAAGAAGTTGAAAAAGCGCAAAAGAGGTACAAGAAAAGGGACAAGGAAGAAAAGAGCATCAGGCGAATCAACTTTCTTGTGATTATTCCTAAAAGCAAAGAAGAGTAATTTTCCTTGAAGATGGCTGTTTCAGGGTTGAGTTACCATATATGATGGCAGTCTTGATTTCTATTTTTTTTCCCCTTTGTTTGTGTCATATTCTAGATCTAGCTAATACCAGTATCGATTCCGCTATTTGACGCTGAAATTAATATGCTGTGCCTTCTGATAAAACTTCTCCAATATTCAATCCCTTCTCACGAACAAGCTGGTTCATAACTCTCCCTATCCACGAACAAACATCTGGGCGTCGAGCTAAACACAAACGTGCCACGTATAGAGGAAACAGAAGCATAAACATTCCGAGACTGTCATATTTGCAGTGTGACATGAAGTCAACGATTCTGCAGATCTCTAAGGCGTGATCCTCTCTGCTCCCTTGACCTGGAAGAAGCAGCGGGTTCTGAAAAGGGCCAAAATACTCTTGTAATCCTGATGGATTCAAAAAAGGCATCGCATCAGGAGCTATAGGGTCCAATAGCGTATCTATAAGTAAATGAAGCGTATTGAAGAATACAATTTCAATAGCACGATCCATGTTACTGAAGTGAAGGACAGTCGGAAAAGGCGAGGATCCCCGATCACTGGAAGAGCTCGGAGAATAGCCTGAAGACGGTACCTCTTTGCATGCATTAGCGTGATCTTGCTCCCACCGCCATCGCAGTTGGTGTGCTTGCTGAATCGTGTTTTCGATTTTCCCGTAAAGTGCCTCTTTCATGCCTTCTAAGTCTTCTCCCAGGGTAGATCGCGACGTGATTACATCTACGTCTTCGATCAATCCCGGGATGTCACAAAATAGATCTTGTAGTGAAGATCCGAGCGACTTTCCTTTAATCAGCCAGGGTATGGTCTTCCAATCAGCTGTCTCGAGAAAGCAGTGCTTCCGCTGCAAAAGAAAATTTACAACCTGCACATGTACTTGAGTCAGCTTTATCAAATACGGCAAAGACTGGGGTTACCCACAATCAACCCTCGATACGTTTCTAGCATTAAATTTGTGTCGAGTTCCTGAAACGCGTATGGCCCTAGCATCTGTATCTATATATGCCAAATTAGCTCACTCTTAGGGAAGAGCACCGCCCCATCATATTAGCCACTTACAAGAGCAGTGATGCCGTGGCAATGCTCTAGCCACCCAACTGAGCTAACGCCGGATACAACCTCATACAAGCAGAGAAGAAAAGAGCTCCAGAGGTTAGAGTACATAGCAGCAGCTGATGTATGGCGGCTCAAGTCTTGTAAATCTTGGCGGAGGTGCTGCAGCGAACGGTTGTATAATAGCGTTGCATGTACCACCAGATCGTGGCGTTTGTGGGCCCGGGCAAAAAACGCTTCGGCAAGACATATCCCAGCCATGTAGGCGGTAGTACGCTCGCTTGGGTTAGAAAACACGGCAGACAAAGGCGAGCCATGAGCCCCGGGTGGAAGCCTCCATGCGAAATCGACGGGGAATTTTCTTATCAGATGAGATATAGTTATCTCGTCTCTTGAGATACCGGGTGAGAGCATCATAGAAAGCTTTGTGCCAGAAGTGGAGAATTTAAAAGTCATTTTTCTTGGCGGGTTTTGAATATTCTGCCCCCCCTTCGTATCGGGGTTCAATGGAGCTGGCGATAGCATTTGATTTATGAAAACCTGGGGGTTACCATATCCTAAACACTGCCGTGAAGCATTCAAGCATCTAAGACAGTAGGGAAGCTTTTCGTCTTTTAAGGGATTCAAAGCAATAGTTAGGCTCCTTATTTCAAGAGTAGTTCATAGATTATTGCATACCGCATTTCACTTTTCGCTGTCGGCACGTTAGACATCCTTTGCTACGACGTCCACGCGGCTTAACTGACAAGACTCGCGACTGGAGCTCGGCTTCAGATGCGGCGCAAAAAGAAGACATTATGGCGCGTACTCTTGGCTAAGCTTTTGTACAGTAAGTTACCAAACGTAAAACCAGCGTTTGAATTGAAGGCAGTTGTGAAGCTCTTGGTTTATTCAACCCCCCGTTGATGCAGAAGATGACATGGAACTAAAACATGTACCCACTTCCTATGTCGAAATAGGCTAGCTAATGCGAGCACAATTACGGAGTACAACTAGTAGTAATCAGCCTTGCTTCTCCGCGGCTAACACGGTCCAAGCCGAATACTTTCTTTTTATAACAAAAGTATAGTCGGGAGTGCCAGGTTTCTAGTACGTATCTTCAGATCGATTAGGCACAGGTTGGATAGCAACTTTGTTTTCCTAATGATTTTCTATCGAAGGTTTCCTTTATTACCGAGCGGCCCCTTGTCTTTAATTAGCAACTTCGTTTGGGCTTAGTGCTGCTATATAGTATAGTCAAAGCTGCTGTCTGACAGGTCGTTCAGTCCCGCTATCGAATCGACATTTGATATGGGGTCACAAAGCTAAAGCATAAACTATGTAGGGCTCAATATCTCTAGAGGAAAAACAATAAGGCGATGACGGCGCAAAAAAGCGTATCAGTGAAAGGAAAGATCTAGGAGCTGAGACCGACGATCGTCAGTCCAGAATGGCCGTTGAACAGCGGCTTAGCGCGAGAGACATTACTAAAAAGGGAAACCGAGGGTCACGGCTTGGAATCGGGGGAGTACCAGCCAATTATAGGCCGGGTCTGACACACTCCCTTCAATAGTGGAAATTCTGGAAATGGAATTTATCTCAAGTGGCATTGATAGCCCTCCCCCTGTTTTTTTTTCTTCTTTTCAGTTTTGTTGAATACTTCCAAGGCCTTCCAGATGGGGCCGTCACACTCCCGAGCTGTCATTGGATGCTGAAACATGCATCCAAGAATATGAAGCCTTTTATACATGTATTGTTAGACTAGCCGCAATGATGCTTTCTAAAAGTTGCTTTTCGCCTTTCACATGTTGCTATTTCATCGATGACTTCTGATTTCTCCAGGAGACAATGACCTCGATGAACATAATTGAGTTGCCATGGCACGCCGCTTTTCCCTCACCGAGGAAGCAAGAGCCCGGGGCCATGACACGTGGAGAAGTTCTCAAGATGATGAAAGACAGCGGCAGCGAAGCTGGAAAAGATTACTTGCTGGTCGATCTAAGAAGAACTGACCATCAAGTATGTGTCTCAGCTAGCGGTAAATCGGCCTGTTTTTGTACTGACGAGGACCGAATCTAGGGTGGCACTATCCGGGGCTCCATCAATCTTCCAGCGCAAAGTTTGTTTCCAGCCTTGCCAACAGTTTACAACATGGTAAAAGCTGCCGGAATTCGGAAGGTTATTTGGTATTGCTGTAGGTTTATCCTTGTTTCCATGGGATGGTGACCAGATTAATATTTTGAATGGATAGCATCGTCCCGTGGCCGTGGCACACGTGCTGCTTGCTGGTTTGATGATTACCTGGAGGAGAAAGGAGATAAGAATACTCAGAGCATTATTCTACTTGAGGGAGTTAAAGGGTGGGTGAAAGGAGGCGCCGAGTACATAGATTGGGTTGATGACTATGACCATGCCCACTGGGGAAGCCAGTAGGGTTGTTCGTATCACTGGTGGAGGAAAGGCATAGAAATGTCGATAATTCAACTACTATTTTGAAAGAACATGCTTAGGATTTCTATAAATGAGCTGAACTGACGGAAAGCATGAACACTATGCATTATTTGCCACTAATAAGTAGCTGTTTCTCGGGGTGGAGCATCGGGAGTAAGAGTGAGCGTAAATTTGTCGATGTGCCTTAGTCTGCCTGCCGATGAGCGGGGCAGCCATCATCATTAGTGCTCAATACTTTTCTTGACTCAAGCATATAAAAATACAGGATCTGAACCCCTTGACGATGTCCGTCCCACCTTGAAGCCCAAGTAATGAACCGCGTTAATTTCCTGTTTAGTTCTGTCGCCCATCAGAGCCAAAGTTTGGCATTCTTGCGCCTTTCCACGTGGCCTTACTTTGGACTTGGAAGACCTTGTGTTTACCCAGCACCAAGAAGACGCTGTCTATCACGGCTTCATCTTATCATGAACGGACATGGAGATTTAAATAATGCTCACGCTGCTAGGGTGACTAGCTTACTAGAAGTCGACCCAAAGTATAGTTATAAGTCGTTGGCTATTGGTATCCACGAAGATGAAGCCCATATTAGGCAGCGGTACCGGCCATTCCTGTTGCCCGAAGCTACCTGTATAGAGGACGACTGGGTTGCGAACTTGGAGTTGGCTACGACGTTGAAAATGGTCGAGTCAGAGATTATGAATAAAAAGCAGGATCGCCTCCGGGTCCTTGTCTTATACGGAAGTTTGAGAAACAGGTTAGCGCAGCAGCGTCGCGCTTAAAGATCTAGCTGCTAACACATCGAGGTAGATCGTTTTCCCGCCTTCTGGCCTACGAGGCATCGCGAATTTTGTTTCGCCTTGGATGCGATGTGAGAGTATATGATCCAGCTGGCTTACCCCAAAAAGATGATGTGCAGCATGACCATCCAAAAGTTCAAGAGCTGCGTGAACTGAGTAAATGGAGTGACGGGCACCTCTGGGTCAGCCCCGAACAGCACGGAAACCTGGTGAGTTTAAGGATTGTGCAGGATCAGAATTACAGTATTAGGTTCTAATATTGTACCAGACGGGTTTATTCAAGCAACAGATAGACTGGATCCCTCTGTCGTCTGGCTCTGTACGGCCTACTCAGGGCAGGACCTTGGCCATTGCGCAAGTCAGTGGCGGCTCGCAGTCATTTAACGCCGTCAACTCTTTACGCATTCTGGGGCGCTGGATGCGCATGTTCACCATACCGAACCAGAGCTCTGTTCCAAAAGCCTACACCCAGTTTACTTCTGAGGAAGAGGGCAGCCGCATGATTGCCAGCTCAAACCGCGATCGTCTTGTGGATTGCATGGAAGAGTTGGTAAAATACACAATTGTGATGCGTCCCCATTTTGAGCTTTTTGGGGATCGATATAGTGAACGCGAGGAGAGAAGGCAAAAAGAGACTTTACAGAACTAGATTGCGCCCGAATTATACGACAAGCGTAGACATGAATTCAACAAGGCGTGCCCATAGAGATAATTTTTTGAATCTGTAAATACATGTATCTAGGCGGTCAATAATTAAGCATCACAATGTGTCTCAGATAACCTGTGCATTTCTTAAGGTGGTTCCTTTGGAACATGAGATGTGCTCTTCAGCGTTACTGTATGATAGCCATCAATCTTTGACCGCAAATATCTTGTATGAAGCTATGAAAAATTCTTAGTCCATGAAGATACCAGAAATGAGAGCACTTTACTTACCAGTCCATTCATTAAAGTCAATGTCTTGAATATTAATCAAGTCACTTTCTGTTGAACTGCAACCTGCTTCCGTATAGCAGTCTTTATCCTGCTCCGCAGGATAGGAGTTGTGGGTGGAAAGACTCTTGCAGCAGCCGTCACTCGTCTCGTTGTGATAGACATTCAAGTCATTCCCTGAATCCTGTATGATGATGCCTGCGTAGATTTTCCCAGTCAGCAAGAAATCTTTACAGCCAAAGCCTCATTTCACCAACCACTAAATCCAGCTTCTTTTAGGTACTTCTGGTACATCCCAACCTCGCTTGCCCCGGCAATGCAGCCGACATACAAAGCCATGCCCTTCTTGATATTGTCAGGTAGTGGGATCTTGGCGAGGATGTCCGAAATGGCAACCCGTCCGCCCGGCTTCAATAGACGGAACATCTCATTGAAGGCCAGCTGCTTCTCCTGTTCTGGGACAAGATTGACGACACAATTGGAAATGATACAATCCGCGATGCCGTCCTCTAGAGAGATTCGTGTGATTTGCGATTGTACAAACTCCACATTATTCTTGCCCCACGAGGCCTTCAGCCCCTCTGCTTTCTTAAGCATATCCTACATGAAGGAAGACATGTTTTAGATAACTCACTTGCTGCGAATTTTTGAACTAACCTCGTTCATATCCACGCCAATTACTCTGCCGCTAGACCCTACTTTTCGAGCGGCGAGGAAGGCATCAAACCCAGCACCGCTTCCAAGGTCGATTACAGTCTCTCCCTGTAGTATCCATGAGCGATATTAGTTGAATAGACTCTTGCTTCATTAATTACGCACCTCACGCAGGCTCGCGATGGCGAGAGGATTGCCGCAAGAGAGGCCTAAGTTGGCATCCTGAGGAATGTCTGACAATTCTTCTTTTGTGTAGCCAAATGATTTTGCCACAAAATCGGCATAGTGAGCTTCTACACCGGCCGCAGCAGCCGAGTACCGCTTGTGGACCTCGGCGTAAATGTCTTGAGCTTCCATGAGTGATAGGATGAAGTACTATTTATCGTGGCTTTGTGATGATATTGAAAGATGACCGCCATTGAAAGCCCCAACTCAGCAACTTCTACCCATTAATATATGTATTCCATAAAGCCTTTAGGAATGACTGACCCATGCCGGCCGGGGACGTTATGCAGGTCACTCATTCCCTGCCTGATCTGGAACTTTTTGGGGCACTCGAGGCTTAAGCGTCGTGGAGCTTGCCGTGACGCATGCCACTATTCTCGATGTGGTAAGAAATTTGTATGTCATCGCACCTCCACCCTTTTAGGTTGCGTCTCTTAGATTGAGACAAACAAACCTTCCTTTTCAAATTTACATCTTGTTTCATCACCCTCAAAAGAGAATTGCGTCAATCGGCTGACTTACTTAGTCGGTCAAAGGTCAAAGAAGTACTCACAATGCCTGCTTCCCCGCCTTCAGCTATGGTATCCAAGTGGTCATCCAAGTCCAAATCTCCAAAGCAAAAGGCCACTCAAATTCGAGACAACCAGCGAAGACATCGGGCTAAAGTCAAGGCTCATATCTCTACTCTAGAAAATGAATTGGCAGAGTCGCAGAGACGGTTGATTGCCGCCGAACATCGCATCACGGCACTTACGGCTGAAGTGAAACGTTTAGTGGAGGAGGCAAGAGGGGAACCCGCTCTGACAAGTATCTCATCCGTGGAGCGTTCTTTCAACTCTCCCACGCCTCATACCACCTTAGAATATGCGTATTGCCGCCCTTTGAACAACCAGAGACAGCGAGGCAATTCCTTACCGTCTAAACATAATGCCATGGTCAACCTACCGTTTGACAGACCAGTTATCCCAAACTCCAACAACGATCTTTCAGGGTTAAACGCTGGAAATGATATAGAAGTGGATGAGTCAACGCTCGCTCTAGCCTTTGTAGCTGAGTATGACTGTCAAACTCTCCCACTACCGCAGCCTGGCGAATCTACAACAAATTGTGTTGCTGCGTATAGAATCATTGGACAACAAAACTTCAAGGGCGTCGATATGGAAGCTATTCATCAGTGCCTCCAGTCAGGATACAGAAGAGCAACAAGACCTGGGGATGGATGCACCGTTGTAAATAGTCACCTTTTTGGTCTCATCAGCTACCTCAGCCCAGTCTAGCACGGCTAACAAAATATTTACTAAATGGCTTTTTATTATTTAACCACTGCTTACAAGACGCCAATTAAATTGCTTACCTGTCAATTATAATTGCCATTGAGTGTAAGTCTTATGTCAAATAGTTGGATTTCAACACATGGGTAATAAAGAAGCATGTGACAAAGCCTACACTGGGGCAACAACTTTCACCTGCAATGAGGTTCTTTGCGAGAGCTTTGGCTGCTGGAACATAATGATATGATAATTCCTATAATAGATAGCCTATGTATCATTTAACTATCTTATAAACGCTTTTTATTAGCTACACTTCTTTTAAGTATCTCATTATATATAACCTTTGGCATCGTGTAAGCATCTCTGGGACAAACGACATCAACGACACGGGCGTCCTTTACATATGCAAATGGAGGTTATGTAGCATTAATAAAGAGGTAAAAAATTACAAAATAATGTAAAAAAAACATACAACAGCCGGTGTTCGCCAGTGGTCACCCACCTGACTACTAATCTGCCGGTTAGTGGCTTGTCTATGGGGGAGCAGACGGGACCCCGAATTCTCCACTACCTATGGTCGTATGTGCTAGGGCCTCTAGTATAGCAACTTATAACCTACCTATTAGCGTAAAGTGATCACAACTCTTGGACATATAGACCATGATCAGCTCAACATTTTTTTTTCTTTTCGGTTTCGCTTCGTTTCGTTCTGGGTAGCTCTCCAAGTGCCTGTATGATTAGCCAGAGACTCTGCCGGGGCCTTGGTGGAGACTTCGCATCATCCAAGTGACTAAGACTTCATTTGATTGTCTCTTTGGCGAATATATTCCTCCCGAGCATCATTGACCTCCTGTCTCATCTCATCACACTTGCGAATATCTTCATACCACGCTTCTACTGCCCTGGCCACTTCCGTCTCGGGCTCTAGATTCGACTGGTACCAATCAGGCGCGATAGCGGGAAACTCCCATGGGCTTGTGGACGGACGAGCTAGATCGACTGGTTGGGCATGTCTCAGATGCTCTGCCAGGAGATAGACATCAAGTGGAGTGCTTCTGCGCTCAAACTTGACCGATGGCGTATGGGGCTGCTTTCCACCACCTCCAGCGCCATTACCAGCTGCCATATCGAGGTACCAAGCAGCTGACAACCACTGAGCAACTACAGCAAAAGGTCTTGAGAGATACAAGTCACTCGGCGGCTGGGGTTTCGACGGCAGTATCCGCTTGAGGCCCTTGAGTCTCGAGGGATCGAGGCCTTCGAAGGCCACTCTTTGATATTCTGGCCATGACGCCAACTCATCCGGGCTAATGGATTTGCCGGCCATGGACCGAATGTCATAGAATCCGCCGGCGTCACGAAGCGCTTTCCCATCCTGAAACTTTTCCAATCGTTCTCGTAAAATGGCTCTCTTCTGCTGCCGCTCTTCGGCCTGCATATCCTCTGTAGTCCAGTTGGCTTCGCGGACTTCCAGCAGTCGGCCCATCGCCGCCCGTTGCCGTCTTGCTGTATCGTTTGCACCGCTCCATCTGAGCCTCTCTGTGCAGTCCATTTGGATACTGAGTGTCCATCTTTCGAATTCGTTTTCGGCAAACTGAGATTCAACGTACCCGGGCATGTTTTCAAGCTCATCCTGTGTGGCTGCCAGGCGCTTCAGGACGTGCAAGGTCCCGACCGAATCACCGTAGCTATTTAGGATCTTGCGACATGTTAGCAGAATCTTCTTTTTGACCAAGACTTGTTTCAAACTTAGAAGCGATACCCTAATAAGGCACTTGAGTAGGTGTCGAATCCGTCGCGTGTCGTGTCTCACTGAAGCCTTCTGTAACGCGGCGTGGAAGTGCGCGACTTTGTTCTCAAATTGTGCAGGTCTTTGCACTACTTCAATCATGTTGCAATCATCATCCAGTGCCTGGGATCTCTCTTCGCTGATCTGGCCAACGGCGCCTAGGCGATCAATTTTACCCTGCCCAGATATGAATTCAAAATCCATAGATAGATCCATTCAAAGAAAGTGACTTACCGGCAGTAACTCCTGGATTCGGACATCTAAACTGGCCTGAAGGTGGTTGAGCCTAAAGCGAAGGTCCTGATCCCAAGTCTGAAGAAACCTTTGGTGTAAATGATCAGGAAAGATGTCGCTCATTTGGAGGGCTCGCCAGATTGGCAAGTATTCTTCAAGATGCCAGGTGTCATCCATGACGCCTAGTTCAGTTGCAAACAAGTACCCAATGCATTTAAAAAAGCCTTCAAGGCCATGAAAAGACCCCCCTTGACCGTTATTAACCACGCTGACGGTATCAAGAAGTTGCATCATGTAGCCGTTGAAAGTTCTCGCAACGTGTCGGCTCAAGTCGTACCAATACACCACGAGCCACTGCAGCATCAGTAACACCAACCAGTTGTCTGGCTGTGAGAGTCTCTGTAGTCTATTCGTGAGGTATATTCTCGCTTGGATTTTCCAAGCATAATTGCTAGAAAGCTTCAGCTCTGGGAGCACGCACCGCAGACCTCGCAGAGTGATGTCAGCGATGACCTCCTCTTCGTCGGCGAGCTGCCAGAGACTACGTTGATGGACTCTGAGGGCGGCGAATATCCAGGGGAGATCGAAACAGCGGTCAACCGTGGCGATGCCGGCGCACTTCTGAGTCAGAGAGTAGAGTGAGGTTATCATGGGAAACCATTCGACGTGCAACGCCTCGTTCATTGCCGGCGTGAAGAGTGGTTGATCGATGAATTCTTGACAAACATTGTGTGTATGAAGGACAAGGTTTGAGAAGGCAAGAGCCTGTTGTGCTGGCGTACAAACAAAACGACGAAGATAATGGCAGAAAAGGGGGTGGATGTCCACAGCCTCCAATGTCCCGCCTTGATGCTGACTTGCTTCACGACCGATTCCACATTCTTTGAGCACTCCCAAAATGTCCTCAAGTTGATCTACCTTGGACTTTCCCTTGGACTCCTCCAGCCCTCCTTCAGAAGCGCATTTGTTAGCAGCCAGCTGTTGCTTTAAATAGCCCCGGGAGCAATTCCGTTGAACCGCCGCGAATATTGAAACTAGTGGCCCCAAGGTTTTGCTTGCATATTCAAACTGACGTCGAACGCGGACCGTTGTCTGTAGTTCCCATGCGTCCTCCGTAGCTCCAATATGCAGCCTGCGAAAGAGTTCAGCACAGGAGCCCGCTGCCTTGTATGCTGGAGGCAACAAGGAGCGAATGGCTGCGGGATGAAACGAGATTGTTTGCAACACACGTTCTAGCCACCTGGATTCTCCGGTTGGTGCATTCTCGCTGCTGTCGTCCCAACCGATCATCTTGGCTGCCAACTGCGTTGCAGAATACGGATCAAGGGGCCCGAGCTCATAGCGATCTGGGGCGCGGTCAAGCCAGCTGAGTTGGAGTGACGATGTCGAAATTAGCACGAGGCAGGGGGGCGAGAGGTCCTTCAACGAGGACAGAAGCGTGTTGATTTCCTGTTCGATTACTTCCGTGTTGGTATCATGGCGCCTGATCCAGTCAATATTCTCCAGCAAGACAAGGCAGTTTTGACCTTCTAGAAGCCTGCAAAGAGAAGTGTCGTCTCTAACAACCTCGGGAAAGAGTGAAGAGTTAAGCTCACAGAGCTGGGAGGAAAGCTTGTCTCGCACGAACCCAGATTGTGACAAGTCTGACGGGCTACAGTCAAAGAAATCTAGGGCGATGGACTTTGAGATGAAGCTGGTCGCTTGCCACCACCACCTCAAGTGTCTCACAAGCGTCGCCTTTCCCACGCCAGGGGAACCAGAAAGACAGACTGTGTGGCTCTTGGACAGCAGCTTCTCTATGGCGTGGACGTCATAGTCCCTCCATTCAAGAGCTGGTGGCTGTGCTAACGCGTTGTTTACCTTCACGTGGTTTAAGGTGTCGGCAAATCTGAGTCGGACATCTGTAGGATCTGATTGATACAAGACAGGTAGTATGTGGTCTTCGATGGGCACTCTCCACCCGAACTTGACTTTTCTGATCTGCTTGGTCCGCAAAGCTGCCCGGCCAGATCTGATGGAGTAGAGCACGTCTCGGCCTTCAAGCAGCAAACTCTTGTAGAAGTGATTGAGAAATTCTATCACTGCCTCTGGCGTAATGGAGTATACCATGCCAATGACAGTGCCAACACCACTTTGCACCAAAGTCTTGGCCAAATTAGCATTGGTATGCCGATCTTGGCTCGGGTGAGCACTACGGCAGGCATTGAGGACCACAAACTTGATTCCCACGCGCTTCAGCTCCTCGGCAACTGTGCTACCGCGGATGGGAATACCGGCAAATATGAGGACACTGGCGTCATATCTCAGCACCAGCCGATTTGTCTTTCGTCTAGGGTTCCGGCTTTACCTACCTGTCACCGGTTCGGCTATCAACATTGCCGTGTAAATCGAAGTGCACGAGGTTGTACTTCTTTTGCGCGAGATATTGTTTAAATGACTCAAACGTATCCGGTCGCATGATGTCAATCCAGACGCGCGACCCCGGGATGCCGCTGACAAGGGAATAGAGGGGCATCGATATCAGCCGCGGCTGGATGTCAACGCTCTTTTTCTTCTTCCTGGATGTCACTAGTAAGATATTGAAAGAGTCGGCCGTCTCGATGCTCATAGCGGATTGTCTAGAAGCGGGAGATGAGACATGCCGCACTGCAAGAGACGGGCCATTGGCAAAGACTGGTTTTCGTTCTAATAGTTCCCAGTGCGGATACACATGATGTTCATCCTGCTGGGCTATATCTGTATCGCAATCCTGGATATCTAATGGAATCCACTGCTCTCCTTGCAAGCAAACTCCGCTTTCATTGAGCATCTGCTCAATCTTCAGGCCCTGCTTGAGTTGCTCACAGTGACTATTTAAGATTACCGAAGCATTCATGGACCGGCCGGACATAAATGGATCGTATATGTAGTCTTCTAACGACCATCTCACGTCTTCTTCGTCCTCGATAGAAAGTAGGCTGAGCGAACGAGGCGCCTGATTTATTGGGTTTGCAGATATCGCCGAATTGGAAAAAAGGAGTAACTCCCCTCGTAGCTCACCTGATGCCACACTGTGGGCCTGGAAGACGAGCCGATACTCTCCCTGGTTCATTTTGGCGTCTTGATCAGGAGAGAATGAAGAGTTGTAGTTATATCACACAATAGAGAGACTCTGAAGATAACATCGGGTAGCGTTGGAGCTGAAGCTGTCTTGCAGTGATTGCTTCTATCGGTGGCTGAAGGCTATCGATTATCCTCTCTCTTCAATCTCGTGTATTCGTTTTATACCTAGGTAGGTAAAATTGAAAATTCCAGCTTTTTTTTTTTTTTTTTTTTTTTAGCACATACATAGCTCTTGGCCACGGATACTACGACAACCTCTTTATCAGTGAAAGTTTGTCACAGCCGCGACCGACAAAAGAAGCTGTTCACCAACCACACTAGCATCGCAACCATCACATGAGCTGAAAGAAAGAACTTATCCACAGTGTTAACCAATATTTTGAAAAGCACCGCTATTCTAGCCCCTGCAAATCGCTTCAAACATTCAATTCAGAAGCCCGTGTCTGCGCTCTTCTACCGATAGGATAATCACATCGCAATCTCTGTCTAAATCGAAGACTTGGTGATCCCTATAAGACTAGAGACACAGGGAAATCTTTGGCAGGAAGAGGTTGATCATTGCAGCTCTCAGGTGTATGCACGGCAATACTTTCCACACGCAACGCTAGAAATTCTTAGACTACATGCATGGATTAAGTTTAGGCTCCATTTGGTGGACTCAGCTCGGCTGCAAGAGGGGAACCTTATTATAAGACTGGAATGGATGTGGATAATGTTTACATCATTGAATTCGGGCGGTACTGCATGAATGGTAACATCATCCAAAGGGGTAGATATGTCACCCTGGTGACGGTTAATAAACGAGGCCACATCCTAACAAGCGTGTCGGCTAGATAGGATTGCAAGGAAAGACTCAAAGGGATCTCTAGGGCATACAGGATTTACACCACAAGCAACATGACCAAAAAGCCCTCGTTCCTGCTTCTTGGCATATCTGATCTCATCGATGCCTCTGCAATGCAACAGAGCGGCGGAAATACAGCCACGGTGCTGGATAGTTTCCTTGGGCGGCTCTGTACGAACCCAAACAATCCAACTCAGGACTGGACGCCACTTGACCCTAGCCCCTTTTATGAATTGCCGCCCTCGATAATAGAAGCGAAGAACGCGCAAGAGGTCGTTGATGCCTCGACGAACAACAAAGTTGGTTTCCAGCTGTCGGAGATCGTCAAGGTCGAGGGAAGCTGGGGTGGCGGTTTCAATTTCGACGTGTCGGCCCAAACCATACGGACATTCAAACTGCAGCGCGAATCGCATGTCCTCAAAGCCATGTGGAAGGATCTAAAGGTGCGAAATGAAATTCTCGAGACTCTCGAAGAGCAGTCCAAGCTGTACATGATTGTCGGCTTCAAGACGTGTATCAACGCGGACGCGAAGTGGCTCGCGTCGAAGAACTGGGCCGGCCGCCTCAGCCTCTCTGTCACGGAGATTCTCACGGCGGCGGGCGTGCCCATTCCTCCATGGCTCGAGGTCAAGATAGATGCGGGCTGTGACCGGGACAAGACGTTTGTGCAAATGGCGAGCCTGTTCGGGGAGAGGATAATCGCCGTCCGCTACCGCCAGGTCGCGAGGCGGAACCGTATCCTCCAGTTTATGAGAGGCAAAAATGTACCTGAAATCACTATAGCGAAGCGGGAGGCTACTTCGCTTGATGGACCGATGACTTATGCAGAGGAAGAAGACTCTTCTGACTATGGTGAGGTTTGATATGCTTCGTTCTGGGTGGCGATCAGCTAATCGACGGCAGAATCAGATTCCATAAATTGGGAAGAAGCTTCTAATGATGCTAATTTGTTAAGCACTGACCCTGATGCCAATGATATCCAGCTCGTTCCCTTGGAGACAGTGATTCAGCCTGGCCTCGGTCAAATGATTATCGAGATTTAGACAATGCTACATAGCGACGGGTTCGCTATTTCTGGGTTCTCCATGGTCAAGATGAACTCCATCAGTGGAACATCACAGAGAGAACTAACTAAAAGTATTTTGAGGAACTAAAATTTTATATATTGTAGACAAAGGAATGGGATCGCGCAACTTACTGTAACGTCTGCAACGGTCATACGTTTTCAGGAATTAATACTATTACTGCTGTTATTATTATTATATAATATCCTATCTGAGAACCTTGGCCTGCAATACATTTTTTTTAATTATATCGTTAAAGGGGGGAAACCATATGCCTGAATGGCCGGACGCTGGATAAAAACCTGATGGTCTCAACAACCAGAGTTTGGCAATGCCTGGCACTTCGTAAGATGGCTGATTCAACTTTTACGATTTTATTGAGTCTATTAACCTACGCTTGCTCTCTAGAGCGCCTTGCTTGTGATGAGTGATTAATATCGCTGACCGATTTGATGGCTATTCTATAAGCTGACTAAGATCAGCCAAGACAAATACCTAGAGCCCATAGAGAATATCCTTGTTGAATATTAAAATAGAGTTTATAATGCCATGGGTGCCATTAATAGGCGCCGAAGCATACATGCATACAGCTGTGCCACGAAAAGTTTAATTGTATGATATACTGTCAGAATATTTTCATTTGTTTGATGCTCCAATAGAGACAGGGCTTAGTGAAATAACTGTAGGTCCGCGCCAAGTTAGAGCGCCATCAAAGAACTAGGAGGGACATGCATGTACTCTTTGGCAGCTGCTCTACGCGCATCGTATTTCCCATGTCGCCAGTGACCACACGTATTCTGTCATACAAGTTTGCGAACATGCCATCATTATTCTTAAGACTCCAGATGTAATGATGTGCTGCAATGATGATACGCTTGTTCATCCCTAAAACACCAGCACACAATACCCCAAGTTTACAATCGCGTGGATAAGGTAAATTGTGAATCTTGGGAAAGCCCTGAGGGTGACTCTCATGGTATCCATTATTAGATGCTCCGAACAGCGAATCAGCCCTACACCCCGCAATATTGTTTGATTCAATAAACTCGTGGGGGGGTGAACGCCACATGCACGCTATCTAGTGTCCTTGTGAGCCACATTCCAGGGTCTTGGTCTGCAACAAGTGTTCAGCTCCCCACCCAAGTGGTATTCACGGTGCAGTTTGAGAATTAGGTATCATTGGCCAGTGATAGAGGAAACATTGCTGATCTTCGCTGACAATATCAACTCACCGAGTTCAACATCGAAGGCCAACCTAGCCAAACTTGATGTAACATTAAACATCTCAATAAGGACTGCTCGCCTCTCGACAAGATGGACACTTCAACCGACGACCCTTTGGCCAACCTCTCTGCCGCTGACCGCTTAGCACTACTGCGCGCCGTCATGGCAGAAGACTCTGATTTTGAGGAAGATGAACCTGCGGAAACAACTGACAACGGGACGGGATCTGAGATTCCTTCCCACCAAGCCGCTGTGGCCATGATGGACATGGCAAGACAGTTCACACAAAACGAACCCATCGTTGACGCCGCCGTGTGTGGAGACATATCCCGCCTGGGGCGACTTGTTCAGCAGCCTGGGGTCAACGTCAACGTCAGAGACGGGCTTGGAGAAACAGCACTCTTCGCTGCCGTTTGCCATGACCACCTCGGGGCCGCAGCCCTTCTACTCGAGGCAGGGGCAGATCCCAATATCGAGTGCTCCGTCTCGTGGGCGGCACTTCACGCCGTGAGCCGCAGCGGTAACGCGACAATGGCCGGCCTCTTGCTCGAGTGGAAGGCCAACAGTGAGGTCCGGGACAACAAGGGCTGGGTTCCGCTTCATGTGTCTAGCCTCTACGGAACCAATGGCGTCGCAACCATACTGCTTGACGGAAAGGCGGACTCAAACGCACGGGCAAATGATGGACGGACTCCTCTGCATACTGCAGTGGACTACGGACATGAAGAAGTGATCCGGAATCTGGTTCGGCACGGCGCCGAGCTGGACGCTAAAGACGAGGACGGCCAAACGCCACTTCACATCGCAGCAATGAAGAGGCCGTTTCCTCCCCCCGTATCCCTGCTCTTGGATCTTGGAGCGAATCCCCAGTTAGCAGACGGGAATGGGAACACAGCCCTTCATTTCGCCATCATGGCCGGCCACGATCCCGCCCTAGCTGTTGTCCCTCTGCTCCGAAAAGGGGCCGACCCGAACATGGCCGCTGCTGACGGCTGGACACCACTTCTGTTTGCGATTCAGCAGATGAAGAAGCCAGATGAGTGGCGCGGGGCTGTCCTTGAGGCCCTCGTTGAAGAAAGCCTCACAGATCTAAACCGAGTCTCACCACTCTCCTACGGCAACACCACGCCCCTGGCGCTAGCCATCGAGACCCGATGCAAACGGGCAGTGGAGCTTCTCTTAGCCCATAACGCGGATTTCAAGATTGCGGCAGAGCGAGGCGGACGACTTGTCCACCCGATTGTCCAAGCAGCCGCCTGCCACGGCCCAGAAGAGCCCGAGATCCTCCAGCTCCTCCTCGACGCTGGCGCAGATGCCAAGGAGAAGATGGAGGGCGACATCACGCTGGCGCATATCACCGCCCTCAACGGATCCCCAAACTCTCTACGCCTCCTGCTGCAGCGCGGAGCGGATACCAACGCCGCCGACATGCTCGGCAGGACGCCGCTCCACCTCGCCGCACGCAACAGCCACCCGGAGTGTGTCTCGGCTCTGATCGCACACGGCGCGGACATCGACGCCATGACCGGCGACTAGAGGCCGCCGCGGGGAGAAGGGCAGACGAGTGGCATCGGGGCTGTTGGTGGGATATAGGGGCCGACATGACCGTCAATGCCCGGGCGATGGGACTGCGGTCGCCGCTGGATATCATGCGGGAGAATAGCAGGAGAACCGTTGGGGCGGCAGAGGATCCGTAGCTGCAGAGGCGGAGGGGCTGCCGGAGAGAGATCCAAGAGCTAGCGCTGGATCGGCAGAAGTGGCGGTTTGTGGAGGCACCAAGACAGTTCTCGCAGAGTGTGGATCAAGACACTCACTGGAAGGATCTTGGGATCCCATCCTGATTCCTCTTTTCCTCTGAGGGGATTTTATGTAATAAATCGATTCTGATTCAGACAGAGGTATCGTTATATCAGAGGCCACACAGGAGTCAATCTAACTACATGTAGTCTTGAAAGAAGAGGTGTGTGTGCACAAGGGAACTTGAAGGGATGGTCAAATTAAGCTACTGGAGGAGGCTGAAGACTGGAATCTTGGTGATGAGCGGGGCAGCTGAAGATGACCTAAGGCGTGTAATTTCACCCCTAGATTCCTGCAGGCACCCCCAATATCTAGCCTGGGGAGAGAGGCTTTTGCTCCTCAAGTCATCCTACATCTCTTACCTTAAACTTTCGTCGGTGGCTCTTGACCCAGTTCTATTCAATTTATCATCACCTAATAATGGGAACTCGTGCGAACCTTTCCGGCAAGTAGAGCCTGGGATAACTAGGGACTCGCCCACAATTAAATAGAAAAAAAAAAAACAATCCTCCTTTAACATATCAGAAATGAACAATTATCTCTGACGACCACAAAAGACACTAATTACGATCCTCGCTACGTATCTAGATCGGCCTAGACTCAAATCCCGTTACAAAGGCTCTCATCACTGATATCCGGCCTCAGACTTCTCTTCCAAGTGCGAATCCCACGATTCAGACCGACGAGATCCTTGCACAAGAGGACCTAGATCATTTAGCCACTTTCCTACCATCTCTCGTTGTCAAGAGTTATGAGACTTCCAGTAGCACCACACAACCCCTCAAACTCTCTGAACCCATCTCGAGTTTCCCAGAGATCCAAACAAGTCTCATCCTGCGCTCAACCTCAATAGACAAATGGCGGACCCCCGGTCGATATCTGCTGTAGAAGTATCCGGCCTGACTCTAGAGGAGGTAAAAAAAGTCATCGAGGGGGTGTTCACTGCTGGGCTAGAATCGCCAGCCCCGGAACCTAGACACACCACCCTCAACCACACTGCCCTTTTTGCGGCAGCAGAGGGCGGCGAGCTGGAAACTGTCAAGGTCCTTATCCGTTATGGCGCAAATATGGATGCTCTTTGCGGCAGTGCACCGCATTTTGATACGCCGATGACGGTCGCGAAGAAACGACACAAGTCGGATGTCCTTGCGTTCTTGCTTGAGGCGAGAACGGCCAAAGTTTACAAAGCCCTTGGGCGGCGTGAGGCAATGAGGCTTGAAGCAAAAATCACAGATCTGGAGATAGCTATCGGAGAAAGTCCTATGCTACTTGACGGCCTAGCTCAGAGTGACCCCACAGCTTGTGTTCCTGGAGCTGAGCCAGGGTCCTTCCTACGCCAACTCGTCGAATTCTTCGAAGAATCTATAATTGCGGAACTGGAGTTTAGAGAGCCATCTACTTTAAAGGATGTATATAGGCACAGGAATTTGATTCCTTGTATAACGGATTAAAGAATCCAAAATACAAATCATGCAGAGGCTCGCGGCTCCCTTTGCGGACCAAATTCCCCGCCCTTATCCTAATAGCCTTCGAACACGGGCTTTCTGGCGGCTCTGCAAGCTCATGGCCTGGCTTCCTTCACCTCGATGCTGGCCCATATCATGAGCATGAATCACAAGGACCCGACTGTGAGTCGGACTGCATAGGAATAGCGACGACGGCTGATGTTTGTTCTCTGGATTCTCAACGCGCTTAACTGCGGCGGACAAGCCGATTTGTCTTACTGACCAACCGACAACATCCATCTGAGGCTACCTTACGTCAAGAGGTCATTTTGATGCAAGCTGCCTACCAGTGTGTGTATGTTCTAGGAGTCTCTCAAGCATGGAGAAAACCAAGACTAACAAATTTATGCATAAGTACCTGATCCGCACCCTCCACACACGGCGCATGACCCACGAGTGAGTGTGCTGCAGGCACTGTCCTGTTCATGCTTATACTCCTAACAAGCTAATGCTCCACTGTAAGAAGCCGCTCACGCAAGTGTACGTCCTTGCTATTTCGGGATTTAGCCGCAGACTTTTTGTTGGAGCTGATCAACTTCTCTCGCTCCATGCCCGAAAGCTACTCACCAAATGGGAGAATTCTCTGCCAAAAACTTTCTACGCCGTCCCGCACGAGCTTCAGCATGCTCCCTACATAGGCGACCTATCCGGTCAGTAAACAAGATGAGTCAGAGTTGGCGGTTTGGCGGAGGGAGGGTCTCCAACGCGCTGTGTATGCGTCACCCCTCTTCATCACAATACTGGAAATGGACGATGTGGCCATCACCGACCCAATCCTAACTAGTTGTTCGCTCCTTTGTAAGTATCTTGAAGCAGTCATCTGGCTTCCACACTACGATAAAGTTGGTATATAGGAGCATGTGCCTTTTGCGTGCTCTTGAAGATCATTCGGAGAGCCCGTCTCTAGAAAACGTACGTTATTCTATCCTTTTCCTTCCACGCCATCGTCAGTCTCGGGACACACAGGTGATACTTTCAAAGAAGAAAGGAAGAAAGTTATAGTGATATCTCAAATATTCTTATGTGATAGCGAGGGTAGATATTTAAATCCCTTCGCTACGTGTGTGTGGGCACTGTTTTCATGGTTCATTCATCTTCAATTTCCGTACGGAGTAACAGTTAACAGTGTATATTACACATTTGGACGCTTGCTAGAATTAGGATGTAGAGGTACAAGAGAAAAACAACCCAATGTTTGACCCATATGGCGATGCTAGACACTGATCAAATGTCCTATGTTCAGATGGAAATAGATGACTTTTCGAGTTTTGCAGCACGCCCAATGTTAGGCAACACATATATCCCCCCTATGTTCTATACTCATAACCAGGGACAATCTATGTTGGAATCGTCTCGGTTAGCCTTTACCCATTTCATAGCCAGCCTTTGGAAGAAAGAGAAAAGAGATTCCTTAGGGACGTATCCGCCATATTTGGATTGCCACCAAGAAGCAAAGGTGCCTATTACGAGCAAAATAGGTTATAATCACGCTCACTTAAATAATTCATGGAACTCACCAGTGACTGGGCCCAATTCACCGAATCCTAGAATTTCTAGGACCATTGGCATCAATCTCACAAGCACGCCGAACGCAACAACGGAAAGAAGCACAGACGTTGCGATCTCGATGGGGTGCTCTTTTACGTATTCAAACAAATCTGAGAATGTAATCTCCGCGGCCATACAAGCCTGTTCATATGCTTCAGCCATAGCTGGACCCATTTTCTCACGCCCGTCTCTTAGCACGTCCTCCAACTTCTTCAGGATGTTTTGTGCCAACGATTCGGACCATCCGTTGACCGATACGGCGTCATCGAGTTGCTCTGAAAGGAGAGCTCCTGGCTTGTCTGCACCAAGAAGGATTTCGATGACGGTCTCAGCGGTTTCTTCGATGGTGTAGTGGATAGGAGGATGAAGTGCTGGCTTCTCCGTGATGACGCTGTAAGTGCGATGAAATGAGTCGGACGGCGCGCGGTCACCATCGAAAAGGCAGCAGAGGAAATCCATCTTCTTTTGATTTGTTGATAAAAAAATGTGTAATAATGCAGGAATGGGGTTTTGTGAGAGAAAAGATCAGATTGAAGACTGAATGCAACCTTGGGTGAATTATAGCTGAGAGCATCTACTAGAAGCTGGAATTAGGCAGCCTATAGTTCCTAGCTGAGGCGGCTGTGCAGATGCACTTACCTACGCCACAACACTTTCATAATCGTTAATTAGAAAGAAGAAAAAACGCCTTGGTTAGCGCTATTGCGCGCTAACAACAGGGGATTCTGCAGGTCGCCTTGGAGGCCAGCGGTTATATGTGGGAGGCCTGCAGAGATTAGAATGTGGCTTAAGAAGCCGCCGGAGAGGCCCAGCTGAATACATGCATGACGGGTGGACTAAGAGGATTGTGAATAATGAAAAACTTGAAGTGTTGGTAATTAACTGCCTAGTATAATCACTCAGTTGAGACTTGAGATAGTAATACGTGTATTTATAGGAACGACGTGGCTGATGTGAATATGGCAGCAGATGTTTGTGGGCGCTTAGTTTGGAGAGTTGATAAATGCGGCAAGGCTCTTAGTAAAACAAGATCAAGTTGATTGTTGGTTATGATGATAGCAGAATATAAGTTATCTTGACAACACCTGCGGTGAAGCGGTACCGGGGTCGGTATCGTGTATTAGGTTTTTGAGAAGTACTAGATGCCCGGCCGTCGGCTTGCGCTACTAAAACTGTCTTATAGCTACCCTTCATGTTGAGAGATGCTACGTGTCATAGTTACATTAGGCATGTCTATAGATTCTGTTGTCTTATGACCGTTATATACAGTTAAGCATTTCCATTGACGCTGAGGCAAAACTGGTATACAGCAAATACAAGGGTGGCTGATTTGCCAGATCACAGAAACAGTAACTAATGAGCAACAACGCTTCGGTCTACTCTCCCTTTTTCACGTTGGCAAGAATCTCATCCGCCATCCTTTGACGAACGCGGTGTGGTATCTCATGCCCACAGTCTTCGAGGACGACAAGCGTTGCCCCATCAACATCATCTCTCAGAGCTTCTGCGTGCTTAAGCGGGAAAATCTGGTCTTTTGCGGCGTGAATAATAACGGTTGGGCATCGAATATGCTTGAGCAATTCGCGCGGCCACCTCACGCCAGACGCATCAGAGTGATTATACTTGGTCCACATGGTCCCGCTCTCTTTCTCGCGGTAATATGTGATCTCACAATCCCGTCTCGATTCAGCCTTTTCCTCTTCCGTAGGAGGCCGCGTTGCAAGAGCAAGGTCGAGGCGCATATATGATTCGATCCAGCCTTCGTCATCATCCCGGTCATCTGGAATCTCATATGCCTCGGCCAGCAGCCATTGCCCCTCCAAGTTTACCTGAGGCAAGTCATCACTAGGAAGCTGTTGTCGCCCAACTGGGCTCGTGAAAACAAGGGCTAAACTTCGGACAACACCAGGCAACCGGCTTGCTGTCTGCCATGCGAGAGGCCCGCCCAAGCTGGTGCCGACGAGATGGATACTTTCGAGTTCGAGGTGTTTAATGAGGCCAACGATATCATCGGCCATGGCATCTAGTGTATATACTGATGCACCGTCAGATGGCTTGGTAAAAGACGTTGAACGGCCTGTATCTCGGTGATCAAAGCGAATGATAAAATGTGGATTGTCATAGGGGCTAAGCAGCGCAATGAGCCCGCCTGTTTTCTGTGTCATGGCACTACTGTGCCCTGAGACGAGGAGGATGGCTGGATGCAAGGGGTTCCCGAACACCTGATAGCAGATCCGGCATCCAGAGGGGAGTGATACAAAACGATCCTCAGACATTTCTTAAAACGGCGTCTAAAAGAAATTTATTGTTGTTAGTTGTCGCTTTTGAAACAGTCGTGATGATGCTCTGGTAGGTACCGCGTTTTGTCTGCTAACGCGATTAGCTATTTCGACTCAAAGCCGAATCGCCTGATGCCTAATCGGGAGCGTCTTGTACAGGGATAGAGGCAGTGTGGGGTTCGAGGCTACTGTATACAGGTAGTTGCTAATCCTGTGAGCGGTGTTAATCTGATGCTGGTATTCAATTACCTTGATATATAGATTCTAAGAAGTTCTTTAACTCCTCTCCAACATTGAACATTTTGGTATTTTGGTATCGTAAATGAACACACTTCTTATCTGAAAACAGACAATACTTATTTGTGAGGAGGGCTATATTTTCGTTGGAAGAAGCAAGCCAGTCGGCTGCGTCGGACATCTGCCCACCACATTCACCGAGTGGACGTTGGCGTGTCTCAGCGAATTAATACCTTTGGTATTGTTGAAAGCTATAGACCAATCCTCCTAGAACATTGTAGTGCAATTCAGTAAGATCACTAGTCGGTATTCTAAACTTGACATAACTTATGAGAGCCGGCAAATCAACATAAAATACCCGAGCCTGAGAATAGGAAGTTAGAGGGATCCGAATATGGAGAAATTGTCGGATCTTCTTCTCCCCGTGTCTTCCTTACATTGCTGAGCTACTCTTCGTATTTGTATGTACTTACAATTCGATAGATCTCAAGAGTCGCAGAAAAATCCTAGAAGTCGGAACAGATTATAAAAAAGAAAGAGCAACTCAACCGAGTCCTGCTGGCCCGCTTGGCCATAGCCGTTCTCGGTGATCTCTCCTGTGTGCGACAACCAAGATACCAAACCATCTTCGACCCACATGCATAGCTCAACGGGCGCTACAAGACAGTGCTCAGCTCATTATGCTTACCCTCCCGGTTCTTAATCACGCCTCTTCGACTCGTGTGACGAATAAGGCTTAAGAGTTCGGCATATTTTGCTATGGCCGTACCTATGCAGAAAGAAAAAGGCACATCTTCCTCGAAATCTACCTATACAGTCTAAAACTCTTTCAATTTCACAGCCGCAGATGGTCAGCACTATGAGCAATCATTTCATTGGGCAGGGCATCACCAATAGTCCGTCAAGCAAAAGTTAGATTCGAGTCTAGAGAATTACTAGGTAATAATCACTATAACCCAATGGAGAACAAGGCTGCTTATAGCGTCTGCTTACTCGATGAACTAAAAGCAGCTAATTCCAGATGAAGAGCGTAACAGAGTGATGGCAACATGTATCCATTTGCACTGAGCATCCGGCATTTTCGTATTATTCTTATTCGATTTGTATAAAGTCTGTAGACAGTTTGATCTTAGCAGGCCAACCTTTTGAACTGTAAACTGACATTCTTATATGGTACCTGCTATTCGAGAATCAATATGTCTTCTGCAGCCACTACAGATGCTGGCAGGAAAGCTGTGAGTCGACGTTTTTGTTTTCTGTCTGTCTAATCTGGAAATCTATTCTCATGACTGTAGGCTCTGATCCTCCGCGACAAGCTAGGTGCCGACAAGGTTATTTTGCCCAATGACGCGCATCCAGATCTAGGCAAATATGGTACAGACTTTTATTTCATCGCACAATCGTCGCAGATCGTACCCGCATGCCGTGTTCTCCCAATAAATGTCACGGATGTATCAGAAACTATCAAGATTGTTAGGGAAACTGGAGCTACCTTTGCCGTTAAAGCGGGAGGACATTGCCCATATCCTTCCGGGACCAATGCTGAAAACGGCATTACTATCGATCTAAGCCGTCTGAAGGACATCACGGTCTCTGATAACCGCAAGTCTGTTGCTGTTGGAGCCGGCTGCAGGTTTGGAGAACTCTACCAGAAGCTGGAGGCTCATGGTCTTGGATGTGTTGGTGGCCGAATTTCTAGCGTCGGTGTTAGTGGGCTTACTATGGGAGGTACGAGACTTCAGAACATTCAATTTAAGAGAGTATACACAAGCAAGTGGCTAAACTAAAGATCCACAGGTGGTATTTCTTTCTTTTCCAGCGAAAGAGGGCTTGCTTGCGACAACGTCATCAGCTACGAGGTAAGTTTTACATCCACCATTCGTCAGATATCAAGCCACCGCTCACAGTTCCCCCCGAAGCTTGTTCTTGCCAATGGCGAAGTTCTAAATATCACCAAAAAGTCTCTCCCTGACCTTTTCTGGGGAATGAGAGGAGCCGGTATCACATTTGGCATTGTCACTCGTCTTGAGCTAAAAACATTTGATCTTGGAGAAATATGGGGTGGCGCCAGTGCATTTGCTCATGAACATGAGACTGCTATTTTCGACGCATTTAATAAATTTGTACACACCAATCAAGATCCCCTCGCTGAGGCATTTCTCCTAGTTACTGATATGGCTAGAGATGGTAATAGTGTGTATACTATGGTCATGTCTCACAGCAATCCTCAATCCGAGAACCCCCCGGCTTTTGATGATTTTAAGCGTCTCACTCCCCTTTTCTCATCGACTCAAACGCGCACCTTGAAGAATTTTTGCGACGAGATGGATAGCCAAAATGAATCAGGCTTCAGGTATGTGCGTCCTAGGAGGCTAAAAAAGCAGATTAATGGACTACGAGCTGACCACTCCTCTAGGTACCGGACTACTTCCATGTCTGTGAAATGTCATCTATCAACGCTGAGGCAGATTGCTGCTATCCATGATGAATCTGTGGCTCTTTTGAAGGATTGTGCTGGCTTCGTGCCCTATTTATTGTACCAGCCATTGCTCGAGGCTATGCTTCCAAAAGATGATGTTGGCAATGCCTTGGGAATTAAGCCAGAAGACATGCCTCTTATAGGTATGCCAGAAACGCGATATTTTGTAATTGGATAAGATTTTACTAACAAGTGTTGTAACTAGACATTTCGCTGTTATGGAGGTGGACCGACATTCAACATGATAAGCACATCTCGCAGGTTGCCGATCAGTTTGTGGAAAAGGTTGAGAAGGCCACTCGGGCCAATGGCACATTCCATAGGTACCAATATCTCAACTATGCAGCTGGCCACCAGGATGTATACGGCGGGTATGGAGAAGAGAATAGGAAGCGACTGCTGGAGATCAGTTCAAAGTATGACCCTGATGGGCTGATGCCGAAGCTGCGTCCAGGTATCATCCAATTATCAGGTTCCCAGAAGGTATAAGAAATGTTTTCATAAATTCTAGCTTAAAGACATACACGACCTTGAAAAGCAAAGATATTTCGTGCATCCGAGAAAAGAAAAAAACTAATCCCTTCAATATGCTACGGAATAATGCTAGCCGTTTCGCGCTGTCAAGTTCTCGGTACGACCCGATTTCATGTTCATTAGTAGCTCCCTCGCATACAGCTTGGGCTATAAGCACTACCAAAAATATTGCGAAATCATAATAGAATAACAATTAAAAGAGTTAAAAAAATATATATAAAAAAACATACAACAGCCGGTGTTCGCTGATGGTCACCCACTCAACTACTAATCTGCCGGTTAGTGGCTTGTCTATGGGGGAGCAGACGGGACCCCGAATTCTCCACTACCTATGGTCGTATGTAATGGTTCATGGTAATAGATTGACTTATATCATGCCTCAACAAGCAAAGAGGATTCTTGGTAAATCATTAAACCCAGACTCTTCTTCTTCTTATTCGTTTGCATGTAGCACATAAAAGTATGGTTATAGCAAACTGACAGTTTGTCACCATCCTTTCATAATGTGTTCGTGCCTCCGCTACCGTTCTTCCAGCCAACTATATATCACATCGATGTTTCCAACAGTGAACTCATTGATGTTTAAGCGTTGATCTTCAGTCGCTAATTCGCCGTGTGGTCTCGCTCAGCAGACAGTGAGACCATTTCTGACTTATCCAGCTTCGGTGGCCCTTCACCCTCAGGAAACGGGGCATATTTGTCAATGAGATAATACATATCTTGATAAGCTCTAATATTTGTTAGCTCGGAATTTCTGCAATTTTACAGATAGTATTGATAGATACTCACAGTTGACGCACAGCCTTGCCTGTGCCAAGATGATTGACTGAGTAGATTGTGTTGAAATAAATGCTATACAGACGATTTCGGTCTTCCCATTCATCTTTTGGCTCACTTGGGCCACGATGCCGAAGATATGTTCTAGTGTATACTCTATTGCTGATTTTGTTATAATAGCAGCGCCAGTCTCCCACCTCCATCTCATGATGGGCATAAAACGCGGCGGCGTCGAAGATGTAGATATTATTATCCTCGAAAGAGGTACCACTGTTACCCTCCCATAGATCTCCATGGATGAGGCTAGGCTTAATCTTCCTGCCGTCCTTTACCAAAGCATCTAGGAGTCGAGGGATAACATGTGCAATTAATTGCTTTTCTACTCGATCCAGCTCCTCCCAATATCCATTGTACTCGAAATCCATGTCGATCACGTGTTTAAGAAGTTGAGTGAAGAATACGGTCCAATTTGACTCCCAAGTTAGCGACTGTGGGATACGACCTTGGCAAGTAGTAATATGAAAGCCGAATTGGCCGGTCGGAGATTGACTCTCTCGGTGAAGACGAGCAAGCTTCGTACACAGCTGGTTTGGATCTGGCATCATATCGTTCATGTCAATATATTGAGATAAGAAAAAGTAAGCTTCGGGCTTTTTGAGCGCGTATTCCCCCCAACTATGTGGTTTTGGGACCAGATCCGGTGCCCATTTGTAAATCTCAGACATCGCGTTAAACTCTCCCTCCATAAGAGTCCGACCATGATCCTCTGGAGCTGACTTGAGGAAGTATCTTTCCTCAGAACCATCTGGCAGTTTAAGATGTAGCCGGGCTGTCACCGTCCACGCAGAAGTACCAAAGCTGTCCGCAGACAGGACTGTTGTTCCGTCTGGGAATTTGGCAAGGACATTGTCGTCAACACGAAAATTTCCATTATATGGTTGAGATATTGCACGAGAGCTCTCAATAAGAGACGGAAGCCCACGATCCATATTTATTTTAAAGAATAGGCAATACAGTACGAATTACACGTCAGAAAGAGGAGTAAACTCTGAATTTCTGGAGATCTAGATGAGAGTGTGGTGCCGGATTATATCCCTCAGACCCGTCTAAAGCAACTTGTTGCGCAAGGATTCATTCGTATAATGGCTGTATAATGGTTGCATGGCTCTTACGGCCGTCATGTGATACAAGACCAATAACGAGCAGCTTTGAAATTACAGGCTCATCCTCGTCACCTTGTGGCGGCTCAGATCCTTGCTGGGGTGGGAGGAGCTGGAGAAGTTGTCCTATAGCCGAACCAGTTGATCCTCCTAATTTATTGCCCCGCCCGGTTCATATACCCAAATGGGCTTGTGAGACTCCCAGCCTCGTCTACTTGGTTGCCTATTATTAGCCAACAGCTTAGAAGGCGAACCAGAGACCATCTTGAGCCGACCAGGATGCAGTTGGTTAGGAGCTGGCGGCTCAAGGCGCGGGAGGAGGGCGGGCCGGCGCGAGGCCTGTGCTATGTCTGAACTCGTCGCCTCATTTTCTTCCTTGGCGGTATTCGTCGCATTCCTCCTACATGACCCAAAAAGCATATCGCGGGCGTTCAGCGCATGTTTGGCTGGGGCTCTTATATGTCAGCGATACGCTGTAACGGTAATCCACAACGTCTTGCGGGGGTGAATAATCTCCACCTGCATACCGCCAAACCCCTCTCAACACGGCCGAAATGGTGAGTTTAATTCATAATTGTCTGTTTCTAACGATAGTTGCTTACGATCACGGCTAGTTCAAGCGCTTTCGCCAGAACAAGGCGCAGTCGAAACCTGGAACTGAGAGAAAGTCGAGCGACGCTTCCATCCCCTCTCAAACGATACCGAATTTCAGCATCGACGGCAAATCTGTCGCCTATTCAGCTGCTTCCACTGAGCTGCAGAGCTCCTCGAATCTTCATCCTCGCCGTCAATCGCCGGCACCGGCACCGGCGGGCCTGGGTCTTCGAGTTCTTCATCAGCCCGAGTTTGCAGCCTTAGATATCATATTTGTTCATGGTCTCGGTGGCCATAGCCAAAAGACTTGGACAAAGAATCATGATCCGTCTCTCTTTTGGCCTGAGATATGGCTCCCTTTCGAGCCAGATGTCGGAAAGGCACGCATTTTGACTTTTGGATATGATGCAAACTGGCGCGGTGGAGCTGGCATTTCCAACATTACGGATTTCGCCAAAGAACTCTTATATGAGATGCGCTTCTCCAAAGACGCCTCTGGAGAAGATATAGCTATCGGAAAGAATCCTATAATCTTTGTTGTCCATAGCATGGGTGGCTTGGTGGTTAAGAAAGCCTATCTTCTTGGCCTGTACGACGATAATTACAAGGAAATTACGAATTCGATATCTGCCATTATCTTCTTGTCGACACCTCACCGCGGCACGAATCTCGCCGAGACTCTGAATCGGGTATTAGCGGCATCATTTCAATCTTCCAAACATTTCATCTCAGATCTAAACAAAAATTCTACCGCAATAGAAGAACTGAATGAGCAATTTCGTCATCTAGCACCCAGATTGTCTATTTGGTCCTTCTACGAAACCATGGCAACTGCCATTGGTCCCAAGAAACTTATGGTGTTGGAGAAAGATTCTTCCGTACTAGGGTATCCAGCCGAGATCTCGAGGCCACTACAAGCTGACCATCACGACGTTTGCAAATACTCAAGTCCAGTTGACTCCAATTACCTCAGTGTCAGGAACGCTCTCAAATCCCTTATTACCCTGTTCCGCACTAAGGCATTTCGAGAAGAAGACAAAATCGAGTCAGAAAATACTACAAACATTCTTGAATTGTTCCACAACTGTCATACCTCTGAGGACGATTACAATAGACTTTGCCGGGACCGAATTCCGGATACTTGTGCATGGTTTTTCCAAGAGTTAGAGGTTGAAACTTGGATGAAATCATCCACTGAATCACGCATACTTTGGTACAGTGCCCCTCCAGCCACTGGCAAGTCTATCCTTGGTGCATTTATCATCAGTCACCTAAAAGATTTGGGCCTTAAGTGCCAATATTTTCTATTTAATTATTCTGAACAACGTAAACGGTCCATTGCTGGGAGCTTGAAAGCTCTAGCTTTGCAGCTCGCCAAAGACCTTCCGGAATTTAGGAAAGCGCTAAACGGTTCGTCAACAACAAGTCTAGGACTCGAGTCTACAGATGCCCTGCTAATATGGCGAAATACATTCGAGAAGTTACTGTTCGAAACTGGACGCACTGAGCCTGTTTACTGGGTTTTTGATGCTTTAGACGAAGCTGACTCGCCAAAGTCCTTCCTAGAGTGTCTCAAAGGCATAGCAGGAGCCAAGATTCCAGTGAGGATTCTGGTTCTCAGCAGAAGCTCAAATGCTATTTCCGTGGGATTTGATCGTCTCTCTCGTGCTGATATCAACGTCACCAGAATGGAAAATCCGGGCCAGCTTCACAATAAACGAGATATCGCACTCTTGGTAGAAGAAGAAATCAGCCATCTAGGTGGAAGTGATCTCTTTAGACAGCACTTGATTCAAAACATTATGTCGCGTGCTGAGGGGAATTTTCTGTGGACAAAGCTAGTGCTCGAGGAGATTTTGGGGTGCCACACTGAGGAAAGCATTGAAGAGGTTCTACAGGAAATCCCAGACGACATGATCAGTCTGTACCAACGGATGGAACGCATACTTGTTGATTCAACACGAAAGTCGAATAAGCCGCTGATCAAAACTCTGCTTGAATGGACAATATGTGCCCAGCGATCTCTCAGTATTCAAGAACTCTCACAGGCACTGCAGCCAGATTTTTCGGGTCTCTTCGATCTCAAGAGAACGATTCAAGAGTCATGCGGGCAGTTCCTACATGTCAACGATAAAGGCAAGGTAACCATATTACACCATACCGCACGAGAATATTTCACAGGTACTTTGGATAGCCAATTCCACATTGACGTTCGCCAAACACACAGGAAGCTATTTGTTCGAGCTTTGATTCAGCTTGAGCAGGCTGATCTTCGATGGCGGTTGATGCAAAGTCAGCATACGCTTCAAGCTAGCGAGCCGTTTGTCTTTTATGCGGCACTCAATTGGTCATATCATCTAACTCAGAGCCACTCCATTTCATCAGGAGACTTGGACCATCTTGTGAGATTTTTCCAGAGTCCCGCAGTCCTCGTCTGGGTTCATGCTTTAGCGCTTCTCAGGCGGCTGGAAGTCCTGGTACGGACATCAAAGGCTTTGGCATTGTTTGTTCATCGGACGCGAAAAGAGGATGTGTCAAGAAACCCCATGCTTCATCGGTTGTCAGATCTTGCGTTGATTGATGATTGGATTGTTGACCTCGTCAAACTCGTTGGGAAGTTCGGCCCAACGCTTGTCACGGAGCCCGGCGTAATATACGACATCGTTCCAGCGTTCTGTCCACCTAAATCAGTGATATATCGTCAGTACCATGATGCTAGTTCAGCCAAGATTACGCTATTCGGCAGCAGGGACGTCCCTTGGAACGATAACCTTGGTAGACTTGTACTCCCGAGTGATGCTCAAGCTTGGAAACTTGCTTGTGCCGGCAATCATATCGCAGTACTTGCTTCCACAGGTGCAGTTTATATATGGGACTCTTCCAACTTTACAGAAATAGGTAAAATCTCTCATGGTGAGCCTGTAACAGCCATGGCCTTGAACGATAATGGCCAAAAGCTTGCTACATATGGACTCAGAACTGCGAAAACATGGTTGGTTACTGGAAGAAAACTGCTCTCATCGATACAGAATCCTTCAAATACGAAGGCCATGGCAATAACATTCGCTGAGAATGATCGCAAACTGTTGGTCGGAGGCGACGATAATATTATAAGATATATACGGTGCGATAACACGGATACAGGGTGGCAGATATTAAATCCAGCCCTCCTCAAGGAAACAGGAAGGGCTGACGGTGCTATTGTTAGCTCTCCAATGTGCGTCTCATTCAATGGGGACAGAACTTTGGTTGGCGTCTCGTATAGAGGAGCGCCACTGTCAGTTTGGAGACTCGCAGATGGGCGGTGCCTTAGCAAATGTAAGAGGGCTAAGGATCTTCACAGCGATCAACATCGAGCTTCATCAACTTGGTTCGCCGTCGATAGATTTACATGGAATCCCATCACGAATCATGTCCTAGGCATTTACAAAAACGGATGCATCTTCAAATGGCACCCACTTACAGATGAGAACGTAGAAGCTCGGGTTAGTGCGGATGAGATTGCAGCAAGTCCCAATGGCAGAGTATTCGCGACCAGCAGCAGTAACGGCTCAGTTCGCATCTGGAATTTTGCATTTTTTACCGTAATTTACCACCTTTCCTCTGAGGATCTTGTCACTGGTTTGACATTCAGTCCCGATAGTGGTCGGTTCTATGATCTCCGCGGTAGCTCCATCAATGCCTGGGAATCAAACACCTTAACACGCTTTTTGGAAAGTGAAGAAAGTATAAGTGATACGAACAGTGAAGATCAATCCTTCGCAGTTCTTTCGAGACATTCTGAGTCGCAGATCAAACACTTCGAACCCGTTACAGCACTGGCCCCAGAACCCAATGGGTCATCGTATTGTGTGGGCTATGAAGATGGGACCATTGTGCAGTTTCAAAGGGGCGCAACTGAAGGAGTTGAATTTGCTCAGTTTCACAATTTTCTCAATGTCTCTCACATTAAATGGAGTGCAGATGGAAAATACGTTGCTATGGCCGACTTAGCTGGTGATATCCAGGTGAAGTCGCTGCATCGGGAGGCCAAAAGGAAGCTAAAGATATTGCCACTTCCTTCTCCACGAATTGACCTTGAAGGCAACAACATTGAGGAAATCATTTTCAGCCTCGATAGCGCACTGCTTTTTGTCTCTACACGAAAGAAGAGCTTTGTTTGCAGTATCAAGGATGGTACAGTGCTGTGTTCGTCAGCCGTTGACGCGGCAATCTTTCGCCGTTGGTTGCCTCATCCTACAAAGCCAAACTTAATTCTCGCATTTGGACCTGCCAATGTACTTACCCAAACGTGGGATAAGCTTGAATACCTAAGGTCTTCAAGTTATAGTCAGTTACAAGAGTTGGGGCCAGGAAAATCCAGTGACACAACGGAGGTTCCAACGATGAGAAATTCAGCTCAATTAACGTATGACATCGAGTCAGTGGTTTCCAGAGTTATATTGACGCAAGACGCTAAGCATGTTCTCGTAAACGTCAAAACTGTTACCTATGATAGGAAAACTAATCATCAGACATTCATCTTCCCTGTCGATGTCTTGGAGAAGGACGAATCTAACAGCGGGCTCTCTTCATCTTTGCCCTATTTTCATATCCCTGCCAGTATCTCTTCTCATGTCAAGGTACCATTGGGTGTTTTACCAGGATTAAAGTTTATTTTTCTGGATCATGACCTCTGGCTTTGCGGCTGCCACCTTGAATCGATGTCCCATAGCGACACCGTAGAGTCGTATGATCGATTCTATTTTATCCCACGCGATTGGGTAGGAAGCACCAGCATTGATAAATGTCGACTAACAGAAGATGGTACGCTGTTTTGGCCCAAGGACGATCATGTTGTGCTGATCATGAGCAATCTTGATGAAATAAGGTTGAATTATCTGCATTGATACTAGTACCTCCTTTAAGTATAGAAATTTTTTGGCTTCTATAAATGGGTAACACTAGGTTGCACAAAAGCTAACAAACACTTAGAGCGCTCGATTTATTTAAGTTTAATAGTATCTGTGAATATTAAGCGACACTCATGATGTTTCGATCCTCTAAAGGCAGTGTTGTAGACTAGGGACTAGATAGACAGCCCACGCAAAGCGTTCCACCTGCAAAACTTTGCAACAAATTGCCACAATACAATCGCCGTTTAAATGCATGTTGGACGCATGTAACGAATAAAAAGAATATGTCAATCCCCGTCATCACTTGGTTACCCCGCAAGTTGCAGGGTGCATGTATTGTGCTCAGACCAGGTACACGTTGTTGACTTTCGACTCTTTTCACGAGGAGGGCGCTCACAAATCTTTGACATAGGAATACACAGTCCTTATACTGCCCTACAAAACATGGTTACAGAAATATCTTCTCGTGAAAAAGGCCCAGCTCCTATTATTGATGACAAAACAGCGTCCATTAGCAACAGGGAGTCGTTACCGGCAACTGCACAGCCGGCGTACACCGTATTCTCCAAGGCCCAGCTAAGACAACTGCAATTACTTCTCGGTATCGCAACAATCACGTCACCTCTGACGGCCACGATATATTTTCCCCTGCTACCTCTTTTACGTGCCCAGTTTCATACCTCAACGCAAGCCATCAACCTGACTTTGACACTCTACATCATCTTTCAGGCAATCTCACCAGTTCTTTTTGGGCCGTTATCGGATTCTTATGGCCGAAGGCCCTTCTTTTTGCTAACGCTTGGGCTTTATGTTGTGGGAAATATTGGCCTTGCAGCCAACAAGGACAAATATACTGTTCTCCTAGTGTTGCGAGCGATCCAGAGCTTAGGTGCCAGTGCTGCCTATGCCATCAGCTTTGGCGTCGTTGCGGATGTCTGCGAATCTAGCGAGAGAGGGCGTATGCTGGGCCCTATCAGTATGGCCCTCAACCTTGGGGCATGCATTGGTCCCGTAGTTGGCGGCGTTGTGGCCTATACCAGCGGCAGCTACGTGTGGGTGTTTTGGGCTCTCGTCATTGTTGGTGTGATCCTTTTCTGTGGAGTGGGATTTTTACTCCCAGAAACGGCCAGAAGTCTAGTTGGCAATGGACGCGATCCTTCACGGTTCAACTGGTGGCAACTCAGCTGGTTGGGCCTTGTTAGGCGCCAATTCAAAGGATTATCGAATAAAAGTGAGCTAGAAGCAACTGCTACAGCCACTAAAGCACCAAAGACAGTCGTCCGGGCTTATGGGCTTGGCAATCTCTTTGCCTGTCTTCGCATCATATTTTATAGGGATACGTTCCTGGCGCTCTGGATTCACGGATCTTTCTACACAGTAGACTATTCGTTTGTAGCTGCCGTGCCAGATATATTTAAGGATATATACGGCTTCAATGACTTGGAGCTTGGATTGGCATATCTACCGCGAGGCGTAGGTATCATTATAGGTAGCTATTGCACAGGGAAGATGATGGATGCCAACTACCACGCCATCACACGGGCCACAGGCCGGACCGATGAGCGCGTAACAGGCGACGACCTGCTGAGTTTTCCAATTGAGCTTGCCAGAACGCGCTTCAGCTTCCATCTCCTAGCCATCTCGACAGCAACAATAATTGGATATGGGTGGGCGGTCGATCGTGGTGCTCCAGTTGCTGTGCCACTCGTTCTCCAGTTCATCCAAGGCTTCTGGGGAACGGCGTTTTACACAACTTATGGAGCTCTTCTTGTGGACGGATTCCCACATAGCCCCAGCACGGCGGCTGCGGCAACAAGCGTCACTCGGTGTGCCATGGCCGCGGCCGGAGTGGCGGTGCTTCAGCCGTTGCTCACGACAGCTGGCCGAGGGTGGTATTTCACCACTTTGGGGCTGTGGAGCGGCGGATTTGGAGTCTTGGCTGTGATGCTGCTGCGGTGGAGAGGAATGAAGTGGCGTCAATCGAGAAATGGGATTAGGCCCGAGATTCAATCAGTATAAGATGGAATACATGAGTTAAACATTTGCATCCAAATAGTAATTACATATATGGTCAATCAAAATATTGTCCTCCTTTAAGCATCTCTTCGGCGAACTTAAAGCCTGCAGACACTGCTTCTGGAACACCATATCCTTTAGCTAGGTATGCCGTAATCGCCGCTATGACATAGTTACTTTTAATTCTCTGATATATAATACACCCATTACTTACGAGGGATGGAATAGCTTGCTCCAAATAACCTTTTCGGATTTTCAAAGCGGGAAGCCACTATTAGAGGCTCTGCATCCCCGCATAAAACGAAATGCAGTGTCGTCGTCCCATCACCCTCGTCGAAGATCTCTCTTTTTATAATCACGTATTTGGGTCCTAAACTTCGTAAGGTATTTGCCATCGATATTACATCTTGAATACTTTTTGGGTAATCGATTAAGATGCCAGCTTCGTCTAACAGTGCCTTGACTTCAGGAACTGTTGCAGAAAGGATATTTATAAATGGCAGTATATCCTTCCTGAGTGCTGTGATTTCTTCAGGCTTAGGCGTAGGGCTTGCTTTGAAGAAAGGCTCGACGTCTATGACTGACATCAATTGCTTGTTTTGCTGCAAGGTACTGGACACAATTTGAATTGATTTCTCGGAAATCAAGGCACCTATACACGATGAACATTAGATTTGAAGTGCTTTATATAGAAACGGTTTCTACTAACCAATCTTTATCGCTTTGCAGTCTATTTCGCGAATGGCAAGATCAATTTCATCTTCAGGGATCAAACATGCTGCTGGAAGATTTTCTACATGGGTTTCTCCATTTCGTATAGCTGAACCAGTGGAGACTGCTCTCATGGGGATGCCTTGTGCTGCGATTGCCCTTTCATCGGCTTTCAAACCACTCGTGTTGTTGTTAGCTTTAAAGTATAGCGAACACTGTGTAGAGTCATACGAGTTTGCCAACTTATCTGAGCACCCAAAAACAAGTATACATTCATGCTGCATGATGTATTTCGTTATATTGTAAAGGTTACACGTAGTGCTTACTATGTGCCCAAGTAAACTATAATCATAGAACCGTTATGATAAGTTGTAAAGATAGTATGCGAGCATAGGAGATAACATTGGAGTGATCTATCAAAGCATTTCAGAGAAGAAAGTGCTGCGAGCGTCTCAAGTTTTATAGGGTAAACGAGATCCAACGTTGGCCAAAGACAATGTTGCGGGGATGGAGTGTGGCGCTGTAAAGAACGTACCTGTTTCGGATATAGGGTATAGGCTACGCGATGTAACAGTATGGCATGGGGCTAGTCTAAGTTTATCACACTGGGTAGCCCAAATTGACCTTTCGAGTCGCTATGAGAGGAACTTTGAACCAACGCGCAGTAGCTTGAGATCCGTCAATCGCCATATCGCCATATCGCTTGCGGCGGCAACTTGGAATATTTTTCTGGTGTCTTAGAATCTCAAAAGGAGCCGAGTGCTATGTAGGACTTGAATAGAACTTTGCTTTTTGTAAGAAAGAAATTGCCCTGATAGTTGGCGGCGGGATTCTTGCGACGCCTTGTTTGTAAGCCAAGTAAATGCAAATAACAAATTGATTGACCATATAATTAGACCATAGGTTAAGTTAAGCTCAGGAAAATAAATTTACAATGCTTCTTTTCTGAAGAAAGTTTGGTCGACTTTCTTGCATTTAGAGCCTAGATATGTGAACTAACAGCAGTGGAGGTCTTCATTATAAGCGGACTATGGAGGCTGTAGCTGCGTTTTCGTTCGTGAAGAGAAAGCGGCGCATAGGATGCAGATTGTTTCAAAACGTGCACGAGGGAAAAATTCTCTAAACATAAACCCAATCTTGTATATATATAATTAGTCTTTTTACAGGCATTCAATTCCTGGTAGAAATGCATCATACATGTCCCTGCTGACTTGTGAGAGCGGTGGAGGCATTTGAAGGCGCTAGTAGGGACGTGGTGTGAGTTAGCCGTGTCAAGCCGCTCTTGTAGCTGGGAACTGTGAATGCGTGACTCATCGGCCAGATGATTCCACATACAAGTTCAAACATCTGCTATGTAGAGACGCCTTGAATCAATAAAAATTGCTCAATTAAAACGCCTTAGTCTTGATAACAAGGTAGAAAGCGTAACCTATGCCCAAAATCACACAATAGGTATCTGTACAAGTAGCCAGGCGCAGCGCTATGTTCAATTGTATCTGGCTGGTGACTCGATCCTATTTGGAATCCTCTTGATATGTCCCACTCATAGATTCTGCTCCCCATAACTCTATACCACTATCTTCCGCCATAAATTAAAACCGGATTGGCTACTCAATGGCCTCTTGTATCACAGACCGGCTCATAAACAACTCTGCAAGTCTTCAGATTTCCTAAAACTATCATCCCACAATGACTTCCTCAATCCTTCCTTTGAACGGCAGACTCGTCGACATCGGCAGTCATTCTTTGGCCCTCTACTCTCACGGTCCAGAGCCCAGCAGCTCCAAAGATCCTGTCGTACTCTTCGTCTCGGGCGTAGCAAGCGATGCCCTCAACTGGCAAGCCGTGGTGAGGCTGCTTCCTCCCTCGCTGCGAAGCTACACTTACGATCGTTCGGGTTATCGTAACTCACAATCTTCGCCGCTCGTTCCCTCAGCTGAGAACATTGCTCTGGAGCTCTCCCTTTTGATTGAAAAAGCTCCCATTCCGAATCCTCTGATCATCGTTGGACATTCCTGGGCCGGTGTGCTCATTCATGAGTTCATTGCCCTGAAAGGAACTAGCCAGATCGCTGGTCTAGTCCTTGTTGACGCCAACCATGAGACTGCTCCTCTGGTAATCAACGTAGATGATCCAATTCTGTGGAATGCTATAGCCGCGGATGTTGAGCCATATGCTGCCTGGGGTGTTGAAGCGGAGCATCAATTGACACAAGAAGAGTGGGATGCGTTTAAAGCGGCAGAATCGACTGAAAAGTACAAGCTGATTGCACAGAAGGAGGATGTAGAGCAGTACCTGCCAAGTTTTGCGACGTTGCGAAAGAAGAAACTGAGTGAAAAACAGCCATTGGTTGGGGATAAACCAGTTTATGTAATTGGAGGCACGCGAAGCAGAGATTGGAATGGACTATACAAGGCGGGCGTTGCGAAAGGGAATGGAACAGAGGACCAGAGGAGCTACGTTAGAGAGATGATCAGGACAGTCGATGAGAAAAGCAAGGGTCTCATGGAGAAATTTCTAAAACTCTCTACCAGAAGCGAGCTTGTATTTGCCACCGAGAGTGGTCACTTTGTCCAGATGACCCAGCCGGACATTGTTGTCAATGGAGTAAATTGGGTCTTGGATAACCTACCAGCGTCTTCTTAGCTACGAAAATTCACACTATCAGCTTTAATGTTTATTTTAGAGTCAAATAAGGTTCATAAGGAGCGATTATGTATTTTTCTATAATAAAGAGCAGTTATGCGTATATTGTAGATTGTTATGCTGAATTGTTTGCAAGCGGCGTCTTGTTTCGCGATGCTAATGGCTATGTAACACCCATATATTTGATTAAGCGATGGACGCATGTATTATCTCAACAGATATTTACCCAATAAGAGCGGTTCGGCAGCCCTAATAGGCACCAAGGAAACAAACTGCTGGGGAAACGTCAAGGCTGATGTATATAACTGGGCGAGAGATAGAATCTAACCTTCTATTACCTCTTTAGTTACTGTAACACCATAGTTTCTTTCAAAATATTAACTTAACAAGAACCAAATTGAATTAGTCTAAGATCAACGATAAATTGAATATGTGCAAGGCGCTACCCTTGCAATTTCACCCAATGCTCCTTGAAGATGACGCACTGACACTGGGGAAACTTCCGGGATACGATTACTAGTGCGCATTAAGCGTTGAAGTATGTACCTGTAGATATGGCGTCTATAGCACTATGTAGGTAAATTTGCTGTTGATACTTGATTAGGATCAATGTGGAGCTATAGGCTCTTGTACGTGCAGGCGGACTGAAATTATTGCTTTTACATGAGCTATATCTAAGCAGCCCTCTAATACCTAATACACGCCGTCAGCAACAAAGACGGCACAACGTCCGTGCTGAAAAGCAGCTGGGCCAGCTATAGTACAAATTGCTAGACAATTTTGTTAGCTAGCATCTTTTCTCAACAGTCTCTTTTCTTGTAATTTAACTTGTAATTTAACACGGGCAACTGGGATAAGATAACTGGAAACTGGCATTGCCTACTTCGAAACTATTCTCTCTTGAGGTCCACAAGTAGTTATCACTAAAATATCACAAAAGCGTCCAGGTAATTGCTGCCTTTCTTGGATTTGCAAAATAATCTTTCCAATCATTCAGGATGTTCTCAAATGTTAGGCTGTAATGATTGTGTAATTAAGCAATCTATCGTCATAGCTCAACAAGTAGTTACGATACGCAATAAAAATATATATAAGAAAACAAGATGCTAGTATAATTCTCTTTTTATATTATTCCGGCCCCTGTGCCCAAATTACATACTGCTTTACCGCGGTTCGATAAGTCTCCATATCTTGGTCGAACCGGCTAGGTAGTGAACTCCAATCTCCTTGGGACATATCTAGATTAGACGGGCTACGGGTGGAAACACTTAACGGATATTAGTATTGTCGGAGAATAGTATACTTGCCTAGTCATTGAATACATATTGTTCAAAGCTGCTCGCATGCTTTTTCGCCCACGAATGTCCATTTCACGATTATTTTGAAATTTACCAATTACAATGTCCAAGGCGTGGATATTGGTGTTAATGAACCCAATATTTTTAAGTTGTGACAGTATAACGTTTCTGGGGTTTGGACACTTCATAAAAAAAATTCGCAATTTGATGGAGCATTGTAAAAGCCGAAGGGCTGTCGACGGCGCTGACTCTGGCCCGCGTGTGTCGTTTTTCCATCGTCTTCGTCTCTGGCGAGTATCGCAATCACGGCGCCAAGGAGATGCACACGTACTTGTCCCGAGATGGAATCCCTCCAGAGTCATTCCGATCAATCGCACGGCAGCAGATTGAAGAGAAAAACTCGGGCCAAGTCTCGTTCAAGGCTGCAAAGATTGTTACAGTCTCCAATACCGAGATTCTCCCCGGATACAAGTGCTTCCAAGCAGTTGATAGTGCAAATAATGCCTATCTAGGGCGCAAGTTGGTGCTCGCTACTGGAGCTGAAGATGTAATTCCGACGGATATCGAGGGCTACGCAGAGAATTGGCCCCATCATATGCAAGTTGACTGTTCTCCAACAAGAACAAGCATACATACAGTGGCCAGAGCACTGCTAACTTTTATCTGCAGCTACCAATGCCCCTTTTGCGACGGCTACGAACAAAAAGATTACCCCATTGGCATGTTGACGTTTCCAAATCCCTCCTACGCTCACTTTGCCCTGATGACGCTGCCTTTCAACAAGGACTTTACAATCTACAGCAACGGGCCAGTTCCTCAAGACGAGCCCACCCAGAACGCCCTGAAAAAGGTGCTGGCAAGTGGCGTCAAGCTAGACCAGCGAAAAGTCCTTCGCCTTGTCAATAATGGCGAAGGCCCCGAAAGCGGAATCACAATCGAGTTTGACAGAGGCTCTCCGGCGAAGCTAGGCATGCTTCTCCATCGCCCTCCAACCAAGAGCCGAGGTCAGCCCTTGATTGATCAGCTGGGGCTCGAAGCGAAGCCGAATGGGGATGTGGTGACTGATCCGATGATACTGCGCACCAACGTGCTGGGATGCTTTGCCGCGGGCGATACGTAGGAATCGATTAAACAAGCTCTGATGGCGAGTAGCAACGGTGAGTTGTTTTGAACTGATCTATGTCGATTTCACTATTGTCTGTTCTGACAGCATTGTAGGACTTCGCGTTGGTGCCTCTATTGCATATCAGCTTGCCGATGAGGAAGGAAGCCGAGCACTGGAGATGTTGGAGGAACGGGAGGCCAACTTGTAACACCCTCGTATCATCTCAGGCATCAAGTAGCGGGTATGGAAATGCCCTTGATGATGGACGTTGTGGAATTACAGCAAGCTCGTTTCTATCGGTTCAGTGCTATTCGGTATCCATTATAGATATAATCTTGATTCATCCGATTTTCACTCTTACGCCGTGTCAGGAAGTAGCTGGAGCACCATTTGTAGTCTCTCTATTTGTGACGTAGATACAATTTTTGACTGTTCTTTTAATGATGGTGTTGTGATCATATGTATCGATGTCGCTAAGTCTCGAAGCATCTCAGCTCTAGGCAGCCTTAAGATCCTAATGGCCCTGCAAGTACAAGCCCAGAGAGCAGCGGGGGCTGAAAATATGGGGTAGAGGGCGCTTAGCGTCAGGTACCCGCACAGAGCCTCGATGTTCCATGCAAAGGGCCACCACGGACGATCTACAAGAATTCAGCGCAGACGGAATTGCGTGCACCAGATGCAGCTCAACTGACTATTGTCTACAAATTTGTTTTGTTTCCTACCCGTCACAGCCACGCGGAGAGCATCGCATCTGCATCCTCTCCTCTCACGGCAGGATCCGCAGCAGAGTCCAGCTGAGATGCACCATCCCAGCGCTAAGACTGATCCAGGTGGGCAGCTGAGGCGGCTGAGCTGAGCAGAAACGAGACTAGCAGCCAATTTAACATCGTTGCTTCGCCTCTCTTCAACGCTCGATTCAACGTTCTGCCGCTGTTTGCGGGCAAAGACGTGCTCCTGCATCTCTTGCTCTGTCGCGGTGCAGGCCCCAGAGCCACCATGTCGGACAATGGCACGTCAGCGACTGATATCATCACCTATATCGGGGTGCCGTTGGCGGTTCTTGGAGGTAAAGTCGTCACGGCGGTGAAACGTTGTGACAGCCACCTAACAGTCAAGCAGTTCTGCCCATTCTATACAACACATTTGCAACTCTAGCCTCGCTTTCGCGCATAAAGCGCATGCTTCGGCGCAGCCGGCTGACCGCGCTGACACGCAGCGATGTCGTCAATCGCGTTATTGAGATTGAGCTGCCGCGGTATGCCGTGATGCCGCTGGACCGGTTCCAGAACAGGTCCGAGTACTGGACCCTTTCGCGCCATCCCAGCTCTATTCCCGGCGGCAGCTGGACCACCTTCAACTGGAGGACCAACGCCATAGGCGTCAAGACCCAGCGCGTTGAGTATGCCGATCAAGTGCGCCAACCCCAGGTCGAGATTGCCTTTGACGAGCTGGTGTCGTATCTGCTGGATCTAGGTGCTGTGCCAGATCCCCAAGGCTGGAAATTGCTGAGATCCACAGGGCTGTGGACACCTGTGGGCTGCTCCCTGATGATGTCTCCCGATGGAAGGCAAAAGGCCCTTACGATAGCCCCGTTGGATGATTCGGATGGGTATTTGTCTCTCGCCGTGGCCTGGTCTAGCTCATGGATCACACGCGATCACGCCCATCTACCGCCATATTGGGTTCGCTTACCATCGCCGGCAGGAAAGTCAACAGAGCCAGGGTCTACCGTCGGTGGCTCTCAGAAGAAGGAACATGAGAAAAAGGCACCAAGCTCCAACGAATATCAAGTTCAGGCCCAGGATGGGGGCACTAGTGAAACCGATTCGGTCCAACTTCAAATTCACTCTGACGTTAAGCACGACATAACCTGCGAGATATCCCTATCCGGGCTTGTTACAGCACTTATCCAAAGTGATATCAACAGCAATAGCACTCCTGAGGATTTATACATCAACCACCTTCGCATACAACCTCGAAAGTCAGATGGCGTTTGGTTTGCCAGTGCTGCTACAGCCTATGGAACTTCCAGTCAGACCATCCTCTGGAACTATAAAATTCCAGACACCATCCTGTCGTTCTCTAGAAAAGAGACAGTTCCGTGCGGCGTCCTAGTGTTACTGGGTATGGTAGATGAGTCGGAGACGCCTGAATGGGCTACGAAATACAATGACTATGGCGCTTCGATAGATACATTTGCACAGAGGGGTCGAGAGCAGCGGGCGGCCATGGAAGCAGAAGCGCGCATGGCCCCTGCGCAACGGCAACAAGCCGTCAATGACAGAATGCGCAGAGAGACAGAACAGCGCATGCAAGACAGTGAGTTCCCCGTTTCTATATCTAGGCAAGGAATGCACGCGATGCTGATCAAACCTGCTATAATAGTGCGTGAAAAAATGAGGACAGATCAACAGCGACGTGATAAACGGACCATGGAAGCTCTTCAAAGTCCAAAATGGGATACGAAACTTGTCGCCGATTACTCTTTGAAATGGCTCAAGGCTCGAAATATCTGGGACGAATCCTTGTCGGTCAAAGAAGTTGTCGGTTTCATGCTGCATCGCATGATTCGCGATGGAGAGTTCACCTCTGTCCTCTGCAAGATGCTGGACACTTGGAAAGCGTGGGCTGATGTGGGAGGAATGAAGACTGCTGATTACCAAGCCATCCGAGATGATTTATCTACGTTTGCTGAAGCCACTTTGCTTATTGCTTTGATCAAGGATACGTCGGATGCTTTGGAGGGTACACTAGCGATGGATTTGCAGGAATGTTTGCGTATATGGCACAAAGTGCGGCTTGGATAGAATTTAACAAAGGATCAATGGATTTATGAGTGCATAACAGAATACACATAAAAAAGGTATCGAAATGGTTTTGGACATATGAGAAGGGTATGCTTCATGTCGCGTTATAAGGACAGAGAATGCACGTATGCCCGTTAATAGATTTGTACGTCTATAGCTGAGGAAGGAGATGATTGAGCCTATACGTTGGCAATAGAAGACTATTCTTGGATGTTCCTTGGCAGCATAAGCACTCCTTAATTTTATCGACTTCCCGGATATCGCGTTCCAAGCCTCTACAGTATTTGCTGATTTACGTACAGCCCTATTTTTCCACGTATAGCTAGGTAGCTTCCTGATTGGACTGCTGACGTCCCATTTTTGCCGAATGCCGGCGCTAGCATGTCCTGAAGAGCCTCTCACGCCTTTCAAGGATACTGAGATGGGTCAGGAGATTTCTGCAATAAGAGCAAGCTTAATTGACCTGAATGTCGCACAGGAGAAATATGTATTAGAATGCGTATCCAGGTTGGTGATGTAGCTCCAGCTTCTCGCTGTTGGACAGTTGACCTCTATTAGAACTCTCCTCGCATTAACCCCTGGTTCACATATCGGTGTTAAGCCGGCAGCTTCGTTCTCTGTATGTCATGTTTGGCCCCGCTGCTTCGGCTACTCGGGATGTGCCAGCCCAGGAACCACCCTGGCGTCTACTCCATTACGGGCCAGCATCTGAGACAGCGATGTTCTGGGTAATTCAGCAGTGCCATCACAAAAGCAGCTAGTTTCTATCATCGTATATGCATCTTGGCTCGGTCACGCCTTTTATGTTTGCAACCAGTTGTGGACTTGCCCGGCGCATTGTAAGGGGTTCAAACAAAGATGAGAGTGCTTGCGGAAAAGCAGTATCATGGCCGCGTTAAAGAAGAAATAGAAAGCCATAGTCCGTGCCGCTGACAATCCAGTTTTATATACATGAAGATTCCCATGAAAGCTATCTACATATCCCATAGCGCTTATCAATTTTCTCTTGCTTCTCTTTCCTCTTAACCCCTTTTCTTCCTTTGTCAAAAAGCATTTGTGCCCCAGTGCTGACGTGAAGCAAAGCTTGTGATATCTCCAGTCATCATTTTTAGTCATGAAAATTATTTTACATGATTTCCTTTGGTGCAGCGCGTATAGAGCAGCACCGTTGAAACCAAAATCAGTTTAGAATAGATATTAGGGAGCGTATCGATTGAACGTAGAATTGCCGCTCATCTTGGTCCTGAACTGTGCGTAATCAACCGCAGGATAATGTGTCGAATATAATTGTCGAATATAAGTCATGAATAATTACCAAAACAAGAAATAAAATCCGCAAAAATAAAACAATTATATTTAGACAAATGGGTGAAAACTCATCTGGCAGTATTGTATGAGCATTCCGCAAAGAAAGAGAATAAATATTATTGCGATGAAAGAGCACACGCTTCGCTACGCCGGGTAGTTGTGAATCTATGTATCAGTGGAAAAGGAAATACTTTTAGGGGCCTCCAAGTTCAATGGCATCTTTGAAGCTTTTAAACCATACATTAGTGCTCTTCGTAATGGACTTCGTAATGGGTCGTCTTTTGAATACGGTGATGCGTGTTTTGGAGGATGCTTTCCTCGCTCCCGGTCTCCACCTGTCTGTCTTGAAGTCGAATACTTGGACCTCGTGGCTCAAGACTACTATCGAACTTAGAGGTGCCTTTGGAAGATCCAGGAACCCAGGGGATGAATTTCAAGAGCGGCTTCAGAGCGGCAAGGGACGCACAGAAGATGGCTAGGCCAACCTCTGTCGCCGAGCTAGAAGAGATTGTCGGTCAGCCATATTAGAAACTATCTCTGTGCTGGATTCGACATACTATATCGTCGCTGTCAGGAGTAGGTTGACGGCTTGTGCTGCAGCTGTCGATGGAAGTCGAGAAACCTCAATGGCATAGTTGAGTCGTAGAATCGTCGCAATGCAGCTCCTAGGAACGTCAAAGACACATCTATTAGCCTTCAAATAATTCCACTCAGGTAAACAATACGTACACCGCGCCAAATCCAAGAAGAACAGAGACAACAAGTTTTGTTCGCATGCTTATCTGAACACTCCAGAGCAAATAGATAGGCAAAAGCTATAATATCAATATGTTACTTATAAGGGCACTTCATAGTTACACACAGAGTCGGGACATCTATCCACAAGAAGGCCATGTGGTAGAGCGGACACTACTTACTCCATATAGCCAGCTGAATAAAATATCAGCAGCTGATACAGCATAGGCAGTGTTGGCGATAGCTGACCCAGGTAAGCATGTTCCAGTGCCAACGCCCCAGGCCACAGAGAGCGGACGGCATTGGAAGGCGAAAATAAAGATGGCAGCTATAGATACAATGGAGAGAATCGATATTGAGCCGACAAGTATCCTTCGTACCATAGGCGCCATTGTAGCAATTCGATACAAGACCAAAGCCACGCTGATCTTGGCTGCCAACTGGGCTATGAGGTACAGCAACTGCGCAACAACAAAATACTACCAAAAACGTTAATTTCGAGATCCCTTCCCGACCCAAAGAGAGAACTAACCTCAGCCGCCAGCAGAGGGTTGTACCAAGGCTGCACGTCTGTTGCTCCATATCCATATCCAAGGGCCCGAAACTCAAACGCACAAAAGACGACAAAAACGCTCTGCAGATTGAAGAGTCAGAAGACGGGGCGGGAATAGCGGTAAAGTCCGCAAACTCACATATGCAACACATGTGGCCCAATCATCATACCCAAAACTTTTGCTGGAGACTCGGAGCCATAACCTCAGTCCCACGGTAATGGTGTTCAGCACAACAAACGCAACCATTACCGCCCAGAAATTATGCCTTGCACTCATAGTGATGCTGGTTTTGCCGCGCCTGGCTGTTGGGAGTGAGGCCGGTTTGAAGAAAAGATGAGTATACACAGTCGTCCCATTTTTGCTTGCTGCCTTCCGGGCCCAGGAAGTATTTGGTGAATCGAAATTGATTACTTAATGCTAAAGATCTGCAATGGACCAATTTACCAGAGTACAATGCTCAAAACCGTTGTTTCAACGGCTTTCACTCAGGGGTATTGGCCTTCTAAATCGTACAATCGCCGCGTATTCTACAAGTGTCGGAATTGCTTATACCTAGTAATCCGGAAAGTGGGTTCACAACCCATTTGCCATTCCGGTAATGCTGGAGTGACAGGGAAAACTGGTCTGACATGGATGGTACAGAGCTGCCAAGCCGTTTTCCGCAACGGAACGATGTCACATCGAGCTCAAGTCATGGATCGCCCCCTAACGGGAAAAAATGACTCTCGCGACCTCTTGCCTGTCATAGGGCGACCTACGGAGCAGTCCGGGGTGAATCAAACGACTTTTGACAATTCCGCTCCAGAAAAAGGAAAGGACCCGCAATATCTCTGGAAGTCTACGGCAAGCATTTCCCTGTACATAGTGCTCCCGCGGAAGTGAATTGGGTTCCGCGCAGTCGTTGAGCTGCATTTCCGACTTCGGCAGTTATACTCAGAAAGGGCAGTAATACCGCCGTATCTGTTACCTGAAGAGATACGTTGCCGAAGAGGACAGCATCTTCCCAGAGTTTAATATGTGTTCTTGCAGGTACCTACTTATACGCGGTCAAGTTGGGGGCAGAATATCCCGCAATCTGGACTACGGTTAGCTATTGGGATGTATAAAAGGAGACTCGGTTTCAAATAGCCCGAGCAGCTTGGAGCAAGTCGAATCTCACCAATAAAATGATTTACCACCCACGAGCTAATTAAGACGGGTTATATACCCCGTAGTAAAGTTCAAACAAGGTATTGGTCTTCTCTTGCGGGCATATGAGTAAGGTGCCTAAGCCTCACAATACGGAGAATATATAACGTTTTTATATCTGCCCTCTATAACTTCAAAAAGGGCAGCAATAATTATGGGAGGTGCTTCTTGGTGGTTTAGATTTTCCAAATTCGAGATTAGCTTGGTTGAAGCTACAGAAGTAGTATTACTCTCCTTCTAGGGGAACTTTTCTGGAGTCGCATAAGATACCTACTCACTACTCGCCTACAGAGCAATAAAGGGGGATGACAACGTACTAATCCTACGCTAATTGCTTGTTTATGTGGCAATCACATGGGGAGTTCATAAGAAGTAAAGACTCATTTTGCCTCTACATTTCTTGTATGTAATGTTTGAAGAGTTTAATAAGTGTAGCCGCCTACTAAGAATCGTGATATTCGAAGGGGATGCAGATACAGCGAACTCGCTCGACGAAACATGATATCTGCAATTCTCATGAGACGAAGTGTGTGACACAATGCTGCACCCATTACGAGGAAGCTATTCTAGTAGTATGGAACAGATTGAAGTGCTATAATGGTTACATACTTATAAGCCATGAAACAAGAGTAATGCTCACGCTGCCGATGGTACCGCGAGGTACACTCTTTGAAGTATCCCAATACGCCTTGACATGGTTCTTAGAAGGGTCTCTTGGGCCTCCTATCGTGATCTTTAGTGCACTTAAGTTCTTTGCAGGCATTGACAGTTTGGCACAGCCTCTCTGATAGCTTGGTGGAGATACCACGTACCCCGTACTATATCAGCTTGTAGAAGCCCACAGGGGGGTATCCTCATGCGGAGAAGCTGTACCCTGCATTCCGTCCCACTGCGACGAGTACGAATAGGTACTACAATCGTGCTTGAAAACGACCTCATCGTTTGCAACAGTATTTCACGCGTCCATGGTTCAGCTACAGATTAAAGCGCTGAAGAGCGGTTCTTAGGAAGCCACAAGCGTTCATACGCCCGGACGTTTTCCCCCTGGTGAAAACCCGGTTTGAACCTGCAAAAAACGAACCATTTGTACATGTCAGCCACGCCAGCTAGCGGATAACAGTGGGATACGGCGAGTCGCCTAATTTCAACCCATTGCAGTCTTGGGCAGCACTACGTGGTACCATAGGTAGGTATTTCTCGATGACAGACTTGACGGCGGCGTACAAATACCTACTTAAAATTACTAGAGATGCTAGTACTTGTACGGAATCGTACTCGGGCTATTCGTAGTTTGAGAAGACATTGCAGCCGAATTTGGCAGCTTGTTTATTCGATTAGTGTATGGCCTTTTTATCCGTCAGCACGCTAGTACTAACAGGAGGCATAATACATAAACTTTGGCAGTGAAACCATTATGCCTTTATCCTTACACCATTGGTACGCCCCTTTTGAAAGCTATACCAACTGATAGAAATTGAAACCACTTATCTCTTTGTTATGTACCTGATTATCGCTCTTGGAAGTCTAGCCGGATGTCGTTGGGTGCACCCTGGTAAAAATCGGCATGCGGGCATGACAGGTCTGTTTATTTGCAACAAACCCCTGTATTTTCGCAAGGTACCGCTATATTAGTGCTGCTGTTGGTTCTAAATAGGTAAATGTGTCCCCAGGTTATTGGGCTACTGCAGAAGCAGCGGTGAAAACTGATTCAGGAACTCCATCCTTAGCATTACTACATGACTCCCCCATCTTTACCCTCTTGAGACTACCCAGGAGAATGTTGAAGGTAGGCTAGGTACACCACATACTTGTAGCTCATCCCGCTCTTCTTTCCCCCCTGAATATACTCCATAATGTGTTTAAAGAGCTTTGGTTTCAACCTATTGAGGTTTAAAAATACTAAAGGCAGCCAGCTCCTTGATAAATCTCTTGACTCCATATACTCAATCAGCACTCACCTTACTTTGAAGAAGCAAAAGTCGCCAATATGCCAACCACTGAACACAGCCTTCCATTATCCCCAGAAGAGGTCACAACAGAGTGGCTCTCCAGCGCCCTGGGACATAAAGTGAAATCATTTACATTCACCAACAAAATCCTCCTTGCAACTGCTAGTAAACTATTCGTTACAGTTGCATACGACGATGAAGCTGTGGCCAGTGCAGCTGGGAAACCCACCCACATTTGCTTGAAGGGAGGCTTTAACCAGGCGGTGGTAGCTCAGTATCCGGATATTATGATCAGAATTTATACACGAGAAGTTGGATTCTTCAGTCACGTTGTTCCTAAGATTAACCATGTGGATACTGCCAAGTGCTGGTGGTCTGGAGCCAACAAGGAGCAAGGAATTGTGATCTTAGACGACCTGAATAAGCAAGGCGCAAGATTTGGCGAGCCAACAGAAGTTTGGACAGTGGACCAAGTCAAGGCAGCCGTTGAGCAGCTTGCGGGACTGCATGCTGGAACTTGGGGAGATAAGAGCGCCAAACTACCTACTTGGCTTACAGATCCGGAACACTATGATGCCACCATCTTAAGCTTGTGTGGTCTTTGGCAAGGTATGGTTGTTGCCGAAAACCGACCACACTTTCCAGCAGACTGGAACGAGGAACGCATCACGGCAGCAATGAAGAAACACCTCAAGACTCGCGATCCGCGATTTACGTGTCTCCTCCACGGCGACCCGCACGCGGGCAACACATACTTTATTAATGGAGCACCAAGATTCCTCGATTGGCAGCTCATCCACGTGGGCTCTGCATTCCACGACCTTGCTTACTTCATTGTGGGAGCCTTGTCAGTGGAGGATCGCAAAGCGCATGAGATGTCTATTTTACAACATTACCTAGGTACATTGGCGAAGTTTGGAGGACCGAAATTGACATTGGATGAGGTTTTGGTAGAGTACCGCAAGTCTCTTATGTCAGGCATCGGATGGATGCTCACTCCCTACAAATTGCAAACTATGGAACGTGTGCACGCCATGAGCGAGAGATATGGTTCAGCGATCCTTGATCATAAGACTATCGAGCTAGTTGAGTCTCTATGAGAGGAGTTTGAGGGAGCAAAAAAGGCCTTTGTGATATTGTTAGAGGGAATTGGTCACATAGTTGTTTGATGTCATAAAGTTTGATCGCCGGTGTAATAATTGTGTGACACTTAGAGTCATGAGGTAGATTTGCCTAAAACTATATAGGGCAAACGCTGCGAGCTCGTCGAATTATACAAATGTAATAGACTAAATGAATAATGAAGCTCTTTATTGATTCAACAAATTATAGACCGTATAAAACCGTACAAATGAAGAGAGCAGCCTAATATGGACGTTCCTTGCAGTTACGGAAGTTTGCTGACCAGGTGAACTTGTACAGGGTAGTGGTATAATACGCTCTACGTGTGTACAGAGCAGCTTTTCAATGGATAAATAGTTTCAATTAGATGCTACGCGTTCTTAAACTAAATTATTAAAATATATATGTATCTCTCGGCCTGTAATTTATACTAATGTAAGATGGGCCTTATATAGCTATGTAGACTATTTCCTTTCCGAAGTGATTGCTCTTTGTCTCATTCTCACCTAGAGCTAGACTATGTTTTAATAAGGAAACTATTCCTTAGCATAAGTTGCATAATAAGTTAGAATGCATAAAATATCACAGGCCAATGAGCTCACGAAGGCAGTAGGAACCATCCAGATGTGGGTGGGCAACACTAGAGATCGAGCTCCGGCTTCCCAAATTTACAATTGTTAACGTAAGTTATTTTCAATTTGCCTTGTTCTCGTATGCATCTGGATGGAGTGTCATGCGCCTTTAGTAACACAGGTATACTTTAAAGCCCATCCAAACAAGCAGAAATAGTGTCCGGTGCGCCGATCAATACCAGTAGAAGCTTATAAGCACGGACGAATTGGTCAACCCGTGATCAAAGTGTTCCATTCTCGGCTGAAAAGGAATACAACGTATTATATTATTTATAAACTTCCTATTCCTTTACCGTAATAAGCAGTGGGTAGTTCACTTCCCTATGGTAAGGCGCCCTTCGATCTCATCCATTAACATTTGAAGCTTAAAATTAGCTTCTTATGCGCATGGATGGACATGGAGGAATTGAAAGCTTTGCTTACTGGTGATTTAGCCAATTAAACATTTTATTAGCAATTTTCATCGGATCTCTGGCTATTCGTAGTATAGCTGATGGATGCAATGTAACCTCGACAACTGAGACATGCGGGGCGCAAAATAGCTAGTACTCGTCACAACGCTTGCTAGTGATTTACCGTATCCTTCGCGCCTGTGTCTTACTGCCTCCATGATGTCTTTAAGGAATGTTGTGAAGCGAGCTAAGAATTGGGCATCAATCATTGGACAGACTGATGTAGAATCGGATGTATTCTTCCCCGGGGCTTATGGCAATTAGCAGCCGTTGATTTGTTCAAATTGGCATTCGTTGCGACGGGCCGCAGTATATAAGACCCTGTCGAAGAATGGCTTTCGGATCATCGGCCTCAGCAATTCACAGCAGTCTCGATTAAAGGTGTATCTACTCTAAAAGTCCAATCGCAACGAAAACCATCAATCTCGTCAAAATGCGTTTCATCCTCCTTGCAGCTCTTATTGCTCCATTCGCCTCTGCCGCAGTTGCTGGCGTCGACGTTGAGGCTCGAGCGGAGGTAGAAGCAATCGCCCAAGTCGAAGAGCGATCACTCCTTCCGTTGGATAAACGATCATGCGTGGCCAATGGGTGCAAGTGTAGCACTAAACATCCTCTCAAACAAGGCCAGTACTGCGGCAACTGTGTCTGGTCTAACGGCGACGGCTACATCATTACGGCTAAGCGTGTTAACAATCACGTTTATGAATGTTCGCCCTCCGGGTCCTGCTGCGACTATGGCGTGGGTAGTGATTGTGGTTCTGGCACTGCTCGCTGCGGATAAAGGCTCGCAGGTTGGCCAACGGCTGTTGAATGCGTGGAGAAAGGAAACAGTGAATCGTCGTTGCATTAAGAGACGGAATTAGTTTTGAAGCTGGGATTTTCTCCATTCGTTCACTAATATTAAATACATTACCACTCTTATTGACCTCAATTTGAATACAAAGTACGAAGTAGGGTTATATTAGCTTGTAATCGTGTCTATCTGTACCATTGTTCATTGGCCAAAGTTCTAGTGAAATAAGTTATCCTGCATCAGCCTTTCCAAATACTGACGGTATGCATATCGACCTACAGGATAACCCACGATATCGGATCAGCTATTAGTCTCTGCTCAATTCTGCATATGTTTGTCGCCGTCACCGCTTTCATATGTATCCTTTTTCGTTCTTGAAACAGTCACTTTGTTTAGTATAGTAATCCCTGGTTGTTTTTCTCAAGTGTGTAGAGACTTCCTAATGTAGTTCTGCATGATACATGTGCTAGCCAATCTAAGTATTCTATCATGTGTACTTTGTTATTTTACTAGCCTTGTCTTGTGATTACATCGTCTTACATTCTTTTCAACCAACACATTGAAGCTCAAAGTTGCACAATCAACACTCTTGTTCATGGATATATTTTCAATTAAGAGGTTTACAATTTGATAGTATTTGATTCCAATATTCTGAAGGCAACCCCAGCATCCATGAATAATTTTTCTTAAACCACCAAACATCCCTAACGCTTTCACCATGCGTTAGCCTCCGACAAATAAGGGGCTTATGTTAGCTAAACAGAATCTAATGCTTAGCATGTAGGCAGGTCCGGCGAGGTAACATTTGTCAGGATTGCAACAAATTCACAGTTTGGTGGGTAGTAAATAACCCAGTCCACGTATTGAAAATAATACCAAGGTGTTCCATCCTCATTGAGGTCAAAATCAGCTTCGCAAATCTGCATTCCATTGAGCGTGTTGACAGGCTCGTCGTGCCAGAGGTTGTAGATGTTTGTTCCACCTGATGGCCCCAGAAGCCAGTTGGAATCAGACGCATTGGCAAAGGTGGAAGTATTTGCAAAGGCAAGCTGGCCTACCAAGGTAGGTGGGACGTAATTATCAACATTGGTGTAATTTTGCAAGAAGCCTCTGGCACCTGTATCGAAAAGAGTGCCGTCAGAGCTTTTATTTTCACTGATCAAGACACCATTGTCGAGGTTGGCAGTAAAAACTGGAGAGCTGTTGTCTATGGCGAGATAGCTAAACTTTCCATCCTTGCTAGGTCGAAGTTGAAGAGGTTTGTAGTTATTTGAAGCAATAGAATCATCATAAAGATAGAATTGAACACCAGCATGTGTAGTTAAGAGATTTTGAGCACATTCCTGAGCAGCAACTTGAGATACGCTGGTGGCAAAAGCCAAGGCAGCCGTAATAAGCTTGTACGCCATAGTTATATGTCGAAGTTTATAAGCTTCCAGGAGTCAATGGTTGTCAGTGTCTAGAGTAAACAATTGACGTTGGCCTCTTGAGCTACTTATATTATACCTCGGCATTATGAGTTGAACCGATTGACTTCGAAATGCATGAAGATCGGTAACTTGTACAATGCCGTCGGCTATAGAGCTTGTTGAGTTGTGCGCGGTAAATTGGATAAATTCTGCATCGGTATATACACGCGAGCAGCGTCCATGCTTGCGGAGAATATCGAAAATCCCGATCGATGCCGCCTTACACACTAACAATTGATGTGGTAACCGGAAACAAGATCAAGTTTACACAGTAATTTAGAAGAAGCTCAGTAAAGAAAAAAGATGCTATAATTCTCTACGTGTGGAATGTAAATATTGTTGACATACTATATAATCCTCTTCAGCTTAGACGATTATAAAACCACTCGAAACTCTTGACATCTATCACACATCTGAAATGTGTATATTGCGGCTACGAAATCAACTTCCCCATGTCCCCACTTCCAATTCCATCCCATCTTTTGAAGCTCGCTTGCAAAACCGCCGAGCAACTTCTATTTTCAGCTAAGCGAGAATGTGCATTCGGTTGGCTAAGGTGATACGAGAGTCATCCAGTATTTATTGCACCGCTTAATATCTGAACCAAAATAGGAAGGTACTACATATTTGGCGATGCTGTCGCCAATTTTGGATCTGTTGTGCGGTCTTGGATCGATCTGATAAGGTATGGGGAGCTAGCAAGGCTACTCCACTTCGGATATACTACCAAATGCTTTCACGGTTTCCGCGTATAAACTGATTTCTTAATTTCCGGAATAACACAAAGAGGAGTATCGCTTGGCGTTTGTATGTATTGAACCACGCAAAGATTTATGACGTGGCGGCGTTATGCAACCAGGGTGAGAATGGGAGAATAATTCCGTGAACAGAGGCAACAGTTTGCGAGCCTTCTTATATAGAAACGAAATTGCCTAAATGCCTTGAACCATTATTAAAGCTTCAAAGATGCTTATGCAATATGCCAAGACTATAAGCGAGCTCTGAACGTATGCTTTGGCCTCATATTCCTCATGTCCAGGTTGAAGATTTTTCTTTCTGGAATGCGAGCTAATACCAAGTACTCAAAGTTGCCAAAAGCTACCAATTATTCGATCGGAGAATGTCATGCTCGTTTATGCGCTACTTAGTGTGTATATTTCCATGTTTTATATTCCATTTAGTGCCTAGAGCATTATCGAGACTAGTGAATATGATTGACCTTTTTTTCTCTGGTGATATGCTTGCGAGAACCAAAACATGATAGGTGCAAGGCGTTAACTCCGCGATAGCACCATGTTCCTAGGGCGATGATGAAGTCAGATGGCCATTTTCTTGTTTAAAAGCTACCAGCAATAGAAGCTCACTTACCACGCGCAATGATACCAAACCAACCAAGCCTATAGGCTCCAAAATTGCAAGGAGTGTAACGGTATACGACACCCAAAGAGAGGGCTGCTCTGAAGCTACTTAGTTGCAAGTCCGACCCGCACTACGGGTTAAATCGAGGCCATGTATGCGGCAAACGCAGCAATCCAAGCTGCAATATCACGGAAGAAGCTACTATACGTATTCCATCCACCAAAGTATGAAGTATGATTGAGCATAAAGCAATTTCCAAGTACGATGAATAACATTGATTCGTGATAAGCGGGCTCTACACGGCGGAAGCGAGCTTGGATCTTATTTGGGTGACGTCGGGCGATGAGTTCTCTCAGCAGATATTGCCGCAGCATCTATATCATGGCCGGGTCATCAGGCTCTCTTGGTAATAGGCACTTCTCAATGGCAGTAGAAAGTCGCTTTCCAAAAGTACTAAGCAGGCATACGTGTAAAGAAAGGCCAAGGCAACTTTCCACGGGTCGTTATTCCATTATAAGCAGCTATGGAGACTACCCAGACTTAGTTCTCTGATGATTCTCAATACTGGCAACTCTTGCAACCGCAATTTCACGACTAATGTATGTGCAACAGCAGTCGTCAACGCAGCTGATATCAATCTGCCGGAATTATGGACTAAGAAGCCATCTGGGAATGGGTTTAGCAAAATGAGCCCATTGCCGTCCCATAAGAGATGCATACCAAAGCGGTCTGCAAGTATGGTGTTACGGCCGGGGGCAGCTAGTAAATGTAGTTGCGTGGATGGACGTCTTACACCTACAAGCCAAAGATGCTCTCTCATCTCTAGCCGCCTAAGCGACAGCTCCGATTTTAAAAATCCAGTTACATTTTTTTTTTTAAGAATTAGCAATTGTGCGACGCATTTGGCTGCTCATGACCTTCTCGAAATGATACGAGAGAAGGTAAGAGACCTATCTAATCGCTGCTGTTTAAGCACCTCTGGGGTAACCTAAACATGCGTGGTTCTGGTAAACAGTTGGCTATACCCTCATGCTCCATTCAAGTATTCTAACGGCACTCAAGAACGGCTTTGGTAGGCCATGAAGAGCACAAGCGGTGAGATAGAAGGGTCACTACTTGTATGAGGCCCAGGCTATAGCGAAGATCGTGTATTCAGATGGACAGATGCGCTCTTTGGCAGAGCTTCAAAAAATCACGGGCTCTGATAAAAGCAGGAGTAAATAAAAGATGCAAGCCGTTACAGCTTTGCTTTCTAGAGAGGGTGCACAAGCACAAGCTCCTCTAAAGCGAACAGTGCCATTGGATAGGTGTGCGGGATTTGGACAATGGTTTTCAACGCATCCATATTCTAGCGAGAGAGAGTATGCACTCTACAATTTACCGCATCAGCCTAGCTATATATAGTGGTGAAACTGCGTTGACATTGATAGAAAAATCATGTGAATCGATATGGAGAATACTGAGCCAACCTTTCATACTCTACAGGGGGGTTGTTTTGTCTTCTTATGATTCACCGCTGTTGGACGCAGCCGTCACATGATGCCTTACTCCGTGCTTCATACAGTGTCTGGCATAATATTGTCGTGGATTAGCTAAAGCATGGCTTGAAGATTCTAGCTTGGAGCCCCACTTGGCTTAGACTTTCTCATCTGACAGCCTCAACCACGAGACTCTAGCAGATGCATACGATATCCATAGATCCATCGATCTTCCCGTGTCCCAGAGGACTACTTATCGATTTTGCCACGAGAAAAGATTTGGATTATCATAATGACTGCAGCAGCCACCACTGGTCGAGCACCGCGAACGAGAAAATCCTGCTTGAGCTGTCGAAGTACGTGAGATTTTCACCATCCTCTAGCGCGCGCCTGTGTTACGTGATCTTTTTTTTTTCATGTGATCCTTTGCGTAGCCCCTGAAGTTACAAGAGGCTATCATGACGCGGGTCCAGTTTCGGCAAGATGACTCCTTCAGCACAGCTGACTTGTTTTAGTCCTTAAGATAGCATGCGATAAGGCCCTGCCCGAGTGCACAGCCTGTAAAACACGCGGGAAGGCATGCTCGGGATACAGTGAGAATCTGTCATGGCCACGGAAGGGGGACAAGCGTCGTGCGGCAACAGCAAACGTGCAGAGCCGGAACGCCTATCAAGCCAATCCAGTTGTGTTCCTTAATACATCTACCTGGGATGTAAGCCTGTATCGTGAACATATTGATACGGGAGCTCATAGTTAGTCCCATCAATAACTTGAAAGTCATAGGCCGTCTAACCTTGGCTTATAGTGCAACATATAGGTGTCTTGGCACCAGCGGCACCAAGTCATTCCCTGTGGTCACCTAAACTAGGCTTCTGTAAGTCAACCCTTGCGTGTTCAACCAGATGTAATTAGTTGGCGCTTTTATGCTGAGACATCACAGATGGGCCGCGAATACCATCGGCTATACGCCTCGTCACATCAGGCACGTTCCAAGATGATGTTTGCGGCCTCTTGTATCGAATGTCACTCGATGACAACAGCGTGCCATCATTATCTGTTCGCCACTCCATGAACGCCATCTCGCTATTGTCGCTGCATAGATCAGATGAGGCGCTCAAATACAAGATTTTGGCAATTTCAAACCTTAAAGGTGCCCTCACACAGGGTCTGGATAATAAATCTCGGCCTCAGGCTATTGCTACTAGCCTGCTTCTGACGCTATATGAGGTAAAACTTTTTAGGTGGCTGGCTACTATATGTTTATTTATTGCTAACTCTTGTTATAACTACCAGGTCCTCAGTCAAAGTGGCAAGACCAATGACTGGTCGGTATACTTCGACGGCTGCATGAAAATTGTCAATTCGGGCTTCAACATTCATCGAAAGTACGCAGGAGACTGTGCTATCTTGCTAAACTGGGTTCGTTATCATAAAGTGCTGTATAAGTTTAGCATACAGCATTGGCAGCAGCGGACTCCACAGATGGAAGTAATGGCCAAATCAGATATTCTTGTCTCTGATTCAGCATATGACATCGATGTCATAACTGTATGAATTTCCAAATCCTCTCTCACCGAATCATATGCATGCACTACCATTCCCCTGCTAACAATTGTACCCTAGATGCACAATATGCTTGGCTGCTCTCCCGAAGTTCTTGATTTCTTGAGCGAAGCCATGGATCTCGTCAAGAATCGTGATGACCCTAATTATCTATCAATTAAGCGCCTACACGCCATTCATGATCTTGAACAACGACTCAAGGATATTGACAACTTGCGCGACTGCTTTGATGTGGGAGAGGATATCACCATAAACAAAGTTGCCGAAAGCATGAATGACAAATTGTTCCAGTTTGCCTTGGTCATATATGTCGACCGAGTTGTCAAAGGAGCTTTCATGTCTTCAACAACCGCCCGAACTGCCGCCGCCAAGGCTTTTATACTGCTGGAAAAGATCCGGCTCTATGACCGCCCTTTCCCCCTATTCATCTTATCCATCCAAGCAGAGACAGACGAGCAGCGGTTGTTAATTCTATCAACAATAAAACGGACAATGGAAGCACGACCAATGAACAACTTGGGACCGACAGAGGAAATGATCAGGAAATTTTGGGCGCAGCAGGACTTGGAAGGTCCTGAGCAGGCTGATGCGCTTTTCATATTGAATGCCGTGATGAGCGCTAGCAGCATGCCACCGACCTTCACTTCCCCATTTGTAGTTAATGCCATTACGGGTGCGAACGGTGTGCCGTTTTTGTCTATCTGATGAAACTATGGAAATAATGCGAATCCATGGAGTTGTTTGCAACAGCGCTGAATATTAAGCATGAAATTAGCCTTGGCCGAATGATCATGGCTAAATCAAATATTTATTATTAGAAGTATATCTAGTATACTAGATAATATAGTAGCGAACTGTGATTCTTGATCCTTATAGGCCGGTATAGATTTCCTCATCTACTTAACGAATGGACGACATCCGCTGCTTTTGCAAAAGCGAATTCATTCATGGTCTCTTCCCAAAGCTTCTGTGCCAACCTTTCTCCTTCAATTTCATATACAATAGGTGCCATTCTATAATAAAGCTGTGTTAGTGAACTGTAATGCAATTCTGTTACCTGTATGAGTTGAACGTACGGTTGAACTTTTCCATCTTCCAGATACTGTCCATGGGATTCTGTACCCTGTTTCACAGCTGCATCCGTAAAGGCGCGTGCCCCCACAGAGCCATCTCGTCCGAGCAAAAGTTGAAACATGAAAAGAAAAGCCCTCTCAAACGCGCTGTCATAATCACGACCTAGGTTTGATTTGCAAAGCCCTGGGTTTGGAGCGTTTATTATGGCGACTGATGATGGTACACGCTTCACCAATTCTGTTAAAAACAGCTGGCCTAGTAATTTAGAAGTGGAATATTGATCTCTGCTGTTAAATAGTTGAGGGTTATCTAACCCTTCAAACAAAAGATCAGACTTGTTTCCCTTGAACGCGGCCCATGCAGCTGTATCAGACGAAACTAGGACGAGGTGGCCGGGTTGTTCGGGCGAGTTTTTCTCTTTAATCACTGGGAGAAGTAATAAAGTGAAGAGAGATTGACCAAGGTAATTCACTTGGAAGATCTCTTCGTGCCCAGTAGAGGGATTTTTCTGAAAAGTTTTCTTCATCAAACCTGCATTGTTAATGGTGATGTCCAGCCGCTCCAGAGTCTTGGTGCGTTCTACAAACGCCATGATGGAATCATAGCTCGACAGATCAAGCTTCCATACTTGAATGACTGGTAGCTTTTTAGGATCTCGGCCCGCTAGAAGCAACTTCTTTGCTTCTTCGCCTTTGGCTTCGCTGCGAACGGCTAAAATGAGCTTGCTAAGACCAAGATCGAGGAGCTGACCAGCACACTCAAACCCAAGACCGGTATTGGATCCGGTTATAATGGCAGTCTTGCCCCTAAGATCGACATCTTTCTTGGTCCATGTCGGAGGTACACGGAATAGCTGGCGTTGTATGAATGCAAGCTGAGATGCTCGCTTCTCGGGTGTAATATCGAATTGCGGTGCCATTGAGAAAAAGAGAGCTGATTATTGGAGAGTGTGTATAGTTAAAAGGCAGTGAAATGATAGTTGTCATGACAAGACATTTCAATTACATGAAATTGCACTTCTTACATATACGTATATTCAAGATTTTAAGACGTAGAACTCTTTCACCATGAGCTCCATCCTCGCGCTTCACATTGTCTTTTCTCCGAAGCTAGCAGCCTAACAAGGACAAGCTGGGCTTGGCGACAAACACTTGGAACAGCAATTTACAGCTGTAGTGGTACGTAGATAAATCATTTTCAGTCATGGATCATGGACTTACGAGATGGGCGACAAAGTTGTTTATTGGTCATTCTGGTCGCTCATGTAGCAGCTATATGGACCACCGCAAGCGGCGGATTTAGCAATCCCCTAGTGCCGCCGCCTCGCGCGCGCTTCGGACTTTGCAAAGGAGCAGTCGCACATGAGTCTGATATAGCAGCCTCCGCGTCACTAAATGGGTTGCTCAACAGCAGAAATAAGCCAACTACGTAGTGATGCTACAGCCAACTATGCAGTTTGTTTAGTAGCTGCCATATGAGCTGCCCGCGGACCCCGAGGGCATTTGATATGCTTGTAGAACGAGTAACAAACATGTGGAAGGCATGTCAGCGGCGATTGGCAAAACACAGCGAGCCGCAACCATCCGGTGTTGTTGAACGGCTATTTATTATATCGTAAAGGAAAGAGGGAAAAAAACGAATCGCACACTCAAGATCAGTTCTGCTGTCTTCTATAGCATCTAGCTCGCATGGATTACAATATTCACACTGGGATATCATTTCGTACACATTATAGAGGGCACAGTGTGACGTTGAGCAAGCGACAATCTGTTATTACCATACAAAGCTCAATAGGAAAATAAGATGTATCATTATTATCGCCATAGCCAAAGGCATTAATAGTACTGAATGCACAATTTTGCATAGTTTGTGGAGTGGAAATGCGGAAATGCGAGCCAAATCTCGGCTAATCGGATTTTCGATGTCCGAGAAAAATGGTTTAGAGTGCATTGGTCAGATCTCTATAATATGAAAACCCGCTGCTTGTGGCATGGATCCTGGAAAGCTAGCAGCCTTATATGTGTCTGAGCCCACTAAGATTGATCTGATCTCTAAGGCGTAAACCCGGAGAGCGAAAGGATATCGAATTGGTTTTTAGCCTCCCGCTGCAATAGATTATTATATGGAGACGGTGTCTAGTCGCAGCTGATCTTGCTCTTTTTTAGTCTAGGATACGACTCATTCTAGACATTTTAAGCTTGTCTTTGTTCAGCGCTTATTTTCTATCCATGTCCTGTAGCTTCAGAGGCAATTGTCTCTGATTATGCAATCTTGACTTCATCAAGGAGTAGAAGCGATGAGGCGCGCGGATATGAGTGGTAGTATTACTACAATCAGAGAGGTCATATGAGCCCGTGGATTAGCTTCTGCATTAGAAATATTGCCTTTCGATGTGTTTAGAACAGTATCTGATGTTCTATTTAGCTGCCGAGATCAGTCTACTATGAGCGACTAGGCGTGACATGATAAATTACCCCGAAAGAGCGTGCCGGCTATATACATGTATGCTCGACGCTAGTTGCTGCTTTTGGATATCTCGTCCCGTCATCTTAGTATGCCGACACATGCCAAATTAAAGTTTCTAATGCACAACTTTAAAAATACATTATGACATGACTCGTAGTAGTAAAGTCCCATTTTAAGCTCTAGCCGATTATGCATGTAGCTATCCAACAAGTGGCAAGTCCTTTTAGCTTGCGCCTACTGGTGGTAAATATCGGCTGGCAGTAATGTAGAGAGCTACGTGATGTTCTCCCCCTTCGGTAGATAATTATATGTATACAATAGCAATCTCTATGAGCATCGCCGTAAATATATATATATATATACTTGAAAGTAACCCGCACAGTCTTTATGATTTCATCTACATGAATGGAGGCGCACATACGGCAAGTCCACGCGTTATTTGGATTAATCGTTAATCACAGTTAAAGAATCGAATAGCCCCCTCTAGTCTATTGGTAATTCTCCAATTCTCCGATACCTCTCGTATAATCTAGGCCCAAGCTATACTAGTAACGGCTAAAACGGTTACAATATGCGTGATGGTATCGCATGTGCAAAGTCCAAAGTAATCTCAAGCCATTCAGCTGAGTGTCAGCCATGAACTCTAAACTCAGCTTAAAGGCATATCAGCCACAGCTCACATCCGCCATTGCCCAATCAATGAGGCTTGAAAGCAGTAGCTGAAGCCACTTTGACTTCCAGCCTTGTAGTCCAGTCATGTCGAGCAGTTTAAGATGCTTACTCCTCGTTTATATCTGCCTAGCCGGACCTCATGAGAGCTTATGAAGCCCTTCGTCTTACAAGCGAGCAATGACTATCATTATAAATAACAGCTCTGTTAATTGACATTAAAATTGAAGATGCTAAAAACTTTCACCATTGTGATTGGGAAATAGGTCGTAATTTTCACTACCGCAAGGAAAGAAAACGGGCAGTGATTTACAGGAGCCTGGATCTGCGCCGCAATTTTGGTATGTGGCGGCGCCTCTGCGGCTGTGGACCAGTTGTTCGGTAGATGACAGATGGGGTTCAAAATAAAAGCTTCTTCCATGTCATGAAGACAACCGGTACATCTCGTGGTATTAAAGCCGCGGTTTCCGCCAAGACGTTTTCTCAAAACTGCGGCGGAAACAAATCGCGATATACCCACAATATGAGCGACAATCAAATGTCATTTCATTCTAGGATAACGAGATCATCCTATTTGGATCGGCGGAATGATACAAGCGAAACGCAAACTTCAAGTGGTAGCCATGACTACGTTCCTATAATTGCCATGTCCGTCATTGTTGTAGTAATTATAATAGCACTTGTTTTACTTGCGTAAGTATACGAATCTGAACCTATCCAAATAGCCTCGTCAACATGTATGGCTAGCTACAGCAGCTCATGGCTCCAACAGGCAGTATACCAAGGTTCTCGATCGTAAAAGGTCAACTCAAGAGGGAGATGATCCGGAAAATGCCAAAAATGCCAGTAAAATTGAACGATTGGACCAAATGGTGCCAAGCAAGACGTATACAAACTGGAAGGAAGATAGCAGAAATGCAGACAATCCGTTAATACAGGGAGCTACATTTATTTCTTGGTATGTCTTTATGCCCACGCCTTAGGGTGAATTGTTTTGTAATTCGCTAATGAATATTCAGTGTAATATGTCTGGAAACATTACAAGGCGATGATACAATTCGTCCGCTACCATGTTCACACGTCTTTCACTCTCTTTGCTTAGCAAAATGGTATCTAAAGAAGCATGATACATGCCCAATTTGCAAAGCATGCTTCATGACTTTATCGGAAAAATCCCCGAGGGTTTTACAGCGGCCAGAAAGGACACATGCCAGATAAATCGCCCCCAAGCGAGCACTTCTAACGAGAATTTACTTATACCCTGCTTGGAAGTGCTATAAGAACCCGTGTACATAATCAATAATTTACATCCTACAGGTCTAATCCTGGGAGAATGCATATGGTCTCCCATGTTCTAGTGAAAGTGCTGTATTTACGCGCCGTTCTTCTGTCGCAGCTGTCCTTGAGACGTTTTCAGTTCAATTCTCCCCAAACACACGACAATGAAGTTTATGATGACACGCTAATGATGCTAACAAGAAGAGTGGGAAAAAGAAAGAAAGTACAGGCCTACTTAATTTGCAGTCAATCTCCAAGGCGAAGAGTCAGACAGACGGTGTCATATTCACTACTCGTGTATACCTACGCCAGAAAGAATTTGTCAAGGATCCCAATGGAGTTGTTTTATTACATTAAACGGCGAATTTAACCGAATTCTTCGCCATATGCTTAAAACTAAGCAGCTTCATACACATACAACGTACTGTTCCTCTGATCCGGAAGCCAATAAAATCTCAATTTTCCATCTTCCACACTCACATCGACAGGGTTCTGCGTCATCCTTACTCCAAGAGCGCTCTGAAGCATGATAGGTACTTCAGCTAATGGACGCATCGTCTGGACATCAACTAGTGCAATCCCGCCGAGGTGGTATTGACCGTCTAAGGCGGCCACTCCAGAGCAAAGCATCACACTCGTGCCACGGTAAAATTCGCTTTGGCCCAGCCATTTGCAGTCTTGGTAGTCCACAAAATAGCTGGGGTTTTGGACTGCAGCCTGTGGTTCCCGGGTGGAGCAGCCATCTGGAACTACCTTGTTGAGAGCCCAAGTGAACGCATCTCGGCTTCCCCAGTTGAGCGTTGTAAGGCTGTTGTTGACGGTATTGTGTACAACGCCACCCAGATGGTCATTGTGACGCAGAATAATCTTGGGCTTCAGGTTTGATGGACTAGTTTTGTAAACATATGCCGTGCTGTTTGGTCGATATTGTGAAACTGCTCCCCAAATCGACTGCCCATCATAGTCGATTCCACCATTATGATACTCTGTCGCTCCTTGATTTGTAATCGTGGCATCAGCAATGCGCTCTCCCTTCCCGTTAAACACCATCAGATGAGCAAATCCCTTCCCTGGTGTCCGATCTGTCCCATTGATAGGGCGAGGATACTTCTTCGTGAGCTCGGTGTACTCCCCGCTGCTCACCACGAAGCGATCCGGACCAAGGCGGACTAGGCCCTCAGGTTCAAACGTATCGCCTTCGAAGCTGATATTTGCAATGCTTTTCCAAGTTGTTGTCCTGCTGAGATTTTGAAACAGCTCAATGATTGCCTCTCCATCGGATGCCGCGTGCGACGGCGGGAGTGGTGACGGCGCTAAAGGTACATCTTGGTAGATGGTTATATTCAAAGCGTCTGCTGTGGCAGTTTCACACACTCCGATTTCATAAAGAAATTTTCTATCAGCAGCATATCCGAGAGGAAATCTAGGAAGTAAACTGGGCCAGATGATGGCGAGGACAAAAACTGATGTGGCTGCGAGAGCGATTATCAAAAGTTTCACTTTTGAGACGATATGACTAGCCGGATGCTTCGGATTCTCGTTAAAATGGCTCCGGGGAACAAAATAATCATGAGACAGAGCCATCATTTAGACATATATGCGAATTTATACCTTGGAGTAAAAAGTCACATTTCTCACACGATTAAGCATGCCGATTCTAGTAAGTCTTGATAGGATGGGAATCAAAGCTCGCTGCCGCCACCATATGGTGGGTCTTACTAAGGTCACGCTCTCCAAACAGTATTCCGCCTAATTTACACTTACTAGCAGTTTAACAACTTATTACTAAGTACATAAGCCTTGACACCTAATGGTAGAGGGTAGAAATCATGGTTTCCGCACCTTTCAAATTCTGATATTGGGAGTATCGTAAGGCATAGTTGCATTGTTTTATAGATGCTTTTGATGCTAAATTTGGAACGATGTGGATCTCCACATCCCTCTCGGCTACGTCAGAGAAAACGTACTGAGCTATCTATTCTGAGCTTTAGAGCCACAGCACTGACGCCAACAAGCTGAGGTCGGTGGGCCAGGGCGTCCGCGGTTCAGGCAGTCGTTTGCAATGATAGCACTTCCTTGTAGTTCAGCTGCTGCAATAACTGTGATGGCTACCTAAGTACACTACGTTCTCCATGTGCACGTAATATGCCCTCCCTATTCATGTTTATTTGGCTGCCTTGAGCTGCGTTTTCGTTGTGGCCGCCATCAACCAATCAACCGACCAAAATAGCTGTTTGACTTTTAAAACTGGTTGCCTAACCAGAGGCAGCATTCTTTTAGCGTGCGTGCGCGCCTTGCCGAGTACTACACGTACTTAAGGTGCCATCTCGAATTAGATCTCAAGTAATAGTCGATCCAGTATTACTCAGTTCTCATTTCACTCAATGATCAAGCCATCATGGCCCAAGAGACATTCAACTTTTCCGGCTTACCCATAGAAATCCGCGCCCTTATTTGGGAGGCCACTCTTCCTCCTCCGCGGATATTCCACATCAAGGGCACGGCAGAATTCGGTCTGGAAAAGGCCCTTACCTTCCACAAGCGGCATCCTCCACCCATCGCGCTCCGCATATGCTCCGAGTCACGTACTGTGGCCCTTCGCAATGGAGGCTTCTTCCTCGCTCATGTTGGCGGCGCAGGGCCGTGGTTTAATCCAAAGCGTGACATCTTGTATTTCGACCGCAACCAGCGCCACATGCTGCGCTCCAGAGGCGGAAAGTCTCGGATTCGTGGATGGGAACAGGCATTACACGTTGGGATAGAATGGAGAGCCTGGTTCCGAGACGTGCCACGGCAGACTGCCCCTGGAGATGAATTTATCCGCCTGCATTGGCGGAGCGTCGTGAGAGGACTTTATCTACATATGCCTGCACTAGAAGGTATTCACTATGTCCTTCCGAGAGTGCGCCACAAAGGAGGCGTTACATGGGGGCGGGAGCCATACGGCGTGACCAAGTATCAAGCCGAGTTGGTGCATTTACCAGAGACGACTGAGATACCATGGGCTGGTGCGGGACTGGGCATCCGAAACGCGGTGCACAATGGAGCAGCGGCAGGGAATGCGGCTCCAGAAGTCTTGGTGATCCCAGGCGTGGCCGAAGGGAGCAGGACGATGCTGAGCATGACTACGTGGGGAGATATCAAAGCCGATATGGAGAAAGCGCTGGAGGAGGAATTGAAGGGGGATCAAGAAGACCAAGTTGTCGAGCTAGATTGGACCTTGGTGGGTGAAGAGGAAGGCAATGTGGAGAGCAAAAAGTGCATATTTCCAGGAAATCAACTACCTGAAGTTGTGGGATGGTGGCTCTTGAGGCAAGAGGCGCCAATGGAAGAACACCCGAGTATAAGGGAATTTTTAACCTAGCATGAATCCACATCAATACCCAAATGCTCGTTATGCCATTAGTTATCCTATGCTACCCGTGTGGCCCCCGCCACTCTCGCGATGGCTACCCGATGAAGCTCTCGGCGCTACTCAGCTCGGTGTTAGAATTATAGTAGAATTCGAAGGCCAGAATTACGTAGTGCATGTGGTGGCAAGAATTAATTTATTATTATTTCTACTAATCCACGGGCTGCCCGTTTTGTATTACATCAGGTCGCAGGTATCTGCGGGTAGATTCTTGTGCCACTTCGTGTTTGCAACGGCACACCTCTGAGGTATTGGAGTGGTGTACGATACGAATGGATAAAGCCGTTAAGATGGAGCGTGAAATAGGCGAAAATCAATACCCTGGACGGAATAGGCAAACGTATCATGACTAACTATGACATAGTTGTAGGATTTCTCACCAAGGAGTTGGCTGCAGATTTGATGTGTTGGCGCGTTCATAGGCCGCCATGTTTATTTGTTCGAATCCTACAGACAAACGAGGCTGAAAGCGGATCACGGCCCACCAGTTAGACTGTGCGCCGCCGCAGTCGCTGCCAACTACACGGGTATCAATCCGCCAGTAATTTCCAAATACTAGCACAGATTTGCTCAGCGGATTCAGCTCAGGGGCCGATCGATGGTCTATGATGTGAGTTGGTTATTGAACAGTTGAAATTGGCCTGCAGGATGCAGATTGGAGACAGGGCTGAACCACACAGCCTATGGCCGGGGATCTAGGCGGCAAGAGTAAGACATGTAATATTAAAAACCACTTCTCATCTTCACTCTCCTTTTACTATTCATGTTAATCTACATAGACTTTCCAGTCATTAACAACCAAGCTACACATGCTTCTCCTACTTCTCTTTGCGCGGCTGTTAGCAGCATGGTCGCTTCCAACTAATGCCCCTCCAACACAAGTACGCGAGTTTGACCTTGTGGTGACTTGGGCTAAGCATGCGCCGGATGGCTTCTCACGTAATATGTTCTTGATCAATGAGCAGTCTCCGGGTCCTACAATTGAGGTTGAACAGAATGATTGGGTGATTGTGCGTGTCAAGAACAAATCCTGTTACAACACCACTATACACTTTCATGGTAAGTTTGCAATTGTATAATGCAAATAAGTGGCCACTAACATTGAATTTAATATGAAAAGGCATTGAAATGCTAGGCACGCCATGGTCTGATGGTGTCCCAGGGCTTTCCCAGCGCGCTATTCCACCCGGCGGCCACTTTGTCTACCAATTCTCAGCATCACAGTACGGCAGCTACTGGTACCACTCGCACTTTCATGGCCAGATAGAGGACGGTTTATACGGACCAGTTATTATCCATCCTCTTCCTGAAAGTCAGAAGCCCTTCCACTTAATATCTTCCGACCCTGTTGCTATTGCCGCAATGGTAAGGGCAGAGCGCAACGTCAAACCCGTTGCAATCGCAGATCTGAATCATTTCACCTCGGAAGAAAAATGGAATATGGCATTGGCTAGTGGTATTGAAGACTCGTGTTATGACTCAATATTGTTTAATGGCAAAGGACGCGTGCAGTGTCTTGCTGCAGCCGAAGTTGCAGCCAATTTGAGTGACGAACAAAAGGCTTATTTGGCGCTGGGTAACGCAACGTCCATGACAGACAAGTCGTAAGTTTCACATTTTGCTTTCATCCAAAAATACTTTATGCTAATTGTGACTAAGGTGCCTACCCCCGAAAGTGCTCGCTGCATTGGGCGACCCAAGCCAGAGCAATCTCTCTGCTATTCCAGCCGGAGCTTTTACCGGCTGCAAGGAGACCAAAGGCAGCATTGAAGTTCTTCGAACCCAGTATTCTGAACTGGACACCCAAAATTGGCTCTCATTGACCATCATTGGTTCATTAAACTTCATCACAGCGATGGTATCCATCGACGAGCACGATATGTGGATATATTCTATGGATGGCGCATATATAGAACCTCAAAAAGCACAAGCTCTTGTTTTAACCAATGGAGATCGTTATGGCATCATGGTTAATATTAAAAAAGTTGGAAAGTTCAATATTCGCTGCAATGCAGTGAGCGCTCCTCAAGTATTGACCGGTCACGCAATCTTGGAGGTACAGGGCTACGGCAAGAGCAACGAGAGCGAGTCGCAGCCATACATCAGCATCACAGGCGTACCATTATCGAAGAATGTGACGGTATTCAACCAAGACATAGCAGCGCCATTTCCACCGGAGCCAATTTCTAAGACGGCCGATGCGCTGTATAAGCTCAACATGAGGCTTGACGGGGCGTCTTATCTTTGGGCTTTGAACTCGACTCGTCTTATGCCCGCCACTCTCGATAGTGACAAAACACCTATTTTGTTTAAAAAGCCTGAAGTTGTGCATGACAATACAACTATTTCAACGCGAAATGGCACTTGGATTGACCTCGTATTGTTCGCCAGCACAATACCCATGCCGCCACATCCAATTCACAAACACAACAACAAAATATTTCAAATTGGAGGCGGCGATGGCGACTTTCCTTGGGCTTCAGTAGAAGAAGCTATAAATGAGAAACCGGAGTTATTTAATCTCATAAACCCACCTAGGAGAGATAGCTTCGCGTCAAGACCGGCGATTAACTCAACCACGTGGATTGTAGTACGTTATCAAGTTGTGAATCCTGGTGCCTGGCTGTTGCATTGCCACATTAGCAACCATCTCTTGGGTGGCATGTCGGTTATTATTCAAGATGGTGTAGACAAGTGGCCAAAAGTGCCTGAGAAATATTTAGATTGGAAATTTTGAGTTGACAAGAGTTTGATCCCTCTGCTGTTTTGTCGTAATAATCCAGATTTAACGGAGCATTGATTGAACCATTAATGCACTCATGCACTAATGCACTCATTTTTTTTAAAATAGAAAGCTAATAACTCATACTGTGATGCCTTTTTAAGCGATCAGGATACTCTTACCAAGTTATTCCATAAAGGTAAAGTGGTAGTAATGGTAATGGTAATATTACGAATATAAGAAACAGTCTAATTATAGTACCCAATGTCCAAACACCCAGATTATACCGACAAAAAAATGTCAATTCTAAATCCAAATATCGCTTCACCTGATGTAGCGCTCAACCTGAGCCTCGGTCCACTCCCAGAAGCTGGCTGCAATGCCAGAGCCTCCTTGAGACTTTGGTCTCGTACCGTCAATCATCTCCCTAGAGACATTCCAGAACTTACCCCACGGTGCGACTATAAATCTCAATTAGCTACTTAGATGTTTTTTTATATGAGAAGCAATGTCGCTTACCAAAAGTGCCCGATCTCTCGATAGTGACTTCAGGGGAGAAAGCAGCAAAGAGATTTGTATAAGCACCATAAATCGGAGGGTATAAAAGTGTCTTTCTCAAGATACATGTCATGAGGGCACCTTGAGTGCGCCAAAAGTCTGAATCGAGGTTACCAGGGTTCAAAGGAATGGAGATTATTCCATTATCCTTGTAGCGGGCAGCAAACTCTGCGGCATGCCAGTAATTTCCTAGCTTGCTGACACAGTATTGTTCAAAAGCTCCCAGCTTTTCCACCTGGGATAAGTTTTCAATATAATCTTTGGTCGAAACAGCCTCAGCTGCTGAAGATGAAACCCATATGACACGAACAGAGTTAACTGGCGCAGTTTTAGCGGCTGATATGAGGGAAGTTGTCAGGGCTTTTGTGAAGGTAAAGGTTCCAAGGCAGTTTACGCCCAGCTGAAGCTCGTAGCCCTGCTTAGATTTACTACCCTTCTCTGGATACCCAACACCAGCATTGTTAAAAAGTAGATGGAGGTTCTGCTCTCGACGCAAAAATTCCTCTGCGGAAGCTTTGGCACTGGGGATGTCAGAGAGGTCAAGCTTCAAGTAGAGAAGTTCGCCCCTTGAGCTTGGGACGGCGGCCTTGATGCTGTCGATGGCTTTGTTGGTCTTTTCCTCGGATCGTGCCATCATGTATACCTTGGCGTTCTTGGAATAGACGATCTGGGCAATTTCTTTACCGAGGCCAGTATTGGAGCCAGTGACAATAATAGTCTAAAGCTCAACATTAGCATTTATAGCTTTCGAAATGCTACGTGTGAAGAGTCAAGACGTTACGGACTTTTCCTTGTAGGTCAGGAACATCTTTTTCCGTAAAGGTGGGAGCACCCGGAAAAGACTGTTTCAGAAAGCTGATGGTGCCAGGCATTCTGATAGATAAGTTCTTGGCGATAGAGATGAGCTTTATGTTGAGTGTACTGCTAAAGACTCTAGAGAAGAGAATAAAGCCGGGCTGCAACTACTGTTATTTGTGCGAGCTGAGTTGTTGGTGTGAGTGTGAAAGATTGTCCAAAGAGTTGGGTGCGCCCAAGTCCATTATATAGAATTTGTACGCTTTTTCATAGTTATCTATATCGTTAATTGATGACAGCTTCACAGATCCTTTCTAGGCACTCTAACCATAACTGAGCGCCGTGCCAGAGATGGTGTAGCGGCCAATTGTGGAGGCGCGGACAAGACGGGGTCCGAGCCCAGAACTACTTATAAGGAGAGAATCGGAGATAACATAAAGCCTTTGCTACAAGGACGAGGCAACGATGCCACACCTGCTGAATCAGCGCTCACAACGACAATATATAGTAAAAGGTACATAGGAATTTAGTAATTATACAATCCAAATACGCCATAAAGTACTAATTAGTACTTAAATACTTGTGATGTTGGGAATGTTTATATTTACTCTACGGGGTGCAAATAGGGCATCATGCGATGTCTGCCGAGTATTGTAGCGGCGTGTATACAGGATTGTAAATCATGGATACAAACAGCAGGTATATGTGCATGATGGTAAAGCTACAAAATTTTTTTCAACATAACCAGGCTATTAAAAGTCGTTGCACATATACATTCAGACCAGCCGAGGGTTAACTGATAGAAAATGCTTGATCAAAAAGCCTACGCGCAGCATTAAAATGGACAATGGCAGCTAACTAGAGCTATTAGCAATCTTGTGTAGTAATGTAGACATTCTGACTTATTTTTTCTGTCAGGTTTATTGTACTTCTCAGCCGTCTCTTAATTAGAATATCTAGTGACTCGGACGCACATGCAGATACATTCATATGTTGCTTCTGCACGGTCGGCCCGCCCAGCTGGTAGCGAGCTCCACTTCGGGCCGCACCTCTCCCGCGAGCTTCCACATGGCTTCACTGGAAAGATTGTTGATTGGTGAATGAGCTGCCTCAGTGGATTCTGAGGTTGCAATGAACATATATTTCGTTTAAAATTGTTTTTTGCGCTGATAAATGGCGATAAGAAGCGGACATTGTCACGGATTTTAGAAAACAATCCTGCACTTGTTTTTCTTGATCCTGCTCTACGGACTTCGACGTTGGAATCCTGGGCCATGAAAATTCCAGAGTCTGAAGGATTTGTTTCACCCTACCAATCCTCCACCTCAAGTACTTTTCTTGTTGAGATTGACTTTCTTTTACTTTCTTCTTTCTTTCTTTCTCCTTCTTCACTATTACATCAAGAGAACGCTCGTTCCTTCAATCTAGTTGAACATGAGTAGACCGCAAAGCTCGATCAAAGCTTGCAAAGAAACGAAGCCTGGTGCTGACACGAATCATACACACTACATCATTGACCCCCCATATCGGCTTTACTTCATCGACATCTTATCAGTCTTAATTCAGATGCTAAATCCAAGAGAGAATCGAACGACACGAGTTGCGGGAGTGGAGATATACCAATTTACGCTGCCAACGGAAGAAATGTATACTTCAAGCATCGAAGCGCGACGTTGGCCGACACTCACATGGCAGTTCTGGGTTTGTCCACGATATGTAAAATATCCCCTCCGCAATAGTGCCAGTGCTGACTGCTGTCTGGTTGGATCTGCACCCCGCTGGCTGAGTGGAGACGGTGGCTTACATGCACGTGCTGCTGTTCGTCCCCTCTGCAAAACGGCGAAACGGGCTTTCGTGCGATACATTGTTATGTCTAAACCGAGCTTCTATTGGTACTCCAAAATCGATTTGCGGGCATACGTATGCAGTCTTGATTCTGCCTTGACAACGGTATTATGATATCCTAAGTAGAATGCAGTGGCCAAGGACAGGTGGATGTTTTGCGTCCTTGGCTAGCAGATGTAGAGGAGTTTAGTAACCCGTTTGGGGTTACGGCCCGTCAGCTCGTACTCACACCTCCCACTGACGCCAGCGAAGCCCGAACAAATACTCCTCATAATACGCGATCAATGACATTCACTTGTGTATGAGCCGCACACTGAGAGTGGACAACTGCTAAGCATGTACATATCTATTACATGTGTGTCTTGGCGCATTTGATGTGAAATTAACAGTTCAGCGTTGAAAGCCCCAGCGATGAGTACGGCAACAAATGAGGTCTCCAACGAGGAGCCAGCAACCCTCTCATCCATGGCTGGTCACGAGGAAGACATTAATCACCAAACTGTAGAGGAGGCAGCATTAAAGAGCACAGCGGTATCAACGCAAAGAATAAGCTCATCTCTAAGAAGGCGCGCGTGCGACACGTGTCGAGCGCGCAAAGTCAGATGCGATAGACAGGATCCACCGTGTAATAGATGCGTCAAGATGGGAGTAGCATGTCACTATTCTGGCCGAACGAAGCCGACAAATTCCAGGATGGGCATGTCGAGATTTCTTGAGACGTTGAATAACAGACTCAGTGAGTGTTGTTGTCTCGAGGCGGTGGTGGGGCACATGACATGAGGAGCACTGGTGGCTGATGTTTCCCTCAGAACAAGCAGAGGCCCAGCTGGCTTCTACACATTTGATGCAGCAGAATCAACCGCAGTTTTCAGTGGCATGGAGAGACGTTGACCGCACTGGACTACCAACAAAACCCTCGCCACCGCATAAAACCCCATCCCAAGAAGAGGCCCAATCGCACTGGAGTTCTGTGCCCGCTCCTACATATCCTACATATGACCTTCAAGAATCAGACGATCTGTACAATAAACAGTTGTCCCAGCAGACAGCAACAAGGTGGTAAGGCAGTTCAAGGCCACCTCGCAAGATTACTCAATATTTATAATTCTCTGAGCTAGGTTCAACCAAATGAGCGTCACCACATCAGCTACATCAGCTAAAGAGGCCTCAGCGTTCTTACCGCTCGACACTTTTATAGCTTCCAATTCTGAGACTATCATGATGGCTCAGACCATGTTGGATAACCAACCTTTAGAATTTGAGCCTACAATTTTTGACATCCCAACACCGACTACTGAGCCTATGCCCACGGTCTTGGCTACAATTCTGCAGAAGCTGTGGGTATAAGCGATCTTGTTTAATAATGATCTGAGCTGAAAAAATGGCAGCTATGAACGATACTTTGAAATTTTCCATCCCATAATTCCCATTATCAACCGAACTCGCTTTGAGCATGAACTATCGCAGCCATGTCCCACCGTTGAGTTGCAGGCTCTGTCCTATGCCATGGGAGCCTTGGCGGCATTTTCTGTGCCAGAACTGCAGGACTATGCAAGTTTTTATCATGAACAGGCTCGCAACCTTATTGACCTTTGCGAGAGGCAAGAGAGTGGTGATTCATTGGAGAATATCAATATTCTACAAGCTTACGTGATATTGACACTATATGAACTTAAGCAGCCAAACTTCGCTCGAGCCTATCTGACACTGGGTCGCGCAATCAAGCTAGTTCAAATATTGGGCTTAGACAATGCGAAAAGCGATTCCCGAATGTATGCACGATGGGGCCTAAGTAAACAGTCCAGTCATTCCATCAGTCCGGCAGAGCAAGAAGAGAAGCGGCGAGTTTTCTGGAGCCTCTTTATTTTTGACTCGTTTGCCAGCCTCAGATCAAACATCTGTCCAACCTTTACAGGAGTCGTGAGTGCTAGACGTGCCTTCCAACTGGCTGCTTGTTCCAGCTAACGATACCACCTAGATTAATGTTCCGCTCCCCAGCTCCAGCGAGTATCCAGACTTCTTGGATGAAACGATGCCGAGGCTGGATGAAGTATTTGGGCTAACGGAAACTATTTCACTGTCGTCATTTGCAGCCGACACCCTTATGATTTCTCTTTACCAGCGCTACTTTAGACATATTGAGTCCTCTTATGATGAGACATCGCAGGGATTCTGGGAGACTCACTATGCTATTGACAAAGCCGTCGAGCATTGCCGAAAAACTTTGTTAGCGCCGCATATGAACGGCAACTGTGGCAATGATCCACTTGCCATAGGGCTGCGAATGAATCTAAACACCCTAAAGATCAATTTGCACGAGACAGCGCTTTTTAGGGTCGAGAAAGATCAGCTGCCGGAGAATCTTGCCGTGGAAGCAAACTCCAAATGTGCCTTTGCCGTTATCGACATTGTTAAAGCTGTTCAGGTGGGCATGCAGCTGACGGGCAGTAGAGCGGTTACTTTCCGACAGCTGGACCGATTCTTTGTCTGGCCTATTACGACTGCCATCCAAGTATGTTTCCGAATGATATACAATGGAGCAGACGACTTTGCGTCCTATATCAGTTTTCTCCGCATCCTTTCCCATGCAATGAAGGAAATTATCGACCCGGAACAAATCTCTCCGGGGCTGTTAGAGAACGCAGAAGCCAGGATCGCGGATGCGGCACGAAGTGTACGGAAGAAGTGAATCGTTGATGACAAGCCATGAATTTTATCTGGAAATAGTCCCGCTTGTTCTTTATGTATTTATTTGTTTATTCCCCCTCTTCTTTTGCCTACATATCACACTGTAAACTTGCGTTAACTCTTTAAGGATGAGTCTATTATATGAATAGTGAAGAATGATCCTGGTGGAGGTCTATCGTCTTACGACTGTTTCTTCCAAGCAAGAAAGCTGCTAATGCACACCACCCAAGATAGAATAAGGTAAAGAAGCTATTCTTCACTCTTTCACTTTAACCTCTTGCCACAACGTTTCAGGCAAATTATCCCTGTCAACATCAAATATATGTGGCAGTACCGTTGGCAGCGCTTCAGATTTTAGCTCTGGAAAGTCGGCTTCGATTATTGCCAAGAGCTCATTGTACCATATTCTGTAGCCCTTACCAGTTAGATGAATTCCGTCGTCTAATACATCTTTCAGTACCGTCTGGCTTGTACCGAATATGCCTGGCACTGGCTGTCCTTCTTGCCATCCCACGTGCGACATCATCGTATGCCACATGTCGATGAATGGCACACCACAGCGTTTTGCAACGGCTTTTGCGGCTTCCGAGTATTTCAAATTTCTCATCACTCGGTTGTATACGGGAGGTTCAAGCATGTTCTCGTCAACAGGCCCTGGGCCCACCAATATGATTCTCTCAACGCCTGCGTTTCTGGCTTGCTCCACAATCCACTGGAGATTTTCGCTGTATTTTTCCACTGGCACGGTTTGTATATCACGCTCCGCGGCGTCGTTTGTGCCCATCTCTACCACCAATAACTTGATCGCCTCTCCAGCTGCTGTTTCCGCACGCAATGTGGGCAGCAGCGCATGTTTCAGATGCATCGAGCTGTAGCCTCCATATCCTCTTGCAACCACGGCAAGTTTGCGAAAATAGTAATGCTGTAGTGCAGGCGTGAGAGCAAATGAAAGTGTGTGGATGTTACTGCTAAGTTCTGTGAGGGAGTCTCCAAAGAGGAGGATTTTGTCGTGCGTAACTCGCCGAATGGCCAGAGCCGATGGCTCATTATTTTTGCCGGCCGCCGTCATTTTGCTTTTAGTTATATGATTCGTTTTCTAAAGTATACAGTTGTAGAAATCACGATCAGGAACAGATAAAACTAGTCATGAAGTTTCGAATTTACTTCCCAGTCGCAATTGCTCTTCTTCCGATCCGGAAATATATTCGGCAAGATACAAGCAGCTAGGCAGAGGCGCTAACAGGCAGATGAGACCTATTAATTCAAGGCCATTTTCGCAACTCCTCATGAGCAGATCCAGTTAAAATGCTGCAGTAATTCAACAGTGTCAAATTGCTTCATTTGTCATATAGCATGGCACTTCTAATGATTTTACTATTCCTTTCAATTGTTTTTGTCTGTGCAGGTCTTTTAGGTCTCGGTCAGCAAGGGAGCTTGGCAGCCAATCAGCTTCGGTTATTACTTGGGAGGGCTGAGATAGGATCAAAACAAAGAAATGCCTATTCCGAGGAGTCTAATTTCCTCTCGCATATTACTTAAGAGATTGCGTGATTATCTGTGCATCATCCTACGAGGCCTATATTCCATTTAAATATTGCACTACTTATATGGATATATATTACTTAGACGACAGGCTAGCCTGGTCTCAAATCTCGCCATTTTTGCTATCGTTTGGGCAAGGCTTGACATACAGCCTCACCCGAGTCCTCAAAGCTCTGGGGCTAAAACAAGCGAGAGCCACGCAGTAAGCACGTATTTAGATCTATCCGCAATTTACTAGACTCGATACGCAGATCAAATCCGCGCATCCCCAGGTAACAGCTGTACTGCCCATATCATCACATTGATAGGTTTTGGCTTTGTGTTCTCGTTCATGCGACAACTCTCCTATTGTATGCACCTGAGGGCCGGGTTTAATGTCGTAGAGATCCCAGGGCAGAATCCGAGACATGCACCAGATGCTACCCTCCACATTCCACAGCAGCTCCCCAATCCTTCAAGCCACTCAGCATCTTATTTCCGAACAGTTCATGACATCTTCGATATAAAGCGTCATAGCGCCATTAATCCAAACATCAAATAAAATCGCGGCACAACAAAAGTCGTTTTTGCATAAACGCTCACAAGCTCGCGATACCATGGCGGACCTCGGCTTTCACCAACCCCTTGCAATGAGCTGAGACATACATACATACACATACGTAAGCGCCTCTCATATGGCACACGCAACAACACGAAATATCACCTTGTACAGCAGCAATGCCTGCAAAGCATGTTTTTGTACGGCTCCCGCGGGTTCGTCACGCCCTCCGTCCGTGCCGTCCCCCGCATCGGCTGTGGCCAGTCAGAATCAACCAGCCAAAGATCTTCCCCAGCATGTGAAGATCGCACTAGAAGATGCAACATCGTTGGCATCATCCAACCCAAGAGGCGAGGGTCATCAGCAGCGTTTGTCCAGAAGGGGGAAGAGACGAGATTCCAAGCGGTCAGTCCATATAACCCGATTCCGTTCCATTGAGACACAGTTATGCAGCTATCCGACAGTTGTAGCAGGTTGCAGCGAGGCACAAACGCCAGCCAGCAAGCTGGACTTGTGCTCCATCTTTGCAAATTGGTTTTCACTAACCCTTGCAGAGGAGACTAGGGCGGCTTGGTATGGCACCATATAACCGCCGCCATTGGCACTGTTCAAAACTAGCGTGTGGAGAGTCACAAACGACACAATTTACTGCACAAACGGGACCGGATTAAGGACGAGAGCCCGTCCAGGCCATTGAGTTGATCCGTCTCTCCTGCTGTTTTCTTAGTTGGCGTTTGTGCCAAACTATTTTGTCAAGCTTTCGTTCCCCGTATATAGCCGCTCTATGACCACAACTCTTTTGTCATAGTAAACTAAACAACTAGATTAGCCGAGAGTGAGAGTTTTTATCTTTTATTTCTCGCAAACGTTATCTCGACTCATTTCTTCATTTCTCTACTTTACGTTACATTGTCAGTTTCATAGTCAATATGCAGCTGGTTCTTGCGACGGGCATTGTAGCCGCAGCATTAGCTGTTGTCTACATCTTCAACCAAATCCGCGAGATTCTCTATTATAGAGCTCGGGCCAGGGAGCTCGGATGCGATTCGCCTCCATGGATGTCAACATTTGACCCAACTGGTATAGCCGATTTGGTAAAAGGTGTCAAGGCGAGCCGTAGAAAGCAGTTTCCCACTTATGTTCAGAGCAATTTCGAGCGGGAGGCAATCAAACATGGCCGCACGGTGGGCACATTACGCGTTAGATCGCCGTTCTTTCGGGAAACAATTGTGACGATGGATCCTCGGAATATCCAGACTATTCTAGCGCTCAAATTCAAGGATTTCGGCTTGGGTGTAAATCGGACAGAAAATTTCGAGCCTTTGCTTGGACACGGAATTGTGAGTCTTGCTCTATGAAAACCCCATGTGTGCTCAACAACACATGTGTGCTAACTACTCTTCTCGGCAAGTTCGCCTCAAATGGCAAATACTGGGAGCATTCTAGAGCATTACTGCGTCCACAATTCAATCGCGGCCAAGTGAGTGACCTCAGCCTAGAGGAAGATCATGTCAGAGCTTTTATGACAGTACTCGACCGCCATGTTAAACCGGATGGCTGGACAAGTCTGGTGGACCTTCAGCCTCTGTTTTTCAGACTCACGCTCGACTCTGCAACCGAATTCCTCTTCGGGGAGAGTGTGAACAGCCAACTCGTGGATCACCAACCCAATTCTGATGATGATGTCAACTTCGCATATGCCTTTGATAGAGCACAGTATACTCTTTCCATTGGAGCGCGACTGGGCCCCAATTACAAGCTGGCGCATACTTCCGAGTTTACGCGGATGGTCAAGAGTGTGCACGATTTTGTCGACTACTTTGTCCAGAAAGCGCTTGCTGAAGGCGCCAGCGAGAAGAAGTCTGCGGATGAAGGAAGATATGTCTTCCTCAAAGCACTAGCCAAGGATACCCAAGACCCCGAGGAGCTGCGATCCGAACTTCTCAATATCTTGCTTGCCGGTCGAGATACTACTGCTTCGACTCTAGGATTTTTCTTTTATACCATGGCCGACCCTCGGTACTCACACATCTACCGACGCCTGAGAACCATCATCCTGGAAGAGTTTGGAACATATTCCAACCCCAAGGAAATCACATTCGAGAAGATGAAAAGCTGCCAGTATCTCCAATGGTGTTTGAATGAGTGCCTACGCCTCTATCCTGCAGTCCCCATGAATGTTCGAACCGCCCAAGTAGATACAACGCTGCCTGTGGGGGGTGGCAAAGACGGACAGTCACCAATCTTTGTGAGAAAGGGTCAAGACATTGGCTATTCTGTAAGCAAAATTTCCCACGCCCCTAGTTTTAAGGCTTTCCCGTCTAATATCGTCGTCAACTAGGTTTTTCTGATGCACCGCCGCAAGGATATCTGGGGCCCCGACGCAGAGATCTTTAAGCCAGAGAGATGGGAAACGCGACGGCCAGGCTGGGACTATCTCCCATTCAACGGAGGACCAAGAATCTGCATTGGTCAGCAATTTGCACTTACAGAGACAGGCTATGTCGTGATCCGATTGATGCAGCGCATTGACAGCATCGATGGATCACAAGCTGGCCCGGTTTCTCACGGCTTAACTTTGATCAACTCTCCCGGTGAGGGTGTTAACGTCAAATTGCATTTTGCCGAGTAGATATCTGAGCTGTGACATGAAAAGTTTCTTTTTTTTCCCCTCTTTTCCTAGTTATATAATTACTCTATTTACTTGTTTCAACATCGATGCCCAGAAAGAAAATGAAGCACCAGATGAGACTTAGAAGCTACCTATAAACGACATAAGAGCTAATATTGCATATGATAGCTTGCGAATATGATAGTATAGTTTCATTTAGGAGATTGAATGAAAAATGATTATTTATGGCAATGCCTCGGTTTTTCATGGCGTGTATCAGTGCCGTTTGCTTGTATCCAGCCCAGACCAGATTAGAAAACGACACCCCGCACCATTATTCCTGCAGGATTCTGGCGAGGCAGACGCGGAATAGATGCAATCCGCCTGGCCAGGACTTCACGGCAATTTAAACCCTCCCCAATGCTTTCTCAAGTAGGATATCAAACTCTCTTAATCTCTCCTTGTTGCTTACCTATTGTCAAATATTTATGTAAGGTATTCCAACGTAGTATTGTGTAGCCAGAGATAATATATGAATGATTTGCCTCACAATGTGAAATGTAGCATGCACGTCCATTTGTCTAGCCGTGTTGTGGCCATCGCCGTAATCTCTAAATCATTCCTTTGGCGCAGAGCTACCCTACAAACTTCTTCGCTTTTCTGAATATGAAAATAGAGAAACGGTACCGGACTTTATCCCGTATTCTTCACAAAATAGGCCAAATGTAATGAAAATTATTTTACTTGAGTTGACGGGCGGCTTAAAATAATGGGAGAACAATTCAAAATAATAGAATATCCTTTAATATTATTATTCATAATTACAGGGGCTATATTCTTAATGTCAACTAATGATTTCAAGATTGCCATCTTCACATTATCTAAGATTGCTGCTTTAACCCGCTCTAAGATTTACCATATGCAATCCAGGATTGCCACCGAGGTTTTACTCCTCTACAGGAGATAATTGACACTGCGACAAATGGGATCAAAGTTTTAAAGACTACTTTTAAGCATATTACTCGAATAATGGATCCCCATTTTTCCACCATAGAAGCAGTTATGTGAAGTATTTGCGAGTGTCTACATTGGAACCGTCAGATCACAGCGAACTCGCAGATGGCGGGGGCATTTTAGGTATTTTTATCCCGCGTTTATGCAGATAACTGGGGATTGGTGGATTTGCAAAAGGGATATAAATGGGGCTGTTTCGTTATCCGTAAATTGTGAAGATCAGCAATGCTCTGGAGCTGGCCGCAATGAATTGATCTGCAATTAGAAGCATCTTAGGAGATGGCAAAGGCCTTAAACTTTATCATTTTTGAGACAGATTGTTTATTTTTATAAAAGACAGCCAAGTTTTATGAGTCATTACATAAGGCTTCTGCTAAGGCTTCTGCGCATGTATAAATCCCCAGATTACCCGTCAGCTATCCCAAGGGAGCGGTAGCGGTGCAGTATGTCGCACCTCTCCCTTGTTCGCTAGAGACTTGGCTTTAATTTCTCCGGCTTGGCCGGCTATTCTTATTCTTATTCTTATCAATATGCCGCAATATCTATTAACTGTCACCCGCCGCACCTTTTTGATTTGAGGTTATATTGATCCATTGGCAGTTATTCAAGCCGTTGCTGGTCCTTAATAACACGGGAAGCCAATAATCAATGAAAGAATGAGCATATCTATCTCCCTTTGTCGTAAACAAACGGCGATCTGCCGCAGCTGTCTTGATAGTATCTTATTGGCCTGGGATCTTGATCCGCCCATGAAATTTGAGGCGCAGTCGGGCAAGCCTTTATCCAATGGCTAGAACATTCTTTCTGCCTAGACTCTGTTTTCGAGAAATCTCCACCTTCCCCATGATATCTAGCTAACACGCCGGAGCAAGCAGTGGAACGCGCGTCGGTCTTTTTGGACGGCCAGAGAACTTTTCGTTGCGCTTGTTGCGCTCCTTTCTGTTCTTTTCCTTGTTTCTTCTGCTTTCTCTTGCTCATTTTTGTACCCGCGCTCGTGCTTGTCTTCATATGGCGATGGCGACAAAGGTACCTGTACTTCCTCCTGTCATCTAAACACTAAACAGGGGCTGCGGCTGATCCTTGTCTTTATCGGAAAGTCCCTGTGATGATGGCATTTCAAGGAAGTTGAGCCGCCTCCCTTGCGCCACTTTATACAGCGGTAGTCAGCATTGATTTGACAACTCCATTATGCCCATTAATGCTCCAGGGCTATGACGAGTCCTAGCTTATCTCCAGCTCCTCCAATCCAAGAATACTAATCCTTGGTGGATGTGACTGAAACGCCGGAAGGAAGTGAAGGCCGTGTCTTCGTTGGCTATCGTCAGTGGGGCAACCCACCAAGATCATCCGGGCTGATCGTCCCTTCTTGGCGATGTTTATAGCAGATCGTCAAAAGGCCTCACCAGGCAGTTTCATCTTCTTGGCAAGTGCCCTGAACATCGTATGAGGATCTCCGGTATGACAGGCAGTTCAAACTTCTGAATGGAGCATAAGTTCCCGGATCCTAAGAGTACTGCTATTTCCAGATGGGCCCATACTGAAGCATAAGCTACGCTCCTTTCTGCCAGTCATTGCGTCAATCCAAACTATGCTTAACTCTTCGGACCGGAAACCGCAGCTGAGATTCGTTAATATGGGCTGAGGTTGCAGCTTATCATAATACCTAGATCTCTTTGAGTAAAACACGCTTGCGTGCTATCGGTCTAGCATTTAAGGCATCATACGTACTATTATTGGTCGCCTCCACTGTCTCCACGACTTGCATGCCTTGACTACACTTGCTGCTAGCAGCATCAAAGAAGCCTTTCCGAACTGACTCGCAAAAGTTCTCCAATGGCATCACAACCAACTGCCCAATTAGGCTCCCTGATGAGGCATTGCTGCATCGTGAGTTCTGGGGAGAGCGGTGTCAGATGTCTATCATCGTAACCTTATGTCGTCTCAAGCATTTTGACCTTCTATTCTCGTACTGGTTTCCCGATCAAAAGGACTTTTACGATATCTCGTGTCGGAATTATCGTGGTGTTTCTTGGCGGGAGTTACTAACGTCGATCTTTAGGGGAGATAAAAAAAAAAGGATAAATAAGGGTTGACAATCTCGCCTAAGGAGAAATTACAATTCGTCTCTCATCAGCATCTCCAGAACTACCATAGATCCACTTTCATTTCATTCTATTTAACCAATTTCTTCCTTCCAAGTCATTTGGCTTTTCTTCCATTGTTCAAGCATACTTCAAGATGCAGCCCACCACGTCCTTCGGCAGTTTCCTCGTCACCTTCCTGTCTGCCTCTTTGGCAGCAGGTAGTGCCATTCCTTACATGGCTCCCCAGCCTGGCTCTTTCGAGATTAAGAGAACCGCCAACACCGGCTTCACAGGAAAGAATGGTGCTCTCGCTCTAGCTCGTGCTTACGCCAAGTACGGCGTCCCAGTCTCCGACACTTTGATCGAGGCTATCGAGACTATCAAGTCTGCCCAACTCATCAAGCGTAGCAGCGGCAATGCCACCGCCACCCCGGATGGCGATGATCTTGAGTATCTCGTCCCTGTTCAGATTGGTACTCCTCCCCAGACTCTCAACCTGGACTTCGACACCGGCAGCTCCGACCTCTGGGTCTTCTCCAGCGAAACCGATTCTAGCTCTGCTCAGGGCCACAGCATCTACAACCCGGGTAAGAGCACTTCTGCCCAGAAGCTGGATGGTGCTACCTGGTCCATTACCTATGGAGATCAGTCTTCCTCCTCCGGTGATGTCTACACCGATGTCGTCACTGTTGGCAGCCTGACCGTCAAGTCTCAGGCCGTTGAGTCGGCCCAGAAAGTCTCCGATCAGTTCGCTCAGGGCAAGAACGATGGCCTCGTCGGCCTTGCTTTCAGCTCCATCAACACTGTTAAGCCCACCCAGCAGAAGACCTGGTTCGACAACATCTCCGGAAGCCTCGATGCTCCTGTCTTCGTTGCCGATCTCCGCCACCAGACTCCCGGCAGCTACATCTTCGGAACCATCCCCTCCGACGCCAGCAACGTTCTCTACGCTCCCGTCGACAACAGTCAGGGCTTCTGGCAGTTCAGCACCAGCAGCGATATTGGTGGATCCTTCAACGCCATTGCCGATACCGGTACCACTCTTCTCCTCGCCAGCGACGACCTCGTCAGCGCTTACTACAAGAACGTTCAGGGTGCCCGCCAGGACCAGCAGCAGGGTGGATACGTTTTTGACTGCAGCGCCACTCCCCCAGACTTCACCTTCACTGTTGGAGACGGCAAGATCACCGTCCCCGGTAGCCTGATCAACTACGCCCCGGCCAGCGGCAGCGAGTGCTTCGGTGGTATCCAGTCCTCTGGTGGTCTTCCATTCGCCATTTTTGGTGATATTGCCCTCAAGGCTGCCTACGTCGTCTTTGACAGCGGCAACACCCAGGTCGGTTGGGCTCAGAAGCAGTAAGCGATGTTTTCTAATTGTTAGTGTGCGAAATGGGTTGAATATCTCATCGGAACGTGGTCGGATAAACAATGACAATGGTCACTATGAGAAAGAACGAACGGCCATAGAGCCTACAGATTTTGATGTACATTATATTTTTCACAATTTTAGATTCATTATTGAACTTGTCAATACAAGCATTTTCATTACATATCCAGATCTTTCATGTTCTTGTAATGGTGTATCAATAGACGACCATTATTTTAATAATACGTTTAGCGTAAGAGCATGCGTCAGATGTCTTTATTATATAAGCTTAAATGTCATGCATGTGAACAATATTCTCCGTATACTGAGAAAAGCGCAATTAGGCAATTCTATGGAAGACATAGATAGCCACTGTTATTTAATGAATGCGTCCCACCTGCTTAGTATGAACTGAACCCATTCTGATTCTGCTGCCACTGTTGCTGCTGCTGACCAGCGCCATGCCATTCATCATTCATTTTTGGCTCTCCCCTAGGTTTCATCTGTGGATTGCCTCCCATATCATAACCTTGTGACTCATTATGCCCTACTGGAGGGGAAGGGTAGGGCCCTTGAGTAGTGTAGTTGGGACTGTTTGAACCACCGGGTCCTTTCAGCGGCATATGCCCTGAATGCTGTGAGAATTGTTGCTGCGGGGGGTGTCCATGAGGCGGCTGCATCGACGGTTGATATCCAGAGGTAGGAGGGCGTGGCTCTACATTACTCGACCATCCTCCAGGTCCTTGTCTTTGCACCGAGTTCGGGTTCATGCTTACAGGTGCTTGTACGGGCCGCTGCCACGGGTAACTCCCCGTTCTGGGCAAATAGCCAGGACCTTGAGGCTGAACAGCAGCCATATAGGCATTAGGCGCTCCTCTGGCGTGAGGATTCCAGTCATCGTCTCTCTCATACCGGTCGTGGGCGAGATAGCTATCTGTATCACCAAGGCATGCCACGCGGTACTCATCATACCTCCTAGTAGTTTCCTCTACCTTCTTGAAGTGCTTTGATGTGAGTTGTTTCTGTAGCCCCTCTGGTCTTTCACCCATGTCTCCCTCGTAATGCGCAAGTGAGCTTGCAATCAAAAAAGCATTGCGTATCTGTCGTCCGTTCCATCTTCCAATACCGTCTGTGTGATTTCTCCAGTGGTCGCTGGCAAAACTAGTGATATCGGCCTCATCGATGAAAAGCTTGTTATGTCCGGGAGCCTTGGCGGCCTGGTCTTCGATTTCTCTCAGTCGCTGGATGTTGAGTTTGAAGATTGCAACCACCTGCTCCTCGGTGAGGAAGTTGTAATGAAGGTTCAAGTGCACACGCGATTTAACTGCTTCGTCAAGAACGCCAGGCCGGTTCGTGGTTAGGAACAGAATGCCGTTGTAATATTCGAGCATTCGCAGGAACACTAAAAGAGATTGAAGTTGAATGTTAGCACTTCTTTTTTTTTTTTTTAAAAAAAAAAACTAAAAAAAAAAAAAAAACTTTACATGTCCAAAGTTAAAAGCCTGAGAGGCACGATATAGTAAACACTTACCAGAGACTAAAGCATTCCTTTCCAAATCTTTCCTATCTCTCTGTGTAATAAAGACATCCGCTTCGTCCAGAAGAAGAACGCAATCCCACAGGTGAGCCAGACGAAATATCTCGCTCAAGGATCTTTCCACGCTCTCAGGCGTGAAGCCCAAGTCTCCACATGTGATGGGGAACAGAGGCTTCTCAAATTTCTGCGCAACTGCCTCAGCAGTGGCTGTTTTACCAACGCCAGGCACACCAAAGAGCAAAATTACTATCCCTTTGCCTTTCCCGCGAATGAGATCTTGGGTTGCAATCTCAACAGTGCCTTCGTTGGCCCTCTTTTTGAAATGAGAGTAGACTAGCGATTGAATAAGCGTCTTGTGTTCGCCGGGAATCTGGAGACTATCAAAGGCCCTGTCCTTGTCTTTGAGCTCGGGGAACGAAACGTCTCGAACGTCAACCTGGACGAATTTGCGCTCCCAAAGGGCATATGCAAAGAGTCTTCTAGGTAAAAGTGCCAGATTGTCGCCTTCAAGTTCTCCAATCTCAGTCTCGTTTTCGTTGTCTTTCTTTTTCCTCAGAAGCAAATCTGTTTCGATAAAATCATTCATCTGGAGTATATCAACGCCGTCCTCAGTAATCAATTTGTCTTCCCATGCATCCTTGAGGTTGGTGCGCTTTTCATCATGCCACTCTTGTAGCGGACTCTCATTGTCAACTGATATGACAACTCTGTAAGTCAGCGGGTCGACTGCCAAAATGTCGGGCTTCCATGAAGGATCTGTATTATAGGCTTCCTCAAAGTCGACGAGAATCTCACTTTCGATATGCTCAGGGCTTGTCATGACTCTTCCATTTTTGTCCTCGATGGATTGGCCTAGAGGCGTTTTAATGAGCGTCCAGCCGCGGTAGAAGCTGTATCTCTTGTCAGGGTCAATGTGTTGGATGAACTTGCTTCCGAATTGTCGGCCTCTCTCCATTATCTCATCTCGCTGTTTGACGTATCTCATAGGATAGCAGGGCAGCTGTGTGATTTCGCGCTCTCCTTCGAATGAGGGAATCTCGATAGTCCTACCAACAGCTGAATAATTCTGTCCGTCGTAGTCTATGTGGTAGCACGATATTGACCAAGTTGAGTCCATTTTCAGGCAAGATTCACAGTTGCAGCCATCAATAACCGTTTGCTTGAAAGGTGCTCGATATATCCTCCATATCATCTGGTCAGTATGAGATCCTCTGGTGTTGTGGGTGGACGACGACCCTGAGACCATTGCACCACCATCTCCAAACCCAGCTTGGAGACTCTGAAGCACGCTGTCCCAGCCCATGGGGATTCGAGCACGAACACCGCTATTGAGATTAGGTACATAGACTAGGTCTCCAGGCTTAAACAGATACCATAGAAGGTCCCATCTAATCTTTGTAGGCGCAGTGTTTATGTCTTGGTCTTGAAAGCGCTGATACTCTGGCATCACCTGTTCATCTATAAATTTTATGTAGAGTTTCATCTCAGCCAGTGTATCAGCATGGGTGAAGAGGGACTCTATTCCGAGAGAATCAGAGTCTGATCTTTCTTTGCCCTTATCTGAAGTTGATTCTTGGGCTTGCTGCGAGCCAGCAGACTTCGAATCAGCACTTGATGCCGATTCTTCTAGCTCAGCTAGCGCTTCTTTCATTTTATCATGAAAATGTATCAGGTAACGGAAAGGTCGACGGAAGACATGAGGTCGCCCATTCCATTTCTTTCCTGCCGGACTTTGGCGTCCGAGATACATCATGACAGCCCTTGAGTTGATTCGCACTCGCTGAAGCCAGACTTCGTCTCCGTCGTCGACGACGGTCTTGTGTTGAGGGTTTCGTCGGCCAAAGCCTCTCCGGAAACCGCCTCCCCAACCACCCATATACTGAAAATCTTGAAGACCTTCATAGAGAAGTGCCGACTCCTCTATTTCTGCTTTCAGCGAATCGCCAGCCACGAGTGTCTCGATAGCATAGTTGTGATCTTCGGTTCGGTGATTCTTGAATTCATCCCAAGTGAAACATTCTCGGGTTTTTGGGATAACTCGCGAAAATGCCTGCATGGGCTTTGGCTTTGGCTTCTCTTTTTTGCTTGTTGATACGTTAACAGTAGTGGGTTCTGGAGCCGCGGTTGGCTTCTCTATTTGTGCGGAGTCGGGTTCATTCTTCTTGTCTTTAGACTCATCCTGTTTGGGCTCATCCTTCTTGTTCTTCTCTTGTTTTACATCATTTTTTGATGAATCGGAGGTTTCGCCGTTCGAAGTGCTATTTATAGGCCTTTCGCTTTGTTCTGCGACGGAACCTGCGATAGACGGAGTCAAAATTGTAGCCTCCTTGGCAGTGCTTGTTTCGCCATTCTGGCTGGTTACCCCAGCACCTGCCGCCATTGTGTGTCTTTTTTTGGCTAGTGAAGAAGATTTACTACAAATGCGGCTCAACTGGGTACATGTCCATCGAAGAGGGGGGGATTTCTCTTAAATACGTAGAGTCGGAAAACACATACAGCTGAAGCAGCGCTTCCGCCACGAAGCTGATTAATTCCTCATAAGCAGCTGCGCTTACTTGGGCATAGGCCCATGCATGGGCGAGTCACAACTTGGAATAATCATAAACTCGACAGGGGCAGTGACAGGCTTTATCCAGTAAAATAAATTGATACTCCTGCGTAGGAGCCTAACCCTATGCAAAACTCAGTCCAAATATTGGTTCAAGGCTCTCCCGACGGGCGACTAATGCAGCCTATAAATAATAATCAACCCACATTTCTTCTCGTCATTTGTGATCATTGTCCTTTTGGGAATAGGCGAGGCATCCATCCTAAGCGGGGTATTGAATATGAGCGAGGTTGTCAATCCTGCAAGATTTCAGCTTCTCGCCAGCGCTGTTGAGACTTTGGTTGTAATCAGGTTGGAGGTTCAAAACTACACTACGAGCATATATAGACGCTGAAACATTCCGCCCTCTCTCGTGGAAAGATAACAGACACGTAACTCAACATGGCTTTTCGGCGACCATTGGAGGTGGGGCAAGGGATGAGGGAGATTATGAGCAATGGCCGCGAAATTCAAGTAATGAAAGGCTGGAGCCAAACCGAGGGTGCGGCAGTTCACCAGGGATTAGCATCACCAACAGAGTACAGTAGTCAGCGTGCAGAATGGAGAGTTCCTATCAACCGGTATTTTTTTGTTTAATTTTTTTCTCCTACTTTCCTTCTAATTTTGCCTAGCGCAACTCCTATCTTTCTAACTCGATTGTAGCAAAGTCGAGGACTTGTCGGCGGCCATCGAGTCTCTTCAACCTGGCGATTCAACAACCTCACCCCAAGAAGTCAGCTGGAAAGATGTGTTCAATTCCATTGAAGAAGCAAAAAACACATATGAAAAAAAGGTCGAAGATAATCGATTCAGAGGATGGATCAGGAAAGGCGACGTAGCTATAGATATTTTAGAGCGCCTTTCCGAAGCTATCCCTGACGAGAATGGCCTCAGCGTCCTCAAAACAGGCCTGGTATTCATTTTTCAGGTAAGACTACATGTACGTGAAGTCTAATGAAGGATGTTGCTAACATGCATGTAATGTAGTCGTGCCGAAAAAGACTTTCTAACGTGGGGAATATCCTACAAGAACTTGACGACGCTCCCGGTGTCTTGGCTAGTGTCTATCAGATATGCGATGTCTATCGTGAAGAAATAAGACTGAAGAATTTGGTTTGGGATTTTTATGGGATCCTAGTGGACTGTCTTTCAGAACTCTTGACAATTTTGAATCGCACATATAAAGATGCAAATGGTAAGAGGCCACTCATTCCGAGCACAAAGGTGCAGGAGGACAGAAAGATGTTTGCTCTGACAACATATATCTTAGTTTTCAAAAAGTTTGTTAAGCAGATCCCCGAAGTAGAGGCTGCGAAGATAGGCGAAATCTCCAAGAGGATCAATAAGGCAAAGCAGGCAGTCTTCGAAGCTACGGCCCATTTGGACCGACAGGTATGGCAAGAGACGAAGGCGTCGGCGCAGCAAGGGCGCATAGCAGCGGAGGCTACTCGCAAGACAGCTCATGACATCAAAGCCAGAGTAGCAAACTTACAACAAGAAACCAGTGAAGGTCACTATAAGCTGTCTTCACAGGTGGACCAGTTCCGTTCTCAAATGATAGAATCCGCTAATCAGATGGGCGACCAACTTGCACAAACTAAAAGACAGATAGCAAAAGAGGGAGAAGAGAGGAAGCAGTTTGAGGCAGGACTACAAAGACTGGTCGATGCGTTGCCAGCATCGATTCATGAGCAGCTTCAGAGCGCTTTGTATCAGTTTGTTGCTGATTCAATCGTTCAACGACGTAAGCTGGCACTCTTTTTTTTCTTCTCCTTTTTTTCTACCCTTTGATAAGCAGCACAAAACTTGCTGACTAGATGCTACATAGAACTTTTTGCGCTCCCTCCCAATATCATTTCTCCTTATCCAGCATCTCAGCCTCTTGTTCAATATGCACCAGCCCTAAGTGAGGGTGATATCATCAACTTACTGCAAACACCTGATCCGATAGGCGATGCGGATCGTATCCTACGCAAGGAAAGCCTGATGAGTGATGAGGCACTGGGATACGCTACATTACTGAGGCAGAAACGTCAGTTCAAGGAATGGCTATCAGCAGACTGGCCGAGCCTAGTGCTTGTTGACGGTTGTAGCCGTGGGGAGAGTGTAGGACGAACATCCCCAATGTCCTACTTCACTGCTTCATTTGCCTCAACTCTTATTCAAGCTCAAACTGGTATTGTGCTACAATTTTTCTGCGGCCATCATACTGATCCACAGAAAGAGAATTCAGGACCCAAGGGTCTCTTACGGAGTATCATCAGCCAACTACTTCTATACCCGAAAAGTTATAACTTGTCGCTCAATTTTGTTGATCAAAGTTTGTACGACGCTGTAGCGGCAAGCAACACGGAGGCACTCTGTTTCTTTTTTGAGAGACTGTTCTGGCAGATACAACCGGACACTATAATCTACGTACTTGTAGACAGCATTTCGGATTTTGAGTCTGATCTTCACGATTACGGGGAAAGGATGGACCGAGTTCTCATTTTATTTCAGACGCTAATTAGACAAGTCCTCCAAGGATTTGCCGCTGGGCCCAAGCTGAAGCTGTTCATGACAAGCCCTAATAGGAGTCATAGACTAATCTATAGAGTTGATCAAGCCAAAGAAAGTATTCGGCTAAACGCAGCAGGCTTAGGCGACATACGCGGAGGTGGTGATAGATTGATGCGAGAAATACGAAGGGCAAAGTCACCGCAGCCTCTCATTTATTGAATACGATCTATATTTGGGAAGTACACGCGCATAATAGCTGGTATACAATGGTTATCACGATAAATCAGTACTGTTGTTGTTTTCCCCTGTATTTCCACACTAGACGACGAATAGGCAGCAGAAGGTCAGAAAAAAGATGTTTTTCATAATGATTATCATTTTCATCACGGAATATAATGGATTTATGCTCAATATATAACATAATGAGATTCCATACAGATTGCGCTCCCACTGATCCTTCCCCGCACTTCGTTCCAATTTGTCGCTACCAGCGTTTGAATCGGAGCAAGTAGACAGATTTCTGTCGGGTACTTCACTGAAAGACCATTTTATATGGGTGTCATAGCAAAGCGATACAATGGAGAGATATATGTATTCAGGCAACTGTTGTCATTTACTATCAAGAGAGCCCGCAACTACCTACTTCCGCACCTCGACGACACGCCCAGACTCAGACCAGCCGTCCAGCACATTGTTCAGCATTCCGCGCTTCACAAAGTTCTTCGTGTCACCTATCGTGACCGTCATTCTCCCCTTGCCCCCTCTGCCCTGAGCTCTGCCCCTGGCCGCCGCTGCCTTTGGCTGCTCATTCACCCGCCCCAGCACGCCAATATCGCCAAATATTAGCATTCCGCTTCTTTGGCGGCTGAACATCACATTGAGGCGATTCTTGTCAACTGTAAAGCCAGGGCCAACTTCTTTGGTGGTTCCGAGAATGACCACCATGATATCGGCCTCGCGCCCTTGGAAAGAGTCGACCGTGGCGGCGGGGGGCATATCCACAAGGGGCGCCGAATGCTGCGGGTCTTTCCGACAGCGCTCAAAAAGCTCTACATTGGCCTTGTAATGGCTGATAACGGCTATGCTGGAGGCGGGGATGCCGATTGTTTTGACTAAGTCACCGAGAAAGCCAAGAGCTCGATTGACCTGCTCTTGGTTTCTCTTGGACTTGGTGACCTCATCGATAACACAAACGGTGCCCGGGCAGTGTATAAACACCTCCTGCAGAGCACCGGCACGCGCCGATTTCAGCTGTGGGAACCTTGTCTTGAGGTAATTTTCCAAGGTTTGGCCTATGCTGTGGTTGGCGATGATGCTGCCGGGACCATCAGTGAAGGAGCTGCTGATCATCACCACCTAAGAGGCAAGGCAGAAGCGTATTACCCCAGACGCTGTAAAGATCCAGTCGGCTAATGCTGCCTGCCTCGTCTACTACAATACCTTGGGCGTTTTGTTCTTTCCACCATTTAAAGGGCGGCTGGCAAGAGATTGCTGGAGTGGTGCAGACAATATCGGCGTTTCGGAGAATGGTGTTGAGCATCTCCGCAACAAGACGTGGTTCGACCATGTCTTCCTTCTCGTGCTCTTGCCAAGTAATGGCCCCGGTGGCGACGTCACGAAAGCGGGCATAGGTGAGCTTTGAGTCCATCTTGGCTTGCATCTCATGGATAGCCAGAGGATCATTTGCGCTTAGGGGGCGAACAGCAGGAGAGCGTAGGACCATTAGCAGCCAAACGGATGGAGATAGATGCAGCCTCCACTTAGGCCCAATACCCCAGTTGTTGTTAGGGCCAGCTTTGTCGCCTAGTTGAGGATCTTTCAGGGTGTTGAAGAATGCATCGACCTCTTCATCAGGCTTGCATCCACGGAGGACTAAAGCGCTTCGGACTCTCGTCATATCGTCAGCAGACTTGCCTTCATTGAGGCGGGCAGTTACTCTTTGCGATATACGATCCAATCGCTCGGCGAAATTGTCGGCGGCGACGTTCGTAGGAGCAGTGGCGAAAACTCGTTTGAGAGTCGTCAACATGGCGAGAGCGGCGATAGCCAGCGCAGCTGTCTTTCCGAAGCCAGGCCCCTAGACACGTTGTAATTAGTAGTAAGAATGCAAGTAAAAGATGATAGGGTTAAAGAGCATACTGCCGTGATGAGGCCAAGACCAAGATACAATTCGCTCAAGTACTTCATCAAGCGATGCCGGTCTTCCAGCAGGACCTCTTTAAATAAAGCGACGACAATGCCCTGGGTAATGTCTGAGATTAACCAGAGGGAGGCGACGTTGGAGCTGGATCTGATCCCACGGGCGAGGTTCAATATCGTTCAAACCGGGTTCTCTGAATTTGTCCAAAGCTTGGTCGGCATCCTCAGCGGCGTTGACAGTGCCGCTCACCAAAGTCTTCCAGAAGCCCTTCCCACGCAGCATATCTCGATGAAGATCCATCTTGAACTTGAGATCAGGCGAGATTGGCAACCTTCCGTCTGTTTTAGCAGCTGCGTCCACGACATCCTCGGGTATTCCGCAGGCAATGGGGTTTGTCGGCTGGGCTTGCGGGCGGAGCTCGTTGACTGCATCAACCTTGGGTATGTAGTCTCTGAGTTGGTCTTCAAAGTCAAGGGAAACGCAAGTCCAGTTCTCTTTGCCTTTGCGCAGGGCAACGTTGGCCGCTATGCGATCTTCAAAAACCTTGACCTCGAAGTAAGGGCGGCGGGCAGGTTGGGTCGACTTGGGCCTCCGAACTTGAAGAACAAGGTCAAACTTGTCAACAGGATGATCGTGCAAAGTGTCAAGAGTTTTGAAACCTTCTTGAATGCGGGCGTCCCATTTGGCTGGATTCTTGTCCTCTTCATTGTCAAAAAGCCTGAGTTTAAGGTAACCAGACTTGGTGAGCACGCGCCATGCGTCCTCGTGCTGAAGAAAAAAATTTTGTCCAAGCGGCAAGATGACGTGGAAGAGGGAGTAGTCTTCGGGCGGGCAATTCAAAGGCTTAATGAAATAAGCCGGGAACTTGGTCTCAGCAATCTTTTGCGATGTCTTGTGAATCCACATAACATCCTGGACTTGTGACTGCGTGAGGGCGGCGAGATGCTCATTGTCATTATCAAAGGACCAAGAGGGCTTGAATTGATGACCCTTTGTTTTTGGCAGCATCTGGTCGTAACGTTCCTCGGAACAATGATGCTCCTCGCCGTAAGGGTATCTGAAGGGGGCGGGAATCCCAGCGTCTAGTTGATGGAATAGGACTGATTCATGCGAAGCGACGATGAAGTGAAACTTCAAACGTCGAATCATTCCCATCAAGGTAATACTCCCTTTGATGCATTTGTCATCACTGACAACACCTTCGCTTGGGTGGCCACGGTTGGCAAAAGGCATACCAAATCCTTCGACCTCTAGATAACCCGTGAGGTGAATGACGAGGCTGCTCAACTTTTTGTCGGTAGCGGGGAGAAGTTTTCGGAGACTATCATCAGCCGGCTTGACGGTGAAATCGAGCTTGGGAGAAGTCGGGAACTTGATCACCAACCTGTAAGAGTCGGTAGGGGGGATGCTGTTGTTTTGACGATTGACTAAGTTGGGTAAGTCAGTACAATGTTTCTGGAGAGAAATGGAGCGGTTCTTATTTTGGCCATTCACTTACCCGTATGACAGACACCAAAGCCATCATCTTCGTTACTACTTCCGAATGGAATGTTAATTGAGAATCTCACAACAGAAGTTGCATCGACCTCCCGATGAATCTGGATGGTGGTGGAGATGTATGAGTCAACACCCAAGCCGGCTCCGCCAAGAATATGACCGTCAATCAGCATAGCGCAATGCTTCCAGAAATGGTTGGCGAGAGAAGATGCTCTAGAGGACTTTAACTATGGCATTTTGTCGATTTAAAATACACGCTCGATTGAGTCGTGAAAAGGAGGAGAGGAGGGGGGGTGGGGTTAGGAGGTTATACACGTTCAACTGAGTGGTGCGAGAAGAGACAGAGGGAGGAGAGAAAACACGCTCGAAAATGATTCGTGAAAAAAAGGAATAGGTGCTCACCAAGGTTGCGAGCAAGAGGGCTTTAGGCTTCGGGTTGAAGGCGACGAGGGAGACACGATGGCCGACTGGGAGGTGTAACAGAAAGAGCCTGAAGACTATTTTGGAGTAAATTAGCTATTGTCGCGATCGAACGCAGAGTTTTCATACAAATTCTCAATATAAGAAAAGAAGGAATATGAAGCTGGATGAAGATATCGTGAAGACCAAGGGCCTAAGGGGGGAGATTTGCCGAGATGAGGGCGACGCTACGTAAGATGGTAGGGTCGTTAAGTAGGATACGATTGAAGAAGGAAAAGAAGGCGAGGAAGACAAAAAGGGAGAAGACGAAGAAAATAAAAGAACTTGGCCTTGAAGTGGCACAATTTCTGACTTGCGGCTCACTTTAGAGCCGCATAACGGCTGCCAGCTGTCTGCCACTTGAGGGCATCGCATAGCCGCTGTCACACACTGCTCACTTTTCCATCAAATTATTCACGTGGATTCAAAACAAAGGAGAAAAGAAATTAAATCGATAAATGGGTGGAATGGGAACCTGCAAAGCAAAGGGAGGTGCTTGAGATACTGCGGACTAGCACAAAATCCGCCCGTTTAGCCAACGGCATTGCTGCTTGTCAAGAAACAGAATTCTTCTATGTAGCCCATAAAGGCGACGTTGGAACTGGCTATAAACACTAGGAGGGGATACAAGCAACTAAATTCTACAACGAGCTCGTCATAGTAGCAGAAAGATACGGCTTGACCAAGTAGGAGTTCGACTTCTACTTGACAATTCCCAGACCCAAAGGAAATGACCAGCTATTCTACCCGTTCTATGTTCCATCGAGGCCTCAAGCAATGGCATTAGGCTGGGATTGGCGTAATACCATGATATTGTCTAATCACATGGTCAACAAGTCCAAAACTAGGTGTAATAGGTATGCCCAGAGAGCTGCTTTGGGAGAGCCTGGTCTCAACGAAGTTACACTGGTATACTGGATGGTAGCCCACTTCAGCAAGTCTTTTAATTGCGACAAATGCAAGGCGAAATTTGCAGATTTGCCAGTTTATAAAAGCACGAGAAGAGAAACTGTTAGAATAAAATAGAATAATAGTAGCAGTATTTTCCTTTAGTAGCAGTATCTTCCTTTAGTAGCAGTATTCCCTCAGTAGCAGCATTTTCCTTCAATCTCATTTTCAGAGTGAGTCAATACCAAAGGCACTTAGGTTATAAATGCGAGTATCTTGATGCTTTAATCGCCTCTCTCTCCTAACTTTGCGTTCCATGCCATACCGATTTACTTCGCGATACCTGCAGAGGTAATCGGGCCTGTTTGGCGGTTCAAAGCAATACTCTATTAGTTACAAAGCGGAGGTATCTTGCACAGTAAAGCTAAATCCATGCACGGAATAAAGATGAGTTTGGATTTGTTCACTTGTCGGCTGTCTTACAAATTAGCTACAATTCCTTGTAAGTTCATCCAGTTGCTCTCATGACTGTTAAAGGCACGATGAAAGGCATGATGACTTGGACCCCAGGAGAAGATCATGTGTCATGAGCTAAGTAAGCCAGAATGACAAGACAGTGCGAAACTTATCTTGGCCACATGCGCATTTTCCTGCTGGCATTTGGGGGTCAGCAGCTTAAGCGCGCATGAGGTACCTTGAATCCATGTCCCTTGAAATTGCATGCCTGCTTCCGTGTTTCAGCTGCCCAGAGTGCGCATTATCTGTTTATTTGAAAAATGGCCCTCAGTAAATGAAGGGTCCTAGCTTCGGTTCTATCCTGCCCATCGCACATACATGCATGTAGTAGTACTCTGTTCTGAAGACGGCTGGTGGTGGTGACCAGCTAGGTTGCATTGCATTCTGACCTGCCTTATTAATTAGCCGCCAATCCATCAACCAATCTTTCTTCATAGATGGTCTCAAGTTCAGAGCCGTTAAAGTTCGTTGAAAGCTTTAAATTAGTTAGCTGCGGCCCCTTTCCTGTTGAACTGCTCTTAATGACCTAGCCTCGATCCTCGTGCACTAATTCCCAGCCTATCACCCACATTCGTGCTCTTTATTAATGCTCAACCTCCTGCGATGTTTCATTGTGCCCCCGATTGTATCCTCATCTGACCGTAGCGCTAAGAAAAGTCTACACAGAAACTATATAGCTTTCCCACCTGCTTTTAACATGTGGTCATGTACAACGGTTCTGCGGGCCGAGGTGGTGGCCTTGATGGGAAGATCAAGCGACTGCCATAGGTATATTAACTCTACAAGGCCTTTTGTCTAGTAAACCTTTTGGGTCTTCATATGCTCCCTCCAAGGGCGCTGTACTGCTGCTGTCTGCCCTATTGTTGGTCATTACTAAATGTTCGGTGTCTCAAATTAATCGAGTGCATTATACGGTATTTGTCCCAGCAAAAGTTTCAATCAGGATATTCATTCTAAATCGAGTGCTTCAACACAGCGGCCATTGAAACTGGGCGATACGATTTTTGCATAATATTGCTAGGTGAAGAGGTGCAGGTGAAATTTGGGTTGGTGGCAGAATCTCTTCAACGCCTCCCAAACAATTCATTATTTGCGCAGTAAAGGGAAAGAGAGAACGTACAAAGGAGCGTCAGAATATTTTCAATGAGGTTCAACGCCATCTTGGCTGCGGCCGGCTGCGGTTGGATATTCGCTGCCGGAAGTGCAGCCATCAACGCCTGCAATCCTCAAAATCTCACTTACAGCAACGAAGCGCCGCCAAATGGAACATACATGCCATGGAACCTCATCGAGGGCATCAACAGCGTGCCTGGCTCACGACAATACATCACCATTGTAAATCTTACGCCTCACAGATTTGTGTTGCAGAATACGCACTCATATCAAATGGATACTTTTGACTGGGGCGATGTTCCACAGGGCCATGCTCGCCAGAATGTTGTTGTCTACACCAATAAAGCTGGAGCAAGTGCTGTGGATGACAACGGCGAGGCGTACTATGCCATCGATGGGACGAGTAAAACGTTCTTCATCAGAGCCACAACTCATATCCCGGATACGCACCCAGCCCGCACGGTAATTGACCTTACTGGTTTGGGCCAGGGCCAGCGTGAGTACCTGGACCCAGCGGAGCAGTCCCCTGTAACGCTGGTTATCACGGGCAGCGATAGCTATGGCTTCATGACATCGATTAAATACGGCCCCGGGAACTGGATGAAGAACATGTACGATGTGATTAAAGACAGGCAGATCCAGCACGTTGTCATACCCGGGAGCCATGATTCTGGAATGTCGTACATCAGCAACCAGATTATTGGAGGAGGTATCAGCGAAAATACACAGACGCAAGGAATCAGCATCTACGATCAACTCTACGCAGGTGCTCGCTATTTCGATCTACGTGTTGGATCAGTGCATTCCGTTACGAATACCTCCAAGTACAGTTTTTGGACCATGCACGTCAATGACGAGACGGCTGAGATCGCCCTTGGCAATACAGGGGAATCCCTCGATAGTGTGATTAGTGAAATCAACCAGTTCACAGCTGAGAGTCCGGGAGAGATCATCATTTTCCACGTCCGATACCTGGTCGGCATTCGCGAGGTGCCCAGTCTGGGGCCCATTTACTGGACCAGCTCGATAGTCGATGACTTTTTCAGTAAACTCAAAGGCGTAAACAATCGCTGCGGCAATTTGGACACCAGCAGCACATTCAACCAAAAGCCAGCGTCTTATTTCATGGATCAAAATGGAGGAAACGGCTGTGTGCTATTCCTTCTTGCCGGAGATTTGCAGTCAGGCGTGCCTCAAGACTCTGTATCTGATGGCATATACCAGGCCAATGTGCTCTCTATCAATGACGATTGGTCGAATTTGGGCGATACTCAGCCCATGGCGGAGGACCAGGCATCCGACTGGAAGGCAGTGGCTCGAGGAGGTAGCTCTGACACGTTTCATATAAGTCAATGGCTTGTGAGCGCAGACATCTTCACTACGACCCTGTATACTATTGAGGGCATTGGAATTATGCCTACCAATCCAGCGCTCTACTGGATGGGTGTTAACAACATGAACCCTCAGAGTTGGCCAACCGTTATACTTACTGATTACATTGGCGTAGTTGTGAAGGGCCAACACAATTGGAATCAGCTAAGCGCCGACTTGTACACTCTAGCTGTCGGTTTAAACTTGTATATGGTTAGCCAAAATTGCAACGTGAGCTCTGTTTCGCCGCTGCTGTCGGGCGCGAGCTCAGAACTCAAAATGACTAGTTTGTCGGAAACGTGGGGGGGCATCATTTACGCAAATGGAACAGTGGTTAATGAGCCGCCACGGCACTTGCATCCTGGCCGTGTGGAGATATTGAAGAAGGGAACTAAGTTTATGAATGGCACCGTATTGGAAGCAGATGTTCGAAATCCTGATTTTCAATCTATAGCGGTTTAGAAGAGAGTGCTGGAGAGACGTTTTATACGAGCTTTACTTTGCATTTAGCCTTCAATATGTCTATCAGCCATATATCATGCTGCATTGGACACCTATGAGTTTGCTCACTTATTGTGGGGTTATCAGCATGACCGCATAACTTCAAGGCCTCTATAATTAATAAAGCCTACCTTTGTCAATGATAATCCATAAAGTCATTTACCATCACACAGGCTTAATAATATCACATAAAGAGGTATCGTAGACCTAAAAAGTTTGCATTACTACAGTGGCTGCATTTCTCAAAGTGTAGAGGCTGCCCATCATTATCCACATTTCATTCCCACCGCACGCCTCAAGAGAAGAGAAAAGTTGCTCCAGGCAAAAGAAGCCCCCTCCTTTTTTTTCAAGTCGTTTGCCATTTTTTTCTCTTAACAGCTTGTTCCAATTTATGTAACAGAGTAGTCATATTTAACAAATTCCTCCATATGTTAATGAGAGTCAGGACAGTACTCTCATAGAATACCTACACTCTCGTCATCTTAAGGCGAGGTTTGTTTGCACGTCTTCTTGCTGCTGTCCCATGTCGACTGATATGGGCACGCGCATTTATTGCCGTCCCAGTATTGATTGCCTGGGCAGCTGCATGTCTTGCTTCCGGAATTAAATACTTGGCCCTGCTTATTGCAGACGCAGCACTTCTGGTTGGTATCGTAGTGTGCATCCTTGCCACAATCTGGTTGTTTAACGCAGGAAGAGCCATTCCAAGTTGTTCCAGACGGGCAACTGCAGGTCTTGCTTCCGGAGTTGAAGATCTGGCCCTTGTTATTGCAGACGCAGCACTTCTGATTGGAATCGTAGTGTGCATCCTTACCACAATCCTGAACGCAAGCATAGCTGTTCCAAACTGTTCCTGGAGGGCAGCTGCATGTTAGAGACTTGGAATCAAAGACTTGGCCCTGTTTGTTGCAAACACATTTCTTCTTCTGGCCGTCATAGGTGGCATCTTTGCCGCAGTTTGGCACGCATTGCTTTCCATTCCAGATTTGGCCGTAAGGGCAAGCACACTGCTTTCCATTCCAGTACTGGCCGTCGGGGCAGCTGCAAGTCTGAGACTTGGAGTCGTAAATTTCGCCGTTATTGTTGCATACGCACTTCTTTTGGTTCCAATCAAAGTGTGCCTCTTTGCCACAGTTTGGCACGCATTGTTTGCCGTTCCAAGTTTGACCGTAAGGACAAGCGCACTGCTTTCCATTCCAGTATTGACCACCTGGGCAGCTGCAGGTTTGGGTCTTGGAGTCGTAAACTTCGCCGTTATTGTTGCATACGCACTTCTTTTGGTTCCAATCAAAGTGTGCCTCTTTGCCACAGTTTGGCACGCATTGCTTTCCATTCCAAATTTGACCGTAAGGACAAGCGCACTGCTTTCCGTTCCAGTACTGACCACCGGGGCAGCTGCAGGTTTGGGTCTTCGAGTTATAGACCTCGCCCTTGTTATTGCATACGCACTTCTTCTGGTTCCAGTCGAAGTGTGCCTCTTTGCCGCAATTTGGTACGCACTGTTTGCCGTTCCAGACCTGACCATAGGGGCATGCGCACTTCTTGCCGTTCCAGTATTGACCACCGGGGCAGCTGCAGGTTTGGGTCTTCGAGTTATAGACCTCGCCGTTGTTATTGCAAACACACTTCTTCTGCCATTGATCGTAATGCGCTTCTTTGCCGCAGTTTGGTACGCACTGTTTACCGTTCCAGACCTGGCCATAGGGGCATGCGCACTTCTTGCCGTTCCAGTATTGACCACCGGGGCAGCTGCAGGTTTGGGTCTTNGAGTTATAGACCTCGCCGTTGTTATTGCAAACACACTTCTTCTGCCATTGATCGTAATGCGCTTGCTTGCCACAGTTTGGAACACACTGTTTGCCGTTCCAGATCTGGCCGTAGGGGCATGCGCACTTCTTGCCGTTCCAGTACTGACCACCGGGGCAACTGCAAGTTTTGCTGTTGGAGTTGTAGATCTCGCCGTTGTTATTGCAGACGCATTTCTTTTGCCATTTGTCGTAGTGTGCTTGTTTGCCGCAGTCGACAACACATCCGTAGCCGTTCCAGACTTGCCCGGACGGGCAGCTGCAAGTCTTCGTATCAGAGTTGTAGACCTGGCCGTTGTTATTGCAGACGCATTTCTTTTGCCATTGATCGTAGTGTGCTTGCTTGCCGCAGTCTACAACGCATTGCTTGCCGTTCCATACTTGCCCGGATGGGCAGCTGCAGGTCTTTGTCTTGGGGTTGTATATTTGGCCCTGGTTATTACAAGAACACTTGCCATATTGCCAGGTAGCCTGGCTACCACAGTCGTGAACACACTGATGGCCATTCCAAGTCAGACCAGGAGGACAGTTGCATGTCTTAGACTTAGAGTCGTAATTCTTGCCATTATCCTTGCAGACACAGCAGTTCTTTCCGTAGTTCCAGCTGGCGTAAGAGCCGCAATCGGTGTTACCGCCACGAGCAACGAGGTTATCTTCAGCTTCTCTAGCCTCGAGGTCATTGGCGTGATTTGGATTGGGAAAAGCCTTGACAGAGCTCAGGGAGAGCAACGCCGAAACGAGAACCCGCTTCAGTAACATGGTGGGCAGCTATCAACAATCTAAGATAATGAAATTCAAAATATTGACAAGCGGCGGCCTCTATAGCAACTGATTACCTAGAGAAGGAGATCAGTAACTAGGCCTCAAATTGTCGGCAGGCAGAAGATCAGTTGATAGTTAGAAAAAGAAGATTAACATCTAGGCGAAACCAGAGTTTATATAGTTATCATCTCTCTACATAATACAGTATAGGCTCTCGACAGAAAACTACCTAACGGCCTAAACTCTACCAGAAGTGCCGGAAAGAGAAAGATCGGGCTGGGACTCTTCTCTGTCTAAGATTCAGCCGCACCCATATTCGGCCAAGCGGTCACGATCAGCCAGCCAAGAGTTGACCAAGACGGTGAGCGTATAATCACTCGGCCACTCACAGTTTGTATAACCAACCTTGCATTTCAGCATCAATAGATCCAAACAAGCACTGTACGTCTCATCCACTCGGATCGTCGCTGAGCCAGAGAGTTTAGCTTTTTACTAGAGTTAATACAATGTAATTACATAGCGTTGAGGAATACGAGGCATCCCTTTGTTGCCATTGGACCACTGAGAACGCCCATATGCAAGGGAATACGAGATGCTTAACCTTGTTAGCAAGGCTATTAAAAAGAAGAACAAAAAGCAGAGAGCTGTCACCCCCATTAGATTTGCTGCTTATGTTCTCTATAACCCTTACCGTCGATCATAGTTTTTTATCAGCCACAGAATTAGACTGTCCCCTATGCCATGTCTGATGCTACGATGCTTCGTGAAAGATGAAATGGTGATGCTCTATATTCACCGGAGTTCTGATTTTAGCACGAGTAGAAGGCCCACAACTAGCTATGGTGGAAGGGCTGTTCAAACCGGCTCACTTTAGCCAGACTAGAGGCACGGAAAATAGGAAGCCTTGGAAGAATTGAATTTCAGCGGATCAGCCGCTTGCTCTAATGGCTTCTTGACGGAGGTATAAGCTAAGTGCAAGAAGCGTTAGTGTGTCAATAGCGAATGGCTGCCGCAGGTAGCAGCAGAAAGGCCCCCTCTAATGCCATGGCCGGAAAAATTCTCATTGGAAGCAGGCTTGAGACGGGACAAAAAGCAAGTTGGTAAAAGAATTACGAGGTGTTTCCCCTTGCACCCACAGGAGCAGCTCGGGACCGATTCAGCGCCGTAGCATGGGGCTCGCCGCTGACTACGTTCTCCTCGTTTTTTTCTACTGAATCCCTCACAATGTATTTCAAGTAGCCTATATTCCGATGTGACCAACTACGAATTGGAAGCAATGTATTCGTTGAAACACTGCTAAACTCGCCTAGAAAAAGGCTTGAGTTGGCACATGGCAAGACAATAGACATACAAAGAACCGAGACTCAACTATCATGCTTTCCCCGCGGCCATCTCTGCCGGGTCAGGGGACTGTGGAGATGCGTGGGCACGCCCGACTTCCGAAACTGCCGCGCAAGTATGGAGTCGATCGGAAGACGTCTAGTGAGGGGAATTAAACTTCAGGATCGTGGCTGCTTATGCAGGTGCACGCTGCTAGAGGTCTGGGGCACAGTGCCTTTGACTGCAGCCCGTGCCCCTTGTAATTCATGCGGCACTGCATTAGACGGGAAGGCAGGGGTTTGAATAGTGACAGGGGATACCCCAATCTGTCTGATTGGAGACGCAGCGGCCAACACAGCATGTATCACCTAGGCAATGCGGTCATGCCTATGTAGTGTGCCTCTCGTGCCCGATGGTGCTCAGACAGGTCCGTTCTGCAAGAGGACTATCGCACGCACTGTGTCAGCTTCAGCTGATTGTCGCAAAAGCAGTCATACGAGCAGTGCATAGGTAGGGAGTACGAGGCAGCGATATAGAATCTGCAGCCAGACCTGAACTATTCTTGGATAACGCGGGTCAATCCTCCTCCGCTTCTCAAGCCATTGGGGGCTAATAACCCATCCTTTGGGCAAGCAGATATCGAATCACAGACCAAGGAAGGTTCGATTCCGGCGAAGACCTATGAGTTGCCGGCCAAGAAATAGCACATCCACGGCGTTGCACACCGAAGTCACGCAGCTGTGTTGTGTTAGTGAGACATGTGTATACGGGTTCATGGCGGGGGCTGGTTTTTAACCGTGCATTTGATGCTTAACAACTTAAATAAGGTGATGAAAACTTTGACCCATCTTGGCTTCTCTTGGCTTCTCTTGGCTTAGCAGAGAAGCTGCAGCTAGCCCGAAGCGGAGGAGAGAAAGAAGGGGAACTAAGTTCAGCCGCAACTGTAGCACACCACAATGACATAGACCTATATGGGCGGTTTGTCGGACGAGTTGCTCCAACAAGCTGTTTATTACGCTGTGGCTTCATAGCGTGGTCCAAATTCATATGGATTTTACAGCCTCTTGCAATCTCGATTGACTTTGCCCCCACACCCGATTTCTAAACTTAGATAGCCAGTCCAACTAAGTTGTCTCGGGGGCTAGAAACTAAAAATGCTCTGATCTCTTACCTAGCTTTTAGCTCTAGTTTTCGTTTCTTTTTCGGATTTCCTTGTCCCGGGGTGCTACATGGACATGGCTAGCTAAGGCCTAGGTCTCCTGTCGACCAAGTGTTGGCCAACCTATTTCATAATGCCAAGAACGAGCGGCCTCTTGGATGCCTTTGATAGCTATCCCTCGTTTTCGTTTATGGGTTTCACATGCAAAGGATGGATAGTATAGCCGAAGGATGCCATGCCAGCTTGGTCAGTAAGTTTAGTATTCTCAAATATCATTTACTCTGGGCTCTTGGCATCCGCTCCCTTCAATCAATGGATTTGGGTCAGCACCATGATCCCGCGTTTTCCAGAGTTTGGAGAGTGCCTAAGCTACTGCAGCCTCCTGTGAATGTTTTGAGCTATTAGCGATGATTCCATTCCTGCCGCGAGGGGCCATAGCTTCTTCAAAAATCAAAAGAGCAATAATTACGATCTCTTGTAAGTCTAAGTCAGCCAAAAGTGCAGAAAAAGTTAGATACAGTATCAAAACAAGAAATACCTGCCCCAAATTAGTTCAATCTGTTTTCTATACTAGCACTAAACTTGCCGTGTCTAATTTCCCTTTCTACTTGGGCGATTGCCTTTCGACGGGCTGAGCCGGCTAATCCGGTTTCCGATGCCACAGACATCCAGATGTCGGAAAAGTCTGAGCCGTCAAAAATGTCCGATTCCCCTTTCATTGTCAGGATTTACATATTCATGTTCAATGTAGACATGTGACTCTTGCAGTGTGATGTCATGCCAAACATGATGAGTTTCTTGATCCACTTGAGAATCTTTCGCGCTGATATTGATGATGCGTGAGTGTTTGCTCTTCCCATCATCGTAGGGTAACAACGGTGGTAGAGTTGATCTACCACGGGCCGATTGCAAAATCGGATTCTCGTATGGCTGTTATTGCTAGCTTTTTAACTTTGAGCTGCTTTCATATTTGCCATCAATCAGTGTAAGCACCGCAAGTGTCAAACCTCCGGCCATTATCGCTCTGTTTAGTGTGCCATTTAATCCTGTCTGTCAGACGAGTCCCCTCTTTCCGACTTATGAGGTAGTCGTATTCGGATATTCCGATTTTGCTTCCGTTAGCTCACTGGCGCAATTTAATGCTTCATATATGAAATTTCTTTTTAATTTACGATCTTATAAACTGAGCTAGATATAAAATCTCTGATTATGGCGGCTCAGGTCAGCGAATCTAGCATTCTGGGGACTCATTGGTGTCGACGTAATGCCGTCTTGCTTAATACCTGTATAAGTAGTGTAAAAGTCATGAATGTGTTTTAAACTGGAAAGGGAAATGGCCTAAATCCACTGTAATTCGGGAATAATGAGTAGAAAATCTCCTAATGTTACACAATTATGTTATTGTATTACAAGAGTAAGCAGGGTAATTTACATCCTTTTCTTGTAAACACTTCCTGTTGTTTCGTTACCACTCACCTGTTTTGTGAACAAGTCGCAACCGATAATACTGTGTTTTGACGGCAATTTGGAATATGAACACATGAATTTTGAACAAGTCCGCACAATCTGTGATGCGATTGAAAGAGAATATATAAACCTTAATGTTCAATTGACCATGATTATAAATTATAATGATTATAAATTATAAACACAGCTTCCGCAAAATGGAAAAGTGGTATTATGTTTTTAAGCAAGTAACAACTCAACCCTACAGCGTCCACAGTACAGAAACCTCCATGGTACAAGATAATGACTCTTATGGAAAATAACGATATAATACCGTAAAAACATTTTCATTTTTGCCTTGCAGTTAGGTTAAGGGGTTTCTTTCTGTTGTTTTAGCAATCAATATAGAGGAGAAGCTGGGTATGTTGAATGAAGTAAAACTGACGATTTTTCTTACCTTTCTCTTTTTTTTTCTTTTTTTTTTCAGGAATACACAATCCTTAAACAACGATTTCAGAATCATCTGTATTTACAAAATGGTAAGGTTCCTTTCGGCGTAGAGTAGCCCTCAGTGTTATCGAGGCAGGTATGCAGGCCAACGACTCGTTGGCTTGTAACCCGATGGAACCACAGAAGCTCCCGAGAGATGATCGATACCTTCCCTTCCATAGAAATCTATCATATCAACCGATATCTCGCCATCTACAGCCGCTCAGGTCCATGGTGGCATATTTATGGCTTCGGCCTTGGGAAGAGGTGCTACAATTCTTCAACAGAGGCTCTCCAGTAGCCTGTCCCCATTCCAGATACCATAAAATCATTATTTCCTGCGCCGTTCGCTCAGTCGCGAGAAATCAAAATGATAGCTGGCAAGCGATTGGACGATTTTGTGAGTCTCCTCCGGGTGGATGCCTCGAGTTGCCGTTTCTAGGTGTCAAAACACTGAAACTTTTGGGCAGCTCTTTAGTGCTGCTCTTTTCTATGAGTTAGCCTGGATAGCGCGCTTTGCATTGATTCGCTCTTTAGCATCATTCAAGTGGTTAAATAATAGAATATTGTTGATCATAAGATTAGTTTCTAATCATAGCCTTCAAGGCATTCCCAACGCAGTATTCCGTTTCTAAGACAGAGAATTCACATGCTCACGAGTTTTTCTTGTAGCCTTCATCCTCGTAAGTGTACTGGACCCCGGAAAACTTGGTTTTCTGACACCCGCTTAGGATACAAAGGTCGTCGATCCAAAGATAAGAATATCTCAGAACCCGTGTTAGAGAAACAGCGTCCTTCATCACCACGGAAACAGAATGGGAACCACTGTTTTAGCTAGCCTGTAACCATGCTTTGGCGGATTGAATGGCGGATTCAACGTAGAAAATTTGCATTGCACAGTGAAGCGGCGTGTTCCAATGTGGCTACCATTATGGTCACCATTGTGAAGTGGGCAAGCTGGGCGAATCACGCACCCGCCGTTATCTTGCGAAGTTACAATGTCTTCTTCGTTCCACAACACGTTACGCCATTAGCCAATGCCTACTGCACTATCAAAGGCTCTCTGAGACTTCATGGAGACAATTTCTCCACGCAGGACGCGCCCTCTTCAAGTTGTCTTTGTGCCATGAAATCAGTAACTTTGGCATAAACTTTCCTTGAGTTGTAATTCCTCACTATCCCTTGAATTGCTGTCTACCTTCTAGATAAATGTGGAGGTGCCACTTGACTCTGAACAAAATTAAAGTCGAGCACGTTATATATAGAAAATCACTGCGTGAGTATGAAAGACATGGTATATACTCCATTGTGGGCTATGTTGTGGCTGTGGTCAATATTTCGATGCCTCACCTTCAAGGATACATGCATTTAGTGCACGGCTGTACCCCATGCTGCTTGCTCGGCGGGCAGCTATTTATTATATTGACGCCCGATACAATTCCTGCCTTGGGCGTAACAACCCAGGGTTGTAGCTCTAAGCATATGGGCATGGGGGTATGACTACGTATCGCTATCATTAGCTGAATCAATAAGTACTTCAATGTTCCGTCTGCATATAAGGCACATCATGCTTCACACAAATTGTCTTTCGCTGGGATTCTCGCTGACCAAAGATAGCTCTTCACGCACACGATTATTCGCTGCAGTGCTAATGGCGCGTCTCGCTAAATGCTATCCTATTGTCGAACGTGTTTAGTAGTTGCGAGTGGCAGACTATTTCGAAGCCCGCTTATATCTGACAATCTCTTTTAGCAACTACTTGATGTGTGTTTAATCTGTTTCCAGCGGCGAAATGGTTGTATCAACAGGTGTACTGCTTTACTAAGCCTCAAAATGACATACACCATAAAGAGATATGTCGTGAAAGCTTAGAATCCCACATTGACATTTCGAGGTGATATATATAAGCACCGTAGTTGATGTTTTTTTACAAATAAAACTAAGTGTTGTATGCTATTATGATCTATATAACCCGTGTTCAGCGCGCACGGCGCGCTATTATATCTATTAGGCGGCGTGGCGCACGCTGACAAACGGAAGGATTTCGCCTAGCTGAACATGGGATTCGCGCTAAATCCTAACATCATAACATGGTTAAAGGTTCGTAATGTTACTCATAATATTATGAAAGCATGTCCGTTATCATCTAAGCCATCTTTATTTTTCACAATCATCTGCAGATTTCTCATTCAAGACAACCATGAGCCCGATCTTGAGCGTATCTACAAAGATTGAGATTGCTGCGTCGCCAGCCGTTGTCAGGTCAGTGGTACGTGCGTCGACTTGAACAGGATGTCCTGAGATCTACATCTCCCTACATATAAGCAACAGTCGAGCAGCAGCATAGGATCTCATGCCTCTCGCACTAACGAGTCTGCCATATACATGTAGTTTTTGGACTTTGCGCGCTATTCGCAATGGCAACCCGGCTGGAACATTCAGCCTGTCGACCCCAGCAAGCAACCTCTGGATCTGAAAGCGGGGGACGGCCTGAAAGTCAACATGAATGGAAGTACACACAATCCAGTCGTAGTGGTAAATCGCCAGATTGCGTCTGTAAGACAAGGACATATGCTAAGCTTGGATAGGAGAATTCGCCTGAATCCTTTCAGTGGGAGGGGTCGTTATTCGGACTTGCCAAGGGCGTGCATCAGTTCCATTTCACTCCCAGCGAAGCAACTCCAGGAAGCACCACTTTCACTCAAGGAGAGGATTTCCGAGGACTCTTGATCACGCTCTCTTCGCCGTGGTGGAACTCAAGGAAATTCGATCTGGGTCCTTGGGACAAATTCAACGCTGATCTGAAGAAAGAGGCTGAGAAGACTTCGAAACCGGGCTCAGAGGCGGAGCATTAGACTTCAAATAGGGATTGGCTGAGTACAGTCAGACAGCCAAAGGCAAGGGATTAAACACGGATAACCAGTTATTCTCTTACGACCAGCTGCCAATGGCGCAAACAGACGGATCCGAGGCGGCGTGGCTATCCTATCCTAACCATCTCTTCAAACGACGAGCTCCCTTTTATATATTGAATATGCAGATACGTCCATCACATACGACCATAGGTAGTGGAGAATTCGGGGTCCCGTCTGCTCCCCCATAGACAAGCCACTAACCGGCAGATTAGTAGTCAGGTGGGTGACCACTGGCGAACACCGGCTGTTGTATGTTTTTATCTTTTTGTTTTTGCTTTTGAAAGGACAATTTTTTTGTGAAGAGATTAAGCATTGACCTGTAGAGAGTATGTGTATGGTAGTGAAAAATTAGATGTTTCCTAGTGAATCTGGCTTACGAGCAAGCCGCCATGTGGAGAAACAAAATTGAGCATCGCTTTTGTACTACCTCGCTAGATGTCACGGGTAGTGCGTGATGCCAATATTATAATCGGTTGAGCCAGCTGTGAAGGTAACGGTCAATATAGCGAATTCATGAACTCAATGCATCAACATTAGTGAAGAGAGTCACATGCGTGAACGAAGTACATTCGAGTTACTCCAGTGATGGCTAGTCGGCAACAACAGAGGTAGAGTTCTTCCTAAATATACTGAGATCCAGAGAAAGGAGTAATGAACATAAACTATAAGTGGAATTTAAAGATAGTATGCAGTTTTGTTACACACTCATTGGATTGATTGCTAAATAAATAGAGTAGCTCACGTCTGCAGAGAGTTTAAGCAACCGCCGTGTTGCTTCGACTCAGATCTAGGTACGCTGTTCCCCATATATAGCCTTCTAATTAGTTCACAGACGGCTCTTCTACTATCGGTCTGGTATCTGCAAACAGAAATAATTACCATCACGAACAAGTTTCATCGACTTTATCGCCACCGACGTAATGTACAGCTTGGCTGGGCAAATTTACCTACTGCATTCGCAATTGCCCAGCATCCCACGGCTAAATGCGGATCACGCCCATTATTTAAAGCACCATACATGCAGGTGGCAACTTATCGGGCGTCCAAAATGGATACTCATAAGATATGTAGCAGCGATGTCACAATCTGACATACTCTCTATTGTTTCGAATCGCCTTGTTACAGAAGCGTTTGTTAGGAGTCACAATTATTAAGCCGCTTCTTGAAACTTCCGAAAAATAACTCAAAGAATTGAATAATTGAATCTATCTTAATTGCGTATAAGCAGCTTTCATAACACCGCGGTTTGCGTTACATGTATACTTAGACACAGAGGAGTAAAGTAATATGAGTTCTAACTACTATCGGAATATCTTAATAAACACTTGCTTATGAACGCAAGAAGCGTTGCCTTGGAGCAATCGTATTCGGACTCGCGTCCGTCTGTATCCCAATAGCCTCAGAAATTATGTTCTCTAATGGAAAGATAATAGAGACTGAGCGGTGTGAATAATCCTTGTTAGCAAAATGGTATCAGCTTCAACTCAACTTTCAAAATTTCTCATCTGCTTCACGTAACTTTAGACCCTTCTTTAAGGCAATATTAACTTCGAGCGCGGAGATCATTGGCCAAAGTTGTAACATTGAAATACAAGATATCGCTTTATCTACAAATGTTACTCTTCTTACATATGAGTTATGATGTCATAATAAAGTTTTGAATCCAATGTGGAATACGAAGCATGGACTCATCAATTTGTAATACTATGAGCCGCCTCGACATCCAACGCAGCATTTAATCAGATAACTAGCGGCTAGTTCGCAAGAGGCATTAACAATTCAAACAAGCTAGCTTCTATTATCTTAATTCCTAGGATTATTCCACGACGTCTGTGACAGGGGCTGATATACAATGGCACAGATGAGCGATGGAGAGACTAACTCCAAATGGAAATTTCTGTGCTGCTTTTTTTCTGAATTTGGAAAATGCAAGCTAGCCTTTAAAGTCAACATGATTGAGGCTTCCCTTTCCGCAAGCAGCATCGCGGGGCGGTTAAAGCCGAAATTTTGGATCTCAACGCCATAAGCTCTTAAATCTGGAAATGATCTGTTGGTAAGGTTCCAGAAGATTACTCTCGCGAGATAAAGTATGTTGTTATACACAAAGTCGCTTTCGGTTATGATATACTGCCAAAGGACTGGATTTCAGCGGCATAGGACAGCGCCGGAGTGTATGTAATTGATAATCGAATATTGTTCAATTATCAGAAATCACATCTATTGCCTCAGTATATCCACGCAAGGATAACTATCTTGTATGTCTAAATTGAGCTGATTAGACATCATCTTGATCTAAAGAGTCTAAATTGAATTTGTTGTGGGTTCAAACAGTATTCGTGGCAAATCCAGAGCCGCCTACTTGACAAGATTAGGTGCCGGCATATCAAATGAAGCTAATAGTCGTGATGGCTCTTCAAAAGCAATCTTAGTTTAACATTTCAAATCCCTGCCATCGATATGCACCTATTTACCACCCCGTGGATTCACGGATTGTGACGTTTATCATCCGAAGATTCTGTTTTCAAATTTACTCTTCGACTTACATGTAAGATAGGGTGGTGATTTATAATTGATCGTAAGCCTCTGCTGATATAAAGTATGCTTTGAGCCTTCATAGATTAGAGCCGACAGCAGCTTAGCTTCGGCATCTTCACTCAATATTCACACTGCCCTTCATCAGAGTTTTATAATTTTTTTATTACTTGTCGAAGCACAAACTATATATAAAGGGAATTAGAGATATGTCTGATCTATTCCGAGAGTCAGCGCTTGGTCAAGCCATTCGGTTTATTTCTGGAAACAAATGGCTGCAATATCCTGAAGAGAAGCCAGGTTTCGTGCTAGGACCAGAATACGCAGCGCTCTTAATCGGCAAAGAGAAACAACAAGAGGCTACCTCTGGTCCTTCAAATTCACAAATTAATCAACAATCTGGCGCTCCTCTATCTCTATCCGCTTCGTCTTCTGATACTGCTGGTAATGATGGAGAAGACTTGGGCAGAAAACCAACGGCAGCAAGCATCCAAAGCGGTCCATATAGAGATCAAAGAATCGACCTTGAACAACAAGGTGAGCTCCAAAGGACAAAAAGTGAGCCTATTGCTCCACATCAAACAAACGATGGGCTTATTCTAGTCGATTGGTACACAACCGATGATCCAGAGAACCCTCGCAACTGGTCGTCGCTGAAGAAAAGCTACATTGTCTTCGTTATCTGCTTGTATACATGGGTCACCTACGTAGCCGGTTCAGTCTTTGCTTTCTCTGAGCCAGGCATCGTGGAACATTTTGGCGTCAGCATAGAAGCATCTGAGCTTGGCCTTGCTCTGTATGTCTTGGCTTATGGCGTAGGGCCACTGATCTTTGGCCCGCTCACAGAAATTCCAGTGATTGGAAGAAATCCAGTCTACTACCTCACATTCATCGTCTTCTTTGCTCTCTCATTCCCAGCAGCGACGATCAACAGCTTCGGTGGCCTCTTGGCCATTCGATTCTTTGCCGGCTTTTTTGGGAGCGTGGGCATAGCCATTGGAGGAGCTTCCATAGGAGACATCTTCACTCTCATTTACTTTCCCTACGGCCTTGGTTGGTGGGTGTTGTCATTCTGGGCAGGACCTGCCGTCGGGCCTACATTCGCTGGCTTTGCTGCAATGGCAAAGGGCTGGAGATGGCCTCTATGGGAAGTTGTCTGGATCTGCGCGGTCATGGCCATATTTTTGCTGGCACTAACTCCCGAAACATCCACACCCAACATTCTTTTGAGGCGCGCCAAGCGACTTCGAAAGCTCACTGGTGATTCGCGTCTCCAGTCTCAGAGTGAAATCGATCAGAGACACATGACAAGCTCGAGCGTGCTTATTGCTGCGCTGATCCGGCCATTTGAAATCACGATCAAAGATCCGTCAATCTTCTTTGTTAACATGTACACAGCCTTGACATACGCAATCTATTTCACCTTTTTTGAGGTTTTCCCTCTCGTCTTCCCACCTTTCTATGGCTTCAACCTTGGAGAGACGGGTCTTGCGTTCTTGGCCTGTGAGGTGGGCGCCATCATTGGCCTCATTCTGTACTTTGCCTATCTTTACTTTTACATGATTCCGGATAACATCAAGAACGGGTTTCGAGAGCAGGAACATCGCTTGCTGCCAGCCATATTTGGTTCTTTTGTTATTCCGGTTGGGCTTTTCATATTTGCTTGGACTGCTCGCGCCAGTATCCACTGGATTGTGCCGCTGATTGGCGTAGCCATTTTTGTTGTCGGCCAATACTGTGTCATCCAGGGCCTCTTCATGTATGTACCGGTTTCGTATCCTCAATACGCGGCGTCAATCTTTACGGGCAACGATTTGATCAGATCCGCTATTGCTTCCGGATGCATTCTTGCTGCCAGGCCAATGTTTGTCAACTTGGGCGTACACAAAGGTGTGACAGTCTTGGCCGGGCTCAGCGTGATGGGAATAATTGGCACATTGTTGATGTACAAGTTTGGCAAGAAGCTCCGTGCCAAATCTAAGTTTGCGCAATAGACGATGGATTCAATAAGAGGGAAACGCATATATATTCTAGACTTGGAAACTATGGTCGGTATGTTCAAACGGTTCTTCTAGCAAGGAGTTTGACATAAGCATGGATTGTTTTATAGAGCGGGGCGTGTTCTTCTGTGCAGCTAATGCTCCGGGAGCGTACGACTTCATCAATTGGTAAACAGGGGAATTATCTAGTAGTTTGTGATGTTAGACAGTTTTGAGGCTATGGATCTTATAATACAATTAATTATTTTCATGCAAGCAACAATCGGAAGCTCGCTTCAATATCAACTATAAAAATCAGCGCCGCTTGGTGTCATGATAATCATACTATAAAACAAGACGAACTGTAACAATTCACGCATCATTCAACTATCATTTATTAGCAGTTGTTATTGGCCTACTATCTTTCCAAAAACAAAATTCTTTTAGCAACGCTTTGCCTTTAATCGAGTTGTGACTCTACACAAGCTCTTAAAGACTAGCGAAACGCGCAATCACTTTTGGCCTTTGAAGTAGCTACTTAGTGCATCAAAGATCGTCTTCTCTTCTGACCTGTGCATCTATCCTTTGGCGACAGTTCAAAGTTTGCCCAACAATGTGGTTTTGCAACTAGGCCAAATTCTTCCATCAGCCCCTGTACTGTGGCACTGATGGGCACGGGAGACTGCGGCGTTGGTTCTTGCAGTATAGTTTCGATCAATTTTGAACTGGAAGACGTCGTCATCTTATATGCTCCGTATTCACGAAGCATTCTAAATAGTGAAGTATCATTGCCAAATTGCGCCGCCACATCAAGCGGAGTTTCTCCAAAATGATCCGTGGTGTTAACATCGGCGCCGCAGACAAGAAGCAGTTCCGCCAAGTGATAATTCTTTCTCGATACGGCCCAGTGAACTGGGGTTCTGCGGCAGGATCCTCTCGCATCAATATTGGCACCATAAGAAAGAAGCAATGCCGCAATTCGATGGCTCTCGGTAGCAGTAAGTGCAGTCTGCCCATCGAAATCCTTCTGCTCAGTGTCAGCACCAAAGGAGAGCAGCAGCTGGGAAGCTTCATAACATTCGCAGTAAATAGCATGAATTAACCAGTTGTATTTTTGCTGCTTGCTTTTGTCGATATACTTGTCGCTGTGGATATACCATTCTTGGAACGCACCCACGATTGAGGCATTGCGCCGGAAGAGGCCCCCTTGGTAGAGAAGAATCTTTTCTACTGAAGGAATGTTACCGAGTTTGACTACTCCCAACGCAGCTTCAAAGTCAATAACAAATTCTCGCGCCTCTTTTAGGAAGCGAAAGATTTGGCTTCCAAATTTTCCATCTATAGCCGCTTGAACAGCATCTTTAGTGACGTGGATCTGAAATCCGCTGTCTTCAAGGATCCAATGCATCGTGAGAGCGGAACTAAACTGTTCCCGCTGTTGTGATAACAACTCAGCCGTCGATTCTGCAAAAACCTCGGCAGCGCATATGAAGAATTCTTCTAAAAAGATATAGCCGTGGCTTTCGAGCTGCTGGCCCGACAACTTGAACATGGCGAATAGCTGATGGTCAAAGAATGCATGGCGGATTAGGAATTTGGCTTGGCTCCTGAAGAAGGCTCTAGCACTGTTGGCGCTGTCTGGCTGTTCATTTACCCCATTCATTGTCACTCCGTCAACCATCTGATCGTGGCTCAACGGGTATTTGACGAAGAGTTCCAACACATCTTTGTAGCATCCACTCATCAGCGCATTCTTGTGAAGCTGATGAGTTAATATGATGCGGCAGTTTCGCTGAATCAGCTGTTGTATAATCTTGATAGCCTGTGCCTTGTTAGCGGCTGCTGCTTCCGCAATTCTCGTATAATCATCCAGTTTCGGAATGTTTGGTAGAAAACGTTCCATCAGAGAAGCACCTTGACGTTGATTCCGTGCCGCTGCTAGTAACTTTTCACTAAATGTGGGAATTGCGGTTTGGGAACTGATATAGTCCTCCAAAACTGCTATGGCTGGTATTGTGCCTATCTCCACTGCGTTCAAGAAAGTGGCAACGGTCACCTCAGACTCTTTGTTGCGGTGAGCGAGAAGCAAGTTCATCATTTCTCCAGTCATGTCATATTCTGCCACAAGACTTATGGTGCCCTCGGGAATTTCGACCCCAGGAGCCCGCAAAATACCCTCCAAGCATTCAACGTCGGCGGTTTTGACAGCTTCCCATAGCCAGTGATCTTTAACCTTTTCCAGATTTTTAATGACGCCTTTGATAGTCGTATTCACACTGCTGCTCAACAAGCCTTTGTCACTTTTAAAACCAAGCAGAAATCCCACAACATCGCAAACTAGACGACGTTCTGTCTTCTCATAGTCCGGTGTTAAAATAGGAGAATTGGAATCGGAATCGGCAGCTATAGCTTTCAGAGCGTAAATGAGATCTCGGGGTTCACTTGCTTCAGTCTCCCCAAATCTGAGGAATAAAGTGTAAAGGCATGGCTTTTCGCTCCACCAAGAAGATTTTCTCCAGGGACCAGGCATAATGTCAATGACAGACTGGCAGTGTACGCTTGGTTTAACGCCAAAGATGATGGGCGCAATGGCAAAAGTATTTGCCGGTATTTCTCGATTCCCGCAACATACAACGGCGGCCTTTGCATTGGCCACTTCCTGCAAAATCCAGACCCTGCGAAACCAAGACCGACTGAGAAGACTCTTGAATCCCTGGCATGGCACATCGTCAAATCCTTGTGTCTTCTCCTGGACAGCTGCCCAAATCTTCTTCCAGCGTATATCGTCCCGCGTCCAGGATCGATACGCGTGCTTGGAGCACTCCTGCTGAACAAGCTGCATACAATGCATGAATGCATCAGTCGTAAATGTTGCATTCCCCAGGAAGAAAATAACACGGCTGGCTTGTTTATAAATGTCGCTCATGTGCGCAACCTGATGGTTCCTCTCTTTCACATTGCTCTGATCGATGCAAACGGCATCTACCCAGAGTATTCGGTCGCTGTGCGGATAGCGAAGGTTCATGAGAGCCAGGTGTAAATTTGCAGTGATTCCCATTCTTTGGTCATTGACAACGATGCTGTGATGGCCTCCGGTCGGCCCCCATGTGTAAGAGAGCGCTTCATACGGTATCAATTCATCGTGTTGGTGTAGGACTGCTTGAAAAAGATCGCAACTCAAGTCGCCGCCGTCGCCTTGGTGAAGCCGCACAAGTCGAAAGCCGGGTCCATCAAGGTCAATCTTGTCATATTCGTAATTGGCTGCCATGTTTTACATACGCGTAGGAACAAAGATGAGAGTCCATGGATTGCAGCAGCTTTGATTCATAGAGCAACCAAGACAAGGTTGCATCGGGCAAACAGACAAATCAATTCTGCCTGCAATTCTGCCCTGGAGACATTAAGCTATGCCCGAAACCCATTAGAGGCATAGCAAACAGATACACAGCCACATAACTACAAAGACATGAGGAGGAGACGTGGAGGTTGTGAAGGAGGTAATAAGATCAGCTGCAAGCTATTTAATCGACATAAAAAAAGAAGTTACGCATGCCCAAAATAGCGATATTGCACCAAGCACCTTAACTAAAGATGTACGTATAAACAGCAATAGCGGGGGAGAAAAAATAAAAAACGAAAACATACAACAGCCGGTGTTCGCTGGTGGTCACCCACCCAACTACTAATCTGCCGGTTAGTGGCTTATCTATGGGGGAGCAGACGGGACCCCGAGTTTTCCACTACCTATGGTCGTATGTGTTTGGACTGCTATCACAACAACTTATAAAATCAGGATTCTCTCTCAAGATGCATACCAAAAATTCAAGGCGCGCCGAGCCACGCCTACATCATGGCTGGCACCTGCAACCCCCAAACAAAGCGCCTCGCGTTTGCAGAAATGCCCTCCTCTTCACCGGATCCTTGAAGCCCATATACAAATGCTCATTTATGGGAATGGTCTGAGCCGCAGAAATGGCACAGGTGAAGGAGCTGGAGCTTCTGGGCGAAACGGAGCTCCAGTCCAAAACTCCGCCTGGAGGACGCTTCCCCATCGGCTGTCCGACTCTCGATTTGGCGGCCACCTGGGACCAAGACGACAGAAGCGTGCTTGTATACCGGCCGCTGGATCAGGTTGTCTCTAAAATCCACCAGGTTGCTTCTCCGGGAGAGAAAGCGCCCGAGGTGTGCGCAGTGACATGGAGGCCCGATGGTAAGTATGGGCCTTGTATAAGCGTATATACCTATTCTTGTACATCTCAGTATATGTACCTATATATGCTAACGGTATTTCCTGGTGAAAACTACAGGCCAATTCCTGTCGCTGGGCTGGAGTGACGGCGTTGTGCGGCTCATGGGCTTGGAGAACAACAAGGCTGCCCATCATCTTCCAGTCTGCGACAAGGCTGAGGCCACAATCACCCATATTGGCTGGTCCACTGCCATTATCGCCAGCAAGGCAGATGGAGCAATTGCTCACAGGCTTGGAGACGAAGTTACCAAGGGCTGGACCGAGCCGGGCGCCAAGACGCATCTTGATCTGCCTCAAGAACTCACATTTCTAGAAGTTGAAACGGCGTTGCCCAGAATTAGCCCCCTGCCAACGAGTAGTGCTGGTGCAGGGTGAGCTTTGTTCTCTCAGATTGATTTGTGCCATCCTAACATTGGAACAGCGAGGATGCTACCGTCTTCACTCTGCGCAGCGGCATCGACTTTCTCTTCCGAACTCCTAAGCGAGACACGTATGACCAAGTCAACGTGATGATTGTGGGGACCAGCGATGGCAAAATACAACTCAGCATCTACGACTCTTTCATCATTGGCACGTTTCCACAGCCACTACTAGACTCGCCAGCGTCAGCACCGTCCAGTGCGATGCATGTGATACACCATGCAGCTCACCCACGAACATCAACACATTCTCTCCTCTACGCAGAAAAGCAAAACGAGCCTCGAGAACTCCATCTTGTTCCTATGGATCTCCCATTTCTCTCCTTTTCCCCCATCAATTTGTCGCTTTTATCCTCCAAACTCACCACCATCCAAGCACTACTACGGTACCTAAAGCAGATATCCCTTCATATGCAGGTTGAGTGGAAAAACGCAAGAGAACTTCCGGCTCGCTTCCTCCGCAGTGTGCAGGGTGACTTGGAAGAGATGAACAGTGGGCCGAGAGAAATCGTCTCTGCCCTGTTTCACACGGCCTTGACTGGCCACGCTTATGCTCCTGTAAAGGAATGGCTCGTCGACAGCCTAGCAGAGCGGGTACGCATCTCAATACATCTTGAATCATTTTCATAGGCTAATGAATAGCTTCAGGGCCACAAACGCTGGGACAAGGCAGTGGTATCTGGCCTAGAAGGCCTTCGTAGCCTCGTTCATCAGTATTTCCTTCCAGCTCTCGAACGCTGCTCCGTCATCCTCAGCCGCCTCCGCGGTCTCGCCCGCTTTTATAGCGACCGTGAAGATATCGGCCTATCCATCCCCCATCTCAACCGCGTTCTTGACACTATCAGCTGTCTCACCCTGGTCGGACACAAGGTCCTCATCCATACGATGGACGAGCTCCAGCATTTCTCCGCCTTTTCAGCGTGGCTTCGTTTCCAAATCGACCAGCTGGGAGGACCTGGCACGGGCGTTGAAGAACTCACAGACAAGGAGGCTATGATGGACCACACAAAAGTGCTGACCTACATTGAGCGCTACCTAACAAATAGTCCTCTCGACATCTTCCTCAATGAGATTGCCAAAGAGGACTACGATTCCGACTGGGATTTCATAGATGACGGCCCAACACTGCTAGACGTCTTGGACAAGCAGTTAAAGAAGCACGAAGCTGGCCAGCCCGGCATGAAAGCCCTCCCACACGTCGATTTCCTGGTCAACTACGCCTCGACATGGTCAAACAAGATCTTTAGCAGCATCGCCGAAGCAAAGAGGCGCAGCGTCCGCTTCGGCAGGCCAGTCAAGCTATCTATCGGAAAACCTATCACCAAGATGGACATGAAAATGTACGGCTCCAGCAAGAGAAGCGGAGCTGTATTCACTGCGCTGGCCTCGCAGCAGGATCCAAGCAAAGTGCATTTATTTCGGATGGACATGGCGATAACAAACGGAATCAGTGATAATAAGCCAGTCATGGCCTGCGTTGTCGATCTTGGTTCCCGATCACTCGCCGATCTGAAATTCCTCAATGACAAAACCCTTGTGGTATTCTGTACCGAGAGCAGTACGTTTCATTTTGTCCACCTAAAAGATTGTTCATCTACTAACACTTCACAGACAATCCTCCTTCAATCATCCTCATCCCCACCCAAGACGAATCTTTGCTCTCATATAGCCTTTACGATGCTGCAAATCCCGGCCAGATTTCGTCCTCAACATCAGCCGACATCTTTACAGCCTATCATTTTCCAGCCAACCACCAGGTACTTCGGCCCATCCGTATGGAAGCTCATGATAGAAGCGACGTTAGAGGGGAATTGCCTGCGCGAATCTGTCTTCTGGGCAGTAATCGCACAACATGGAAGACTTATAAAATACCTTCCGATGGATAATGTATCACCATTTGTTAGGCTAATTTTGGAATTAGACCACGCTATTGAGAGAGAGAGAGAGATACAGATTTATAGTAGAAGGAATGCAATTTTTAAAAATGAATAAAACTAATTAACCACAATATTCGGTTAAAAATCATCTACCATACAGCTATAAACAGTTCTCTGCTTCCAAAAGAGAAGAGAAGAGAGAAAAAATTATTTGCCAACAAACGCCTATCCCTGTAATACACAAAACACCTGTCACAGTCTCCATCTAGCCCGCAACATTAATCTTTGGTTTTGTGATGTCAAAAAACTCCGTCAGCCCTTCGACTACCGCCTCGACATTCATATTCACCAACGGCATCCGATCATACGAATCATCCGTCATAATCGCCACCAGCGCGAGATACCGATCGACTTCGCGCAGCATGATGGGCTTGTGGCTATCGTGCAAGACAAGGCAGCTCTCTGCCGTCGAGCAGCCCACCTGGTCCTCCAACTTTGCATTCCACGGCTCGCCCTCGAGACGTTTGCGGCCATCGTCACTTCGCTGCCACGTGCCGTAAATTTCGGTGATGTCGATAATGACGTCTATGTAGTCGCTGCAGATCTCGTAGCTGGCCATGTCTGCCGTCGCGGAATCAGTAGCAATGTAAATCTTGGACAGCACGTCGAAGAGGTAGGCCTTTTCGAAGCGGCATGTTCGGCAGAGGTTTGTCAGCATTGACTCCAGTGTTCCGAGCCGAGGGATAAGCTTTTGGATGACCTTGCTGAAGGCCTCGAAGATGGAGTGGTTATAGATTGAAGTAAGGTGGAAAGTAACGGGAGCGTTCTCAAATCCATGGTCGGATAGTTCATCTTGAATGCGAATAGTGATGTCTCTCTGAATATCGAGCTTATAGTCGTCTGATAAACCATCTACTTTGTGGATAAACACTTCGATATTGATGTTAGGATATGATCGTTGGAGTGCAAGAATGGTGACGTTGAGACGAGCGACGGCCTCGAGATAATCGTCCTGAGCATCGATGACCCAGATCAAAGCGCCGAGTCCACCAAAGATGGCATCCATATCGAAGCTGGGGTTATCGTAGACGTCTATCTGGCCAGGAAAGTCCCAAATTTGGAAGTCCATAAAGGATCTTGTGTTGACATGATTAGCCGAGGGAAACAATGACTCAAAGAAGAATAAAATAGAAGAGGAAGAAAACTCACGACATGGTATCCTTTTGTATCCGTGCGGTTGATTCGAGAAATAGCGTCTCATTAGGTGCGAGCTTGTGGAAAACCACACTGGAAATAGATGACTTTCCGCTCCTATCAAATGCGTAACCGTCAGTAAATCCGCAGCTGGATTGCATCTTCGACTTCGCGCAAATCGACTCACCGTCTCTGTCCCATCAACAGCAATCGCGGCTTTCCCTTCTCAAACGCGCCGCCAGCCGGGTCCGCAGGCCTCAGCGTGCCCTTTTTTATCGGTTCTTGGTTGCTCTGCTCATAAAGAAGTTGAAGTTTTAGCCTGGCTGGACTCATCACACCGGAACGAACGGGAGAGCGACTAAGGGCATTGAGCTCAGCGAGCTGCCTCTCCGCAGGCGAATCATAGATGGGAGGGCTGAGAGACATTGTAGATGCTGCTTCTCCTGATGGCGCGTCTGATGCTCTGCAGCTTCAGGATTTGAGGGCGCTCTTTATCCCACGCTTGTGAAAGAAAGATGTGTTTGCTCTTCTCATATCATGTCATATCGTGTTATATCAGGCAAAGAGAAAGAGGGTGCGTGAAACGCCCTTGCTCTGCAGTAATTTCCGGCCGAGATGACGGCTCTCAAGGCTCACTTGAGCTCTGTCCTCACTCTCATATGGCAGCAGCAGCTATATGCACCCTGCCCTCACCGATGTTGCTTTTGGCGCAGCCCGCGGCTTGCCCCCAGCACACACGCACAAGTCGGCACAAGCCACTGCGCCCTGAGCCCGGCCGCCGGCGACGAAAGGGCCAAGGCCAAGGCTTCACCTCGTCCGACCACGATGCGGCGCAAATCAGGCATCAAGGTGACACGAGCCATCACGTCGTCTGCGTCGTCACACGTGCTTCGCTGCTCCTCTGCCCGCTGCCCAACTCAACCAGCGCAGCCCAAGCGAGTCAAACCATGAACCATGTCCCTCCGCGGTGCCCACTCGAGCAGCAGCCGTCTCTCTGCATGCTAATGTCTCTCCGTCAAAAAGGGCACCAGGTCACGAGCCAAAGGGGGTCTCAGGCCATCAGACGTCTGCCTGCTCCCTGCGAGTCCAGACTGGGCCAAGGGGGCGAAAATTTAGAGGGACAAAAAAAGAAAAGAAAAAAAAAAGACTTGAGAACAGCGAACAGGGCTAGGCAGCGCTCTCTGGTTCGCTATCAGAAAAAAGAAAATAAGGAAGCATGTGGGTGACACACAGAAGCAGCTCACTGGAGCAAAGCCCTGCCTCTTGCGCGTGTGACAAGGCGCTTATCGAGACACACAGCATGCAGCTGGGATTGAAGCAAGGCATATAAAAAGGCGCAAAGGACGTCGGACTGCTCACCTCCATGGTGCGATGAAGCCAGAAACAAGGGACGAAAGCGCCGGCCAATCGACGGTCAGTGTGACGAGGCCGCCCAGCTCAACCAATGCAGCTCGTCCGGCGAATTGGAGACGGAAACTCTCACGGCGTCCAGTGGCCCTTCGCGTCGTCGTCGCGTGTCGTCTTGCAGGGTGGGAAGCGGATTTCGCAGGGGGTGGGAGTCTCTGGAGTGGTTACAGCCGCATTGCTGGAGATGATTGACGGATCGACAAGTGAGGCCAGCGGGGATGGATTCCGGTGAGTAGGTAAGCACGCTTTAGTGGCTGGCGGGAGCTTCAGCTGGGGTGCTGGGGGCTCTCCACAGGCGGCAGTGCGCTAAGGCCGCTAGAAAGGGCCTGCTGGAGCTCGCTGGAGCGCTGTGCCGCTGGGGGCCGTTGCTTGCTTTTTCACAGCTGCGGCTGGACGCTAAAGTTGGGGGCGTCGTCCATTTGGTGACATTTCACGGCAGGATATCCGTCGAGTTCAGCTTCATAAGACGGCTGCTTTGCGTTGTGCCAGCTGGCGATGGCATTTCCAGTCACCGAGAATACATGCATACAGGCAGCATCCTTGTACAACTTTGAGCTTTAGAAGCTGAAAGAATGTTATATTCAATCAGGCAGAGCACGCACATCAATTAATTGATTCATCGCCTTGCATGTACCTAAAATATCTCCTTCTTCCACGTCCTCCCAACAATCAACCGCTGAAACCACAAAATGAAACTTCACAGTGCCTTTCAACCTTTTTGGGGGAATCTGAAACTCCTATTAGTATTCGCTATTACATGGCTGCTCTTAATAAGCATGTATCTCTATATTAAAATTCATCCTCACTCTCATCCACCCAGATGTCTCACCCTCACCCAGCGTCATCCAGAAAGATAAAATCAGGAAGCATCAATAAAACAAGCCGTGTGTCTGTCTCATGTTTCGTCGCCACGCACGCTTTATAACCCTTGTAATCGATCGGCACTAGACTCTGCAAGTGTCTCAGTTGAACTGGACTCAAACCATCCGCGGACAAAGATAGATTGTCGATTTCTCAATGCATCCAAACGCCAGTCCATGTATGTTGCTTTTTCTTTTCCATGCCCATCTTCTCCCAATCGTCCATAGAAACCCGTGACCATTGTAGAATTGCATACCATAGCCAAATTGCCTCCCAAACAACGCTTCGTCTTTCGCTAAATCAACAATATGCTCATGTCGTTACATAAACGGCTTCTGCACTCTAATCTTTGGAGACGCAAGACCCGTCTCTGCTTTTCTCTTTCCCAGCACCGGTTCCGGAGTGCGCCGTGATTGGACGGGTGTAGACTCTCGATCCCTCGTCGCCTCAGCACGGCATGAGGCGTGATATGCCCGGTTGCCCACCAAGATTGTATCGAGCCATACCCATTCTTGGACCGTATCGAGCCACTTGTTCTCAAATCGTTCCTGACAGATTGGGCAAACATTGTTAATGCCGCTGCTTGGATCTGGTACGAGGATATACTTTGGTCCCTCCGAATCCTTAGAGGCTTGAGCCGACTCCTCCTTGGAAGACACATCATGTATCGCGTCAACAGCTTCCCGGGCTTTGAGCCAGTCCTGTATTACAGGTCAGATTTTGCTTCCCTTGAACCAGTAGGAATTTGGGGGCATAGTAGACTTACCTGCTGGTCAACGTACCAGCTCCGATGAGTGCCTCGTTTTTCGGCCTCTGTGCTCCGCTGGTGCACTTGAAAGTGCCAATCCATATGAGCCGTCTTCTTTCTTCTTCCTTCTTCGTCAGTCCTAAACCGTCTGCCGCACTGCGTACACGGAGGTCCTAGATCGTCATATAACGCAGCAATAGACTCGGGACGAAATCTATGTCGTATTATGTCAGTAATGCATCATGATCAAAAATTAAAAAGGACGTATAGAAAGCCAACTTACTGTTTCTTTATAGCGAAATCCAGGCCAGTAGAGCTGGCCAGGCTATCTGCACTGGATCGGCCAGAATCTGGCTTATGGGCCGCTAGTAGGCTGGCGATGCTCGCTGGTAGGCCCGAAGGAAATATAGAAGGCGGCATTACCGGAACAGCTGGTGCCTGGTTGGGAGCTGGAACATTGGTAGGTGTTGCGGGTGGGAGCATACCCGCAGCTCGGAGCTGATCTAATAAGGAAGAGGCACTCGAGGCTGGAGCCGCGGGCATGGATGGTGGTGGTGCTAGTGCTGCAGCTGCCTTGGGTGGCTCGTTATGATTCATCTGCGGCGACCGTATAGGGACGCCAGCGAACGGAGGCTTAGGTGTTGTGTTCTGCTGAGAGTTGCTCGACTGCATACTCAGCAAAGCTGCCATCGCCCCTTTCCCAAGCAATGAATCAAGAGTCACCGGCACAGCGGACTGGGCCGCCGGAACCGGTGACGGGGTTACAGAGGTAGAGGGAGGATGCACGGAAAGCGCCATAGCCGGCGGCACCGCTGGTGCTGGGATAGGGGTAGAGTTTGCAGAGCTATGGCCGAGAGTGGCCCTAATTGTCACGGCAGCAAGTTCTGTTACTTTGTTTTTAATGAGCTCAAGCTGATCTGGTGGCAGATTTGAGTGTTGTACAACGCTCTGGAGATCCAACAGAGCCTTTAACCTGCTCTGAGCTCCGCTATCATGCGGATTCTGCGAGAACTCGGCCCTCATCGCAACAATCAAATTTTGAATGTCACTGCTCAAGGTCTCTACGCTTATTCCAGACGGCAGAGGCAATCCTGAGCCGTATGGTCCTTGGGCGGCTTGGGGGAAGGAAGCTGGGGTCGAATTGTAAGGGGCCAAAGTAGATGGTGGGGGATAAGGAGCAGGCTATACACAGACGTGTCAGAATAAATGCCAAATACACAGAAGAGGGACATGATTTTGAAGAAATGGACAAACTCACCTGCTGTCCGGGATAGCCAGCGACCGGCTCGCCGGGATGCCCTCCGTTGGCGAAAGGATGAGGCTGTGGTGGAAAGTTCCCAGCCGGGCCAGGGTATCCACGCATTCCAGGCGGCGTCGGTGTGTTCCGATGAGGGAACATTGCTGATCGAGGTCTGCCTGGTATGGCGCTCTGTGCCTGTTGGGGCATGCTTGCTGCTCGGGCCTTCATAAGAGCATTCTCAATCGGCCGCACCAATTCGTGTGAAAAGACGGGGCGCGTATCCATTGATCCAGGAACAGGATCTTTCCATGTTTTGAGCATCTCCTCCATCTTTCTGCGCACGCCATGATCAACCACCGCATATGACTCCATGAATATCTTGAACAGAGTTCGACCGAAGTATAGCGTATATGGAGTGCCAACATTCTTGACGATTGAGTCCATTACATATAAGGCTGGCAGTTTCTTATTTGGCGGTGCCTAGTTACGAATGAGCATTTGAATATCCAACAGGGGAATAGAAAAGGATAGCATTAATTGATGAAAAAAAAAAAAAAAAGAAAGAAAGGAAGAAAGAAAGAAAGAAATAACAAGGAAAAGATTCCATCGTGTCAAACGGTTCTTCTCCCAAGGAAGTATTTTAGGAAATGCTAGCATCCTACCTTCAGAATGTGCTGCTGCAGAACCTCTGCGATAGCCAAAGCATGCTCTGTATTCTCTCTGGCAATTACTGTCAAGTTGCTGATCTCAAAACGCATATTAGAGGAGAGATCCTCGAGGGCAAGACGGTAATCCTCCGCCACCTCATCGCCATCAGACGACATTTTGAATTGTTCTGTCGATGGCTCAAATAATAGTTTAAGGGGAGAGAGAGAAGAAGAAATAGAGATGTCGACAGTCAGATATGGCCAGGATAATAAAAAGGAGCAATAATAGTTGCCCAAGATCCCAAGGACATAAACAAACAAGCAATAGAAAACGTCTCCACCGCTTTGAGTAATTAGAAAGCTAAAATCCGCGTAGGCAACGAACAAAAGGAACCAGACACAATGACCGCACGTTTCAAGAAGAGGCGAAGTATATTCCAAGATGTACTTTTCCTGGCCTTCGCCGTCCTCAATAACTCTAAACTCAGCCACAAGCTATCGTATTGAACCTTTGTAAAGCCCTCTTCAGCGTTCCTCTTGACGCAACCTCTTTCACTCGCTGCGATATTCAAACACTATACCCGCAGGCACGCCTACGCTAGAATGACCGCCTGTGGTCTGTGCCGCGTATATGGGATGTATTGTGGGAACAGCTACTTTCAATGATCGCCTCGAATGCCGCGTCGTCGTCGCTAAAGGATGCCGGCAGAATAGACAAGATTCGATCTCGCTTCAAGACAAAGGACGTCGGAACCGGAAAGGGGAGTAATGACAAGATGGTCCGCTTGGAAAGAGAGAAGATTCGAATGCCGCAGTCTGGCTCCCTCCTACAGGAAGAAACCCTACACCGTCGAGATGAGCCGCTTCAGGTCGCCAGAGCTACCATGGAAAAGGGAAAATGAAAAGCGTTGGATCAGCAAACAGAGCAGCTGGTCAGAGTTGAATGGCTAATCTGGATCACGTGATGTGTCAGCTACTATTGGTATTAGGTAATCAAGCGTTGCACGGGCCATTCGAGCCTAGGCGATAATTCGGCAATGGCCCCAAAGCAATCAAGCGAACAATGCTGAGAGGTTGATGTGAATAGATGAAGTAGATGAAAGGAAATCGGATAGGGACAGCAGGGAACAACTAATTGCAAAAGTTATTGCCACTTACTTCTTCCGTTGCTCACGTGTCTACACGACTTACCTTGGGCCATCTAGCATGCTTAGGTACCTAAGAATACACGTATTCACGTGAAGATGAAGCTCGCATAACGACTACCAAGGTGCTGCCTAGGTACACGTATGTTGTTTCTCATTGTTGGGGGTTCGAATTGAATCATTGCTAGAGCAATCTAGAGAAGAAGAAAAAATACGTAAACACAAACAAAACAAAAAGGCAATTCCCTGCCCACTTTGGGGTATTCCGATATTATGAACCTGCATTTATTCCAGTCCTCAACGCCCCTGATCCATGCAATTCATCCCATCGGCGAACCATCTCGGCCATTGCGAGGATCATCCATTTTTTTTTTCACCCTCTTTTTACTGAAAGAGTCAGATGCTTTAGACTCAGAGCCTATCCAGCGATCAAAAGCGAGACATGTTCGCCTCAGAATACCGACTGCTGCGGCTGCTGCGGCTGTTCATTGGGTGCAAAGCCGTATCAGGACGCTTCAGGCCCGGGATAATGGGGCTATCGCTCTGAGCTTCGATATCACGAACGTGATGAGTGATGATGTAGGGAGGGCGACTCTCAGGCTGGCCTGTCATATATTCTTCGTCTTTTTCGTTTTTCCAAAACATAAATCGGCTCCTCGTCTTCTCGTTTCGAATGGAAGACGACTTGCTGCTGCCGCCGTATTCGGAGTATGGGCGCTGAGACCGCGCCAGCGAGCCGTTTGCACGAATGTCGCGAGACGTGATGCCCTCTTTTCTGTCACACCAGATGAACGAACAGATGAAGTTGAGGAAGCCGAAAATAAAGGACAGGATACCTGCAGCGAGCACCAGTGAGGAGAGGGCAGAAGACATGTTCAGGTCGTGGTTGAGCATTCCCAAGAGGTTGCAGCCGATGATAATCATGCCGATGCCCAGCCAACTAAGCCCGTGGTGGTCGGACAAGACAGGCCACATGCGACGTAGGTAGATCTTGATGAATTCCGCAAAAGCCAGTTCCGAGACGACGAGCAAGGAGCAGAAAACCGAGACGAAGAAGAGCGTGAAGCACTCAAAAATGAAGTACGGCTTACTCTTTTGGACGTTGATGATTAGAATCCAGCAAGCCGCTCCGGCAGTCAAGAGAGTGATGACGGTAGCGACACGGAGGGCCTGGAGAATGACCAGTCCAGCGCCCCGAATAGCTGACGAGTTCATGAAGCCAGCCATGATAAACTTTTAAAAAGAAAAAAAATTGCACAAAATTGCAAAATGAGTGCTATAGATGAGGGTTGCTTGAAGTAGTAGTTGGTAATCCTCTCGGAAGCAAGCACCGCCCGCTAGTGAATGAGTGTGAAAGAGAAAAGGAAAAAATATATATATAGGGAGACCCAGATAACGTATTCGAATCGTATAATCTTGACAACGGAAAAAGATCTAGTTGATGCAGAGAAAATGAGGGAACCAGCCCAGCGGCGACGAAGGCGACGAAGCTTACGTAGAAAGGAGAGTAGAAGAGAAGTGGCAGGGTGAAAGAAAGCGAGAGCTGCTGTTCAACGATTGGGAAGCAACTTCAATACCGTTCAACAAACAATTGTTCGCAAAGACAATAGAAAAGAAAAACACAAGAGATGGACAATAATAAGAAAAAAAAATACGCTGAGAGGGGAAACGGCGGGCGATCTGAGGAGAGGCTCAGCACTTCTTTAATATGGAAGACTACACACCCAATCCACCACGATTTGCCGCCCTCACCTACAGGACAGCAAAGACCAAACCTCGCAGCTGAAACAGACAGCAGCTAACAAAAGCAGCGCTCTTCCGATACATGGCCAGCTCCATGGGGAAGCATGCGGCCTGCAACCCGCGTCTCTACTCTCCTTCACGGCGTGTGCCAAACATTTGGCAGCCTCCAAGGCCAATCGTTTGCCCAAGATCATTTTCAGCAGACCAGATGCCAAAATAGAACGGCCAGCTAGCCGCGCCGAGAGCAGCTTGTTTCATTAGCAATCCGGCCTCGATGTCTGGCCGCGCTTGCGCCAGAATCGCAACAGCTGAAGCTCAAGAGCTCCTGATTTAGACCTGTCAGAGAAAGCAGCCAGGCCAAAGGCCGGCGCACAGTAGCATCGGCTCATGTTGAGATGATGCCATCGTTTGATCAAGACCAATAACGCTGCGGCGGCAAGTGGCCCAGAAACGGGCCATTAGCTGGGAGTCTGTGGTTTGATCTCAAGGCCAGGGCTGTGAAGAGGGTTGATTGGCTATAACGGCTTGCAAGGTGTTTCAGCAAAGCGTTGGAGAGTGGCGCCAAAGCACTGCTGCGGGGACGTGCTTAAACTATGAACGCAGGCAAAAATACTGAGCAGCACATGTACATGTACATCACTGTTATAATTGTGAGTAACAGTTGATAATGAGAGCGCGACCAAAAAGATATATTTTGCCCTCCATATACTCGTTCACGGAGCAAAGGTGGCTAAAAATAAGCTTCTACCGCGCTTTTATTATTCGATATTCTACAAAGTGCTACAGAATATCCAATGTCTCACATGTGTTGAGCTCGTCGACTCTGCGCTGTTGGCCTGAGAATCGTTCACGTCACATCAACTCTCTGTTGAACACTGAGATGAATTCTTACTACGATATAAATAGCCAAATAGGCCCTCCAGATACTCCGAAAGCATTTCGTGTTTGTCAATGGAAGACCTACGAGTTCGGCGCGGCATTCCAGTCCTGAGAATGCGGATGATACGCCTGATATCCGCGCCCGGCAGTGGCTTACTCAGGTACCTGCCTTACTACCTAGTATTTACACAAGCGCGGGTACCTTAATAGCCGCCGAGTCTTACACCGAGAGCCCGGGTCATCGCCATCCATTGCCGGGACACGGCGTCGAATGCGGACATCCCTGCATATCCAGCCCTTAAAAGGCCCAAAACATCGTCACTTATGGAGGGAGACAAGGCAAGCAATCAAGGCAGGCAATCAAGGGAGGACCTTCTCGTGGCTCTGAATCTAGAACTTGAAGCCGCAAAGGACCACCGATCTGCTAGTGCAGTGCATCGGTGCTTATCCGCGAGGCCCAGCAAGCTAATAGCCTTCGTTGATTGGCCCTTGCCGCCACGGCTTTTTAAGGCCCACGCAGATCGGTGCAAGCCAAAGCATCACCTTCATCCATCTTCACCCTGTTCCATTGTGTACGAGAAGCAGCTCCCACCGGCGCCACCATGACCCGCGGAAATCAACGTGAGTTGGCTCGAGCCAAGAATGCCAAGAAGGAGGCCGCCAAGGTAAGCTGAAATCGCGCTCGCGATGCTTTCTCGCAAGAATGGAAGCGTGAGACGGGGGGAACACAAAAAGGCTAACGTTTACCATAGAAAGGCGGCAACGCCAAATCTGGCTCCGAGATGGCGAAGCAAGGCTTGAGTGACGCCGAGAAGATGCGACAGAAACAAATGGAGGGTCAGTTTGCAATGGGAACATGCCTCTTTTGCGCGAACTAAGCTAACGTATCTCTAATTGCCAACAGCCGACAAGAAAAGAGCGGAAAAGGAAGCAGAAGCGCTGAAGGCGAAGATGGAGGCGAAAATCAAGAAATAAAGGGACTTGGGAGGCAATTCAGCGATGGATACTACATGCGATATTCCCACTGGCACGGCAACAATGGTACGGCGAAACTTGGCGCGACTTGGAAATTTACAACACGGCGCATTTTTGGGACAATCTACGTAAAAAGGAGAAGGGGGGATATCTTTGAGTAGCCACGAATACACAGCGAAATTGATGTTTGTCACTGCTGTCGCGATGCCAGTGATCACGAGCTTGAATGTACACGTTGCTGTTCCTGCTGACTCCGCGGTTTATAGTTTACAGGGGCGCAGCAGCTCGTTTCAGTCGTAAACCCTTCGTCATATATTGAAACTAAAGTTTGCATGGAAAACCAATAGGTGCTAGCCGACAGCATCTTCTTACTCTTCCTACTGCAGCTATTGGCATTTTAAGTTTGCCATCACCGTAGCATGGTAAGTAGATATCTATATATAGAACTTGGCGAATATTTCAACGTTGTCGTTGGAAATCTGCCTGGCTCAGGATGATGCCTATTCTAGAAGCTTCTAATGGCCGGATATCCAGGCACCAATACACAGCGATAGCGCATCTGCAGCACATTTATGTAGGGGGACGTTATCATCTACAAGTTCTTATTGGATATTAAATACCTACTACTAAGGCTAGACAAACATCAATGGAGAACCAATAACAATATCTAACACTCCCCATGATCTAATACTAATGTATTCAAATCTTGTTGAGTGCTAGAGGTATTCGGAGGTATAAAAAAAGCACCTAGGTACCTGGGTAATGCAATATATTGTCTTTTAACATTCAAGTTAAAAACTCTAGGGTAGTTTGGAGAGTGTATAGGTCTACCCTAGTACGGAGTACTAAGGTAGGTTTAGTAGAGGCTACCTAGTAGCTAGTAGATGCTGTACTTATTATAGACGAGCGCTGATTCGCTGGAAACATACAGACCCACTCTTGATTTGATAACGCCGTTATCCCATGCAGCCTTGCCGACATGCTGGCATCAATCTCACAGCCTTGTCTTTGCTTGGCCACCTGGCTCTTTCTCCCTGGTCACTGACGTTCTGTCCAGCGGTGCGGTCCTCACAATGGCCATCTCTTGGGATTCGTAAGTACCACGCCCGCTGGGTTACCGACCGTGCTAATAGCTATTTCGCAGCATCCGTGCCTTTGTCCTCTTCTTTGGGCCCATGCTTCTGCCCAAGGCCATCTCCTACTATCGAAGCGTCCGATCGGCTCCTCGACGACATGGCCTTTCCGTGCAGCCCGTTCCGACAACGATCCGCATAGCGATTTTCATGCTCTCATTCTTCGCATTCATGCTCGTTGTGAAAACATTGCCCTTCTTTTCCCCCGAAAACGTCTTCACCAAAACGCAGAGCCGGCTGCAAATCCCCGTCGATGTGCTGTTCAACCGCATCTCGGCCGTGCGGCCCAACAACGTCTTTACGGAGTGGGACCACGCACTGAGATCCAAATTCGTCAACCAGGAGAGCCGGCTTCTGTACTTCCAGTTCGGCCCGGAGGTCTTGGCTGAATGCTTGTTCTGCAGTGCTGACGAACCGAGAAGCTACTTCTACTATGCTCTCCCCGCGATATTGTGGCCGCATATTGCAAACTTGACCGCGCTCGCCATAGTGACGAGTCCTTCGGTGACGGGCAAATATGGTTCTCAATGGCGGTCGCTGGCAACCATTGCCTCTGCGATTCTGGCTGGGCTGGAGGTGTATTTTGTGCACTCTTATAACCATCAAGTGAATTCGCGGGCGTTGCGTCTTAGCGATATAGACTTTTTCTACTGGACGATGCGCAACTACAGGTTCGTCGCCCTGGCTGCTCTCGATGCTGTCGTTGCGTTTGCCTTGTATTTGGCGGCTACGAACCGCGCATTTGTCCAGCCCCCATCTCCAGCAGAACGAATTGAGCTCGTAAACAGGGCGCTCGTTACTGCTAAGAGCAAGATGAATGCGTCTGGCATTGTGAAGAACACAATCATGCGTGACGAAGATTTACGATCCCGTTCTCAAGGCTACTGGCAGCACGAAGTTCGGCTTATGGGAGAAGTCATGGAGGAGCGAGAAGTCATTGATGGTGTAAATGACGCTCTAAGTAACAGGATCGATATCCAAAACATAACGCGAGATGCGGAAACGTATACGCAGAGCGTCCTACGACAGCAAGAATAGAGTGATTAGCATATTAGATATATTTGGATACATGTATGTATATATATATTAGTTTCATCAAAAGCAAGGCGCTGTTTCTAATGTATCGTGTCATGGTTGAAATTGAATTCTTCTGCTCCACAATATCTATATCACTTCTAACAATATTAAGACCGTGATTCCGGACGCCCTATTGTGACACCGGCACCTGTGGCTACACTGCTTGCACTGCCTTTTCTTGATGGCCCTTCACTGGTTCCCTCCTGTGCACTACGCTCTAGGAAGCCGGCCCAGAGCTCAGCCAAGGATTCTCTATCTCTCGCAGACGAGGGCTCAGAGAATATGTCTGCACTCAGTGATGGCGAGCTGGGGGTGCGCTGGAAGGGGGAGAGGGGGAGGCGTAAGGAGTTGCTAGAACCCCCTGGTCGAGCAAGTCCGGCCTGTTCCCGCTGCTCATCAGTCCAGTTGAGATAGCCTGCCATGACTTGCAAAACTTGGAAACGCTTGGCGTCACCGCGATCTAGCGTGAGGAAATGAAGCAGGTGGTTGGTGACAACTTGTCTGTAGAGGAAAATTCATGTTAGCGATGCCTCTTAAAGAAATTCATCAAAGTCCTCGTACTTACCTGTCAACATTATCTTCCGGCTTTGTCTTCTTTAGGTAGCGCAGAGCCTTGGTAAGGTGATCATTGAGCACAATAGCCTCATGTCGCAGCTTTCCGATGAGAAGGTTCTTTTCTTTGACCTCCTTTTCAAATGGAGAAGTGCGCTCGAGCTCTTTGACAAGCTCGTCCTTGGCCTCCTGTGCCTCTGTAGCTTTTGCGACAGCCTCGCGCACCAGTTTCTTCTGTTCCTGGAGCTGCGCTTCACTAGTTTCGACCAAATCGCGGAGCTCCTTCTTTCGGGCGTCTTGGATCTCTCGTAAAGCGTTCTGGAGGTTGTCGATGAGCGTTGCCTGGCTATCGCGCTCAGAGGCGGCGGCCTCATATCCCTCTCTTAAGCCAGCGATTTCCTCCTCCAGTTCGCTGATTTTATCTCCAAGATTCTCTTTGATAGAACGCTCTTCCATGGCAATGACCTCCCACTCGCCCATGGCATTGGAAGTTGTCTCCATCTCTTCTTTGAGGTGCTGAATCGACTTGATGAGCTCTTCCCTTTCTTTCCCCCAATTTGTTGCAGACAGGTTATTGCGACTGCGCAGAGTTGTCAGCTCCCGCGTGGCGTCCTGAAGCTCTTCCTTGAGCTTGGCGATTTCTCCGCTGGATGAATCTGCCGAGTTTCGAAGCTCCTCATTTTGCGCCTCAAGCTCCTCGATGTGCTCTTTCGCCTCTTCCAGCTCAGCCTTGTCGCGTTTAAGTCTGTCGCTCAGGGTTTCTTTAATTTTCTCGACTCGCCCTAGCAGCGTTTGATATTGCTCTTCCGCAGTTTCTCTTGCCGCATTGCTGTCCTCTAGTTCTGTCTGCAGCTGCGAGACCTCAGTCTGGTGATTTTCCTGGATGCTTTCCAGCTGTTTGCGCAACTGTTCAACTTCGACCCGGAGAGCCTCTCGCTCCTTGCCCATGGCTTCTAGTTTCGCTGATGTATCGGAATCGCCATCGTAGTTCTGCAACAAAGTGGGCTCGTTATGCTCGTGATTTGAAGGTGCTACCGCGTGCCCGTTGCTCTCGGCCTTGGGTTCGTCTGTGTGATCGACATTGCCGGGTATTTCCTGGTGTAGTGGGTAAGCAGAAGCTCTATTGGACTTGAACATCTCGACATACACTAACAGCAGTCGTTGGGGTGTCCGGTTCGTCATCTATCTCGTCCTTATCGACCTTGATGTCGCCGTTGCTCGGCTGGGCTGATTCTTTGTTCTTGTTCGCATTCTTCTTCTTCTTGTTACTCTTCTTCTTTGCCGCTGCCTCATTTGCCGGCTTTAGCACACAAAATCCCGCCAGCTCTTGATCGTAGTAGTTCAGTTCACTAACCTGGACTGGACGTTAAGCTAGGCTCTGTGGCCGCTGTCGAGGACATGGTGGGCAATCGTCAAAGAGATGTCATGCAGCCTATGCGATGCCTCTGCGCGAGTTGCGAGTCCTGGTGCAGTGCTCCCGTCCGAGGATCTATCGTACGAGGACGACCGCGATTGGCAAATTAGCTCGCAAGCTCGTCTACGGTGTCCACTCCGATTCGTCTAATCGATGCTTGCGGATACGGCTTGTACAAGGCTGGGGTGTGAGCTGCGAATGCGGAACCGACGCCCTGAATGTGCAATTGAGACAGTGATGCAGAAACAACGAAGCAGCGAAGAAATCCAACCAGTTCTAGAAGATTTCGGCACGCGCGAGAGGTCTTCCAGAAGACAGGTGTTCGCAGAGATACGAAGTTGGCATTAGTCTATCGCGGAATACGAGGCGCCCTTTTGGTGCGAATTGTCGTACGTATCCCAAAGCCGCATCGGGTCGGGCGCTTAGTCATCGGTATTATTTTCATCAAAGTCCTCCACTTGCGCGGCGCTTTTGGATTTTTTTTTTCTCTTCTTTTTTTCTCATCTTACAATCATCTTCGCCATCATATTTTTGAAAGAGATCACATATTAATGGCTTTTTCACAAACTTGCGCGAAGTAGATCACATCGCCTTTTATAATCCCATTGCTGCTCTATCCCCATGAGCGCAGCGGGTTCGCTTATGTGCGAACATGCTTTTTAATCACATAGAATGTTTATCCTCTCAAAAACGAGTGCTAGGGCCGAAGAAGTCTACTTGCATTTTAATGAACCACTGCGCCGTGATTAACCTGCCACGTATAAAACAATATAAACATAGCGAAAACACCAAATCCACACGATTACATTAAGCCTTGGCCTTCTTGGCCTTGGTTGACCTGGGCGTCTTGGGCTTGGCCGCCGCCTTCTTTACCGGAGTGGCCTTTGTCTTCGCCGGGGTTGAAGGCTTCTCTTCAGCTTCCACCTTCTCGGACTCCTCCGCTGGCTTCTCCTCGGGTGTTGTTTCAGGAGCAGCCTCAATCGCCTTGGCCTCCTCTCCATTCTCAATTGCCGCGGGTGCGGGTGCCGGAACGTCTTTCAGTGCGGGGGCCTCATAAGAATATCCCAGTGCCTGTAGTTTGGCAGCCTTCTTTGCACGGTTGTTTCGCTCTCTGGAGACCTTGGCTTCCCAGGCTGATTCAGTCTGAGGCTTTGTCAACTGCAGGCCGGCCATCTTGTTCCATGGCACCTTCTTAAATCTCCTGTTCGCTCCCTTGAACAGGTCGTCGTGGATCTGGTCCTTGGAGAGAACCTTGCACTTCAGAATGTGTCCAAAAAGAAGATAGTTATCCATAGTCTTGGAGACAATCTCGGCCGTGCTAGCCTCGGCAAACTCGACAAAGGCAAAGTGCTTGCTGGCACCCGTCTTCTTGTTGCGCGATAGGCGGAGTCGTGAGATGGGACCGAATTGGGACAAGTATTGCTTCATTTCGAACTCGTAGAAACCGTGGGGTATGCGTCCAATATAGACAACGCCGGGTTCCTCCTTTGAAGCCTTTATCGATTTCTGGACATCTTTCGAGACCTTGGGGATCTTGCCGACATCTTGTCCGGGCTGGAACTCTTCTTGAGCCACCGCGTTCTCCTCTTCTGGGTCAATGTTGACGGCAAGGACCTGGAGATTCTCTTCGCCCTCTTGGCCTTCGGAGTCTGAATCTTCGTCCATCTCAATCACATCTTCCTTCTTGTCCTCCTTCTTGTCCTCCTTCTTCTCTTCCTTCTTCTCTTCCTTCTTCTCTTCCTTCTTGTCCTCCTTCTTCTCTTCCTTCTTTTCTTCCTTAGCCTTGGGCTTTGGGGACTTGGTCGACTTGGCCTCAACTTCGGGCTTTTTGCTGGACTTTTGCTTCTTCAGCGCTACAGGTGAAGCTACTTCGGCGGCTGCTGCTGGAATTGTTAACATCAGGTAACTCGTAGAAGCTCAAGCCAAATCAGCAGTCGTACCCTTTCTTTTTCCCTTGGGAGTTGCCTTCTCCAAAGGCTTTGCGGCCTCGTTCTTCGGCGATGCAACTATTTGAAATTAGCAGATTGCAAGGAGAAATTATCACGATCCTTACCCTTTCGGTTGCGAAGTTCTCGAGGCATTTTGTTTGGAATTGCCTAATGATATTTTGATACAATGGGTCTGAGGCGTCGCAAATTGCCATTCAAAAAAAATACTGGAAAATTTAAGATTCTGCCGTTTTTACAGAGCGGTGAGGCTGCTGAATGCGCGCGATTGGTGGGTCTAGACTTCACTAGCAGCGACCATGCCCATTGAGCTCTATCGATAAGTGAGCCAATTGCTTCGTAGGGTAGGTACCTGCAGGCACGTCTCTCGATTAAAACAAAAATGCGAATTGCCTATTGACCTCATTAATCTGCTCTATTGAAAATATTTGTGGCTGGTTTTTACAATTAGTTATTCTTTAATTTTAATTATTACGTTCTTCAACTACTGCTCAAGTCAGAAATTGAAAATCACGCTACTTTTACAAGTGCGGTCTGGCCCTTCGCCACGGCTTCTGTGTCTGGAACTTATTCCTTCCAACAACCTCTCCATCACGAAGGCCATCATTTCCTATCGCGATGAACATCGACGAATCAGATCCTCAACATGAAGAAGTATGGGACGACTCACTCCTGATTGACTCCTGGAACCAGGCTCTGCAGGAATACAAGGTAAAGCAGCCCCCTCACCCATGCAGAATGAAGAGAGAGATCGCCGGCTTAACGAGTGCTAGAAATACCACAGCATACACACAAAAGGCGGCAGCATCCGAGATTTAGAACAAGCCGAGGCTGGTTCGTCCAAGTCGGTTTTGCCACTTGAAATCTAGCAGAGCCATAGCCGGTGTCTTTACTAATACCGGGTATAGAGTAGATGAACCTCTCAAAGCAGACGAGTCGGTCAATGAGCCGTCACAAAACCACCACGAGGACCCGCCTAGCAACGATACTGCAGCAGCAGATAATGTGCGTGTCGAGATAGACTGCCGTTTCCAAGGGCTTCTGGAACTTGTAGCTTATTAACATCTTGCAGACTGAACAGAACAACAAGCAGCCTGGTCACAATTTGAACCCCATACCCTCTGCCTTCCCGTCTCAGGCAATACTTGGGACAGGTGAGTAATATGTGCAAGGTGCTACCCTTGCAATTTCACCCAATGTCCCTTGAAGATGACGCACTGACACCGGGGAAACTTCCGAGATACGATTACCAGTTCGCGATGATAATCTGAAGAAGCTTCTCATGTCCTGGTACTACGCGGGCTACTACACTGGGCTATTTGAGGGACAGCAGCAGGGACAGCAGCAGGGACAGCAGCAGGGACAGCAGCAGGGACAGCAGCAGCAACAGCCTGGACCTCAGTGAGCGAGCTGGACCCATCAGCGACGACTAAATTGATCGCGGGGAGAAGAAGGCTGCGCCACAGTTGAAGTGCAAAATGCTGTGGAAGCCCTGCGACCACTCACGTTTTATTCCCCTGCTAGTCCCATTGGCCGAAGCGACTCCAGGCCCCACGCCTCAGCGAAGCAGCGTGTAGGTGCAATTCTAATTTATTGCAATGCATGGGTGTTTTGGCCCAGCACTGCCGAATTCAGACACGCTGCGAGCTGGCAGTTATCTACTGGAAGATTTGTTTCATATGCTACGAAATACTAGTGGCTGCACTTGTAAGGCATCCGGATCACCGCCACTAGAATGACACATTTGTTTGATATCATCTGGAAATATCATCTGGAACTGTCTTTTGCTTTTATAGCGGATCACGGGATTTTGTCCATTTACAAGTACGGCAGCTCAATCCTGCACCCTCTCCTTCTTTAACTCTCCTTTTGTTCCTCTTCTGTTCTGTTCTCTTTTTTTATTCACCTTCATTTGTGACCGAGCTTTTCGTTTAATTACACTTCCTGCTGTTTTTGCGGAACCCTGTGACTACCCCTGCGACGCACTGCCGCTACCGGGCTCACTACTCCAGGTTCCAGACTCAGCACGTTTTTTCTCGCTGTCAGTTTGGTAGCGAGCAGGTCTTAAATTGAAGGAGAAGATCGCTTGGTCGCGTTTCGATAGATCCGGTGAGGCAACCTTAGCTGGGAGCTGCAAAAGCGACAAGTGATTGATGAGAAATGCGCTACGACCCAGTCCCCGGCCCATCTTGATGCCGTGTTTCATCCTCCACAATAGCTGTTTGAGGCCCCTATGTGACTAGCCGGGCCGCCAGTGCTTGACGATTTTTCTGGCTCCAGCCCCTGATAGCTGCTAGTCTATGCCATTTTGAGCGGTAATTTGGAGCCTGGGGCCTCCGGTATTGACCTAGCCGCCCAAGCTTGTGTCTGCTTCTACCCCGACATTTACGTGTTCGCCAAGGGACGTTTCCTGGTCTGCAGCAAGGCGCTATCGGCATGAAATTAATACTGCACGCGACATTGCGAAGAATTACTAAGCTAATGCCATATACTGGACGATAATGAATGCCAAGTTATGCTTGGGTCTGTCTCCAGGTAGCCTAGAATGCGGCGCCTTCCACGATGCATGTCGACTAATTTGCTTCCCGAGTATGAGCTACAGGGGCTGAACGTGGCGAGCCGATGCCCAATTGCAGCTGATGCAAAGATAAGAAAATGCTTCAACAGAGTTACGTTTATGCCTCTTAGGAAACATGCGGCTTTCTTGTATGCATGGCCCTAGCCGCTGGACCAGGGTTGGTGGCTGGGCCACGCCAAAACATCGCCAAACGCTACTCGAGACAATCCTGTTACAGGTTTCTCCTTGAACCCCTGCAAACCACCAAATCCGCAAAGAAGGACGGAGCACTACTGATTCGGATGCATTAAGCCCCGGAATAACGCTCTCTAGCTTAGCGACGGGGGGCTTAAGGACCTGGCTCAATTAGGAAGACATGACTGGCGTTATTCTGAGGCCGCATGGCCTTTGGATAGATAAAATGTCTAGCCTTCCCCGAGTCGAGGAAACATCTTCTCGTTTCTTCATCGCTAGTCTCCAATTGTTTCGGCAGTTGTCCTTTTCCCTCTTTTTTCTGTTTCTTTTTTCCATTCGCTTCACGAGCAGGCACTCGCTATACCAGCCTTTAAAGACAATAACAACTTGGTTGATTCAAGTTAACAGCCCCTATTTACGAGTATAAAGTCAGATTTTCAATAATTTACCAATACCGTCAAGATGAAGTTTGGTTCCTGGTTAGCTTTGGCCACAGCGCCTCTGGCTATCGCCACCAAGGTCCAGAATGCCTACCCGGACAACGCTGCCCGAGGAAAGGAAATCGATTTGGATGAGAAAGCCATCGCTATTGCCAATGGCATGGCTGGCCACGGCCTCACCGCCGACGCAAACACCGAGATTGTCATCATCTGGGTCAACCCTGGTAGCGGTGCCGCTACCACAACGATTAACCAGAAGGTTACCGTGACCCAGACAGTGACCGTCGGAGGGCAGACATCGACTGCCGTCGCTCCCGGCGCCACACACACCGTCACTGTTGGAGGAGCTGCTGGTCTTGCCTACTCTCCTCCTCAGCTCGACAACATCCCCATTGGCGATACCGTCGTTTTTGAGTTCCAGTCCAAGAACCACACGGTTACCCAGTCTGCCTTCAACACTCCTTGCAAGAAGCTTGAAGGTGGTATGGACTCTGGTTTCCAGCCCAACCCCAACAACACCGTCTCTCCTCCTCCCCAGGTTGCTATGCAGGTTATGGTCTCTACTCCTCTCTGTAAGTCTCTTGCGATATATGTGATGGCTGGAATGGTATAAAACTAACCCCCTCTAGGGTTCTACTGCCGACAGGCTGGCCACTGCGGTAAGGGAATGGTTTTCTCCATTAACCCTACCGCTGCCAAGACCCAGGCTATGTTCCAGCAAATGGCCATTGCTCAGAACGGCACTGGCTCTGCTACTCCCATCACTGGTGGAAGTGGCGCTCCTGCTCCTCCTCCCGCCCAATCGTCCGCTGCTGCCGCTCCTCCTGCTGCCGCTCCTCCTCCCGCTAGCTCCGGCACTGTCACCACTGGCCAGGGCAGCGTTGGTGCTGATGGAAGCTGCTCATGCACCTGCCAGTGCGCTCCTGGTAGCTTTCCCGTGAATGCTGCCCAGGGTGTTGGCGCTCATGGTGGCTGGGGTGGTAAGTCTGATCCAAATATTCCTTCATAGCAACCCAAATACTAATTAGACGTCTGCAGGCTCTCTCCCCATGAACATGGCCGCTATCTCATAAGCGGTTTGATACGATAGTAAATGAGGGGGACGTTGGCTTGGAGGTGTTCAATAAAAAAGGATTATTTTAGATCTGACTCGTTTCTTCTTACATGTACTCATAGAGGCTGCCCTCGGGGCCTGACTCTTTTTTCTTCACTTGAAGGTTTTGATATCATATGACTGGTTCGTATACATTTTATTTGCAAACTTAATGAATTATTTTTCGACTCCGCCTTATGTTCCCTGTGAAAGTGGACGGTTCTCTTTGTAGTTATAGTTTCATGCTAAGAATAAGAACGCGTTGTGATGTTTAACAGCATCTTTTAATTACCTATTCAATCTATTCGTTCAAAGTATGATCCTTCAAATGATATATCTTGCCTACATGTGTTATCACAAAGACGGATATTTTGAAGAGAAAATTGAGGACCGGGTCTCACTGCTACGATAGGAGAGATTCTTGAAGGAATATCCAGACACTCTCGGCAATGAACAATTGGCGATTTCTTGAGACCACTGTGGTAATTCCTATTATGCATACATAGCTATATGTACTCTGCGCCATTTAGTGGATAAATCGACCAAGATGGCATTATATGAGGCTACTTGAATACTTTTAGGCCATGCTTCTTTCATTTACTCGCGTGACAAATATGTTGTCGTCATAACATTATCATTATTACCCCCCCCTCTCTACCTATTCAAAATTCTCAATATGCATATAAACACCGGATATTCCATTTCCCTTGTCAACAGCCAAATCATCGCTTACTTTTACCACTGCCGCTCTCACTGCGACAGATAACCCCAGCGGGCCACAAACCGCAACAGCCGTCTCGCCTTGCGCCTGGCACACTCGCCTTTCTAGTAGATTCCTAAATGTAGGCCGTCCAACCTGTATCTCAGCATATGGAAGATCTGCGTCTGAAGTCCTACGGCTCTGTGGCCTGGAGACTTGCGCCATACTTTCTTCTGCGTCTTTCTCTTTATCAAGACTGGTTTGCTGATCACTGTCACAGTCTTGTTTTTGTTCTTGGACTTGGCAGCATCCACAACCCTCTCCACACTGACACCCGCCAGCAGATTCATCACCCGCGATATCATCGTCACATGTGATGTGAATATTGCATACAGTTTCAATACCTGCTTCGCGAAGCATGTCAAATGCTGAGCGCAACTCCTCGGAAACCCAGGATATCCAGCTACGACGTTTGATCACCCAGGTGAAGTGAAGAGTCCGAAGAGGAAGAGGTTTTCCCGCTTGAGTTCGCCTTGCGATGTCTAGAAGAATCGACAGGGTGAAAGTCACCCCCGTCGATCCGGCAATAAGGACCAACGTATCAAAGCAGGCGAAATCTGCATGCGGGCTTGGATATGGTCCGTCTATAAAAGTCAAATACTCAGACTGATCGTTCCCAGCTTCGGCAGCCTTGAGAAGACGTCGAGTGAAACCACCACATGCGCGCAAGATAAATACCAGATCACCGCCATGTGATGATGGCGTTGATAATATTGTCGCAGGATGTCCGAGGACGACGTTGAACCGCGGCATAAATAAGCGTACATATGATCCACCTCCCCATGATTTGATCTGTCGACTGGAGAGCCGAATCTTGGTAGCGTCTCCTTCGAGCACTGTCAAGGTCGCTTTGCTTGGTCGAATGTTGGTTACGACAGCCCGTACGAAGCGGATCAGCTGTCCAACTAGATATAGTGCAATGCTTATGTAGATATAGTTTGTGGAATAGGGAGATGAAGTCCCATAAAGGTGATAGACAATGGCAATTATAAAGCCAAAGTACGTGAGCAAATGCTGCACTACGAATATTTTGTACGAGAAAAATCGTAGTGGTGCTAGCGATGTTAGGTTCATCCATAACAAGATGGCATACGCTGCCATGCCAGTAGGGGGGCAGGCGTCTGTTTGCCATTCCATTGCCATTAAACCGTAGATATTCCAGGCGTGGCTCTGCAGACCAAAGTGCAGCGTTGCCAGCAGCAGCAAGCCACGAGAGACCCATCGGTGATAGATGTTGAGCCTCTCGACGGACGAGTTAACAAGGAAGCCAATTAGATTCGTCTTGCTCGACGTCAATACCAGTAGCGGTACCTGCGCTGCTCCAAGCCATCCAGCGCGGATACCCAGAGCCTGGTAGTGCTGAGCGCCAGGGACGTTGTTGTTGATGAACACCAGCGCTAGGATAAAGGCGAAATACGCAACAATGATGTAGGCATGGCCCAGAGGAGGCACTTTGAACCATCTTGATGCTCCGACAGGCGTGATCTGGATATAGCCCGGCTCTCGAAGGAGAGCGGTTGCGGTAGCGAGGCTTTGGGTGACGAAGTTTGTAGACATCGCCGGCCGTGAACGGTTTCTCGCGCTTGCTCGGAGTCTGAGCCACACTGTCTGTCAATATGAAGCACTTTTGTTCAAGCATACAATGCGTTTGCAAAAACCCACCTCATCCATAGCACAGATCTCTGTGCGATGTTGCAGAGACTCGCAAGGGATATGACCACGACAACGCCATACCAGAAGTATCTCGCATATTGGTTCCCCACCACGCCCAAAGTCGAATCGTCGAGGATCTCCTGCAAAAAGTTGAATGCTTGTGTCTCGTTGGAAAAGTCAACTGCGGTTGCATTGAGAGGTGACGAAGATGAGGGGCTGTCACCGCCCATATCCATGTCCATGTCCATGGCGATGGCGATGGCGGCCGATTGTTGAACGGCGGCCCGGTAAGTTGTACGATGCCTTATTGCACACAGGTATGAAAACTGTGGAGTGAAAGTATGAAAAGTCCTTTCTTAAATCATCTTTTCCCTTGGAGTCCAATTGACTGACAAAGTTCGACGTCGTGGAAGGCTGCTTATCTGCTGGCGCACTAGACATAATCGTCCGACACTTCCTTATGGGCTTCTTACCGCCCGCATTCGTGCCCCTTCTTTATATAGAATAGATGATTCATAAACGGTTAGCGAATAGATGCTAATTACTGGCCTAGTGCCCATCTACTTGCTCAAAACTTCTCGCTCGGCAGCCAAATGCCGAAGGTGGGCAAGCAGACAAGCCACCAAAACAAAAGGCTTTTTTCCCGACTACTATGTAAGATGGCTATAATTAGCTTCATCGCGGCTCAGTATATGGTAGAATGCGTTTGATCTTCAAACGAATCATGATCCGCCATTTTTGACCATTTCCCAATGATTACTGCTTGTGATCATGTTGCCATACTAATCATTTTGTTGAAGGAGGCCGAAGAACACAATATATGTTCTGAAATTCGATGGCGCCTATTGGTGGTTCTGCCAGTGGATACTATTCTGTCACACATCAGGCTAAAATTTTGGCGTAATTTAGCTGAGAACTGATTCCACAGCGTCTAGGTTGTTTTTTGGTGTTAAACAAGCTGCTTCAATCTTGAGCCAATAGGGCTAGTCTGAAGCTGTCTTCAGGATAAACGGATTGGGAGCCATTGAGGAGACTTGTAACTAGTACTGTTACTGTTGAGTTGAAAATAAAACGCGTTATTGCTATAATGGTATATTAGACATGGAGACCTTTGATACAATCGTGCGTAGTGGAAGATTCGGACCTCATCAAAGATTCTCCATTAAGTTAAATGTATTATATCTAGAGTCTGGCACTCTAAATTTGGAGTCGTACGTCGCAACTTCTCGATTTCTAGATAGACTTATATCAATAATCGCTTATTACCACTTTTACATTCACAGTTAAGTATAATGCTCTTTAACCGATGGGGGAGCAAAGAAGAGAGACTGTAAATGAAAGATACACGAAAATAAGAATAAGAATATTAAAATTATAAGAGAGTCATGTTGAATCATGTATAAACATATGATGTAAAAGCAGTAGAAGTTATAGAATAAGATTTTATTCGGATCTATATTTAGTGTTCCATAGCTCTGAAATTCACCATCAGCTATAAATATCTCTTTTGAGCAATCTTCACGCTAGTCTATTCTATACGGGCCTGTACTTTAACATTGGTTTGTATCCATCTTTTCCCATTTTTGTTCGACCATCTCCTTATCTCTATCTCCAGGAAGCGCAACTACACTACTTCGTGTGAGCCTTCGATACTTTTCTTCATCAATCTTACCTAACGCGCTCTCCGCTACTTTTCCATCTCTAAATCCGTAAAACTCCTGGAAACACATGAAAATGGGTCTCAAACGGTCCGGATTAATTCGATTGGGATGCCCTGGCATCCGAAGGTGATCCAAAATGTGGGTTCGGAGAACCTTGAGCTCAATAGCCACAACTGCGCCCTTGAGATCGGGAAAATCATCCATTAACGTATGGCTTTTGGCTAGTTCGCATTCCATCTGAACTGGGCACTCTAGAATACGTGCTGGGCGAACAAGATCGGAAGTTTGAGGCGTTAGCTCGGCTACCCTCCATTTGTCCTTAACATAGCGATAGTTTCTCTCGAGCTTCGAAGCTGATACGTTTTTCGAGCCAGTTGTAGTGGCTAATAGATTGATATGGCGAGCCATGCTGTCATCAGGGAGATTCACCACGCATTGGCCTGTTCTAAGGATATTTTGTGGCGTTTTACTCCCAGCGCCGAATCCGAGAATGCAGCGGTGACCAAGCCAAAACACCGATGAAATAGCACAAATATTGTCCGGTCCATCTTCGTTTTGGGAGGTAATAAGCACAACTGGTGTTCCAAAATAAAGAATTCCGGGAGAGATGATTGAGTGCGTCGCCATTGTTACAGCAGATGTTGGTAGAAAGCTGAATTTTGTTGTTAGCCAGAAGCTAGTGGACGACAAGAAGGCAAAAGGGGAGGGTTTATATCTTGACTCAATGTCATTAAAAGGAAAATACCATTTCCGCGGATAAAAGGCCGAAAATAGTCAGTTAATAGCGAGCACAAGAATACTGTTGATGCTGATGGTAATCTAGCTCTCTTATCTTAGTTCGAATTGGCCATATCTAAAGCAACGTCTCCATCGGTACGTGTAGCCCAGTTTTTAACCGCCGACCCCGGCTGGACAATCTGCTGATAAAGACTTTGTTCCTGAGACGGCTACCTGAGGCAGCTATCGTAATTAACATTGCTTTTGATGTGGGTGGCAATTCGGTCGCAATTGATTTCAAAATATATCTAAAGCAAGAATTTAAAGCAAAGCTGCAAAGCAAATTTGCAAATTACCAACTAAAAAGGAACTTGTTCAGCTGTACTTTCCTGTATGAAGTAAAATGTTAATGCTAAAACATATTAAAAAAAAAACACTTGATTGACTAGTCGCACTTGACGGCACTTTCATCCAGAGTTCCGAGCGAGAGAATGACATAGCTACACACTGTTCCCTCGACTTTTCAATAAGGAATTTCCCATGAACCGCTTCGTGTCGAGTACCGGTTTACGTTTCTGCTGCCTGATCTACACAGACACAGTCGAGTCTACTATGTCACTCGGGAGAGATGCAATCCATTTCGGTTCGTAACTTATTACGACGACCTTGAGTATAGTCCGGTTTGCTGTTTCGCTCATGGATCTTAGCATTTGATCTAAAGCCCTTATGAGATTGAAGCCCAGGCTGTCCTCAAGGATTGTCTGCACCGTGGCGCTAAGGCGTCTAAAATTCGTTTACTATTTGCAGGCTATTTGTCCTTAGAGACTTTGATCGTGATTTCAGATAGCTCCATGGTTTCGACAAGTGCATCAAATTTCCTATGCATATGGCGCTGCTAGTTGAATTCTCTCGGTAGGGTATAACATGGTGATTAGATCAATCTTGGGTAATTGTGCTGCAATTTGAGATACGGACTTTGCCAGCAATTTAGCCGTGTGCTCGTGGTGGAGGGTGCTCTTTGTTGTGTCAGCGACGTAGATGTGGCGGCATGAACGCTTGCAATGAACAAAAGCTTCGTGATTCTCAGGGCCAGAGCTATGCATTCTAGATGACGTTGCGTAAAAATATCAGGATATTCGTGTAATATACAATCATACGCGATCTTCTCTGAAGCCATTTCTTGGTCTTTGCGTGCTTCCCCGGCTGTTCATACCTCGCCATAGACTTGACAACAGCTCGTTGAACGTTGAAGACGTTCAGTAAGACAAGAAGTTCGGCTACTATCTGATGATATGGTACAAGCTACCGAAGCATTTCGCTGCCTTCATTCCGATTTCTTCGAGAATTTCCCAGATATTTGCATGGACAAGCCGCTTCAGGCGCCTTTCTTCTGGGTAGGAAACTTCCAGAGCACTCTATTTTTGTCCAACACGGACAGATCGAAACTGTTTTATAAATTTCGTATTTAATCTATACTTCTCCGCTATTGAACTATGCTATTGGTAAAATTCACTGACATAAAGTAGCTAGTGAGTGGCGTGGCAACGTGGGAAAAAGAAGTGTAAGAAGAAAAAAAAAAGGGGAAAGTTATGTAGCGCCAAAGTAGCTTAACGTAAGCTGTTTTTTTTGGGCCTATCTAATATCAGAGGGAGCCTTTAGTGGATATGAGGGGTAGGGATATTGGGACTAGAACTGTTCATAAACTATAACTGATTGACCGGATATGCCCGTCGATTATTCCATGTATGCGACTTTGAGTTCAGCCAATGACGAAGTTACAGGCTTGGGAGCTGAAATATCGGTTAATAAATTAAACGTCTGGCTGCGTGAACGAGAAGAACCTGAGTCATAAAGATGTCATTTTCAAGCATGGAGAAATCTCGACCATAGTAGATGGAAAGTCTCTCCATGCGGCAACATCTCTAGATAACACAACTTGCGCTGCTAACAATTTCATGAGTTTATAACAGGGGTATCGCCTTCTGTTGGGCAAAAAAATTTATATAAGCACAGAAGCTCTCGAAGAATACATCTTCAATTCTATAACAACACAATATAATTGATACGATAGGTTAGACGGACATCATGGCTGCTACTGCTGGAAAAGTAAGTAATTTTCCACGCCGCATCTCCAACCCACAATCTGGGAACCTTGCTTGGAGCTTTTTCTCAACATTTGCTGCCAAAAGAAGAGGAATCGCTAACAAAAGTCTTTCTAGCCCATTACCTGTAAGGTATGAATGTCGATAAACTTTCTAGAGGATGTTGATCAGGGACGTGATAACTGAGCCGCAAGAGGCCGCCATTGCGTGGGCCGCAAACGAGCCGCTCTCCATTGAAGATGTTGAGGTTGCAGCCCCAAAGGCGCATGAAGTTCGCATTCAAATTCTATACACCGGCGTTTGTCACACAGGTAAAATTTCTTCCGCTTCCTTCGCACTCGATTTCTCATACACAAGTTTTCTAAATAAATAAACAGATGCATACACGATATCAGGAAAAGACCCGGAGGGAGCTTTTCCCGCTATTCTTGGCCACGAGGGTGCCGGAGTGGTTGAGTCAGTAGGCGAAGGAGTTACTAACGTCAAACCTGGTGACCATGTTATCGCTCTCTAGTAACTCAAATATCCTCAAGATCCAGCGTTATGAGTGTCTGGCTAACAATAGATAAGCACGCCGGAGTGTGGTGAATGCAAGTTTTGCAAGTCTGGCAAGACTAATCTATGCCAGAAGATTCGTGCCACTCAGGGTAAAGGTGTGATGCCTGACGGCACCACTCGCTTCAAGGCCCGTGGGAAAGACCTATTCCATTACATGGGAACCTCGACATTCTCTCAGTATACGGTTGTTGCGGATATCTCAGTTGTCGCCATTAACAGCAAAGCACCATTTGATCGAGCTTGCCTCCTGGGCTGTGGTATCACTACTGGTTACGGTGCTGCAACTATCACAGCCAATGTGGAAAAGGGATCTAACGTCGCCGTCTTTGGCGCTGGGTGCGTTGGACTCTCTGTGATTGAGGGTGCAGTGAAGAATGCAGCTGGCAAAATTATTGTTGTTGACGTGAACGACGAGAAAGAAGCCTGGGCTCGCAAGTTTGGTGCAACTGACTTCGTCAACCCCACCAAGCTTGGGAAACAGACTATTCAAGAAAAGCTTATTGAGATGACGGATGGCGGATGCGACTACACTTTTGACTGCACCGGCAATGTCGGCGTTATGCGCGCTGCTCTAGAAGCTTGTCACAAAGGCTGGGGTCAGAGCATTATTATTGGTGTCGCTGCAGCTGGCCAAGAGATTTCTACTAGGCGTAAGTTTGCTCCCTGCCTAGACTTATTTTAGTCGCTTGATGCTTACCATACCTCTTAGCGTTCCAACTTGTCACTGGAAGGGTGTGGAGGGGTTGCGCATTTGGAGGTGTAAAGGGTCGATCTCAACTGCCTGGTCTTGTGGAAGATTATCTTCAAGGGGATCTCAAGGTAAATGAGTATATTACGCACCGCGAAACACTCGGTGATATGAATACCGCTTTCCAGAATATGAAGAGTGGTAACTGCATTCGCTGTGTGGTTGACATGGCTTAACTTGTTAGCTCATTGTCCGCAGATCTGGAGTTGTATGAGTACGATCCAGAAAGGAAAAAGAGGAGACCAGCAAACCACTCTCAGATGAACATATAAATGGGATTTATTTAGAAGAACATACTTTTGCTTAGTACGGTTGACTCATAACTTACCGTTTCTAAATTGTACGTGCAAAAATTGTGCACTTAAAAGATGATCCAAAGCTGTCAAGTATTCAACTACATATTGCGTAACGGCCTGTTCATGCTCCATTGGAGAACAAGAATTATAAACATATATACAACTAGTAAAATTCCTAGAAATATTTTCTCAGCAGCAATCTGTTCTCCAATACTCTGATCAATTGTTTACATAGAAAATTGGGCATTATCTAAACAATATTTCAGACCTGTTTAAACAGCAAATTTACTTGAAATGAGCGAAATTGCCTCTAAAGCAACAGGAATACCTTCTCGCTCAATAAACACTATCTCAGGAAGCTCTACGCCTTGCGTCATCTCACCAGGTAGTCAGAGGGTTCGGTACCAGAGTCATGAGGACCAGTGATGACGATCAGCCATTTGGGAAAGGGCAGTAAGGAGGATTTTAGAAGAAAAGCTGAATTCAAGGCTATCAGAAGCCAAGCTTTGGATTCCTGCTGCCTTAACGGAGCTGCAACTGAAAATGGGGCAACATTTTCACATATATGACAAATGATATACAGTCTGTTATGATTAGAATTCAGACGTAGAATCTGAACATCATTGTATGGTAGTTATGGATATAGACTAAGCTATCTTCTTGCTCAAGCACATACGACCATAGGTAGTGGAGAATTCGGGGTCCCGTCTGCTCCCCCATAGACAAGCCACTAACCGGCAGATTAGTAGTTGAGTGGGTGACCATCAGCGAACACCGGCTGTTGTATGTTTTTTCCCTTTTTGCTTAATGATACTAGTGTCTGGATGTCTGCCGTAATAAGGCAGCTTACAGCCAGAACCTAATACATACGACCATATCTATTTAGAGAATACGGGATCCCGTCCGCTCTCCCAGAGTCAAACTAATAAGAGGCAGATTAGTAGTCAGGTGGGTGACCACTGGCGAACACCGGCTGTTGTATGTATGTTTTTGTCCCCTTTTTTGTCCTTTTGCCATTAATTTGAGATGTAAAGACTACCAAGCCTATCCCGTATCACCTCGGAATAGTCGCGATATACGGAAAGGCAATGTGAAAAGCGATCTCGATTTCATCTAACGTGATATAGCAATAGTGTCAGCGACTAGCGCATCATTTAATATGATAATTTGTGAAGGCTCATTGGTAAAAGATCAACCCACCTCGCATTCCTGCAATCGCTTCAAATGCAGTTGCAAAATTATTCATCGAAGAGATAATATCTTCCAAGCCATGCCGAAGTTCATCAACAGCGCGCTCTGTATCTTGGGGTAGGTCGCCCGATAGTATCGGTTGGGTGTGCGTAGCGTGAAGTTTATAGAATTGCATGAGCAAGACGTAACTAGCTTGCATAGCACAACATGTGCATGTAGGCATTGCCCGAGGACTAGCCACTCCAATAGATGTGCTAGGGAAGGGTAGTCTTTGTAACTGTCTTGCGATCGTTAACGCGGATGCCACGCAAATATCGGTAGACTGATCGTAAGTGAAGGCAGGAGATTGAAGCATGTTGTATGGGGTAATATTTGTATCACTCGAGATGTTCGCGGAGTTATTGAAGCTATTTGTAGTCTTGAGATCACAGTGATTCTCGCTGAAGAGGGGGGTATCCGAAAAGGCTTGAAATCGATGGAGGCGAATTCTCGTGCTGCCGTATTTGAGGAGAAATTAGTCTAAATCTTACTGCGGCACGAGGCTGAGTCTGTTACACACCTGGATAATCTAATTCGTGAAAGTCGTCGCATTACCTGCGCAGTAGTAGACTCGTACGAAGGATCAAGTTCTACAGCGCCTGAGACGGGTATATAGCTCTCTGCGCGATTATAGACTTGTAGAACCCATCTGTCAAGTAATTTCATCTGTTCATTGACAGCTGACATGTCCGTGTGTGAATTTAGCTGTTCGTTGTAGCTGGACGTAAACTTTACACTTGCTACTCCAATTCGCAGAGCATCGAGGAAGATTAACCATGCCTGGGATGTCAGAGTCTGATATACACACTCATACACTGAACAATAACTAACCTCTGGATCGCATTCTAAACGTGGATACGGCGTTGTGAATTGACTGTCGTCATCGATGTTTAAACATGCCTATATATATGGGAAAGATGCTAGATTAGTGTCTGGGGCTAGCCTCCAGGGCAAACGTTGTGTGTATTAACTCACGCTTTGTCGAACCACGGAACATAGATGCGCACAAAAGTAGGTCATCCACCAAACCCTTCTCTTTGCCTCAGAAAAGTTGTCAGTTTCGAGTCCTAATCGATGGAGAGACATATTCTTTGCTATTATTAAAGCCTGACTTGCTCGGGCAGTCATTTTTAGCAAGTTGGCACGTTCAGTGTGCTCATAGTTGCTTAAAAGAAGCAGTGCCAAGATACTTTCCAACTCCACTGGTGTTTGTGGATGAAAAGGGTCTCGAGCTATTGGTAACTGCCCAGAGGCAGCTGCTGAGCTCACATGGCGGTCTGAAATGAAATCAAGAAATTCCGAATCAGCGTCGACCCGCTGCAGTGCCGCTTGCACAAATCTTTGGGCTAGAGATTTTCGAAACGACACACATGCCGCCGAGGTACAGCGCGCCTCGTGTGGTAAAGGAATAAGGGCCAGTATAGCAGAAAGTGCGAGACTAAGGGGAGATTCTGATAAATTCGGAAGGGCCCTTTTAGGATCTGCGATTGGCCAAGGAATAGGACAATCGAGCGTTGAGCGATACTTCGGCGGAGGAAGGATCGGGAAATAGGGATGAATGAAGATGTAATATGCGTTTAGCCTTTTCTTCTACATTAGCCCTGTGTGAAGTTTTGAATATGATATCAGCCACACTCACAGCTCCTGTTCATTTTCATATACTCTAGCTCCATGTTCACCAGCTAGACTGGCTATTGAAAGGGTTTCATCTTTCGTATACGATTGATCCTGCTTTTCAATTGTTTCTGGTCGCTTTAGGCCAGCCCCAGGAATGGCAAGGTGTTCAATGCTTTCAAGAGTGAGGACTTCTGAGACGAGTCAGCTATCATCTATGTGATCATCATGCGGTGGAAGTGACGGACGCTGAGCTGGAGGCGAAGGTAATAATACCCCATCCTCGGTTACGTGTCCTTTTTTTTGGACGCGCCTTTTTCGTGAACCACCTCTTTTGCTAGGTACGTAGGAGCAATTCCGATCTCTGATCTTACACTTCAAAAGACAAATCAGATCTTCATTTGTACAATGGCGCTGCTGTACACTATTGTACTTACGCCATAACACGGTTGTTCGCCGTCGCAACGCGTCCTTGCTGCACGGCTATATTCTATTAGAGGCAAATATGAGATGGGAAGAAAAGAGGACCGTACCAATGTAAACATGCTACCTTTGCCGGCGGCATCGGCAACTTTCTCCCGGTAGCCTTTCTCTGAGACATGATGGGCGGTAATTGCTCAAATAATCAGGAGAGTGCGAAGCACTTTTTCTTTTCACAAATTATTGTGAACGCGTGTCAATCGGAAATGTTTTATGTAGCGGACACAACTAGGTTAAGAAGTGCGGGCTAGTATATCCATGGGCTACTTGGTGTTTCGCCTCGATTCAAACACCGAGGGGTTTGACTTTGACTACAATGGGTGACTGACTAATAACGGTGGCAAGGCGGCACTCCCGCAGAAAGCTTGCGGGAATATATAGGCAATAGCCCGCCATTTCTATGCTGAAAGCGTGCTAAGCCGGAGATCCTGTTTACGGAGCTTATTTCTTCATACAGTAGCACTTGGACTAGTCGGTGCGGCCGGTGGGCCGAAATCGTACTGGCCGGGGATTGATTTACTCGGTGTTTGCTCTGGTGATTCAAATGTGCTCCTTGGCTCCTGGACCTAGCCCCTGGGGAGTTTGAATACGATAATATGAATTATTCAGTCTACTACGGCGAGTAAATTGACTGCTGATGCGGCGAATTTCTTGTTAACTATGCATAGATTAAGCAAGTTGTGCTGGGCCGATGTCCCACTTAATCAGGGACAGTATTGCGGCTGCTATATAAATAGATATCGACGCTTGAATCGATTTAAATTTGCTATCCTCCAACTATAGCCTTATCTCAGCATTTTCAATCTGGCACCATCTTCCAAGCGAACGTGTGATCTTGTGGAAGAGTGTGCGCAATGGACAGCTCTTTGGCACAAGTCTCTTCTTCCATCCATAGAAGTAGTGCCCTAGCTGGTCTAAGATTTGATACTGGGGCTGTGGCTGCGTCTTCGACAACACTGTCATCTTCTAACGGCAATCTTACAATACAATATGCGGTCAATGTTCCGCAAGTCGACATGGAGAAGCCAAATGTCGATCCCATTCCTCCTCAAAATCGCAAGAAAAATGTTTGGATTGTTGTCCATACTTTCGTTCCAGCGTAAGTGGACACCTCGAATTCTTCGTTTCACGTCGTCTGTTGGGAATACCTTCAATCACACACCCTTATCATATCAATAGCCCTGTGTAATTCTAATAATTATTCTTCTAGGTGGTTCACCGTCAACATGGGCACTGGCATTGTTTCTATCCTCCTTCATAACCTCCCTTACAATGGAGCTTGGTTGTATTGGATCTCAGTCATCTTTTTTGTTCTGAATCTCTTTCTTTTCATTCTCTTTATATTCATATCTGCGCTTCGGTATCTCATTAATCCGGGCCTATTTATGACTATGATAAGACATCCTGGCGTACCACTATTATTGGGAGCATTTCCGATTGGCCTCTCTACAATTGTCGAAATGATTGTCTTGATATGTGTGCCTGCTTGGGGCGACTGGGCGATTACATTGGTAAGTTGAAAAGTGATTTGTGGAGATTCGAAAGCAAGCTGAATTTTTGTTCTAGGCATGGACGCTTTGGTGGATTGATGCAGCGATATCGATTATAATCTGCTACTGGATACCATTTGTCATGTAAGTGATCGCCGTCGGCCGGTTGCTCCGACCGACTTGACTAATTCTAATTCCCAGTATGCACGTCCACGATGTCAAATTAGAAACTCTTTCTGCAACCTGGCTTCTTCCCATAGCTTCTGCGGTCGTCGCGTCTGCTATTGGCGGAGTTGTGGCTGAAGTCATAGAGAACGAGCAGCATGCTCTTTGGACTCTTATAACTTCATACTTCCTCTGGGGAACCGCCATGCCGCTTTCTCTTACCTGCCTTGTTATTTTGTATCAACGCCTATCAATGCACAACTTACCACCTCCGGAAGCTATAGTGTCCATGTTTTTGCCTGTTGCACCCCTTGGTCAAGGTGGGTATGCGATTATGCAGCTCGGCAAAGTAGCGGCTGAAGTCTTTCCCAAAACTGGTGTACTCGGAAAAATGGGAACCAATTCTGGAGAGATTTTATATGTTACAGGATGGATACTTGGCTTTATTATGTGGGCAAATGGCTTGGCATGGATTTTCTTCGCTCTGGCTAGTCTGAGTCGTCGCAAGTTGGCGTTTAACATTGGCTGGTGGGGATTCACATTTCCTCTTGGTGTCTGGGCCGGTGCGACAATAGCGATTGGCCAAGAAATGCCGTCAAGATTCTTCGACGTTTTGGGAACTGTAAGTTGCCTTTTTTCTCTCTTCTAAATCCTCGCTTCGTCTTAATGCTTCTATTCGAATATTAGTTACGGAATATTCTCTACTGAGCGATGCAATTAGACGCTAACGCACATGAACAATAGATTGTCGCGGTAATAGTAACGCTGCTGTGGATCATGGTTGCCATTTTCACGATAATGAAGATCATGGATGGTAAAATCTTCATGGCGCCAGATTATGAACAGTGGAAAAAGAAGAATAACCAAGTCGCTGAGGCTGTATAAGCAAAATAGTGGCAGAAAAGACAAGCCTGAGCTTAAGCTTGATGGTACGCTATCCATTTGTTCGGACACTTAATATTTATTGATTATTAAGAATTTATCACTACACGAAAACAAATGCAGCTAAGTGGGAAAGAGGGAAAAGAAAGGCTTGACCTGGCATTATACGGTTTGGTTAAAATAATATAGACCATGGCACACACTAATAGATCGCTTAGACGATGCTCGTTGGAAATCACGAGATGGAGTAATTCCAATACATAAAATAGGACTTAGATAAAAGAGCTCGAGTGGTCTAGAGTGCCACTTTAGAAGCACAAAAGAGCGGATACTATATATTAATTATCTTTGTTATTGAATTAAAGTCTTCAATTTCGTCTAATCCTGACTCGCGTGAAGAGTGGCAATCTGACGAATTTGCAGAGGCAGTGTGGTATGACGGCTGCAGAAGATAACCGCCACCATTTCTACAAGGAGCTGGAAACAAAATAATTAACTTTTGTCATTAATATTGGACGTAATTTTTTCAATTGACTTATCTACTCGATTTTTACATTTTTAGGAACAAGAACTGCATAAACCTTTGGTGATAATAAGAGCATCATTTCGTAGAACTAGAAATCAGCCCACACTTATACAGCGCACGGCACCAGCTGAAAGCTGAAAATATCCCCATGCGCTTAACTTTATTTGTTTCTAATTAGACTTGCGAGCGGGATAAAAGAGCTGAATATCTCTTCTTTCCTGGACATTTCCATATTGCGCATGTATTTGTCTAGAGCGAGACAGTTTGGCATTGCCGATGCGGCAATCCTGCCTTTGCCTGTGCAGCGATTGCTATCTTTGACCGTTGAGTTGTATCCTAATGGTGGAGTTTCAGCTTGCATAATGCAATGTGGACCGCTGTACTCATTAATTAGGCTATCAATTTCAGCTAATAACAAAGTGCTGGAGAGATTATCAGAATACTTATATAGAATCATCCCGTGCTTATTGAAGGCTCGTGTGTCGCCGAAATGCGAGAGTATTTACCATCTGGCTTCTTGACTAAAGAGAGAACCCAAATTGGCAGCAAGAAGCAATTTTCCACCCAGTCTACATACTCAGTGGTCGGAAAACTAAAAACTTATACAGATGTGCATAGTCAAAAGCTGGAAATCCAGTACGATCAATTTGGCCGACCAAAACAAGTGGTGCAAGGAGGTTTAGGACCACTTTTGCCTACAATAAGAACAACCGACTCTCTGAGAGCTGTTCTTACGACGATGGGAAAAAGGAAAGCCGAAAAACGAGTTTAAGTATGATGAATTCGGTAGAGAAATTGAGCGTACCGTCTTTACAGGAAAGGAATTGCTTCATCAATTAGGCCAAACTTACAATGAAATGCATCTTCTCATAAATCGCACTTTAAAGGATAGCAAAAGCATATTGTTGAGAGAAGAGAGCTTTGAATATGACCAGCAGTATCGTTTAATCGATTACAAGTATCAGGGAGCACAGCCGATGGTGGACGAAGCGGGGCAAAATATTCAAAGGCAGCAGTTTAGTTTTGACAAGTATGAGAATCTGGTTAAGATTGTGAACACTTTCCAAGATGGGTCTCAAAACACCCGAAAGAACATTTTCGGCTCCGAAGGTCCGACCCAACTAATTAATATTACGAACACACATAAGGAATATGCATCAGAAATTGCTCTGGAGTATGACAGAAACGGGTGTCTGATCAGAGATGAACAGGGCCGCAGGCTCAATTACGATGCAAAAGGTCGTTTAAGCATGGTATCTGATGCCAAAGATAAGATATTGAGTCATCATTGCTATGATGCAAGCGGCAAATTAGTGTGCCAAAAGGCAGATGGAATAGCTTCTTTTCTTCATTGCCGCAACAACAAAATTGTTGCTCTCACGTGCGGAGGCCATAAAATAAGTTTCCCACCGATGTTAAAACCTACTGGGGTCAAATTTCATCGCAGAAAAATGGGAGCTCTTAGATTGGTTTTTGGGCAGACAGCCATCAGTCAGTCTTGGCATGGTTTGACACGCAGAAACCGGACAATATCAAGCACCAACAGTACATGCCTTATGGATATGGGTCATCAGGCTCTTGGATTCAACGGCCAGTGGAGAGATCCCACCACTAGCTGGTATCATCTTGGAAATGGGTGCCGCGTATACAACCCCGTATTGATGCGCTTCCATAGTCCAGATCAATGGAGCCCGTTCCTCTCTGGAGAGATCAATCCATATGGTTACTGTTTAGGCGACCCCATCAGCCACATCGATCCTACGGGGCATGTGAGTGTCTTTGGCATGAATGGCTCTAGAGGAAACAACAACCTTTATCGAAACCACTAGGCCCCTTACAAGTAACATTTAAAGAAGGCCCTCTTCTCAATGGTCCCGAGGGACAACCGCCATGGACAGGACACGTTGACTATTTTGATACAATTGATAGCATGCCAGGCCTTCAGGACATCAGGGATTCATGACTCATGGCGACACTAGTGGTAGGCTGCTTGGTTGGAGGAATATGGCTCGGAACGGTGCGATCGTGGAAGGACTTTGGGGAGATACCGCACCGAACGTGGCACAGGATACTATCCTACAAACAATATAAGACAATATAGACCGTAAAAATGGATTCTTCTTGCAACAAGAAGGGAAACCAATCTACCTTTTCTCATGCAATGGGGCTGTTCCAATATCTTTTGGTGGGCAACAGTTGGCTCCAAAAGGGCAAAGAGTCGCTAATGCGCTCAATAGAGATGTGATTGCCTTCCACGGCGAGCTCAATGTTCTTCATGAACTCAGATCAACAAATATAGAACGATTCATAATATACTAGAGACTGATGGAGGAGTTCAAGAAGTCTATGGTTATGATAAGACGCGGACATTTCAGCCTCAAAATGGATAATGGTGGGAAAGGTCTCTACCAATCTTCAGTTCGAACAATTAGTAAAAAGTAATTAGTAAAAAGCAATTAGTAAAAAGCAAAACTGGTTCTTAATGAGTTGCACACATAGAATAAATAACAATTTTTAAGCTAAATATTATATAATTTACGTCGCAATCTGTTAATAGTACGTATTACCACTTACCATACTTTTTTAATAACCCAACCGTAAATAAAGTAGTGCCAAAAGTTGATCTGTTACTCAGCAGTAATTCATTGTTTCCACACCTGCTTGAGAAATTCCTCCACGTCGGCGAGCAGAATTTCTGGCTTTTCCATGGCAGCAAAATGACCGCCACTCTCGTGCTGGCGATAGAACTCGAGAGTGCCAGTTGATTTAACCCAAGCCTGAGGGATTGGTGCAAGTTCCTTCGGGAAGAAGGAATATCCGAAAGGCTTTTTGATATACCACTCAGGGTTCTCATGAGCTCCAATAAGGCCGGGAGTAAATAGCTGCCACCTTGATAAGAAAATGTTTGACTTTTTTTTTTTGGCTTCGCAGAAAGCAAGCTTACCTGTCGGTATGGGTAGATAGACCGAGGAAAGGTCTCCGTTAGCCAATATAGCGTAACTGAAGACAGAATCTCGTCCATTGGAGGATCTTCATCTGTCCAGGCGACAAACTTTTCTCCAATCCTAAGATGATTCGCTTAATTAGCTACTATAATTTAGACGGGAATTCGCTCGGAGGATCTTACCATGCAAGAAGCGCAATTGGGTTTGAGGCAAGCACAAGCCCAATTGTGCTGGGTTTTGTTGCATGCTGCAAAGCGTATGAAGAGCCTAGCGCCTTGAATATACCGGATCTCTCCAAGCCTTGCTTCTCTACTTCGCTAATATCACTATCCATGATACCCTCCGGCTCAGGCATGATACAGAAGTTAACTGCGTTAGATCTTAGTATCGCGTACTCTTTGTTCAGCTTATCTCCCGACTTACTATGAACGGCTTTTACTGTATCGAAAGTTGCAGCTAGAACACGTGAAACTTTGCTGCCAATATCTCCTCCTTGTACAGCATATCCATTGCCAAATCCCAGCTCAATCATCAATGAGTTCATAATGCTTGCGATGTTCTGAAGCTGAAAGTCTCTTTCGAGGGGCGGCGGCGAAGAGAAAGCGTAGCCAGGCAAAGAAGGGACGATAACATGATACGGAAGCGTCTCAGGAGAGTATCGTTCGGCTAGGATACGTAAAATGGAATAAAATTCCAGAAAGTTACCTGGCCAACCGTGCAAGCAAAGCAGTGGAATCGCATCGAGTTTTTGAGAGAATAGTGCGACAAAGTGAATGTTGAAAACGTCGCCGTTCTCTGTGATAGGCTGAATAAAGTTGGGAAAGTTATTAATATGTTTCTCGCAGGTACGCCTTTATGTAAATTGTTAGTTGCGAACTGACTCGGTCTCAGTTGTCTTATGTTTGCTTACCAGTCCCATTTCAGCCACTCTTCTTTGGCTTGAACCAACCAGTCTCGGCTAATGCCGAACCGGCCATCAGTTAATTCGTTTTCATACGTCTTTGGCCCAATTTTCGAGAGCTCTAAAAGGTTTCGGAAGTCACTGAGTTGCTCTTCCGGAATAGCCACAGTAAAGGGAGTCGGATTCGATTTCTTATTGGCTGGGAGGGTTGCAAAAGTGGAAGACATTTTAACAGATAGATGGTAATTGCTCTCTCCAATAGTTCTTAATCTCTTGACTAGATGTTACGTTGTTATAGAGAAGTCGTTGAGAAGAATGTTAAAAAAACTGAACGAGTCATTATGAGGAGAGTTGTCAGTGCTTTATAGTTTACGGATAGTAAATTTTCTCTTATTATTTTGCTATTCTTCAATACCATGATAAGTCTCATCGCCCGCACTTGCTACGGGATGCAAAACTTGGAAGCGCCGCGATGTCAAATCACATCCAACCTAGCCGAATCTGGCGTTTCTCGCGATCCCGCTCCTGTTCGCTACAGCATGCTCGACAAATAGCTATAGTGGTATGTTACACTATATCGGAGATACCCTAATGAGGAGTTTATCGAGCGCCACTTTTTCGGGGGAGCTCTCCGAGTTGGCTGAGGGACGTGGAGATAATGCCCGGCTGAAGGAGTCTTACGCTGGGCCTGGACAAGTGGCTGAACTCTTTTTGCATTCCGCTGTTACAGCTTCTTCGGCGCAGGCCGTCAGCTGAAGCGCTTTACTTCTGCGCAAGTGAACGGACTAGCTATCTGAAGTAGGTTTGATTCCATTCCATTCTGAGAAAATGCTCGTCTTATTTGACAATATCCCAAATGCGGAAATATCGCCCGCCGGATCCAAGTCTCTTCAAGCTCAAAAAATGGACACCCTCTTTTGGTTGAAGAGGGTCACTTGACGTCATTACCTAAACATAAAAAGGCGGTTCCCTAAGAAGGGCAGAGGTTCCAAATCGAGAGACTGGGAGAATAGTATGTTCTCGGAGCTTGGCCTGCATATGGACAAACTGGGTTTAAGAGATCCCATAGCCGTTGGCATGGTAGCACAGTACGATAATTTTGAGATGTCATTGATGACAACCTATTTTTCCTGCTCTGATAATGATAACGAATCTTAAGGAATAATTATGTGCATACGTTCACATAGTAGTTGAAGAGTTGTATAGAAGATGACGAGACAAAAATAAAGTCATATTGCTGTTAATGATTGCTCGCTAAGCCGAAGAAAAAAAGGAAAAGAAAGAGAAATCTCCTATGTCAATGACCCATACGATAGTATACAAGTTCTCTGAAACAATAATTCCAGAGCAGTAAGTTTTTTTTTGTAAAAAAAAAAAAGTCGTCAGTCGCTAAACTCGCGCTTCTTTGGGTTTTTGGGTCTTGAATTGAGCCGCAGTGCCTCATTTTCCTTCTCAAGGATAGTGACCCTTTCACGAAGGCTCTGAAGAGAGCGCATAACGTCGCCATGTCCGCTATTTGACATTCTACTAGGTTCAGATGTAGGTGATGAGTTGTCTAAAACATCGGACTTGCCATGCGTCTTCTCGGAGCTAGTACTGTTGGAAATCTCGAGAATCGGCTTTACTTCCTCAAACTTGATTGTAGTTCGTTGGACAGGCTCAGTTGTAGCTTTTGGATGAGACTGATTCGACTTCTCATCTTCAAACAAGGGGGGTTGAGTGTGCCAGCCTCTCCTAACACATGCGTCACAATAGAATTCTTTTCGTTGCTCTGATTGCTTTGGGAGGCAAGTTTGGTGGTATGATCGGCAGCAGGCACCGCAACCTAATAACATGTTCCCCGGCTTGCGGCAGGTATAGCATAGCGGGTTGTGTGGTGAGCCGCTTTCTATAAATTGTTAGTTGTTTAGATTCTCATTAAGACGCTCCAAACCCATAGCTATGATGCCAAATCATGTCAAGCTTTTACAGGGTGAACGGTCATTGCAAATCAGGAACATCATGCTACAGATGATCGAAATTGAACGTTGGAGTCTCAGCTACTCGCCACAAGAATGAAACATTGAAGATACTCACTCTTCCACGCATGGTATATTATTTTCTGTTCATTCATTGTCAATTGTTTTCCCGGTGGTGCGTAACTGGCGATTCTATAGCCAGCGATGACGGGATATTTGTTTGTCTCTGAGGCTGACGTTCGCCGTCTTTTGGCGAGAGAATGAGATGATTCCGCCATAGCGCGTTACTGAGAGTAAAAGGTTAAAAAGGGTTAAAAGAATCTACTGTTAGGATGTGATGTTCGAACATGAATCAGGCCGCAGCGTTTATTGCAAGAATTACTGGCAGGATCAATATGACCGAGAGTCCAAGTGAAAGGATGAAGGAACTGTATGGCTGAGCTAGCGACATTTGGCCGAAAGAGGCGAAGACGGGACGTTTAGCCTAAAGAAGCAACGTCATCCTACCGATATTAGTCCGCCCAGCCTTCGGGGGAATGATTGAAAGACTGTAAAGTAAATTGCCCATTTGCTTTTTCTTGCCCCCATGTGACATCAATGAAACTTGTACATGTGTTTTCAATCCATAGCCTAACTCAAGGATCGATTCCTTACCTCAATGGGTAACATCCTCCATCGTCCGCCACCAACACCACTCCAAGCTGTTCTTATTATCTGAGCCAGGCAGGCATTGCATACAGAGTAGTACGGAGTATACATACAAACACTACGAAGGGCAATGTCCCCCGGTTCGGCTTGTCAACGATGCAGGAAACGGCACATCAAGGTATGTGCTACTCGTTTCTCTGTTTTCCTTGGTATCCGCTGTTGTGAGCATTACCCTAATTAATAGCACATCAGTGCGATGGAACACGACCTAGCTGCAAGCAGTGTGTGTCTGCCAAGCATGAATGTCCCGGATACAACGACGATTGGAAGTTTATCAACAATGGTGCCAAGCTGCCGCACAAACGGCAGAAGAGGCAGTCTTCTCGATCAACCAAGGTACAGCCTACAAATGCTTTCGCTAACACGACTGAAAAGATCTCTACGATACACGAAGATTCTAGCATAGAATCTCGCCAGGCCAGCACATCATTAGCTATCCAGAAGACAGAGTCTTTAGAAATCTCTTCATTGGACTTCCCCAAAGCCACTGACCCTGGATTACAAAGCTTGGACTCATCTATTTCATTACCGGTGGACTTTCACTTTGATCTTGGTGGCAACAATGTTAACATCAAAGAAGCAAGCTTGGGCAATCTACCTGCTCAATTCAAAACCCCTGGACCGGCTCCAGAGACATCACCGGGACTGATATCTTCCGCGTCAAATAGCGAGTTTGAAATGGGGCTTGCTGCCCTAGCCTCGGAGTTTATGCTTGAGAGCGAACAAGAAATCGTTTTCCTTCTTCGGCATTATGTTGACAACTTGGCCCCTTGGTACGTCTCCACCCTGTCGTCGTCACTTACTTTTGACCCCATTTAATCAATAACAGGTTAGGCATTTTCGACGAGAGATGTTTCTTTCAGACTCGTATCCCTCGCCTCGTTGAGACTAACCCTGTCTTAAAATACGCAATTTCTGCAGTTTCTGCCAAGCATCTGAGTCATGTCGGTGGCTTTCGGGCCACCAACTGCGGTTTAAGAAGCACCTTGGCCTTGACAGAAATGTATCCAAGCGCAGGCCATGTCGACTGGGCTTTCAAAGCTGCCAACTACTATCACCAGGCAGCTACAAGCTCTCAGCAGCAGTCACAACTTTACGATACGATTGGCAATTATCCGCCAGGATTTCTAGATGTGGCAACAGCAAGTAATGCTATCTTGACAATTTATGAATTGATTGATTCGAACTACGACGAATTCCGCACGTAAGTATATATTCATTCTCTGTTAATCAAATAGCTACTTCTACCTCCATAATATCGTTAAGACCACTACATCAAATGATGTTTTGATGCCGGTTAAACCTTCTTCCCCTTGGCTACAAAGAGAAGCAAGTGTCAAAGATTGCAAATCACTGCGTGATATTTCACGCGTCTTGAATCATATAAACAAAGGCGAATGAATCTAACAGCAGGCTTAGGCGGATACACGATGTAAAAAGTAATCTGGCGAAATACCCGAACGATATTTCTACTCCAAAATCCTATTTCCCGCCTTTTAAACAACTTGCGAATCCCGCTGCTCTAGCCAGCTATTGGCTCTGCATGCCCCACGACCTCCTGAATTCATATGATCAAAATCGCATACCTATACTTAACTTTGAAGCTTCTTATGGCAATTGCGAGAATAATGACGATGCCTTGGGTGTTGGCGAATCTAAGTCCATGTCTAGGACACCTTGGGTGCAGTTATTCTCATTGATGACAAGTATTATCGACCAGTTTACTGCCATACCTAGCAGTGGTGGCCGCATCATGGAAAACCCTGAGCGCAATAGCTGGTTCTATCTTTGGGGTGCTTTAGATGATTGGCACGCTCAGTTGAGTGCCAATTTTGAGCCATATTCTCATTACACGCTTTCCAGTCACTTAACACTCCCACAAGGTCCTGAAGAGCCAGTTTTCGATGAAATCCTCTTTCCAACACAGGTATCTGCGGCGACTCTTTCGTACTACCATTTCGCCCGTGTCCTTTTGCTTCTTGCCAAGCCGATCGATCAATCAAACCCCCTCACGCAGCTTAAAGACTATCGAGAAAGACTGATAGATATAAGAGATAATTGTGTAAAAATATGCGGGATTGCAGCGGGTCGACCAGGTGGCGCTGCTCGCATTCACTCGGTACAGCCGCTCGTCTTAGCAGGACAATGCTTGGAAGAAGCACGAGAACGAAGAGCTGTAGTACAGCTATTACAGGATGTTGAGTCTGATTCGGGGTGGCCAACCGCGGCCCAGGTCAGGAGGCTTCAGGAAGAATGGTATGGTACTATTCCACAGAGCTAAAAGAAAAAAAGAGAAAAAGAGAATGCATGACGAGATTCAAGGTGACAAAATTGCTGGTATGGTGCAGTAAATTTACGACGCTTCCATGTAGGTAGTAGCTTGGGGCTACATTTGCCTTTGTTAAGCGTTGTCTTATTGGATACGGCAAAACAGCCCATTAATATGAAGAGGGGTTCTTCGATGTAACAGCACCTGTGTTTAAAATACTAAAAAGATGCAATCTGGTATCCTTGTTCAATCTAGCCACCGTAGCCGTCCTGTCACTGTGATATTTGAGGTACATGTGAGGTTTTGTAAAGTATAGACAAATAAATTTCGTATCAGCGCAAATATTGCGCTTACGTTAATCCATAGAGTTGGGCCTATGATTATGATTGCTACTTTGCGCGGGCCCTCCAAATACGTGTATACATGGGACGACAAGTGGCTGACCACTCTCCGCAATTTCTTGCCGTATCTTGCCTCTTTTGCTTACGGAATTATAAAAGCTTACCTCAGGTGCTAGAAGGCGGTTGCGAAAAAGCGAGAGAAATGGCTACCACCAGCAGCAACACTTCTCCTCAGCCGCCGCAAAGTCTTACTGGCATTGCTAGTGCCAGCCCAACAGCTCACAAGTGTGCGCCCGCCACAGTGCAAGCTCCACCAGATTGTTTCCCTTTCACTGAACGGTTTCTCCGGTTTTGTTTGCAAATAGTTGCCAAGAGTATCGTTAGCCCCAAAGAACCAAAGAGGTGTTAATAGTATCAGCGAGAAGACAGTGTCTTGGTGGCTCATCAAAATGCATATAAGTTGCTATTCGTTCCTAATCCAGCAGCCATTTCAAATAAACCAGTCTTAACTTTGAGCATTAATTTCTCCCAACTTCGTTCTTATAATTTAACAACGGAAACAAGGCTCTACAATGAAACTGTATATTGCCTACGATACTTGTTCTCGAGCCGCTCAGCTTGTTGCAAACGAGCTTGGCATTGACCATGAGCTTGTCCACTTTGATGTCTTTGGCAAGAGCGCATCAAACGGAGAAGACTTTGCAATTATCAACCCTCTACTTTATGTACCTGTTCTAAAGCTTGACAACAACAAAGGCAATGATGTTATATCTGAAACAATTATCATCTGTTCATATTTCGCCGATCAACGCCCAGAGTCTGGCATGCACCCGCCACCTGGTACTCTTCACCGTGCAAAAGCCGATCAGTTTCTCGTTCAGCTTGCAACCGAGATCGCGCAGAAGCACATCCCACTTATGCGCAAGCTGATGACCGAGGAAGGCATCCAATTCAACTCTAACAAGCTCCTAAGAGCATACCAACTCTTAGAGGACCGACTCGCGGATGGTCGCTCTTATTTGTTTGGTGAGAATCTTACTATAGCCGATGCATATGTATGGGGTACTCTTTGGAACAGTCGCTCTGGTGTGAGAATTGATCATCTCAAAAAATTAGCGGCGTGGAAGCTTCGTATAGACGCTCGTCCGGCTGCTGTTAAAACAATTAGGGAAGAGGCCGAAATTTTGGCGACTCACAAGGCCCAAATTGAAGCCCGCAGCGTCTAAATGACTACGAACCACGCGATTGACGGGATTTCAATTTTGTTTCTCCACAGGAAAGACTTGGCAATGTGCAAACCGGAGATAGCAAAACGGAGACCGCATATCAAAGACTATGCCGAAAACTGGTAAACTCACGGGCAACAAGCGACAAGAGAACTCCAACACAACTCTTAGATACATCATATAGAGATGACTAGAATTTATTATCTTGTGGGAATAAGTTAAATTGTGCCTACTACACTTTTCACCATATCTAAATCTGGAGACACCGCATTCATTGCATATGTATTATATATCTCGGCGTCAAAGAATTGCCGGCCGTATCAACGGGAATCAGCTTCACACTTGGCGGGTCTTCAGTATTAGCGTTTAAAGTTTTGTTTAAGCTGCCCCAGTCTAGCTCAGCACTCTCTATAGTTTAGTTGAATACGAGATTTTAGTCGCTTTCAGCATTGATATATTATAACATACACACAATTGACACGTATCCGTTGCTATGCCCCACGCGATTATGCTTGGCATTCACAAATTTCGTATTGTGACGGATAGGCTATGTCTTACGATGAGTGTATAAAGCGTGGCTGACTGAAGTTGGCAGTTTGGCCTTTTAGGTTTCTTTCTTTCACACCTTCTCGACAAGCAGAAAATGCCAAAAGCCACTTCTAATTCTCGCGAGACAAGCGGGACGAACCGCGACAACGTGTTGTTCAGCTGGAAAGCTGTACTAGTTTGTGTCTTACTCGCAACATTAACAAGCTTCCAATTCAACAAAGCACTTCCTATCCATTTTCTATCTCTTCAATCACCCAGCAATAAGGAGACATCAGGTGGCTTCAAAAGATTATCGGGCGCACATGTGGTAACTAGGCCAAATCCAGAAGTCATCGGTTCCAATAGAGATGAGACGGTACACTCTTCCAATCAGCTTCTCCGAACCGTACCTAGGCCTTGGACGCCTTTCCCAAAGGGTATGGATGCCCAAGATGCCTTCGAGCAGGGCTTAAACAATCCGCCACCAGGCACCGAATCAAGGAAGATTCTGCACCATTCTTTCTCGGATATTGATCGAAATCCTGAAATCACGGTGGTACCTTATGACAACGGTCTGATTGAAGGGATCATTCGCGCCTTTCAGCAAGATCTACATCTCGTACTCCGCCCTGATGATATATGGCTGGCTATTACGACTCAGCTTAGCTTCTATATAAATGCTCACGCTGAAAAGCTGAGGCATCTTTTCGTTACACACGAAGGCAAGGAGCAGTTAGTAGTCAAACTGTTATCACAAACCATGGAAACCTTGAATGTTGCACACGCTGCAGTATTGTTTTCTCAATTAATACAAAAGAATGTAGTCGACCCTGAACTTGAGAAATTTCTTATGCCGAATTTCAGCACCAGTACTAGCACCGATATCAGTGTGGCCGCAATGGTTATGATGGCAACCACAAAAGAATATTTCGACTTCATTACTGAAGTAGGCTGTGGATTTCCAAGCGTTACTCTCCTCGGTGAAAGGGAAGACTGGGTTAATCTTCTTGAGAGATTGCCCAAGCTTGCTACATTTGGCGATGAACCCGAGGAATGGAGTAAATTACTCGCCAAAGTCACCGAGAAAATGATTGAAACGTATGATCATGCAGATGATCAGACTACCAAGGATTTCTGGATGAAAGCAGTACATAAAGCTGGTTGGGAGGGCTCAGGACAAGGTTTGGAGTCCTTGTCGGGATGGCTCACTGCTTTCTGCTTTTGGGATGGCCAAGGAACAAAAATCCATCAGTATACAGACGAAGAACTATCTAGCAAGAAGTTCCAGTTTGGCGATGAAGATCCCGAAGACAGGAAGAGATTAATTATTGATGGTGTTGTTTTCCCAATAATCCGAGCTAAAAAGATACCAAAGGCTGTCGTCGACGTACCGGTAAAAGTTATTGATCTGTCGACAATGACTGAATATGACACCACTGTCATAGCTGGCTCAATAGGCATGACAGCAACCGCAAGCGAAAATGAAGGAGTGTATGACACTTTTCAGCCACGATCAGGCTGGTGGATGCTGCTGGATAATATGAAACAAATCTCCTAGGGCTATATAAAATAGCTATTCCTTAGAACGTTTCGTGAAGCGACAGTCATCATAGGTTTCTATCCCACTACTAGTCTTTTACACGACCATAAACTTTAGTGTTCTCTACGATTGCTTTTCTGGAAAGCCATTTATCAATGATCGCATCGTAAAATTCTATTGCAATTAACCATGGGACCTATGTCAAAAATACACCGCTTTACGCCAGAGGTGAAACTTTGCTGTAACACGGCCTAGGATAGGAAGCTGCGGCACGTAACCCCGAATGTTGCTCCACGTTCACGTCCATGGTATTGTTTATTTTTCTCACCTTTTCTGCAATATTACTTGAAAGGCTCGATTTCTCAACCATTTTGCTAGTTCATCTATTTTCTTTGACGTACATATGCATGCTAACGTGTCACCTCTTAATAGAGCTGTCAAGGCTTTTTTGCAGTAATACCGCATATAGACCCACACAGCCACGCATGCAACCAAACGTTTAGTAGTTTGTGTAAGTATTCTCCGTAGGGGTTCACTAAAGTCTTAGCACAGATGTCTACCGGTTCTAGCAAATCTAACCCAGGGCTATTGCCTGGAGAACTATGCCGGCTAAGCTTTATTCATTTACAGCCAGAAATATCTAAAAGTAGCCAGTCTTATAGTTCTTAATATGAGCGTACCCTGAAAAAAATTCTCCTGTATACGCACGCACAAATGGCATGAAACTTTCATGCAAGGCAGGTCATTGCCTTGCGTTGGGCTTGAAGAGAGACATGAATAGTTCCCTGCACTTCAACGTGGCGCCCGGTGTATTGCGATAGAGCTTTCAAAATACTTTATGTACGTTCCCTTGCATCATAAACGTGACAACCATCGATGCTATTCGGAACGCACATGATATTGGATCTGTGAGATGCTGTACAGTATCGAGCCATAGGCATAGCTTGTGCAATCCTATGGAAAGCCATCTTCACTCAGCAGTGTCGTACCAAAGACCCCCTACAATTAGTTTTCGAATTATGCTCCATACTGTGTATTTCTTCTAATAGGCTGTACGCAACTTTTAAAAACATCTTTACATGCTCAAATTAGGAAGAAGAAAAAAATCTTGAAATAAGAAGTAAAAATACCCAAGTTTTTTGCCATCTCCCGTCATACTTCATAATTGTGGCCACAGCGGGAATGCGATGCAGCTGGAGAAGCCTCACTGTGCTCACCGGCTGCAGGCTGTCAACTAGCTCGATGCCCTTGCCCGGCGCGGTCTGGCGTTTCAATGCTTCCCCCAATTATAGGCGTTTAAACCTCCCGGCTCTTAAGCAGATACTTACCAGGCCAGCTGCTTGCAGCATTTTGATTTGCCACAATAGTCCTTCCAAAAATTGGAGTTGGCTCCTGCATAGCACATTATGCAGCTGCTGAGTAGCTATGTTACTAATATCATGGCCGTTCGAAGTTACTATTGGATATCAAGTCGCTACTTTGGGGACTTAATTTTCACCTTTCAAACACTGCTTTTTATGAAAATAGTATTGCCCGGCGTACACGGGGGTAGGAAAATAATATTTAGGCTTCGGTTGGGTATTACTGCTTCATATTGTGGCTCTATACTGGCTGAACTAGCAGCACTTGTATCTGCTACGCTCTGCGGCAGCCAAAGTCCACCACTTTCGACACGTCCAAACCTACCTCATGCAAATTGAGTGGTCAATTTCATCTATAAAAGCACGTCAACCCCCCAATTCAAACACTCTTTCCTCATCATCTCTAGAGCGAACACTACAAGCGTTTAAAAAATATTCACACTAATCATTTCTTTCAAAATGTCTTCAGTCTACACTATCTCCCTTGAAAATAAACGCGGAGCAAACACGAACTATGCTGCGTTCATGGAACCCCCAAGTTTCACTGGGGGTCTTGAGCCTTGGCTTAATGTTTGGTATACCTCATTTGTGCCGTATGGCGGAAACTTTGAAATCCATACTGGAATAGATTTTTATGCATGTAAGCAGTAACATTACTTGACGTCTATTGTTAACCATACACCTCTTATTCATGCTTCGTTTTGCTAACCAATGAACAACTAGGGGTTGGCACTGTGCCTACCACACCTGCTCCAGGGGTGGTCGTTTCCACCGGCATGAGCTTATTGGCTCAGCTTGGCACGGTTTCAACACCTGGAAGTAAGTTTATGCTTCGTTTAATGTCAAATTGATACTTAAAGCTAATTTAACGCTTTACTTAGGCACTTTTGACAAAAAAATCATTCAAAGCTTCCCTGTAATTCAAGAAACCACTCCGTCTGCTATTCCGGGCGCCTACGAGATTAAAACGGGTACCGACTTCCTCGTGCCCAATAACACATATCTGGTTGGTCTTGCAAAAGTCAATAACCGAGGCCAAGTTGCTCCAGTTGCATCAGTACGTCTGTCTCCAGATTTAAGTTGGCGTTTAATAACATGTCGAATACTAGATTGCCCCAAGGAATAATATGAATATCCAGATTACCCCAAAAATGAAGTTTTTCATTGCTGAGAGCCAGCAGGTTCCAGGTGAAATTGTTGACTACCATTCTGTTGTTAGAGATGGTGCTACCATCGATTTTAGCAGCGGCGAAGGACTGGGAAAATTTTATGCACACGTTGTTCAAAAGACAGACGGTACATTCACTGTCACCTACTACGAACATCCTAACTAGTGACCAGTTTGAGATATACTCTTTAGCACCTGGAATAGATTCTTATAGTTCGTAAATAAGGATTATGAACAATTGATCAGACTTCATGCGAAATGTATATTGTTTGAACTCTAAAGGCTAATTTCTATACTGATCCGCGGATAGGGGATATTTTTCAGATTAAAGCCGCATATAGCATTAACCATGTACTGTTCGGCTCTATGCCGTTTCTAGCATCTAATTATCTCCAAATGGCGGAAGCCCTGGCAGGCTTTTACTAATCTTGGTAGGAGAAAGGTTTGTCACGCCACCCTTTAAAGATAACCAAGCTGGAGGATGCATTTAAAAAAGTAAGCTAGCTCTCGTTTTGCCTGTTCATAGGTAAGGAGATATTAGAACCTATACCGTACTATATCAGCGATATAAATGTCATTACTATGTTAAATGGTTGGCGAAATGCAATTGAAGCATCTCGGAACACTTCATGATGATTCCCTTAATAAGCCCAAGCCACAACCCGTAATTAAGACTTATATACGAAGCATATGGTGTATAGTGACGGGACTACATCCACACCTGCTTGCTACTAAAAAAGAATATCACCCAGTCATAAAAAGTACAGTGTTAAATTGACTTATTATAATACTCAGTAGAAAATGATTATCAAGGAAAGGCAGGTTTCTACTGGCTTAAAACTGGATATTGTTTCGTCACCAAGCAATTCTCAACAGGAGACATTTCAGTCAATGGACGAAGACAAGTAAGTCTCCAAGGAATAGCTGTATATTTGAACAGGCAGTTGTTACTATATATATTGCAAAAACCACCGTCTGTAGCCCAACACAATGTTTTAAAATCCTGCCGATTCATTGGAACATGTATAGGGTTGTGTTCTATATTAAAATGCTTAGCTGCGCTGTTCCTGAACCTAATAATCCACTTAATGCGCTCAATTCTCTACAGTCATTAAGATCAAGAGTTCAGATAATTACAAATGACAAGGTCAAATGAGTAATACCTAAAGATGGTCGGATTAGTTATCTGATTCAGAAAGTAAATATATTAAAGGAGCGATTAATAATCATGTTCCAAATTATGATTTGTAGTTGATGCCTGTATCTGTGCTAGCAAAGCGCTTTCTACCTAGCGATTATGGTGGTGACACAACATTAATCGATATTGAGAAACGGATTTCGTTTACTGCCGGGAAAAAAGAGTTTGGGGAATACCTCGTAGGGAAAGAATCACAGGGCCTTAATGGGACAAGGATTTTTACTGGCCCGTTCTTCGATTGGGTATGCTGTAACTATTCTCATTGTTCCCCAAACCGCTTCCGTCCCTCTCTAAGTACGTCGGAGTTATTAGAGGCTAATCCAGTTCTTATAGATGCTTACCCAGTCTGCGAGAGAATTTAAACTTGACATGGGTGTGATGGAGTGGGATCTCGAGTCGTTTAAAGTTACTATATTCGATTCTGGTGACCAAGAATTCAGCTGCACCAACACAAAGACCGTTGCGGAGGCTATTGCTTCTGTGCTCACGCATGAAAATGATACTAAGAACCAAGATGTTCGTGTCAGTTCGTTCCGCGCTTAACTCAAAATGAAGTTTTGGCGACTCTTGAGCGACTCTGGTAGAAAATTTGAAGTAACCCAAGCTTCCACGGAAGATCTTGCAGCAAAAGGCGAAGCACGCATTAAGCGTGGCGAGTGGCTACAAGGATACATTGAAACCGTATCGGCCTCTTATTATGCGCCTTGGGGTTATAACACATTTGGCGCTCGTGCCGAAAAATGGAATGATATTTTAGAGCTACCCAAGGAGAATCTAGATGACACCTTGATAAAGGCACTAGGAATACGTAGCGCATAGGAAGCCGGAGATAAATTTAGCCTTTTATAGCATCCTAATGAGAACTTCCTGCCACTTTGTAGTAATCTAACTCTTTGCACTCCTTCACTCCCTTGTACGACGCCGATCTCTCACAGTACTGCTGTAAGTTGGTATATGACCCAGGTAGCATAGTTATCCGAATGATGGCTCGTAAAGTATAACACATCGTGTTCCAATATAATTGATACTTAGATTGTATCAGAGAAAAGGGGGAAGAATCTTTGCCACCGACAACGAGGGAAAGCTACTCGCATTATCCAAGTCCACATTGGGAATTAAATTTTGGCATCCTGAAAGATTCACAGTTGTTTGGACGAAACTGCCAAAAATAACTGATAACGGGCACGATGTTAGCGAATACCATATGTACCTAAACCTGAGCAGGCTTCGCGAAGGTAGGTAAGTATGTTGGGTATTTCGTGGTTACTACTGCTTATGCCGTCAGCGCAACTATTCCTCTCGGCCCAACATAGGACATCACTACCAACCTATATTTGAGGCAGCAATACGTTTACGAATGCACAGCACCTGTAGTCCATATACTTAGTCCCTCGGGAGAAACATGTGGCTTCAATTATGATTACTGAACCCTACATAATAATTACTAAACAACCAAGTTACGTTTTGCACGGTGCTCATATAGTCTCTCATAGATGATAAAGGCTGCTTTATATATTGATATCCTATAAAATTGCCTTGTATCTTTCACAAGTGGCTTGTCGTCCGCCTCGGCATCCTCAAGGGACCTCTATGGGTCCAACAGATTTACTGATCCAAATATCTTCCAAAGACCCACATTTCGGAGGGAATTTTACAGCCTCTTGTAGTTACCCCAGGTTGACGTCTCGAGATATTAAACAAATAATGTCAAGGACTGTGCTGGCCGTCAAGACTAAATGATGTACGGATATCATTATGCTTACTAGAACAAGGAAGTTGGTTGTTTTAGGGAAATAAAGATAGACGTGCGTCACTGTAGTCTCAACGACATTCGGTAAAGATGAGGTTAGTAATGAATAACGAGCAGAAGATCAATGCTCTCACATTCTGGAGTACCTGAAAATAAGTTTGCAGAAAACATTACCGTATGGCAGGTGTTGGTGGATGGTCCTGAAATATTTAGCAGTTGATTATTTCTTCTTGAAGATCATGCCTTTACCAACTCCAGCACTTCTCAGACGTAATATGTATAAACTTGTATGGAAATCGGAATTATGTCTACCGGACTGTCGTAATTGGACACAGTAGGCACTTCAAGCTATGCATAGAATGATGAAACTATTTAGTAATTTTAGAAAGCAAGCTATTGGCAACAACCAGGGTTTCACAGCTGATAGGTTCAATTGCTATAGGTAACATATTACCTCGCACGTGGCTGAAATTCAGTGACTATGGATGAGTCCTCCCACCCCAGCCAACTTTAAGCTCAAACCAAAATGTTTCCGGTAGCATCGAAGAATACTAATCACCAAATCAGGTAGAACTGATTTCCAAGAGGGCCCCAAATCGCCAAAGCTGGTGCCAGACGGTGATCCGCTCATGTTATCGCACACTTGTGTTGTATAAATACAACGTCAGAGACATGGCATCAAATGAAGAGGTTCTCATTATAGTCTATCAGTGTCTTACTAGAAGCTGCAAAAAATTCACAATTACTCTTGAAAGTCAGCTGGCAGCTTCGTAAAAAGCCATATATTGCTAAAAGAAGTTATTTCACAATGGCTCCAATCCTCATCACTGGCGCCACGGGGTCCACTGGACGCGCTACAATCAAGCATCTGTTGCAGAAAGGTCTTGCTGTCCGTGCGCTTGTTCACAAGGAAGACGATCGCTCGCGCCAGCTTGAAGCTCAAGGCGCCGAAGTCGTCGTTGGGGATCTCCTTGATTTGCGCTCAGTGCGACGTGCATTCGAGGGCATCAAAAGAGCTTATTTTGTGTATCCTGTACGGCCAGGGTTAATCGATGCCAGTGCCATTTTTGCTCAGGCAGCTACAGAAGCCAAAGCAGAATTCATCGTCAACATGTCCCAGATCACAGCGAGACCAGACGCCCCTAGCAATGCTGCCCTTAACCACTGGCTTGCGGAGTGAGTTTTCGATTGGGCTGGCACACCCGTTACGCACTTGCGACCAACTATATTCCACGGATGGCTTATCTTTGCCGGGAAAATGATTAGAGACGAAGATCGCTTTGCTGTTCCATTTAGTCCATCTGGAAAATTTGCCTCAGTCTCCACCAAGGATCTCGGAGAGTTCACCGCCACGTTGCTTGAGAACCCTGCCGGCCATGCAGGACAGACATACCCTCTCTTCGGCCCTACAGAGTTGACGCCGTCCGAGATTGCCAGTGTTCTGTCGAAGCACCTTGGAAGAGAAATTCGCTACGAAAAAGTCAGTGCTAGTGTATTAATTCGGTCTTTTACGGGCATTGAAATCCCGTACCTGGAGCAACATTTCGACGCAGCAACCGGAATGCATCATGATGGACTTTTGGCTGGTACCAACGATTGGTTTGAGAAGATTATCGGTCACCCATCGCAGAGCTTGGAAGAATTTGTGGAGGAAAACAAGTCGGTGTGGGAGAAGAAGTAAAATAGATGAACAAAACTCGATAGGACCGGCAAGATTTAGTTTCACAGTCAAATAAACTGTCTAATCTACTTAAACACATCTGCCGCAGCACTCCAGACACTAATTCTAATATGTACCCTCCATATTAAGAATTCATAGTTCTTGTGGGAAATTAGTTAGTCATTCATTCTCGTAAGAGCCTGATTCAAACTGTACATACTACATTGTAAAATGAACCCATAGGTAGCACTTGGATTTGAGCTATAATTGTCATAATTCCACTCATTTCCTTCATCTTTCTCTCGACTTGGCTCTGCGCTCTATCTCTAAGCACTACATACGCATGTAAATTATTAGTTCAGTTGCTAGATACCCAATGTTGTTTCAGTACTGAGATGGTGGGATGGAAAATGCATTCATCTCTTTAAATAAGAGTCCTAGCCATTGGGTGAGGTCAGTTCCAAGCAAAACTGGACCTCGTGGCCAGACCATGTGGCTCCTGACTTCCTTTCCTAAAATGATCATAAAAGCCTGTAGAGAAGCTTATTTACAAAGGTTTAATTTGGCTGTAGTTATAGCCATGCTCAGCGGTGGGTGGGTGTATCTTACTTGTCGACAAACGAGGCTTTATTATTAGGAAATATGTATATATAAGCATCTTCTAAGAACAAAAGGAAAGCATGAGGTACAATACATATTTATATCATATATATCCAATAGAGATGGGTATCAACAGCGGCATAAACAGCGAGTGGTAACGCTTTATTACTGTGAAATGTTAAAGATACGAACAATACAACAGGTAGTTTACAAGACTTTATATTCAATTTCAAAAACCATTTTATTTTCTTATATTTAAGAGGTTACCTTTTTTACAACAATACCTCCAATTATATCAATGACCTGCTAAAAATCGATGTGGCATTAAAGTACGGAGAGAAAAAAGATGAAAAGAAGAAAAGGAAAATGCAACAAGATAAAGGTACGGCTAAAGTAAAAAGCTGACCAGTTCAAGATAGCGAATAAAGAAGGGAAAGATCTGTAATTGGATGCATCGTGTAATTAACACGCGTTGACCTGTTCTGGCATTCTTCAAAAGCTGCATATAAGCAGGCTAGTGAACTCAGGCTAATTACTCCTGCAAGGCATATCATGTAGAACCTTTCATTAATATATTATGCATTTAATTATATATATATAAATGTGGTTCAATGGTTAAAGGCCTTTGCTACACACCCTAGTATCATGTCTGGGCAGTTGACACACTTTTATTATCTCTCACCCTATATCTTTTGCCTTGTGACGACGCGAATTAGTGTACATAGGTATTCTTAATACGAATTGTGAGGTTAGGTAGATATGAATCAAACCTTTACTGCTTCTTATCTCCTGGGGCCGATTGCCAGAAAAAGCTTTAATACAATATGCACGCAAGAGTTTATCAGACCGACATATAACAGACTACAGCTTTTTTTTCTAGAGAGATCGTTTCTCGATTACAGTATAGAAAGCTAGTGATGTTTTGTCAAAAAACGTTCCAACGGTAAAACTTGATATAGAAGTAAGATAAGACTAAAAACTAAAGAGAATAAAAAAGGCTGCCATTTTAATAACAGAATATATGTATGTAGCCTCTAGCGGAAGTGATATCATGATAACTCGATGATGAGCTTAGTGAGTCAGAATTGCTAATACTAACACCTCCTTATGATGCATAATACTAGTCTACTGCGGTTATGATTGTAATTTGGCTGCCTATCGTATTTTATTTAAGTGTCCGATGCTGGTTACTGGGAACTAAAAGGGCTCTGGAGCTCTCTCTCAACAATCTTCATATTTCTTCGGTACGCTAACGTATCTTGCATAATGTCTTTCGCCTACAATTATCTGTTTTAGCGTATTATGATTGTAACGTTAAAGTTACTTGTGTTCTCGTCACGCAGCATCAACTCAATATTAAGAAGAATAACCAGCTATGCTCAAGTTTAATCCGGTAGAAAGGAGAGGCATTTTAAACTCTTACATAACATGAAGGAAGCAGTATCAGTATCTGCATTATTATTACTTCAATATTAAATGACAGAGATAAAATATGTTCTATAATATTATCTCGGTACTGAAACTAGATAATTACCATTACTGAGTATATGGTGCGATTGGAGCGGCAAACAGGGTTACATCGGCATGCATCTGCAAGCTCAGTCGGTACCTATGCAACCTGCATCTAAGATCCTTCTATTTAGGCAATACACCTTTGTGACAGCGACCATTGAAAAAACTTCGTAATTATGATTACAAATATTATGTTGTTTAATGGTTCAATGTCAATTCTTACTCTCTTCAGTGCAATGCGGGGTTGGCAAGTTTTACAAAGCATATCAAGCCCAATCAAGGAATAGATGCGGACAGGCCCTAAGCACTCTATTTCACAGGCTAAATAGCAAGTGGAACACGGGGTGTGCGATACGGGCCACGGGATGCGGAATAGACGGAACTAAATACATTCGGATAGCGTGAGGGCGTGATATTGCTTGAGAGTGAGAGTGTATATAGCGTTGTAATAATAATAGAATACCTCTTACTTAATTAAGCACCAGTATTATGAAAATTTACGTATCACAAAACGTATGCTCCACTTATGATAATACACAATATATGAAGAAGACGGCCATTGATACTACCACCACCAATTGGGTGCCAAGAAAAGACAAGGTTATGACCTATGCTTCTTTCTGAGACCTTTTCTTCTACAATTTCTCATCTCTGAATGCTTTGTCTTTTATCCTTAGTTGTAGTTATACTGATGATCAGCATGTAGCGCAGTAAAATCTTGTAAATTTAACATAGGCAACTGAGAGCATTGACAGACATAGATTGAGGTTTCTGGGAAGAAGGCTTCTCAAACGCTACACGGATCCTTGTTTACTGTAATTGCTTGAAGTCGTCGCATAATAACGTAACATAACCCTATCCACAGTAGAGGAAAAAAAATTGACAAAGCAGAAATTACCACCGAGAGACTGGCCGTATGGATAGCTTAGACGTAATCTCATGTCTACTATGTTTCTCCCAGTTGTAATACTAAGAAGGTTTTGCCATGTACCGCATGCAAGTGCCGCAATATATTCCGTAGTGTATCTAAAATTATATTAACGGACTACTGGAATACTACCTCCTCCGCAAAAAGTCGATCGATGTAATTAGCAGGCTAAATGTTGTACTTAACCGACCTACCCCAGATCCGCTTGAGGCTAGTCATAATTTCGAAACTCTTGACAATATTCCTATTTGTGAGATAAATCTATTATTTTGTACTAATCCGTCGATGAATAGATACGTCAAGAAACCCTGTGGCTGAAAATGATATATAGGGATGGCCAAGCCGCCTAAATCTAAACTCTTGCATCCATCACTACCATCGTATCATCGCGTTTGCCAAGATATTTCACCATGGTGGCATTCTCATCTCTCTTAGTTACCTTAGTCGGCATTGCTAGCTCCTTGGCTGCTCCCGTAGAGGAACGCAATATTGACTTAATTGAGCGTGGGCCTCACAACTTTGTTCTTGGAGCATCCAATCCGGTTCGCCGATCCGCCATAAACTACAACCAGGATTATACTACTGGTGGAGATGTCGTTTACTCTCACTCAAACACAGGATTTGCCGTCAACTGGTCTTATCCTCAGGATTTCGTAGTATGTTTACCCCTGAAGTGGCATTCGCAAGCGGAGATGCTGACATTAAGCTAGGTTGGCGTCGGTTGGAACCCTGGTGGCTCTAGGTGAGCACTGCTACCACCTTCTTTTTGTACATTCCCTTAATTAATCCTCTCTATTATAGTCCCATTAACTTCAGCGGCAACTTTGGTGTCGGCAGCGGCGTTGGCCTGCTTGCTGTCTATGGCTGGAGCACCAACCCCCTTGTTGAGTACTATATCATGGAAAATAACTTTGGATATCCTTCCGCCGGCACGGTGAAAGGCAGCGTCACCAGTGACGGATCAAGTTACACGATTTGGGAGAATACTCGTGTTAATGAACCTTCTATTCAGGGCACAGCGACCTTTAACCAGTATATCTCCGTCCGAAACTCCAAAAGATCCAGTGGCACAGTCACTGTTGCAAACCACTTTAACGCATGGAAATCACTCGGTATGAATCTAGGCACAATGAATTTTCAAGTTATGGCAGTGGAAGGGTGGGGAGGCCAAGGCGGTGTGCAACAAAGCGTATCAAACTAAGGTCAGCAACAAGCCTTGAGACTCAACTGCACTTTAGCGCCCCAGGGATTGGTGTCAGACTCTCGCGAAGATTGAAGATTCCATACAGGGTATACATCTGTCTGTTAACGATATAAGCGCCAATCTCAATTCCGACCCCGCTTGTCTATTTCTAGTCAGGGTATCATTTTAGGTCTCTAACGAGTTTAAAATACAAATTTATTTACACCTGGGATATAGCTATAGTTGCCTTTAGTATGCCTCTACCGTTCAACCAGTTTCCCGTGATGCGAAAGGCGGGGCGATAAATATAATCCACATATCCGCACTGCTATACCAGGTGAAAAGACTTTTGTCTCTGCGGCTAATTTCCTCCATAAAATACCGAATTTTAAATTTTCCCGTGGATTAGAAGTGTAGTTTATAAAAAAGAACTGATAATAAAACTTCGGGTCATATCCTACATTGTTAAACAACCGTATTACTCTCGCTTTGGCGAGCAAGTCATGCTTGATGGAATGAATCAATTTCAGATTTACTCATTAATTGGTCTGTAACATAGCTTATGACAATAAAGTAAAGGTGAAAATACAATACTGTAGCTAAACCCTTGGAGAGGTGCACTGGGAGACCAAGTGTCCTTGGCATCTATAATTCGTTTCCTCTAAAATGGAATTAATTTCCTTGTAACAGTCTTGATGTATTGGACATATTGAGCTCTTTAATAGCTTCTTAGGTCCTACTGCAATTTATCGTTTCCTGAAACATAACATCAAAGGTCAGATTGTCCATACGCTGGAGAACGTACCCAGTTTTAAAGATTTCTCCCACAGATGCTGTAATCCCACTACGGATCATGGATGCATGAAACTCATCCAAGCTCTAGCGGTCTTACTGTAAGTACTGACGTACAGCGAAAGATAGAACCGGCGATTAGTTAAAGATTTTCAAGGGGCTGTGGCTACTACACCTGGAGGCACCCAAAGTAGACATCATTGCCTGCAATATCCTCAGAAATAGCGTTGAAGGCATAGCGCCTCTCTATCGCTACTCTCTCTACTCTCTCTACTCTCTCTACTCTCTCTACTCTCTCTACTCTCTCTACTCTCTCTACTTCTATTGCTATACTGCCACTTCTGCTGGCAGGATATACATAGCGAATGATTGGAACGACTATTAATTTTAGCAGACTAAGTAGAACTAAAGCAGACGTATTTATAAATTACGGTAATACAATATAAAATGAAACAAAATAAAATAAATATTCCGGCAGTGAGTTTGTCTACATTCCCAATCTATTCATGCGACGCCAAATATTCTCAGTTTTGACTCTCTGTGTATGTACCTGGTATTCTAGTCTTCTATCCTAACTCTGCGTTCTAGACATCCCGCTTCTTCCATCAGCATTTCGCATTCGCTGATGGGAAATGAACGGCTATTCTCATATAACTATACCTGTTGGAGAGACGATTTCGAAAAGTTGAAGTGACCGCTCTTGCCCTTTCTGTTCTGGACTGGTACTTATGCTATCCCGGTTCCAACGAAAATACGAATTTCCTGATCCCACCAACTCCCTAAGTACTACTTTGTACACCGCCTTTCCTCTGCCGTGAGAGCACGATAGATTCCATCTTTGACCATGATCTCAACGCGGTCAAGTTCATCACTCGAGTATTGCTATAGGTAGACTCTTCATCAAAACGTTATTGTCATGACAGGTTGAAACCGGATGATTGTGCTCAGGATAATTATGCCCATATGTATACCGATATCCATGTAACCCACCAGCCCCCTCGTATTGCTTTGTATACGGTCATATTTCCTCCACCGTGACAGGGTGATATATTCCGTTGCTGATTATGACCTCAATCTGACCAATTTCACCTCCAAATATTGTTGTAGGTGGACGCTTGTTGATCAAGATGCAGGTGCAGTGACAGTGCGATAAATTTCATGACAGGTTCCATCGTTAGCCATATTGTAGATTCGATGACTTCATCTCTGAATATTGCCGCAGATGGATACTTCGTCAAGAGAGAGCTTGTAAATCTGACATGGCCCCTCTTCCTTCAGCTTTGGCCTCTCGTGACACGACTAACAGACGTAATACTGCCATCGAAAGACAAACCATATAAGCAGTAGCTCTATGGGTCAGGAACAACAGCGAAATAGCAGTGATAATGTAGTGGTGTGGCCAAGATCTTTGAGGGATAGATGACGAAGTTAGTGAGCTTTGGTGCCCACAGTCTGCTTCCTCAATAGTGAAAGTAGAGTAGTATTCTTGGATTAGTCTTGCTGTAGAATGGTGATAATAGCAAGGCGTTTAGTATGCATTATCTAAACCAGCCTTGAATAGTCAAGAGGAATAAATCCGTCAAAGTACCTCGCCTTTATTATTACGTAGCTGAATTCTCACGACGTGCACACTAACCTCCTGAGCAGCATAAAGAGAGAAACACATGGATCTTAAACGTACTATCAAATAGCATCATTATTTCTAAACTTTCCATGTTGGATCCAAGACCATGGTTTCAGTGTTTGTATAGGTAAGCGAATAGCCAATACGTTCTCATGTATAATAGGAGAGGTGGTATTCCAGATTCTCTTTTATATTTCTTTCTTTCCCTTTTCTTCTGTCCCCTCTTTTTTTTCTCTCTTTCCGCTTGCGCTGTCAGTACTCTACATGTGATTTAACCCATTCATCATGTTACAGTACGTGAATGGATGCACAACCGTCACACGCGTACGAAGCTGTGATATAATCCTACCCGGCCATCCCAAATCGCGTTTCTGTATCCGATCCGAGCTATGATCAAAAATATCCGTTCCGTGAACCTTTGCAGTCATTTTCCAAATCCAAATGACCTCGGATGGAAATTCCCACTTCCAACTGCTTTCCCACCGGATAATACTACCTTCTTCGTCGTGTATGTAGGCGAAAATACCACCATACGCTGTTTCTGCATTATAGAGCTCCATAATCTCCAAGCTGGGCATATGCCGCGCGGCGCGGGCGGCTGCTAGCAACAAGGCTGGCACTCGTCCGGTAGAGGACGGCGTGATGAGAGAAGAAGTCAAGACAAGCGAGGTAAGCTTGGTCCATCCGAGCTTTTTATCTGGAGCCCGAGTTATCTGGGGCGCCCAAAAATCTGCGAAAAAATCCGAGGCATCGATGATGAAACAACAAGCCAGCGCTTCTGGTTCTTTTTCTTGGCTGATGTTTGCAACAAGTCGACCCAGGGCATGGCGATCAGTCCCAATTCTTGACCTTCCGTTATTGCTGTATAATGAAATATCGTCTTCAAATAGCTGTAAACGTCTAATCGAAAACGGTATCTGGTTTAAAACTTTTTCCACAGCTTGGATATTTGGGTTTAATCCCAAACCTCCCCAACCATGCCCCTGTAGAAAAGAAGTACTTGATGGCTCGAATGTTAGGAATTCGAGCCTGGGGAGTGCCTTGATCAAACGCCCTATGTATCTTGTGAAAAAGCCGCTATGCATTTGGCGTCGCACAGTTAGGTCTGTGATCAAATGCACCGTTGGGAATGGCATTTCTAGTACGCTTGGAAAGTCCAAAGGGCGGTAGAAGCTTATCGACATCGCTTGCTGGGATTTTGCTTCTTCTGACAGTCCTCGCATGCGGCGGAGAGGAGATTTCTCGTACATGGTATTTAACGCATCGCTATCCTCTGTGACATCAACGTCTTTAAGTTCCTTTGGCACGGTATCTTTCATTGAGTGCCAAGGATCGGCGACCGAGAACGCGCTCAACTCTAAAACAATACCCGGATGGCCCTTATTTCTTTCTCCCCATTCTGATAGAGTCTGAAATAAATGAAAAATTGCGTACGAGAATTTGACATTGTCTAGCTCATCTTGGTAGACAGCTCTCTCGAACCGGAACCATATAAATTGAACGAATGGTCGACGACGATCGGTAACAATTTTTTTAAATTCTTGGATCCGTTTTAACGATAACTTGAGGCGCTTGAAGATGTAAGGCTCAAGGATTCGGTTCCATTCTTTGCAGACAGAGGCGTATGAGGCTGTTTTCCCACCCTGTAACGAGTCTTCTAAAGCCTCTAAGATCATCTCTCTCAACTCTAGAGGCATATCTGCCCAGTTGATCTTTGATGGCTGCGGTACCTGGCTTCGTTTGCGCTTTAGGCCACGAGGTCTTCTATCGGCACTTTTGCGCGTCATTGTCACTTTACTTGGTGGTTGTTCTGATTAGAGGAAGATATCAGACACGATCAATGACTGCTGCTTAGATAGGACACCATAATTCGAGATTTCCTTGATCAAGCCCATTATATATTGGCAACGCAGCGTGAATTTGTTGGGTAATTTCCCATCACTGAATTCACACGTGGCTGAGGGTCTGTTTATTGACCTTGAATACTGAATTCCTATATATGTTGGGAAAATACTTATTAGCATGCAAAGTAGCTTAGATTAGACTTTTGTTGGTGTCGGGTATATTTTACATGTTTATATGGATCAAGGGTTCAACTCTCGTGACTACACATATGGACATCAAGTTAATATATACATGCATGCATGCAGCGCATTTACTGTATTCATGAGGTCTATTCTCTAGGGCTCTGCAAACACTTCTCTTATGAATGAAGAGGTCAAGTTTAATAGCAATTTCCTTACCATAGGTATCACAAACCTGTGGCTTTCCGATCGATTCCGTGGACCTTTGCCATATGTATATTGAATTCCTCTTTTGTGACCCACTCAGAGAACCGTGCTGGAGGCACTTTAATCACGGTGGAGGTCAGATAGGGTTCAACGCACTACTGCGAAGCTGCCCAGTATAGTCACATTTACGACGCCCACGTCATGCATTCAAATAAGTCGACACTTGGTGTGCCAGAGCCAGAAATCCAGGGTTGATAAGAACCAAAAGCATGTTGAAACTTGGTGATGGGGGAATAAGTGTAATGCTTTGATCCCAGCCTCCTCTCCAAAGCTCATTTTCCATCGAGAGATCAACTCGCCAGTAAGGGTGCCATAGAGAGACCTTCCAGATAAGCCTCCGGTCAATTCCAATCACCGGTCGCATAATTTCTAATAGCCTTGGTAGTTGTCCACAGATCAATGGTCACTGTGTAGGGACCAAGGACAACATGTATCAAAGGATCAGCTTCTTGCCATCCGTTTCCAAAATCCCAAGCAGCATAGCGTCCATAGCCCGACTTCTACAAGTAGAAGCCCCCATACAGTATCCTAGAGTAATCTTATTCAGACCAGGACCCCCCATTTTAGCTTTTTGAGCGCGCTTATTGCAAAATATTGAAGCTGGTACCATAAGGTACGTACACTCTATTATACCAGTCGCAAGACACTGTGATTACTTCAAGCCTAAATAGATCATAAGAAGGGTAAAAACCTCAATCGTTGCCTTTCAGTCCAGGAGCCGTCAGATAGAAGTCGAACTCTCAGTTGGTCAAGCCGTGAGGGACGGTATATAATGGTCGTATTAACGAATTGATAATGGAGAAATTGGTTGGATTATGGTAACTAAGTCTAAATATACCTAACTTTCTACTACTTCTACTACGTCTACTACTACTACTGTTATTACCTATACTAGGTATATATAATATAATAAAGCTTTTATATAAATTTAGCATTTTATTTCTATTGGTGTGAGTATATTGGTTATTTGGTCCCCGCTCTTAGGTACATAGGTAGTAGCCACTTCTAAACTCTAGCAGCGCCTGTCAATACCTACATGTACCTACTCAACAACTGCAGTCAATAATTTTACCTAGCCCTAACTATTCATAGACAAATACGAAGTACTATAGTTTTCAGTCGTAGATTACCCTCTCTCACATAAGGCTTATTTTTCTTTTCCCCCACCGGGCCATTTATTTCATATCCTTCTTTCCCTCTCAAATTCCTTGACGTAATGCGATATCGCTCATATTCCTTGCATTGACCCCAGTACGTTTTTTTTCTTAAGACGCCGAAAAGCCGAAAAATGTCCGTGAGCGCGATATCTTGAAACTGCAGAATCAAGGCGTGTGCTGGGGCCCGCCCTGGACCATTAACTCGGCGTCTCTTTAGCCAGCTCAGCTATTCATAAAGTTGTCAGATGTATGGAAGGGGAAAAGGGACAGAGAAGAAGGATTCAGTAGAGGCTGCTTAAACAATCCTCTGATCCGAGAGCTTTCCGCTCGCCCGAGTTCTTTTTAATGAGCATACTAGTGATGCAGTACTAGCAAGCCTACATGGATAGAGGGCATTCAGCCCAGTCTCCCCGTTACAAAATGAACAAAAGAAAACATGCAGCTTCTAAAATATCGAGAAAAAAAAAGCCCCCCCAAGAGTCGCATCATCTCGAAAACTCTATCACGGTAGTGTTCCCTCATGTCCGTTTATCGCTATGTTCCCAGAGATTGTGTCAGAAGTCTTTCTAGCCGTCCCTGTCGCGTGTAATCCCTTCCATGGCTGTTTTGCTATCTGTATCAAATCAAAACGTCTACCCAAAGCCCGTTTCCATCAACTTCATTATTAAGCTTCGTTTCCATTCCACCTAGTAGCTCTTGTAAAATGCAACCCATCCGGGTGGAGGATGCCAATGCGACGGCCCAGTCCCTTGATGATAGAGGATTGTGGCTCAAATACATGGCAAGAAGAGTACTAGCATAGCTCATAAAATGCCAGTGTGATATCAAAAGTACAAAACTAACAAATCCAAACTCCAAGACATCCTTAAAAGAAACAGAGAAAAAGAAAAATGATACTGCGATCTAGCATCTATCATCGCTTGACTGGCGCTGGTGAAAATGGTACAAGGCCTAGGCGGGTATACTTGCTGCGTCCAATATATGAACAAGCATGCTGCCTTGGTGCTCTGCGATAATGTTATAATAGTTCTCAAGGTGTCACTGGTGTCACCTGTGGGTTGCGACAGGCAAACGTGGTGTTACCATATCCAGATCCGACTTTCCGGTCTTATCAATGGAATGCCTCTCCTTTGGCGGAGCACTCTGATACAAATGGTGCAGCTTGATGTAATCGTACACGGATCGAGGGAGGTCCTGTGCGACTTCGCCGTTGCGGATCTGGGCGCGGGCTTTGGTCGAGGAAACGTCGTTCTGGAAGGACGGCACTACCATAATGTTGTCGTTGTATTTCTTGAGCGGCCGGATGGCTTCCTGGATATCGCAAAGAGCAGGTCTCTCGACAATGAAGGCGCCATAGTAGCCCAGGAGCACGTCAATGTCGGCGGGCGCCCACACCTTGGGGTCGCTCATGGTGAGGGCCAGGTCGGCGCCAATAAGCAGCATAACGCGTGCTCTTATATACGTGCCATCAACGGTCTGAATGCCGCCGAGGACATCATTTAGCTGCTCGTCGAGTCTCTTGAGGACATCGGCAGTGCGTGTGTAAACAGGGCGGCCGGCCTCATCCCGGCGCAAAGTCTCCCAGTCGTCGATCATGGCGTTGCTGTTGGTCTGTTCAATAGCAAGTCGGCACCTAGTAATTCACGCGGCAATTCGTTAGCAAGATTTTCACACCAAGTGGGAGCACCGCTTTCGCATTTGTAGATTCTAGACTTACATGTTGATGCGATGGTGGGCGGGGACCAGCGAACTTTTGCCATATGTATCGCTGCACGGGCTCATGTAGCTGCCGACCAGTTCATACCCGGTGTGGTCTACATAGCTCTCGGCAACTGAAAACATGGACATGTGCAGCGAGGTTGGCGGCGAAAAGCTGCCGCACGACACAAGAACCAGCGGCGTCTTGTTCGCACGTGTCAGGCGACATTTCAATTTGTCGTGGGGAAACGAATATCCATGATACGGCTCGGACATGGGCTCGGGAGGAGGCGTCGGCGTGCCGGCCGGAACCGCTGTGCGCGGAACAGACGAGGCGAAACTGTCTGCTGGGATGCCACCCATGGCTGCTGGATTCAAAGAGTGAGGGTTGTTGTTGTGGTTACGGGGGTGGCAGGCGAGAGTGCCGGAGCGAAGAGACGAAGAGGATGAGAGACGACGCTTATTATGTAGCAACTCCATGTACTATTAGCTGCAACTTTCTGCGGTTGTTTCCGTGCCAGGAAGGCTCCGTGATGCCCGGTTATCGGCTGGTCAGATTGCGGGCCGCAGCAGGCTCTTCAGTGTTCTGCAGTCTGCAGTCTCTGCAGGCCGTCAGGTATGTCGACGCAACAGAGTATTAATATATGCCGGCGCTGATGATCACGAGGGGTGTTTGCAATGTGTGGAGTGGGAACCCGTGCAGATGGGAGAGGGGCAGGAACTTTGGAAATCTAGATTTGCTCCTCCGTGCTCGGGCGTTGCCAGAACGGCTACTTGTTGCCAAGAGGGCCGGTACTCGCCCGTGGCTGCAACTTCTGCAGACTCAGACTTGTACTGTTTGCAATTGCGGGCTGTAACTAGCACGAAACCCAAGGCGGCGTTTATTGGCTGGCTGCGAGTTAGAGTCATCGCCTAGGACGCATGGAGCCAGCCACAAGAGACAAGAGAGACACAGCCCTAGGTCCGAGGTGGGCCGCCTGTCCCCTCGGAAGCGCATTTCTGCCTGTTTTTGGTGCGAGGGAGGATCGGTAATCAATCTTCACCACGTTGGCTCCTGCTCGCCAATTTGGCTTTTCTGGTCTTAGCTGGCTGTCTGTGTCCCATCATGGCTACGCCGGATTGTGCCATTGCCCGTCGTGGCCGGGCAGATATTATAGACGCCGCTAATGCTCGGTATTACTGGATTTGAATTCCCGCGTTTCCCCGTGAGACAGGATGTAATTCCAGAGCCGTTACGTAGTTCATATCATATTACGAAAGCATGTACGGAGTGCAGTTTGAAACATCAAGTTCTTCTGACTCGGCAGGCAGTACAGGCGAGCACGCAACTCCAATCCAGGCTGTGATGCCAAGCGAGTGAATCAATCTGCATCTGCATGGCACTCTGCCGTCAGCATGCAAATCTCGCCCGAGCTGCGGATATGTGCGTGCTCTGTCTAGCCTTACCCGCCCGGTCCCACAGCCAGGCTGCCTCCCACCAGTGCTCCATACTGGTAGTTTTTCAAGTGTTTGCATATGTGTGTACGTACAACATGTACAACATGTAGACAGACGCATGTGCTTCGCTACTCTCTGCAGGATACTTCAATTGCCGACAAAACTTGCTTACGTTTTGCGCATCAGTGAGACTCGTGGCGTACTCCGCCTCCACATATTGTGAGACTGGCCAACTTAACTCACTCAATGCTAAACCCTAAGTTGAGTGGAGGCGAAGTCCTGCTCCTGCCGCCCTGGCAGCAGCAGCATCAAAATGCCATATTACGCAGCATGGAAAATCTGAGCTCAAAGCGCATGGTTGAATTGTACAAGGGTTGTATATTGAGAGCTTCGCCACAAAGGAGTAGCACAACACCGTTTTCATGGCACTGAGAGCGTGGATATGCGTGCGTCGACTTTCAACTTTCGCAGCGCCCAGCCAAGGATCATAGCTTAGTTATAGCCATCGACTTGCTTCAACCGTACTTTGGTTTGTCTTGTAGTTTTCGCAGTATCTTGCTTCATCTTATATTATAATTAACAGAAGACCAAGAACTCGTATATTGTGCAATTAGGTCCCAGTTGTGTTCAAGGAGCTGCTGTTCGCTACCATCGTCAGCCAGCTCTTCTCTATCTGCTGTAAGCAGTTGCAAATACACATTTTGGACAAAATCTCCACGCACAAGCGATATTCATATGCAGGCCATTCGTACCATATAATGAATGATTTTCGACTTTATTTGCGACCGGACAATTGTCGTAGTGGCTGCACTTGTCACTGAAGTGAAGCTGGCGATGTTTGACTTCATAGCAGTTGAGCCTGGTGGAATTCTCAAAAAATCTGCATCCTAAACAAAAGAAGAAGAAAGTTGTGTGGCCTACTATGCCACTGTTTTGAAAGATTGGTTGTATTTCTTGCAGACAAGCTTATATAGTGATCGACAATGACAAGGCAAGTCCCATTAGTGAATTTGTCAAAAGGGTCTCGTCCAACGAATGCGCCTTCGCTTCGAATTTGCTGCATACACGTGTACTAGATACTTGACGTTCACATGTAAACATCTCATTCAGCGTGGAATGAAGCATTCATCAAAGGTGATAATTAAAGTTCCAAGACCCCAGGCAATATACCAGGCCCGATGAGACGTGGGGGCGGCGGCTTAACCTTGGAGATCAGCATTCACCTCCAAGCGATATGAGGCATTCTTCCAGAAGCGATGAATACCCTTATACAAATTTAAATGAGATGCAAAAACATGAAACCCAGTCACTTCTTAACGACCTCTTCTAGAACTGGGTAAATTGCCGCACGGCAGAGCACCCCAGCGCAGACAAAACGACGAACCAGGTCTACGTCTGAGACTCTGCTATATTTACGAGCTCCTAAATTGCTTTACCGTTAGAGCTGTCACAATTTAATATCTCACTCCGCCGTACGACGTTACACTACGGCTGAGTGTCTTGAACATTTTCCCGAAAATTGCGTAACCTTGTCCGTTTCACCTATGAGACGCGGTGACGGTTTGTACAATTTACCGAACGTCACATGTCGAGTATTTGATAATGTTCTTCTGGAATACTACTTATCGCAATAGAGTCTCAAACTGTTCCGTGGTGTCATTGGGTGTACTAGCTTTATTTGACAATTTTACCGAGAGTATCAACAGACTACGCGATCGCCTTGTCTGTCTTATGGGAAAAGTTCAGAGATTGGCTGTTTTAATGGCTTTGGCCTAGCTTAGAATACGAGTTGCTTAACCCTATTACGAGTTCTTAGGCTTCAACCTCTCGCGCTCGGAACGGAGTAATAGTTATATGCCCGCATACACTGAGTTACTTGCAGCAGAACCACAATTACCTGGTGTACAATATAGAGAAGAGAGTACTCTAAACATGCGTTAACTCAACGAGATCACACGCTACATTAACAGTAGACAGCACAGACTTTATATTTTGCCTAGAAGCAATAGGGTTCTTTGGAATCAGTGGCTTTGTTATTTACTCGACACCGGTAGATGAGAAATTTAGGGAATCACTTATATACAACGTACACAGTTACAAATGAACAAACTGTAGAGATAATCTATATAGTGAGTATACGTTAAACTTATCTTCTTTATATAATCACTCGTAACAAGTATCGATGCTAATGCCACGACCACATCGCTTAACATGGCATCTCAAAAGGCCCAAAAGAGAAAGGGCTATTCAGCTAATACTCTATTCTCTCTCTTCTCCGCGTATGCTGTGCCTCCTTTATTTTGGCATTGGTCATTCTTCTTTTTCTTACGAAGCAAAATAATTACAAAGCCTTTGTAGTAGCTAGTTTTCATGACGCCCTTGGCATCAACTCTTTGTGTTGTCGTTGATCTAAACGTAGCAATATAACATTCTCGTACATTGTAATTCATCAATAAATGATGTAAGTCTTTGCCTTCATACACGGATAATGTGCTCATAGGTCTCTCGAGCTATCGTATTACGGCAAACATCTACATAATGACTTTTAGTTCGGCTGAGTCAAAAATGTGTCGCGGAAGTGGCAAGAAATCACATCACTCTCGTATGATTCCGCTAAGTTACATCTATATTAGGCCAAGCCCTTTCAATCAAGTCCATATTAGGCGAATTCAAGATATGTAATACTGCGAGGATAAGTATAATGCCGTTGTCTTCATAAGATTTGTCATGAATCAATATTCTCGGTTTGTATTTTGTATGCCAACATTTTCTTAATACGAGCTGACCGCAATCAAGCATGAGTCAAGGGAAAGCTTAATAGCGGTGAAGCCTAGCTCCCCTCTTAATTTCCATTCTCATGAGATCTTCTAAATGCCGAGATCATCTTAAAGATGTCCTAGATATTATAATTCTTTTATAATATTGTTCAAATGCTTAGAAAGCAATCTCTAACATGGCTTATGAAGCGATGATTCATTGTGTTGTATATAAAAGTACTGAATCAAAGTTAAAGATTGAAGCTGCCTGTATTTCCTCTACGATAGCAAGCTGAAAAGCTTCCTATGTCCACAGAAGGGGTGGCCAATATGGCGAAGAATGCGCAATGCAGTCAGTTGAGAATACAAAGTGCAGAAACATGTTCACACTAGTCTCTCTCATAACGAGCATTCACTTCGAATACTCACATGTATTGTCGACTTTCAATACCGCGGATAAAGGCATGTGATGGCTGCTTCATCTTCTTGAAAAGGGGGGATCTGCATTCGTGTCAGGGACAAACTCATTTGGGCTGGAATATCATCCATCGCTCTCAAGTTGGATTTACGCCAATATTCTGTTGATATTAAGTCATTTGTGACCGTTAAATCCAAAATCTATTTTTATTTGCCGATATGCCACCTCAGAGAAATCAATTCTCTCGATATCGTAAAAAGTAAACTAAAGCCTCCTAAACTCCGGATTTTTAAGCCTTGAGGCTCTGGCAATCCTATAAGACTATTTATTAAAATACTGATTTAAATGGACAATTAGTGTTGGTGTGAGAAACAAAAAATCGGAGCGAGACCAGCACGTTTTCATCCCGACCCTCATGACTTCGCAGCAAAAGATTGTTAGTGATATCTATCACTTCCATAGTTTACTCCTTGTCCGTCGCTGCTTGTGACGACGACTTGGTAGTGGTCATCCATTCCGCCGCGGTCAGAAACACTATCCTGCTCGATCTTGCGAGTAACGTGAATGATGTGGCGGCTCGATTCGTTATCATCACTACCTTCCCGGTCTTGGAAATGGTAGTCTTTATCATAGTTTTTTGACTCTCCAGCGTTTGTTAGCTTCATATGGGTGCGTCGTCCAGAAGAGCCAATGGTCTTAAGATTGATGTCGCGGGATTGACCAGGTGTTGCACCATCCGTAGCAGCAAGCCCGGGTGCAACAACTCGCAAGAGAGTGCGCAGCATGGGCATCGAACCAGCGATGATACCCAGGTCGCACTCGAGCACGGTCAACAAGACAATCTTGCCAATCTCGACTGAAATTTTGTTCGTTAGCAACTTCACGTCAAATGGCCACAAAAGCGGGCATTGTACTTACAGTATCTGTTGTGAGGCGTAGTGTAGGCCCAAGTATAAGTAATGCGAATGGTGGTTGCTACAGATGCGAGAACACCCAGAGACAGAATACCGATAGTGACCATCTTCAATCTCGGAGGGATCTGGACGTGGCGAAGCAAGAAGGCGGGCACGAGCGAAGTAGAGATATCGGTAAAGATGTTGGCGGCGGAAACAAAGTATGACACGTTCAAGATGACTGTCTGGCCAGAGGTGCAGTCTCCCGGTTCACCCCATGCTGCTGCGACCGGCTTGCACTGGAAGATCGCCACTGGCCATGAGATCTGCCATGTAATCCAGGCAAAGGCAAACAGAACCCACAAGATGCGCGTATAGTTCTTGTTCAAACCTTTAGCTAGTCGGAGAAGCGTCCAGATGATACTGGACTTGATCAGAGCACCATCCAGGACATATAAGAATTGCCAGATAATTGTCCACAGTCCCATGTGGAACTGCATGCCGACCGTGATGATATCGTCATGCGATCCGATGCCACTATATGAGAGAACAATGACTGCAGCATTATGTCCAAGGTTGACAAGCTAGAAATGGTAGGTCAGTAGTCAGACAGAGTGCAGATCGGGGCCATTGACGTTGAGGATGATGCATTACTTACCCATCCGGCAAGCATCAACCAGTCTTCAATGGAGAACAGGTTTAGCGAAATGCGAGCATAGAAGCGTAGGCCCACTACAATTGTAGATAAAACAGTAAAAACGATGGTCGTCACCATCAAGCCGAGCGCCAGGCCCTCAGGCTGGATGGGTTCGTATACGGTAGTCGTCAGATCTTTCGCCATGGCTGTAGCATCACAGTTGGAACCTTAATGTTTACCTAACAATTCAAGTTCGCTTTCTCTTGCCAAGGAGAAAAAAAAATTGGAGGACACGAAGCCGTCTCTATATGAAGACTTAACTAAGGGGTTTCACCCCGTGGAACCACTCAGCTTTCGTTCCTGGAACTTTGGTTCTCCGAGCAGGGGAGGCAATTTCAAAAGCGAGACGAGTGATGATCCCATTACAGAAAAAGCTGCAGGCCAGCATCCGACAAAACATTGGTCATGTTGAACCCTGTCAGCCTGTATCTTATGGGGTGAGGGCACGGGATGTTATGTCTGGGGGTATGGTCTGTGGGCGTACGGAACGTTTTCCCCGCTGAGCCTTTTTTTCCCAAGAGAAACTTTTACTATGTACATTTCAAAACAATGAGAAAGGCCATTAGGTAACCCAAGAGCACTTTTCTTTCTACATACGAAGGATAAAGGGCAGTAAGGCGCAAAGGTAAGGCATCAGCAAATGCTAGTTTAGAGCTGTTGCCTTTGCCGAAGTGCCCCTTTATTACTGGACCAAGCATGTACCTCTCCATAATATCTCTGCAGCTAAACAGTCCCAGATGTAACGCTGCGTTATGCTTCTTGCTAGCAATACAAACTATTCAAAATACAGAGTAGCTCTGCGGAGCTGTTCAATTCATCTAATAGGGGTAACAGCAGCGAAGGCGTACATCCATGACCCGGAAGGATTCCGGTTGACGAACTTGCCAACTTTATACAGGTGCCTGTCTGTACGAGCAGTACCAGTAGTCTGAGTACCAATGCGGAGCGAGCTCGCCTACACTGTACCTCGTTCCCAGGTCCCAATACGAAAAGAAGTGGCAAGAGAACGTTCCATAAACCGAAAGACAAGTAGCGAGAATATTACAAGTCACTGCCGCGTCGAGGCATAATGTGGATACCGCGGCCCGGAATGACCTACCACTAGCTACTAGTAGTGGCACGGATAGATGGAGATTCAACGGTGTAAAGGACTATCTGCGGAATTACTGATATACCCCCTTCTCGTCCATCTAGGCAGTTGAGCTTACTAACGACGGAAACGAACTAGCCAGATGCAAGAAAAGCTCACTTAGTAAGGATCGACGTTATTATTGTCATGCAACATCCCAGTACCCGTTTCAAAAAAAAAAAAACTCGGCTAACGGCCTGGCAAAGCCGCAACTAGAAGCGGTAACAGATCTGCGCCCGTGCCGTTGAATAATTGTGGAACTCGCTCTCTCTAGTCGGTTAAAGTCGAAAATATAACAAGCATTCACTGGCTGGGAACTAGCCGTAGCATGTGCGTTGAAAATCGGTTCAGGCGACTTTTACTGCGTTGTTTATTTGGCTATGGATATAGGTAAACTACTAGTATTTATGTAGTTTCGTTTTAATACTAGTACAAAATGGTACTACTCATGATAACATTATAACACCACCGCGATGGAGTTCGGTTAATGGTTTCTTGCTCCCCCTGCGTCTCAGTCTCAGGCAGCAGCAGCCGGCTTAGGCGCGTCCAGGATGACATCGATGACCTTGTGGTCGTTGTAAGCAGCCACGGTACGCTCACATAGGGAGGCAATACGCTCTCTGCTCTGCAGAGCCTCAGGGCAGATGATCCAGATCACGTTGGTCATGAACGAGCGTCGGTACTCAATCATAACCTCTGGGTCGTTGTGGCGGTCGAACTTGGGTCCACCGAGGCGGTGCAGCGTCTCGAGGTAGTGGTCCAGGATCTTCATCTCATGGGCCCGGCGGTCCTCGACAGTCAGCATCGCCGTCATGTGGTAGACGACATCGTGGAAGCAGGAACCGAAGTGGAAGGCAGACCAGTCCAGGAACCCGATGCGGCCGTCGGATGTCAGGTACACGTTCCCCATGTGAGTGTCTCCATGTAGCAGAGTTCGGAACCGCGGGTTACGCTCTGCGTAGTAGCGATCCAGGGCCTCATTGCACCGCTTGCCATCCATGAGGTACTCGGGCAATTGGGGCCGGCCTGGGCTTCGCACCACATCATCCCACGGCGTGCACATGAACTTCATTGCCGGGTCGTAGTTGTTCCAGATCCCTGTCACTTTGTAAGACACCAACTACCGGGAAAGACCGGGGGGAGGAAAGGATAGGGGGCAGGGGGGGGAGAATCTTCACTTACAAGGGTGGTCGTCTTGACTCTGGCCCCAGTACTTTGCGTGCAGGCCAGCCAGCTGCTGAACACCGTTCATAACCTGGTCGACCGAGTATGAGGCGACTTCGGGGGGGAACGTAACGCCATCCTTAGTCAGGTCGTCCATGATGGCGATACCCTGCTTCTCGCTCTGGCCGCTCCACCAGCCCTTGGGGAAGAGCATGTTCTCCAGCCCAGGGGCGATCTTTGAGAAGAAGTCCGACTCTCGCTGTGCCAGACTGACTGTCCACGGCTGGTCCTCAATCATCTTGGGGTCGAAGACGCCCTTGATGCAGACGTGAGTTGGTCTCGGCTCGCTGCTCTCATCCTCATACGTGATAGTGTAGAACAGCTTGCTGCCAGTTCCCCAGATGTTGTGAGTGTTCTCAATGGACTTGATCTTCTGTCCGAGCTTGGCGCCAAGCCATTCGGCAGTAATCTCTGAGGGGACAGCTGGCAGCTGCTCGCTTGTGTTGTCGCCAGACATTTTTGCGCCTTTGTTTTGCGTTGCGGCCGTTTGCTTGGTTTGAAGAGGAAGTTGCGTGAGGGGAGAGGCAGTGTAGAGTGATACCGGATTCAGTCGTACAAGTAGAGATGAGTTCGAAGCCCCCCCATCTTATATTAACGATATGTCTCTTATTTACCCCCTAATACTCACCGATTCTCTAGCTCCATCCTGTTTCAAGGCTTCTAGGAGACTCAGGAGTTCAGAAATTGTGATAGGACACCTATCACAAAAGCAATCTTCTTACCTATGTGGACGGGACTGCATGATTTAGTTCGACTAAATAGCCATGGATGCAACTGGATGCAACCGTCTATCCAGATACCTGGATAGAAAGTGGGCTCCAGGGTCTCCCGCATTGTGTCAAGTTAACAGCACGAAGATAAGTCCAGAAATTAGCCGCGTCAGACACAAAACGGCGGTGTAAAGATTTACACAACTCCCAAGATTCTACAGCACAATTGCTGTTAGGCACTCATCGCGTCTCTGATGCTGGCTCAACAGGCTAGCATTCGCGGCTGCCTGTACGGGGTGCAGCATAAGCCCCGGCGCTGTCGAACCGTACCCCCTAATCTCTTGAAGAGTTCTGCAAGTCATCAGAGTGCCAATTGGAAGCTTTGCCGGCCCCTGGGATACATGTCAAGTCCTTGGTGTGGTGGCCGATGCCCGGCTCTATCGGCTCTAGACCCGACGGCGGACAAATACGGAGCAGACTGGCCCGATCTTCATGGTACAAGCACTATTTGTACTTGTGGCTCTCATTGTGACCTGTTATTTCGGCTTTGCCAACTGGCTCATAAAACAGTGGAACCTTGGGTACTTGGACAGCTTGTATTAGCCGCAGCGTAGCCGCGATTTACGTCTCGTCCATACCGGCCCAACGGTCCTAGCGCTAATACGCAACACACCCACCCCCACAAGCCCACAAGTGTCAGAAACGTTTAAGTGAGGAACAAGCTGCCACCTCTGGTATGATGCTACATCGAATACCCTGGATCTTACCGGATCTAATGTGAGATGCGAAGTCCCAGAACTTGGGTACGGAGTACTTTTGTGGACTTTTTGTTCTCTTGGTGAAATTGCTACTCGCACTACAAAGTAGTAGCGTCAAGTGATCCTTGTGAAATTCAGAGTCGGCCTTCCGTATGATGGGTAGGATGTGCTATCTTGTTCCAGGGAGCTGCCAGTGCCAAGCCCGTAAGGATATTTTGGTACCTCTCACATTTACAAGGCCAAATCCACAGAGTGTATCATCTTATAAGGTTAATTACCTAGATCCATCTATAGGTTTTTTTACATATCGTTTTAGCAAACAAGCTAGGGGATAGATGGAACGATCTTCACGCTTCACTACCGTAGCCGCGGCGCCGGCGCCGGAACCCCCCCCCCCCCCCCCCTTCTGCTCCTCGTCTTTTCCTCCCCTTATCCATATTTTATAGAAGGTGACGATTATAAAAAGCCAAGTTCAACCGGTTGCTCTTGTCTTTCATTCCTCATTCTATCATTCCATTTTCAAAAGACTTCAAATAGACTACAACGAAAAAAAATCACCACACTCAGAAGTCACATTCACGAGCCATTCAGCAAAGGATTTATACGCTTTTTTTCCCCCTGAGCACAATCATCACAACTTCAACCCATAAATACTTATTTTAGACTGTTCTATACCAGTACCTCCTATCCATCCAACTCCATACCGGTTTACCAATATCTACAGTCCATATGATGGCCATCCCGGAGGTATGCTTCACTCCCATGACATAAGTGGCCCTTTCATTAACAAGAATAGACTTCCCTCGCCACCATCCGTGAAGTTCTTTCACATTTCGTTTCTGAAGTTACAGGCGGCTACAAGATTGATGAAAAGGCTCTTACCTTGACACCTATCGCCAAGCTTCGAGCAGCAGTTGTCTCAGAGTTACAGCAGTCCAGCCTCAAAGATCACTTGGACTATCTGAACTCAAAGGATCAGTTCACCATGGCGTGTTATGTAGCAGCTGACTTTACATCATCCCACCCTCTCGAGTACCAAGTCATGGTTGCTCAGCTTACTATCTTCTTCTTCCACGCCGAAGATATCCTTGAAGAGAAGCCTGATGTCCTTCGCCAACTACAGCTCAACGTAGCCACTGGTCAGCCATGCGGTGATCCAGTCCTTGACTGGTACGCCCGTGAGCTCACACCCCGTCTATGGAAGCACTTTGACCCCCTTGTTGCCAATATGATTGCCATTGCCTGCTATGACTTCATCAACGGCATTGGAATCGAGTCCTTGACCAAGGATGTTGAAATCCAGCCCCAGGCAGTGGCCTTCCCTGATTGGCTACGCTTCAAAACGGGGCTTTCCCCAATGTATGCGTTGTTGGCTCTAGCACGACCCTCAGATCCGAGATTGCCTACTGGTGGACTAGACAAGTACGTCCAGGTCATCCCTGATGTTATCGTCTTTACCAACATTGTCAACGATGTTATCTCCTTCTATAAAGAGCTCCTGGCTGGCGAGAAGGGCAACTACATTGATATGCGCGCTCAGAGAGAAAATATCACTGTCCTGGAAGCCCTGAGCACCCTTGCTGAAGAGGGCATCCGAGTCCGTGAGCGTGTGCTTGCTGTACTTGAGGATGAGCCAGAATACCGTGCCAACTTCGACACATATGCCAAGGGCATCACCCACTTCCACACCTCATCTCCGCGTTATCGCCTGATGGGATTGTTTGATAAGCACTAAAAGAAGTTGATGCTAGACGATGAGGCTTCAGGGCAAGGCATAGAGAGGGACAGAGTGCGGTGAAAAGTTGTTTTATCAAAATAGATCGAATGTACTATAGACTGATTTTAGATTTAAGCTCCATGATAAACTCATTATTTCCATCTGCTTGCATCTGCTTGAACATGAACCAAGTTATACCGTTGTGGATCCTACAGATCGTATAATTCCCAAGCGCATTGGCCATGAATGACATTCTCATGCGCTTTGGCCAGTGGGAGAAGACTCCCAAGCGCATTGGCCAGTGAATGCTGGCAATACCGTTGAGATCTTGGGGAAACAGAGGGGCGGTCTGCAGAAGAGGGACAACCAACACGCATTAACATGCTAGGGGCTCGCGGCAAATTTTATTGAACCCTTTTTGTGTTGGCTGCAGCCAAGCCCACTCGTTCGATACAACTGCATTAGGCAAATGACAAACTCCAATTGCGCTCAGCTTCCTTGTTATTCAAAGTCGGAAGTTCTCTTCCGTACAGTGTGCGGCATGAACACTCCGAGCTCATGATACCGCAACTCGTGAGCCATGCTCCTTGTGCCATCAAACTCATAATTCTAAATCCTAGCTGTTTCACAATATGACTATTCGGATGAATTATCTTCGCCGTGTGTGTGTTCCTTCTCGAGCAGACGTCTACATGTAGTTATGATTCCAAGCGGCAACAAAAGGCGGATATGCCGCAAAGACGCTAAAATAACTTCTAATACGGCATGACCGTTGAGAGGGCGTATATCCAGCATTCAATTGTATCCACATGCCTGTATTGAACAGTTTTGTCGCGCAACTTGGATACTATTGGGCGTCGAACGATGTGACATTGAGAGTGGTTCGACGTCCCTATGAAGTTTTTTGAGCCAAGGAGTCTTATTATCACAATCTAGTCCGCTTACGGAAGACAGCGTGAGAACTAACAGCAGCCCTTGTAGAGACGCGGGTACGAGATTGCGGCTAATAAGTATAGACGGGGTAAAGAGAAGGCCCGATACACAAGTGTGCAAGGGAGTAAAATCCTGTACAAGTGCAAGGTTTGCTGTATAAATATGTTAAATATAAATAGTTGTGCTGGCTTCATTGCATAATTGCGCAGTGTAGCATTGCTCTACTGCTTCCTGGCGAGCTGTCATTTATCTGATCCACTAGGGGTTTCTTTTTTTCGCTTCCTTCGTTCTATTTTCCTTCTTTTGGAAATGATGTTACACTTTTGTAAATGTGAATGTAACGCTGCTAGGTAGGCCCCAGTAAACCTAAGGCCTCGGTAATAAACGGAGCCTTTTGAGAAAGATATCGTGATTTCTTCGTGGCTATGTCTTCTATTGTGGGCCAAAATTTTAGCAAGTTGTTGGATTTTCTCTAGTCTATAACGGCCCGGCCTAGCCAGTTAGTTTACGCGGGAGCGACGGAACGAAGCTAGTGTGTCAGAGTCAGGCCACAGAAGGAATACGGCAATACGGACGGTATCACGACGAGAAGATCTACATTCTGGAATCTCCCCCCATGTATATTCCTCTTTTAAACTCTAGGCATGGGCAGCAAAGACACCAAGGATATTGGTGGCGTAGATGTGTAAAATGATCTGTAAATACAGAGTACAAAGTTGTTATAGCCTCTGTGTAATGGGGGATCTTTTGCCTTGACTGGGGGTGAATGAAGTAAACTCCACCTCAGAGTCAAGCCTCGTCAGTGCGAGATTTCCGCTAACTCTCGGTGTTCTTCGCACCGAAAACTCTGTTTCACTTAATTGCTAATAATTGAGGAGGTTGAAAACGATTTCTCCTCCATTTGATTTCATAGAGATCCATTATGCCCCATTTAATATGCTGATCTGTCCCCAGATGTTGAGTGCACAGCTGAATTCTGAACAGCCCCTTTAATAGCATTCCTGTCAAATCACATGCGGGACATGATTCCCCAATGATTTTTCCTCAGTCTTCTATCTAATATATGCCTCGGTTTAATAATATCAGATATTTGATAACATGCAACATACATTTCTGGCGCAAAACATACGGTAAAAGAGTAGATTGTCTCGGAGCTCGTCTAATATAAAAGCAGCAACTACCACTAGACTGAAACTTTCCACCACGTATACCTATCAGCATTTTTTAATCCGAATGCGAGCCAATCTTGCATTCAGAGAGTCCCCTGTCCCCTGTAGGTTTGAATGACCATTGTTCATTCATCGTTAAACAGATTTACAGTCTAGGGTACAAGTTCGTCTTATCACCAACGGCGGGATAGTTTGTACAAATCAGTTCAATTGACTAATAAAGGTTGATACAGAGGTAGGAAAAGTATCTAAGGTAAATATACCGACTTTAAATGACCGTGTTCATACTTTCATCTCGATCGTCGTAGCCATGGTTGAAGGAGTAGCGCCGAATGTTATTCTTCATGATCTACTCCTGATGGCATTCCCCCCTACCGACACACGTCCCGCATAAGTCTTGTCATTAGTTCCTGTTCTGAATGTATCTGGTATGAAGTTGATTTTTCATCCATCCTACTGCGCTGGCTGTTCCCGAGCTTAAAACTGTGTTTTCACCTTGTCGATTGTAACACGGTTGCGGTTAAGGTAAATAAACTTAGCCAGCTGCTCTAGAATAATTTCGAGGGAGTTACTCATCTACTAATTTCGTAATGGTTTATTGAGCAGGTCTACTTAATCAATAGGCTAATCTATCCGCGTGCTTCCATAGCCGTCATCGGGGAGCGTTTCTCATGTTGGTATACTTTTTCTAATAAAGATGAAGTGAGAAAGTCTCTCCCGCTCTCTGTTTCAAAGATCACACAGTCTCTAGTTTTTTTTAAAGGGACTAGGTCAAGTCATGATGGAGCTAGATCTGGATACTCTATCTCTATCGACTGATTGGTAAATATAGCCTCAGAGCTTGAGAAATCTCAAACCGTAAAGAAAAACGTATTCTATCTGTCTCACTGGGATATTATAAATCATATGAGCAAAGGGAATCTAATTGCTAACTTGACAACAAGTCAACTGGGATATTTCATCATAAACGAAATATAATTTAGCAAGTAAAAGGTATTTTATCTTCGTGGCCAATATTTAGGACACTTTCGCGGCAGAATGAACGGTTCACTGTACCAAAGGCCGGTAAAGGTCGGAATTCAATTGAATTCAATTCAATCGACTTTGCAGGTGTTGTGGTTATCATCAAATGTTGTGACACTTATACCTATAGCGGGCTGCAGCTTGTCCTTTACAAATTGCGGCCCACGATGTATTCCGCTATAAAACAATTGGTGCTACAATGGACCGCGAAATATGTTTTGATCAGTTAAGAGCATTGTAAATGGTCATATCTACATGATTAAATAACTGCATTGTTGCCTGATTGCATAGTGAGGCAGGGCTGGTAGAACCGATGGATGTACGATAACATGTCTCCAAATCACTTCTCGCTCTGGAGTTGGAATCGAGATACCGCTTCTTAGCCTTCTACGCAATTTCCAATCTCAGATATTAAAGTTCAGCAGTAGATGTAACTCGACAAAATTGACTCCCATATCTAGAACTGGGTTATAACAGCTTAAAGATCGCTACCCATCTAGGTTATTAGCTTCAGTATCTGCAAATGTTCGCAAACAAACTTCTTTCTAGCAACAAAAGGTAATCAAGAGGCGTTTACTGTATCGCATTTTTAGGAATGATATGTTGCCGCATTATATAGAACCTTTATTATCCTAGCGGTGATTGTGGACTTCCATTTTGGCAGAGTCATTTCGACGCTTGCCAGCCAACAATGCTGCCGAAGTCTCCATAACTTACAGCTGTCGATAACCCTCTCTAGCAGATATTATGCGCAAGCTTCATTGGCGACGTATGGACAGAAACTGAAACAAATTATGATTCAAGTAGGTATGAGTGAACGATCTGACCGGTGAAAGACTTGCGCATTGGTGTATGGCATTGGTACATGAGCAGTGGATGCACCCTCGGAGACTCGATCAAAGGAGCAATGTTGTTCATTTTTAATAACTAGGCTGTTTGACTGCTTATCGTCAATGTTATTATAAACTAGGCCGAGAGCATTGTTACTGCTGGCTTGCGCGAGACTGCCAAGGAAACCGCTCGTTTCCAGTGTAAGGTACGAATTGTTCGGATAGATCAGGAAGCTCCATATAGAGTGGTGGCTATGGAGAAACACATGTTATTTATGAGTAACCAGATTGCTTGGTTATGCGATTTATACTTGGAATATCTTCGAGTGTCTGGCGCGGCTTACAGTAGAGCAGAGAGTGGGAAGCGGCGCGATGACATTGAGCAACCTATACAGATGCGCTAGAACACGTTTATCTTGATAGAGGCCACAGACTATGGCATTTATGGGCTAGAAAATAACAAAGAGGTTCTCAACTCTTGGCGGCGATCTATCGAGATTTGTTTTAGCAGTACCACCTCGCAGACGACTTTAATCCCACCTTGTGACCGCCCATGTCTCAGGTACAGTGTGTCTGCGGTAACAATGAGCGACTACGCAGGTAGTTTGACACCATCTCTTGGCACGCCCCGTCTGATGATTCTATTGGCAGGGAGTTATAATTCCAGAAGCCTTGCGTCATAGGCGCTGTAGTTTTTCTATTTAGAGACGATGGCAGATGGAGTGTATAAGAGGTGTAAGCTGAGGTCATGGGATTCCACGCCGGGGCTCTTGCCAGCAGTCCTTCAACATGTATATTTGAATTCATCTACATCATTCTTATTCCTTCGTCCTTGTCCTTCTTTATGAATCCAGTCCAAGATCCGCAGCAGCCGGTTCCAAGCCCTATTCATGCTTCCATCAGTCAGTTTAATTATAGGCCCCAGCGCCCACTAAATCGTGCTTCCAGCAGGCACCGACCCGCCTGTGCTCCGCCGGCGCGGATTTCGATAGGCCCAAAGCCCGCCTCGGCTTAGCCTAGTCGGGAATGACTTCCAACATCTACAGGCGGCACTAAACCTCTTGCGGGCCGCAATTGCGTAGCTCTCGGGTCCTCAGGGTCAAACTCCGGTTGCAATAGCATTTGGGAAACACCAAAGCCCCTGAATCTGGTCCTGGCAGACACGATATTTCCCAGCTCCCAGACTCGTTGTGCGTCGATACTCAGCACGGGCTGCTCACGCAGAGGCGGACATTGCACTTCTCCTTCGTTTTCTGCCTTTTCCTTGCTAGTTCTGGGCCTCCCCGTGCGAAAATGGTGACCGGGCGAGACGCCGCCACGCTGTTATAATGACCATGGCCAAAGAGAACTACGGCGAGACCAACTTCGGCGATGACGACCGAGGCCTGCTGGCCGGCGAACCAGAGAGAGGCGACCTCTCCATCATCACGAGCGTGCTCAAGGCACCACGACCCGACTTTGAGATCGAATCCAAGACGCCGCGAACGCCCGGCCGCGTGCAGTTCGACCTGACGCCGCGCATCCTCAACTTCAGCGACGGACCCCTCCACGGACGGCCGTCGACGTCGTCGCTCTCGTCTGACGATAGACTCGACTTTGACGATGGCGCCACTTCCATAAACGACTCGCACCGCGTACCGCTGCTCACCGAGATCGAGGCGCCCAGCATCACGGTCGCTCGAGAATGGGATGACGCGGGCGAAGAAGACGAAGAGAGCGCCGCGACGGCAGAGCTGCGGCGGCCCAAGTCCGGGCTCAAATCGGCCTTTATGAACATGGCCAATTCCATCATCGGCGCCGGCATCATCGGCCAGCCATATGCAATGCGGCAAGCGGGCCTGCTGGCGGGCACGGTGCTGCTCGTTGCGCTGACCGCGGTGGTGGACTGGACCATCTGTCTGATTGTCATCAACAGCAAGCTCAGCGGAACGAGCAGCTTCCAGGGCACGGTCGAGCATTGCTTTGGGCGCCCCGGGCTGATTGCGATAAGCATTGCGCAGTGGTTGTTTGCCTTTGGCGGCATGGTGGCGTTTGGAGTCATTGTGGGCGATACAATCCCGCATGTCTTGACAGCTATATGGACGGACCTGGGGAGTGTGCCGGTGCTGGGGCTGTTGACGAACAGACGAGTCGCGATTGCGGTATTTTGCATGGGAATCAGTTACCCATTGACTTTGTACAGGGACATTGCAAAGGTAAGATTGACTACAGTTCACCTTTGACCTTGGTTTCAATGGAGGAGAGAGTGAATCCCTGCTGACCCAATATTGCCTCAACAAATAGTTGGCCAAGGCGAGTACATTGGCTCTTATCGGCATGCTGGTCATTGTCGTTACAGTGCTGGTACAAGGCGTGCTTGTTCCATCTGCAGACCGCGGTTCCTTCAGCACGCCGTTGTTGACAATCAACAGCGGCATCTTTCAGGCTATTGGCGTGATATCATTTGGTACGAACGCCTCCATTCCATATTCTATACCCTTAGCTACTGCCACAACCGGAGAGCATAGTATATAGTATAGTTACTGTAGCTAACGTTGACGCTCTGTTTAGCATTTGTCTGCCATCACAATTCCCTCCTCATCTACGGCTCCCTCAAGACACCGACAATCGACAACTTCTCCCGCGTTACGCACTACTCCACCATCGTATCCATGCTCGCGTGTTTGATCATGGCCCTCGGCGGCTTCCTCACTTTTGGCGACAAAACAATGGGCAATGTGCTCAATAACTTTTCATCGGACAACTCCATGGTCAACGTCGCGCGGTTGTGCTTTGGCCTCAACATGCTGACGACTCTGCCTTTGGAAGCATTCGTCTGCCGCGAGGTCATGATTACGTACTTTTATCCAAACGAGCCGTTTGATCTGCGGCGACATCTGATAATCAGCACGGCACTGGTTGTGGGCGCCACGACTCTGAGCATGTTGACATGTGATTTGGGCATCGTCTTTGAGCTCGTGGGTGCAACCAGTGCGGTTGCCATGGCATACATCTTGCCGCCCATGTGCTACATCAAGCTGACGACGAGGAGTTGGCGCACATATGTGGCTGGCGCAATAGTGGTGTTTGGAGTTGCCGTCATGGTAATCAGCGTGATTCAGGCAATAGATAAAATGATTAATGGTGAGCCCCCTTTTCCTGTACCTTGATATGCCCTCTTTATTAGTTGAAGCTGACAGCTGTCGTTGCAACAACAGGCTCAGAGACTACAACGCAGTGCACGTAGAACAGCAAAGCCCACGAACTTGAAATTTTAGAACTTAGCAACTGTATGACTACGAAAGCATATATATATATATAGAAAGCATGGAACCAAAGGAATATGCATAACTCCCTAGATGCAGGGACAAGGATTGAACAGGACTGTATATACGTGCAATAAGGAAGTCTGGTTGGACTCGGACTTTTTATTACCGCTTTGTGGACTGTGCACGAGTTTGTGTAAGACTAGCTGTGGTGATCTCCATAGATGGGTCATATGAAGACATATAGATGGAATATCCTGTGCAGTAAAAAAAACATGGACTAATCTTGGTACGTATTTGGGCATAGCTTGACGTGAGTTGAACTACATTACATTTCAACCATAAACATGTGTATCATCTGTGTGTTGTAGAATAATCCCGGTCAATACTAACCTATTCTTGCCAACTACCGGGTAGCCACAAAGCCTCAACGACATCAGGCAATCAACACCCGCCTTCACCGTCAAACTTTCTTCCAACGCTTTTAGAAACCGCTCGTCAGCAGCCTCGCTTCTCGCCTCGCTTTCATCGCCGCAAGTTTCCGCGTGGCCACTCTCGTTTGCCCAGCACAGCCTGTCACGAGCTCACAAAAGAGACCACATGATCATTGAGTTTCAGCTTTCTGCCTGATGCGGGCAGCAAGGATCGTCAACATCTCTCCCGGACACCGATAACTCACCGGCAGATAACAGCAGCTCTGTGTAGATAGGAAACACCACATCAATTATTTCCATGCCTACATATTAGATGCTGTTTGCCCGTCTACCTACCTCTATACTGTATATATGTCACCCTTGAACACAAATACACCCACACCACACAGCCAATCGCCTCTCACGCATTAACGCAGCCATAGCAAAGTGCTAGTTTAGATTACATGTAATGAGCCCACACAGGCCCCCCCGCTAAATCAAGCCCCCCCGAATCAGAGCGGATACTACATGAGGCTTCTCCAAAAGAATCCTACAATCCTGCGTTCCCCTCTTTGTCTTTTATCCGTGAATGACCATCTTACTGGGAGAGACTCATGTAGTATGTATGTGGGTAAATGCCACATTTGGATACCTTATCAGACAGACCAGATAGGAGGGTTACAGTCTCCGTACATCGTGGGCATCTCCAAGAGCCGTTGGACCCTCGGTATTGCTAGTTTCGATCCACCACCAACACAGGGACTACCTACTAACTAATACCTAGTAGGTAGTAGCATGATGAAAATAGCGGTATGCCTCAATAGTAAATAGTGCCCTCCCCAGAAGCCAATGAGACTCAAAAGCCTCGCTTGCCTACCGCGATGTGCCGCGTCCTAAACCATATCCATAGCCATCATCTGCCTACCTCTACTGAGTCCTGGACGTATAAAAAACAACGACCCCGCCCAGCTCCAAAAATCCCAGACCTCTCTTCCCCGACAAACCAACCCGATCGATCCCGTTTCTGCCATCCGCAACACACTGCTATATATGCAAACTGCTCTCTCTGCTACAAAGTTGGGAAAACCACCACACATCAAAATGCAGCCCGTCAACTTCAACCACGCCTCTTGCCCCAAGTGCTCCGCCGCCATGGACTCCAGCTCCAAGACCTGCTCCAAATGCGGTGCCGTAAGTCTTCTTCCTGGTAGCAGCACGAGCAACAACGTTTTACAACTGACACGAATGATAGACTTGCCCCGTCTAAGTTCCTGCTAAAATTTCCCGCGTCGACGCCTTGTTTAGTCACGACAATGACGAGATGGTACTGAGGCTGGATGGATGGGCGGGGCGCGTAAAAGACTATACGGGAGGATGGGTAGAGTACGGCAGTAGATGGAAGGATGGATGTATGTATGAATGGATGGATGAATGGATGGAAGGATGGATGGATAGAATAATGACATATCACGAGGATAAAGTGCATCAAGGCAAGGCGTTGATAGGAGGGAGCATTTCATGCATATTCCAATAGGTAGCTACAGTAGCTACTGGCCATGGGAGAAATCGAAAATAGCACCATGTATGCTATAAGAAAACATCACATTACATATTACACCCAAGTCTTGCAATAAGAGCGGCCATATCCGCATATCACGGCTTGGACAGGTTCACAGCCTCGGGATCAATATGGGTTATCCGCAGTCTAGAATCTTCTGAGTAAAAGATAAGCCAATATTACAAACAAGCCAAATTAAAAAAAAAAAAGAAAAAGAAAAAAAGACAAGACAGTCAAAGAGCAAAAACACAGCGCGGAAATCCTCGTGCTTGGAGACTGAAGAAAGTAGAAAAAGAAAAAAAAAACGAAACAATGTATGATGACCTGTTGTAGAGACCGCTCACGAATCCCGGCAACTTCCAAAAAAGTGCGACAAATCCACGACTACCTACTTACATCCCCTCCCTGATTCTTCTCGCTGTGTCTTCCTTCTCTCCTCCCATAAACTAGACAAACTGCATGCCCTTCTATTCCATCTGTACGCTGCCGAATCAACCATCAACCGCTCGTAGCTAAAGAAAAAAGAAAGCCAGCTCCAACATTAGGCCCGTCGACCCCGTTTCGCACCACTGGGAGGATACAGTAAAGCAAGACCGGCTTGCCCGCCGGCATTATGACAGAGGCATAAGGGGGGAAAACTTCTGGTTTACCTTCTCTCGCGAATCATCTCTCTTTCCCTAGAGAATCCTTACTCCATGACGGTGATGGGACTGCAGAACCATGCACGCAACCAAATAACCCTTTCTCGCCGTGGGCGCTAGCGAAGCGAGACACGGAAAACGAGACAATCGAATTCCAAACCCCCCCGAAAAAAAAGAAAACCTATATCCGTAAACAGCCGATAAACCATTGAGGCTGACACCCATCCCTTTATCACCAAACTAGCCATGTACTTGTTTGTTTCAGCTGGCTTGTGAAGAAGAGCAAGAAACGCATCGAATTACAAACAAAGGGGGGAATCGAGCCGAGAATGGAAACGGGTTGCGTCTGAGATAGACGGGCGCAAGGATAAAACGTGTTTACAGAACAAGGCACTTCTTGTGGCTGCTCTTGCGGCTGGTGCGAGACATGAGGGCGGCACGAGTGGCGTGCTCAAAGACCTCACGAACACCGTTGCCGGTTCGAGCAGAGCACTCCAAGTACTTGTAGGCACCGATCTTCTTGGCAACAGCCTCAGCCTATATGGAAGTACGAGGTCAGCATATTTGCGGGTTTAGGCGCCGTTCAAAGACAAGTACTCACGTCCTGAGTGGAAACCGGCTTCTGGTTGGTTGCCCTCAAGGCCTCGATGGTGTTGGGGTCGTCTCGCAGATCGTTCTTGCAGCCGACCAGGATGATGGGGAGACCGGAGCAGAAGTGCACGACCTCAGAGATCCACTGTCAAAGACGCAGACGCGTTAGCATTTCTCCATTTCTAGAGATAGTTGTAAAGGCGGATGACGTACCTTCTCAAGGACGTTGTCCAGAGAATCAGGAGAGTCGATAGCGAAGCAGATCAGGATGACGTGAGAATCAGGGTACGAGAGAGGTCGGAGACGGTCGTAATCTTCCTGGCCAGCCGTATCCCACAGGGCCAGCTCAACGTGCTTGTTGTCAACCTGGACGTCGGCGACATAGTTCTCGAAAACGGTGGGGACATAGACCTAGAACGGTATAACACGTTAGCATCGCGTTGATTATGGGGGCAGCACGTAATGATGCCGTATATATTTTTTTCTCCAATTTATTCTGCTTCTTTTTCGCAAGGGAGAGATTCATGGCAGATGGTAGGGCTTGATGGTGATGATGAGAAATCTGATAGGGATAAGGATATTGATGTGTTCCAGGCTGAGAAGGAGCCCGCAGCTAGATTGTGACACGTCAAGAAATTTTGCCGCGGTCGGGGCTGGTGCCAACACCACGCAGCACCCAATCTTGGTCTTGCGGCACGCTGCTATCAAGAAACTGGCAGGAGATGGCAGAAGAAGGGGCTCGGGTCGGCGAATCATCTCCCAATGGCGATGATGATATTGTTGTTGTGGTGGCTCTTGGCCTGGGGCGGGAAAATACAAGGCGGCGGCTAATGAAAACGCGGCGGAGGGCAAAATAGGGGAATGCAGACGGGCTGCGTTTCAATGCGTACCTCAGGGAAAGCGCCCTTGGAGAAGACACTGCACAGCAAACAGGTTAGCCGGACTCGTTCCTCTGGCCAGATGGCGATGCGTTGCAAGCAGCGTGAAGCTCGAGGCGATGGCGGCTGCTCGAGGAAGCGTGCCGCACATGGGATGGGCATCAGCACTCACATCAACAAACAGGTTTTACCGCAGGCACCGTCGCCGACGATGACGAGCTTTCGGCGGATTTCAGCCATGGCGTCTGTGAGGGATTCGAAGAGATGGATAAGAAGCGTCGGCTGGTAACAATGAAGGCAGAGAGCGTCTCAGGCGTTGGTTGATGGTGGTTGTGATGGAATGAAAGGAAGAGAGATGGACGTCAGAAGGGGGATTGTGACGGAAGAGAGAGAGAAGCTGGTCTCGGTCAGGCCTGGGCCTTTTTTTTTGGCTTTTGCAGGCACGAAGTACTGGGTACTTGGCGCTACCGGATGACTTTGGGTGGAGAGGGGGAGGAGCGAGCGCTGCTTTTTATTATTGGGGGCTGGCGAGTCCTCTCTCGGTCCTAGAGGACTTGGTATAGAACGCAGGGACAATAAGCAAAGCTGCAAAAGAAAATAAAAACAAAAACTTCAAAAAGAGAAGTTATTTAGGACTGCCAAATTATTTCCCGAGGTATATTTTTTAGGCAGAATTCTAGCTGCAGAGCAGATATGCACCGAATCTAGTGACAGCAGCCAAATGGGCTCTTGTTCAGCTCTTCTTCCTCTAATTTAGTAGGCCAGCGGTGGTGGCCCTGGCGACGGCGGCTCTCAGTGCTGCCTGTGCGGGTGGTACCTTGTACTTGCATTTGTACTGCGTACCTTGGCTAGCGCGTCCTGAGGCAGCCAACAATTTCTCTGGGGACTCGCCAATGGCTCCATGGCTTGATTGCCTGTTCCAGGTGGCAGAAAGGAGGGGCGCCCCGGCTTTTGCGTGCTGTTCGGCGCGTGCTGTGCTGTGTTCCAGCCACTGCAGAGCTCAGCGCTACTGTGCTACAGGTATGAGGTGCCTTGGTGCTAAGCCTTGGTAGATGTACTCGGTACTCGTTGCAGAGGCACAGCACCTGGCATTGACTTGATCCATTTAGCGGCTACGGCTGCAGCTGCTGCAGCTTCTGGCCGCCGAGCTGTGCTCTGTAATACCCACGTTGAAGGACCCAACAGCCAAGAGGTCCCATTGCTTCGACCTTATCTGACCGCTACTACGGCAACGGCACGACACGGCACGGCAAACGAGGCTGCAGAAGAGACAGACAGGCAGTCTGAGAGAGGCTCGAGGGATGTCGGCCTGGACGCGTCGCCGCCAGCGCCAGCGGGAGGTGGCTGAGACGCTGCTGGGAGATAAGGGCAGGTACATGTGACGAGGCAGAGCAACCAGCGCTAGAGCCAGGTACACGCTACTCGGAGCTCCGTACGGCGCAGCACTTGCGAGCGCCCAAGAGCGTTACTTGATCCTTTATAAGATGGAGCTCCACCGCTAAACTGAGACAAAGTATCTGTACTTTTGCTGCTCTACGGGGTGCGTGCCGGTAGAATGGAAGTGTGCTACCGCTGCGAGTAGCCAGTACGGCATCGACCATTAACGGCGGCAAGTTCCAGAGTCCAGTACCCTGAACCAGCACTAGAGCTGCGTTTTCCGCCTGTCTGAGCACAGCTGCATCAAGCTCACTGAGATGACCACTTTTAATTTGCCCATGACTGTGAATCACTCGGCCAGCGGTGCTTTGTACCTAGGTACGAATGAATGATGATGCTTGGTACGCGGACATGTGAGAGGCCGGGCGCGTGCGTTGCAGTGCAGTGAGCAGTGGCCCGGCTGTCGCCTCTCCAGGTGCTCTGTGCTCCTAGATGTGCTGGAGTAAAAGGCCTGCCTTAGTACTCCAGACGTCGTTGGTGCTGCTCGTATACTTATAGGACATCCCATGATGCTGCATCTTGTTGGATCAAGATAAAGCCTTGTCTTTGCAGCGGCTATTCTCATAGCGGCATAGACGATTTGTTGGGGATGACGACGAGTTGCTATTTAAACCTGTCCTACACCAGCGCCAAGTGCGCTGCATCAACCTCGTATTTGGGCGAATCTCACCTTACTAAGGCTCGACTTTTTTGTCTTCCCCAGGCCAGCCAGACCGCTTCCCGCCGCCTAGGCAGGGTGACACGGCCTGTGTGCCTCCTGACATGCGGCCCTGCAACTCCTGGTGGCAAAGTCCTACGCCATCTAGGACTTGGCCAGGCAATTGCTGCATGCATGCCGAAGAGCTGTCATGTATCAGTACTAGCACGTACAGCCAGGCTGGGGAGCTGGTAGTGCAAGCAGTAGCGTCAGCGAGCGAAGCAGATGCGCCAGACCCCAAATTAAGGGATCACATGATCGACATGCTCTCGACGCATTTCCTTGTTGGGCCTTTTCGGCCTTGCGTTGTTATGGAGCTTCCCAGTCCGCTGTGAATCGTACGTACTTGTAGATATTGTAGATGCATTAGTAGCCCTTGCTCTGGATGCACAACACATTGAAGCCATCACATCATTGCATGCAAAAGAACAGCGCGAACGGTCGCTTTTGACCGCCGACATGGGAGCTGGAATGCTGCCTGGAAAGCATCGGGGAACTGGTGCTCTCTGTGCTCCATCCAAGCACAGTGTTGTGTTACGAATCAGCGGTACAAAGTACTATAGGTACTCCGAGTCGGTACTTTGTATCAACTACTCCTTGCCATGGCATGGCATCACTGCATCAAGCACACTCTCCTATTTTTTCTTGCTTTGCTTTTTTCTTCCCTTTTCCCCTTGACTCCCTCCCCTTTATTTCACTGCAATCTCTCCAAGGCTCCGCGACGCCGCTTGTAGCATCACAATGTATTCGCCGCCATTAGCGTGCTGCCAAGAGCAAGTACAGGTACCCCGTGCTAACGCGTCCTGCTCCGAGCAGTATGTGCACTGTATTTTTGCAGAGCACCAGGCACGTCGGACAGCCAGGCCGCAGACTCAGCCCTCACTAAAACCCCGCCGTAACGCACAGTGTGCATAGTCATTGTTACACCCCGCCATAGCCAAAGCCTGACCTGGCTCTATCAGCTTATCGGTGTCGCTCGGCCATGTCCCGCGCTAAGCTCGTTTTGGACCAAATCGAAGATTTTCCGAGTCCACCTGGAAAGTCGTCCCGCAAAGAGACCATCAGACGATATCACGATCTATTCTTGGTGGTGCGGGCGGCGTCCATTGCGATCAATGGGCTGCGATTTGGAATCATAGACACAGACATTGATTCTCTCCCACAGCCATGCAGAAGCTAGCGAAACGAGCGGCCCAGGCCCAGCGCCAGGCGTCCCGCCGCACGAGACTCCAGATGGAGCAAGAAAATGTCGACAGCAAGCTTCGAAGCCGTCTTGCGCTACGATCAGCAGTGGAGGAAGTCCGACAGAACCTCAAAGACGCAAGGAAAGCCCGGAAAGAAGACTGGGAATTGGGACCTTTGGCACCCAAGCGAGACCTTGGATTCAATGACTACGGCGCCTTCAAGGAGAATGTGCGACAGGACTGGTCAAATTATGGCCTGCACCAACCGAACCCAAAGGTGATTGAGCAGCGCTGTGCCTGGGCTGGAGGCGTGAAGCAGCTTAACCTTGCGCCTGGAGACAGAGTGGTTATTCAGGATGGTCCCGACAAGGGCAAGATTGACCGCATCAGGTCGGTCCAGCCGCAGTCCGGAACCGTTACCTTGGAACACCGCCATCAGGTATGTTCATTCTTGTCTGCGAAATTCTCTCAAACTATACCAAATATCTGACTGTATGAAGGCTGTTGTTCAAGGCATGTTTGGCAACCCTAGTCGACCACAGCCAATGCCCATTTCTATCGCATCCATCCGCCTCGTCTACCCGATTACGAACCCCGACACAGGAGTCACCCGAGACACGGTCATAAACCAGCTCAAGGCAGTGCCTCCGAACATGCAGTCCCCCAACATGTCGCTGGACCGCTGGCAGTACGGCAAGAAGTGGGATCGCCTGGTGCCCGGACTCAACGTTGTGATTCCCTGGCCCGAGGTTGAGGTGCCCGAATTCGAAACCATGGCGGCAGACACTGTTCGCGAGCAAGTTGAAGACAGATCATTCTACTACGGACTTTTGTCACCACCAATGCCGGAGCAGGTTGTGGACGAGCTGAGAAACAAATTCTCGAGATTCAGAACAAGACACGAGGCGTGGTACATTGAGAAGAAGGAGATGGAGGAGGCTTTGAAGAAGGGGCGACAGGAGACTATCAAGGCCATGCAGACACCATTGGATGAGTTCCACGAGAAGAACCGGGAAGCTCGTGCGGAGCGTGGAGAGCCGGAGCTGTCAGAGGAGATGCTGACCAAGATTGGCGAGTTTATGGCCAAGAAGAAGTCGGCAGCTTTGGAGAATGCTGGTGTGTCTGAGGTATCAGCAGCACCAGTGCCTCCCAAAGATGATACCAATGCGCCATCACCGACAGCTCAGTAGACGGTTGGTTAATGGGGGAAAGGGGGAAATAAACAGGAGGATAGATGGAAGAAAAAAGAAAAAAATTCTTAGCCAGGCGCGGAAGAGGATTGGCTTTGGCTTGTGTAATTATATAGACCTGTGTACGAGCTGTACATTATGACGGCGCAAATGAAGACAATTGACCAACTGCCTCGCACGCGCTAGGACGAGGCGCATATCTCCGCTCTGGGCCATGACCTATTTCTATTATTTTCAGAGATAAGAGATCAGATATTCCATTCACCACCAACCCCTCCCCCGCCTCCCGCGCCTCTTATCGGCCGCCATGATTTGGCGTGACGTTGTCTCAGATATCGTCCTTTAGTGAAAAGCTCTTTTCACTCATAGCTATAATTTTCTCGTCTATATTTTTTTTAAAGCTTTTACTTTTTTTTTAATACTTTTTATAATAAGAGCAAGAACCATGGCGCACACTCACTCTCACGACGGCGTTCCGCACTCCCACAATGGCTTCTCAGCTCAAGAGCACGGCCACTCTCACGAAATCCTCGATGGCCCCGGCAGCTATATCGGACGCGAAATGCCCATCGTCGAGGGCCGCACCTGGTCTGATCGCGCATTCACGATTGGAATCGGCGGGTGAGCTCACCATTTTCTTTGCCGCTTCTCATTGAGGAGAATCATCTCTCTCTCTCTTTGTTTTTTTTTTTTCCTTCTTTCACTTATAGATAAATGCTAACATGCTTTGCCATGCACAGTCCCGTCGGCTCAGGCAAGACAGCCTTGATGCTGGCGCTCTGCCTCGCCCTCAGGGAGAAATACTCTCTCGCCGCCGTCACAAACGACATCTTCACCAAGGAAGACGCCGAGTTTCTCACCCGCCACGCTGCTCTTCCTCCGCAGCGCATCCGCGCCATCGAGACCGGCGGCTGCCCCCACGCGGCTGTCCGCGAAGACATCTCGGCCAATCTCGCTGCCCTGGAAGATCTGCATGCCGAGTTCGATTCTGACCTGCTGCTCATCGAGTCCGGGGGCGATAACCTGGCTGCAAACTACAGCCGCGAGCTTGCCGACTTCATCATCTACGTTATTGATGTCAGTGGTGGCGACAAGGTGCCCCGGAAAGGAGGTCCCGGCATCACGCAGAGCGACCTGTTGGTGGTGAACAAGACGGATCTGGCCGAGGCTGTGGGGGCGGACCTGGGAGTCATGGAGAGGGATGCGAGAAAGATGCGAGAAGGGGGACCGACGGTTTTCGCACAGGTGAAGAAGGATGTGGGCGTGGATCACATTGTGAATCTCATCCTGAGTGCGTGGAAGGCGAGCGGCGCAGAGGAGGAGAGGAGGAGTCGTGGAGGGCCGAGGCCGACTGAGGGTCTTGAGGCGTTGAAGAAGGAGGCTTAGGGAAAATTGTATGATGTTTGAAGATGTGTGTATATGGGGGAGAAAGACTCTGGCAGTCTGTGATACATAGGTAGGTAGATGGTAATCAACGATCCCTGTACTTATTATCCGTGGGATGAGTTCAAAGGAGCTTCAGTTCTCACCGGGCCTGGGGGAGGGGCAAAATAGAGTCCGCAAGGTGAAACTAACCACAGATAAAAATGAAAACACCAAGTTATAAATCGTTTCTATTGCCTCTATTTCCTCTTTTATAATTCATTTGTATAGTACAATTTTCTTTTGGCCGATCTCCAGTCAGGATAGCCCCCAGCATTCCATATACTTGATTCAAGTAGATTTGCCGCAGATGATGGGATCATCGATGGTGTCCATCGGGACAACAAAGGAGTAGTGCTTTAGAAGTTGAATGTAGGCTTCTTGATCGGCTTTCATCATATTAGCCGCCTGCGTCTTGTACGCACTGACTTTCATTCCAACATTTGGGAAACTGATATCCCTTTATCCCTTGGCATAGTAGCAGCCTTGGTTGATTGACCATCCCGGAGGTATCAAGCGTTGACCATCATGTGCGAGTCAATTAAAGAAAAGATGCGTACTCATGCGAGCCGCCACTCGAAGATGCTTGATTGATGCTGTCTTGTATTTTCACCAGTGCACTTCAAATCAGGAGAGTATGTACCCCATTCGGTGATCAAGGTTGTTTCATGAACCAAAAGAGTGTCTACCCCATTTGGTGATGACAAAAATATTCCATGGCTGCTGCTGGTGGTGTTCTATGCTGTCTTTTATTTCTCGAGTTGTAGATTCTCATCATATTGAGTATCTAGTATAGACGCGCACAAACTTTACGACCAAGACAAGGGTTGGTGGAGCTTTTCTTCCGTCTGCACCCTCTCCACGCTATTCTCTGACCTTGATCTCTTTTTTGATCATCTCGAGTGATTTATCTTCAGAGATTCAAGTCTTCGAAGTCGGGCCTCGTCGAGGTTTGGAGCTCTTTTCGTTATCTCCAACTCTTTTTCAGCTTGCGCGGTCTTATTCTCTTGCTCTTCTGGCTCTTCCTTCTCAGCCTCACGTTTCTTTGGCACCAGTGAGCACGAGCACTATCCGGCGGCGTACTGATTCGTTCAGGGGCTTATGCCCATCTCCTCCTGTAACTTTACGATAGAGTCAATAATTTGAGCTGCCCGGCAATGCTGCTCTCTGCGAACTATTCGTATCTTTTGGTGGAGACATATTTGTTAACAATTCAAAAACTCAGAGCCGAAAGGGGTGAGTGTTAGTCTGGATGCAACACGCAACAGAGAATGCTTGGGTGGTCCTCAGATATATATAACCGCTTATTTGTAGTCTTTATGATTTCAGTTTTGTATAATTTGTTGAAAATTTGACATTTAGGTTAGTTCTAGAGTTTTTTTTATTTCTAAAAAGATAGTTTACGCGTACGCAGACACTTCCTCAGCCTGAAGGACCGACTTTTGAAGTTTAATCCTGCGTTGGCAGAGTGATGACCAACTCAGCAAAACGCTACTTTCTTTACTGTCTCTAAATTGGGCTAAAATAAAATAAAAAATGGAGGAAGGAGGAGAAGAAGACGCGAAGGATACATATTGGTGGCGAAGAGTTGGTGTACTTTTTGCTGTTTTCCTCTCCTAATACTCTAATAATAATTCATTTTACTGGTTTGCGAGCAAAGAAGCAGTAGAAGCAGTAGCTGTCATTGACTCTAGTAAAGTAACAGTACGCGTAATAATAGAATTGGCCCCCCCCCCCATTTCTTTTTTACTCCCCGTTTGCATGACCCTGAATCGTTTATTCATCACATAGAATTGAGTTCGAGGTGCTTGTTAACCCTCATACTAGCCCGCTATCAGGTAACGGCACTCCCCAATAGCTTTTTACACAACGGAGGTAAGCAATATCGCATAGTTCCATGATGTTTGTTAACACTAGACTTTATATATGATAGCAGTGGGCTCTTCCGACTTCTCGCAGAAGCAAGTCTAGATATATACTATGTATAGTGATATTTACAAATCGTTATTGATCGTTATTAATATTTACACGAATAAAAATAAACCCCCTAATCTCTTAAAAGATATTGGGATCCGGACAAGCGTTGAGCCCATCCATCATATTGAACTCCCTTTCCACAGTATGTGTGCTATTTGAAGCAATCAGGTCATAGGTTCGCATATAACTTCCAGCAAAATTGTTGACAAAATCGGCGGGAATAACTCCGTTAACAATAGTGGCATTGTAGAGGGTATAGCCTGATCCTGCGACGGGGCCGACTTTGGCAAAATTAAGGGGTATCGAGCCAACGGCCGGCGTGGTAGAATTGAGGGGTTCTGGAACGTGTACTATGGCCTTCAACGAATCGAGTTTTGAGTCGTCGCGGATCTAGATTGGTGTTGTTAGCTTTCGTGGCCAAATAGCGCGTATCAGCGGGTAGGGAGGCTTGCCGCAACAGTCAAGTTCATAAGTCCGTTGAAGCTTACTTCAGAACATGACAGCTTTGGTTGCGTAACGATCATATCATCGAACGGGAACCCTCGTCCACCATTCTTGTACATAGTGCTGTTGGTGACTCCATTGTTGTTGTCGACAACCTCTACATCAAATCCGGAAACACCTTGTGTGATGGGAATCACTGTCAAGAACTGGTACCACCAGAAAGTCAGAGGAGGGTTTCCGGAAATGACATGAGCAGAGCCGACTGAGGCCACGTTGCTGCTAACGGTACAAGTGTTTGTATCTGTGCAGCTCTCTCCAGAACGAGGATGGAAGTGAATCTTGACTGTGCGATTTGGGTTGGCAGTTACGGGGCCAATAAGCTGTTTACACTCCATTAGCGTTCTACCTCATATTACGCGTCTCAATAAAACGAGGTAACATACTCTAATGCTGCCAGACATGGTCATCGTCCCATTCGAGTTAATAGTGGCGAACAGCTTGGAAGGCTTTACGGCAATAGGCTGGATCGGATCCGTAAGAGTTACACCCTTGGGAACTGTATTGATCATTCGTTCGAGGAGTGTTGTGCAAGTCTGGTAAAAGTAAGACGGAGAATCTGCCATTTTCCCAATTACTTCTCCTCCATCAGAGTTGAAAATTCTTCCATCGGAATTGGTGGTCTCATTGTGACCAAATGCCAGCGGATTCTGCGTAACGTTATTCACGAACTGAACAGCACTGGCTTCTAGTTAGTTGCAGGTCGTCGAAAGAAACTAAGCTCGTCTTACACAGTATTGTCGAACGCATTCATTCCCGAGTTAGTTGTGTCGAAAGTCTGCGTATTCTGATCCGTTGCCTGTGCATAATGGTTAGCCTGCTCAAAGTGCTTGCATATAATAATTAGCATCGGCTATCCAGAGAGCGGCTTACTGGATCCTTAACAACTGGCACAATCTCCGGAAAATCTACACCATGGACGCCTCCCAGCGTATGACCACATGCCACCAACCCAATCATCTCTTGTGGCGTAAACCCTTGTCTCTGGAAACTGGTAATGTGCTCGTCCAACGGCTGCTCTGGTTTGGGCACACCTGGCGCACCGGGTCCTTTAGCATCAACTCTGCCTGCTCGAAAGGGAATCGTAACGTTTCCATTTGAGCATCCATTTGCAGCAAACACTGCCCCCAAAGCGATCAAGTCTGCCATTGAGGAACGGGGCGTCAGAAATGCAGCTAGATTCACAAGCGTCTCGTTGAATCCAACACCAGGATTCTCGTCGCGGTTTACCTCAAACCCAATAGACGCGTCGATACCACCTGTGCCAGCCACAACATCCGCAGTTGCCATGTCATGGTATGCCGTTCGCAGCCACTCTGCAGCCCCGTTACGCCCAGTGCCAAAATTGACCTTTTCGCAGGGAACAATAAAGGTTGCTGGCGAGTTGCCAGATCCTAATCCCTGCTGCTCGTAGAGCATAGACTCAAGCAAGTCAGTTTTGGCATTGGGCCAAATGTACTCACTCTCAGCATAGGCAGAACCGGCTACCAAGCTGAGCTTGGTGACGGTAGAGAGGAGGCGGTAGGAGAGCACCATGATGACCAATTGGAAGCGCGTTACACTCTCGGGATTTAAAGATTGCGCGAGCGTATAAGCTTAACGACTTTGGAGGTTACGATAAGGCGAGGGCATCTTATATGAAAGTACATGGATCCAACTTTTATCAACATGATTCGGGGCTGGTGCTGGGAGTAACGTTGAACTTCATTTCGTAGGGTTCCATATTCTTGGCCAAAACTCGCCCCTGGTTTCTGTTTGTCACTATCCCTGAACTTTGATCACCTTCCTGTTAAGTCTATAGGCGCATTGAAAGAATTTTTTCAACTCGTAAAGACTCAGATGGAGATATTCAGTGTAGATAAAGATGATGTACAGGCATACGTAAATAATACCTTCGACGCTATTGGATGCTTTCACGGAGTGGTCAGCTTAATTATGTGCTCTGGGAAAAATTACAAGGATAATGAAAACGACCTGCCTATAATTTGTAGTATTACTAGTAGAAGGGCCATGTGCTATACAAGCCGCGGGTCTAAAAGGCAGAGTTGAGTGAGATTTTAGCATAGAAGGGGTCCCGGAATCCCCTATACTAAGCAATTAAATGTCCCACTGCTGCTGCTGCCTCGAGCCAAATCCATCGTCCATTTTCGGACGCGTCGAACCATATTGGTGCGAATGTCCTAACTTTTAAACTCGACTAACGTTACCAGGCATGTAAAGCTGACAGCTCCACGATTCAGTCTGTGTTCGCCGAGAAGCAACGACTAGCTGCTGCATACGATAAAGTACGATGGCCATTATCGCACTTCGGCAGGGCTAAACTTCTCATGTTGACTTTGTCAGCCTATACCTACTCTGCCATTTTGATTTGAGGCCGTGTTTTATTTCTTAGCCTCGTTCGATGATAGATATCAAGCTTGATTAAGATGTAGAATGAAAATACAGGTATAAGGTACTTGACAATCAAGACACAAATGTCGAGAGGTACTCAGCGATCTTGGAAGACTTTTGGAGTATTCTTCAACTTTCAACCGCAGAGAATAGCAGGCAGTGCTTTGATTAAGCGACAGACTGGCCCACACCAAGGTGGAGGCTGGATTCTCCTGGCGAGAATGGGCAACTACCTAGATATTTAGCTCTTGCGAGATCGAAATAGAGTTCTGTTGGGGCTTATACCCACTATACACTTATATCTGTTGTCGTTGTTTTAGCAAAGTGTAGTGAGGGATATCAAAGCACGCGAACGCTCCAAGAACAGAGGATACATCACTATCTGCATCGTTTTAGTTGGTTCAAATGACTGGAAGCTCAATTTGAGCAGTGAACGCTCACTGAAGTTTGTTTGTCGTCGCCACAGAGTTGAAGAGGACACTTGTCACTGTAACATAGAGATTGAATATTAGTGACATAGGAGAGCAGCTGGAAATACCCGCATGGCGCAAATATGCTTTCAAGGTAATACATCGCTTCATTACAGGAGGGGCTAAATTGACCTGGATACATATAATCGCTTTGCCCAACTCCTCAACTTTGGCAGTAATAACGCACCATTAATTTCTCAAGTTTGGGGAGGCCCAACTCATCCACCATGGGATCCAGCCTTCCAAGGTGAAATCTGTAGCACGCATGCGACTTTTTGACGCAGTTCGAAAAGGAACTTTGTCTGTGCCTTCATCCATCACAGATTTGGAAAAGAAGCTGAAGACGGAGCGGATAAAGCGAGAGATGGAAGATATGAAGAAAGCAGCACAGGGGCTTGAAGCCGTAGCCGCGTCGCAGGCAGGGTCCTCGCTAGAGGCCGCGACTGGAAAGAGGAAAGCTGATGTTACCGTCAACGTAACGATTAATACGAATTTACCAGGAAGTGTTGCTTTTACTACGGCCAAGAGAGCTAGCACATCTGCGTCATTGGAAGAAAGCTCTGCTCCAGCACGGCAATCTGCAACAAAGCAAACTGCCCGTCGTGACGGCAGTTCACAAGCATTCAGCCGCCAAGAGCCTGCCTCACGCACTTCACCAGTTCCTTTCTGTCTATTGGGACGAGCAGCAAGACTTAGTCGTCCATTAGCTCTACAGTGGCGTATCTATTCATTGACACATCAAGACAGTGAATATAGGGACTATACAAATCCCTTCGACCAGCCCCCTCCACCATATCAAGACAACTACCAAGACCAAAGCAGACACGAAGGGAATCATCCTTCAGTCCAAAGGGCAAGGCTCCCATCTCTTGGCCCTCTGAATGGCCGATACGATATCAGTTCCCGGTCTGTTGACGAACAGCGGCCCGAGTACGCATCAAGACTCAATCTCGTGCTTACTCTAGCTGGTCCTAGCCTATGGGGGAGATTCGACCTGGGCCTCGTCGAAGGGGTGATGTATTTTCAAGAACGGCCTTGCAGTTCGTCTTTGGACGCAGTGCCATTTTCTTGGCGTGGTCATGAGCCCAACGGACCCATATCTTACGACGATAGATACAACAAAGGCTGGATAAAGTTTCTTGGGGACGGTCGCATCGAAGGATGGATTAACCATCTAGGTATCTATTTCGAAGGTCATCGAAAATCGGACCAGGCGATCAGAAGCGATATTGATGCGCAGACTATGAAGAGGATGTGGGATGAATACAATATGGAGGACGAATACGAGCAGCAGAATCGAGAGCGTTGGTAGGGTCATCACTGCTGCGTAAGGGCAGGCCTTAAAAGTTGAGTCTTTTCGTAGTCGCATAGTGGAAAACACCTTCCACGAGATGATCAGCAATGTTCCGTCTCTCAAGGGGGCGCTTCCATCTAGCATTCTACGTACAGGATGGAATGTGCGGGTAACGAAATTGGAGTCTGCAACTTCTTTGTGGTGTTGCCTGGGAACCTGGACATATCTGCAAAGTATGACCAGAACTAAGCAGAGACGTACTTTCAAGACAAGTATGTACTCTAATCCAGACGTATCCCGACATTAATGGATGATTTAATGATCCAGTGCGTATTAGAGTCGTCCACGTCCATCCTGATTATATATGCATGTATGTAGGGACAAGCCAAAACTAGACGTTGCCGAACTCCTTAGGATTAGTGCAACTTTTTGCGATGAAATACGCTTGCCCGTTATAGGCCAGCCTCTCTGTTTGCCATCCAATAGAAACCCGCACGCAAAAACTTGCCATGCGCCATCCCATATCAAATAGTCTAGCCCAAACGTGGAATACTGGTGGAAACCAATATGCGTTCTATCCAATACAAATGATCTTTCATCGACCAACGTTAAACTCCCAACTCATGAGCTGTTGAGCTATTTCTCATCGTTACGCAGCAAAGATTAACAATCATTATCTCAGTGGAGTAGAGACCATGGCTTACAAAACACTTCCTGACAAATTGGAAATATTTCTACAGCTTTTGTAAAATTCTTGAAAAATGTATATATGATGCAGATGCCAGCGAGGATGAAATTGGGAATGGCATCATCACAACTCATTCTGCAGACAATTGCATAGCATTCTTCAAGGACAACTTCCTCACTCTTATTCTTCATATTATTTTTAAAATATCCAAAAATGTCTACCCTAGCTTCCCAGCTGTCTGCGATTGTCGAGAAAGTCAACCAAAACGCGCCTGCTCCAGTCGTTTCAGCCATCAAAGAATCAATTGCCAGTTTGAAAGCCACTTTTGATAAAAATGATTCTATTCAAATTGGAGCTTCTCTTCCAAGTTTCAAGCTGCCCAATGCCCTTGGCAAAGAAGTGACTAGTGATAGCCTCCTTGCCAAAGGCCCAGTTCTAATCACTTTCTACCGTGGTGACTGGTGCCCTTTTTGCAATTTGGCTCTGCGTTCTTTGCAACTGCATCTCGATGAATTTCACGCCAAAGGCGTGACTATCGTGGCCATCTCTCCTGAGCTGCCCAACTCTTCTCTATCTACTGCTGAGAAGAACGATCTCAAGTTTGAAGTTTTGTCGGATGTGGGTAACAAATTCGCTAGGCAGCTTGGCATTGTCTGGGATCAGCCCCAGTCTGTTGAACCTATATTCAATGCGTTCGAAATTGATTTGAAAGTTCGAAATGGCGATGATTCTATGGCTGTGCCTATTCCGACGACTATTCTGGTTGATACAAAGGGAGTCGTGAGGAACATCCACATTGATCCTGATTATAGGCAGAGACTGGAGACTACCACTGCGCTTGCGTGGGTAGATTCTCTGTAGACCATTCGTGTTACATAAGAGAAGGGATGATGATTATTAGACTATCAAATTCTCTGCGCAGTTTAGCATTCGTTATTCGGTAGCTAGAATGTTCAGCATCATTACGGTTGCAGAATTGGTATCGAATAAACTTATCCAAAATTTGTACTCATTACCCTTTGCTCAATCAACAATTTAGCGGTACCTCCGTTGCCAACCAAGACCCAACTGTATTAAGCGCTAGTGTTCGTGTCATCTTCTGAGTAATTTAGTCACATAGTTGGTCTTCTCCTATAAATAACCGCTAGGTCAACCATGGAAAATGGCAAAAATATGCATTCGTTGTAGTGGGGGAACAAAAAAATATGTTGAAGGGTATTGAACCCAACCCGATTCGAACGGATAACCTTCAGGAGATTCCGAGCTGGAATCTGACGCGCTACCGTTGCGCCATGGGTCCTGTTGATGTGCTTCAGAAAAATAAAGTGACTATAAACTCTAGCGCACAACCCGTGATTTACTAAAATGAGGTGCTCTATTATCAAGACCAACCTAATGTTTTTCGACAAGAATTATTTAATTATTCTGATAGCGCTCAAGTAGTAGTAGTCTTTTTTTTTTTATTAGACAATCATCTAATCTGACAATGGTCTTTGAAGTGCACACAACATTGCAAAATAACAATCTCCCTTCCAATACCAAGCTCAGGTTTCTTCATTTTTATATCGAAACGTTACATAACTGCGCCATGCCACGTAAAGATAAAATATGTCCTCTAAGAATCAATATGCAAGGATACGGAATCTAAAGTCCTCGTTTACCTCTGACGAAACTATCTCTTTAACCCCACGGACTTAGACTTGTAGTTTTATGGCCGTCAGTAGAATAAGGTGTATTGGTTTTATCGATTTCGCTTCGCTAATCAATATGGGCCTCTGTTATTGCGACTGATTTGCGATTTTGCAAAGACGAATTCATATCTTCGTTTCAGCTAATGATCATCTAGCTGGGCTGCCATGCGACAGCTATCTTTTAAGCATCACCATTATTTCCTGCCCCCCTCTAGCATCCTATCCAATTTCTCCCTTCTACCACTTCTTCTCTATGCAGGTCTTCCATAAACAGTAGATTTAGTTATTATCCTAAATGGATAGGTAGTACGATTGAAAACATTTAACTATAGATATGTTCTGAAGTAACGGCTCAGCATCTGAGCTAATAGTTGACATTGAGTTAGATGTGGAAGAAGGATTCTGATCAATCTTGTATTCTCTATAGTATTCGAACCAACAGCTTCAATTTCTTCCAAGCCGGCTCATGACTACATCAAGAGAGTAAACAACATAGTAGAAAGCCATGTGTTTAAAGTTTCGTAAAAGAATTGCCTACATTAGTTACTATCGATATCCTTTCGAACAATCGCGAGATAAAAGATGGGAGATAATTGTCGGCAGCGGCAACGATTGGAATGTTGAGAAAGTGCATTATGTAGAAGTCATACATCTGCAATCATGAAGTACTTGAACTCTGTCTATCGGAAATTTGAGTTGTTGAAAGTCGGTGGTAGCGTTGAGAAGCATGTTCTACAACTAAAGTCAGCCGTTCCGCTGCCATGGTCTCAAATCCTGATTTTGGGCCTGCTATGCAGCAGAAAAGACGTTTCTTGTTTCAATATCCGACACCACTTAAGAAGGACCACCAAGCGTATGTGAGCGGCTTGTGGGGGTGGAACTCTTCATCTACCATCAACAGCACGGCAACAATATTGCCTAAATTTCTCAAGTGCCGGTTCAACGGCATTACTACAATAGGTTAATCATCACGCTTCGTGCCGAATCGTCCACAACCGCTCCAGAGACAGTAGCGCACTAACGCCGGCTCATTCCAACCTTAAGTCAGCCATCGGATGGTCGAGAATGGCTTTGAAGATCTGGGGTGCATCCGGCTAAGTAGGTGTATATTAGCCTGCCAATGGTGTATCTAGAATTCAATGCTAAGCTTGCCAAGATGTCACATCATGGTGGCTCTTCGTTGTAGCATCCGCCCCAGTGTGGGGTTAAAGACCTTCAGCCAACCCGCCTTCGGTGTCTTTGGAAGACCTACATGATGCGGCCTGCATTAAACAATAAGGTTTTGGATGCCAAGGCGCTCGACTTGATGCCGCCCCCAAGCTATGGTAAAGATGTGGTTGTCTGACAACGCCAGAGCTCCCCAAGCGAGTACACCGGGAATTAAATGTAATTTATGGTGGCGATGTTATTATTTTACAAACACTAATGAGAAGAGATTCAGTGTGAAATGCTGGACTTGTATTCCCAAAATTGCATTGTAGTGTAGTACTTTTTTTTTTTAAAAAAAAAAAAAAGGAAAAGGGAAAAGGGAAAGAAAAACAATAGTCATAACCGAGTTCTAACGAGTATGAGCGCATGAGAGCGGCTAAAATGAAAGATAACCTCTCCAATCATTCACCAGAGGAATCGGAAGACTCGCTATCGGCTCCTCGGCCTAAAGGGAATGTTTATAAGATATCCTTGCTGCATTTTTTTTATTGGTGAAGTATAATTGCGAACTGAGCGATGATCTTCAATTCGTATACGCATTATACTAGTACGTAAATGTAAACGCATAGACAAATTTGACGATTGATATATTGCTTTAAAAGTCAAGTACCCAATTAGGATACAGGGTTACGATGAGAGTTGATTTAGCCTAATTCTAGACGTAGGTGTAAGGGTGAGTGCTGGGGGAAAGGAATACGACAACAACTAGAAAGAATTGGGGCTTTGACAAGCAGTGAGCCAGCAGTGATGAAAAAAATCTTGGATCATGTGAATAAGGTCAAATATAGATGTTTGGGGAGACTATTATTAGATTCACGATGCTATATAATATCTCATTCGCCCTAAACATCATTCATCTTTTGAATAACCACCATCTTACTCTTCATTGGCCCACCACTAGCTGTCTCTCTATTTTTCAGATTAAAATGCCTTCAGTCAAGAACACCATCACCTTTTTGCTGGGCCAGGCTCTTCTTGCCACGGGTAGCCCAGTAGATGTTGAGAAAGTTGAGAAACGTCAATGCCCGAAGATTCATGTCTTCGGTGCTCGTGAGACTACGGCACCGCCGGGATATGGTTCATCTGGTACTGTTGTGAATCTGGTCATCTCAGCTCATCCTGGAACCACGTCCGAGGCCATCAACTACCCAGCTTGTGGTGGCCAGTCTTCTTGTGGCGGAGTTAGCTATGCCAACTCGGTTGTTCAAGGTATCAACGCAGTTGTCACGGCGGTGAACAACTTCCACAACTCTTGCCCAAACACACAGCTAGTCTTAGTCGGATACTCGCAGGTCTGTGCCTCTATCGCCCTATGAATGTATCAAATACTAACAAACGATGTAAAAGGGTGGCCAAATCTTTGATGACGCATTTTGCGGTGGAGGTGACCCTGCTGAGGGATATGGCAATACTGCTGTTCCTTTATCTGCAGGAGCAGTCTCTGCTATCAAGGCCGCAATCTTTATGGGAGACCCTCGAAATATTCACGGACTGCCGTACAATGTCGGAACCTGTGCTACCCAAGGTGTAAGTGTTCTCCAGTTACGAAATAGATTAGTGTTTGTAGATTATTGCCTTCTAACCCTGATACTCTTACTAGTTCGATCCCCGCCCAGCTGGCTTCTCTTGTCCCAGCGCATCCAAGATCAAGTCGTACTGTGATGCCTCAGACCCATACTGCTGCAATGGAAACAACCCTGCCACTCACCAAGGCTACGGCCAGGAGTACGGCCAGCAAGCCCTCGCTTTTATCAACAGCAAGCTCTCATAAGTTGAGGAATTATTGGGCGCTGATGACTCTAATGATGTAGTGGGTTGTTGGAATGTCCGTCAAGGGCGATGGCTATCACGTATAAAAGTAATATGGCATTTACACTTCAAATTGATCATTCTGTTTATTGAGTTGATGACTATTGTGAACTTTATAACTGTGTGCATCTAATACTAGAATATTTGTGACAGTAACGCAATGATATCATGAAACAAGCTGCACGATTTGTAAAATGAGCCCTGAACAAAGTCACTACACAACTGCGCTCTTCGTTTTGATTGCTAGCAGCATGAAAACGTGTATTGAAACAAGTGCTCAGCTTAGGTAAAAACAAGAAAGTAGGAATATCCAATGACAGGTGTGTTGCAGTGATGGAGTTCGTGATGGATCAAGGTGCTTCTAGAAATAGGTAGATGAATATACCTAGACCCTTACGCGAAAGTGCAAGCTTAACACGGCCATCCCGTGGCTGAGCTAGAGGAGTAGTGCATTTTCACGTAGCCAGTCGCTGCGACAACTTTACGCCAGCAGATTTTTGTTTACTCTTTCAAAATTTAAGCTAAAAACAACAACAAAAGCTGGTTTTCTCCAACGGCAATGCTTGCGCCTCGATGATCTCCTTTCTCACCGTATCGACTCAGACTACTCACGCAATCGCATTTTATTTCATCGGCCACACCCAATATATTTGCACACCATGGACACGAAAGCTGGCATCCAGGAACTATCTGTCGCACATGAATCAACGCAACTGGAAAGAATAGGCCAAGGCCGCTGTGGGACAGTATGGGCAACTCGTTGTCCAAAATGCGACGGACATGGCCATCTGGCCATGAAACGCGAAGATGGAAGTACAGGAAGATCAATCTCTCACGAGTACAAGATGCATCAAAAATTGCTGAGAGCATCTTCGCAATCTCATCCTTCATCATTCGCCATCCCTGAGTCTTTCGGATTCCTCAATTCGCAAGATAGCTCAACATGGTCTGGCATCCTGCCAAGATTACCTGAAAATTACACAGCATGCAATGCTATTGTCAGTGAGAAGATCATACCGGTTCAGGCTTCCACTCGGAGACTCCTCATACGAAAATTCCGCCCCGACGTTGATGAAGAGAGCGCCATGAACAGTTCAAGCAACGAGCATTGTCTTATCCGACCATATCTTGGCCGCCGAAGGTATCGTACTCCCGAGACTGGTACAGAGTCGAGGAAGCGCCTGCGAACTTTCAGCCTTCGAAACTTTCCACTACATCTGGATCAGATGGAACAACTGGGCATTGATCCCAGTGATTATGCACTTGTCATGGCAGACGCTCTTGCTTTTATGCACTGGGTTGCAGAAGTAGATGGCAATGATGTTGAGTTTGTACTTGCTCGGCCGCGGAGCAAATCCAATATCTGCAAACGCCCCCAGGTGCAATCTGAGGATGCGTGTCTAAACAATATCAACATATTAGGCCCGCATGCAATTTGGATATTGGATTTTGACTTGTGCAGGGATTTGACTCTTGATGAAAGCGGTATTGAGCAAGCTTGCAGCGCTTTTTGGGGCAATGATCCATGGTATCCTCGGCCTGGCCGCTTGGCTACGGCTGATCAGAAGCTATGGAATATTTTTGAAGACCGATTTCTGGAATCGAGTGCCAAAGCTTTGGCAACGCGATCAGATCAAATCAAGGAGCTTCCCAAGCTGCTCATGGAGAAGATCAGGCAGGCTGCAGCCACTACTTCGAACGATGAAATTGGAGATTCCTAGCGAAGGCATCCGCGCTTTGAATGTGTGTAACGCTCTCAGACCAGTACGGGTATATTTCAGTCGGAGAGCGATAATACGTTGTAGCTATAATAAAACCCGCTCAAAGCGTTCATAGTGGTTAACAAAGCTGCTGCGCCAATCAAAGCCACCTAGTTTGATCAAAGCCACCTAGTTTAATCGTAGTCAGCCGTTCGAGGCGCCTTGTTAAGACCTTCGCAAATCTCCTTCTCAGCTTTGCTTCAAAATCGCTTTATAGGGTTTGATCGCGGAACGATACGTAAGGAATCCATAATTTTTATACCGATACATTACATTTGACAAAAAATCTGACAGCTGTGGAACTATGTTAGAATACTATGCTACAACTGCCTGATGATAAATCTCAACCCCTTGGCGCTCATGAGACGTTGAACCTCACTTGACTTGTCTTCCCGCACAGCGGATTTGAACTTGAATTCGGGGCATATATTCACCTCTGTCGACCATTTAATCCCCGTTTTCTCGCCAATGCGCTCCCACAGCTCTTTCCAGCTTTGGGGATTATGCTGAAAGTGCCTCCTCCCGCTGGTATCACTAGCCCGCGAATATTCCCCTGCAATCTCACTACCTGACTGTCTTCCAATAATTAGAGAACCAGGTTGTGGGGCCAACAGCTGAGCGACTCTGGTTGCAGCATTCTCCTGTTCTTCAAGACTAAAGAGGTGGAAAAAATCCCCAACATAAATGATATTCATCTTTCCAGTCAATCCCACAAGCGGAGAAGAATCATCAAAGATGTCAGCCGCTATAAATTTAGTTTCCAGTCGGTCTTTGTCTTTAAATAATTCGTAGCCGATGGACAGAAAGTCTTCCCAAAGATCGGAGCCATATGTATTGGCAGAAGGCGCGCCGTCGTGGACAAGTTGGCGAATCTCTTGGCCAAAGCAACAGCCCAGGTCCATGAATTTTTCACCCTTTTTTACTCGATCCAAGACTTCTTGATACACATCCGTGGTCATCATGATCAGATCCAAGAAACGGTACCGTCTAATGCATGGATAAGGTCGCTAAAACAGGTTAGTATTGGTGATCTGAAGCATGGGTGGATAAAAGGGCGTTATACCACTTGAAGAGCTTTTGTTTGCTATCAAGCTTTAGCTAAATGAGATTCAACGGAGGAGTATGTGTGATCATAACTTACAATTAATTCAATATGATCCCTCATATCTTCATCGGGAATTCCGCTGTACTCGTGCAGCAGCTTCCGCCCGGAATCGAGATCATTGATCTCGAATGGATCCTCTTCATTTTGAACGATTTTGCTAGACATAATTGTACTTCTACTGATTGAAAAGCCCAGGTTGGATCATCAAGATTAGAAGCAGATTTCTGAAGCTTTAAATGCTGATATCAGAACGTGCGTTCTCGATTTTCCGCTCTGAGTCAAAAGTTCAGCCCGCAGGCACCAATGTGGCCATATACTAAATTAGAATTAGTCTGAAAAGGGAAGGAGACGCGGGGGGCTTTGCAATGGCTGCAAGAGATCGTACTCTATCAATCTTGTTTTTAGTTAGAAATATCGGGCTTTTTATTTCGCAAACTATAACAACTTTGTGATATTCATAAATGGACATAGCAGGGTGAAACTATTACGTATTGACTCTCAAGCTTACATCTATTCCTATGTATAAGAACAGATCTTACTTTTTTACCACCAGGATACAGGGCCATTTTGTACTTCTTAGCGCTACTTGATTAACTAGTTCTGCATGATCGGCAAGTGATTAGTCTTCCTGTCGTTTGTGAGACATATCAGGTATATATATAGGCGAGGTTATTGCATAAGCTACCTATACCTATGTGCTGGCATTGTATGAGCGCGGCGCTCGCTTGTACCAATGATAGGACGTCACGTCTCTCGTGACATAACCCCCCTCACAAATATTTGTTTTCAGCTCCCAACTTGCTATCCCCGACTGACAGTCTTCAATTAGTAGCATTACATGTTGGTCGCAGTAGGGTTCCTAAACCAACACAAGAAAACATGGCTTCTCTCATCTTAGGCGCTTTGATACGTCTCAGCTTCTCTCAAGACTCCCGGGAAGAGATACAATCCGAATCCTCAGTCATCAAAATCCGGATTGACCCTATAGGATTGACAGAGGATATTATTAGCGTTGAAAGTCCGAAGCAATCCAAAAACAGATTTGTGAGCTTCACTGAGCGTTTCATACCAAAGAAAATGCTCAAATCGTCGCCTGATTTGGTGGAGACTTCTGCCACTGGGTTTCGGGCAGCAACCCGCCAGTGGAGGGATGCCAATTCGAAACCGTGGTGCATACTAGAAGGATACCATATCATTGACTCTACTCATTCTTAACAAGTCACTACATCAAAAGCTCTTCGATATATGAGAAAAGAATTAGCCGAACTCGCCGGACGCTCAAGCTTGCTCTGGGGCCGGACTGTAAGGAGGCTACAGATAGATGATGACCTTGACGGAGCACTGGGAGGTATACAATACCCATCCATCTAGCACATCTGAGACCCGTCACTATGAGGTGGCTAATGGTGTTTAGCCTTAATTGTATGCGAGGCGTATACAACCAATGCAGTTGCCACAAAGATCAAAGTCAATACATTGCCATCATTCGCAACCACAGAACGATTTCTATCAGAATTTAGACAGCTTGGGGACATATATCTCCCGCAGAGGACGAGACGCAATCTCGGGCAAATCTTTTTTCTTCAGCTTCACCATGCCAACCTTAACCTATTTTCTGACTTCTTACAGAGCTTCACAATGGATTATGCAGCCCCTCGCATGTTCATGTACGACCCTCGGGAAGTCGAACTGCGGCGCTGGAATCTTAAAGCCATCATGACGGACTCTCATCTCTATAGACAACTCAGAAGCCTTGCTGCCGAGCTGACAGCTACCACTGAGTCGTTGCTTGACGTCGTCTTGGCCCTGGATGACGGTATAGGGGAGAACAGCACAAGGCTGGCAGTTCTGGGTGCTGAGATCCGGGGCTGTAGCAAGGACATCATGACGCGTCTCAGCAGGATTTCAGGCGACCTGGATCACAATCTCCAGCTACTGAGACTATCCAAGGAAATGAGCCAGTCGAGCAACGTCCAGATGTTAACGCTTCTAGCTACAATTTTCCTACTTCTGTCCCTATCAGCAGGCGTCCTTAGTATGCAGTCACGCTTCAAGGACTTGGGCGATCTGCTGTACGATTTCTTCGGCGCTGTGGTTCTGCTCGCAGCGGCAGTTGCGCTTTTGGTTGTGATCATGCTTTTGCTCTCCTCGGCGAAAGAGCTGGAGAGCAGACTCTTCAAGTACCATTGGTACAAGGCGATACTGCGTCCTGCTCTGTTGGCCACGATATTTGGCATCACGTTGACACTGGGCGCCCTCGTGCTAACATCCTTCGTGGTGGGCATGTTTAAAGACGTGGTACTTGGGGCAAAGATTCTGGGCTATGTAATCGCCGCGGCGATTGGCGCATTGGTGGTGATTCCATATACAGTTTTTATGGTGTTTTGGCTTCCCACCTTATGGGAATTCGGGGGGGCCAAGAAAAAGCAAAGTGACCTCGAAGGCGAGCCGAAAGGAAAGGAAGCTGTTGTTGGTGGCTCCAAGGATGCCGGTGTCAAGATACAAGCTGAGCCTTCTGGTTCCAATTGCCAGGATGCCAGCTCCACGGCGCCAACCGCGCGTGCTGTAAATCAGTCGCCAGAAGATACAAGTAGATAGCATGCTAAATGCGACAGAAGTAAGTCATAATAGTTGTTGTATTATAGTAAACACAAGATCTTATACAGTATATGTTTTTGTTCGTGATTTCAATATTTAAATAGGCATCAATTAATATAATATTAAACCTACATGTAGTGATAATATTCAGTTTTCTTATAGTCAGTGTCAATCTGCGCAATTAAAGCCCCGCATCCAAGAATCTCCCGCGATTAGAATTAAATTCTGCCTAGAAATTTCACTTGGAACTTTTGTCTGTTGGAGGGGAAAAAGTATGAAACTAGATGGACTCTTACCAGGCAACCGAATTTATAAACGCGAATTCCGGTGAGCTTCGTAATCTATGGTAATATAAAATAACATATGCGCGTGCTGTCAGCCACATGCATTTACCTAGGCATACAAATAGCGAGACGCCTGCATATATTCGGCCCCAGTTCCCTCAACTTCGTTACCAAGATTAGGGAAGGAACACCATTTTACTTCCTATTTTGCATTGATCTTTTATCATTCAGCAAAAATAGTCTGACAAAATGTCCAGCTCATCATTCAACGTTTTGACCGTAAACGCCGTGGATCTGCAACGCCTCCTAGTAGAAAATAAGATCACCAGCGTGGAAATTGTCCAGCAGTACTTTGAACAGATTGATCGCCATGAGCCAGTCCTCAACGCTTTCATTTCCGCTGCGCCTCGAGATAAGGTGGTGAGTGCCGCTGCAGCTCTGGATGAAGAGCGTAGGAATGGCAAGATCCGCAGCGCATTTCATGGAATTCCAATTGTCCTCAAGGTGGGTATGAGCACGAATGAGCATTCTGTTTGATGTCGCAAAAGACTAATTTGGCTTGTAGGATAGCTTTATAACTGCTGCCGATCTTGGCATGAGCACTACTTTGGGATCATGGGCCTTTGTCGGAGCCAAAACAGCAAAGAACTCTGCAATTGCGCAAACCCTAATAGATGCTGGCTTGATTATACTGGGAAAGGGAAACATGACGGTGGGGATCCTATTGTAGCAAGCTCGTTACTTCGCTGACACACTCTAATATGGCAGGAATTCGCTGGCATGAAAATGACAACCATAATGTCGGGTTGGTCGAGTCATGGCGGCCAGACGCTGTCTCCATACGTCGGCAAGATTGAAGAAAACGAGACTCTAATAGGGCACTCGGTGAGTATAACCGCTGATAAAGTTGTGAGATGCGTGTAATAGATGATACTCATGTTTACTAGGCCCCAGGGGGGTCCTCCACAGGTTCCGCTGTTGCTGTAGCTGCAGGCTTTAGTCCTCTGGCGATGGGAACAGAAACAGTCGGATCCATCGTCACTCCATCGACTCGCGCAGGGCTATATGCTCTCAAAATAACACACGGTGCCCTTGATACAACTGGTCTATACGCGCTGTCGGATTTCTTCGACTGCGCGGGACCCATGGCAAAAAGCGCTGCAGACATACGACTGATGGCTGAGATCTTACTGAAGCGCACATTCGATTCTACTTGTTTTGGGACCTGGGAAGGGCTGTCGGTTGGATTTCTCGATCCTCGCGCGTGGACAATAAGCGAAGAAATGTGTCCACAGCATGAAGGAACGGCAGAGCAATTGGTAGGTTGAAGCCATCTTGAATATATAGCATGTCTAATTCTCACTGTCCTCACAGGTAGAAGAATACGAGGCAGTCGTTGAACTTCTCAAGAAAAGGGGGTGTGCCTTGAAATATCCTGCCGAGATTGCAGGCGTCGAAGAATTGACTGTGGACGGAGAGCCTGCCATTACGCCAATCGCATGCAAGTATAAATGCCACCGGATGGTACAAATGGCTCGATATACTAATTCAACAACTTAGTTTGGGAATTTAAAAACGTATGCATCCCTCGATTCGTCGACTCGTTTGACGAATGTCCCGTGAGGAGTGTCGAAGACATTGTCAAATTTAACCGAGAGAATAGCGAGAAAGCTATGCCCCCTCGTGAGTTGCGTTAGCCTCAAGTGTATTCTTTAACTAATGATAACCTTAGCCTATACGGAGCAAAATGACCTTGAAAAGTCTCTCACTTACAACGACGAGCCGGAAAAGATCGAATCCTTGAAGAGTAGATTCCGACCTATCGGACAGCAGATCATCAACAACGCTTTCGACACTCAAGGACTAAATATTATTGCGGCACCTGGCGATAGTTCACTTTGCATACATGCCGCTGCAGCAGGTAAATCGAACCCCTGTATTGTACAATTGATGTTGTTAACCTCAGAATAGGCTACCCCATCGCCACTGCGCCAGTCGGACAGCTGCGATACAACGGACGCCCATTCGGATTGAGTTTCCTAGCTAGGGCAAACGATGAAGAGTCGCTGGTGCGTTTCATGGCAGCATACGAGGCAGTGGCTGCGCCTCGCCCAGTGCCAAACATATAAGCTCTCTCTTTGTAATAAAATATTATCATCTCTGGTGAGGAGCAGATGGAGGAGAGCCATACTATTCAGACTCGACTAGAATTTCGCTCCATATCCCCATTGCCACATTTGTTATTTAAACATAATATATACTATCGCTGATATCCTTTGATCTTTAATCTCTCTTTCGTCCATCTGTCCATTCGTCTGTTAGGGTGATGTTATAACACCACCACATACATTGAATTCTATCAATGTCGCTTACCAAGATCCCCCCCCAACAATACCTTTGCGGCCCCATCAGCCACTTAGCCACATCGCCAAACCAAATCTCTAATTATATCGTTCGAATCAAATCTCTAGCCCTGGCTCCACGATTTTGAGTGAAAGTTAGAGTAGCACTAGATACGACTTGGCGCTTTTAGTCAGTGCTCCGTTAAGCTATCTAACATAAAAAAAAAAAAAAAAAAAAAAGCTTTAGTTGTAGCTATCACTTCATCGCTGTCGCCTAGTCTTTGGCCTAGTCTTAGACACACTTATACAACTTTGATCATATTGATGGCTATATACATGTACCAAGATGGCCATAGATCTTATTTACCATATGGATCATTTCATATACCAAGCAGCCTCGTCTATGCCCTATTCTAAAGCTTTCTTACTTGGCATAAAGACATTACGCCACGATATTTAGCCCCAGCTATTTATATCTCGACCTATTTAAACCTTCGGCTCCGACATCCACTCAAGATACAATCGCACAATCTGGGAAGTACACACTCAAGCATTCGAAACTTGGATAATGAAACCGGATATCGTTACGATCTTTCGTACCAATGTGTGGAGCAGGATGTTACTCCAAGTCTTTAAGCGAGGCCATTGAGTTTGGGATATCAGACCAATCAAGGGTTGCAAATCGGAGGGGAACGCGGCTGTGACGGAGTTGATATCATATAGAAATGCCCTGTTTTTCTGTTCTTTGTTCAATACAGATCATTGCTCTTCACCAGCATAGCATCTTTATGCCTAGAACTTCTCACTCATCATCACGTCTCGCCATGCATTGTCTAATTCTCATCTGTGCATTTGCAGGCATCGCGTCCTCTCTCCGCCTCAACGCCCACATTTCAAACGATAGAGGCTTCACCATCGCTCAATCAGGCGGAATCGGAGATGTCGTGATAACGAAATTCAACACTCTCAATGGCACGCGCCACAAGAAAATGTCCAAAGCCAAAAGCTATGGATGGAACAATACAAGCCGGCACAACTTGCCATTGGAGCTTTATAACAATCACAATGGCGGCTCAATCAATGCCTACATTCAGGGCCTCGACTCTGACGGCGCCATTGTCTTCATCGACGCAAAAGGCAACCTCATCTACCCCAGCTCCAACGGCTCTCTCACCCCCATCGAGATCAAAAACGATCTTGCTATCCCTCTCCCTCCAAAAGGCGAATCTCTCACCCTCAACATCTCCATCCCCCTCACCTCTGGAAGGGTCTACTTCTGCGATGGCCATCTCAAATTCTTCATGGTCGACACAGGAAGCGGAGACGGCCTCGTCCAGCCCTCAGTCAACAATTTCCGTGACCCAAGCTCATCTCTCAACTGGGGCTTCATCGAGTTCACATATCTCGACAACGGCGCTCTCTACGCCAACATCAGCTACGTCGACTTCGTTGGCCTCATCCTCAGCATGATCCTCTCAACGAAAGACGGCAGCACGCCCCAAATCACACGAGGCCTCAGACCCAACGCCGTATACGAGCTCTGCGAAGGCTTGTTCAACCAAACCACCAGCGACGGCTATCTCTGGCTCGCAATGTGCGTTATCGGCGAAACGGGAGATCCAGTCCGGGTTCTCTCGCCAAATTATTATCAGCGCGTCTACGCAGCTGACTTTGAAGATTACTGGCAAGACTACGTCGACACAGTATGGGAGTACTATTCCTCCCATACTCTTGCCATCAACACGCAGACGTCGCTGGGCACAATTGAATGCCAAGTCTCCAACGGCACCATGCACTGCAACGAGGACAACCGTGGCTATCCTAAGCCCACAGCCCCCGACATCTGGAGCTGCAACAGCGGCCCATTCGAGGTCCAAGAAGGCGATAACCATGTCCACGCCGCTGTAGTCCCCCGTCTTTGCGCCGCATTTGTCCGGTCGACGCTCCTCATTCAAGGGGGAGACGTGCAGCCCAGCCTGAATTCGTCATATCACTACAGAGTCGATCCAACGCACCATTATAGTCGCATCGTGCATGAGCTGCAAGTAGACGGGAGAGGCTACGCGTTTTCCTACGATGATGTCAATCCTAATGGACACGAAGATGTTTCGGGGCTTGTTTCTTCTGGTAATCCGGACACATTGACGGTTTATGTTGGCGCACCGCCACCGTACTGAATGGATATCTGCATAACTGGGGTTGGGATTTACTGAAGATAGTATATTGTTTACTTCATCAACAAGTGTAGTCGTCAACCCTTCTCCGGCGTAAGATACAATAAATCTATAAGTTACACCAACAGATAAAGCTATTTATAAAAAATATACTAAGTTATTAAAAACATATTTAAGCCTAAACTTTTAATTCCTTACTGTATATTACTGGATCTTCTGTTCAAAATTAATTCTCCTTTATAAGGCATATACTAGTTTAGTTATATGATTTTTATTATATAGTGTAGACAATGTAGACAAGAATTGAGATTATTATTGCAAAATGTTAAGAGATTAGTTCGGTAGCTTAATACGGTTAAAATACACGGGAGATGATTCTGGAAAGCATGGATCACAATATGCTGCTGCACTGCAGTTGCTGTTGGTAGTTGGTTAGATGGACAGCTTCAAAAGTAAAATTAAACTCATTCATTGTATTTCGCATCCATTGGCTACTGTAAATGACAGGCTTTTCGCTTCATGCTAAAAACTTCCAAACATGGCTTATGCGATAGTAGTATGTATAACAAACAATAACCCTTGCGCCAACACGACGTCTCATTGCAGCAGTGCGCTTCGCTATGGAATGCTAGAATAGCAAAAGAGTGTAATACATACACTGGGCTCGTCAATTGACTTGGACAAACAAGTACTGACAACCAGGACGCACACGCTTTATAAAAAAAAAAAATAAAAAAAAAAAATAAAAAAGCCAAGCAACCGTAGGCCTGGGAAATCTCTTGCACATGCACCTCAAAAGGCTATGCCAAGATGAATGAGAGACATAGCCTCACAAACCTGAAACACAATGCCAAGTCAAGGGTACTTTCATGGATATTTTTATCTTTGTACCGACCGGTGCAGTTGAATTACGCTCGAATATGTGTGTATAGGACCATAGAGCTTTCTCAAATCGGAGCAGCATAGGAGTTTCACGTCCTACTGCCGATGAGGCCCATACGACTAATCTTTCCAGCAATTTTAAAAGACTGAAGGAGGTGGCGCGTTCATTTCGGATATGCCCAAAGATCGGCTTCAAAACTCTCATTTATGCAGGCGACGTAAAGGCCGCACGACGGCGTTATATTTGGTGAACCGTTTTTTCCATGGAAGGTTGCCCAGGACTATCTCGGAGTTTCATATTATAAAATATAGTAGGTAATGACTGAGCGTGGTAGTATTTCATACCAGCAGTACAAGAAACGGCAATATACATAGAACAAGGGTCGGGCTGCCAGTCCGGAGGAATGAGGTGGCTGAGGAGCTGGTTCGTGTTTGGGTAGGGTGAGCTCCTGATGTCTCTTGGCCACTGAGGCCCAAGGCGGTTGGGGATGGAGGCTCGAACGTAGAGGTGCCAGTGGCTGCTCCGGTAGCAGAAGCAACACCAGAATTCGTGGCGGTGGCAATGCTCTTGTTCCCGGTGCTAGTGTTGGTACGCTTGGCAAATCCTGAATCATGTTAGCGTTACAGTTCCAGTAGGTTATTTATAAAAAGAAAAGGAGGTGGGGGCTGCTAACCAATTCGCTTCTGGTCTTTGTCAAAGACGGCGTAGACGTTCTTTAGAAACGTATCGCCAAAGAGCCAAGAGCCTTGGACAACCTCGTAGCCATAGACATTGCTTGTGCACTTTCCAGTGCTATCCTTGGGGGAAACCCAGTCCTTGGGAGAGATGCTGAAGTCGACGCCAGAAAAGGTAGCGACCAGGGGAGTAGTGGTATCGCAGGGAACAGTCCAAGTGACGCCATCCGAGCTCTGAGCTCCGTCAATGACGGCGTGCAGCGCCTTGACGTTCTTTGAAGGGCCGAAGATGTAGGAGGTGCCTGTGTCGATGTAGGCATTGATGCCACCAACATTTCCCTTCTTCCCGTTATAGGACATGTCGTCCAAGGGAATGGACCAATCGGTGCCCTCGGGGATACTCGTGTAAGTGATGGCGCCGGTGTATCTTGACGGGTTGGTGGCACCAAAGGTAACTTCGCCGTCGTTGTAACCATCGGAAGCTCGACTCAGGGCAACAGAAAAGATGCTCTTGTCGAGTAAGCCGGCACCGCCCAATGCAGAAAGAAAGTTTTCATTTGCGCCACTATTCATGGACATTCCAAGAATGCCGTCAAAGGCAAAGTGGACAAAGTCGGAAGACGTGTTGGAGGCCAGACCAAACTGATATGTCAAGCTCATGCCGGCGACGCTAATGGTGTCGTTGACCAATGAGCCGCTGACAGATCCAGATCCATAGGCAATGTTGAAAGTTTTGGAGCTGGTTTTGAGGGTGCTCGAATCGCTCGGCCCAAAGGAGTCGTGCAGCGTGCAGGCTTGAGATGTGCAGTCGGTACCCATAACCCAACTGGAACCAGCGCCAGTATCGAGCAACATGTACATCTTTTTCTTCTGGGAGCCAAGTTCCGCCTGGACAAAATACGAGTAATCGGTGCCGTCTTGGTCGAGGCCGGCGGTGTCTGGTTCGTTGGGATCGACGGCCTGCATGATGTTGAACTTGTTGTCTCGCTTGGCAAGATTTGTGTCTTTGTTCGAGCTCGAAGAATCATCGTCGCCGCCGTATTTGTGAGATAGCAGGGCGGCCTGCCATGCAGCCTTTTGTTCTTGTGATACGGGAGCCTTGAAGGACATGATGGTCAGCATACGATAGACATTGTATACAGGGAGTCTGCCACCCCAACCAAACGTACCCGTCTTGATGCTCTTCGCTTAATGTCAAACGTCACACCATCTTCTACACTCCTCCTCGCCTCACCGGCGTGTTTCTCTTCAATCTCCTTCAACCACGGTGGTGTGTACGGATAGAAGGAGAGCGCACCCGAAGCAAACAGGGCCAGCGGCGCCAGCAAGACGGTGTTGGAGCGCATGTTGAGTTACAGCAGCGGAGATGTTGCCGTACTTGACAGTGAAGTAATTAGGTGATTAGATATTACGCATATAACATTGCCAGATTATTGGAGGGGAGGTATAAAATGGAAGGTCGAAAGGATGGGACGATGGCGCTGAGAAAACACGACAGCAAAAGGAACAGCAAATCAGTTGTAGAGACAAGAAACAGGCGGTGGCAACAGAACGAATCGAGTCGGGAGTCCGGGTCGATATCGCTAGCAGGCAAACAAGGACAGTCCGAAAGGGAAGCTGGGAAAAGAGCAGATGCAGATGCAGATGCAGATGCCGAAACAAGCGAAAACAAAAAAGATGCGCTAATATTAATGATTGACGATGAGAGAGAGCGAGTGCGAGTGCAGCCTTGATAAGGATATTAAGGGCAGTTTAAGTAAATAAACGTATTAAAAATGAAAATAAAAATATGACAGATGACCAAAGAAAAACTGGCAAGTCTATGGTATGGAGAGGGGAGAGAGAAAAAAGGACGACGGGACGAGGAGAGGAGAGGAGAGAGGAGGAGGCGAAGAGAGGATGGCAAAAGGCAGAAAATTAGCACAGGTTGAGCGCGGAGTCGTGCATATATTATGGAGCTCGCAGCAGCTAAGCAAATGGCCTGCAGCGCGTCTGGCCTCTGTATCGTCGATTTTTAGTGGAGTGGCCCAAGGGGGGAGCTGCAGAAGCGAGATGTCGAAATTAATGAAGCCGCTTTTCGGGGGGGGAGGGGGGGGGCCTTGGCCCTGTACAAGTACTAAAAGGCTAGCGGGCAGCTGTAGCGGGCTTTAGCGGCAAGGATGGGAGCTGCTGGCCTGACGGCGCGGGGAAACACGCACGATGGAGGTCAGCTGCAGGCGATGCAGATGCAGTCTGCATTTCGAGATTTGGTCTTTTGATGCCTCTGCCAACACAAGGCCCCACGAGGCTGGGCAGCCTGATGCGCAGGTCGCACCGTCCGGCAGGTCATCTGCGGTGGCTGCTGCACGCCGTGTCTCGAATCGGCCTTTTCGTTAATCTGCATCGCTTCCATGCTTTTGTCTTTTTTTGTTTCTGGCGTTTTTGAGCGATTTATTGCAGCTGCTTGAGGTCATTCAGACGCACTCCATGCCAGATCGAGCCTTAAGGCAGAGCCCAATTGTCAGTACGGAGTACTATAGTATGTAATTGAACAGAGCGACTGAGTCAAGCAAAGCTACCTACCCGCTCAAGTGCTCCATACACGACGTACTTTTATTAGCCAGCATTAGAGCAGCGTTGCTCAGGTTGGCTCTCTCGGTGTGCGGTATCAGAGTTGATGTGCTCATATCTGGCAGTGTCCAGCACTAGCAGTAGCATAGGCCTTAATAGAGCTAAATGCTCCAGGGCTCGCTGTGGTGATCCGCATACCAGCCTTGGCTCCTCGCTAAGCTGCAAGCAACAAAAAAACAACAGCCAGCGCCCGAGACAAGTCGATGCAAGGATGGGCGACCAGCTAATTGGCCGCCCAGCCCCGGTCTTCAACGACGCAGGTGCTAGCAATGCGAGCAATCTGCAAGCTGGAGCTGGCGTCAGCGCCGGTGCAGCAGCCGCCTGCTAGTAGTACTAGATGCAGTATTGCGATATGAGTTGCATCCATGGCTTATCAGCAAGTCCCGGGCCTGGAAGCAATCACCACTCAACAGTGACGTCTTAGCCTTGAGGCTTTGGACTTGCTCCTCTTTCATGGTGCGACACACAAGACAGCTTCAGCCAAAACGGTGTTTGTGACTCGTCATTCCGAGGGCCAGTAATTGGTCCAACTGCTGTGGGATGCCGGCAGAAAAGGTGTAGCCTCGTGTCATGGCTTGGGTAGGTGCTGATATGGAAAATTCACTGGCATTGTGTTGGAAAGGCAAAACTCTCGTCCAAGACATGTCATGCGAGGCGACTCATATGATTTAAGCTTTTTTTTTTTTCTTTTTTTCGACGTCTTGCTGTGCCCGTTTCGTTTCGTTTCGTTTCGTTCCACCGTTTTTGATATTGGCTTCCATCCCTTTTGCAAACCGCCGCAGCCGCGCCACACGTCGGCCTTTAGTCGTGGCTGCTCTTCTCCTCCAGCTCTGTTTAGGGCCCATCCCATCCGCAGGGCGAGCCACAGCCGAGCGGGCCGCTAAACTCAGCGCCTCTCCAGGGCACGCCTTAAGCCCAAACGAGCCAATGGTTCGACGCCCCGGGCAATCGTCATTTCAATCCCACCAGTTGCCCACCACCACCACCACCACCACCACACACGCCAACGCATGTCTGTCTGTGCGTGTGCGCTGCATGAGGATCGATCCCGCGGCTGAGACACTGTGGCGGCTGCAGAAGCGGGAGAGGAACAAGCATCGAAGCAAAAGAGGCACGTCATTGGATCTTGCATCTGTGCCGCTGCGAGACGTTCCGATGCGTGATGCCGGCAGCGTTGATGCAGCGCATCCTTTGAGCCGCAGTGCCAATCATGGGCATACACGTAGAAACGTCATGTATGCTTCGGCCATTACTCAATCACTCAATTGCTCTCTACAAGGACATATCTGGCATGTACTTGTGATGCCTGCACATGCTGCCTGCAACTGCCTCTCTGCAGTATGAGCTCTAGTCTCTATCAACTGCCGTGATAGTCTTAGCTGTTTGTGATATCAACACGCTCTAGGGGCAGTGATACTGCCGATCTTGGAGCTAGGCACCATTTCATCTCCAAAGGGCCGATGGCCAGCCCAGCGTTTGTGCGTCCGCGCGCTACGGCGTTAAGTCGAGGCGACATTGGACGCTGCTTTTGTCGAATTGCGATGTGTACTAGTATCATGCATTTGAAGCGAAATGCGAATTACTGTATAATGACTCTTACCCATGTACTCAAGTAGTTGATTCTCATAGAACTATAGTACCCCGTACTGGACCTGTTGTTGAGACTTTACAACACAAAGGCTCCCTCTCGCTTATGTTAGCTGGTATGCAGCGGTACACGTAATCTCGTTTACGGCTCGAATTCGTCTCTATCGACCTCATCTCCGTGTTTCTATAGCTTAATGCTTTTTATAGCACCAGTTCTCGATTAAAGCCATGTGCATAGTAATCCCCCGCTTTCATTCTCGCTTCTTTTCCTCTTTGTTCCCGCAGGTCGTCTTGGCGTCGTCAATTCGGGCAGCGGGAGCAATGCGGCTCACCGGCAATCATCATCATCTCTCCATCACCACACTCACGCACTCATTCATCACCCAACCCTCTGTCTCTACGAATTGCTAATGTCCCCAATACTTTTCTGCTAATAATTATACAATTCTATGAACAGCACACCTCAAAGGGTTTTACATTTCGAAACCCGGATGCCCGGTGACCGAATCCTGCGTCCTCCCCTTTCTGGAATGCGGCCGGGGTCACTCTTCATTTTCCGGCATACCTGAATCTAACCCATGTCGTCAACTCCCATATTGGGCCAAGAGACCTACCTTGTGTAACGTTGAGAGCGATGGAAGGAGATCGACGTGCCTTGCGAAACCCGGGCATTTAGCGCAGTGTAGCTTATTAGACTCCATGCCCAGAGTTGTACGCGATATTGTGTCACTGCTCACACAGCCACGCTGCTACTACTACTACTCTGTTGTATTCGTACGTGTATGTGGTTTTTCCCCTGAAATGATGTGTCGCTCTAGAAAGGGTCAAGATATATACTATGACTGATGATAGCATGAACAACAGGGAATGAAAAGTAAAAAGAAAACGAAAGAAAAAAGAGATGCAGTCTTCTCATCGCTCATGCAGAATATGCCTGAATCCAACTCGCCGCCTGCTCCAATATCCTCTCTCCGTCAGAGCCCCTTTCCGCGCCGCCCAGCAACGCCAGCCTCGTCGCCTCGACCCCTTCTCGCCAATCCCTGTCGCACCAAGCCCTCGCCGAGATGTTCCTCAGAAAATACCACACAGACTCATTCCGCCAGTGAAATGACGCCGCCAGCCTCGTCGTCTCGCGGACCACCGGCCCAGCGTATTCCGGGTGCCGGTCCAGGAAGAACATGAGGAATGCCCACCCGGAGATGTCGTCGTGGTGACGGACGGCCCAGTTCTTGGCCGCTTCCAGCATCCCCGCGAGGTCTTTGTCTTTGTCTCTGTCTTTGTCCCGCTCGGCGGCTGTTTCAGAGACGGCGTTTGCGAGGTAGCGGGCGTGCAGCCAGGCGTAGTAGTTGCGTGGATGTCGCTCGGCGGCTACCGAGATGACTGCCGTCATGATGCTGGTGGCATCTATCTTTAGGCCATGCTCCTGTAATCGCTGCATGAGCCATTGGCGATGCCCCCACAAGGTAGGCGATTTGGTGTGTCGATGGAGACGGCTCGTAAGAAGGCTATCGACAAAGTATAGCTCATCTCGTATTCTCGCCTCAACGTCCGTGCCTGGCTTGATGGCATCCTGGAGCATCCTCTTCCTCGTGTTGGCGGCGGTTAGATGCTCAGGGTCCATCAGCAGCATGACGGCTGTAGCTCTCGACACATCTTTGCCTTTGTAAAGCAGTGCCCGGGCAAAAATGAATGCCTGCACCAGTCGTAGCTTTGGCACCGCAATGGCTGGTCCGTCCTGCAGCAGTATCGTCTCTGCATCGGCCATGTGGCTCCTCCCTAGCAATTCTATCTCCAGCAATTCTGCATGCCGCTGCGACAGAGCATCTGCAATCCTGGTGAAAATCTGCTCATGGTCTCCATGCTTGATTGCCCTCTTGACATCATCGTCCAGCGCTCTAGACATCTGAGCGCAAAAAGGGTTGCCGTTGCTTGTCGTGGGATTCTGCTCGCTTTCAACGTTTAGTGCAGGGTAAGCGCATATAGTTATATGGTGGAGCGAATTGCGGCGGGCGTGGAGCTGGGCGAAAAACCACTGGACAGCCCACATGCAATCTGTCGGGGTTATGACATACGTCGTCGCTTCGCATGTGTCCAGCTGGCAAAGCTACAGCTGCGGGACTCACCTTGTCCGTCTTCTTGGCCTCGCAGTAACAAGGAGCAAAAAAACGAAGAAAAAAGCCCTCTCGTGAAGCTTCGCAGCTGCAGAGAGAAGCAGCATCTTCTTTCTTCTCTCTTCTCTCTTCTCTCTACGAGCCACTAGCGTTTTTACGCCGCCAAGATGGCGAACCTCATGATCATCGTGTTCCTCATCGAGGCCACCGTCAAGCTCATCAACGCAATCGGTGCAGCAAAGATCAACGACCTGGTACGACCCGTCGACTTGTCTGCAGCCTCGTCGAGTTCCTCGTGCTAACAGCGCTCTTCTGCAGCTATGGACCCTCATCAACTACCTCCCCGTGCCGACCTCCAAGGCCGCCGCCGAGCAGCGAAAACTGCAGGCCGAATACCTCGCCGCGCGCCGAGAGATGAACGCCACAAGCAGCCAGGACGAGTTTGCAAAGTGGGCAAAGCTGAGGCGCAAGCACGACAAGCTGCTTGAGCAGCTCGAGACATCCAGTACGTAGCGGTTCCTGCAGTCTGAGACACATGTTCACATCTCCATCCATCCGCCCTGCTGCGGCATCTACGGGACGACCACGATAGATTGACTAACTGCCCTGCGTCTGTGCGTGTAGAAAAGGGACTCGACTCGGCCCGCTCCAGGTTCGACAGCGCCCTGACAGCCTTGCGCTTCCTCCTCACCCGCGCGCCGCAATACATCATCCCCTTCTGGTACGCCACGCAGCCCATGTTCTGGCTGCCGCACGGCTGGTTTCCCTACTACGCCGAGTGGATCATCTCGTTCCCGCGAGCTCCCTTGGGAAGCGTTAGCATCGCCTCCTGGCAGCTCGCGTGCACGGGCATCATCACGCTGCTGATGGATATCTTTACGTCCCTCTTCAAGCTCGCCCAGGGCACGAAGCAGAAGGAAGCTCCTGTTCCAGCTGCTGGTGCGGAGAAGAGCAGCAAGGATGCCGCCCCAAGTCCTGCTACGGACGAGAAGAAGACTTCATAGGTACTATAGATGCCACAATTGCAATTACATGTTGTGTTCATAATACCTCTACAAGAATAGCCCTAAGCCCCAGCCCCAGGTGCCTCAGCAGAGAGGCCAGGAGCATTTAAGCAAGCGAGTCAAAGCTACGAAATTTGTAGGAGCGAAATGTATCTCGTTGAAATTTTGACGCAAAGTTCTTCATTGCAAACGCTGAGACTTTGTAACACGACAGAGAATGACCTTTTGCAAGGGTTTTTATAGGCTTCATATTGACTCTGGCGACCACTGAGAAGAAGATCGCGAAAGCTTCGAATGTGCCATGAGGGGGGAGGGCAAGGATTTCACGGCATCGCAAAGGCACGGATATCGGTCAAGGAGGAAAATGAAACATGAATATCTCATTAAAATGCTGCTGCTAGCTGCGCTGGTTGTCGATTTGATCTTCCATTAGGCGCATCGAGAGCGACCCGATCTACCGAGTAAGAAGAAGAAAAAAAGAGTTTGAAAGAAATGGATAGGTAGGGAACAAGAAACTATCAAGGCCGCGAAGAAAAGCTGGATAGAAAAACCAAAAAATTGGCGGGGACGGGTCTAACTAAACCCGCTTCCGACCCCACCCAGTCCAGAGGCTGCACACAATGAATGCCCGAGTACCTCTTAGTACTAGGTGAATGTACATGTATACGCACGAGAGCCTCAGGCTGGTGTATCTTGAATAGAGGATGAATACAAGTATCGAAATATTCACTTTTTGGGTACTAGTAGCGAATCTTGTTCTTTATGTACGTTTCTCTGATAAAAGAGTTATTGCAACAATACGGCAATTCCCTTAGCACCCTCCAGAACTGATGATTGGACGACGTGATTCATGCGTCTCATTGAGCGAGAAGTCCGGCCCATCTGGCGTATAACTTCAACACTCTCTGATCTTGCAGTTGGGATGAGTAAAGTAAGTTCTATAAATGCTCTGATTTCTACAAATCCTGTGATTGCCTATCGTGCCAGTATAACTCTAGGTTCACATGTAACTTTCCTCTCACTCCTACTTACATCCCAATACGATGTCCTCTCTATAGCTTTGACTCTCTTAGCCCAACAAAGCTGGGCCGAGGAGTGCCTTTCGCGTCGCTCTTCTTCGGTCTCACCATCAAGTATATTGGCTCTGATTGGAAATCGTCAACCAGTTTTTGAGTTTCCTCAGTTGCATTATCGATATTGATCTTCAAAAACTCTTTGCGTATAAGTTTAAAACCACTCTTAACTCCCAAACCGTGGCTCATTTGCACGAATTCACCGTATCCTTCGATGTCATGTTTATCACAAAGTTCGTCAATTATTTGCATAATCATTGGCGCAGCGCGAAGTTGGCGATACTCTGGGAGCATCCACATGGCTTGGCCATCTATTATCCCAGGGGATCAGTTACTGTCTTGGGCATGTAACCATTGATGAAGTGGCTGGGCGACTTACATATATGCTCGCGTGGCCGCATTATTTGGCTGTGCCACTCATGAAGCTGTCCGTAAAACTGCTCAGACACCTTCTGAATCTGCGATCCCGGTTCGAATCCATTATGGGACTCATCTGGCATATGCTTCGGCTGTTGCTCCTCTTTCCAGTGCGTTAAGCACACGCCACCAACAATGGGAGAAAGCGATTGCTCTTCATCAATGACCTTGTACCATAGCTGTCCAGGACTCGTCTTTGCGGCGGCGAGATATTGAGCTTTCTTGACCTCAAATGATTCAATCTCTTCTGGCCCTCCTTGGCCTATGTGAGGGAATGTTGCTACCATTGCTGCCTGCCTTGGAATGCTCCATGATTTCCAAAAAGTTCTGAATAATGGATCCCAGTCTCTTGCTAGATTAACGGGATAAAGCTTAAGAGAACTTAGGGACGGCATTTTGACTTCTAAATACACCGGGGGGGGGGGGGGGGGGGGGGGGGGGGGGGGGTTTAAAGGTAGTTGACTTTACAATCCGTGTATACGAGCATAGATTGTTAGCTAAATACATAACACGGCTTTGCACGGTATTTATCCAAGAAGCTTTGGCTTAAGCTCTACAAAGTTACCTCCACACAAGGTTCCAGCTGTTCTTAGTTATTAGTTAAGATTACTACCCAGTATACGCCATGTGCATTCGTTTGCTTTAAGCGAAGCCAACATGAAATCTTTTCATATCCACACGGAATCCTGACATGCCTGTACGGAAATACGGAATACTCGTCAGTCAGCGACATTTGACGCTGTGCCGCCTCTGATGCCGCCTGGAACTTGGAAGTGGAACGCTCATTGCTACGTAATACAAGCATCTAAAGTCTCATGTAACATAGATACTGGGCAGCAAGAAATAAGAGGGAAAAAAAGTGACACGTTTACTCCGTAGATCAAATCCAGGTACAAAAGTGGGCTTCGGCATGGCGAAGCACGGGGGGTTGTTTTAGACTGCTGACGGTTACTGCATATTGGAATACATGAAAGTTACGGCAAAGTCTGATGACGTTGACATATAAGGATAACTTTGCTATTTCCTGGGTGTGTAAAATGTCTATGCCTATTTTCTACGAGGATAAATTTTATACTTGGCTGAAAACTAATTGCACTTAATATCGTAAATCCTTTATTTTCTATTGTAATCATATTCTCTCTAGTTAATATCACAAAAATATCAGCCTTTGTCAAGAAGGATCTCGAGCATTTACCCCCAACGTTATAGGTAGTATTATACTTGTTTACCCATGAATCTGACTGTGTAAAAGTGACACGGTGAGTAAGCGTAAAGGCGGACCATGCTTTCTGACATGCAGATTTGACAAATGGTCCGCTATTCGGATATAAGAAAAGTAGGATTTGTGTGAATAGCCAACAAGGAGATATCTACTATATGCATACAGCACGATGACAAAACTCAATGAGCTGATTGTTCATATCCGTCCCAATGTGCGCAAATATTCATTCTGCTTTCCCTGGTTTTGTGTATGCCCGCTTTTCCGCTTAATTGTTTACCCCGGCAAATTATACTAAAATGGAAATAATATAGAATATTTACTAGATAAAATATTTATTAATCAACAAGAAATATCTGTGCAAGTGTTATAGTATTTATGTATATAGGCATGAAGTAATACTGAAAATAGATTTCCCTGATACATTCAAGGTGCAGCAAAGCAAGACCGAAGACTTTCTCTTCCAGAAGGCCCTAGAGTTGTGGACTCAATTTGATCTGACACAGGATATCGGGCTTGCATTCACCCTACATTTGGATTATTCCTTTGCTATCCTTCCTGATCAAGTTTGAAGTCTTTCTCCTGAGCTCCTGAGAGATGTTTGTATATTGTCGAGCATGAAATCACGACGCTCAATTTAAAGGTCCTGTTGCCCAAACAATAGAAACATGCTGCTAAAATAGTGATATAAATAGCAGTTACTAGATGCGGTAATCGAAGTCTTTACGTTTCAAGTATTGATTCCATACTAACACCCTATATAGGGCATGCCTAACCGATTTCCTACACAGTTCCAAGTCCTAGTGTTACACAATAATTATCATTTTTTGTAATAAAATTCCGCCGAATTCATTATCAGGATGGTTTATGATACATCAACAATAATTGGAATATTCTCGGGCAGGATCCTTTGTGCTTTCTCTTTTTGCAATTGGTAGAATCTCTTGTATTCTCTTTATGGCAAATAGCTACACTTTGTGGCTGCCGTTTCCGTCTCAAACTCTAATCGTTTAATAATTCGTAGACTAAGATACACTTTCTACCCCTAGGATGCTCAGGGTTGTGCAGCTACTTCCACAGCGGCCACCTCCTTATCTAGAGGTAAGATATGCGGGAGCGGTCCAACTGGAGTGATTGAAAAAGGGTTGATGGGAGTGTGGCTTTTGGTATAATGGTTTTTGATATGATGGAAATTAGTAGTTTCCTTGAACGCTGGGATGTTCCAGTATAGGTTTCGTAACCACTTATGAATGTGAGGGTAGCCGGATCGGATATCTCGAATGTTGCATTTGAAATGCTGAACATATACAGGCTGTTAAATAATTAGTAAGATTCGGCAAAATCCGCCAAATTTGGAGCTTTTATCAAGTGTGGAGGAACTCTTGAAGTAGGAAAATGGCAGAAGTGGATTGTAAAGAGAGAGAGAGAACGTACATCAAAGCGGATGATCGTGACATATCTGCATTAACGTGTTAGTATCATTCAACAAGGACCAAAAGAAAAAGCTCCACGGGTCTAGTAGTAGCTTACAGCCGAATGTCGACTTCGGTAAGGCTCTGGCCAAACCAGTAAGGCCCGCCAGTCGATGCAAAATGGCTTTCAACTTTATCAAGGGCCCCAAAAAGCTCCGTTACGGCGTGTTCATATGCCTCCTGTGTGGTAGCAACGCCGCATTTATACACGCCGTTGTTAATGTCATCGTAATGCCAAGCTTGAACCTCATCAATCTGACTCTGCAGCGCTTCAGGGTATAACGATACGTCGCGATACTTTGGATCAATGATGTCGTCAAACTAGTACCCGACCGTTAAAAATTCTGCATCACAGACGCTTATAGTTTGCGATCATAACTCACCTCTGTGCCAAACATGCGAAGGATTTCGCTACTTTCGTTGTTTACAATTGTCTTTTGGATCTTGTCATACAAGACTGGTACGCTGAACCGGGCTTGATAGTCAGGGTCAGTTTCGTAATACACTTGTCGCAAATGAGTAAAATGTTCATGCAAAGGGTCGGGAATAGCATTTTCTCCTTCGGCGTCATTGTCTTCGGCAGTTACAAACCGCCATCCTATAAATGGGTTAGCTGTCACAAACATAGTAAATTTTGGACCCATTTCATACCGCCGTCTTTAAGAAGCCAGTGTACAGACGTGAATGGGATGATCTCTTCTAAGCCTTTGAGTTTCCGAGCAATCAATATCCTATGCGCCTAGTGTCATATGAGCTTAATGTTGAATTAATAGCGGTGGTGCAGGGGACTGCATACCCAAGGGCAAGCATAGCTGACGTAGAGATGATATCTGCCTCGTTCTGCTGGGAATTTGGATCCAGGTTTGTTGGAAATGCTGTCACGAAGGACAGCTTGTGGGCGCTGGAAATTGCCCCCTTTATCGGAGAAAGATTTCCAGTTTGTGATATTGCCGTTCGACTGCTCAAAAACATTGTAGTAAAAGTATTAGCAAGACAACTGGGGACGATGGCCTATAGCGCTACGGAATATAGACAGTACAATAAACCATCACACTTAGTGAGCAGGAGCCCTTACCATTTTGTTGAAATTGACTCAAAACAAATAGATGCGAATGTTAAAAGAAGAATTGTCTATCAGAAAGAATAATGCAGCAAAAGAGGAATTGAGGTTCTTATGCTTTCTTACCCGGCTTTCAACTTGATGACAATCAAGCGCTCGCGCTGACTCATGCCGCGCGGTAGATTGCTACGCGCTAGGAAATCGTATTTCACTGGTAACTGGAGTAGAGTGCTAACTACATATAAATAAAAGCGCTAACTGTGGTTTGGTATCAGACTAGTGATTCTCTTTATGAACTGAAAATAAAAGTGAGAGTACATAGACGTGTTACCGCTGTGCTAACCCCGCGGTATCTGAATTGTTTTCCGTGGAGAAAGGTTGATCTGCTCCGCACAATTTTGTTTCAGTAACTAACGATCGCTCGAAGCCATCAGCGAATGCCATTGTCATGGCGTGCGGAGCGTGGTTTCAGCCGAATATGGTCTCCGCTTGAACCTTAAGCTAAGCACTGCATAAACGAAAACCTCCATAATCCCAGAACCTATACGGAGTATGTATAGCACTGAACCGTTAGTATATAGGCCCCCCTTTACAGCTTTCCCTGAATGGATGGCGGGGTTGCAGCTTTGTTCGCAGCGAGCTCAAAACTGAAAGCCTTACACTCTTTATACAGGCTATAACTGATCTCGACTTCATTAAACTCGAGAATGTGGCTCTTTAATCATCTCTCTAGGGAGATGGCGTATCTTGAATTCTCCAGTTATATGCCACTACACCATCTGGATAAATAATATTCAGCTGCCCACTATGGCTATAAAATAAACGGAATTTGGCTATTCGCATCATACAAACATTATATTAATCATTAATGACCTTTTCTCATTAATATCTAGAGACATAATATCCCATCTGGTGTCAAAAAACATGTGACCAAACTATCCACTCCCCGGACTTCGAATTTCCAACCTTCTGGGGACAAGGAGCAAAGGAGTGAAGACGCTGTAAAGAACGTAGAAATAAATGCATTTTTGTGATTTTCCTGCGTAATAGCAGTCCGAAGCTTCTGTAGCGGCTCGGCAGAACTTATTTGGATACCCTCACCCATACATGGCATAGTAGCTGCGAGAAGTAGACAACGAACAATGGTGGGAGCGTTAAGAGTACCCATTTGCGTGGTGCATCCTCCTCCGAAGAATCCCATAAGATTCACGCCTAGCCTTTTTATGGCATCAATCAAGCACTGTCCATTTTGCGCCATAGTCAGGGGAAATTCCCATTAGATCTCCCGAAGCCCGCATGATTAATGAGCACCACCGGCCGCTGTGCTGCTAGCGGGTTAATAAGATCTTGGTCCCAATGATCTATGGTTCCCCTTTGATCAGTAAGGAATTGGACCGCAGAGGTAGACTATGATAATGCGTAGGTAGTCACCTGAAGTGCATAATCAGAATCAGATAAATTCCCTCTGTAAGTCATTGATCAAGAATCTCTATGAACCACTCTACAAAAATGCGCTTACATAGATGAGAAAAGGCGTTTTATAAACACTATAGTAAGAAGTAATATGAGAAGAAGACTATGGAGGGCTTTACACTTCGTCTCAATGATAGATGAATGTATCAATCGTTTAAAAATCCTCCGTTTTATTCTACCGCATCGTCATTAAATTCTCATGTACTAGGTAGTAAAGTTGTACATATATCAATATAATCTCCATTACTAATATTGCCTCCTATAAAATCACTTTATTTGCCCGATTCAATATCTACAATCGCTGAGCAACACTCTTTAAGCCAACTTCTGTTTCTCGTCTGGGTCTGGTAAAAAGTTTAATCGTGGCGCTTCGTTGATATATCCAACGAATGCTTTAGCTTTTCTCTTGTCACTGATCCATGGAGATACACGGCGTAAAATCCTCAGCCACCATGTCTCCATTGCTTCATAGCGGGTAACATATCTAGACATGGTGACAATCGTCTTTGCATGTGGTCGCTGCTTCTCTTCGTAGGCATCCAAGGCGGCCGTAATCTCATTTCGTGTTGGCTTTCTTCCGCTTGCTTCGCATTGTTGTACCAAGGGCACTAATTCATTAACAAGATGAACAACACCCTCAACAGCTAAATTGCCACCGAGGCCAACGTTAATTGTCGATTTATGCACTGAATCGCCCATTAGAGCCACACGACCACCTGTATTCCACTTTGACTTCAAAATTCCATCTTCGAGGGATAGCATGCTCGCTTTGACTCTACTATCCCATAAATCCTTGAACGTGTAGCCTGGGCCAAGTGCATAGTCTCCATATTTGGCGATGGTGGCTTCAGTCTCTTCTTCGGTGAATTTCGGTATCCCGGGCATTCTTGTTTTCTTATCACTCTTGACAAACATAAACCAATAGGCAAAGCCCGGGACGCCTATAGCAACAACGCCAGAGAAACCCGGGTAATAGACGTTATGCACACCCCCATTGGGCAAAAATTGCTGGCCATTAGATACCCTGGCATTTTTGGATGTTGCAAATATACAATGATAGGTGCTTGTGAAACCAGTTCGCATTTCTTTTGATGCGGCAGCGTTGGTGATGGAGAGCTTTTCCGCCATCAGTTCCCGTATTGTACTATGGATGCCATCCGCACCAAGAAGAATATCTCCTTTGATGATTTCACCTTTGTCCGTGGTCACCTCAACACCATCCTCTGTCTCGGTAAACGAAGTCACACATGTTTGTGTCCGAAGACGGGATTTGTCCTCGATCTGGTTATAGATACAGCTAAGCATGAATCTTCGTTCCACAAAGGTAGTCCATCGTTGAGAAGTCCTATTAAGAACGGGTTAATACATTGCGACATGCCCTCTTCACTTATACATGTTAGGGATAGTAGTATTCGCCATAAGAAGAGGAAAAGAAATGGCCTTGTTTGACTGGCAGCTTTCACACTCACATCTTGGAAATTTCTTGCAAGATAGTAGAATGTTCAAACAATTTTCCATTTTCATCATAGTGGTGCCGGATATCTAGCGGCAGAGCGCCAGCTTTGATCTCAGGCCATACACCAAGTTGTTCCATTACCCGCTGAGTGTGTGGGTGAATGGATATAGAGGCACCTAGATGGGGTGCAATCTCCCCCTTCTCTAACAGAACATGGTCAATCCCAGCTTTTTCTAGTGCCAACGCTGTTGTGAGGCCGACCAGACTGCCGCCGACGATGATTACTGTGAACCGCGGCAATTCAGAGTCCGCCATGAGCCTTTGAAGGTCGTAAATGGATGTGTATGAGTTGGCAAGTGTGGAGCGCAAAGAGTGAGTCTTGAAACAGCAATGTGTTGTTTTTTGCGAATAACATAATTACATGCGGTATTAAGATTAGTAGATGATGCGATACGTGGAAATTCCTTTTATCCGCCAACTTCTCCGTCTTAAGACCCGCTTCATATCCTTGCTGTTGATACTTAAACGCTATGACTTAATGGCCGTATATAAGATGGAGAAATTGATTGTCTAGGTTTGATATTAATAGAGCCATACACTGATACTCATCAAGTGTTTGATAACCGAATATTTATATCGCATGGAAATATGAAGCATAGGAAACGCTTTTGTTACAGCCCGTGATATACCCATATCCCTAGTATCGGGATTGTCTTTTCAGGTTGCTACTGGATTAGCTTCCAACTGGAGACCAGGGGTATTGTAACTATGGCGCTGGTACAACCGGCTGCGAAACAGGAGATATCAGTATCGTATGGCGCCATAACCAGCACTAGCTGCTTTAACCATTACTATTTGCAAGATGAAGCCCTCTTTTCGTTTTATTGTACTCAATTCCTTAGTTACTGACAACAACTGAGTGCAAATGGCTACCTAGTCGCTGGTGAGTTGATCTATACTTGTATCGTGTAAGCGGTGGTTGCTTATACTGAGCTACAGTGGGGTGCAATGTTTTCCCTGTATCCTCTTAATCGAACATTTGCTCACTACCCTATACATCTTTACTTTCACTCCTACAACAGTTATCTTTCCGATATCTTGGTGCCTCGAAATAAAAGGAACACTGATGTTGAACTACCCAGCTTAGGAGTGGCTGGGAGCTGTATAAAGGCTTTTCCTTACTAGTAGTTAATAGCGTCAAAGCAGAAAACGAATGCTATTGAAGATTTATGCATTTTCCCTACGAAAATTGTGTTCTGACTTTTGAGAGCTAGTTATAAATGTTTATATATTTATACAGATTGTAGTATTTAGGGCAGAGGCTCTTTATTTAGCTGAATTATTGTACGTAAAGGCACTGTAGATAATATAATGGTAAGTGGTGCGAGAAAAACAATATGGACTGCAGATTGAAAATACACATACAAATTGAGAATATAAGCACTATTGGACCAGTTAATTTTTAGATACTGGTGTCGTTGCGTGCGCAAAGTTGAGAAGTGTGTGCCGATTGTTTGTAAATTTCCTACTTTTCTTCACACCACTCGGATGGCTAATTTTATAAAGATTAGCTAAGACATGTGAATGCAACATGTTCATTTGTCACTTATGCGTAAACCTAACCAAAATACCCTTGTGTATCTGTTACATAAAACGAAATGGAGATACGAAATAGATGCACCTACTAGGTATAACAACTGATAGGTTGATCTGAACGGAGCAACTTAGGTGTGTTCCTGCTTGGAAATACTCGGAATTACACTTGCCCCAGATTATCTTACGCCATTCCCGAAATTATTTCCGGCATACCTCCAGATATCATGACGTCTAGCACTTATATGCAAAACATTCATCTAAATTATTATTTTACATATCAATAATACATGAGTTACATAATTAACAATATGTATTCTGTTGTCCAATACTAGACTATTGATTAAGCATAGAATATTAGTATATTCTTATATTTAAAAAGTTACACAACTTGCTTCATCATGCACATCTGATATAGTGTTAATCCCAAGAAAATAATCATGTTGTTTTCATGTATATTTATATATAAAATAAAGAATTGGCGATTTTTTTTCTTCATTATCTATATTTTACATAAAAAAATTACATAATATTATTATGCCTTTATACTAAGATTATTACATGCATATTAATCTGGACTACATTTTAGCATATATTTCTGCGAAATCCGCTTCGCTTAGAAGCGACAAATGGAACAAACAAGGTGTATTTTTCATGCCTGATAATGCTACTGGGGTGCTATAATATTCGCTACCTGATATTGTAAGCCTCGGCAGTTGTAGATCTTGGCCAGCCGCCCCTACCCTTGCAACTAGCCGCAAGGCTAAACTGCAAAACTCCCTCGTCTGCTCCGTACGCAGTATTCCTCTATGTCGTATACATCTCATGGGCCTGTTTCATATACCAAAGAGGTACGTAGTAAATGGATCCCTTCTTGATTATTCATAGGTATCAGCATTTTTATTATGTCAGACTCCAACATGGCGCAATCTCACATTATGTTAAGTATATATAACCGATTGGTAAATAATTTTATAAACGAAATGTCTGCAAAAAGGAAGCTGGAATGGCAAATACCTATACTGATTTTGCGTAAACTCGGCTTACAGATACCAGCAGGGTTATGTCTTGTCCAAGTAACGTGGGACTATGGAGTAAATACTCTCAAATCCTCCCTAGTTCGAAGAATGGTCGGCCCTCTCCAAAATCCTTGAGGCTCAAAGACATATATATATAGAGCTTAGTTTACAATGAAATGGAATATTGAATCTCTCATCCAAAATCGGGACATTTTATTTGCATTTACTCAGTCTTCTCTATCTAAAATACTGCACCATTACAATGACTGATCTTAATGTCTACCAAGATGATAGTGTTACGCTGCCGAAAGCAGACCATGTACAGTTGATTGAAGATCTTTTTCATCAGTTCTTGCTCGCACAGAAGGCAACTCTGTCACCTCAAATTGTCGACATTGCGACTAAGGAAGATACTGCACAAATGCGAGATGCCACAATACCAAAGGCAGATGGTATGCCTATGGATCAAGTCATAAGTGATATGGTCAAGATCATGTCCCACCGAGTGGCAATGGAGCACCCCAAGTTTTTTGGTCTCATTCCATCACCCATAAACGAAAATTCATATTTGGGGAACATAATAACAACCATGTTCAACGTTGGTACTGGTAGTTGGTATCAAGGCTCCGGCCCTAGCACTGTCGAGGATACCCTCATAAAGTGGATGGCTGAGCAGGCAGGCCTTCCATCTTCTGCTGGTGGTGTCTTTGTGTCTGGAGGCACAATGGCTAACTTGACTGCTGTCGTAACTGCGCGAGATGCCATGCTACAGTTTGATCAGAGACCAAAAGCAGTGATCTATGCTTCGAAAGAGACTCACGTTTCCGTGACCAAAGGCCTGACTGTGGCGGGCTTTCTCCGAAGCCAGATCCATCGCGTGGAATCCGACTCAGATTTTCGGATCGACCCCCAGAGTCTGCGTCGGCAAATTGCGATTGATAGGAAGAATGGCTTGGTGCCGTTCTTAATCGCTGGAAGTTGCGGGTTTACTAATACCGGAGGCATAGATGACCTAAATGCGCTTGCAGATATAGCCCAGGAGGAAAATCTATGGCTGCACGTCGATGGTGCCTACGGGGCATCTGTAGTTCTCTCAAAAGATCACAAGGGCTGCGCCGACGGTCTTGGGAGAGCAAATAGCTTGTCTTGGGATCCTCATAAATGGCTGTTCCAAATCTATGACTGTGGCCTGGTACTTGTCCGGGACAAGCGCCACCTGGTACAAAGCTTCAACACAGAGGCTTCATATATTCGGGACGCAGAAGAGGTGAATACCGATACGGTGAATTTCTGGAATCGCGGTATCGAGATGTCTCGCTCTGCCCGAGGGTTGAAGCTCTGGTTCACCCTCCAACGAGTGGGCCTCGAGAAGATGGGAGAAATGATTGATCATGGAATCTACCTTGCTGAATTCGCGGAACAGACTTTCCGAGAGCTTGAGAACTGGGAAATCCTATCAACAGCCTCGTTGGGGATGTTCAATTTTCGGTATATTCCCCCGATGGAGAACCTTGACCCCAGCCTGGATGTTGAGAAGTGTTGCGATGATATCAACGCCGCTATTTCTCGACTGGCAGTGGAACGAAACATCGCGGCACCGATGACGACGAGACTCCGCAAGGCTTTGAATCTTCGGATGTGCACGATATCCCCGGAGCTGAGCAGAGAGCAGCTCTTTGAGGTTATCCAGAGCATCGATCTGATCGCCAAGGAAGTTGAGGCGTCTTTTCTAAAGGAACATGTTTTTAAGCTCTGAGATTACTAGAATACCTTCATTTTTCTTTTGTTAAATGCTGGTAGATCTTTTGGATGGGTTGTTTCGGTAGATTATAAGCTACCGGCTGTACATAGGAACTACCTTGTAAATCATAGAGAGTTTCTTTCCTTTTCTTCTATAGAATGAGCTTTCTAGATATATAGATGTTTGGAGAAGAAAAAAAATAGCTTATACCCTTTGCTTTTTCATTTTTTTTTTCGTGGTATGTACTGTAAGGCCGATAAAAAAAAAGTCTTACATACTATGCAAGTGACAACTCAGGGGTAACGATTCCTTATTGTAGGATTCGTGCCCAAACTTCGACTAGCTTCATGCAATGGATTATCGTAATAGCCAGTTCCTTGTGTAAGCTTATTCTTGCCGTGATCATTACTCAAAATGCAATACGAACTACTGCCCAAATTGGTCAAACTACTTAGAACAGACATATCATGCGTAAGACCGCTGCGATTAGAGTAGGACTTATCCTAATAACACGAAGTCGTATGATTTAAGACTCTAGTATAAAGAAGCAATCAATCATGTTGAACCTTTTACTATCCCGCTTGATTTTTCTTCCGCAGTCGGCAAGTTCAGCATTGGCATCAAGTACATGTACATGCATATGCGTTGACGATGGCGAGATACTTGATAGAGATGGCGCAGACTCTGCCAGCCTCTCACCTCGATCTTACATGCTACGTTTCGCCAAAGAGTTGAAGATTTGCGATCCTCTTGATCGTGTACTGTTCTGCTCTAATTTTACTTTTTGTACTTCATTTTTGACCGCAAACTACCTACACGGGTATAGCCTGGCCAAGTCTTAAAGAGAGTAAGTCTAGTCTTTGCGAGATCTGGTGGTGGTAGATTCGCTGTGTATGATGCTGTTCCTCATTCGAAACCTTCTTAGTGCAAATAGCCACAAGTTACTCTAAGGAGGTAATATCAATGACTACTGCCGATATAATGATCTCTCACCTCGCTGCTGAGCATGTAATAAGAGCTTCGTGACTGGTGCAGCGTATTGATGCGCTATCAGAGCTACTTCGTACCGACTACTTCCCCAATGCTCGGAAATCCCAGCGCCAGCCCGCCCACTGAAAAGTACCCGCTACCTCTTGACAGCTCTCTCCCCGCTAAAGTGACGAAACGATGCGCTCAGCTCCGGGCACAGCTCCGGCTAAGCTCGAAAATCCGAGGCAGCTCCATCGGCTTGATCTTCCCGTTGACATCATCTTTGCAAGCAAGCAGCACAGAAAAATCATTGGTAAGCGCCCTTTCGGTGATTTCGCAATTCCACCCTCGCGCTTCTCTGTTCTGCCGCTCTCCAGCTCAAACCAGAGGCTGTCGTCCCTGCTCTCCAGCTTCCCAATTGCACTCTTGGAGCTCCCCTCCATCCTCCGTCAAGCTCTTTTGCACAAGCCGAGCCCCTCATCTCTCCCACCAATTGCCGCGAACAGAGACCAAAAACTCACCTGCGAATAGCTTCAACAACCGCCACAGCAGCAGCAATGTCTTCCTCCCTCCTCCGCACGACGCCCGTCCTGCGCGCCGGCCTCCGCGCCCGCGCCGCAAAGCCCCTCGCCGCCATGGCCACCACCAGCTTCACCCGTGGCAAGGCGACTCTTCCCGACCTGCCTTGTAAGTCTTCGAAACACACGCAGCGACGATGATTTGCACTCGAATTCGCGCCGCAGCGAGAGCAGCGCAGAGCAGAGCTGATGAGCAATTCTCCCGGATCCAGACGACTACGGCGCGCTCGAGCCCTACATCTCCGGCCAGATCATGGAGCTTCACCACTCCAAGCACCACCAGACATACGTCAACGGCTTCAACGCCGCTGTCGAGGCCCTCGGCGACGCCCAGGCCAAGGGCGACTCCAAGGCCGCCGCTGCCCAGGCTCCTCTGCTCAACTTCCACGGCGGTGGCCATGTCAACCACTCCCTCTTCTGGGAGAACCTCGCCCCCAACGGCAAGGGCGGTGGTGGTGAGCCCGACGGCCAGCTTTTGGTACGATACGATATACAATATACCCTTCCGTCTCTTCTCCTTCTTTATGAAAAAGCCGAAACTAACAGGCATAATGCGCGCAAAAGACCGCCATCAAGCAGGACTTTGGTTCCTTTGAGAACTTCAAGAAGCAGACCAACACTGCCCTCGCCGGCATCCAGGGCTCTGGCTGGGCCTGGCTCGTCAAGGACAAGTCTTCCGGAAACCTCGGTCTCGTCACTCGTGCCAACCAGGACCCCGTCACCGGCAACTTGGAGCCTCTTCTGGGAATTGACGCCTGGGAGCACGCCTACTACCTTCAGTACCAGAACCGCAAGGCTGAATACTTTAGTGCCATTTGGGATGTCATCAACTGGGGAACTGTTGCCAAGCGATTCGCAAAATAAAGCTGTATACACGTCTGGGTAAAATGAAGACATAAAGTTAAGCAACATTGTAGCATATTCCTGCTCCAGCCCTGTTGAATGTCTGTAGTGTATAGGTATTTGACAGGAGAATGAAGATTACAATTGAGGCGATTTCTATATCCGTACATATACCTCAGCTCACTTCACGACGTGTATCCATGATGAGTAAATGCTGAAATGGAAGGCTGACCATTATTAGGACTTGCACGGCACTCAATAAGTCTTATTTCCTATTTCCCGTGCATACACTGCACCTGGTACCAAAACCTTTCACCCAAGGTGACCCCAGGCCTCTTTATCAACCTGCGCACGACAATATTGAATGCATCGCAGTAATTTGGCAATTCCACATAAACGTATAAAGCAAAAGATAAAATGAGATGCTGAAAAGGAGCAAGAGAAGAGGAGGGAGAGGGAGAAAAAGAGCCACTGTGTGCAGCCTCCCTCAGTTCCTGACTTCTTCAATATCTTTGACATCTGGCGATACCCTGGTATGCCACCAGCTCAGCCGGAAAGGTGTCGGCGAAAATGTGAGCCGCGTAGTCGTACCAGTCTTGGTTTTCGGGGCCTGTACGAGCTTCAAAGAACTTGACGTACTCCCACCACTCTGGATACCAACCTCCACTGTCCCAGCCTAGAATACACACAATCTTGCTATTCTGGACAACAACATTTCTTGGGCTGAGTTCGCCGTGAGTGAAGCGGATCGCATAGTCTGACCGGAAATGACAAGCGAGAGCAGTAGCAACGTTTGCTGGGACAGATGAAACAAACGACGAGGCTAAGAAAGCGACAAACTGACCACACGTGGGCTTTGCACGAACAGCCCAGTATGTGTTCTGGACATGCTGATCCAGAATTAGAGAATAAGGACCTGCAAAGGCAGATCCTAGTATATTCCGCTTGGCTTGTGGAGCTGTTGCACCGAAAGTTTGAGCCATGCCAAGGCGCATGGTATTGAGGATGTGGCGTAGTTGACGTGCATAGGCATACTTTGCTTCAGGAGTGAGGTTGTACCAAATACCCTCTAGAAGCTCCCCTTCGACGGTCCGCTCCAGCCCCCCAATAAAGTGGGCTGGAGCCGGCAGTTGCAATATAGGGAGGTCTAGCTGGTTTTGGATCGACTCTCCCAAAAGAAGACCTGCGTTTGTAACTGAGCGATATTGAGTCGAAACGACTTGGCTTCCATCGCCAAATCTCGACCGGAGAGTCAACGAAAGGCAATGAGGCTGGAGAAGGCTCTCTAGGTAGACGGTATGTGGGTTGGGGGGTGGCGCTGAAATGTAGTTGAGTATCACCTTGGTATGCTGGCTATAGTGAAAATCTACTTACGGGGTGGGAAGATAGGAGGGCTGGAGCACCACTGCCGCCGTTGATACGGCTCCTGGGGTTCATTCAGATGATTACGAGGCCTCTTGGCTCCCGTAATCACCGATAGAACAGGCTTTGGAGTGCGCACAAGCGACAGCCGAGCTTCTCCATTCGGCGATGGAGAGCACTCCTGCTTGATGCTTGCGGGTTTCTGAGCAGCAGGCTTGCCAAGTGCGACTGTGTTGCTACCTGTCCTTCGTGGCCCGACAGAGTTGTTATGCGGCACAGACGGAGAGCGTGGCTGCAGCAGTCGTCTCGCTCTCTCTGGATTCAGACCTTCCATCTTGCGGAGACGGTCGTTTTCCTTGCGGTCGAAGACGGGCGAGAGACGACCAGCTTCAAGTGCTGGCTCTGCCATTTTTCCTAGCTGAAGGACCAAAAACGTCAGCACTTGGATGGGGACGATGCAGCGGTTGGTTTGCAGATGGCGTCCGCAGAAATGAGAAGAGGGATGGAAGGGGAATGAAGAGAACCCAACAAGATTAAAGGGGAGAATTGGTGATCAAAATGGCAACATCGAATGAAAGAGGTCCAAATGCTTGTCGGCTATGAGGTGTCGAAGAGAGAAGAGAGGGCAGAAAAAAAAAGGATGGCACAGAGGGTCGAAATCGGTCAAAGAAATTCGTTGTTCGGCTCGATTTTGACTGGGCAACGGGCTGGAGGAAGGAACAGGTCATGGACAGCTGCCTGTCAGTTGCCTTGAGAAGAAGATCGGGAAAACCCTCAATCCGGAGCAAAGAGCATGCATATGACTGACTACAATTGCCAATCTTCGTCTTTTAACATTGATACGAATAGACATAGAAATCGGCCCAAGATTGAAGCCATGTTTTGGGCATGTGTGAATCAATTCGGCGGAACTTGGTGATTGCAGCGGACTGGAGCTTGCACATGTTAGCACGCATATTGGAAGCCTTGGAAACACAAACCGTCTTTACGAACGGTAGTTGATTGAGCGTTTCTCGTCAATGCATTATAGAAAGACGAACCGCTACTCTGTTACTGCGGCATCGATCAAGCATGACGATAACGGAACCCAGTACCGAGATAGCCAAGTGGGCGCCATTAACACAGTCAAGTACGCGGTTTGCTGCAGAGGCTACGAAGCAGCACACGGTGGAAGTGTTGGAAGCGAAATGGTCTATCAACTTCATGCATCATCTCCAACTTATTAACAAACGCCGTCGCATGGAGACGCTGGATGGAACTGGCCTGGTTGTCGCCTGTGAATACATGGACAATGGGGTTGGCTAATCTTTGTCAAACATAGCGAAAAAACAGGTCGCAGCGACAGCCAACAATGCACATGCGAGCTCTAAGCAACACCAGTTAAATCTACGGAGTACCGCAATAGATACTGTACAGGCCTCTGCTGTGATTCGCTGCAGATAATCGCTCTCCCAGATCCTGCAACCAGGGTGTCCGAGCTAATCGTGTCAGCTGTCAGCGGGGAATCGGCCTAGAGAACGCGTCATGTCAGCACATGTCCGCGAGCCAGAAAACGCTCCCCCTGAGATGAGTCGTGACACAGGTGTAATGAGACACAGCGCTGGCCACAATGAAGAGTCTCACGTTGCTGGCCATTTCTGCCGTGGCGGCCAAGGCTTCGCCAACAGCGGAACCGATCCGCCCAAACCATGACAGCGCATCGGCCAACGCCAACCGCATCTTCAACGCCATTCATTCCGCTGGTCGCCAGTGGGGATCCTCGCTAAATCATAATGGTTTCGGCTTCATCCCCGTGACCCTTTCGGCTGGGGCTTTGCTGTATCATGGAGGATACTCCAAGGACCCTCCTGAAGGCCTTGAGTGGCTGGCTTTTGAAGTTGAGCACGCAGAAAACTTCGTTCGAGTACCTCGACACCCACCAAATCCGCCCAAGGGTCCTGAGCATGAAGGGCAGCCCCAGGCACCATCTTCTCCGCAGAAATTTCTGGTACAGCCAGAAACGGAAGCCCACCGTGACCGTGACTCTGAAGGAAGAATCAGGGGCTACCTCCAGACCTACCAGACAACACGAGATGTCCAGCTGCTCTATATAGACGGTTCAGGGGCAGCAAAGAGTCCCATAGGGACACTAGATTCGCAGGACCACGTCCTTTTCCCAAATAGTAGCTGGCAGTGGTACAACATTCAGAGCGAGATGCAGCGCGCAACGGCCATGTGCGACATGATCACCAAATGGGGGTGGGCTGGCATTATGCGCATGGAGATTGGCTTTGAGGTCATCTGGTGCGATTTTAAATCCGACGACCTGCAGCATGAGTCGTCGGTACGAGCTCTGATTCAAGAGGACAGACTAAAGGATGATGACTTTATGAGTCCTTATTTGTGGACTCGCGCAGTCGCCGAGCGTTACGACGGGCTTTGTGGTGATCGAGTCAAGATGGATTTTTCATCCATGGTGTCAGGATTCTTCTTTCCAATCAATATCTCTCATACTGATCCAGAGCGACCCGATCTTATAAGGTTAAAAGCTGCGAAATTGAAACATCGATTAGATATCAGGACTTACCTACAGAAGGTCTTTGAAGAGCCAAGGCGGTTTAATGTCAACTGGCAGGGCATTGTAGACATGATTGTCACTCGATTCTCCAAGCGGCTTGCTGCGATGGCCTCGACTAATGTATCAACGGATATATTCATTGGAGAACTAGAAGGTGCTGTGCTCGCATATTACGAAGCTCCTGGCCTACCTGACGATGTCACCTTGGCAGAGGACGAGGACAACAGGAACAAAACGGCCGAGGCCATTGATCGTTGTGCTACACAGTATCTAAAGTCCTCACAGTCAGCTCGGAAGGATTGGACTCTACAAGACGACTTGATCCACACTGCCCTTTCAGATGTTATGCAGCATATTTGCAACGACCTTTATGTGATGCGAACAGTTCTCCTCCGAGCTGCGCCTGATACTTCAACTGATGCATACTTCATTAATAAAAGCATAAAAAGTAGTGACATGGAGAAGGCAGTCAACCAAAGTCGCGCTATTGTACGCAGTCTCGTGCATGAACTTGCCTGGACCACATGGAGGAAGCCGCAGTTGTGCGCTGAAGACGAAATCCTAGTAACTGTGATGTGGCCGTTCGGGGATACTGAAGACTACTATAACCCAGGCTGCGTGTCATTTCACGAAATCACGGAGCAACGAAGAAGCTACTGGAGGCCATACGAAAAAAGGCCTAGAGACTTTTAACAAATTACAAACACTTTTTATAAAATATCTGGCAAACATATTACGACGCCAAAAAATGTTTGGATATACTGACGGTAGAATATTCGCTATACATATATATATTTACTTAATGCCATTCTTCTTTCGACAATTCAGCCAGTCTCCCTGACCATTCATCTCGTGAATTAAACCTTGATCCCAAGCAACTTCTCGCTGATTTCCCAAATCTTCTTTTCATCAGTCTCATTATAAGTCTGGTCCACATAACCCTTCCACTCCCCTTTATCGGACTGGCTCATGTGGACCGCAACCGAACAGTCTTCCAAGTACTTTCCCTTGGCTTCAGGGGCCAGGACGTCGTCGCTGACAGCTGCCCACACCTGTGTCGCAGCGCCCTGCTCGTTTGTCTTGAAGAAATTCTTGGGCCAAGTTTCCACCATTTTATCAATTACTGCTGCGTCGTAGCCACTGTTGTCCAAAAAGCTAGACTCGAGAATGCCACCCGGGTGGACGCTCCACGCGAGTAGGTTCTGAGCGCCGTAGCGACGGGTGATCTCGGTGGCCGTGTATACGCTTGCCAGCTTCGCCTGGGAATAAGCGCCGATTGAAGTGTACTCAGTGTTTTCAAAGTACAAGTCGTCCCACTGGATGCTGCCCAGGCGGTGTCCGTAGCTAGTGACGAGAACCACACGGCTGGGGTTAGAAGCAGAAGCGCTGGAGAGCAGAGCGTCTTTGAGAAGCGAGAAGAGGAGGAAAGCGCCGAGATGGTTGATGGCAAATTGTCTCTCGAAGCCGTCGACTGTGACTTGACGATCGGCAAGCACGCCGCCGGCATTGCTCAGGAAAACATTGAGCTTGCCGCCGGATTGCTTCAGGAACTCGGCAGCGAAAGCCTTGACGCTGGCATTCGATGCTAAATCGAGCTCAAGAAAGTGAACGTTGGGCAGGTCGGCAATGGTTGAGAGTGCGGCCTTGGCCTTGGGAATGCTTCGGCCTGCCAAGTAGAGGGTTGCGCCGGTGGCGGCGAGGGCCCTGGCACTGGAAGCGCCAATGCCAGTAGAGACTCCGGTGATGATAATGACTTGTCCCTTTAGATCTTCCTTGCCGGCGTCCTTGATGATCTGTTCAGCAGTAGGACGGGCGTCGCCAGGGCCGGCGAGGTTGTTCCAGGCGTGAACAGCAGCGTATCGAGACATGATGGGAATATACAAGTACGTATATTGTATATACTACTTATGTGCAATTTGAAAGTATGAATTCGGCTTAGCGTTGATTCTGGTGAGGGTCGAACTGTTTTGAATGAAGAGATTGGAAACGCATCACAACGGGGTCGACTCCCGCATCTTATATCTCTTTCGTCCCCCTTGATATCATTGAATCTTTGTTTCTAACCATCGTCAAGCATCTGTTTCTAAACTCCGTTTCGTCTGTCTCCTTCGGCTTCCTCATGCTTTAAATCCGCTTTAGGCGCTCCGCCAGCGCTTCTATGGAGTAGGCTTTCGTGGACCTATTTTCCTATTTCGGAACCCAGCTCGGAGACGGTGGGTCTATTACCTACGTCCAGCCAATGAAAGAGCTGAAAATGCGAGCTGGCCAATCAAATGTTAAATTTGTCCGCAAATGTGGCGATCGTACAGTCGCAATGGCGTTTCATAATCTTTCTCAATGTACGGAGTATCAGGCGGAGAATGGCCCATTGTGAAAAGGAGAGCATGTACCATGCACCAATCGTAGAGCATACACTATTCAAAAGTTCAACAGCAGATATGACGTCGTTTAAGGGAGGAGCTGGCTCTGTTGGTCAAAAGACTCGGCCTATTTGCTAGCTGACATACGTTTATCGACTGCTTCCTATTCAACAGTCGTCGAAAACTGTTTCAACAAACCTTGGCTCAGTGCCAGTAATGTAGATACCCATACAGCTGTCATTCTATCAATAATTCATTTTCTTGAAGCTGTTTACATCTTCTATCTTTACTCATATAATACCTCATCTCTTAACCCGGCCCATCTCCATCTCGCCTTGCTCTTACAGTTCAACGAAGCCACCGTGTTGACATGTCAACAACTAACCTTTTAGCATGGCAAAACGTCTCCTACAATCACATACGACCACAGCCACCTGAAAAATCTGGATCCCGTCTGATCTCCGATTGATAACCAGATGAGCGCCGGAGTAGTAGCTGGGTCGGTGACGACCAGCGAACTACTGGTGTTGTATGTTTTATTTTTGTTTATTTATTTATTTATTTTTAGATTTAGTTTTTTATCTCTCATTCTCTCTTTCTCTAAGAGAAAATGTAGTTGTTCATCAGCTTATGTTCCTTTATACTAGAAGAGCAGCTTGGAAAGTAGACGATGCAGGGCTGGTCCCACTGAGATATATTCACCATTACAGCTATTAGCAACTCCATCCACGATTAATTTTTGAGGCTGCGTTCTCTTTCCTTCTTCTTATTCAGCAGGTATTGCAGCGCCAAGGTATTCCCATTTCTTCTCGCAGCTTCAATTGCTGGTTCCGTCATCTGGATCTCGTTTCCTCTCTCCTGCAGCAACGTATATAGCACCGACTTTTCCCTATTTAATGCCGCTGCGAGAATTACATCGTCTGTGATTTCGATCTCGCGCCCTTTTGCCTGAAGTAGTATCTTCAGCGCAGGGAAAAACCCGTTTCTTGCTGCTTTTATAGCCACTCTTTCTGTAACCAGGATTTCATGACCCCATCTCTCCAGTAGGTAGGTTAATACCGAGCGTTCCTTGTTCTCGACTGCTGCAATAACCACTTCTTCCGTGATGAGAACTTTTTCTCTGTGTCTCTCAAGCAGATACTGTAATACTGACTCGCTGCTCTTTATTGCTGCAGCAATGACGATATCTTCTGTGATCTGAACGAGATCTTTTTCTCTTCCAAGCAGGCACCAGATTGTTGAATCGCCATACTTCTTTATCGCCTTTATAACCATCGTTTCTGCAACCTCAATCTCTTTTTGACAAAGCAAAAGAAACGTCGCTTCAAAATTCCCTTGTTCTATGGCTTCCATAAGTAATCCCTCCAAGTTTTCCGCTGTCAAACTTTTTTGACCAAACGGCTGATTGACTTCTTGTATGCTTCTGCCTCTTCGTCTCGCTTCTGTAGTTGCTCGTCTAAGGCCTCGATGCTTTCTGAGTCTTCGCCTAACGAGGGATATGGCCACTTCTGGATAAATAGACCTTATGGTTTCGACCGCTTCATCCGCTGTCAGCGGATGAATGCCCACTTCTTTCAATAAATCTGCTGTCTTCTGCAGATGCGTGGCTCTGTCCAATTGGCCATGGCTTTTCCACATTGCTCCAAAACTAGTCAAATCTTTGATGACTTCTTGGACCCCCTCTGGCAAGCCCATCTTGGTCCAAATCATACACCAAAACTCATTTTCTGCTTCCCAGATACGCCCTGCTCTGCCATATGCCAGGGAAAGTTTACTCATACAGGTCAGCATACGTGGTTCTCCTTCTCCAAAATCTTTTGTATAAGTCTTTTTCATTTCTTGAAGCGTATCAATGAGATGGCTTTTATTGCTCCCGGCATCGCTCATAATCATAACCGCGTTCCATAAACGATTTTGCTTGTCAGATTGGCATTCTGATTCGCCATAGGTGTGTTCGGGTGCTCGGCTGCTTAACCATGTTTCATATTTTCCATCTGACATCTTTTCATAGGAAGTATCCCAATCCCATACGAGAAGAAAATCATGCACAGACGGGCTCCCTGGCTGCTCTAATTGATCAAATCTTGTACTTTGCACTCCGTCATACTGTGAAGGCACAAACCCAGACATGATTACCGAAAAGTAGTCTGCACATGATCTGATGATCATTGGCTTGGCAGCGCCAAGGAGGTGGCAGCAAATATCACCAGCTTGAATGGGTTTTGCGGTAGCTTGAACGGTCCACGAGTAGTCGATGTTGTCCTTTGTTTTAATATTCACGATTTGCCTGTCGTTGCGATACGTACCCTCAGTTGATCGAACTGAAGTCACGATGCCAATTACATAACCTTTGGCAGATATAACGGCCGCTTGCAGATGCACCCAAGTCTTGACAACCACTTTTTCACCAAGCACGAACCTCACAGCTTGCGCCATGAGCTCGTCCCAGGTAATTTTGTAATTAGGTACCAATCCAGCAGTAGCCGGATTATCTGAGCTCATACCTAGCAAAGCAAAAATTTTATCGTGGCGCTCGGTAGCCTCATGAGCATGGTACATATCTATGAGCTCGCCTAGGGAGCGTATATCTAAAGATATATCGCCTGATGTATTGAGGCTGTATTTTGGTCGGAATATGGAGCCTCTCATTAGATAAGTTACTGAACGTATATGGTCCGGGATATCTGTGTAAGAAAGTAGTGATGGTAGCCCCAAGCAGAAGGCGTATCCATCAATCCTCATAGATCCACACATAATGACGATATGTTGAGCTGCGGCAATCTCTTGGAGTACCTATTTCTCTGTATTAGTATGCTTTTTTTAATGTCAAGAATTTAGCCTTACCCATATCCGCCGAAACCACGGTCGCTGAAGCATGGCTAAAATAGCTCGTCGATCAAAGGCATGATCGGAGGATCTAGGGACTTCTTCATCTGCAGCTATTCGTATGCTCTTGAGTGCTTGATCGCTACCATCTGCACTTTCACCTAGCCATACAATCACACGATTCGCCTTGCAATATATCTCTGCCATGTGTCTAATTTGATCTCCGCGCTCTTTAGTATTGCTTTGGTCAATGCAGATAGCGTCTATCCATAGTATTCGCTCAATCATTCGATCTCGAAGGCGTGCTAGCACTTCATGGAGATTTGCAGTAATAGCCATAGTACTGCCATTGACGCAGACAGTGTGAGGCTTTTCTGAGCTTCCCCAGACATATGATAAGGCTTCATACATGTGCGGCCCGTCGCCCAGCTCCAACATGGGATAGTCAAACAGTTGGCACTGAAGAGGCGCATTTTGGTCGCCATGAGGTAGTAGACGAAGTAATCGAATATTACCAGAGCCGAGCAGTGGGGAATACTGATACGGATCTCCAACATTGCTTTGATCGCTCTTTTGAGAGTCCAGTCCGACGTCCTGCACCGCCGACATTCTTATTGCTGGGTGGTGTCTTTATGACTTTAGTCAGTGGAAGTAACTGAACGTGTTTATGCAGCAGAAAGGCTTGGGTGGCCAGCTGTTTTCATCTTGTAGGGGCAAGATCAGTTTATTGTTGGCTCTCTTCTTGCTCGCGTTGGCACTCTTACGTTCGAGAAATCCATCAGGCAGAGGATTAACAGAGCGGGCTTAGCGAGGTCGCAGCCAATAAGAGCTACCTAGAGGAATAAATACCCACACCAACCATGCAATCAAGACAGAAAAAGGGCTCTCAGCCCATGCAAATGCCCAAGTAAGAATGTCTCGCAGGATGCGAGTAGAAACAAAGTTTTAATGTGATTAGTATTGCTATTCAGACGGTGTTCCCACCCTACTAGTGCTATTTTATTGGAATGCTCGAAGACATATTTGCATTTTGCAGATTTATATTGTTCGTAGGCTCATTTGTATTAATTGACGCCTCGCGAATTGTAGCCGCCGTTGGAATAACTGGCTCCTCCAGACCCATACGTGCCCCATATGGGATGTTTTTTCAATCTTGGAAACATTGTCTTAAAAGCCATATGATATATATCAGTTTGATCTGCTCTAGGAGGTTGGATTATATCAGCATATGCTACAAAATAGTCGCTGCTCAAGTCTAATCTTGATCATGAAACTTTTGTCTTATAGCGTAAAGATACTTCGCGGGGACCTCATAATATACAGCCTTCAAAATGAGATATGTATTCCAAGTATTTTCATGGTCGCTCTTCATTTCTTGGTGATATAGTCAGGATCTTCTGAGCCTGGGTCAGGATTAGCTCTCTCGTCAAACGGAACCTAAATATCGCCATTGCTGGTGTCTCCATAAACGTCGCCCTCAGGGTCGTCGGCCTGGCGAACCCCGCACCACTGGTGTAAATATCAGAGTCGTACAGCTCTATGCTCGTGCACCAAGCTTCAGTGGCGTGTATCTCAAAGCCCGGAGTTGAAAAGTTTTATTCGAATATATAGCCCTACTCTCGCGGAACGACTCTGATTGAACTGGATGACCTTTTTTACACTCAGGGCGGCTAAAAGTGCTGTAGATTTCCCAGACCTCCAACGTATTTGATGGTTAAGAGACAGAAGATTTTGCGGCTCTGTTACCCGTAAATTTTAAGCTATAAGGCTCTCGGTGTTGAGTTTGGTAATTTCAGTGCTGGTAATAGTGGAGGTATATATTTGTTGAGATTATGTTTCATAAGCTTAAGTTCTAGGTGTTGTATTTGGTTGGGAGGTAGCAATTTAGTTCGGTCGACACCGGAGTCGGTGTTCTATGATCGACAGGGCTAATTTACGTTGCCGCTGCTGATTTGTGTCTCAACGCGGCTCTAAATCGATATGCACAGGAGGAGATGAGAACCGTGCAGGCGCTACTGGTAGATGAGGCGCTCTGGGCTGGGCTCTCTGGAACAATGTCTATTTCTCTTGAATACTTTCTAGGGACAGTTGCAGTGTATACTTTGGCGTTGATTATATGGCACGGAAAGATCTTTATTCCACTGTGGGTTTTTCAGGAGTAGCCGGAGTGCTTTCGGAGGCATCTGCGATCCTCCGTGTTTATGTTGGGTTATCATCTTCTGCATCAGGTCGAATAGATTTGAAGATCACTCTTGTATATAGATTTTAATATGATTCTGCGTTGTATGTGCGCAAAACTGGTAATTTGCCGAGTTTGACGCCTGCTCTTGTTGGAAAAGTCGGCTGAAAGGTCCTAGCAATATCAAGCATTCAATGTATAAAAGGCTTCGCTTACATAATCAATCGTACCTAGTAGGACACAGGTAATTATAATATATATTGCACATCGCTTCATTTACCCAAATCTATCATCAAAATATATCGCAAAAAATGCTATCATTGTTACCCCATTGCTCCGTAAATTTGCGAACCACGTTAACATCAATCCAATCATTTCCCAATATATATAGCCCCAAGTCTAATTATCCTTCCAAAGGAGATGCGCATGTGAAAGTGTTTATCTGCGGTGATTTAAATGCAGACATAAGGCCCTCGACCGCTGCATATGTACCCAGGCCGCTCAGTGCCAGGGAACCAAGTGTGTAGACAAGCAGGATGATGTTCAGCCACCAGAACCTGCCAAAGAATCCTCGGAGAATTCGTTTGACTCCCGAATCTCTGCGACGTACAGTACCAGTCGTCGGGTCGAAACCTTCTTCTCCTTCCATTGCTGTCCTCTGCACAGAAAGTCCGAGGCCGATGAAGGCAGGGAAGGTATACGTAAATTGCACGAGACACACAGCAGCGGTAACGCTCGTTAAACCAAAGAAATCCGGAATAGAACCGGCAATAATAAAGGCAATAATCCAGTAGATTGGGACTAAAACAGCCCATAGGATCTTGCCTCCCTTGGTGGTCAGTGGTGGGGCTTTGAACATCTCCATGAAGACGTTGTTGTAGATGACCTTAATGCCAATATTTCCGTAAAGAGTTGCAGCAATAATGCCGGTTATGACAGCTAGCATATTGCAAACTGTCTGCCAGGCGTAGGGCGAGAGACCTTGATAGGCAAGCTGGTGTTGTTAGTCAACTGTGTTCAATATCATGTGTCATACATTCCACGTCTCTAGCGCGGAATGCGGGGGATAGACTTACTTGATTGGCATACTGTCCCTGATAGTAGTAAACAAATGATCCATAGGACATGTAGCACGCATAAATAAAGAACTGAGCACCCCACATAGCCTTCAAGAAATCTCGAGGTCGCTGGAGCTCAGCCATGAACTCGATGAACAATTGCGCGCCGCCGTAGGCATAGACACCATTCATGAGACCGTTGATAGATCCAATGAAGCCGTTGGTTGATGGTGGAGAGCCGCCATATCGTTGAACCGGAGGATAAGTTCCGTTGGCGAACGGTGCAACTGAGGTGCCACCCAGGGCAGCACCGGCAGAACCTGCCTGCGCGGCTCCATAGTTGGGCTCGCTGTGGGCCATGACTCCCATGCTGATGAACATAATCAAGAGATTAATAACAACAGCAAAGTTCGCCAACAGGCCTAGTTTGTTCAGTGTTCGAATTTGTCCCAGGAAGAAACCAACAACTGCCCAGATCAAGCAGCACACAACGTAGCAAAGCCGGAATTTGGAAACTTGTGAAATAGAAAGACCATTGCTGATAACGAGGACGCCAACGCTAATAGTCAACTGAACAGCTTGGAGAAAGTTGATTGTGTGGCGAAACCAACTTCCATAAAGGCGAAGTCCAATGTCACCATAGTTCTTTACCGGAAACTCATACGAATCAAGAAATAAGAAGGCTTTCCAGAGAAGATAACCAGAACTAAAACAAAAATTAGCATATGCCAAACGACCAATAAACGCGTTCATATTGCTTACAATCCAGCGCATAGACCGAAAACAGTGAACAGTCCGATGCCCTGGCCCCAGCCCATGGTGCCGAGAGAGAAACCAACTCCAAAAGGACCCAAGATGTCAGTTGTAATCAAGTAAAAGCATGCTGCGGCACTAGCGGAACGCAGAGCACGGCTGGCATTGGTCCACTCGAGGTCGGTAATTTCTAGACGATTGCTCTCATTGTCACCTGTGGGTGAGGCGTTCTTAACCTCATTCTCGGTGGGCTGTTCACCCTCAAGTCGTCGGGGTTCTGCTTTTGATGGGCGTATATAATCCTTCCAAGTAGAAGGCGGTGCTGTGGCTTTTAATTCATCTTCTTCGACTCGCGCCTTTTGAGCGTAGTACATATACTCCTCGATGGTTACGCTAGAATCGTACATAGGGCGGTGCTGGGGTTTAATGACGGCCGAGACAGTGCCATCCTCGGGTCCAGAGGAGTAATCCTCTTTATCGGAGCCCATGTTGATGACTGTGAAGTAGCAGATGCAAACTAAGTTATGAAATGTAAAAGATGAGATAGTAAGAGGATATTAAAGGCTGGGATTGGGTAGGACTGAGAAACGTGGGACAGTCGTGAAAACGGACTTCGCTCGTGGAAACTTGCAACAGCAACAAACTAAACCATGGGGAAAAAGATCAGAAACTCTCTGGGGAAAAGAAAGGCATTCTGGGGATATATGAATCTATTCGGCGGTATGGCATCTTTTACATCGGTGACTCTTATCAGTTGCCACGGATTGAGACTAACTAAAGGCGGGAAATATTTGGAAACCTTCTGCCTTCTAGGGCTTGTGGCGATGCCCACCTTAACGGACTATGGCTTTTCTTGGAGCCCAGCCCGTTGACAATTGTCGATATCATGAATGGGCGTGATTACCAACCAGCTAAAGGCTGTTACTAGTTTAAAGAAACGCCGAATATTATGACTTTTGCCCGAGGAGTTTTCATGGCCCACTAAAATGATAGGTGAGTCTGGTTAAACAAGTAAAAGAAAGGGCGTATGGAGGAGCATCCAGACAAAAGTCCTCACGCTCCCAGACAAAAGTCCCAGTTGCAGTCGATCTTACCGAGAATGCCGGCAGCTGTACAACGTCCGGGGTCCCAGGTAACTCTCCGAGCCCGGAAAGTTGAAACTGTGGCCAATCTTTGTATTAGTTACCTAAAAAATATTTTCCTCGCGGAGTTTTAGCCCAGTTTTACTTGACATGACTAGCACATCGAAGATATTTTTGTGGGGAGATATTCGTAAACCTATCATGGGATTCGTATCATGCGTGGCTTGTGCATGACCCTGACTACTTCAAGGATGCTTAACTTTGCTGTTTTGGAATCTGACATCGAATATTTCCAGAATGCATGTTGCATTCGGGAACTTGTTTAACTACGTTTTAGGCCCTTGGCAAAGCTTGACAGGCAGCAAGCGGTACTAAGACACTAGCAACGGTTCCATGCTCAGATCACCGGCTGTTATGCAGCGTGGCGTTTTCTTGCTCCGAGAAAGCCGTCATCCGCGGACTTAGTGGTTGACAAGCCACCAATGACGCCACTGTAGAACACTTATAGTGGAGAAAACCAAGTCGGCGAGGCTCTACGGCAGTGATCTTTGGTCTTTGCTGCCTCGGAAGACTCCGAGGGCGTTGGCTGCTGTGGCTTGAAAGCGATATCGCCAAGGACCTTATAGCGGCCCGGCTTGGCCGCAGGTTTTAGACTGACAAAGTCTCCGCCGTGCCACGTTGCGGCTGAGTCTGATTGCGGCAATAATTCGGAGGAAACATACTCTTACACTCGTCTCTATTTATTTAAAGTTGACGAAAATTTTTATCAGCCTCAGCACGCTACAGAGGATTTGGATAGGCCTCTTCGTTTCTTGCAGTGAATATCACATGAGAGTACTGAGATGGCTTGGACTACACGGGGCTTCCGCAGCAACACATTCGATACTTGCATTGTCTTCTTAGCATTTTGTTTTCCTTTTCTTTTTGAAAGAGGTTAGTGAAGGTTAGGTCAGCGTTGCAGAGTCATTTACGGCTCAGTAGCGAGAAGGCGGTTAGTCAATCAAAAGTCATCCACTCATGGCAGAGCCTCATTGGTAGTTACATAGCAATACAGTACAGCAGGCGATAGATAATAATAAAGGGTTTTATACGAATAGCATCAGACGACTGCTTACTGGCTCCCACTCGCTAGCCTGCCGAGGTGTCGAAACTAGGCCCAATATAACAAGACTGGCGCCGTCTTCGGAAAATACTTTGCAGTCCGGCAGTGCCGACTCGATGTGCAGCACGGCTTTTGTCATCTGTTACAGAACCAAAACCCGAGGCCCGCCTTCCGATGCGGCCCACTCTCGGCATGGCATATCCGGGCTTGGATGGCGTTATTGCCTTCTAGACTGGCGCATTCAAGAGCCTTGACTCGGATTCTCTGAATGATAGGCTGACGGGCACCAACGAGAGCCGTAAAACGGCGACAAATCGTAAAGAAGATTCTTGAGCTGTGACACATATTCCAGGGACATTTTTCGATAGTGTGGTTGAAAGAAGCCATTCTACAAATCTAATTTATTCACTCGTCTGTGGTGATTGTAGGGGCTTTTTGAACGGGTTTATTTTCTCTACTAGGCTAAGGGTTTTCGCATTAGTGATGCGATAACTCTGCTAGCCTTTGTACTCTTTTTTTTATGAGTGAGGAGGGAAAAATGCCAATACTCAAAATTAGAGGCTCATTGCTATATAGCTTGTTGAGACTAAAACGTAGTAATTGTGCCTAGATTTAAAGCGGATGGTGTAGGCTGATGGAACTGTGGGTTGGCTGAAACTTCGAGGCAACATGGTAAATTATAGGAACCAGATTGACCCTCAAGATCTCCATTTCATGTGAATGCTGGGGATTCTAGGCCCTGATAATACGCCCCAGACCCCAGCTCCCCCGCTCAACGTTGAACTGTTGGCAGAAATCTTGGGGTATGGCCACTTCCAAAGGTGCCATGAGTGGTTCACACACACGATATTATCTTTAGCTATGGCTATGCCGTACTTACGGTAGAGGCTTGTAGTATCCTGATTTAGCAAGGCCTGCTCTCATTACAAATCGTTAATCACTTCGCTGCATAAAGGATGGCAAAGGTTTATATATCTATATCTATATCTATATAAAGGCGTATAAGATAATCTCTCGTGTGGCAGTTAAGCAATAAGGAACTTGTGGCAATTGAGGCATTATATAAATTTGTAATTGAGTAGTAGACTAGGACGAGTCCATCTCCATTTATATTGAGGGGATTAAAAGAGCAAAGCGGCGCTTGAAAATGCGTTCGTGAATTACGTAAATGAGTAACTAAAACGGGATCGTAGCATTACCATCGGCTTCCACTGCAGCTTCATACCCGTGCCGGCTTTTTATTAACTTGACACAAACAGATAATTTAACTTTCATTATCATGAGAATGATCTTCTGAGATATTGTATGCAGATTCCCATTTATGTGAGGGTCTTCGACATTTAAGCCCGGCAGTGGCACACTCTGAACATATTAGAAAATCTGCACATAATTCGCGGTCAAAGTATTCCACGTTAGGCTGGACTCTTTGTGTGAAAATATCACACCAAGAAGCTCTCAGATCAAAAATATAGCTTTCTGACGAGATTAATATCTTAATATGACTTTAGACTTTTGAGATTCTATTTAGCAGCTGCAAGCTACACAAGTTCAGTTATCTCATGATTCTTTCTTTTGTATGCCCAAGTCCGACTGTTCCCTGAAACACTCTTCATAGTCAAGTACCACTTGATCTGTCGCTAACAGCTGCTTTACAACCTCCAAATGTTTGTTTCGTACCGCAGCGAATAATGGCAGGGTATTGTACCGGTCTCGTTTGTTATCATCAATTTTTTTTAATATCAGTAACTCAACTATGCCACTGCATCCACGCATTGCCCGGCCGAATAGTGGCGCGCGCCCCTCGGCTTCTGTTTGGTTTATACTCGCTAGGCCGGCTGTTTGCAGCCGGTCTCTCATAACCTCGGATTGTCCACATAAAGATGCCACGTATGGTATACTATCTCCAACTTATCCATTGTTGAACCTTCCTTTAGTAACAAATGTATAACTTTGACGTGCCCCCGTTCCACAGTTCAGAACAGAGCTGTACATCCACTCGAAGTTGCAGCTTGTATATCACATCCTACCTCAATGAGTGTATGAACGATATCTATGAGCCCACTGGAAGCTGCATAGTGAAGAACTGTCCATCTTTGATGTCGGTTACCAAGATATCAGCACCACTTGCAAGGAGAAGATTAATGACTATTGAAACGCATTTTCAACTGCATAAAATAGCACAGAGCGGCCATTATTGTCAAGTGCAGTTATATCTTCGCCTTTGATCAACAGAAATTGCATTGCATCCAGTTGAAGGTGAGTTGGTCTCCCCATCAGTGGCTTATTCCATGTGGATATGGAACGGAAATATCGACTCCACAACTAAGAAAGAGTTTGAGAACTTCAAGCTACCCACCGCTGGCACCCAAAATTGACGGAGCCAGTGCTGAATGAAAGAAGATTTCGTGAGGCTCCACTCTGGTTTCGAGCAGGAGCTTCACAACTTCAACATGGCCCCTTTCGATAGCTGCGCTTAAACGTATTTCACGCTGAGTGGTCTTAACCACAGCGTTCGCTCCACGTTCATAAGCAGCTTGACTACCTCAGTATACCACTTATTCGACGCAAGAAAAAGAGGTGAATATCCCGTTTTATGCGCTGTGAGTTCATGATTGGCTCCCGCCATAAAAGAGTGTGGACAAAATCGACCGAAACGATACCTACTGCATAATGCAAAGCGTTATAGCCATGATTATCAAAAATTGCCAGAGTAGCGCCATTTTCTACCAGAATTCTCACTACTTGGTGGTTTTGTTCCAGGCTGCCAATGTCATTGCTGTGTAGTCATTTCGTATATTGAGGTCAGCCCGTCTACCAATAAGCCCATGAATCGTCTCACTACTATGAAGGTTGGTAGTGAGCATCAATGGGTTGCTTTCTCCACTGCTGACAAAATTAAGAACTGCTCCACAGCCAAGAAGCAGCCTCGCAGATATCACAAAGTTGAGAAAGACCGTAGTGCAGTGGCAGCCACCTGTCGTATTTTCCCGTCATTGGTATTTGATCAGGGGCTGCATCAATGAATAGGCGTGCCATGTAGACATCATTTCTCTCTAAAGCAAAATATAGAAGGGGATGCTCATCAATATTTAGAGCTATCACATTGGTCCCATACTGTAAAAGCAGCTTGGTCACCTCGTTCTGGTTCGCCTCCCCTGCATTGCGTAAAGGCGTAGCCTGTGGGAGTCAACAGCGTTAATTTCAGCGCCTGGAACATAACGCGAGAAATCCAATATCGAATAGCTTCGCATGGATCATTTCGGCTCTCGATATAGGACGAGAAGAAGAAGTATGCCACGGGAGTTTGGCCGTTGCTAAAAGATGCTCGATTATTCCAGCACAGGGCACTGTTTTTCTAAAGCCAGCAGGGCCATTTATCATTATATCTCGGGTTTTGCTCCGTCTTCCCGGAGAGAAAGCCATTCTTGAAAACATGACCACCGGAAGATCCAGTCACAGATATTATAGAATCTCGTCTAAATAGCTTCCTCAAAAATCTCATTGGGGGGATACTGAGAAAGCCAATTGTGCAGTTCGCGTAGTGTTTCCTCTTCAGCCTCGTCTTCTAGGTCTTGAAGTGTGGCACTCAATTTAAATATTCATGGTGAATCGGCGACCATTGTATGCAAGCTATGTTGAACGGCAGGCCCTATGATAAGCTGCGAGAAGGCTTCAATGGGAATTAGATAATGCAACTACTGTACTAGTCTCCCGAGTAGTTCTGCTCGTCTTTCTCGTCTGCTTTTGCCCTTCTGTGCCCACGCAAGCTTTGAACCTCATAATCCGGGAGTTGTTCGAGGTAGCTCGACCAAACTTCTAGCGAAAGAAATATCAGTTCTTGTGGTAGGCTGATTCCGTATATCACTTATATCTTGTATATTTTGCCCTTCCTGATCACTTAAAATTTCTCTCATTGCATCGATAACCTGGCGCAAAATTTTTAGTGTTTCTGAGTCTGTCAGAGCCTCGTGTCATTCCTCAGATAATTCTATAACATCTCCATCCAATCGAAGTCACTTCCCCAATTTCTTGAATCACGATCTGTGAGATGCGAACTGGATGGCCAAAGCCCGCTCATCGGCCTTGAAATGCTTGTAGTCGTCAATTTTCTCGATAGGATCCAGGCAGATTGCGAACAGGCTGGGGAGCTTAATGACTCGAACTAGTATATTTATGGGATTTATGACGTCTATACTGGCCAATTTATAGAGTGGAAAGCTAGAGGCTAGAGCAAGGAGAACTAAAAGGAGATGGCTGCATGCTATTACTGTAGATCACAAGCTCAATTTGCTCTAGGTATAACTGCAGCTAAGAGGGGCTATTGGGATGCATCCAATCGATTCTGGAAGACCCCTGCGCCAAATGACAATCCGTCATCATCCTGGTATTTACAAAGGCTTATATGCCTAACGCTAATCTGAATATGAAGAGTTTATGAGGAAGCAAATCAGTGTCTGTATTGGCTAATTCTGCCCTAGCGTATGTAATCTGCTATAGCAAACGAGACAAAGCGCAATACGCAATATCGAAAATCTCTATTTGCATTTAAACCTGGCGACAATGAAGTTTTTTAAAAAAGTTAATTGGCTAGATTCTAACAAATTACTCTGTCAAAGTCGTCACTCAAGGCCAGGACTTGTACCGGCTATGCGATTGGCAACCTAAGATAAGGACAGATGCCGCGACTAATAAATTCTAATTCTAAACGAAATGTCATTCATATCAGGTCAACTCTAGAGGATAAATATGGTTTACTCAAAGACAATTCAAGGGTAAAATTGCCGTAAGATAATTATATATTCGTATCCTTATAGTAGCAGAGCAGCCATTTGTGTGCAATCCAAACTTAGGGGAAAAAGAAGAAGAAGAAGAAGAAAACGTCTACAGCATCCGCTCCGGTGTCTTGAAGCAGCAAATACCGCTCGTAATGCAACGAAAATGAATAAAATAACGGAGTTGATGAACGATTTTGGTGACCTGACGCAATTTCATTCGTTCTTTTAGGCATGCCTGTATCAGATTTTTATTGCCAGTTGGTCACTAAAGGCGGAACCAGGGGGTTAGTAGGTAGTTAAAAGAGCTAAGCTACATGCATGCACACAAGAGTAAGAAGATAATGCTTAATCAAAAGCTCTATTCCGAGATGGGCAGCTCTCATGTCGTCTCCATTTCATCCATGCACTCTGAACGCCCTACATATAGGTATCTAAGGTTAGACATAAGCCAACTTCCTAATTCTATATTAAAGTGGAGAGACCTCGCATATCTCGCTATATCCTAGTCATTTAGTCATTGCGCTACTTAAAACCCTTTTTTTCCTGCTAGACGGCAAAACCTACTATCTTTAATATCATAGAGCAACCAGTAGCTGGAGTTATAGATATTTTTAATCCGATTTAATGATATTCGTGTGGTCAGCCAATATAAGTTGGTTTTGTTGAGTGCATCTTAAATAGTTTTGATACCAGTATAGAGTATGGCATTCGGTCAACACGTATAAGGCAACCTTAATATAACTCAATGTGGACAGCAGCTCTTACATAAGCTGCCAAAAAGTAAGCACCCTCAGTATGCCACAGTCTAATCTTCGCAAAATGTCCTACCAATTCTTAGGAGTCATACTATTCATTGGCAATTACACAGCCGCGGTAAGAGCGGTACTAACTGACTGGAGACCTGAACGTTATGCTACCTATTGAATTCGTTCTATGAAATATATTGATGGTTGTTTCTGAAACAAGAATAGGGTGTGTGTTGTATATCTTAACCGAGACCCTCATTTATTTGCATTGAGAGATGTGGATCAGGACCCAAATAGTAATATGCATATGCCGCAATTACGACATAAAATCTCGGCTAGATATTGGGCAAAAAACGCCTGCAGATACTGTTGCTCTTGAATTCAAAACTTCCGTAGAGTATTCACCGCCATAGGTTTAATAGCTTAGTTATTACAACGTCATGTTCATCAGTCAACTCATGTATAAATAGCCTCATGTCTCACCAGGCTTTCGTTCATGTAAAATCAGAGACATAGCAAGAGCATTCTTCATTACAATACTATTAGCTCAACCGAAGTAATCTTTACATAATGCTTCTTCCCTCGCTTATTGCTTGTTGGCTGACGCTCTCCTCGGCCTCAAGCCTCCCCGGTGTTGGGTCAAATTGGAATGCAAACGCAGCACGACGCGCTGTTTATTTCCTTGACAATGACCCAAGTGGTGCTTCAATCGTGTCTTTGAACGTTTCCAGCAATGGAACTCTTTCTAATCCCATGAGAACCTTTACCAAAGGAAATGGCTCATGGGCAAAGTGGATTATTTCGAACCCCCCTCCTCCTGATAACACTGGGTTTGCAGGACCAGACAGTCTATTCTCTGCCAACGCGCTTATTGTGTCTAAGAATTTTCTTTTTGCTGTTAATCCTGGAAGCAACACACTTTCAATGTTTGTGATTGATTCTAGTAACCCTCAGGACCTCACCCTTGTCAGAGAACCTGTCAGCACCTTGGGTGATTTCCCAATCTCGGTAACCTACTCAGAGACTCTCAACATTGGTACGTTTACATAATATTAGATATTCCCAAAAGAAAAATCTAACTCGTCGTAGCTTGTGTTCTCAATGGTGGAACTAGGGCTGGGGTTGCTTGCTTTTCGGTTGATGAGTCTCGTGGTCTCGTGGCCTTGGACAGCAGCCTTCGCTCAATCACCCAAACCATTAATCAAACGACACCGCCAGGTGGCCCCATCCTCACCGCCTCAGATATCATGTTCAATCCGTCTTCAACAGGTCTCTTTGTTTCCACTAAGGGCGCGCCTCCTTCTCCTGCAGGTGCCAGTCCAACCCTTGGCTCAATCTATGCGTGGCCAGTGGTTGGAAATAAAGTTTCCACGACTGCAACCATCTCGCAACCAGCAGGTGTCATATTGGACTTTAGCCTCACATTTCTGGGGACAGATGATTCTCTTCTACTTACAGATGCTGCTGGAGTAGCCTACATTCTCTCGGTGTCTTCCAGCTTGCAGGTTGCGGTCAAAAACACAGTTGCGCTTCCGTCGAATGAAGGGCTCGCTTGCTGGGGAGTGTATGTGCAAGAACTTAGTAGTGCATATGTCATAACCGCAAGTACTACTGACATCACTGTTGTGAATCCTAGTACGGGTTTCGCCAGTGGCACCATTACATTACCAACAAGTGATGTTGGAGTTTTTGACAGCGCATCTGATGGAACAGATTTGTACAGCCCGACTAACATTGCAAGCGTTGCTGTGGTCGATCTGGCCGCGAATACCCCCAAAATGATCCAAAATCTAGATCTGGGCGCGATAGGAGCCAGGAAAGGCTGGCAGGGTATGGCTATTTACTCTAGCGCTTGAGTGACACGGATTGTGGAGAGGAGAACTGTAGGCACTGAAGCCTTCTATTAACATTGGGACTTGTCGCTTTGGATATGTCTTACATAGGTAGCATTTCGCTTAGCAATCAGGGTACTCTCCACATTACAATGTACTAATGTTTTTCCGGCAAGGAAAGCACTGGGGTTGGTGGTTTTAATAAGTAATTGCCCACTGGAGCCCGAAAGTCTTACAGTAATTAACGCTATGAAGAAGTGGTAAAGAATTGGTGTCATATACCGGCCGGCCTACTTAGCTGGATCCTATGCCTCTTCACTATTAATCTCAAGATTGTCGTCGTGTACTATGACGTTGGCAAGTCTCCTCATCTATACGTGACGCTTCTTGTACAAAATATTGAGCGTAGAGCGAGCCTTACACGATAGCTTCTCGCAGACGCATTTATAGCCCACCCATATATACATGTAGCCTGGGGTAATTGGGCACTAGCAGTGAGCTAACCCTTCTTTTTTTAACCTCTATTTTCAAGTTAGGGGCAACAACGTCGTTGAGCTGTTTGCAAAGAAGTTTTAGTCTAAACAACTATATCTTCAATTGCCGCAATGAAGCAGTAGTAGCACCGCATGAGAAGTTCTATTACATCAAGCCACATCGAATAAAGGTAAAAGTATCAAGACTCAATGCCATTATATATACTGAATCTGTGAGTTATCCTTTCACATACGACCATAGGCAGTGGAAAATTCGGAGTCCTGTCAAGTTCTTCAAGTGGATTCAATGGCACTGGCGCCCCTGGCTTCCAAGATCGTAGTTACACGGCTTCGTTTTCAGAAGCAACTAAACCAATAATTTTCATACATAACTGTTGTAGCATCTCATGACTATAATTTTTAACGGTATTATATAAAGGTAACCACTGTTCTTTTTTTTTTTTTTTTGAAAAAAAAAAGAAGAAAAACAATCTTTTTATCACTAGCCTCGAAGCTTCCACGAGCTGATTCGCTCCCTTAGAAATGTCAGTTATATACTGATCCCGGCCATTGTCTTTTGCAATACTACGATTGACTCTACAAAAACATGCAGATTCTATACTTCATATTCTTATGCTCTTCTCTACCATTGTAAAGTGGCACATGGCCATGGACAAGATTACAAGAAGCAGTTGCCGATGTATGGATTGCTATAGGAGGCCATCATCGTGGATAACATACCAGCTATTGCCCCCTATCTACCGTCTTCAAATGGATATTCAAGTCTGGCTTTACCCACAGCTCAAAGTTCTCTTGCCCATCCATCCAATTCCTGCTGCTCTCATCAATCGACATGTCAAACTCCCACATCAACCTTGCGAGGATTAGTCTCATCTCGGCATAAGCCAGATTCCTCCCAATACAGCTCCTTTGCCCGACTAGGAACGCGTTCACCGCGTCGAGCCGATCACCTGCGTATCTCGACTTTTCGTCTCCCTTGTTATAGAAGCGGTCAGGATCGAAGCGAGATGGCTCGAGGAAGAGCCTTTCGTCCCGATATATGGCCCATTGCCAGATTCCGACGCGGGTGCCCCCAGGAACAAAAGACCCGGCAATCTCATGGCCTCCCGCGGGCACCAGGCGCGGCGAGGAGACTCCGTCTGGTGGGTAGATCCGCAGAGCCTCATCCAAGACAGCCAGCATATAAGTCAGGCCAGCTACGCTGGTGAGGGTGATGTCATCTCGCCTCTGGAATCGACCTCGGACCTCGGCCACCAGTTTCTGTAGGACGTCCGGGTGCATTGCAAGGAGGAATAGTGTCCCCGTGAGCAGTGTTGCAGTGGTCTCGCTTCCAGCATTGACCAGCAATGTCGCGTTCCTCTTCAGCCCATCCATGCTCATCCCATCCCGAACCAACGTGTCTAAAAAATCGCTTCTGTCCGTGCCCATCGCAATACGCTTCTTCGTTTTGCTCAGGACTAGCTCAAAATGCATCTTGCGGGCTTTATACCCAACGCCCAGCTGCCTCATGATCCAATTTGCAGGCGCCAGGATCCCAAGGGCTTTGAAGATCTGAATCTTGACGCGGCCTTTGAAGCTGCCGAGCACAAGCGCGATCCATGGATGATAACCACTACCTTCGAGGCATCCAAAGTCTTCCCCAAATGTGAGGCTGCCAATGATGTCGAAGGTGGCGTAGGCGATCCAGTCGCGCATGTTGACACTTTGAGGTCTCCCCGTGGCATCGGTGCTGTGTTCTCGGAGTCTCCGTATCAGAAGATCAACGTAGCTGCCGATGAGTGGTTCTTGAGCTTTCATTGCCCTGTCGCTGAATCCAGGACTCAGCTTCTTTCGAAGATGATGATGCGCCTCATCTGACGAGCTTATAATGGACGGCGGTAGGTCGTTGAACGGGTTGTAGAACGCCATGTCTGGTGCCAAGGCGTGGCCGTGGGGGTTTCTGGCAATACCGGGCGGCTGCCGAATGAAAATATCTTCCCATGCTTGAGGATCTGTGAATGAGAGCTCGTTGGGAGCAATGCGAACTACCGGGCCGTACTGCGTGTGTACATCCTTGACATGGTAGACAAGGCGACCGCGAGACAGGAAGTAGAGCTTGGGAAGCACGCTGGCTCTATTGATAAGAGGACCGGGAAACCTACGGAGGGGATGAAGGAAAATGTTGTAGAAGAGGAAAGAGATTATGTACAAGAATGAGAGCATGGTGGCGAAGAGGCACCATTCGAGAGGAGACTGTGGGATCAGGACCGCCATGGCGCGCACGATGTTACGAGCATGTCAGCAAGAGGCAAATGGGAATTAAAAAATTTTTAAAAAAAATTAAAATTAAAAGCAATTCCGGTCGTGGTTGTTTTCTCAGATGAGCACTTTTGTAATGAGGAATTCAGTCAAGCGGCATGACTTCGCGGGGACGATCTTTCAACTCATTCAAATCATTTAATTCAAAAAGCTTGCTTATCCCGACGCACCGGCAACCTCCCGCTCTCACTGCGGGACCAGAAAGGAAGCGAAGGATTTGACGTTGTAAGATGTAACGTTCCTAAGTATTACTCTTGTCGCATGCAATTAAGAGTTATCGCCCCGCCGTTGAAGGATTGATTGTTGCCTTGCACGGGGGCCATGTCGAATTGCGAGCGTATTTGTAAAAAACTAGATACGCAAGCCGATTTAGCAACACTATTAGCTTGAATGATACGCCCAACCTTCCGTGTCAGATATGTCGCATAGTGTTAAATCGTACAGTATGAATTACAGTTGCTAAAAGAATGAGTTCATGTGTTTTGCGACATGTGAGAATACAGTTAAATGCATTTCGTATCTTAACGCCTGTCTATAGAACTCCTCATCTAGTGCCGTCTAGTTCCGTCAACTGCCGTCAACTGCCGTTAAGTGCTTACATGGCCCTGCCTTCATCTTCTGCATATTGCCGTAGGGCTTTGACAGCCATGGCCGTGATTACACCCCTGCTGCCAACCTTGATATCCTCCTTGCCGTACTTGAACAGCCAGACCCTGTTCCAACCACCGTCGAGTTGTTGGCTCTCCAGCAGCACTCGCACATCTCTCTTCGCGTACGGCACTCCCATAGCCTGAGCACTCAGAGTCCTCAGTGCCGCTCCCAACACGTCGCCATCACACCCTGCCCGGTCCCTGATTTCACTCACTAATAGCTCGCGCATCTCCGACAACGACGGATCCTTGGGCCGCCGCGAGCACAAATTACTAAGGATGTAAGGCATGTAGTCAATGTTCTCATAGTAGCGGCTTCCGAGCTCATAGGTCTTGGTCCGTAGCAGGCGGCAGAGGAAGAGGTAGGTATGTGCAAGTTTGTGGCCTTGGCCTTGAAGGCAGAAGAAGCGGAAGGCGTTGGCAATGATGCCGTGGCAGAGACGAGGACGGTTCTTGTTAAACCAGCACTATGCACACCACCATATGTTAAAAAAAATGTATTAGGAAAAGAGGGACCAGGTGCTTCTTACCAATGGTAGATTGTCCGGGCTGAGGTTATTAAGAATGACATCCATCGCTGCCTCCTTCTCATGGGCGGGAATATCGTCCAGTGTGCACATAGCGTAGGAGGTAGTATCGCAGTCATCGCTGTAAGTCGTGCCCATGAACGTGTTCGAGTGGTGAAAATAGTTCCATGTTGGCCCTTCTCTCCTGTCCAGCTTGATCAAGCGCCTGCATACTTATTAGTGGTTGATTTTCCTTTGCCTTTCGCAAGATCCAGAAGCCACAGGACATTCATAAAACTCACTTGTCTCTGGTCAGCTCCAAAATGATAAACTGGCTAAAATTATCAGGCTGTTCTCCTCCAGTGCTCAGTTCCAGCATCATTTTTTTCGCGTTTCTCTCCATATACTCCATGCCGCGATTCACGGGGTCTCCCAACAAGTTCCAGATCGTCCTCTCAACCTCTTTTGGGTTGCTAAACGTCACTCCTTTGAATCCTAATGCAGCAGCTGCAACTACATTTTCAACCCTGTCGTCGACAAATATGCAGCTTCCTGCATCAAGCTCATACGTCTCAAGAAACTTTATATAAGAAGCACTGTCCGGCTTTCTCACTCCAGTCTGCCCACTTGTCTGGAATCCATCTAGAATGCCCCAAACGGAGATCATTGGCTTCAAAAATTCATAGTCGGGCTGTGAAATGTTGCTCATTCCATAGACCTTGATATCTGGAAAGGCTGCCTTGATATTCTTAACGGCGTCTATGAACTCGGAATGCGGTCTGACCGTTTCGGTGAGCTGATCCAGGGTCTCGGTCCAGACATTGACGTCAAGACCAAACTCGGAGGAGACTCTCTCGTAGCATTCTTGACGGGATAAGTGCCCGCACTCATAGTCATACCATGTTGGCGAGTCGAGCACGTTCTTGATCTGGCTGGGTTTCAAGACACTTGAGAAGACCGAGCCCCCGTACGAGAGAAGAACGCCATTCAGGTCAAGAACAATTGCTTTGTAGAGAGACATGGCGGCGTGAATTGAGTTGACACAAATGAACTAATACGACGTGAACAATATGAAGTTTCATGCAAAATGGATGCGTCTGCAGGAGAGTGGCTACTCAAGAGGACAGCACGAGATACCAACAATAAAGTACACGAGGCAATGTGGCCTTCTGCCTAGCTTTTACATGCCCGAGAGCTCAGATACGCTGCTTACCCCATATAGTACATTGTACGTATATAGGTATTTAAGGCGAAGATCCCCAGCTACCATGGTTTATGCTTACCGTCTACGGCCCCACCTTAGGATTTACTGTGCTCCGTAGGCTATGCTGGGCGATACGATGCGACACTGCAAGGTACCCCAGGATTTCCCCTTATGCTAATAGCCGGGCAGGATGGCAGGGCAAGAAGAAGGAGTGCATCACCTCTATGAATGTTACACACAATGTGGTCCTCGTCGCTATGTGGCCTATCCCGACTTCTGGTGTCGGTTCCATCAAAAGCTTTATCGTACATATAGTCTCCACTACGCATCTTCGGTGTAACGTGTGCCCTTACCGGGCACGCGTGTACTCAACAAGCTGTGATTTGGAATCGAGAGATAAAACACAGAGTTACAAAACTGAGGCACAATTGGTGGATCAGCGAGCTATAGATGTCTAATTGCAAGGTCAGGATTGGTGCTCCGCGACATCCGCGGAGCACCAATCCTGACCTTGCAGTTGGACACAAGACGTCTCAACAACACCCTTTACAGCTTATGGGGCTTTATAAACTCCACGCATGTACCCAGTTGACAGTATGAGTCCTCTGAACCGACGCAACTTCCTTTTCACGGGCCTATTATACATGCTTAGAAGCTTACCATGCCCCCATCTCCGGCCAGGCTGTATCCTCCTATCGCACCTCCGATAGTTGCAAATCCGCCTGATTTATCCACTTTGCCACCCGGTCTGGTCCCTGTTTCCCCCATCATCACCGACCACCGTAGTGATGAAGAGATTTCAGCATGGCTTACCACCCGCCACGCCGTGAGCTCTGACAAGAACATTTGGGCCTTCTGGCACTCCGGCTTTCTCTCCATGCGGCCATGGTGTCGTCGTAACGTTATAAACTGGATCCGCCGTCTTGGGCCGGACTGGACTGTCCACGTCGTTGACTGTGTCCCCGGCTCTGAGACGAATGTCCGCCATTTCGTTCCTGACGAATACCTGCCAAATGCGTTCCTGCATGGCACAATGGACGGGCCGAGCGTAGGACAGCACTCAGGCGATATAGTTAGGCTGCCCCTGTTATGGCTATATGGCGGCGTGTGGCTTGATGCCGGAACTCTCTTATTTCGACACATCGAAGACATCTGCTGGCGGCAGATTGAGGACCCGGTCACGCCGTATGAGATGGCTGGCTTCGTGCTCAGCCTACGTCCTGATGAGGATGCCATGATAAACGGCTTCATCGCCGCCAAGAGAAACAATCCCTTCATCAAGCGCTGGCATGACATATATCTCACCATGTGGATAGGGGTCACTAATGCTGATGGATTTCACAAACACCCCCTCTTAAAGCATCTACCGCTGTTGAATCCTCCCTTGAGCAAAAGCAAGCTTGTGCTGGACGTGACAATGGAGTCCTTTACTGACTATCTCGCTCACTTCGTAGCCTTTGAGCGGCTCCGGAAGCTCGTTGATCCTAGTGATGGTTTCGATGGGCCAAAGTACTATCGGGAGAATATACTCTTCGCCAAGGCTATGCAAGAGACATACTACGTGCAGCCGAAAACAAAATGGTCTGGTCCTCGGCAGCTCGGCTATCTGCAGACGCGAAGAGATGGACTGAACGGCAGTGAGTCGGATGAAGTCCATGCGAACTGGCTCGAAGCGCAGGAGTTTGTACATGACGCTCTGGCGAATAGCTCAACTATGAAGCTATCTCATGGTCATCCCGGCGGAAAGGATTTCCTAGCGGATCTATTGGATCTGCCAGAGAACGAAAATGCAGACTGTGAGCCGGGAACCTTTGCGGAGTACCTGAGATGGGGAAGCGTTCATCTATATCAAACAAGAGAAATGATTCCTTACATAGTAGATAATAGCAAGGAGAAGGTATATCACATTGGGGTACTAGAACCAGTAGAGGAAGTGTAGCAAAAAACAGCATCTCGCTCATTAAACAAAATGAGTGCCTTAGGAAGATAAGGCTTCCGACAATCACCATGTTTTATTACTTCTTCCACTTGTCTAGATATGAGTAGATAACAAGGATCATAAAGAGGTGGTTTCTAATGTTGAAGCTGTCAATGGCCACGTACCTGCAAAGCGCAGGGACATTTCGATACCCTTTCCTACACTCCGACAGGCTTGGCTGTGAGTGAATAGTCTGATTCGAATATATTGCCTCGATTCGTAGGACAGTACTTTGCAAGGGCCTCCAAGGCTCAAGCGAGGCCATGTCCTCAAGGGAAAAGACAGGAGAAGCATGATATGGTGGCTTTCTGTCTTGCCACAGTAACTGCTGTATTCCCATATTTATCCATATTTATCCACAAGGCGTAGATTCGTACGAGCTTCCATCGGGATAACCACAACTTACTCATGACCCTCCCTGGACGGCCGGGGAGCAATGCCATCACTTCCTTGCCGCTTCCTTGGTTGCTACCATCTATAGAAGTATCACTAGCTGCCACTATAGAGCATCTGTAATGCATGGAAACACACGCAATAAGTTATCTTCTTGAAAGCTGTGTGAGATAGCCATGCCAAAATTCTGACTAAAGCTTTATCTGGCAGCTTACTTGAATCAGAGGCACAGTCAAGGCATCCCTTGGCCGTGGGGGGCAACTTGACAACGCAAATGAGGGTTACCTCATGGCAACGTGGGCCATGGTTTTGTACACTGGCAAACTTGATGTTATGAATAAACTCGTCAATGAGTGGGCCGAGGCTTACGCTGAAACTCACAAAGGCCATTACTGTCTCCTTAATCTCGTTTCAAGTCTCTGGTTCGCTGGCCATACTACTCTAACATAGCAATGTGAATAAACATGCTGATTTAACATAGGAAAATAGTTATTGCATCAATTATTGCGTCAAATATAATATAGAATTGCCCCAAGTGTATAATTTTCTATTTATTAATTCGCTATAGTTGCGGATAATGTCATTGACCTTAGACGCGAGATAATCTGGTGATATACCATCCGCGGTATCATCTTGCAATCATGATGCTGCAAAATTGGCTGAGCAAGATTAATATCTGCACCCTTATCAAGTAATAGCTGAACCATATTATAGTGTTCTAGCTCCATCGCTAATTGTATCGGCCTCCCGCAGTTTATGTTGATCGGCCAATTGCTAGGTAGCATGCTACTATTTAAATCATGAAAACCGATGTTGACATCTGCGCCATGAGCCAGCAATAGCCGCACTAGATCCTCATCGCCTAAAACAATAGCCCTGATAAGGGGAGGTGTGTATTCTGCGGGTTCAGATTTATCCCCATAAGTCATGTTGAATGTAAAAAGCTCACGATACCCGCCATGGTCTCGACATTTGGGGTCTAACGGTCGATCTGAATCTTTAAAGTCACACTTTACGCCATTAGCAAGCAAGATATTAATAATAGATATATCTCGTTTTGTTATGGCATGACCCAGTGCTCTTGTGCAAGGAATTCGATCTGTCTTTTGAACCAAGATCTTAACCAGCTCGTGGTTTCCCTGTTGCACTGCACTTAATAACGGCCGACCCCCTAAGGTGTATGAACTCTTTGTACTAGTATTAGCGTCAGCGCCAGTAGCAAGGAATAGTTCTACTATTGGAACATCCCCCAGCTCCGTAACATATTCTAATGGCGTTTGAGATGTAAAACTAAGATCAAAGTTTACATCGGTGGTATATTCCTTCAATAATACCGGCACAAGATGTAAATATTTGTTCTTCAGCACTGCATCAAGTGCACCCTGTCTCTGAGTTTCATTTGGAAAGTCATGGACGTTTGCGTCGGAGCTTTCATGGATGCTGGCTTTACCATCTTGATGCGTGATGGAAATAGACTGAGAGTGCTGCTTCGTAGGCGGCGTATATTTCTGTTTCAAATTGGTAATTGGCTTTTTATCCTTTGTAGAGCAATTAAAGAAATGGAACGCTTGGTCTTGAATGTTCCAGACCAGCTCCCAATCCTCTTTCTTTTCGACGCCAACGCTAGTAGATTGGGCGGTGATGCGATGAGATTCTATGGCAACCGGCACAATTGCAGGCTGATGGGGTTCGATGGCGGCTGGCACAGTGGTAGGCTTATCAGGTTTTCTGTTTTCGAACCCGTCAAATAAATGCACTAGTTCAGCCAGTGGTTGGTGTTTTCGGTGTTCAAAGTACGCAGTTAGCTCAGGGGGTTTGAAAGCGGGCTCATACTCCCGCCGCGCAACTTTATTCCAGTCAAGTTCGTCAAAAAAAGGATGCTCTTTAATCTCGGATGCCCCGTTCGCCCCTAGTCGCTCTCCGGGATTGCGAATAAGGAGCTTGGCAAGAAGATCTTGCGCAGATGCCGGTAGCAATTTTGAAACCTCGAGAGGTTCGGACAGGATATTGCGGCATCTCTCTTGCATATCCTCGTTGTAAAATGGAGGTAGTCCCGTCAACATCTCGTAGAGGAAAACTCCTAATGTCCACCACTTTGATGCTGTAGTAATAGTACTTGTAGAGCCCTTGCTAGTAAGTAGTTCGGGAGCCAGGTAGTCCACAGTAATGTCTGACTCGATTTCCGTACCTTCTATCCCCAGATAGATAAGACGGGGATCGTGGAGAACAACATGGCCCATAGAATCCAGAAGAAAATTGCGTGGTTCAAAATGATAATAAGAAGGGTCCACGTCATGTAACCACTCTAATGCAACTAGAATCTCTGCAGTATATAATCTTGCCCTATCAATCCGAAAACGCTGCGCCATTTGCAGGTAATAGAAAAGATACCCACCAGACATAGATGCCCAGAAGAAACATAGCTTCGTTGGTGTCTGTGCGGCGAATTTAAGCGGCGCTATGAAAGGATTGTTATTGACTGGTGAAAGGAGGGCCTGTATCACGTCGCTGTGCGAGAAGTTGGCGGATTTCGGAATACTAATACATTCGTAACAGCAATTGCTGCTTAATATCCCGACTCGAAAACCATAATCAACGTAGTCCCTTTTATAAAATTCGTGGTCTATCGAAGTGCGGATATGCAATGTCTTATTCTTAGCGTATTCAACCTTAATGTGTAACCTTCCAGTACCATTATTGATTTGCAGCCATCTCGTTTGAGAAGAGGATTCGTGTTCAAAACAAGGATATAGTTTCGCTGTACCAAGAAATATATCCTGACTTCTTTCGCGACTGTGTTGATGCTTTGCGTAAAGGCGGATCGTCAATTCGCCAGGTCTGAAGACATCAAACTTCGCATAGTTGTAGGATCTGCCTCTTTCTTTTTCCCATACAGGGTTTTTCAGGGTTCCCGAACGAGCTTTGACGTGGATTTGAGAACTATCGAATTCTAATACTGCATGTGGCAAGTTTTGGTGATCGGGCATTGAAAGCAGAGAGCCTCTAGCTTGAGTTGCGGTAGTAGGGGCTGTCAAAGGATCCTGTTCATGCTTAAAGGCCTCTTCATACTCGGACGGGACTGTGAGGTCAAGCCCTTCGTAGATTGCCACTGTCAGTATACCAGGTCCATGAAGATTTTGCGACTCAATAGGAATAATCTCGGGTCCTTCACAAATCGCCTATTAGCCGGAGTTATGAGGTTAATAGCAGCACATACTGGGTGGAAAATCATCCTTGGGAATTGATCCTCGTGGCTTGGTTTTTGCCGGATCAAACTCCTCCGAAGGACCAAAAGCGGACATCTTGCAAATGTCTATAGTAAAGTTACTATGAGATGGAAAGTGCTTGGCTCGTTATCGTACTGAAGATAGAGATTGTGTATGTATGTAGCTGGTCGATTAGACGAGAGTTGCATGTGTGAGGCCACTTACCCCGCATTAGCGCTTAGGAATAGTGCAGGTATATGTACAAGGGAGCTATGAAGGAACTATTGAATCCGTGGTTATACACTGCCCTCGTCCTATACAAACTGAAAAGCCTATGTAGATGCTATTTAATCTTCGTCAGAAAACATCTAAGCTCAAGGTTTGTCACATCAATGAAACTAATGCCAGTCTGATTTTTAACAATGCACATTCTGAACTATAGCTTTTATTAGCCTGGCAATTTAGATACTCTCGAATACAATCACTGTATTTAAAAATGTTAATAATAATATAAGAATCTCATTATATATAAAAAAAATATTGAATGAGACAAGTACCCACGAGCCCGGCTCATCTGGACAGACACTGAACCTACTTCATGTATACAAGTTCCTTTGGGCCCACAACTACCCAGCAAGCTAGGTAGTTATGGGCTCATTCTATCTGTTCCTTCATCGGCAGCTTCTGGTTTAAAGGGCGACTAGAACCGTTTCAAGAGTGGTAAAGTTTGGAGACCTGCGATGTTACGAGTCAGTTGAGTTACCTTGGAGAAAATACTAGAATCATACCCAAGCCCTGTCACTGGATCCCACCCAGCAGCGGCAGGGAAACCCCAAAGGGTTGTTTCATCGGCAGAGCTACAGGCCGCATTATTACCCTCGGTGATGTCGTTAAATGCCTCCGGATGTGCATACTGATAGAGTAGTCGAAAGTTAGCAACGATGAAGAAGCCCCATCTTGTGTCCAACAAGAAAGTCATCCACATTCCAAAATTACAACACCACTTACCAGAGCTGGGTTAACAAATCCAAGTGTGCCCTTTCCTGCCGCAATACGCTTCTCGTTGATCAGAGTCAGTATAGAGCCCCAGAGAGGAGCCGAAAGCGAGGTCCCGCCAATTGTGTAATAGTCTCCTCCATAGACAATAATCTGGTTCTCTCCTACAGCTGCCACGTCTGGATAACCTCGGCCACCGCTATTATACACTTGATTAACGTCTGTGATGTTATCGAAGCTGCCATTAACAATAATCTGGTTATACGAGCTAAATGGCAACGAAGCCTGCACCTGATCATAATACGCCTGGATAGCTTCCTTCTGATAATCGGCAGCACTGTGGATATTACTGAAACCCCCACCACTAGGGAATTGCGTAGTGGCGACCTCTTCGAGTATCTCCCACTCAATTGGAGGTGCAGTAGGGTCTGAACGCCTCAGCTCCGTACCGCCGACAGTGAGGATGTAAGGGCAGGTCTGAGGGAAGGACGGTGCGAATATAGTCCCTACAGTGGGTTCCTCGTTTGAGCCGATACAGCCCAGGTGGGACGCAACACCGTCGTCGCCCGAAGACATAACAACAGTAACTCCCTGCAGACCAAGCTTCATATACTCGTTGCATTGACGGTACTGATAGTTATTGGGAAGGAGATCCTCAATGGCGCTATACGAGATGGATATCACGTTAGTAGGCTTATACACACCGCATTGGAGTTGTCCTTGATATCCGATAGGCGCAGGATAATTGGTATTTGGGTAGAAGGGGTCAGCGCATGATGGGTCAGTGCAATCGCCGGTCTCGTTGAAGGCACTGTAGGTGCAGTAGCTACCATCAAGAGCGTCAAGAAAAGCTTGAACCTGTCAGTTAAACATGTGAATAGGGGGCAATAGGCGGTCTTACTATTAAAGAAGCCCTCTGATCCCACAATCTCCCAGTATTCATCATCTGTCTGGAATAAGACCGTTGTTTGGGGCCATATGAGCGGGATAGAAGCCTGGAAGTCCAAAGTAGACTCCGGTCCAATGCTGCCAAAACCAGTACCGACAGAGGCCACGAGGTCTTCATAAGACCCTATGGCACCATCGACTAGTCGATTTTCGGGATACGTCCCTGCCGGAATATCAAGGTAGCTGGTACAGAATGAGCTTTGAGCCTCTGTAGTAAGCATAGAGTGTCATCTCGGGCTCCTTACGGGTAGAGATTTGCCAAGAACTGGTCAAGATCAGCTGTACTATAATGATCGTTCAGAGCTTCGAAGATTCCAAGCTCATTTCCAGGAGCAGCGGTTGTGCCATTGGCGACGCCGTACTGAACTACACTACACATTAGTCCAGTCAGGTACGCTGGATGAGATCTGGGGCCGCCCACCTCTAATACAGTCGGCAGTGATAACAGTGCTGCAAGTAGTAGAATTCACACCTGGGATGTCATTGGCAGCACTTATATAAGCGATGTTATTCTTAGCCATTGGACCGTCCGCAAGTCCTGGGACATGTTCTCTGCGCTTCTTAAGCTTTCGCTTCAAGGCGCCATTTTCTCGCATCCTAATTCCTGGAGTCGCATAGTCAATGTGTTCCTGAATATGGGTAGGAACATGATATTCGTCGCAGGCAATGTCTCTATGCGAGCCGGTGCTGTCCTCCCAGAAATAGAAGTCGGTGATGAGGAGGTCCTCAGCCTCTTCGGTTGCTGCGTCAAATTGAATCCACTATAGTCCTGGCAATTAGAGCGAATTGCGCAAAGATATTGATAGAGAAGACGCTTATCCGCGCCAGCCTTGGGCGTATACGCCTCGGTAGTAGCCGAGCTTATGAGATATACATGTACTTGCCTGTTTATTAGCTGATTGGCTAATACGCTGCCTTTCAATGCCGGAAGACACGAGCCAATTAATGACAGCATCCACGCTAGACTGCGCAGGAGCAAAGAAGTCGATGATTTCCTCTGAGGTCATGTGTTTGCCATAACTGGTGGAACCGGGAGTAGAACTATACTTTGAATGTTAGCGTCACCCCTATGCACTTATTTAGGTATTTCGCCAACATTTCCATAAGTCTAGTATGCCCTGCATCTAAATTGCGCTGCTTCAAGCCAATACGCATGGGCAGAATAGTTTTAGGAGACAATCTTTCCCTCTTAGTCCAGTGTTGGGCTATGCGAGACTTGTGCCGTTCATGCACCGTGTGCGAGTTTGGAACATCACGCTTGCCGGGGGGTTTGTCGCGCAAAAGAGGACTTGCAACAACTTCAATGGCCAGCCCAAGGCCAAAAGCGGCGGCGAGAGAACGGAGTAACATGGCCGCTTTCTATAAAGTAAACTCAATCTATCAAACGGATAGAGATACTATAGCGATGACTACACTACAACTGAGGCAGCAGAAGACATCATGTAAATATATAGCTCCATCTTGATTTAAGAAGCAATCATTGATTTGACGTGAACAGGGTGTTGCTAGATGTGGAAGGTACATTAGACAATGTGTGTCAAGTGATAGCAAGCAGAGATAATAGATCCCTGTACTTTAGCCGGATATAGGAACAAATGCAACCATGTATAACCGTATTACTATGTCTGATAAAGTATTTCCATAACTCTTTAGAGATATATAATATGAAGAATGTTTATTAAAACCCTCCATTTATTATACTAATAAAATGTTCAAGATAGCCAAGAAGAAAAAGGTAAAGTCATGAGATTAGCTTATACACACCAGCAGTTATTTAATGATATGGTGTAGACCAGCTAAATAGAGAGTGATTCTAACCACAGACGCATCATAAACTATAGACGTGCTCCCAGTATTCCAATGACGGGGTTGACATACATGCAGGTATGGCGTTATTGAATTCTAACGTTGATATTAGAGAGTGACTTGGGGAGACATAGTTTAGCGGAGAAATTCATTACATAGAATGTCGCCTTTTCCAAAAACAGATGCCAAGTCTTCATTATGCGCTATGCGCGTGCTCTTGCCCCTCTATTCCGTCAACAACGTTATCTCCAGATTTAACAATATTTAGTCAAGAATAGATAAAAGCTTTGAGATTCGTAGTTAACCCCTCATTATTCAAATCAAACCATACCTTCCTTGATAGCAGAGTGTCCTACAAACTCTTACTTTAATGTAAGGTAGATAGCAATATTGAATATGAGTCTTCCCATGAAAACTAGTACTCATATGCCTTGGTAATCTCTTTATAATCATGGCAGCTCCAAGAACTCCATCTTCTTATCTGCCGAGAACCTGCAGCTTGCATCCAATCTCTTTTAGCTCTATCACCCTCTTTAAGAATCATGATCTTAAAGTAACGCTATAATCATCAATCATACCAAAGAGATCTTGGCAGGACCGTTTGTATCAGATAGTTGCATCTTCATCACACCATCTTCCATTATTAAAACGGTTAAAGAATATATCTTCCACATTATTACGGGCACAAATAAAACTAGCATCTTCCATTCGAGGTTGCGTTGCTGCCTAACCTGCATGCCCCAAATAGGTATCCTGCTGGTAACTCTCGCTATGTCGGCATAAATGTCACCAACTCTTTGTAGGCTCCCAAACTTTGGAGGAGGTTGATGGGGGTTATGCGGTAATTTACTCGCCGTATGGAGACTAAGCACGTTGGATGAAGACCACAATAAAGCCTAACTTGGAATAGAGTATCGGCACTATAATATGCTTAATAAAATTTACAACATAATACCAATTGCGACATCTTCAAATGCATACTACCATAAATAGTGGAAAATCCGGTTTCCCATTAAGCTCTTTCGTTGTGCTCAGTGGCCTCCATTCCCGGCATCCTAACATTCCAGTGTCTCATAAATTCCGTTTTTAATAGACAATAATCCCGTACCCAAATCGTAGTATTAACATAGTCTATCGTTGTAATAATCCAAGAGTAGCTTACCAAGTATGAAGTATTCTTGTAGTTTAACAAGTGTCTAATAAAAACCAGCCAGGCTTCGTGGCCTCTTTTTACATGTTTCTATTCTCGGTGGTTCTGTGCATCCTCTCGCACTCTGTTTGTTAGAGTAAGTTATTTAATTATACCAAATTCGGAGTAATGATCATGTCTTTGGATAGGTAGTGTTGGGTATTATGTACGGTAGTATAGACTCTTCTCAACGCAGGGCTTTTACTACTGCTCTACCTCCATCTCCGTTGTCCCTTGGAGAGTCCATATGTGTTATTATTTGGCAAAAGTCCTTAGGTAAGACAAATGGGCCTCTGAAGCAACTCACCCTTTCCATTTATTGCGAATTATCTTGATCCATGTGATAATGCTGGCCCGCGTAATGTGCACCAATTCGTGTTATAATCTCCAGACTTTGCTAGTCAAACATCAAGAAGAATTTTGGTAGCAAAGTAAGGTGAAGCTAGCTATAATCTCCAAGAAGTAAACAGCTCCACAAACGATCATATACATGATCAAGCAGCATCCTTTGTATCAGCTATGGTACAGCTATCCGGTTTGGACACAATCCGTGCACCCCACAAACCTAGTCGACTCAGTCGTCGGACTCAGACATATCTTCGTCTAACTCTATGGCTTCATCAAAATATTTCTCTCCCCATGAAAGCATTGATAAAAGCGCTTTCCGAGATTCAAGCCGAGGGGCCATCGCTTCATTTATTTAGCAATCTGCAGCGTCTGATCCACCACATAATAGGCCAGGGTTATTGAAGCGGTCTAGCCGTTGCTAAACTCCAGTTTCAGATCTCATAATAGCAGAGATGCTCCCTTATGCGCAAGAAGTGGAAGTGCTAGAAGCGCTGGTCTCTATCTGCTGCCTCCTCAGCCAGCGAATGTCTAGATAGAAAATTCCTTTGACGCCGTACGTGGGTGTGCTTGAAATATACTAACACAAAGAAGCAAGAAAATTTGTATCAAAGAGAGTGAGCTCTCTCATTCTTGTGGGGGATTGCAATAGACAGACCTCTGATGTAGAATATCGGACTCGAGGCCGTCTGTATGAAACACGCTATACCGGTAACAGCATTGAGAGAATCCAGTAAAGCCATCGATGCACTGCTATTAAAACCTTATTCTACATATTTCGCAATACATGAAGAAGAATATGACTATCCTCACCTTGCTCTGTAAGGAATAGAGAAAATAACGACATTTGATGTGAGCAGATGCGTGCTAACGAGTCCAATTGCATGTAGCTGTACTACACTCCAGTCTCATTTGAGCTCTTGCCCAAAGGGTGGTATCTCGGCACTGTCTCAAGAGTAAGATGCCAGTCAGGCCTATATACCCGGGATTACACGTCATCAAATCAACCTGTTTCAACACAGACATCAAATTTTTTTCCAGATCTTTGAACATGAAGCTATTCTCCATCTTATCCTTCATTATCCTCGTGGTGATCCCAAGCTAAGGGCATTACGCACTACCGATCGACTGCGGCATCAAAGACAAGCAGGGGTTTTAGTATCTTGCTGAAGACATACAGACAAATATTTTCAAGTTACTTAACAATAAGGGAGCTGTACTTCATACGAGAGGTCAGAGTGCTCAATTTATAGAAAAAACTATGTTTCCGCCGCGAATAGTATGTTGATAAGCTCCTATGTAGATGGAACTCAGCCCAATCAGCACAGCGGTTCCCTTTCCAAGGCCGAGAGATTAGACTACATCAAAGCTGTCAAGTATCTTCAGAGCTTACCATCACGCTCTCCAGCGAGTGTGGTGCCTGGTGCGAGGTCTCGGGTCTGTAGTTTCCCAGCCTCTGATTGACGCCGTCATCCATACATATACCCTACTAACTCAGCTATAGTATGACGGCTTCGTTGCGGCGCACATCCAGCATGCACTAACTATTCACCTCACTGGCAATTTTTTGACATGGCATCGCTGGCCTATACATGAATATGAGCGTGCATTACGCGAAGAATGTGACTGCAAGGACTACCGCCCTGTATATTCATCCTTACATGAAGCGCTGACACTTAATCCGGGCTTGACTGATACTAGAAATAGTACTGGGACTGGCCCAAATATTCCGAACTCCCATCTTCAATGGTGATGCCTACAGCCTAGGTAAGAATAGGCACTTCATCCCTCAAGACAGACATTTTCGCCAGTCAACGAAAGTCCTCCCTATCGTTGGAGTCGGGATGTGAGTGCCTCCCAGCCTACATTCGCCAATATGACCTTCAATCTCGGTCCAGGTGGCAGCGTGGCATACAATCCACGGAGGTTTACGCGGGATATTGGCCTAACTCATACCACTCGTTTCGCTAACTATACTAGTATTTTAGGTGAGACGAAGTACATGTAAAAGGAAACAATATTACTAACCATATATTGGTAGATCTGCTGCGATAAAACAACATTGAAGTATTTCGGTATTAATTAGAAGGTGTGCCCTCCAGCACCGAGGCCGTTGGCCCTCACATCGCAGCACACACTACTATTGGGTAGGTTCTCTGTGCTGGCTAGAAGTGCAAGGAGACTTTCTAAACTGCAGTGTTTAGCGGCGATCCTGGGGCTGATGTTTTTGCCTCCCCTGGTGACCCAGCATTCTATGTCCACCACGAAATGGTAGACCGCGTATGGACTCTGCGGTCAGTGCTCGTAAATTGTCACTCCGGTCAAGCTGCTCATAGATGTTTGCGTAGGCAAGCGATTGATCCTGAAACACGGTAGAAAAAGCTTGGTGGAGATGAGTATGGCAATATCACCTGGCCAAACACGCCTCATTCGAGGGAGACGATGTTGAGTGACATTCTAGACTTGGGGTATGCTAGTGAGCCGATACAGATCGCGGATGTTATGGGCACATTGTTTGGGCCTTTTTACTACTTTCGCCTGTAGTCGATCGCTAGAAGTCGACGTAAATAACGAACAGAGCCTTCAGGAGCAATGCAGAGGGCCAGTCGCCTCATTGGATAGTTGTGTCTTACCGGATAAAGCTTATACTCGTTAATGCAAGAGTGCTGAATCAACACCAGCCGTCTCATAGACCTTCTATATCTACTATATCTAAATAATTCCAAAATTAGATAAGCAAAATACCTAGATCTGAACAGCCTTTCCTGATGTATGTGCTGATATTATCTTGATTCAGGCACATACTGCTATCAAGTTTTACGGTATATTTAATTCTTCTTTCAGTTGGGCATGCAGTATTCCCCATCTGATACTACCAAATCTCCCAAATCTCCGTTACCGTTCTGCTACAGGGAGATCTGACGAGGGGAAGCCAATGTCAAGCAGGACACTCTCTTCAACATGCCCCCGCTTTATGAGATATTCTACTGCTTTCCGCCTCTCAGTGCGCCCACGGGCATAATTTCTAGTTAAACGTGGAGTATTTGAAGATAAGATGGTTGGGTCCGCTCCTGCCTCCTCAATCAAGTACTTGACCATCTCAACTCCCCCCCGGCCGAATATCGCAGCAGCCAAAACACTGTCATAATTTCCGCCACGGTGCGCATTCACATCGGCTCCATTCTCCACGAAGAGCCTTGCACACTTTAGCGAACCATGTAGTGCGGCTGATGCTAGAAGACTGCAGTAAAAGCTAGTTCCAGCCGTCAAATTCACATCTGCTCCATATTTTATCAGGAGCTTTGCTAAATTAAGTTTATCTCGCGAGGCAGCCGCTTCCAAGGCGCAACGAAACATACAGTCTGAACATGTCATGTTGGGATCCGCTCCTGCCTCAAGAAGAGGTTCAACCAAATCCTCTGCAAAATCAACAGCCAGACAGAGCGGACTTTGACCGTTACCGAGAATATTTGGATCGACACCCCTGTTTAGGAGCAGCCTTGCCGTTTCAGTGTGTTTCATGTCAATAGCTTCCATGAAGGCGCTTTCCCAAACACTATCCAGTCTTTTGTTTATATCGCTTCCCCGGTCAATGAGCTCAGAACAAAGGTCATCATGGCCGTACTTTACAGCAATTGCGAGCAAATCCAATTTCGTGTTATTGACTTGCGAGACATCAATGTCTTCATCCCACCAGCCCTTGAGCAACTTGTGAAGACCAAAAACACAAATTCCAAAAATGGAACTTTTTGATGGCTGTACATCCCAATAATAACCGTGGCTGTAAACAAGATCATCTCTGCTGCTCATGTGTCTGCACCAGGCTTGGTACTGTTGACTAGAGGATTTCTGAAAACCTGGTGGCCCCAAAAAGCATTTAAGAACCTCTGATAGACCGGCCGCCTCCTGGCACTGGTTTTGAATGTTTTGCGCGTGTTGCACCCAATATTTTCTTGCATATTCTTGAAGGGGATGTCGCGGATCTGAGTGATTATCAAGGTCTGGTGTCATCTGGAAGAACTCTTCGATCTCGGTATAATATTCAGGTAGTGTCCATTCCGAGTAGCAATCTATCAAGCACGAAACCAGAAGAATCGCCACTTCTTCAGAAGCTTGATCTATCCAGCTCTTATGTTGGTTCTCAAAATACTCTGCAACTGATGCATGCGGGAATTTCCACACCCTCAGTTGAGAGTCTAGGACAATTAAATGTGAGCAGATACTCTCCAAGGTTGATTCGCCGATAGGGTCTGATAGAGTAAGGGATTGAAGGTTGCTCTCCAATCGAATGGCCATTAGAAGAACTTTGCTTGTCAATGGCTCTCTGGCGCATAAAACCCATTTGACTGCCCGTTGTAAGACATCTTTTTCTTCATTTTTTGAATAGATTTCATCGTACGCTTGTGTGAGACTTTCAGGCAGCCTCCCAAGCCGCTCACGAATGCTTTTGTTAGTTCTCAACTTTTTGAGCTGTTCCCATTGCAGGTATGCCCATCGGAACCTGCCAATTGATCAGCATGATTCAAAAGGTTGTTGAATTAATCAGAACAACAGTCTGTGGCCACCGGTAACTCACATTCCATCACTTTTTTCTGCAATCGTTTTCTTGACCTGCTCCTTGACTTCTGCCGAAACTGAGCTCCATACGCTACCAACTTTTGCTACCTCCTGTTCAACGTACTTCTCGATATCATCCTTGTTATCGGCGGCACTAATCTCAACCAGCTTCTGTGACCCAAGATATTCTTCGATATCAGCCTCCTTACGACTGGCAATGAAAACTTTGACAGTGCCTTCACCCTTGTCGACAAGATTACCTAAAATACGAGCAATAGTCTCTCTAGTGTCCATCTCGCATTCATCTAGGGCATCCAAGATCAAGGTGGTCCGGGGGTAGAAGTTTACTAGTTCAATCAGGGCCGTCTCGCATTCATCGATGCTAAAGCCTCTTTTCTCCTTCTTCGCCTTGAGGTACAAGGTATAGATATTTTTTTCCATCATAGTTGGATACTTTGGCACCCTAGCAAGCTGAGAAATATAGCTCCTAAGGATGTGCTTTGTCTCTCGACGCACTGGATCTGAGCGACTGCAGTAGAAGTAGGCAAAGCCTTCATCGTGCTCGGCTTTCTGCTGACGAGTGACAAGATGGTGGTCAATTACCTTAGAGGAAAGAAAAGACTTCCCTGCGCCAACTAAAACAAAAGCAAAGTAGAAAGATCAGTTCATCATGTTCATGCTGTCTCTTATCCTTATACCAAGTCAAGTGAGGTATAGTTACGTACCGTTGCCTTGAAGCCATAGAATTGAAGAACTTGATCCTTCCCATTCGAGAAATTTAGAATGATTTAATAGCCATTCGCATGTCGCAGGGGTTCTTGCTTCACATTTTTCTTGCTGGTGCTCGCCGATTGGTATGGTGCTAATATAGTCTAGCACTTGTTCCAGTGTACCATCCTCAATCTTCTCAAGCAGCTTCTTTACGGTGACTTCAACGCTCCTTAGTGGTTCATCGAGATTCTGTAGAAGATTTTGATGTTCTTGAGACGCACCCGCACCACAGGCTTGAGCTGCCATTGACACATTGCGTTCTTGCTCTGCCAGCGCTGATACTAATTTTGCACCTTCTCCACCAGAGATGAGGGCACGCAGAAACTGCTTCCCTTGCCCTTCATTCAATCGCGTAAAGGCGTGGGCTAGGAGCTCCATCAATGATTTGTACAGGTCAACAAGTGCATCCTGTAGATTCTGTGTTGCTGCATTGCAAGAGTCACCACTAAGATATACCTCCTCGTACACCTTGCCATGCCTAATAAGCCGTAGGACTTTTTCGGCACATCCAAAGATGGCTACAAGGTCCTCGCATTGGGACACATTTGCCTGGTCGGAGATTTAACAATTAGAAGAACAATATCATTATAGCGTCAAGGAAAGATAAAATAAACAAGAACCACAGAATGAAAACCACACACAAATAGAAATAAAAACACAAAGGCCATTGAAAGTTATTCTTAATATAGTAGAACAACATTATGCATAATAATGGGGCTGTGCTTATGGTTGCAAAATTCCTAGTTTTTTGTTTCCCGCTTGGGTGTATATTCTTACATTTAAAAGTACTTTGAGAGCTGACCAAACGACCGAGGATGGTGCTGGGGCAAAGCTGATGGATATGTCTCCAATTGCCGTCACCCACGCCACCACCCTGTTGGCGTAATCTCTCCACATGATCTCTTGATCACCAACTCTGAGCTTCGGAGTTCTATCCTTGTATTCTTCTTCTCTTTTTCGAACGATTTTGATGAGGTCGTGAGTCCTCTCCTCCCCATTACCGTTCTTGGGGGCATCGCCGATCCACGTTTTAGTCTTCTCGTCTAATTTTCGGTAGGCCCGAGACCACAAGTCAGATTCGGCACACTCTTCTATTACGTCGGTCCGAGATTTGACAGGCTTGTCAATAGAAGCATTAGCACCAGTAACACCAGTAGAGGTAGTAGAGGTAGTAGCATCAACAGCGTTTATAGCAGCATCCGTTTCCTCGGATGTAGCAGGTGGGTTCGATGAGACTGCACTTCTGGCTGGTGATCCCTCTGCCTTGGGCAACGAGCCTGGGGAGTCCTGCGTTATATCATTTTCCTTGAGCTTTCGTTTGAGGTAGGCTTTGAAGCGGCTTCTTCTATTGACTGGCTCGGCCTGCACGGAGCCACCCATGCTTATGAAGACCAACTTTTTCGAGCAACCCGTTCCTGTCAAAGGGATATCGGACGCAATGAGTGATCACGACAAAAATACAGTATTGTAAGGCAGTAAGTTGGCGCATCTTTGATACATTGCATAGCCCAAGTTAGGCACCAATGCGGAGTCGGCTGTCAGGTACCCGCGACCCCTCAGTCAGCTACATTCATATTAATAGCTACATGTAGGTACATGTATGACAAGGCCTGCCAGAAAAGCGGGCAACACTATTTCAATTCCTATTGGGGGAAGACCATAAATGCCCCATAGCCCTTTATTACTTTTGTCATTCACGCGGCAGGAAGAAACATGCCCAGCGCCCTCCATATAATTTGAGACAGCAGAGATGATGGATATCGTATATTATCGTCTATGAAGATACTATGCAAGATTATTTCTTGAACTCGAACCAAGAATTGACCCATTGGACTATGCGAAGCATAATGAGGCTTAGATCTAGCATTAATGAGCCCAATCAGCCTGTCGGTTAATAGCGGGGCGATCCTTGTTCAATATCAACTCAACCATTTCCTTTGTGCCTTACTAATGAACCATATTAGTTTCTCCGTGGTTGTATGGCCCGTCAGAACCAAACTTTAACATCTTTACATAGACTCGCAAGTATTTGTACGTAGATGGGAAGACGCCGTCTATTGCGGGTCCGTCTGGTCGGACAGCCGCAAAGTCTACAGGGTAATGAACGAGTCGCATCCGGGGCGGATCAACCGAATGTTCAGATATTGTTGCGCTGGTGCTGCGTCGCCGTCTTCTTGCAATCATTTGAACTGTTGACTTTTACTGAATGCATCTGGAATAGCGACGGCCAGGCTGGCGTCTCAGTAGGCTCTCGTTTGCAAGAGCTTCTAGGCCACATCCAGGATTTGATAATGCATCATGCAGTCATTCCCCATCGCTAGCACACCATGTCTGGGCAGAGCTATCAAGTATAAATGAGAGGCTCTATCCTCTACACTTCGGGCCAGGTGTTTGCCGCTTGGACTATCCAAAAGCACATCTGGCTTGCTGGGTACGTTGATCTTTCCCCCAATCATTGGTTGGCCCAGCCTTTGGAGAGCTAACACTAAGCTGCAGGGCGAGCTTGAGCCGCTGGCCTCATGCCTGCGAGAGGATGATCTAACGACTCACCGACAGTCCCTCCGGCTCATCGAGACGCCATGAAGCTTACAAGGAGTTCCACAAGGTCGTGAATTTCTCAGAAATTCGTGCGTAAGTGGGGTCTTGCGGCGAAGCGTATCACCGCATTCTAGCCGGAATAGATGCCGTCGCAAACGATGTCTTGGATCCTGATGCCAATCTCGCTACTCCATATGCCGTCATCGTGACTGGCGTCGACATGCAGAGCTGAGCTGCTACATATGACGAAAGCTTCAGCCAACCATTACGACTTTCAAGCCACAAAAGATGCAATCAAGTTTTGAGTCGATTGAGAGAATATTTTTATGTAAGCTCTGCTTGTTTGACTCTCTCCATTTCCGATCTTGCTCATAATTGGAGACAGATAACATTTAGTTCCTCATGGACTACCACACGCTACGCGCGGAATAGAATATAAGATGACACTAAAAGAATTTGCATTTGCAGCAATACAGGGTTTTTTCCGTACTCACAACATTCCATTGAAGCTACCGGATCTTTGTGATACCTTGTGGCGAAAGGCATTGGCCCATGGGGTCACTTCTGATGGAGCGGCCAATGCGCAAAGAATGCCAGCTCGTCCACTTAGTAAGCCGATCGCAATATTACAGTGGATTAAGCGCTAAAACTTACCTGTAGTCAGCCGATCGCTGTATTATGTGCAGCGGATCGAGGACTACTCCGTAGGCCCTACAAAAATGCCTATTTCGGCAAGAGGAAGCCCGCTACTTACGGCGCACCGCCGCCATTGAGCGGGTAATCCCGCGCTCGGGCCTCCGTCACAATAGGCCTCAGGCTACGATGAACTGATGCAAGGGATTTGAAACATGAAGCCACATCATGTTGGTATAACAACATCTTCCCCAGCCCCGTCCCTTCCCGGTCGTGTTTAATCTGGGCTTCCCTGGTACGAGTTTGTTGCCTACGAGGATGCAGACCGGGCCGCGTTCAAACTCTGATCTGCAAGACCTGCTCGCCCAACTCGGTCGTTTTCTCAGTGCCAATGAGAACCGAATCTCGGCAGCACAAGTGTTAAGTTGCTTCCAGCACCTCTCAGCAAACGAAATCTCAGCCTTACATCGTCTATTCTTCTGGCTGTATCAGAACAAGGTTGGTCCGTCTCGGTGCATCCCATATGTATCATGGAACTGCCTACATGTGATAAGCTAATCGAGCCTGTCAAGAGAACCGGCATCCATCGGCTACCAGGCGCCAAGGGGCAGCAGAGATCCACCAAAACGCCTTCTACTGGACGCAAGCACCGCCAATGGCCAGAGAGAGAGGGTGGCTCAGACTCAGTCGGCCATCAGCTCTCGAAAACCCATTGGCCCTCCTCTCCTCATTCGGTTTCGGCGGATGGAGGCGCCTGCTCTGGTGATGGATTAGTAACCTCGATATCACAGGGGAACAGTCATAACTACCAGAGTACAACCAGTATGTGTTATTCAGAACAAGCTGCTCCATGTCAGCAGCCTTCATGTACCCCAAATGCCATTGCCGGGTTGCCTGTTCTCTCAACCGTCCCCTTGTACCAACATGACACGAACGTGTTCCAAGACTGGGTGGATCATGACAGCTGTGGCAGCAGCCGTTTGTCCGCATGTGCTGAAATTAAACTTACTCCGAGTACTCAACGACTCTTGGAGAATTGCAAAACAAATCCTGCACGTTTCCTTGGCGCAATCAAGGAAGCTAAAGTAGTTTTTCCAAATGGACAGGGATGGGAAGCTGCCCTTGCCACAAAGAAAGAAAACACTGACATTCGGGATCTGATGAGGATCTACCACAGATTTGAGTGTTATAACATTTACAGCCATGTTGTGGAGGCTGGTTTTCACACCGGCACGCACTGGGTCCGAGAAAGGCGCTCTGACCTGATCAAAAAGCTTTGCCAAGAGTTTCCAAATCGTTTCCAGAATCAAAAAGCCGCAAACAAGTGTCTCAACTGGGTAGACCAAGGTTGTAAGTATCATGAGTGGAGCAAAACATTTGGTGAAACAGAAGATCTCGGATATCTTATCGCACTGCCCTCGGACTTGCCTCACTCAGCGTATGTCTCAACATCCAGATCTCAACGCCCAGAAGCATGGCTAAATTCTGACAGATAACAATGTAGATACACATCCAGATGCACCAGAGAGCAAATGAACGCAGCTGCGATTAAATTCAAGGAGTTGGGTATAAGTAAGCTTGTGGTGGATTTAGAACTTACAAGGCTGGGAAATCACATCGCATCGGCGCTGAGAGATATGACAGCCAAGAAGCGGAGACACATCAGTGGTAAGCACCGTTAAAGTGCTTTCAAGAATACCCACCGACATGCTTACACGTGCCAATCAGAAGAAACGTTCCAAGGCTCTCGTGAAACAATGCGGTTGAACTCATTCCCAGGCACTTGCACTGTTCGGACGGGGCAAAACATGACGCCGCCCGAATCAACAGTACCAAGCGCAGATGAAGATGCTATGTTCTTTGGTGAGCTTGCTATTTCACATCTAAATTTGGTTCTCTCAAGGCCATAATACTTACAACTGCTGGCTAGATTCGAATGCAACAGGCTGTCCCGTGGAATATGAGTTTGGTTGCCAAAGTACTGAGCGTCCCATGAGTCAACTCTTGGAATCTTTGTCGCCTATCGACGACTGGTATCAGTATCTACATGCCACAGAAAGCCACGCAATGAGGATTTGAACGGCCCTTAGAAGCGCAGTAGAATAGACAGCTGTCGTTCCTACAATGGAAAGATGTAAGTCTGTCCGTCCCTGTAGAGCGGGAACCTGGTCTATCAATGCAACTCTTGAAATACGTTCAGATTCATTTCAGCGGGTGTAGCAATGGTATCACGGTCATCAACAATCATTTGACCCTATGGAGAATCCCAGTTAGTAGGTTCAAAAACTATACGCATAGCTGCCACGATCCGACTCTTAAGGTTGCGGCAATGGTCCTATAAAGCAGGCACTCCCAGATAAACATAAAATCATTGAGATGAATTGGCATCTATCTGTTCTGATCCATCATATATGACAGGATATATATGTTTGCTTCTTAAATCTTTTTAAATAAGTTAGATAGCATCTTCTTAAGATAACAATTGAACTTGACTTAGATATAACTTCACTTGTAATTATTACACCGCCTGTAACCTAGCTTAGCTTATCCGCCACCATGAAGCCAGAATCTATGCTTGTCCCTTGGTAACTACCTCATATTAACTTACAGGAAGCCAGAGCGTGGCAGTATCACATGCGAGCAAGGTCAATCTAGATATCTTCTAACCTATTCTAGACATTACTCGAATGCAGAAACATTACTCAGATACAGAATTTACCAAAGCCAATTACCATAAGAACTCTTCAACTACCATACTAGACGCGAATCAATATTCATTCAACAGGATATAAGATATAGCGCCGCTAGAGAGATGACTGTGATCAATGTTGTCGGCTAATTGGTCTAACTAAGCAAATACCAACAGGTTCTTTCTCAGTGGTAGCAACAGCAAATCAATTGACAATTAATTCAATCTGAGGCGACTTTCTGCTATAATTTACGATCCTATTTATGGGTCAAAACATGGTTACGGCATCCACAGCACCATATCGAACCCCGGTCGGATCATGTAAACTGCAGTGTTTAGTGGATACATCCAGGTCTCATTTTTAGGACTAACAGACTGCATAGCTTCGCAGGAGGGAGGGAGAAGAATACGAAGCGAAATTGCAAGAATCAAGATCCACAGATCCGCCTCGGTGGACAAAGATATTACTCGAAAACTATTAATACCCAGCATGCCTGCACAGGATGACAATCTGGGAGAAGATCTATAGACACAGTTTGGATATGAGCCGTAAAGATGAGTTTGCATGTCACAGCTTCTTTTCGATCCCTGTTTGTGGGTCTCTTTACCATAGCTGTCCTTTCCTTGTCTGTGAGAGGATCTTCAGAGCCTAATCTTGAAGATCTATGGGGTTCTGACGTGAGTATTTTTGTTCTCAATCGATGGGATGATAACTAAGCTTGATGAAATAGTGGGCATTCTCTGGTATTTCGACATTCAACCACCTCCCACACTCACGATGTTTGGTCAATCGCTCCGAAGCATTTGATATCGCCATTGTAGGCGTCCCTTTCGATTCTCTTACTACATACCGATCAGGTAATGTTTGCTTCTGAGCCGAAAAGCATAAACATCGCTCACAAAGTCTAGGAACTCGCGAGGGACCAAAGGCAATTCGATGGGCATCTGGACGCCATCTCTCGGGGAGAAGCTTCCATCCCAGCCTTCACTTCAACCCATATGAATCATGGGCAAAGGTTCTAGACTGCGGCGACATACCCGTCGTTCCAATAGACCCTGTTCTAGCAATGGAGCAGATGGGTGAAGCCTTAACTGAGCTAATGTCACACGCTACATCAGACAAGAGCCCATGGAGCCATCCACGGCTTGTGCTTCTTGGCGGTGACCACTCTATTGTGCTTCCCATGCTCCGGGCTCTAAATAGGGTTCGAAAAGAGCCTGTCGCGCTTCTCCATTTCGATGCACACATCGATACGATGGATCCCGACTCGTACCCACGGAAGGCCTGGAAATCTCAGGCTTCTGAGATCCACCACGGCACGGTGTTTTGGCAGGCCGCTCAAGAGGGCCTACTGATCCCGGGCCATCTAGTTCACGCTGGCGTTCACGGCAGAGTCTCGAGCCTGCAGGATTTCCACAGCGATGATTCTCTCGGATTCCTGCGCATTTCTGTCGAGGAGATGGATGATGAAGGCCCAAATGCCATCATCAAGAAGATTCACGATAAAATCGGGGAGGATGTGCCTGTGTATGTCAGCATCGATATTGACGTGCTTGATCCGGCGTTTGCCCCTGGAACCGGGGCGCCTGAAACGGGTGGCTGGTCGTCTCGTGAGCTGATGAGAGTCATGACTGTGTTATCCAAGCTTCACGTTGTTGGCGTGGATATCGTAGAGGTCACTCCAGCCTATGACAGCGCTGGAGGTGATACGGCTTTTGCGGCAGCAAATCTTGCATATGAATCCATCTCAATGATGGTTCAAAACGAGATAAAAAAGAGTAAATCGGGGACACAAGCGAGCTTGAAGGATCCGATGGAGGATTTGCAATGGAATTTGCACGCAACCTATGGACAGAACTGACTTCAAGACGACCTTTGACTTTTAAACTTTGTCTTTCTGGCTGCGTAAGATTGGTAGAATTAGCTATTAGAATACAGAAAGCACGGCTAAGAGAGCTTAGCTATTGGGTTTTGAAAGTAATTTTTATTTCAGATTTGTGTAAACAATTATGTCTGTTTTCATCCCCTGTTCCGTTCTGGTGACTGGGAAGAATGGTTCATGATACGTCAAAAGTAATGTTTTCTACATGGCACGCATACAGGTACCTACAGCCCTCATTTGATGCACACGCCTATCCGCTTCGCCGCTTAAGTCCGGGAAACATCGTATGGTCTACATTCTTACCGCATAATCATGGCTTTCCGTGGAAAGACCTCAGTTTCTGCCCCTGTTTGACTACTTAGATGTCGCCAAACCCCGACCGGATAATTTTCAAGAAAGCGAGACATCTCTTGGACCAATCCAGCGCTGGCTGATGTAATACTAAAACGTATTGCTTGGGGGTAGTAGTTGATGAATCAGGCCAAGTACGCACAGATTCTCAGGGGCTACATAAGCCTTTAGTATAAAGTATTATTTTTTTATATTCAGGGGGAAGAAATAAGTCTCCCTTGCGAACGGACAAAAATTGAGACTTGTGTGAATGATGTTGCATTGGGACCGGAAGGTTCAGTTCCTAGTATAGTATAAATATATAATACTCCGCTGTCCGTTTCAGCCCACGCCTTGCTCTCTATTTATTACCATCCCATACTCCATTACTATTTAGTTCATCCTTTCCATCCAACATGTCACCTAGTATCACGACGGAAAACGGCGAATGTGCCTCCCATCATCTTAACGGGAAGACCGCAACGGAAGCCACGAAATACAGCAATGGAGCTGCCAATCCTAGCGAGACTATTCGTGATGCGATTGACACGGAACAAGTCCGATCTCACTTTCCCATTCTCAGCAGCGGAGAGACTGTTCTGTTCAACAATGCGTCAGGGACTGTGATACTGCGGGATGCTGTCACGGCGTAAGTTTCTAAACTAGCCTTTGGAATTACGCAATGGGTACTAATTAATGGAACAGAGCGAGTGATCGCATGAATGCTATGCCACTGGACCGTGGAGACGGAGACCCTCGAAGTGACGCGGCACAAGCCGAATATGCCAAGAATTGGAACGAGTGTGCGGCCTTCATCAATGCTGAGCCGTCGGAGATTGGTATGTTTGCATTTTATCAATGACTCCCTGTGAATCTATGCTCACCAAGCGTTCTATATCAGCCTTCGGACCGTCCACAACTGCTTTGATGCGGCTGTTAAGTCAGTCCATACAACCATATCTCAACACAGACGCCGAAATGGTCTGCTCTACCCTGTGTCATGAAGCGGCTGCAGCTTCATGGGTCCTTCTCGCCCGAAATCTGGGCATCACCATTAAATGGTGGACACCGTCACAAGACGAGACTGATAGCCCTTGCCTGACGGTTGAGTCACTCAAGCCTCTTCTGACTCCCAAAACACGCCTCGTTACTTGTAACCACGTCTCCAATGTGGTTGGAACAATCCATCCGATTCGGGAGCTGGCCGACCTTGTTCATACCATCCCCGGCTGCATGATTGCTGTGGACGGAGTCGCCTGGGCTCCCCATCGTCCCGTCGACGTCAAAGCACTTGACGTGGATTTCTACTGCTTCAGCTGGTACAAAGTCTTTGGTCCACACCTGGCGCAGTTATATGCACACCGCCGCGCACAAGACCGTTACATGAGCAGCATCAACCATTACTTCCTCGACCACTCCAGCCTTGACGGCAAACTTCACTTGGGCAATGTTTGCTACGAGCTGGAAGCAATGTGTGGCCCCATATCCAAGTATTTGGGCAATCTTGGGTGGGACGCCATCATCCAGCAGGAGACAGTCCTGACTAAAGTCTTTTTGGACTACTTGCTCAGCCGGCCCACGGTCTACCGAGTGTTTGGAAAGCGTACTGCAGATCCAAGTCAACGCGTGTCAATTGTGATATTCGAGGTACTTGGACGCAAGTCTAGTGATGTTGTGATGCAGATTCATGTTCGTGACAAATTCCGGCTCTTATGGGGTGATGGTTGGGCACCGCGAGCAACATTTGATGTTCTGCGGCCTCACAGCGACGGGATTATTCGAGCCAGCTTTGTTCACTATAACACGGTGAGCGAGGTTCTAGCATTGTGTAATGAGCTGGAGGAGGTAATCTCCACTTGTAATTAACAGCAGGTAGACCTAGTGCTTAACGCTTGTAATAGAGATGTTTGGTAAGAATGTGAGACTGTGCAGCTCCTCCGTCATCGTACTACCTCAACCGTAGTTCCCATATGCAGAGATTCGTATACAGTTGTGTATTTATTTATTTTCCAAATGATAGACCTCTACTATATGCAGACATCGTTGGTTAGACGTAGTTTTATTTGCAGCCAATGAGACACGTAGCACCCCCAATTAGTACATATACATCTAACTTCCCGCGTTTGTCCTCCCCTTTCAATGTGTACGAAAGAACGTGGTCAATCAGTATCTTGGAAACCTATCTTTCTTAGAAAGAGTCCTTGCCCCATCGGTTCACAACGATAGAGCATTAAACCACATTCGTCTTGGATATGATTAGAAGTGAAGAGAACATGTAGCTACGAACCAGGATACGACTAATAGACACGCACAGCCAACCTAAGCCAAGTATTTCAAGACATCCAACATGGCCTAATCTGTTTCAGCTCTGAGAAAAAAAACGAGAAATGCCGATTTGCCCCCCTGTTTCAAGAGTCATATCCTTCAGTGTCTTAGACACATTATCGTCCGGGCGAGACATTATCATCCGAGCACTCATAAGCGTTATTAGTCAGATTAACTTGACATATATTTATGGGTGCACAGTAGTAACCAGCCTTTCAGGAAATGGACGGGATCACGTCAATACAACATCAAGGTATCGCATTAAGAAGTGCATGACGGAAGCCTTTGTCGTCGTGTCACTTCCAAGTCACAAAGCAAGTTATGATGGATTTCGCGCTTACTAGCATTTCGAGTCCCTTAACAGTGATGTCAGTTGCTCCATTGGTATTTTCAGTAAATACATATATGTATGTGTTTAAGTACTGTTGTCTTACTTTTTCTTGTATTAATTATAAATAATTGTAAGACTAGGGACTTTTCAAAGATGTTATTATTTAAAACCTCCTTGTAATAACACTAAGTGGAGTTGCACCGAATGCCAACTGACTTACGTACATGTATATAGGATTGGGGGACCCTAGGGAATACTACAATAATCCTTACAGTAAATATATATATATATAATCCCTTTGCCTAACCATGAACAGTCGTACTTTGTTTATTAAAAGATACATGAATATATGGAGAATATCTAACGTTTAATATTTACTAATCTTCTTTTTTACAATAATGTCCTCACTTACAACATCAGATCTTTCCAAACTATGGGCACGGAATGCTCAAGTTCCCAATACGATTTCCACAACCGTCCAAGAGCTCATTGCCCGGCGTGCAAGCCTGCGAAGTAATCAGCCAGCTATTGCTGCCTGGGATGGAGATTACACCTATGGACAATTCATGCATCTGGCGTCAAATCTAGCCAATCACCTATCTCAACATGTGTATCCACGCTCTGGCAAGGTACTGCCAATCGTGATGAGCAAATCAAAATGGATGCCCATAGCCATGGTCGGGGCTCTGCTTGGAGGCTGGGGAATAGCTCCTCTAGATATTGCTACGCCAACGGCTAGGCTTGCCCAAATTCTGGATATCCTGGATCCACCTTGCATCCTTACAACATCGGAGGACACAATAGCAGTCAGTACAGCAGTACCAGCTCTTGCTGTGGACAGATTCGGCCTTGAAGACCGGTCGTTGAGTGGCCCAGAGCAGACTACTGGGAAGGCATCTGCAAAAGTTGCAGCCATTGTGTTTACATCAGGCAGCACCGGATCGCCAAAAGGTGTAATGCTCGGCCCAGAATGCATCTCAACCTCTGCAGCATACGGATCGCAAATCCTCCAACTTGGCCAGGGCTCTCGGCTTTTCCAATTTTCCTCTTACTCATTTGACGTAAGCCTGCATGAGATTTTTATGACTCTGGTAGCTGGCGGATGTCTCTGTATTCCTTCAGAAGCGGAGAGACTAAACAACCTCGTCGCAGCTATCCAAAGGATGAAGGCAAATTTTATTTGTACCACGCCCTCTGTCATGATGTCCGTGTTGGCTGAAGCCGTTGTCTCGACGCCAATTGAAGTAGCTGTGTTAACGGGTGAGGCACTTACATCAAGAATTAGCCCCTTGTTTGACATGGGTATTTCTCTATTTAGTTGGTACGGCGCAACTGAGTGTCCCGTCGTTTCCCTTACCCCCTTGGTTGAAGAGAACTGGGCATCTTCTCAGATAAGTTCTCGGCATCCTGGGAACTGCTGGGTGGTCCAATCTGAGGACTCGGATGTTCTCTGTGCATTCGGTGAGGTGGGAGAATTATTAGTGGAAAGTCCGATGCTGACATTGGGGTATCTGAATGCTCCACAGCAAACAGAGGCAGCCTTTGTTGTTGACCCAGCATGGCTAACTGATGGCCATGGCCGTGTTGCTGGTCGACGGGGCAGACTGTATAGGACTGGTGATCTTGTACGAAACAATCGAGACTGGACGCTTGACTATATCGGCCGTAAGGATACCATGGTCAAAATACGTGGCCAACGTGTTGATCTGAGCGCAGTCGAGTTTCATATCTGGAACTGCCTTCGGTCAGGAGATCTGGGATCGCCCGTCCGAGTAAAAGAGTTAGTTGTTGAGGCGATAATACCCAGCCAAGGTAGTGAAAATGCCAGCGTTTCTTGCTTTTTATACGTGGAACGCCAGCTCAATCTTCAACCCCAGTGCTTGCCGCAGAAACATCTAACCAAGTCAACAAGCCTACCATGCATCAATCTCTATGCGCCTGACACACTGTTGCAGGGCCTTCAAGCAGAAATTGATCGTGCGTTACGGGCAGTACTTCCTGACTATATGGTGCCGTCCCTGTATTTCCAATTGTCTGAAATGCCATTCACTCCTTCCGGAAAAGTTAACAGAAGGCTTTTGCGCTCTTTAGCATTGCAGATATCTAGTCATGACTTGCTGGCATGCCGTACGTTTCCACAGGAAGACTATATTTTACCCCATAATGGCACTGAGTTGGCGCTTCAGAGACTCTGGGCAGAAGTGCTAGGAATGGACGCGGCCACTGTTCACACAAACATGAGCTTTCTTCAATGTGGCGGAGACTCTCTTCGTGCCATTCTCCTCTCCAAGGCATTAAAGACAGAATTCAACTTGCCCACCACAGTCACGCAGCTCTTACGCCGGGAGACTACGATCCAATATCTCGCAACACTGCTGGAGCAGCACGAAAGTGGGCAGACAGTCGATGGGCCGCAGATGGATATAGCTACTATTCTGGAGTCTTGGGTAGCAAGCCTTGGAAATGTATCCATAAACGCTCCAACGTCGCATTCTCTAGGAACTCGAGGCTCCCAAGTATTGCTAACGGGTGCGACTGGGTATCTGGGGACACATATCTTGGGCGAGCTATTCAACAACCACCAAGTGAGCAAGATTGTTGTAATAGTACGCGCAGCAGATATTGGTATAGCAAAAGAACGGGTTCGTGAAGTAGCGATTACTGCAGGCTGGTGGCAGAAGAGTGCATTCTGTCGCATCGAAGTCTGGGTAGGGAACTTGGCCGAACCACAGTTGGGTCTTCAAGAAGAACAATGGATCGAGATGTCCAATATTGACACAATCATTCATAACGGTGCTGTTGTCCATTATGGTGCTGACTACGATGTCCTGGAGAGAGCAAATGTCATCTCAACATTCCATTTACTAGAGGTTGCTCTCCAATCCCAGCGCCTCCGAACCTTTATCTTCATCTCCGGCGGCATCAAACAAAGCCCAGGTCAGTCAGAAGCAGACTATCAACAGACTCTCAACGGGTCTGAAGGATACAGCCAGACCAAGTACGTGTCGGAACAACTAACCTTGGCTGCGGGCCGCCTATGCAACGAAATGGTCCACACGAACAATGAGGAATTGAGTCGCACCTTTATGGTCATCAAACCTGGTTACATCATTGGCGATGAGGTGTCTGGCCTCTCCAACACCGATGACTTTATCTGGAAGCTGGTTGCTGGAGCCGTTCGCATGGGATCCTTTCCTTCTGACCCGCCAGACTACTGGCTGGACATAGCAGAGGTCACCTATGTCGCAAGACACATAACTTACCAAGCGCTGCTACGGGCATTCAATGCTTCCCCCGGGCCTATTACGCCCCCTAGGTCTATAAACAGCGGCTGCTCTAGTCCCAGCCACGAGGATGCTCGCGAGAATAGAACTGTCAACTCCACTGTGATATTTGATGACCTGAGCCGCGGTTTGCCAGTACACCGCTTCTGGCATGCCATCCAGTCACAAGCTCAGATTTCTCTAAAACAACTGGACTGGGATTCGTGGATTGGCCAAGCCAATGCTGATCTTGAGCGAGACCAGGAAGCCCACCCCCTATGGAGCATACAGCAGCATTTGGGGCCGAGCCTTGGCAGTAGGACACCGGCTAAAGAAGTTAGGCTTAGGTCAATGGAAGCATCCGGTACCCTGAACGAGGTTGAAGCGGCGGTCCGTCGCTGTGTAGAGTACCTCTGCAATATCCAATTCATCTTCCTTCCGTTCAAGGAGGTATCCATAAACCCTTCATATGTGAATGGTATGCATCCAGAAAACAACAGCAGCGACAGTTTTACAGACGACGATGAGCATCATCATCTAGCAAAAAAGAGGGCAGTAGTCCAAGGCAAACTTCACCATCCAATTATCAACCGATCCAAATTGACGGACTGGAGCTGAGTAGACTTTCCCTTGGGCTTGGTTGAGGGAGTGGAGCGGTTGACTTGACTTACACGGCTTCGGTATCGGCAACAGGCAACTGAAGCGGGTCCAGCCGGATCCGAGAGAAGCGGCGGCCAGCGCCAAGTAAACAGAGGGCCGGGTCAGCAAAACTTTGGGCAAGTGGAATGAGCTCTTAGCTAGCTAACCGTTATATTTGTAGTCTGGCAAATATACATGTATTTTATAGCAAATACATCTTTTGGGGGTACCAGTCGTGTGCCATTTAGCTATCATTAGTGATTAAGCCTAAGTAAGCTTCACGTAGAGATCACTTGGGCAGCCAAAAAAAAAAAATAGTCGACTATGGCACAACGCCAGGCCGACAATCCCATAACCTAGAGTACAGATAAATATTCAAGTGATCTCATATATTTACATAACCTACTTGGTTGGTTGGCTGTCGGATTCCACCGCGGTCACATGTCTTTGCCCTACCATTGCGTCGTCAAAGCACACCTCCGCAAATGATCCTCACCGTCATTTCCTCCACTACCAACACAATCCTTGATTTCCGATTTTCTCTTACTGTTTCAGTTCTTTGGAACTTTTTTCAGAATATTGCCATCGGTTGAGGTTGTCTGGCAAGATGGAGAGACCAAACAATGGCTGGGAGGGTTTTGCAAGCCTGAGCCCAGATTAAGATAAACATAAGCGAATACAGCTTCTCCTCTCTTCAGCAAATTTTGAACATTTGAAGGCGCGTGCAATAGAGTCGCGGAAAAAACACCAAGCGAACCTACCCCCAAATTTGGAGTGCGATATCAACTTGACTCATTTTACATCTGGTTTCAACAACGTGGTTCTGGAGCTTGCGTTTTCAGACGACGTGTGCTGGATTGCTCGTATCCCGTATCAAGATTTCGATGACGGCGACAGAATCTCAATGCTCAGTGAGATTGCTACAATGAAGATGATCCATAAAAATACTACTATCCCAATACCTCATGTCTTCGAATTCGAGGCATCCGCGGACCAACCTTTTGGTTACCCGTACATCATAATGGAGTACCTAAGTGGCCATATCCTTCCCAATGGGCTAGCAACCACTATACCCCTCCAATATCGGGTCAAAGTGGCCCAACAGCTTGCAAATGTTTTTTCAGAGCTTCAGAAGCTGACGTTCAGTCGCATCGGGCGCCTTTGGTGCGGAGAGAACGTTGATCAGCCTGTTAAAATAGTGGCCATGGCCTGGCATTCCTCGCCTGGCCCTCTAGAAACTTCATTAGAATATTTCTACAATCAGAGGCAGAGCGAAAACCGAGAAATTCTTTCCATGCATCCAGATGACCCAGACTGGCTGACAGCTTGTTGGGTATTGAAAACAGCCCTAACGCATATCATCATTGAGGATAGAGTCCGAGGTCCCTTTCCCCTCTGCCATCTTGATTTGCATTTTGGCAATATGCTTTTTGACAACGAGTACAATCTGGTTGGGATTATTGACTGGAGTCACGCGCAAGCAGGTCCTCTCGAGCAGCTGTCAGTCTGCCCAGAATTAGTCATCTTTCCGGGGTTATCAGATGAGGAAAATAAGCCTATTGTCGAGTTCAAGAATTTTGTTGTGGAGTCGATAAGGGAAATGGAAAGAAATCAAGAAAAGAGGTCGCCTTTGGATTATCCGGAGATGGACTCACTATTGAGCTCGAATGTTACGCCCCTTTCCGCCTACATGGCTTCTAGGAGTGCAGAGATCACCCATCGTCAGTACATGGCTTCACCAAGGGGGAGTCTTTGGGCTGGCCAGATAGTTGCAAAGCTTATCTATGGACAGAGTGTCACTTGGGAACAGCTTAGAGAAGTATACGGTGCAATGCCCCTTTTTTAGACGATTTTCGACATTTGCGTCTATATCTCATGGCTCAGTCCAGCTGCTTCTACACACAATATAAGCATCGCTGCTAATACTGTCAGAGTCAATAAGTGTTTCTTTAGTCCCTGGAACCTATACAACTCTCCATACAGGCTCCCATTTCGCTGTCGGGGGCCAGTATTGAAACCATATGGGTGCAAGCCATTCAATGAAGGCCCAAAAAAAACCGGTCAATACACGAGCATGGTGTCTGGAAGAGAGGGTCCTATCTGCACGAGCGCTCTGGTACTGCAGCCATACCCTTCAATATCAGTGCCAGATGGGCCACAGGAATTTCAGTAGCAATCAGAACATGGCTGATGGTCAGGACGGCTTCCCACGACTCCCAGATCGTATCTTTACCCCGAAGTTGTCAAGCCTACCGCAGATCTCCGTCAAAGAAAGCAGAAAAAGGGGCTCTAAAGCACATCCTTGCGATCGGCTCAATGCCCTCTCAGGCATCGCGGGGTATTTTGCGGAGTTCTGGTCGAACAACAGATATCTCGCCGGGCTGTGGGAACATCAGCTTCCATGCTGCCTACTGTAGTTCATACCACATTCAGATACCGCTCCCAGGCCTTCCAAATATAGAGAGGGTTGCTTCCAGCACCAGTGGGACGAAGAAACTTCCAGTGCCAAAGGCGAGGTTTACGTCGCTGTAATAGCCGATTCAAGCACCTTACCACACCTTCTGTAACAGGGGCCTGATCTCCATAACAATTGAGAAGTAGTTTCATCACCACCAAACCAAATGTTCTATTCAGCGCTGCGTCTTCATCACCTCCTCGGTAATAAGGATTTTATCGCTATGCTGGCCGAGAAGGAGTTCCATAATTGCCTCGCCACTGCTGTCATTCCTCGCTGCTGCCATCAAAATCTCCTCGGTGACGTGAATTTGGCCTTCATACTGGCCCTGAAGAAGTTTCATCATTTGGATATCATGCGATTCTGCGATTTGGATTATTGCGTTTCTGTTATCTCCACGTAATCTCCTCTTTGCCCTAGGATATCAGCTGCCGCTCCTAGCTTCTTAGCTTTCATCTTCAGGTCTTGCAAAATGTCCACTGCCAAAGGTTGTAGGTAAGTCTTTCCCTGCGCCCTTTCGTAAGCTTCTATTCAGACTAACATGGCCTCTTTTTCACGATTTAGAATGAATATAAAAATTGGATGAATGAGTTGGATATTTGTAAACTGTTATTCACAAATACATTGAGAAAACTCCTAGATCCCTTTATAGTAGATGAAGACATGATCATAAAGTTGCTTATGACACTAGGAGGCGATTGCTGGCGCGACAGCTCTGTTGCAGACCTTCTTGAGGAACGCCTTTAGGGTTTCAGTGAGCTTTATCTGCGATATATATAGAATATCAGACGCGTTTTGGACGAAATAAATGGAACGTTTGACATTGACTCAGAATAGGCATAGAAACTGCTTAATAACTCTGTAAGAAAAATCACATTAATACTTTTAACAGAGAAATTGATCCTTACTATTAGCAGCAAGCACTGAACATAAGAAAGAGACTGAAAGCATGTTTCTCAAAAGAAGGGCTCAAGCATTAAGTTAATTTCTTCGGTGACTCTCGACTAGATACTTGGAGACGGAATACATAAACTATTTATGCTGTTGCAGAGATGTACATTATTATTATTCATCGCTTTAATATATCTTCAGCTGTTGGGCCCCCCGTAGCTACCATTATCCCTTAAAAGTGTTGATATTCTTTTTCTCTATGGCAATTTAAAAGTGGCTTATGTTAAATTGCCCAACCTCACATAAGCTAAAACTTTAGATTTCCACTTAAACAAGACAAAAACCTTGAATTTTCCGACACACTTGATCATTTAGGTATTATGCTCCTGGAGCTTTGCTTTGGTGATGTTCTGGAACATGAAATATGCAGAATAAAGTTACCGGTGGGGCAAAATGATATTGAGAAGATGTGTTTCGATATTGTGGCAGCTCCAAGATGGCAGTGCGATGTTAATGAAGAAGCGGGAGCAGATTATGCTGATGCTGTGTTATGGTATCTTGGGGTCGGAGTGAACCCCCAGCGAAATGGATGAAAGCTATGTTGCGCAAGGTGACAATGCCTCTCCAACGATGCTGTAGCTAGTTGGCAAATGGGGGAGAAGTCAAATGAGTTTGTCACTTCAGGATAATAATTGTATAATGGGTTACCTGTATTGTCTGTATCGACTCATTCACTGAGGTAGTACTCAATACCAGAGTAAATTGTTTCGGTGTAATGTGTGTTCTATAACTAAAAATTTGACTATTTTATTAATCACCGAGCTTATTATATCATGAGAGACTCGATATGCAGTTCCTCCCGCCCGCAGAACGTATACCTCATATCGACTTTGCCCGCAGACTGTCCACCGACGACATGTACCCAAGACACCGCCTCGATCCTCTGCCGCACAGCAATCTGTTCCATACTCTGTGACATTTCCCACTTCTCAATCCCACCCTCCTCAATTTCTATTATCCTTTCAACGACCCTGGCAACAACGAGGCTATCCCAAACCGCCTCCCGTATCGGTTGCCGCCTCAAAATACCCACGGCCTCACGCCGGACCACAGGATGCCGGCATTTGGCCGCAATTATATACAGCACTGGGATAATTCCAATTTCCGGCGTGTATGTCGGCTTTAACGACCCCGAATATCGCTCATGCACTGCCGCTAAGTCACCTGCCAACGCCACGCATTGCTGGAACTGAGTCAAAAAGTTGTCGTATTCTATTTCCCTGCCAGGTCCGGAACTACTGAGGAAAGTCCATGCGATAGTATGTTGTAGGCGTAGCAGTGAGATAAGCGGATTACTCTCAGGGTCTGTCTCATAGGAGCTGCCATGTTGCAGCATGTTTTCGAAGAGACTCGACCACGTTTCCAACTGCCTAAGAACTATATGCTTGGTTGACGAAGGTGGCAGGGGTATCTTGCCCGTTAAGGGCATTTGCTGCACCGTATTGCGTAGACTCATTACACGAGCGACGAGGCTCTGTAGGTGGTCAGAGGCTTGGTCGAGAGACTGAAAGGCACTGTTGGGGCATGCAAGCTGGGATATGAGTGTTTCTTGGATATCGGCGGGAGTCCAGTCAACCAGAAACGCTACGGCCTGCATATCAAGACAGTGGATCTGTCTTGTTACCTGGCAAATAAGTGCGTGAACCCCTAAGGCCTTGGTATCGTCATATGTATTGTTATTATTCAGTATAACCTTGTGAATGTTTCGTGAGAGCTCAACACCTCCGCGTAGGTGCTTCATTGCTTGTACGTAGTTGCCCGCCAGCTGATCAAAGCAGATGAAGAGATAGCAGACCAAAAGTGTGATAGCTGTCGTATCGTCGCTGTCTCCGCTCTCATGCTTCAGAAGAAGTTGGATGGCTCGATTATAGTAAAGCAAGGGAACCTCATGTGGTAGCCAGTCATTCGAGAATGGCGGTTCGTGCAAACGGTCGCTAGAATCGCGATTCAGGTAGTTTCGGTTGGCCAAGGCCACTGCGATAGCAGCATACCGCACTGATGGTACCGTTTGGGAGAAGAACAGGAGACTTTTCCGCCATGGTTCACTAGGGCGGTATTCATTTAGATGCTTGATCGAAATATACTCAAAAAAATCCATTGCCTCTCTTTGGCCTGACCCGGTCACTGGTAAGATCATAAAGGGTCTGAGATTCTGCGAAATGAGGCCATGGTGTTTCGCATAACATTCTTCTGGATGATTCGCACTGGTCGTGGTGCCTCTATCCGCTTCGTGGGTCATGCCGTTGTGAGAATGATTTGATTCAATCTCGCGGAGCATTTCGCTGTAGCCGTCACAGATGCGGCCTGTGGACTGGCATTTCAAGCATGAAGGCCGAGAAAGATCGCATTTGATTCGTCTTATCCTGGGAGGTTCATCGAGGTTGAGTGTTACCTTGTGAGTCTGTACACAGTTGATCGCAAAGTAGCAATACACGGAGTCTAGACTCACTTGCAAGTCTTACATCCCAGTCTTGACTTTGGAGCGAACTTCCGAGGCTTTCTTCTCCAAGCTTGATTGGCCGCCTTGGTGTTTTCTTTCGCAATCCCGCTCATCACGATGATGTTAGCTGACCAATAATTGCGGTAGGCGTCGTTTCAAGCAGAAGGCAATCCTAGGACCACTACGACCCTAAAGTGGCTAGTTGCATGCCGCAATGGCTTTTTCAAGCAAATTATACCAGGTATCGATCGAATACGAAGAGGGTCGTCTATTAGTCTGTTCGTACAGCAGCGGGGAAGCCATCGCCCACATCTTTTGCGAAGGATCACTTTAACGAGAAAAGATGGACATTATATAAAGGAATGGAAGAAGGCCGAATAGCTCGAGGGGATGAATCGTAATAGAGATTAGTGAGTATCATGATGGATGTTAATTGGCCAGTTCGTACAAGCGGGGCGAACGAAGGAGCTCGTCAGGGTGAACAGTGCACTGCACACGGGATCCAACGTCGCAACTACAAGCTATCTCTGGCCTTCCTCGAGTTTTACAATTATTCGGATTATACTTCCTTCCACCAGTGAGATATTATGTTTTTCAGGCCGAAAGGATGGAAACTGGGACCTTATTTGTAGAAGAAGGTTGCCGCACCCAGGCTTCAACAGTCGTCGCATTCTGTCACTCCATGCCCGTTTCTCTGTGGGCACTGCATCTCAACACGATGCTGAGAAAAGCCCTGTCAACTAAGTACCAGGTGCCAAGGAGCACTGCCACCCTACCACGTCACCCCGCCTACGTAGTTGAGATGAGGATGCTGTTATAATACTGATACCTGGTTGTGTTAGAATAGATATCGATTGGAGACTTCGTACAAGCGGGGCACCTGAACAAGTCTCCTGGGAAATTCAACTAGTATAAGTAGTTCTATGATATCCCGATTGTGCCAGCTGCAGCTATGACAATCCTATCACCAATTGCTTACAAGCAATACAACAAAAACCTAATGAGAAACTTTCTGGGGATAACAATGAAAGGGTTTTTGAGCGTAGTCCTTCTTTTCAATAGCCTAGGATGCAAAGCCCATAGTTGGAATGATAGGAGCATGGTCTATGGATTTGACAATGTGAGTCTGGCACTTTGCCAAACCACATCGTCTAAAGTTTCAATCTTTCTGACTATCCATCTAGATTGAACCATCAGCCAACCTAACGTGGACACCATGTTTTGATGACTTTACATGCTCTAGACTAGAAGTTCCTTTGGACTATTCAGACACAAGTCTTGGCACGACGTCAATTGCCTTTATAAAACTCGCTGGAAAGAATGCCACCATGGAGTCTCCAAGCATCATAATCAATCCCGGTAAGGTCTCGATCAGATCACTCATACAAAGTTGACTAAAATCCATGTGACTGGACTGACTATTCGTTAGGCGGTCCGGGTGGTTCTGGTGTCGACCTCCTTCTCACAAACCGAGCCATCGCAAGCCAAGCCTTTGGAGAGCAGTACAACATCGTCTCCTTTGACCCTCGCGGTGTAAACAACAGCGGTCTGAGCCTCGACTGCTTCTCGGGAAACACAGAAGCAAGAACAGCCTTCAGTCGACTACATAGTACGGGCGTTACCAACATCTCATCGACATCGCTTGAGGAACAGTACTACTCAAGCTCTATCTACGGAGAGTGGTGCAATAATGCTGTCGAGAAAGAGTCGCCTCATGGATTTTATGTGACTACACCGGCAGTTGCCCGTGATTTGCTCACATTTATAGAAGCTGAGGCCGAGTTGGCTGGTAAAGCACCATCAGATGCCAAATTGTGGCTGTATGGCATCAGCTACGGCACTGTTGTGGGTGCCACTTTCGCTTCCATGTTTCCTGACCGAGTTGGAAGAATGATACTCGATGGTATTGCGGACGCAGAGCAATATTATGACAATGACTATAGTGCCAACGTCGATCAGATGGACGAGGCCATGGAAAAGTTCTCGAGCTTCTGCCATTCTGCAGGTCCTGAAAGATGTTCCTTCTGGGGACCTACGCCAGCAAACATCACAGCCAGAATGGACAACATCATCCTTCAACTTAAGAACCATCCGGTCCCTATAAGTGAGGTCCACAGTCGAGGCCTGCCGGCGTTGGTCACCTATTCAGACCTAAAGGCCCTTTTCGTTGATGCTCTCTACGTCCCAACAGCGTCCTTCCCAGTCATGGCCGACATCCTACATCAGCTCGAGTGTGGGAACGCGTCTGCTCTTGCGGGCAAGTTTGACGGGCTAGGCGTCACGTTCGACGCCGGTCACGTTATCCAATGCGCCGATTCATATCGGAGAAACAAGCTTACTTCCATTGAAGAATTCAAGAGCTACGTCGAGTACACGGTCTCCAAGAGCAAGTACATAGGCGATGTCTTCCCTATCTTCGTGGATTCTATATTATGTAGATCATTCCGACCACAATTGCCTGACAGCATGGTGGTTCAAGGTGAGAATCTCTCTCTTTTTCTCTCTTTTTTCTTTTTTTTTCTCCGTGTATTTTCGAAGACCCTTCTTCGAAATGAGGGTAAAGGAACATCTGTAAGGGACGCAAAATCTAACCAGCTTTTTTCTTATACAGACCAAATAATCGGACTAGACAGGCCTACATCTTTCCCCATCCTGATAGCGAGCAATACCATTGACCCTATAACGCCGTTGATATCGTATGTTTCGGCCAAACTCTTTCACCATCTAGTATGTTGCTAATTGACTTCGCCTCTTCGCAGAGCGCGCAAGACATCTTCACGATTTCCCGGCTCGATACTTTTATTGCAAGAAGCCGTTGGTGTAAGTTGTTATCAAATCTCAATCACAAAACCATCTCAAATAAGAGTCTAAGCTTACTTATGGGCTATTTCTCTCGAATGCAGCATACAGTCGTCCTCCAGGGAGGATCGGATTGTTACTTTGAACACGTTCAGGCATATCTTCAAGGCATGGTTCCATCATCCAACATTACATGCCCGCAGCAATACATACCTTTCATAAGCGGCGCTGCTTGAAAGTTGTCGAAGCGGTGGGGTCGTCGTTCGGTAAGTTCCAGCAAGGAAATCGATGTTGCCACTACAGTGCTTAATGGTCTCTAGTATCGCAGATTCGGCGGCTCTATATGTGCACAGGATTGACGCCCATGCTCGACCTGCGACAACATCATTCGCAGTATATTCCTGACTTGGGAGTGCTGAGCATGCGTCGGCGTCCTCTTGTCCAATCGACTAGCATTTCGGTGGAGGGTGGCTTGATACTGCCGTATCCTCTCACGCAACTGACCTATCGAAGCCCGTAGGTACAGCTGCGGAAAAGAAATCTGAAAGCTATCTTTTTCCACTTTCCCTTTTTTTTTCGTAAAGCGATCCCATCTAGTGCTATGGATCATTTCTGGCGTGCTGACTATATAGATAATTGATGTTGCTATCATACAACTGCACCGCACATCTTTAATATAATTGCAAATTAAGTTTTAAATGGTCCGTTATGGCTTTTGAGGTCTCCAGAAAATTCCAGTATTCAAGTTGGTGGACTTTTGAATCTCAGTCTGCTTAGAATTATTCGCCGTCCATAGCCTAAGAAAGGGATGCATGGCTAAAAGAGATCAAATGCAGCAGATATAAACAAAATATCCTCGTCTTGTAAATACATACGACCATAGGTAGTGGAAAACTCGGGGTCCCGTCTGCTCCCCCATAGATAAGCCACTAACCGGCAGATTAGTAGTTGGGTGGGTGACCACCAGCGAACACCGGCTGTTGTATGTTTTTGTTTTTTGCTTTTTTGTATGGAGTTGTGGGCAGTTGTGGTTGTGGTGGTATATAAGTGCTTCTAGCAGCCAATATCGTCACATACGACCATATCCATTGGAATATACGGGATCCCGTCCGCTCTCCCAGAGTCAAGCCAATGAGAGGCAGATTAGTAGTCAGGTGGGTGACCACTGGCGAACACCGGCTGTTGTATGTTTTCTCTTTTTGCCTTTTTTGTAGTTTGTCTGAAGTCGAGATGCAAAAGTTAAGCTACAAGCAACGCATGTCAATATAGTGGCCATTACATACATGTTGTAGGACAGAATTGGGTTAGCCTAAAACACACAGCCAAAACGTAGCCTTTAGCCGTTTAGCAGCTACAAGTCAAAAAAGAACAAAAATGTACGTCACAACAAGAATCTGTGCCCAGTAGAAATATTTGTCTATGGCTTCGTATTTTTTTTACTTTTTAGAATCCGTGACTATGCGAGAGGGCATCTTTGATTGTCCCTCACCCAGCGCATAACAAACTATGTAAGACACTGATAGATTCTTGTCCCCAATCATTCATTACCCATGATAAATTTCGTTTCACAACAGAGCAACACCCGTATTTTCCTTTTTCATTTGCTTTACAGCTTCTGCATGGCAACAACGTCGGAAGACTGGACGTAGTCCTCGAACTCCTGGATCTCCTCCTGGAGCTCATCCAGGGAGACCTTCTCGTCCTCAACAACCAAGTTGATCTGCAGCTTCTTGATACCGAAGCCGACGGCGACCAGCTTGGAAGCACCCCAGACCAGACCGTCCTTCTCAATGCCACGGACGGCAGCCTCCAGAGCGGCCAGATCAGTCTCGTCATCTAGAATCGAAAATTGTTAGCATCAAAAAGTTTAAAAAGGTATGAATTGCAGTGTACGATGCGGAAAACAACTCCGGCATAGACAAATGCAAAACAGTTTGGATGGCTATAAAACGTACCCCAAGGCTTGACATCCATGGTCACAACAGACTTGGCGGCGACCTTGGGCTTGTTCTCCTTCTTCTTGCGGTACTCAGCCAGGCGCTCCTCACGGACACGGGCGGCCTCGGCATCCTCCTCCTCGTCGTCAGAGCCGAACAGGTCGACATCATCATCCTCCTCGGCGGCGGGGGCCTTGGCGGGGTTCAGGGTGACCTCGGCGACCTCAGGGCCGTAGACGGTGTAGGGCTTGCTGGCATCGCCGTCGAGGGTGGCGAACTCATCCTCGTAAGAGGCAATGTGCTTGTACCAACGAGCGGCAGAGGGGTACTTGTCGGCGGCGGGAGCCTCCTTGAGGGCCTTGAAGACGGCAACGTCGGCCTGGGTGGCAGAGAAGCTGTAGTATGGCGGGGTAGACGTTAGTGAGGGGCATCTTGGAGAGTTTTTTTTTTTTTTTTTTGAAGTTCATGCATGCACTGAAGTGAGGGGTGGAAAAAAATATGAAAGAGGGGCTAGGCTGCATCCATTCGACTGATTGTGACTCAACCAGGGCAGCGAAGAACAAGACAAAATCGATGTGTGCAATGTGCGATGGCAGAATCGAAGTGCAAATCGTCGTCGCTGTCGCTGCGGAGGGGGATTTGGCATACCCAACGATGTAGGAGCGGGTGGAAACCCAGCTGTTCAAGACTATGGACACTCTGTCAGCCACTTTCTGGTTCATCCAGCGTTTTGCGTCGACGGCGCTTACCGGCAAGGCCAGCATCGGTGAGGAGATCGGTGAAACCCATGGCTGCGGTTGTGGTGTGGGATCTGGAGAAGAGGAAAAAGGGACGAAGATAGGCGGTTGTTGTGGTTTGGGGAGAATCGAGTTTGGGTATCAACGAGGAGGCGCAAGAAAAAAAAAGATCAAGCAGAAATGCGCAGTATTGATGCAACCCCACCACGGGAGCCCTAGCAGAGGGGGAGACGGTGGCGGGGGCCTGAGGCACGAAGAAAAAAATGAATCACCCCGCCTAAATGAAAAAAAAAAAAAAATCTGGAAAAGTGGCGAATGCGAGCGATGAGACAGACGCTGGGCGCGCCACGGCGGCTACGACGCCTGAGCCACAGCTGCCCCGCGCCCGAAATAGATGCCCCGCCAACCAGCAGAAGTCGAGGACGGTATGTTTACATATGATTAACTGTATGTATTGTTTGCTCCATGACAACAAGAGATGGGAACAAAAATTGATTACTATTACATTCATCGACGGCATAAACACGCACAATCTGCGCTTTGCTCTACCCAGCCAACTAACCAACTAACCATCTAGTGCTCGCAAAAATTATACATGGCTCTCTGCAGGTTGCGCTCCACCTCTACCACATGCGTGGATCGCTCATCCATCAGCTTCAGCCGATGCTCCTGCGCCTCCTCCGCCGTCATGAGACTCTCAGGCACTTCGTCCTGGCCATCAGTCCACCAGTCTCTCTGCTGCGGCGGCACATTGGCAGTCGACACGACTCGCTCATGAGGATCCACAAGCCACAGAGCCAAGAAACGTCTGTGGCCTGGCTTGGTGGCGTCTTTGAGTCTGAAGGACGAAACTCGATGTTGGCTAAAAAGAAAAGAGAGAAAAACGCAATGACGGTTAGAACGAATCAAGTATAAACATGTATAAATATTAGCAGTAGTTCCACTTACAACACGTTGGGGAAAGCGAGCAGCCGTCCTTGTGGCGTCTTCACGTCTCCATAGGTCTGCAAGCAAGAGGCTTTAAACTGTCCAAGACCGGTGCCATAGACTCGCTCCAGGTAGTTGTACTGGTCTTGTCCTGTTGAAATATCGTCTTGCAGATACGAGTTTGTCTGCATGCGGAACGACAAATGGCTGTCCGTGACGTTCTCGCTATCGAGATAGAACAGCGCCGTAGCGCATATTTTCTCGTTCGTCTGGCCTTCAACCTATAAACCCACGTTTTAGTATTCATCACGCCAGCAGCCAAAAGCAGTCACAGGAGAAAGAGACAACTAACATGCCACGATCCCGTTGGGAAATGAGGCTTCTCGGGAGTCAGTTCAATGCTCGCCATCTTTACAATAACCTGCAGCCCATGCTCTTTAAACATCTTGCGGAGTCTTCTCTTCGGAGAATAATCAATCTCTGCAAACTCCTCCGGCTCCGGGAGGATGGCTTCTCGGCCCTTGAGCCACTGCCCAGGAACAAGTGTTGGGCCGACGCTGGGGTAAATCTTGCGAAACGCACGTCGTCGCAAGTCAAAGGTTCGAATGCGAACATAGCGGGGCTCGTCTTCGTCTTTGTCCTTGTCCTCATCCTCATCCTCATACTCATACTCATCCCGTATACCAAACTTCATTACTCTCGTCCACAAATGGTCTTCCTCGTCACTAGATATATCCCTGTCAGCCCATACGTGCTTTCTTCTGTAGTAGCTCAAATAAGATGGTAACATACCTTGCCTCGGTAATCAGCTCGAAACGGGACTCAGACCTCCCCGCCACGGTATTCTTCTTGTAACCAAGATTCTCCCGAAGGCACTGATCCCACGCAGGAAGAGCCGCATCGATAGCATGCTCAATTGCTTCATAAATGGCCGGATACTTTTCCGGATGCAGATTGTTGATGTAGCTCGTAAACTCTGTAGTCCCGTCGTCGCGGAATGTCACATTGGCAGGTAGCCACTGGTAGACGCTCGAGCGATACTCTTTGGGAACTACATTTCTTTCCCTCATCCAATAAGCGTTGAGAAATCTTTGCCCATAATCTGCCATCTTATCTATTTCCGGTACAACTCTACCCTTGCCGATGAACTCGAGGGTATTTTTTGTGCCAACTTGTTCCTCATCAAGAAACTTGGACCGGCCTTTTTGTTTTCAATTCGGTTAGGTATTGCGATTATACAAGGTGACAATACTAAACACATACCGAATACAAATGGATACATGGACGGATGCACTAGGTCTTGCACCATGTCGTTGCTTCGAGGGTGCCAGTCCACGTTCGCAGCTTGGTCCGCTCGGAGCGTCTCAAACGCCTTGACCAATTCATCTCGAAGACTATCACTAATCAAGTTATCTGACTTGACGATGGCATTGCCCGCCGAATCAAGCGTAGGGATCAGACCAGTCTCGATAAAGTACTTGGCTTTGTTGCGTAATTCCGCAATGCACTACGAAGTCGGCAGCAAGGCCGATCTCTTCGTTAGTCTGGCATCATACGACAAGGAGGAGATATGGGGTCATGAACGAACAAACTCAAAGGCTGCTTCCGAGATGATTCGGCATTCGGGCAATGGAATCCGATCTGAATGCCATTTGCCCTCCATGATCCTCACAAAGAGGCTGTTTTCTGACTGCGTCGTGGCCTCGTAGCGCCATTTTGCTACAATGGCCTCATCAAACACCTTCTCGTGCCAATTCGGCTTGTCTGTCAAATTGTCCATGAGAATCATCATGGCGACTTCTCTAACGGGCAATATATCCGAATTTGCCCCCCGAGCATCTGGTAGACCAATTGGGTAGATGGGCTCCTCATCTTTCATAGAAATATACTCTGTTGACACTGGTAGATTGATCCCTGCATACTGAAAGCCGGCCATTCTGTCTGCTTTGTGCTGGGAAAATACTGAAAAGATATTTGAGAGCCAGTTGGAACTTGACTGATGCTGGGGCATTAAGACGGAGGACTTGCAATGAGGGAAGATGCGGAAGATGCCATTTTTATGCTTCACTTTCAACAAAATCGCGTCTCTTGGAGACAGTCAAAGTGGATCGAGGTTTAGGCAGGACTGGGGCTTCAAGCAATCCTTAGCTCTAAAAGCTATAAGTACAAAGAAAGTACAGAAACACACAACATCAATCTAAATAGCACTGCGAAATAGTACAAGACTCGTACAGACGGGAATTGCCCAGGATGATCCAGGCAATCCGTCGCCGTTCCTGGGATCTATGAGAATAAGAGGTCAAGCGTGGTGGGGGGCGCCACAATAATTCGATAATGGCTGCTTTAGCCAGGCAGCAGCCCCATATATTGCATCCATGTATTGGGAACTCGCGGCAAGATTTGCGATGTTTTGCCGGAAGATGCGTGTTATAAGTACCACTTTCACAGCTGTAATAAATACATGTACCGCCATGTTAGCTGTCCAAATAAGATTGATCACAAAGCGTGAATCGCAGCTTCAACAGCCGAAAAGATAACATGAACTCTCAATTGGACCTTGACATCTGAGTCATCCATCCCACTGCCGCTAACTCAATGGCAGCTTGCTGTAAACATAAAAACAATGTCAGAGACACCTCTCTGTTCAAACTGAGACACATCACCACCAAAACACCAGCATGGCGTCGCGCCCCTCAGAACTGGCGGTTGATTCTGTGGGAGAGCCCATCCCCACGTATCGTATCGACCTTTCCCTTCCTCCAGCTGAGCGTTATGTCAAGCTAGCCTCGGATTTTGCGCCGCGAATGAAAGAAATCACTCCATTATTTGACACAGTCCTCGGGTCAATAGTGCCGTGGACGTTCCTGCACTCCATCATCAAATTTGCAGCCTTTCTCATTCTTCGGCGAGTATATTCATATGAAGAAACGCAAGAACTGGTTGGCATTTCAAAGGCTAGTGGAGTAGACATGTATTTCCTGGTTGCCTTTAATCTGCTGCTTGATTCTTTGTTAGGGTGCACAAGCGGCGGCGTCCTGACCCGGCTCAAGAAGGGAGAGATGGATCCGGCAGAGGGTCAAGCCCATGCGGAACGCAGGGCGAGGATGATGCATTTTCGAACTCTAGACTGGGCGATGCCTGAACTGAGGAGCGTCCTTGTTGTCCTAGAGTTTGTGAGGTCAAAGTCCAAAGAGCCTCAGGCGGTGATTGCGAGGACCGTTTCCTATGCCGGGTTTGTTGGCGTGTTGACCGGAGTGAGGTAGGCCGCATTGAGACTCTGATGACACAGTTGCAAGCTTACGACTCCCAGGCAGGACCTTTCTATATCGCTCAACTTCCGGCCCAACCACAACTGCTCTACACTATCGCTCCGTATCCACCAGTGCCTTGTGCTCTTCGGTGTCCAGCCATCTATATCATCAGTCCTCCGCCAACACTTTCTTCACCCAGAGCGCCATCATCTATCCATTAACAACGTAATTACATCCATCACGAGAACACGGGCTGCGCCCTGCTACGTAATACTCTGCTCTGGCACGGAAACAACCGTGGTCCAAAAAGACCTCGTCAACGCGCAAACCAGGTCAGCCGTCGACTTCATTGTACATACAAATCACGACTTTGCGCCAGCAAATCAGTCAGATCAGGCGTATAGCCAAAAGGAGAGCAGTTCAATCTTGGGCATGGAGACATTGGTTGAGGAGAGTGAAGAGCGAAAGGATTGCATCCTGAGCAAATGGACTGCGCTGGCCAAGAGGCAACAACGTGATTCAAAGAGAGGGAGAGGAGGAGAAAGCCCTGCTATTTTCGAACACACATTGCAAAAGTGGGTGAAGGCGTATCCCATTATGAATGAATGTACTCATTTTGGATGTATTTTGGATCCGGGGACTGGGACCATTCGTTGGTTAGAGAGAGGCACCGAGGACCCCGAGGACAGCGAAAGCGTAGACGAACTGGTTTGCCAATGATACAGACGCTGGGGCGGAGATATGGCTTAAGTCGTCCCTCACATCTATCCTAACAGAATCTTAGTCAACATACGAAATCTACGTCCGTCCTACATGTATTTTACTACTGGTGTAAGCGGAAAGATAACAGATGCCATGTTCATTCAAATTCACACTAAACCATTTGTTAAAGACTGCGAATACCGCGGAGCTTACGCCAATACTGTATCTAAAAACGCCACTACAAACGCCACATGTACTTCGCTACTCTCTCTTAATTATAGACAACACAGCTTAACTAAACAACCTCAAAGTCGTAAAGTAAAATCAAGCATCTTAGCTGTATAGACTTAAGACTATTCAAAGCACCAGAATTGTCTGTGCGCAGATATGGGTCCCTGTCAACCGTCGGATTGCGGGGTGACAGCTCTAGGCAACAATCTCGTATAATCCACGAACAAGACTGGCTTATTAGCAACAGGCTTTGGAACCTAGCATGTGATGTGTGCTCGTATGTAATATGATCCAAGCTCTGCAGCGTCTGCATTAGTCCTTTCCGCCTATCGCTTACGGGCTACGTGGGGGAACCGCACGACTTTGTCGAATAGGGCTCGGGAAAGGCCGCCGCACCTTGCTGGAAGTAGAAGCTTACAATTTGAGTAAGGGGTTATTGTACTGTAACGCCGATATGCTAGTCTTTGCTTTGTGCCTGTGACTGCAAAAGTACTGAGTCCGAGCTTCTTGATGCTGTCCTGTAAGCTTTCTCGCCACGAATTATATTGCCCAATTCGGATCAAATTGCGATGTCTGCCTTAGGTGTACCCTCGCTCTGCAACAACCAATTCAACTCTTGTCAGCAAACACACTGACTTGCTCACAATACACCCATTTCAATCCTTCCAACATAAGCATAAGAATCAATCATCCAATCACCTCTATTTTGAACCTTTGCGTCATGAATTTGTATTGCCCCAATTAGGCAACGTCTGCGTCAGAAGCAATCGTCCAATCGCGTCTACTATGCGCGGCCTCGATATACATACGACTACACGGCCGATCCTCTGAAGCGCGGTCGGCCCGAATTACCAAAGGGCCCATCACGATGTGCTTCTTTCCAAAACAGGACGACAACAGCGAGCCACAGCCAATAAGCTTACTCTCGGGATATTCTCCAGTTCCACGAACCGGCTGCCGGCCCCTTAGGCTTGGCGATGTGCCGAAATATGTACCCTTTTGGACACGGAAGCCCTCCTTCCGCTGTTTCCCAAATCGGCCTTTGACATATTTAGGTGGGGGGAGGCTTGTATCATAGTATCACGATGAGTAGACATTCCTTACCTGTATGATGAGCTGAGGCTTTACATCGGCAGAGTCTCGCATCTCGCCTCTTGTGTCCTGAATGAAGCCATGTGACGGGTAGTCTCGCAATTGACTAAGGAACTTGTAGAACTATTAAAGGGCAAGATGATCCCGCTGTTTTCAATTGTAGAAAAATCCCAAGACACTCTCAACTGCCTTGCGTATTAAACTCACTACCCTCTTCTGCTTCTGATCCATCATGAAGCTGAATTTGGCGGCATACGCCCTCGCCAGCTCCGGCCTTGCCGCAGCTTCAAACTCCTTTGCAGGATCCAGCTTGTACTTCCTTCCTGGCCTCTCCGCCTCGGACCAGGCAAACTACATCGACACTCTTGCCAGCTATGGAGCCAAAGTTGTCCGCATCTGGATCAACCAGCTCGGCACCGGCTGCGTCAAGGGAAGCAATGTAGTTACCAGCGTTGCCGACTTTGAGACTACCATAGGAACCTACAACTGGAACTCCCTCGCAGCAGTTGACAAGGTCCTCGCCCAGCTGGCCGCAAAGGGGATGAAAGCCATCATCTCCCCCCACGACGGCAACGACATCCACGACGGCAGTGTCTCGGGAAACGGCTGCGACATCTACTGCCACACCTACGGCACCTCGTTCTACAGCAACTCCAATGCCCAAGCCCAGTACGATGCTCGTATCAAGGCCATCCTGACTTACAAGTCCCCCAGCAGCGGCCTCGCATGGGGCAACTGGTCCGACGCCATTCTCGCCTTTGATCTCGAGAACGAGCCCTTCCAGTTCACCTCTGACGGCGCCAACAACGATCCCTCCAACTGGCTCTGCAACAGGGCAGCAAACTTCAAAAAGTACATCACCGACTCCAACATCAAGGTCGCAACCGGCGGCATCGGCGGAGACCAGAGCCATGGCTACAACATGCTCCCCAAGGCCTTGTCCTGCTCGAGCATCGACCTCATGAGCATCCACGCCTACGTCGGCTCAGCGTCTACCTGGGGTAGCATCATGCCCGGCTTTGAAGCCAGCGCGGCAGCCAACAACAAGCTGGTCTATGTTGAGGAATGGGGAGTTGCGACGAGTTACCCCTCCGACTTCAACGACCAATCGGCCGCCCTTAATTCCATTGCCTACCCATGGGTACGTTGCATCAAATGAAATCCCAACCTCGTAATTTTATTCTAACAAGTAATTGTACAAACAGCTCTACTGGCAAATGATCCCTGGTGACGACGGCACCGAGTCCTGCAACAGCGGCTGCTGCACCGGCTACGACGGCTTCGAAATCGGCTTCAACAGCGGCAAGGGAAATCTCCAGTACGCCATCTCCCAAGCAAACACCAAGACCACAAAGCAAGACTGGAGCTTCGTCGGTGCTCCTCCAGCTGGAGGATCCAGCCCTCCTTCTGGCGGCGGCGGTGGCAGCGGCGGCAATGGATATCCAGCAGATACCTGCACCTGGGGGTAAGTTGCATTCTGTCTTCTTCTTTCACATACCTTTTCTGTTTTCATTCTTTCCTTTGGTTTACTTAGAAGTTGAGCTGATAATTATTTCTAGCTGCGAGGGTTGGGACTGCAGCAGCTCTAGTCCATGCCAGTCAGCCTACTCTTGCGTTGGCGGATACTGCAAGAACTGCACCTGGGGGTGCGGTGGTTGGAGTTGCAGTGCGTCTCAGCCTTGCAACGCCGACTATACTTGCGTTGACGGCGTCTGCCACCACTCTGGACCGGCAACTTAAGGGGCTTTTCTGAGTCTACAGGAGTCGCCCCGTACAAGTCTGACAAGACACCGTCGTTTCCTATGTGTAGATGGGGTTTAATAAGCGATAAATTCTGTAGGCTATCGGTACATATATGTATATAAATCGGTAGAGAATAATCTTACATATCTTTATCATAAAAAACATCTCCAGATATTTGAAGCCCAAAAAAGAAATTGTTATGGCTAAGTTATGTAATGGTATAAACATGTAAATATGATACAGTTCATTCTTATAGTAAAGTCCAGATTCTTCATTGTCACTTCAAGTGTAATAATGTTACCACTACATGCCACTAGGATATCAAATGTTGACTCAGCCCATACCTACTATAACTCTCTCGATCCTCAGTAACCGGGCTTTTAGGTCCTTTGGCCTTGACATTTGTGGCATAACGCTTAGTGAGATTATATCGTGCTCTTATCCCATGGAAATGGTAGTGAAACAAGGCTTGTACGAAGTACTGGGTTGGCATTTGTGATCCTTGTAAGACATACGTAACATGCCGCCTATATGGGTTGTAGCAGCCCTTAGGAGACGAGAGCTATAATAAGATCATTATAAAAACGAATACCAGAGTAATGTAATTATTCATTAGTAATTATGTTTATGTTGAAAGGTAAATCTAGATCTCCTCCTTCTCCTCCTCCTCCTCCTCGTACTTCTCGTCCTCCTTCTCCTGCTCTTCCTACTCCTGGTCCTCCTTCACAATTTTTTCCAACAAGGCCTATTCCTTTTAGTCATCTTCTTACCTTTTTACACTATGTGATTGGATGCTTACATCGGCGAGGGCGTCGGCATCCTGTGATAATTTTGAGACGCTGAATCAGTCATGGCGAATCCCAAAAAAATGAATATACGAACCTTGTCAGCCGGGCCAGCTGTGCGAGTCTGTAGACTGTCAGTACTAATTGTGAAATAAGTTTATCATTACTTACAGCGAGCTCTTTCGTCCAATGCTTCAATATGCGTCAAATTATCATATTCTGAGCATTAGAATTAAATAAGGACGTACCTCGATTCGATCAAGCACAAACTAACAGCATTAGTATAACATAATTCGACGAGACGTTGTCGGTTCTACTTACTTGCTTGTGCTCCACTACTCTCTGTGAAGATATTTGTTAGATTGTCTGATGGCATATAAAACTAGCAAGGCCAAGCCTACAAACTCTTTCTTGATCACATCCTATAGTACAATTATCCCATTAGCTTAATTCTTATCCTAAGAGGCGGAAGGGAACTTGGTTTAGGCTCACCCGCAAAGTTTGGCGCAGATTCTAGAGAGAGAGTCAACATGCGTTGCTTACTTCATCGCAAAAGAATTCTTGCCTCCAGCTTTTGCTCAGCCTCCTGTATTTGGAATTAGCTAGTTATTAGAGAAGACATCCCTACTCCCGCAGACGATATAACTCACTTCAGGCGACCCTTTCTGCAATATGTCAGTGAGGATAACATGAATACACTCTTCCCGATATCCAGCTTACCAGGGGCATCTTTGTTTTCTGCCAGATCATGCAGTAGTCAATACATGGAACACTTTCTTACAGCCAACAGTGCGTACCTTTGCCGGTGACTGGGCCGGCGATTTCGGCGCGAGCTGACACAATTGTCAGCAGGTCGTTTTCAATTCTTCAATGGGTTATTTTTTACCTCTTCATTGCTCCTCTAAAACAAAGGGTCAGCAACATTGTATTATATCACAGAAGGGAGCGATGGATAGGACAGATATGGGACTCGCCTTTTGACCCTGGGGGGCGTGCGACTTTTTGCCGTCCTACAGTCAGTCGTCTTATCCCTCACCACCCTTGTTCAATAGCAGAATGTGGTGGACAGCAAGTGTCAAAGATTCGATCGATCCACATGGTCAACGTACGTTCTCTTTGTTTGCCTAGAGGAGTCAACTGACGTTAGTTGGATCTTTCTCGAGTATGGCGAGAGTGATAGTTTGGGAGTAATCCGTGCAACCACCTGCTTGTAAATGCAGCATGAGGGGCGTGGGAGGCGTGATAGATGTATGTACGAACAAGCATCTTGAAATTTTGAATGTACTAGAATCCAATGTAGTTAGCACATGTTGAACAGGTTTTCAATTTCATATTGATGTATACGAACTCTTTGAGTCGGGTGCTATGGAGCATACGATTAGACAACCATTTCAAAGGCTCGGCGGCTCAGTTGCATCGTACTTGGGAGAAAAGTGGCGCTACAAAACAAAAGTTAATATTGCAGTCCAAATCTCATCTCACCTGTTTCATCAACGGGGAGATTCGCTCGGTATGCTTACAGCACAAAGTGGGCGATGGTCTTGAAGAGAAAAAAAGGAAAGGGAAGGGAAAGGAAGGGAAGTGAGAAAACAAATGTTCAGAGTAAGAAGGCGTACAGATTTTGCATGTCAAAAAAGAAGGAGCGGTGGGTGCTGGCATTGATGCCAGTGGCTGATATCAGGAAAACAAGCAGTCCAAACAATTACGACAAAAACAGCACTTCAGCATTGGTGTGGTAATATCTAAACATTCAACTAAGCGGCATATATGTAAGCACAAAATTCTCACGTCCAGCACTGCAATCATGCTGACTTTTGCAGATTCGATTTCGTCCAATAATGTTCATGGAGTTCTCGAATCATCAACAGCGATCGCCCCGCCACGGAAATTACAAGCTCTCTGAGACTGGAAATCTTTGAGCAGAAGTGGCAACCCAATCCCGATAACGACTAACAGCTTGAATCTGTATTTTAATGCAATCTACTGTGGGAAACTTAGTTCAACATCTTGCCAGTGCCCAGATTTGGATCCGTCTAATACAAGGATTGAAGCGAATAGCATATTATACCGTAATTGACCCTGATCTGTTATAATATCTAAAGGTGGTTGAAGGAGAAGCTTGGCTAAGTGCCTATGTTAACTTGCACATGTGTTTCTGTTGGTGGCGCCTATACATGTACTCAGATGCAGACCCCAAAACGAATGACACGTGCAACAACTGGCTCAAGAATCAAAAAAGAGGAAAAATCATGCGCAAATCCAAAATGAAAAAAAAAATGCATATTTCCATGCAATTGAGGAAAAAAATTAATTCCACGGGAATTGTGACTCGACGGAGACAGGATTCGAACCTGCGAGGCCGAAACCATATGATTTCTAGTCATACCCATTAACCACTCTGGCACTCCGCCTTCTGAGCTGATGCTAAGAATAGGGCAGTAAACAGATATCTAAGCCTCGATCTTTGAGCGAAGACTCCAAGACGACCATTTGATGTGCTTTTGATGATATGAGCACACAATGTATAGTGTTGCGAGATGATGCGCAGCAATCAAAACATGCGCTGTGAAGCGGGATGAAGTACAATAGTGCAGCATTTCCCAAAAGGGCCTATCCGTACCCACTACTACACCTCGGGCTTACATTGCGCCTTTTGCAATATTCACTGGCTCTGCTACCAAGAAACACACTTCTCGAGAGTTTTGTTGCGATGGGTTGAGAGAGGTAATTCAAATCTACTTAATTAGTATTACTTATGTATTAATATTAAAAGAGAGCTCGAGTGGAACGCCTTAGGTTACCTAACAGCATCAATGTCTTATACTCTTGTAGAGTGTTTGTGAGACTATTATAATCAGGCGAGTTACCGATGGATGACACATCGATCGACATAAAATAACCGTTGCGAGCATTTTCCGGGGCATATGCAATGGTGTGCTATGATCGTTCACTCATACAGGTTTTCATGTTGAATTCAGTATTTAATTATCTTTTCTCATCGCCTAAATACATGGACTCTTTGTAGCCCAGTTCCAAAAGTATAGGTAACAAAAAAATTACGTCTAATCACCGCTGTTCATTGATATACAGAAATAAACATCATATTCAAAATATGGCAACTACATATATGTACTATATATATATGTGTACAGATCAAACTTCTAGTGACCCGAGCGCATAGCCCTGGTTATTTCTGGCGCAAAATCCCCCATTGCCTTCCGCGCTACAATTCCTTCGCCCTTAATTAGTTCCAGAGCAAGCGACAAACTTATTCCCACTGGCTCCATTGTGTGTAATAAGGCCAGCAACCGTACAGGCACTGTTGATCACAACGCGGTCAGGTCCCGGAGAGCCTAACACGTCACATCTCGTCAGTCACATAAGATTAAGCAGCGTCTTCAGTTGAGGAAAGTAAAAGAGGAAAAAAAGGAATAATCAAGCAAGAATGAGCCAGAAAATAAGAGGATGGTTGATGGTGTAACACACGTACCTCCGTTGTAAATCGCACCAGTCTTAATAATAGGAAACTCCTGATAAGGCCCAGCAACCCCGTGGAACTTGAACTTTTCGCCATTGTTGAACTTGTGGGGATACTTGTTCGACCCAACCACCTTTCCGGATCTAAATAACGTGCACGCCTGGTTGGCGGCGGCGGCGACTTGAGCATCGCCGTAGAAGGAAGCCTGCTTGACACCGCAACCGCCAGAGAATCTCTCTACGAGATCGTTGCCCGGCTCGGAGGTGGGAGCGGCGCTGGCAAAGGCGACGAGGGCGAGGAGGCTAAGAAACTTCATTTTGAATGCTGAAAATATGACGAATTAAGAGTAAGGAATGAGCGAGGATTCTGTAGGATGGATGCTGGAAGCTCAAGCGATCGATAAGTAAAGAAAACGATAAAAGCAAGAGATGCGGCCAGACTATATACTCAATGTACTGTAAAACAATTCTCCCTGCAACGTCTCACTAATCAATCTTGGCAACCGATTATCTACTACTACACCACCACGATCACAGGTCTGGTACATATCCCAGCACCCATATTTCCCACCGCCGTGAACTTACGACGTTTCATTTCACATCGACTAAAAGCTCACGGCAACATCACTTGCCCTATTCATTCCTCGCTCCCCCACCAGAAACCGGAATACTTCATACTTCGCCCAATCAACGCAACGACAATCCATCAGAGTACCAAGGCGATGATCTCTCACAGCATCCTCTCGGCATTCTCACAAGCCGACAAATACCATTCCAAGAAAAACAATTCAGTGCCTACATATCGCAATAGAAAAAAGTGCTGACATTTAATAACACGCAACGCCCTTCAAAACAGTAAGATCTTGCGCAACTAGGAAGGTCAAAAGAAGTGCATGTGTATTCAAGGAGGGATGAGGACCAAACCCCCTCCCCCCCAAGCTGAGAACGATTGCGCCCGCATCAATAGGAATTTGTAGAAAGAACACGGGGGTCCTGATAACTGTCAGATGATTAAACTTCCTGATTCGGGATATCTTGCTGCGCCTCGGAATGAAGATCCCTTATATTTTATGCAAGTCTTGGCTCTTTGCTTAGTGCCGATCCAATGACAGGACAAGATCCGAAGCAACTCAAGGCTAAATTCTTTTCCCCCTTGTTTTTTTTGTAGGCATTGATTAATTGGGTTATCGAGGCCTTTTTCTCGTGCAAAAAAGGATACGCTCAAACGTGAAACCAAAACCACTTCCATACAAAAAGGCCCTTGGCCGCCAAAAATACCTTACTGTCAGTGATCAAATAAATAAGCTTATCCGGGTGCTCCCGCACTGGCCTTGGCATACACCTGACACAGCGCATTCATAGCCAAATATACACCTACCGAATTCGAGAAGATGCTTATCCCATGCGTGAAGCTGACGATGCCTATTGCGGAAATGCACGTTGGAATCAATGTGTCAGAGAGATTGCAGAATAGGGACTGGCATTGATGATGATCGGAAGTCGCCCGACGAAAAGCGGGAACATGTTTTGTGTTGGATGCGTAGACATTGGATGCTTCTTTATTAATAGCAGTATAAAAGCAACGTTACCAGCTACGACATTGAAAGCAATCACATTCATAAGACGTATCAAAGAAATACTGTAAAAAGAAATGCCTACCTAGACAGTCAGATTCATAAAAAAAAAAAAAAAAAAAAAAAAACAAGCAAAGTATACATGTAAGTGGAAAAAAAAGCAAAAAAGAAATGTTGAGGGGCCAAACCGTGGATTGAACACGGGACCTCTTGCAGTTGAGTTGGTAACCCAAAGCAAGAATCATACCACTAGACCATTTGGCCTCTAGCTGTTATGACTAATGGTATCTTACACTACCTTATAAAGGCAGATGCTAACCACTCTCCAAAAAGGGTAAACCAGTAAGTATCCACCCACTAGTTCAACCCCACAATAGCACCGCGGCACTAAAAAAGCAGACTCCATCCGCTAGACAATTTTCCTCCCTTCCGAATAAACAAAGTACATGCAAAAAAAAATCGCAAAAAAAGAAAGAACACGTGGAGACAGAGGGATTTGAACCCCCGACCTTTTACAGGCTTGTATTGAATGAACAATGCAAAGCAAACGTGATACCCCTACACCATATCCCCGATGTTGAAAATGCGGTTTTGTAAACAGACTTATATAGCTCAACAAGAAAAATAGAGGCAGAGCTGGAATTAAATACAGTACAATTGCTTCCATCTTACTCCTACTACTAGCTATTAGAAGCATAATACATCATGCTGCATTGTTTTAACATCTCATTATAAGTAACTGGTCAAGATGTACTACTGTTGCGATAAGTTGTTTCACCTAGAATTTACAATCCGTTGGCGCTCTTATAAGAAGAATAGAAGCTCCCTAAAAATAGGCAACGCACAACATTAAAGGGAGGCTTTAGACTTTCCGCCTGCGCCAACACGTGGAAATGACGTCTATCCGTCAAGCAAAAGTCAATGGAATTATTATTCCTCTATGCGCTAAATCTGCCACTTATTAAGTACCGATATCCCGTCCTCCCTTCCTGCTCAAAACGCATTGTAAAAGACAGGCTCTCTAAGTTGTATGTATGTACTCATATACTGTGTATATATATATATATATAACGTCTCTCTTCAAATCATTCCATTAAATATCCAAGAATCAAATCATCAAAACGCAATCAGCATGTAGCCAAAAGCAGCCCCCGTCAGGAGCAAGCTGCCGGTCATGGCCTTGGCCCCTGACGGCGCCGCTGACTTGCCGTCTTTGGAGGAATTGTTGGTGTCAGAGGAGGGATCGTTGACGGGATTCGCCTTGGAAGAGGGCGAAGGGGTTTGCTTCTCAGCGCTGGGCGTTGTTGATGCCGGTGAGCCGCCAGTGCTAGATGGGTTCGGGGTGGGCGTTGAGGTGCCAGTCTCTGTGGCGGTTGAGATTGAAGTGGGCGTGGGCGCGTATTTGGAGTCGAGAGTGAACTGGTCGAGGATGCACTGCTCCATCAGCTTGTTGTCGGTATAGTTGCCGGGCTCGCCAAGGGGTGTGAGCGTCAGGATGTAAGTGGTGTCAAAGCTTCCGGCGCCCCATCCGACGAAGCCGATGTAGACATCGCTGTTGGCACTGATGGCCTTGTTCTGAGCACAGAAATCGGTCATGCACTATTTTTACAATGTTAGTCACATGTTCAGTGTCTCATTACATCTCACTTCAAAAAGAAAAATGAAGGTAATAAAAAAAGTTGGAAGAGAGTCGCTCACCGAAGGATCCATGGATGCACCAGTTTCCGAAATGATGGCCTGGCGCTTATTGTCCCTCAGCCACGTCGCGAAATCCTCAAACGCCTGGACGTTGTCGGTGGTGCACAGCACGTGAGAGCCCGAGTTGTTGATGTCGAGATATTTGTGCACATCAAAATACAGCAGGTCGGTGCTCTTGTCCGGGTTTGTAATGGCAGCGAGGGCATCGGCGCTTCCGCTTGACACGTACGTCCCGACACTGGCAAAGTTGGTTCCGGGCAGGAGAATCATCTGCGAGGTGGCGCCGGCCTTTCGGATGCCAGTAACGACCTTCTGGCAGGTCTGGGCCCAGATGTTGACGTCCAGGTCGTGGGGCTCGTTCATCAGGCCAAATATGATCTTGTCGTTCTTCTCGTAGTACTTTGCGATCTGGACCCAGAGGTTGACAAAGACATCGTCGTCCACGCCTCCCTGGCCAATGATTCCACCATTGTATCGGGCAAAGTTGTGCATGTCAATCATGCAGTAGGCGCCGGTGACGAGACAGGCATCGATGACCTTGTTGTAGGACCCCCAGTTGAGCTCATCCAGCTTGCCGTCTACGGTGTTGTTGGTGACGAATTGCCATGTGGCGGCTAGCAACAATCGATATTAGTATGAGCGACATGACACGGAATGATATGATGTTGATATGAGAAATTAGACACTCACAGATGCGAAAGACGTTTAGGCCGTCGTCCTCTGCGAAATGCTTCATCTGGCCCGCGCCATCACCTCCCTTGTAGCTCAGCAGCGGAACTGACGAGGTATCGGTAGGACAGCTGCCGTCAATGTCGCATCCAAAGTCGATTCCGGGGATGGCAACGCCCAGATACCTCATCTTGCCGGCGGCGGCGCCAGAGGCCAGAGCCAACGCGGCCGCAAAGGCGGATGTAGCGCGCATAGTAATATCGTATATGTTGTGTTGTGATTAAAGAAATATTTATATTTCGTTTAAATATTTATTTTCCCTTCTTCTGTCTTTCTTGGTGTTAAACTGGTGATTGTCGCACAAGCTCCGGCCGGGGCTTGGTTTTTAACGAGATGGCGTATGCGTATTAGCGAAGGGAACTGGCGATGCCAAAACGAGACGGTCAAGTAAAGTAACGCAACAGCAAATTGCTAAGCAGAACAGCGAGCAGAACCGACGACAGCCAGAATAACGAGATAACGAACGTGTTACAGCTGCGTCATGGTTTGCCGGGACGAGCGAGCGAGCGATGGGAGGCAACAGTCCAAGAAGAGAAGAGGTGAAGAAGAGGAAGAAGAAGCGACAGGAGAGCGAGCCACGCCCAGAAATCATGCAAACTGACAGCCAGCCCGACCTGGACTGACAAGCGGCGCTTCCTGGGGCTGTGAAGAGCAAAACGGCCGCTTTAGCGCCTCCCGGATGCCACCTAGCGACGCCCAATTGCCTGTCACGGCTCGTGTTGGGGCCAGTTTGGGCATAGCGGGCTGCCCTCTTCGTATTCTGGCTGTCAGACTATCAACACAATGCGCTGTGCTCGTATTCATTGGGGGTTGCTGTTTACTGCTGCTTGTCACGCCACGGCTGTTTAAAAATTTACACTTTTACAGGCGAAATGCATACATATGCAAGGCGCAGAGTAGATTTCCCGTTGACACGCGCCACCAAAGTAGGCGTATATAAAAAAGAAAAAAAAAAAAAAAAAAAAAAAAAACTCCATATACTACTAGTGACATTCAATGATTGGAAATTCAACCACGCCGCGACAAAAAAGAGAAAAAAACGACGCAGGGCTGCGGGCCTTAAAGCGGAGCCGCTACGGGTACCTGTTCAAGGCCCAATCGTTCTGGACGGTGCTCCTTACTCGTACAGGTACGACGGAGGATCAGAAAAAATACCAATTCTTTTTTTAACCAGCCAATGCGTATTACGAAAGGATACGAGAGGGGAAAGAAAAAAGCCCAAGGTGCTTACTCGTGCCTGGGCTCGGATTACGGCTGCCGTGGATAAGACGGCAAATCCTGCACGAGGTTGGTATAGATACGGATTGCATGTACTCGATACGTATATGGAGATACGATGCTCACCGAACACGATGGCGAGAGATGGTGGCGATGGATTATATGTAGATGGTTAAGATGACAGACAGCCTGAACCGATTTGAATCGGCATGCGATGCAGAGGGGACATGGGCAGATCGCGAGCAAAAGGCGGAGGATCCGCGCGCACTAGCAGTCGGGGTTTTCCATTACGGAGCACAGCGACAGGGTTCACCCCGTATCAACGGCCGTGCTCTATCTATTTATACTGCTGCACTGAATGAGCCTCATCTTGTCATCTTGCAGTGCTTGTAAGGCATCATCTGCTTTCTTCACTGGACAAGCTCGCCGTACACAGCCCGCTGCAGGTCCGCATACAGCCGCGACGACACCGGGTCGCCAAACGGAAACATGGCCACCATCAGCACCGCCGCGATGCCCGACTCCCGATCAATCCACTAGCAATGTGCGTTAGAAACACAGAAGAACGTTAAAAAGAGAAGCGGCAGATTAGAAGCAAAAACTCACCCATCGCGAACTGCACGCTCCACTCCACGACAGACTGCCCTTCCTCCTCAGTCCAGCAACATCCTCCATCGTCACCATCCCGCCATACCCATACTGCAGCGCCACGCCATCCGGCAACTCAGGGATATACGCAGCCCGCGCCCCCTCACCATAGACAACGTCCCTCATCATCGTCCGCTGCCCATCATCCAGCTGCGGCGCAAACATCATCCGCGCCGTCTCCGCCGAGACCACGCCCGGCTCGGCCTGCAGCATCGCGCGCAGCAGCCGGACATAGTCATTGGCCGTGGTGTGGATGCCCGCCCCGGCGCTGTCCATCTCGGGCTCCTCCGGCACAATGTCGAGGGCCGATAGCGAGCCGCTGGCGGCGTCGCGGATGGCCACCTCTGCCCGTCGACCTCCGGTGTGAGGCAGCTGCCTGACGCGGAAGCCCGTGTCGTGCATCTCGAGCGGATCCAGGACGTGCTGCTTCATGTACTCGCCGAGACTCTGCTTCTCCAGCGTCTCCAGGCCGATGCCGGCCCAGTCCAGCGCAGACCCGTAGGCCCAGCCGTCGCCGGGGGGGGACACGAGCGGCGTGTTGTAGCCGTCTCTGGACATGCGAATCGTCATTCCAATTGGGCGACCGATGGCTTCGGACCATCGACGCAGATTCGGGTCTGCCACGTCGTAGTGGAGACCGACGGTGTGAACCATCAGCTGCCTGTAGCCATATCAGTATATGCATGTGTATGTTGCGCTGTGTTATACATTGTAAACTTCTACATCTCAGCACTGCTCCGTACTACCTATGCAAGAACTCACTTGAGTGTTATGGGCCGTGGATTGTCCTCCAGCACGGGCTGCCCCTCGGCAGTAAATCCCCGCAAGATCTGCATCTTGTCCAGCTCGGGAACAAGCAGCCGCATGTTGTCGTCCAGCGAAATCTTGCCTTGCTCAACCAGCTGCATGATGCAGGTCGCGGAGAGGAGCTTGGTAATGGAAGCACCGTAGGTGAGAGTGTCGCCATCGAATTTGGACGAGTTGGCGTCAATGCCCGTTCGCCCAGCAGAGCCAGAGTAGATGACGCCTGTGGGTTTCCATAAGTGATGCAGCGATGATTAATAAGGGCCAATATAAGAGAAAGAAACTTTAAGAGAAACGATAGGTGAACAAAACAAAAGGACAACTGCTCACCATTTCGGTCTGTCACTACAAATGCGGCTCCAAGCAGCTTGTTCTTGGTGTCCTCCCCGTCGGCGACAGCCCGCTCCAAAATGGCATCCAACTTGTCCATTGTCGCGTATATAAACCTCTCCTATAACGAACGAACAAGGATAGGTATTCCGACTTTGCAGCTTGTCGGTGTGGCTTGCTTCTCACAGTGTAACTTTTTACAGAGGCCCAATCAATCAATGGTGGCTGCATGTGATGCGATGCAAAAGAGAGCTAAAGTTATCGAGATGCAGATCTTGGGCCCCTCCGCGTGATGTCAAAGGCTGCCAAGATGCGGCCGCCAATGAAGATTCAACAAGCTGGATTGAAGCCAAGAAGCAGTTAGCGCTGTTCCGTCCGCCGTGTACCAATTTGCACAATAGCCTCACTTACACGGAATACAAAAGCTTGATTCAACAGCCACCAATTGAACCATTTTCCAGAAATAGCCACATCCATCCATGCTAAGAGCGGGGACCCATCTCACAACCCACCAACCAGTCAAAGACGGTGCCTTTTACTCACTACTCTTCCATCTCAGCTCTTCATCCAGTCCGGTCTGTTGTGAGACAAACATCCGCACCAGCTTAGCCGTTATAACTTCTTCTTCACTCTTCTTCAGGGGCGTCTCATCAAGCATCAAGTAATTGTCTTGTTCCCGCCGTCATGGCCGCCCCCACCACTCGCCCATCATCAGGGCTCCTGGACCTCATCACAATCTTTGACAAGTGAGACCATCATCACCATCACCATCACCATCACCATCTTGACACCAAACTCACATCAACTCACCTCCTCCAGCGCACCCCTCGACTTCGAACTCAACCACCATCCCTACTACCGTCTCATCCTGGCCCCCGATGACCGCGTCCACGGCTACATCCACCCAACCACCATCGCCCGCATGCCCTGGCCGCCATCCTTCTCCATCAACCACGACACGCGCCAAGTCATCCTCTCCGCCCCTCCGGCCAGCACCTCTCCCTCCGACCACGCCAACTCCGCCTTCCAGCAAGCCGTAGACGCCGCCATCGACGGCAACATCTTCCCCACGCTCAACGGCCTCCACAGCGAGTACTTCCTCGTCCCCGGAGCCCGGCACTTTGTCCAGATCGAGCGCTTCGCCGCCGCCCTCTTCGGCATCGCCACCCGCGGCGCCCACCTCACGGCCTACACAAGGGACGCCGCCACCGGCGAGCTGCGCATCTGGGTCGCCCGGCGGAGCAAGACGCTGCACACCTACCCGGGCATGCTGGACAGCACCGTCGCCGGCGGCGTCAAGGCCAGCGATTCCCCCCTGGACTGCATCCTCGCCGAGTCCATGGAGGAAGCGTCGCTGCCGCAATCCCTCGTGGCGCCTCGCCTGCGCGCCACGGGGGCCATCACAATGGTGAACCGCAACCCGCGCTCGGAGCTGGTCCACTCGGAGATTCTGTACACTTACGACTTGGAACTTTCCGGCCAGGGGGAGCAGGTGCCGCGCCTGGGCGACGACGGGGAGGTCGAGGAGTTTGTGCTGATGAGCTGCGACGAGGTTGAGCGGCGCATGCTGGCGGGCGAGTTCAAGACGAATGTGTGCGCCGTCATGATTGATTTCCTGATTCGCCATGGGAGGATCACGCCGGAGACTGAGCCGGACTATGTGGAGATTTGCATGAGGCTGCAGAGGAGGCTGCCGGTGCCGACGAGGTCGGATGTGTAGAGTGAAGTTGGTTCAGAAGCATCATGAGATAGATAGATATGTATGTATGTATATAGAGTAAAGACTATGGAGTAATACCTAGATCAAGTACACAAATGTTAAACACGTCATGATTATACCAAAAAATTGAATTTAATCCTGGAAATACTTACACAACAAGCCCCTTAATTTCTCAATTCTTCATCCCTAATTATATACACATTGCCCTGTTTGTTTGCCCGATTCCTGCAGCAGACCTGTAATTAGTCGTGCCGTACCACCCAAAGGGCTACTAATCCGGCACAAACACCGATAGCCGCTCCCGCACTCCGTCCCTCCAAACATTCTCTCTATCTTATCCTTATCTCTAACTACACATACCTTTTTTTTTTCCTTCATCAGCATCTCTAATATCCAGTATTAATCAACAACATCTCTTCTTCCCTTTTATCTTTCATAATTACTCATTCCTTCTCATCTTCTTATTCTTCTCTTCTTCAACATATTTTCTTCTCCACTCCCGCTCCTCTCCACCCCAACACAAAAACCTTCTCGCCCTCGCTTCACCTATACTAATAATCATCACCGATATCAACCTCAGAAGAAAGAAAAAACTATATCCTACGCCATCATCGCCTCTCAAACCTTTTCAACATACATTTTACAAGGTTCAGAAATGTTAATCTTACACTTTAACCCGCTTGTATTGTTCGAGCTATTCGCACAAATGCGCACATACAAACAAATTTAAGCCACCGCAAGGCTAGCAGCTCAAACAAGGTGAGACTTTTCCTAGCCTCAACCCAACCCATTGGTATAAACAGCCAACTTCTCCCTCACCACCTCCACTTCTTCCTTGCCAGGGTCTTTCTCTCTTCTACATCTCTTCTTCTTCAATTGTTTCCTGGAATAATACAGATGAAGAAAAAAAAAAAAAAAAAAAAAAAAAAAACCGTCATCCATCCATCCACCATCCTATCTCCCATCTTCATCCCCATCAAACTACAAACAAAACTCCGCACCATACTAACTAATAAGCCAACTCAACAGATCCATGACCGCAATCCACTCCGTCTACACCCTTACATCGTCACGATGCCGAAATAAACATCTCTATTCTCGATTTTCAGCAGCGCGATTCGGTCCTTTCACAGCAATGCACTGCCAAGTCTCGGATAACAAACAACTACCACCAAGCTACTTCACGACAAAGGCTTCAGCAACAGCCATGCATTATCCAAATATGCACAACGAGCCGCACACAAAGCAAGCAGAATCTCGTCTCACGCGTCATGGTCATATTATACAATTCATCCTACACTACGTACAATTCGTTGCGCCCTCCACCGCGGCCCATCCCATCCATCCTTACCGCCACCCTCTTCTCTCGCATTCTCAAGGAGTATCAAGCAGCAAAAAAAGCAAATAGAGAAATTGCAATGGCGCAGCGCAATTCCAGCGAGAGAAAAAAAAAACCTAGTCGTTACCAGCCAAACTCCCCAGCGCCTCTTTAATCCTCCCAATACGTTTTTTTTTTCTTCAACGGCCCTCTGGACTGTTCCTCCGTGTCCCTACCATTTCAGTCAGACCACATCGCTCACTCACCGCCATTGAGCAGGCGAGTCAAAAAATTACTTGGCCGAAAAAACACATATATCCCCTCTAACTTGCAACCGTCATTGCAGGTTGCGACCTCAGTACCCAAACGAGCATATAACCAGCGCAGCTCTTTTATCCTCTTACAAGCAGAGACAAAGTACGCCCCATAGCGAATCTATTTGCGGAGAGAGCAAAAAGAAACCCCGGGCTTTCTCTTACTCTTCTTCCGAATCAGAGTCATCGCTCGACTCGTCATGACGACCAGGCCCCGGCGCAGAAGGTGCGTCATCGGCAGGCTCTTGTCCGGGCTTGTACAGCTGTGAAATGGCTGTCAACTGTGCGATGCGTGCCTCCTGCTCCTGCGCGCTCATGGGTTTGTTCTTCTTAGGCTTCGAAGCCGATTTAGGAGCCTGCTTTGCGGGGACCGCCCTATTAACTTCCGGCGACTTTGCTGTGGCGTTTGAATCTTTACCGAATCCAGGGAGCACCTTCTTGCAAAGCTCCCATAGCTTGATCAGCGCCTCGTTGCTGAGCTGGTCAATATCCAGCTCGAGTTCGCCTTCGTTATTTTCCTGTTAAGGCCAAATATTAGCACATCATTTTTATTTTATTTTATTTTTTGGACCTGGCCCCAACCCAGAACAAGATGGAGAAAGGGGGGGGGGAACGAATCAAAGAGGCACTTACGTTTTGACCCGTATCGCGCTTAATTATGTCAATAGCTCGGTCGAGATGGGGGTATTCAAGATCGTTGATGGCGCTCGCGATTTGATCCTTGTCGGCTGCCGACAGGCTCTTCTTGGGGGCTGGCTTCTTGGCAACGCCCGACTTCTTGGGAGGGGGTGCGTGGCTAGACGACTTACGCGCCGGGGCGCTGCCGGCCGCCTTGCTCTTGCTTGGCTTGGCTGACTTCTTGGCCGACTTGTCTTGGTGCTTGGCCTTGCCCTCGCCACCCTGGCTCTGCGCCACTTTGTAAAGGGCCTGCTGCACAGTCTCGACAATGACCTTTTGGCATTCAATCAGAGCCTGCGGCGTGCCGGAAGCAAACATGCGGTTGAGTTTACTGCTCTCTTCTTCCAGCTTCGCCTTAAGTTCCTGGATTTCCTTGGAGTTATCTACGCTCGGGGCGCCAGCATCCTCTTCCTCGCTGTCATCCTCTTCCTCGTCGTCACTAGCGTTGGAGGCGGACGCAGCGGGTGCATTTGCCTTGGCGTATCTAGCCAGCCATGCATCCTTGCCCTTCAGCTGCTGGTTGTAGAGGTCTTCAAGCTGCTTGGCTACCATAGATACGGGGTTGCCCTGCTCAGGAGGTCCATTGAACTGGTAGCAGTTGGTGAAGATGAGACGCATGTTCTTGTCAAATTCCTTGGCGTTGGCAATCTCGCCCGCGCTGACCATGCGCAACACCTTGCCCAGGTCCATGGGCTTCTTGATAATGGCGTAGTAGTCGGGAATGTTGAGGCCTTCAGCGTCGACGGCATCGAGGAACCACATATTGAGCGTCGAGTTCTTGGGATGCATGAGCTCCGCCAGTACCTCGTCGCAAAATTGCAATTCGGGCTTGAGTTTCTTGCGAGAAGGCTTAGTGGTATAATCGATATCCTTGGGCTTCGGTGCCCTTACCGTCCGTTTTGGTCTATCTCCGTCTGTGGCTGTTGAGCCGCGACGATCCGCAATAGGCTCTGCGGCCTGGGGCTTCGGTTTCGGTTCATTCACGGGGGGTGGCGGGCTGGATGCAGGCCCTGAGGATTGCCTTCGCGCGGCACTGTCTGGGGGTCCGCCTGGTAAGACGCGAGGCTCGCGGGGAGGCTTCGGCTTGGCTACGGATTTGGGCCGCGCAGGCTCGTCGTCGGGGATGGTAACGGCCTCTTGCCATACATTTCGTACTGCGTAGAATGCTGCATCTGTAACATCGTGTAAGGCGCCGTTGAAGGTCAAAGTGTTCTCAAAAATGAGTTGCAGGTCCTTTTGCACGTCACCAAACGTAGTGTAAATGCTGTTGGGGTCGCGGAGGCCTCGGTCAATCTCAGCCAGGTCCATGGGATTCTCAATCCTTGCCAAGTAAGACTCTCCCAGTGCCGGCCACAGCTTCGGGACGGAATCCCGGAAGTGACCACCATGTTTGGTCTTCTTTACTCTGCCGATAATCTTTCGAATTTCGCGACGCTGGAAGGGCGAAATTTTCTTTTCACGGACTCCTGAGTCACCCCACTTTTGCAGAGAAGCAAGGCGTCCCAGACCACGATCGCTACCAGGTCCGGGCGTACCAGCGTTCTCACTTTTGGGTGTCGCCGTGATGACTGCACCTTCATCCTTTGGCTCAGTCTTTGCTCGCTTGGCAAGCGGCTCATCATCCTCTTCCTCCTCTCGTTCCCGAGCAACTTTTGAGCCGAGGGCGTCGGTCATGGACACTTCGATGGAGGAGTTAATAGGGGATTTGGAGTCAATGGCCAATTGAGAGATACCTGATGAGCCGACATCAACATCTGATGAAGGCGGTGCCTCCTGCGTCTCTTCAACTTTGGGCTTGGCGGGCTCTTCGGCGGGCTTATCATCGGTCATGATGGTGTCGGCATCAGCGTCGACGTCAGCTTCGGCATCGGCATCGGCATCGGCATCGATGTCTGCACCAGCATCGGCAGCAGCTGGGGGTTTAGAATCATCAGAAGCCTTCTTCTCGGTGCTTTCTTCAGGAGCAGATTCCTTAGAACTCGTAGGCGCAGCAGCATCTTCATTGGCATCTGTCATTTGTACATCAGAATTATCTTGCGCCGACGCAGCTTTTGGCTCTTCTTTCTGCGCTGCTGGTTCTTCAGAGGCCTTTTCTTCCTCCTTGGCATTGTCAGCTGGTTTATCTTGGCTAGTTTCGGGCTTTGCAGCCGCCGCAGGCGTTGCGTCGCGTGGCGCGTCCTTGTTCTCTAGCTTGTCGCCCTCTCCATTGACAGCAGCCACGCCGTTGGGAGTGGCGGCATCAGCGGGTGTCGATTTGCCATTGACAAGGGCCTCGTCAGGCTTGTCCGATGAGGGCTTGTTCTCAGGTTCTGATTTCGGCTCAGTTTCAGATTCGGTCGGGGCGTCCTTGGTTGGCTCCGAGGCGGGCGGTGCATGACTAGACAGAAACAGACAAGGCTCATGTCAGCACTACAGGCGCATCTTGATGCGAGAGAGGCAACGATCAAAAACATCTACAGAGCACTGCGCCAATAAGCTCACAGCGCGAAAATGCACTCACCCGTTGACATCGGCAGTCTTTACCTTGTCAGGCAAGGACGGCGAGTCGCGCGCCGCAGGGTCCACGGTCGGTGTATCCGTAGTCGGCGACGCCATGGCTGCGGTTGACGATGCGAGAGGCTGCAGAGAAAAGCGTGCGCCAGAGAGTCGGGTGAATGATGCGGAAGATGGTGAATTTAGCAGAGATGGCGCGACATCAAACTCGGCAAGGGCGAGAGCCCTGCGAAATCAAGCAGTATCGATAGCAACAATGGAAGCACAAAGCTTCGGGGTTGCGACAGGCGCAGAGGGCTGGAGTTGAGAGCTGCTGTAGTGATGATTAAACAGGGCGTAGAGAGAAAGGTCGTGAAAGAAGTGAAATTAATGCTATGGTGAGGGAAGCGTGGAGTGATGCGCCCACACAGACAGCAGAAGCTATTCAATGGTGGGAGGCGCGGCTGCAGCACAGACACGAGCGAGTCTGAATAGAGAGGTGCGGATGCGCGCGCAACGCGGAAGCGTCAGTGCACCGCAAGCAGCTTCCCAAAGTGACGGGATTGTGACAATGCAATGCAATGCAGTGCCTGGCGACGAGCAAGAGGGCCCGATGCGATGCGATGCGATGCGATGCGATTTGATGCGATGCAGCAGACGATGGCGCTGGGCTCGGATGCGCAGCGGTTGGCGAGAAAGCGGCTAGTGACGAAAGCGGGCGGAATGCCTTTCGTCACGATGGCAAGGAAGCTCCCCCAAAAAAAGGTGGGCGGAATATTTTTTGGAGAGAGAGAATGCGAAAGGGCGATGGTTGGTCGGAATGCGGAACAAGTACCGTGGACCTCTTGCGACGGGCTAAAGGTCGGCAAAGGCTGAGGCGCAGGCCGTGGTTGGCTGGACAGGGCGCGAGGCGAGGCGGCGATGCGGCAGGTACTTGCAGGAGGGGGATTATCTATTTTCCTTGCGGCGTCGCGGCGAGGAGGGGGAGGGGAGGGCCTTTGCGAGGAAAAGCGCGTGCACGTCAGTGAGGTTTTGCCGGTCGGAGGCGCGGTGGTATTTATGAGAGAGGAAGGCCGCCGGCGCGGCGGGCTTGATTTGAAGCTACCGGGGCGGCGGGTGGATTATTGCGTAAGCGGGGCCATCACTGTAAGGGACACTGTGGCTGGTGGCTGGGCCTGCAGCTGCGGTGATTGGCTGCAGCGCGGCCAAGTTCAATGCGCCACTCCCACGTCTGGCTGGGGCCACATTGCGGCGCTCGCAACTCGCTTGCAAAACAAAGGAACAAGAGGCCAAAGAGGCTACCGTTTATTATCGCGACTGCACATAAGCAAGACTGCATTGGAACTGACCGCGTCTTTGCCCATGTCCCTGCTTTCAGCTTTCTCTCGCTCTGTACGTGCACGTTGTACAGATACGAGTAGGCAGCTGTGCCCAACTGACTAATACAGAGTCGGTGGCTAGAAGGGATGGCTGCCTGCATGTATGTAAAGACCCGGTGGTGATACATGGTATAACTCGACTAGAGTAGGAATACCGTGACTGGTTCACAGGCGCAGAGACAAAGACGATCCATTGGGTCTGGCTGGTGGGTTCGCCTGAAATAGGAGGCTTGTCGTGTCTCTGAATCCCCCACTCCCTCCCATCCAACCCGTGTTTCTTCCTACCCGGCAATAAACAGAGCGTTGATTGTATTTGGTTGTGGGAGGTGGGATGGCCTAGGATGGTGAGAAGAAATCAGCATTGTAAATCCATTGAAGTACTCGGCATGTTAAAAGACATGGTCAATGCATTTTTGCCGCAATATTACAGCGAGTATGAATGCAGAACCGTGTCAGCTGTATCTCAAATAAAGGTCTGTAGCCAGTTTGGATGACATCGTGATCCACGCGTCGCCGATAACAAAAAAAAGCTGGAGACGCGCCAGGAAAATTCTTTTATCGAGTCTACACCCGTCCGTATGCAATAAGCTTGGGCTCCGCACCCGAAAAAGAAGAAGAAAGAACAAAATCACTACAGCTGTGGCGGGTGTAGAGCTGCGGCTCCATCTCTAAGCCTAATCGGGCGATCCACACCAGAAGCAAACAGCGCAATTTGGAACGGCTCTGGGTCTTGTACATATGTACTCTGTACCTGGGAATAAAAACAGCCGGCCAATCAACAGCCGCAGGCGGAGGTACACATTTCAGAGTCTGGTTAGGCGCAAGCAACAACCTTAGTTTCTCTTGCAGGGATCGCGACGCTAGCCAACCGACAGCTCCAGCCTTTTGCTGCGCTGGTCCTCAGTGACGGCGGGAAAATCTCGGAGAAGCGGCAATCGCGTCGCTCCAAGAGCACGTGCGCAGAGCAAAGAGCATCTGACTTGTCACGTGCATATCGATAAGCAACAATTGTCTTATGTCATCCTTTTTTTTCCCTTCTTAGAGCCAATGCAGGTGTGGGGAAAGTCGAAACAACCACGCTAGACTCGGCCAGTCCAAAAAAAAAAAAGTTCACTTACCAAGACTGAGCAGCGACCCGTGAAATTTTCCAATCTGCTCGGCGGTTGAGGGAGAACAAGAAAGACTATTCAATCCTTTCTTCACATCCTTTTCCCTTCAATTTCCATTCCTTCTTCTCGCTCCAACAGCAACAAACAACCCGTAGCCGGGCTCTCTTTCTGTCACTATCAAGCGGACAGAAGAGAGGATAGAAAATCATAGCCTATGGTGCAAGGCTTCTCACTTCCAAATCTCTACGACGTCGCCAGTCAGAACCTTTCGTTTCTTCTCCCGATGTCGACCCCAAAGAGAAAGGCCGCGGCCAAGCTGGCGACCCCGGTCGTCAAGCCCGATGCCAGGAGAGCAACCAAGAACACAATTGACGAGTCCAGAACAACAGTCGCTGGCACCGATGCCCTGCAGAGCTCGCAGGCCGACCCCATAGAGATCTCGGATGATGCTGACAGCGATGAGGATCTCTCTGACATGGAGGACGCCAACGAGGAGGCCGGTGCTGGCAAGGGCGCAGAGACACAGTCGTTGGCCAATGGGCCGCAGAACCCTAAAAAAGACGACGCAGACGATGGCGAGTCTGATGCTGAGGGCACATCCCCCTCCTTTGGCGAGCTGCTGCGCGGCAACGAGATCATCGACGTCAATGCCCTGCTCCAGCAGTCTGCCGCAGACAGCATTGCCGCCGTCGAGTCGTCGCGAAGCGCCATCGCCCCTCCCACCCACCAGTCCCTCACCACCGTCCTCACCCAGGCCCTGAAAAGCGACGACACAGACCTCCTCGAGTCATGCCTGCACACGACTGACATCCCCACCATCCAAAACACAATCGAGCGCATCGACAGCTCCCTCGCCGGCGTCCTGCTCAACAAGCTCGCCGCCCGGCTGCACAGACGGCCTGGCCGAGCCGGCACCCTCATGACGTGGGTGCAGTGGACGCTGGTTGCCCACGGCGGAGCCCTGGCCGCCCAGCCCAAGCTCCTCCATGATCTCAACAGCCTGCAAAAGGTGCTTGCCGAGAGAGCAAAGGGTCTCAACAGCCTGCTCGCCCTCAAGGGCAAGCTGGATATCCTCGAGGGTCAGATGGAGCTGCGGAGGAAGATGCAGCGAAGCGCCGGCCTGCTTCAGGACGGCGAGGACGATGCCGACGAGGAAGACGTCATCTACGTCGAAGGCGAGGAGAACGACGCTGAAAAGGACGCCGCTGCCAATGGCTCTCGCTCCCGGAGAAGAGGTGGCGCTTCCAAGGCCGCCCGCGATGATGACGAGGAAGAAGACGACGACGACCGTGTCTTGAACGGCTTCATCGGCGACTCTGAAGACGAGGAGGAAGGCTCCGAGCAGGGCGAGGACGAGAGCGACGCCGGCGAAGAGCCCCTGGACGAGGATGAAGTGGACTTTGACGATGTTGATGAGTCTATGGGTGAGGATGACGAGAGCGATGTGGAGGTTGCGCCGCCAACAAAGATGCAGAAGGTGACACGGTCGTTTGGCAAGAAGAAATAAAAGCGTGTGTTTGAGAGAGAACAAGGCACTTTGGTGCGTGTATGTATGCATGCATGTATGTATGTATGTGTTGTTGTATTGTGTGTACTGTTGTGCAAAAGAAAAATTGGAGGAGGGAAAGGAAAAAAGAAGTGCTGCAAAGGAGGCATAGCATTATAGGTCTTCACAGTATTGGGCGTTTGGATCTTACTTTTTAATATGTTGTCAAAAGAGTAGACATGATCTTTGTTCTATTTTTTTTTTTCTTAATCTCGATTTCAATCATGTAGAATTGATCTTGTGATGAATATATATATAAATATATGTATATGTATAGTGCTCTCTGTCTACAAAATTAAGGGCATAGAGTGTCGTAAAGTGTCGTCTTCTCACCAAAAAGGAAGATGTAAGAGAGCGCGCAAGACACAAACACTTCAATTCACCAGTAATAGTAAATCAACAATTCCTCATTTGCTATCCACTATAAAACCCAACATTGCGAGGTAAAAAGACCATTCTTCTCTTACAAGTTGATTTTATAGCAATGTCCGTTATAAAATCACATCTCCTTTTTTTTTTCTCCTTTTTATAAGAAAATTGTAAAAAAAAAAAAAAAAAAAAAAATCCCGTCGCTCAAAAAGTCATTTATTCGCTCGCTCGCTCTCTTTCTCTTTGCAGATATTTTTGGTTCGCCATACGTAAATACTATAATAAGATGAAAAAAAAAAAAAAAACAAAAGACATAAATCTGCTGACATTCCTCCTTATCTCTTAGGAGCAGCTACATATATAAAAAAGAAAACATGCCCATGTACGCCAATCCACCCATCGCCATGCATAAATAATAAGGAATGTAGACACTAGCGAGCCAGAAGAAAACAGGAAAGAAAGAAACTCGTGTATCTATGGCCATAGAAATAAAAAGGGAATAAGCCATTAAAATGTCGTATGATAGTGGTGCGAGTAAGAAGTAGCAGCTTGCTGTTTGCTCCAAAAACGGACTGCTGCAGCATAATATGTCAATAAAAGCACGCCAAAAAAATTGTTTCTTTCGCTCGCTCGTCTTGAGAAATGCCACATTGCAAAAGTGCTAAGGATAAAACAAAACTGGCAATGAGAAGCGAGAGAAGAAAAAAAAAAGGGAAGCCAAGGCAGACTCATGTGAGGCAAAATCACACGGCAGTACAATAGAGAGAGCCGTTTAGATGGCCCAACTGCCTCTCCTCTCGCGCACACCCCAGGCCAATGGGTCGAGATTGTCCAGATCTGGGTGCTGTCTCGCCCACTCGGTAATGTAGGATCGTAGCGCCACCCATCTCGGGCATCTCTCCTCCTCAGGGGCGGACTCGTCCACCCTCACCTCCACCATGTGGCCCTTGGCCATTTGCTTCGCGTCGTCCCTTCGCAGCTGATCGATGCCGATATGGCTGATTCGAGAGAGCTCTTCATCAAAGCCGCGCGCCATGGCGGGATAGCCTAGCGACAGGTAGTTGTACACTTGCGTGACAAAGCCCCCGTCAAACTCTTGCAAGATCTTGTCGTCTCGCTCGGCATTGGCCTTTTCTCTCTGGAGCCGCTCCTTCAGACCGCTCAACTCTTCTGCACCGCCGTTGGCGTGCTGGTGAGTTGCGCCGCCCCAAAGACCGCCGCTATTGCTCGAGGTCAGGCCGGACGACGCATATCCAGAATGCGAGAAGATTGAGACGGGCTCCTCGCTGAGTACGCTGGCGTCGACGACATCATGGCCGGGAAAGTTTGCGGTAATGGGCGTCTCAATCATCTTGGGGTTGTGCAACTCGGGGGGCACGATGAAGCCTCCGGTTGATTCCGACCTGCAGCAGTACCCCCTCCAAAGCCCGGCCTGGCCCGGCAGATCCCGAGCTTGGTCCTCAATCATGTGCGCCTCAAGGGGGTCTTCGGGCTCGAGCGTGGTGAACTTGGGAGAGGGGCATCGTCGAAAGACGAGGTCCTTGCCGAGCATAGGAGGGGAGGGGCCCTGGCGCAACTTAAGAAGCTTAGGGTCCTGATCGGGCGGAAGTCGGAAAGCGCCAAACGGCCTGCCGAAGGGACTGGCACTGGGTTCCTGGCGGCCGGGGACCTGCTGAGAAACGGGAGGGTGGGGCTCGCCCGGCGCGCCTTGGCCATGGGCTGGAGGAACCGCCTGAGCGGATGAGGTTTGCGCTTGGGCTGCATGGCGATTGGCCTCTGCCAGCGCCAGCTGCATCTCAGCCGCCGAATCTCGCCGGTCATCGGTAGGCGAGAGTGGCTTGGTGGTTGTCCACATGAGATCGGGAGGGGACGGCAGCTCCATCTTGTCCAGATCAGAGTCAGACCGGATGATGGGGCTGTCTGCTGCAGCAGCGACAGGAGCAGCAGCAGCAGCCTTATCCTTATCCTCCTCCTCCTCCATGACGACAGCCTCTTCATTGTCCACATCCATCCGATCTCCTCCTCGCTCCTGCTCCAGGCGCAGCGCATGCTCCTGCATATGCTTGTGCCACCAATTCAGCCCTAGGTTCGACGATTTACGCCTGAGCCTATGCTGGCCGGCGTCCTCATCCGGGGGAGAGGCTTCGGGAGAGTTCTCGCTGTCAGATGAGCCCTCCCGAAAGTAGAAATGGGCCACGCCACCTTCGCGGGGGCGGCTGTTGGGGAAAGCTGCAAGGGCGACCTCTTCTATCTGCCGCGCGACTTCTTTTGCTGCCAGCTCCAAGAGATATTCCTGGACTCCCTCTTCCTCTGTCTCCCGCCGCGTGGGCGGCGATGGGCGTTTTTGGACATGGCGCTGAATTTCTTCCTCGCCACCGGCGTGTCCCTGTTGTCTTCGATTTGATTTCGATTTCGCAGAATAAATGTGGTTTGTATAGGGTGTAATGTCTGTCTTGTCCGCAGGCTTGGTGGCGGGCCCTTGTTCGCCAACTCTTCTTGACCGTCTGGACGTCTCAATCAGCTGAGGGGCAAAGCGCCGCCTCTCATGCGGCTCGCTGTTGTCCTGCGCCGCTCCGAGATTGAATTGCGCCTCGGGAGATCGCGGTGATGGCTCCGGGGTCAACTCTGGATTGGGCCCTATCCTGTGCTGCGACGTGTAGTCGTAGACGTTCTTACGATAAGACTGAAACGACGTTTCGATCGGAACAGGGACGAAGCGCCGCCGCGGCGGATCCGGGTTGGACATGTTGATGTCCATGGCTGCAGGTGGGTGGGCGATCTGCGCTGGCGGGGGAGGATTTGAGTGAATAACCGGTTGACAGATGACCGGCTATGAATGGTATAATGTCGCTCTGTGCGTTGGGATGGGTGGGATCAGGTTCAGGAGCCTTGCTGGAAGGTCCAGGAGAAGAGAAGAGCGACGTTAAGAGGAGGACATGCCCTCGGGGACGCTTTTGTCGGTCGAGGCGGTATAGACGTGGTCGCACGGGTCGTCTCCGTGCTTCGTGCTTCGTGTGCGGTATGTGGTATCGTCTGTGTACTGTATGCAAGCACGAAGCAAGCATGCACAAGGTCTAGGTAAGGGTATTGGCGCTGGCTGGCTGGCTGTATGCTTTGTTGGCGGGGCAAAAGCGGCTCTCTCGCTGGCTCTCTCTCTCTTTTTTTTTTGTCTCTTCGTGTATGTATGGGTTGTACTTGTACCGTACGAGCTGAGTATGAGTACTCCGGTACTTGTATATTCTCTGCGATTCTAGACGTCCGGTTCGAGCAGGGATGGCGACGCAGATGCAAATGCTTGACCCAGGGCCTTTTGCTTCTTGGGGACTTCCCCGGAGGAGTTCGTGCCTTGCTGAGCGGCAAAGACGGACGGCGGAATGGAGCCTCTGTGCCTGTTGCGCTGCCCTCTAACCTGTCGACCCGAGCAAGTCAGAGGAGGCGATGCGGGGATGCTGCGGATAGCATGGAGTTGGTGCTGCGGCGCCGCAGTCACCGGCCCTCACGATTTGATGGCTGAAGAGTTGGAGATGGAGATGGCCGGGGCGGTGGACGGGCCAAGTGCCCGCACAGTAGGCTGTTAGGTAATGGGGAGAGTGTGCACGGTCTCAGGTGACAGACGCTGTAGGGGACGGGGCGCTAGGGGATGCGTTAGGGGAGGCGTTAGGGACCCATAGGGGGGTTGGAGGCCAGTTAGGGGGGCTAGCATCGGTAGTTTAGGCGCTGTGCTCCCCCTGAGTTGGCAGGTCCAGTACATACATGGGCAGGTTAGTACCTTAGTACTAAGGCATTGGACAATTTACACGACCATTGACGGACTGAAGTGGTGCCCAATCTCGGTCACCACAGCAAGCGATCAGTCAATGATATTGGGCAATTAATTAATTAATTAATTAATTATAGCAGCTCACAAAGGCCGATTAGCAATTCCAACGTAAGAAACTCTAAACAATGCAAGAGCACGCGCACGTGCAACGAGCCACTTGCGCGTACATGTACAGTAAGATTCTGCCATGGTGCAAGTCAGGTCTACAGTCTGTGTCCAACCCATTGTGCACGGTGCCGGTACCTGAAAGGAGAAAGCAGCCTACACACCAAGAAAATCTCCAATGCCCCTCCTTCTCTTCTCGTCGTCGTCCTCACCGGTTTTTACGCCCCTCAGATCCTTGCGCCATGGGTGATCATGAGGAGGCTAGTCCGTCGAGAAAATTCTTCCCCCGCATGGCTATAGACGGGCCACCACGTTGTTTGCTGCATCTGTTGGTGTTAGGTAATGCCGGGCGTGAGCTGACAGAGATGGGGAGCATCAGCATCGTGCATTGCCTCGCTAGTCTAAGCTGTAAGCCGAGGCCTCTGGATGCGTCAATCACCACCACTTTGTCCACTAGCATTGCTAATAGCACGTCAATAGTAGCTTTGAGCCCTTTGGCACCTTGACATGACAGACAGCATGTATGTACATGTGAATCAAGATAAGGATAATCCCGCAATCAGCCGCCAACGCCGCCTCCCTTTGCTCCGCAGACAGACAGACGAAGGTAAAAATTTCGTTATCAAAACCATCGATGCATCCTCGCCGTTTGCGTTCTAGAAGGGCTCAATCAGCCCTCCCTCGCCAGGCCCCTTGTTTGTGCCGCTCAAAAAGTGCTGGGGCTCACGGACTCTATCCGGCTGTCATGCCCGCCCTTTCACGATACTTCACCGACACTTTGCGCTTTTCTTTGTCTACTTCGTGACACTTGCTGTACAGCATTCCTCTCTTCTCTTCTCTTCTCTTCTTCTCTCTTGTTTAACCCTTTCCGGCAATCTTATGCCGACGGGCGGCGGGTCGAGGGACCATATCCAGCACTGCAGGATGCATAAAGTGCGCATGTGCTCCCGTAGGACTTGATTTGCTTGTACCGCGCATGCACCTACATAAACCATAAAACAGCAGACCACCATTGCTTGATTTCGTGATAAGCGCGATATTAACTCGACACATCGCGAGCACGTTATTGGAGCCAACGACCTGTCATGCATCCGATGACGGAGTATCGGTTATCTAATAGCATAGCCGTCTGTGTGAATATTGCGCGTAGATACTGTACAGCTAGTACAATGCTTTATACTGGGAATAGAAGTCGAGGGCTCCTAGACAGCTTTAGCACCACGTCTAAAGATGGCCACGAGGTGTGCTAAAGCTGCTAAATCCAGGGGGAAAAAACGTCAAGTGAGCTGCGCCACGGGGGGGCTGGAGCCGGGTCTAAAATCGCCACAGCAAGCCAGTGACAAAGTGGCTTCTTTTTGTACGAGAATTTTGCAGATCCGAGATTTCGCCCTCCGTATATTGTGGAGTTTTGGAACTGAGCTACTGCGTTTGTCTCGGGTGTCCAAGATTTCGCTTAGACACACCAGCTTTGGCCTCTACCAAGTGCCGAGCGCGCTTTTTCGTAGATACGGGATGTTGCTCCGTGTGGATTGGGGACTCGCCAGTCGACGCTGCTCCATCAATGACATTCCAGGCCCTTTCATTCTGTCGACATACTTGCGCACAGTACTCCGTACCTGTTTATTATTACTGCAACTCGTACTATTACACGCTATTAATTGTGGGCAATGTTTCTATTTTCTGCTTGATCCTATTTTTACTAAAATTGAATCTGCTGTCAGACAGCCTTTTTAATTTCTTGCCCTGAAGCCGCTTTCCTCTCTTGAGTACCCGAGCCGGATCCGGCTCGGGTAGTTATTTTAGGGAAAAAAGGGCTTCTGGCATGTGCAAGGACGAAAGTATTCAGTATCAGTCAGCATTATCAGTAACATTATCAGTAGCATTCCGTAAACATGCCTGTGGCTCCTGGGCAATTGAGGATCCGCGCTCTGCAAGGCGAAATAGACGGCTGGCTCTCGCTTCGAGACGCTGTGGCCACTCGGCCGAGCGAGGTATATGTGTTTGGGACTTGGAGCTTGGAGCTTGGAGCACATATGAAATACTACCTTAGTAGTAGATCCTGTGGTCTGTGCTTGGTGGTTTTAACTGCCACGCCTTAACGGTTGATTTTGGTGATTAGCTCATGGTGACATTCCATCTTCACTTGGTTACTCCAAAATGCCAAGCAGTCCTTGTTTCTCCGCAAAATATCTGTAGGGCGAATACAACTTGTGCCTTGTCCGATTCAATGAAACAATGCCATCTAGCTCACCGCCATTGGGGAATAGGACAATCACGAGGAGCTTGGCCGCCTCTTGGCAACTGGAGGTAATGCAGGCACGGAATGCAGAGCCCACTGAGATGCAGCCACAGGTGGACTTGGCAACAAAGGCATCATGATGAGTGGCCTTGTTTCAGAAGTTGATGCACGAGTTTGTGTACATGTATATGTACATGTACACATGCATGCGCCTACCCTGGAGCTGAGACTGCCAGATGAATTTTGAAGCTGGTTACATGGCCATGCATGAGGTTGGGAGCAGGTTTAAGATAAATAATTACGAACAATGTTTGTATCCTACGCTCTTAAAGGTGAAGCGTATTGTATGGACTGCTATCAGCTCCAACTGCCGAGTCTGGCTCTGTGAAGCTTTTCAATGTATGCAATAGCGTCAACCAGAATAGGAAAAATGTCACGGAATTTCTTCGTCGGTGATTGTCCCCTGGCAAGATCATGCCGAGACAAATAAAGTTTAAGGGGCCCATTGCGACGTGCCACAGGAATTCATGGCAGGTTGCGCTGTATCGACCGGCGATGGGCCCGTTACGCAGAGAGGAGGCTGACGAAAGATTAGTACGACTTACAAGAGTGATCCGGCGGCCAATGGCTCCTGTTATTGAAGTAAGTACTTTCCAATTACACGGACTGATACTAGTGCAAGCGTATGAAGCAAGATGCTGAGCGTTGCTTAATATAGGTGTTTATTATACAACGAGTATTGGTGCTATCGTGTAAGGTGCATGCGTGTAATACATGGCATCTGCACTCCGTCATACGGCCTGTGCTATGCTGAGCTTGGAGCTTTTTGAACGGAGCATTTCAACCGGCCCATTGAAGCCAGTTCCATTCATTTCCTTATAATCTGTAGCTTGAAGTGAATAGCAAAAAAAAAAAGGTGAAAGCTGTTGGAGGTTGAAGTGCATGGAGGCATTCCTGAGTTTCACCCATGTCTATGACAAGAAGAATCATCCAGGCACGCTGACTCAAATACACGTATCGGGCAGCTTTTTGCTCCCTTGCAGCAGATGTGGAAAACAAGTTGGTGGCTTGCCTGGCTGGCTGCCTGTTTTGTCTGCTTCTTCCATTCTTTCTTCTCCATCTCGCGGATGGCTTGCAGGACGACGGCCCAAAATGGATACGCGCGATCGTAAGTCTCACCAGCAAAAGATACATCTCATACTTACCGAACTTTCCCCGCGGCTCTCTCTTCTTGTTATTATTGTAACGTCCATTCATTCATTTCATTTCAGTTCCTTTCCTGCTTCGCCTTTGTCTTACTTTCCAGCTTCTTACCGTAGCATCCGTAGTCAGCACTGGCTCTGCTCGTAGTGTGTCGGACGTAGTGGTGGCATACACACCAGCCAATCGGGCTGCTGCCCCCTATGCGAGCCGGTCCCTCTCTTTTTTCTCCTGGGAACCCCTGCAGCGTGCGTCCCGGGCAAAACTTGGAAGAAAGAGGAAAAAAAAAAAAAAGGGAAAAGGATGGTCCAGAATGGCTTGAGTGGCTGCAGGGGTAGTCCCTGTGCGGCTTTGCTGCGAGGGACCTGCAATTTGTACGGTGATTGGGTCTTCCGAGTGGACGGCGCGCGGAATGCTGGTGGGCACAGAGAAGCTGGGCTGACGCTAAAATAGAGGGCGAGAGAGAGAGAGAGAGACATGGCTTGGGATAGTAACACTATAGGTCCATGCCGTTTCTTTTTGAGTGGGAATAGACACAGAGAGGGAGAGAGAGACGACAGAGAAAGCCGAGAAGAAGAGAGTTCGCATTACATCACGTTGGTTTGCGTCGTGCAGTCATCTCGGCTGCTGGGAAATTTGTGCCATGCATCTTATATGCCGTGGTGGCACAAGCAGGACGCACGCCTCGAGTTGGTGGCGCGCGAGAACCCGGCTCATGCATCCGGTGAAGCTGCGCGTGTGCAGAGTGTGACACTCACCAAAGAGCCTCCTCAGCTGGGTTGGCATGAACAAGGGTGAGGACAGCAGCAGCAGCAGCTCGGCAGAGTCAGCAGATTTGCGGTAGCATCATGGTATTATGCTGCTATCCACAGCTGGAACAAGCTGGAGACACTCCTTTTGAACACCAAGGCAGCTGGCTGGATGCCGCTTTTTTGGTATACTTGCACACATGGTGAAGCTGCTAAGCATGCAGGACTGCAGCACCGGTCTTATCAAATGCCGCTGAAAGGTGCAGATTGGCTGTGCACCACTTTGATAGGCGGCACAAAAGCCCCGGGTCCTTGCATGGGGCATCCCGAGAGAGCAAGCTGGCAAACAGCAAGCAGGCAAGGATCGGCGGTCCAGGGGCGTGGGAAGCAGAGGAATCAGAATCTCGATCGCATCAGTATGACATAGAGCCAAGGCTTGACAGAGCAGAATAGCGGCATTAACGGGAGATGGAGTTAAATATGGGAACAGGAGGAGTAGGAGAAAAAATGAATCAAGAAAAAAAAAAAAGAAAACAAAGAAAGAATCCACCTCATTTCACTTCATCTGGCTGAAACGAGCCTTTCCCACGCAGAGTTTTGGAGGGCCCAAATAGCAACATGAAGCCACCACACAACTGCAAGCACTAAAAAAACAAGGTTTCCAGCTGATCTGCCCAGCGCCAGTGCCCTCGCAGCGCGCATTCAGCCTGTAGCAATCGCTACCTACTGTATAAGCTCAGCGCAGGGATTCACCGGGATTCAGACCAAGAGCAAAAACCTCCTGGGCCTCAGTTCCGGTCGCAGGTCCTGTCAAGTGGAGGTGCTGCGCTGTTCTCGACTTGGTGCGACGGGGGGCGTTTGTTTATTAACCAACATACATACAGATGGATGGATGGAGAGCGACGAGAGAAGAGAAAGAAGCTTGGATGCGAATAGAGAGAAGAGCGAATAGAACACAATCTAGTCTAGGTACTCCTTTTTCTTCCTCTCTCCCTCATCACTCACTCTTTGCCTGCGATACACGCAATTTACGCTGGCATTCCTTTTCCTTTGATGCCAACCACCACAGCACGCATCCATTCATTAGTCCCTGCATTGGAGAGAGATAACAACTGCCTCTATGCCACGCTGCTCTATCTCCAGCATCGCCATCACCACTAGCATCGTCAGCATCCAGATCCTACTCGCCATTAGCGCCGCTGGCTGGGCTCTTGATCCGCTACCAGCACTACGAAAAAACGAGGCACACGAGTCCACATACCACTGTCCGTAACAAAAAAAAAACAACGTTGGAACGGGCCACGCCGCTTCGGCCGCTATTTGCATCTTGCCGAGCCTAAGACCAAAGTTCTCCAAACTCTCTTTTTTTTTTTCCCTTCCAAGTCGGCAGTTTTTTTTTCTTTATTCATTCATTTTCATTTTGCTTTGGGCCTTTAATCCACCAGCCCAGTAAAGTAACTCCCGAGGGTGGAAATTGTTGTTTTGCTGGCTTGGAGGATAAGATTGTTTCTGGGCTCTACTCGGCTACATGCTTTTTGCCTGCCTTGGAATTCCATCTCTCTCTTTTCCTTCCCTGGATTGACAACAAACAACACACATATTACGGCCCTTCGCCTGCATCAAAGATAACAGAAGCGACGCATTGGCGCTAATACGCTGATACTGCGACTACCGGCTCAATCTAAGCTGTCACGAGCCTCCGCTTTTTCGCCTCTGGACCCTGGCCGCGCAGCTGCGGCGTCGTTCATGTCTCGGCCATCACGCGCGCACCCAATTGAGCGCCAGACAAGGCCTTCTGCGGTATCGACTACGGCCCAGCTCGCCCACCTGACCTGACCATCCCGAATAGAGATTACAGACGCCAGACGGGGGAAACAAACAGGCAGATACCGTATCTGGAGGGACGGGCATTCGTTGCGGGTTGATATTGGGCTAGCTAATACGAGGTCGCATTTCCCTTGGAGGCTTTTCCCTCCTCTCTCTTGTTCTTGTCGCCATGCCAGGAGCTGCTGCAGACGCTGCAGACGCTGGCGCGGATGCTGAAGCTGCACCAGCACCAGCACCAGCATCAGTTGAGGGCAGAGGCATTGTGGACGGCCACAGCGGTAACACGAGCAATAGTAATGACGAGAGCCCTGACGCCGACGGCAGCAGCAGCACAGGCACCACCATAAGAGAAGCGCCAGTATCAGAACCAGTACCAGTACAAGCAATAGCACAGGGACAAGCACAAGCACCAGCACCGGCGCAAGCAGCATCAGTGCCGGCATCTGCACCGGCTGCAGCACCTCTTTCGCCACTCTCGACGTCGTCGACGGCAACGAGTCCCGCGTCGCCGACGTTCCTTTCCGTCGCCGGCCGAGTCAGCACGCCTCTGAGCCTGTTTGTGGACTCTGCGCCCAGCAGCGGCGGCAAGCAGGGCAAGAAGCTGCCTACGACATCGTCTCCAACATCTCCCAGTTCTGAGTCTGCTGCAGCAATTCGGCAGCGCTATCTGGCCATGTCGTCGCCCACAGCCGCTTCTGCCATTGCGCCTCGCGCAGCCGGCCAAGAGTCACGGCTGTCAATCGCAGGAACCGCAGCGGCAGAGGCAACAGAGAGGATGCGACGGGGGCTGCGGGTGGACGAGGCAGAAACCGAGGCAGAGGTGGGAGAGGAAGAAGAAGAAGAAGTAGACGAGGCGGGCTGGAAAGAAAAAAGCACGGGCACAGGCACAGCAGGGCCGCCGCTGCCGTGGTCCCCCAGCGCAAATCACGGCGGCAGCAGCAGCTATTCCAATAATGCTTCTTCTTCTTCTTCAGCTGCTGCTGCTGCTGCTCCTGTTTCTCTTAATAGAAGCAGCAATAATAAGCATGACACCTCCAGAGGCATCATTTCCGCGCCCCTGCCCCAGAGCCCCGACGACGCACGCGCCACGCCCGGCCGACACGAGCGCCCCTCAAATTATGGCCGGGATTCGGATATTGCCAGCGCTGCAATTAGCACCACCGTCTGGTCCCCTGCATCTGCATCGTCGTCCTCACAGCCAGGCCTGCTGCGCCGCTCGCCTGCCGAAGATCCTCCATTGCATACGGGCAGCGTGCAGCCGGGCACCAAGCTGGCCCATCCAAAGCCCATCCTGCACATTGCAACCGACGCCGAGGCCAGAAACCACCACCACTCGGATCTGCTCACGCGATCTGCGTCCACCATCAGCAACGTCGCCCATCTCGAGGCCACCGCCGAGCGCCTGTCCATGACCAGCTCCATCGACGATGCCATCCGCGAACTGCACGGCGAACTGAAACGAAGCGACAGCAGACGATCGTCCATCCTCGCCGCCCGCGCAGCCTCTGCCGACGAGCACTCGGCCTCCTCACGCCTGCGCCGATACCCGTCCAACGCATCCTCATCCGCCGCCGCCGCCGCCCGCCAAAAGGGCTACTCTCCCGCTGCGTATGTCATGTCGCCCACAAACTCCCTCACCGGCCGCATGCGCTCCGGTTCCAACGCCTCGACAGGCCGGCCGGAGCACGACGCCATCAACTCCATTCTGTCCCGCCACGGCCCGGGCAAGAGCTCCGTCCGAAGCGTGCGCTCGGCCAAGCCCTCGCTGGCTGAGATCTCCGAGTCGGAGCCCATTTCCCTGACCCAACAAGTCCTCGACGAGGCCGAGCACGCCACTGATGCCGATGCCGATACTGATGCTGAAGCTAGCGCCAGGAGAATGATTGAACAAGACGCCGTTGGCGGTCCGCACATGGACGACTTCCAAGAGATGCTGGAAGGAGGCTTCCGGAGCCACAGGGCTTCGAATCTCGTCTTGGTCAACCCAGACCTGCCCCCCGATCACTACGACGAAGCCGACAGGCCCATGACGGCCAACTCCACAAATACTTTCCAGGTGGCCCAGGAGGCCTTTGACGACTTTGACGGCGCTCACTGCGAGACGGATACGGAAGATGAGCGTTTCGCTACGGCCGACATGGGGTCACGCTTGCAGAAGCGAGAGAAGCTGCCGGATATGCCGCTTCATCAACAACAATTGCAACAGCAGGAGCAATACCAGCTCCAGCAGCAGTACCAGGCACCTCCACCAGGCCAGCTGCCCCCTCATCCTCCTGTCGCCCAGGAAGACACTTCCCAACTACGCACCCCTCAGCAACGGTCTTCCGGAGAGTTCGTGAGACCGCAATCCTACTTTGACCCCCAATCCGGCCAGCAGATGCTGTACTACCCAGCTCGTGTTCCGGCCATGCTTAACCTACCCCCTAAGCTATCCAACAAGCCCAAGGCTGCTGATCGAAACCAGCGACGCTCGCAGCTCCTGAGTGCCATGATGCAGCCCAAGGAGAATAAGAGAAAGTCCATCGTCCCCGACTTGGAGCAGATTGCTCTGCCCGACCCTCTGAGTGGGCACCGCAACTCCTTTGCAGCCCTCTCGGTGGCAGACAAGCTGGTCGACGGTGATGACGACACTGCCACTACTCCTACGCCATATTTCGTAGAGGGACCCGTCCCTCAGTCTAGGGATGTATCTGCACCACCCTCTCTAGAGGACCTTCGCCGTCCTCAGCGGCTATCTAAGAATGATGCCGACAAGCGCAAGTCAAACATGGACAAACTGGGCACCCTTCCCCCGCATCTCCGAGCGAGCGTGTTTTTCGAGCAGCCCTCTGAGATCCCCGAGATTGAGGTCAAGGACGGATCGGCCATGGCTACCCTCGATAGCATCCTCGACGCCTCAGCGACCGCTCCCGTCAGTGCCTTTACCGACCATTTGTATGCCGGCAAGCTGGGCAATGAGGTATATGGTCAGGAGAAGAAGAAAGAAAACAAGAAGAAGGCGGCGGCGGCGGCGGCGAAGCACAAGTCACAACAACTTTCTACAAACACTCTTGGTGACGCGTCATCCAAGGGGTCAACCATTAGGTTGCTCACTAAACGAAGCAAGAGCAGCTTGCTTGGAATAGAGGCCAACGAATCTGAAGCTGGCCCTAGTGGAGCTCACGACGACGGCCACGATGGAGCTGACGAAGAAGACGAAGAAGAAGCAAGAAGAGAAGAGGAGGAACCTGAAGAAGGCATCTTTGATGGGATGCCCACCACACTTCTTGGCGAGATTCATCTTCGAAAGCAACGACAAAAGGAGCGAGTGCTCAACCAGGGCAACATGGTGCCCCAACGAATGCGCGCCACTCTCCTGGAGATGGATGCTGTCGCCGAGATGCAGCGGAAGCAGCGCCTCAAGGGCCGCGTGAACCTTGCCTGGGAGGACCAAAATGTCCCTGCAGAGCAGCACCTATCGGATGACGAAGACGTGCCCCTGGCTGTCATTGCCGCAATGCACGACGGTGCCAAGAATGTGCTCGATCTCGAACGTCCTATTGGACTGATGGAGGCTCGCGAGATGGAGGAAAACGAACCCCTGAGCCAGCGCGCCGCTCGTCTGCAGGGCCGAGCCTCTGCTGCCTTTACCGCTGCCAAGCGCCAGAGCAACCTGAGTTTGGGCCCTACGCGCATGGCAGAGGTACAGCCTGCAGCTGGTTCGCCTCGCATCATTACGCCAGACGGAGCTGTTGATGACGATGCGCGCACCACCATCACTGCAACAGCTGCATCTGCATCTGCAGAGCCGCTTGCAGAGGAGATTGAGGAAGAGACTCTTGGAGCCAGAAAGCGACGCCTGGCAGAATCGACACTGCCCAGGGCTCGCCCCGTCAGCAACGCGTTTTCCGCGGAGCTCCTGAGCCAGTTTGGCGATCTCGAAGAACCCAAGGACAAGGAAGGAGACAAATCGCCCAACCCAGAGGACGAGACCCTGGGCCAGCGCCGCCGCCGACTGCAGGCTGAACGCGAGGCTCGCGCAAGGGAGATGAGCTACGGCAACCTGACGGGCGAGCGACTGGCGGCTTATGGTAACCTGACAGGTGAACAGGCCAATAGGCTTTCTCGCCGTGTGAGCATGGCCGATATGCTTTCCGTGCACCAGCTAGCCGAAGATCCTCGCATTGCGGACCAACGACGCCAACAAGAAGAGCAGATGAGAATCGCCGAACAGAACGCCAGGATGGCTGCCATGAGGGCTCAGATGCCCACTGCCCTGGCACTCCCGGGCAACGCTCGCGCGGGAGGCTTCAAGGGAGGATTGTACAATGACGGAACGGGCGGTCTCGGCATCGAGGCGGCGTCCAGATCGACGGTTGCTCTCAATACGCTGCACAGCCGGAGCTTCACCAACACCGGTCCTAGAAATCATCGGGCTACCATGATGATGCCACCTCAAACTGCCTATGGCATGCAGCAGTCGTACAGCACGCTGACTGGCTTTCACGGGGCTGGCATGAACCAGATGGCTAATAATCCGATGTATAGCAACGCTCGCAATTTATACAACTCCAACGGGGTTATTCAGCTGGGCACGGGGATGGCTCTGCCGAATGGCAGCTTGGACCGAGTTGAGAGGTGGCGACAGGGTGTTTTCCCTTAGAGGACACTGATATTACTGTTTGCGAACATCGTATGAAGGAGCATTACTTGGCAAATCGAACCCTTTTTTCCCTTGTCTTTGTTTTTGACTGTTGCTGTCTAGATGTGAGAAAAGGGGGTTGGATATATATACCACCCCTTTGCTTTGCTATTAGCGGCGAGTCATATATAGCCTATATAGCTGCCTCCTTTGGTGGCAGCGTTTCATTTGATTTTGATCCAAACTCGTCTGTTTTTTTTTTCTTTGTTTACTTTGTGGTTGAGGGAGGATTGTGTATTTTTAATACGGGTTAGCATTGCGTGGCGCCTTGGGAAGAAAAATTGGATTATAATTATATTTTACGCTGGGAAGGATGGAGGGGAAGAATGAAGAGCAGACTTTGTTTTTTACTTTTATCTATTTTCTTTAATGTAGATGGGGAGAGGGAGATGTGTTCTTCTTCTTCTTCTTCTTCTTTTCTTTTTGAGAGAGAGTGAATAGAGATGTAGTGTATCAATGCATTTGGATGTTTCTTTCTTACTTTGTTTGACCTAGTGTTTTCTCTTGAATCGAGATGTGTGGCGAGTTGTGATGTATACTGCTTACACGTAGAATATGTAGAAGTTTGGATACTCATTGTGGAGCGGGCTGAGGTTGGGCAAGTGAGGTAGGTGCTTGAAATGGTTGACTGAAAATAGAGGATACTAAGACGGTAATGATGAAGGAAACTGGGCTAATTATTATCTAAGAATGAGTGGGATCTAAGCGACACAAGAGCTGAATAAAAATTCTGCTGGTGATTACTACTTGTAGTATTAAAATCTGGCCTATGTTTCTTCATTTGCATCTCAGTTTGAAGTTGCTTGGTGTTTTGGGCTGACAATCGAGCTACTATGAATTAGTAGATTGAGGGCAGAGAGCCTTTCTCAATGGGATGGAACATATGCACTGCTCAGTAAGATTGTTTATTATTTAGAGACGCTGGTAAGAGAACCTATCGAGGTTGCATTTGCTGCAGTTGCACCATTTGAGCCTCTTTAGTTTCGGGGATTTACATGGTAAACGTCCGATACAAGTGTCCAATAGCTCCCAACAAGCCGTGCTCGGCACCATGGCGCCATTCTAACAGCCACTAGTTTTTGAGCCGGGTACGAGAATGTTGCCAGTTTAGTTCCCCATTGAGCAAGGCTGTGTGGGCTGCAAAAGTCCTCTATAGCGCGTGGAACTATCCGTTTAGTGCCACGCTCTCCACGTTTCTTCACATGGGGATGTGTGTGCATGGAGTAATTTGAATTGCATGATATCAACGCAGCTGCTTTGATTATCATTACTGTTTTTGAGAGCTTTTGAAGAGTATTTCTATTGAGAAGAAATAGTAATAATGCAAGATGATTCAAGTGTTTGAAAGAATCCCAGACTCAACCCTCAACCTGGTGTATAGATGCCCAAACAGGCAACACGAAATTCAAACACCCACTGTGGAGAGCTACACACAAAAATTGGGTGAGCCAGGGGCCCGATTGCGATATCAGTGCTAAAACCACTCCGCTAGACCGCGTCTGGTGAGGGGGGGGGAAAGATAACGAGCTTGGAAGCTTGCTTTGCCATTTTTTTTTTTTAAAAATCACTTACTACGTACCGTTGTAGTAGTAAGACCTTGTTAGTGCCGAGGTGCGCTTACGGGCTTTTGGATGATTTTTTTTCTTTCTTACCTTTTTAACGATGTGGGAGACGAACTCTTCTTTTCTTCCTTTCCATTGAGTTGGATGCAGCAGAAGAATTGTCTCTGTGTGAGACATACAGTCGAAGAGGAGGCACGTGTGTGTAACTAACTGACTTACATGCAGTCAGTAAAGCAGAGCTGAGGATTTTGGGAATATCCTCCCCCCCCTCCTTTCTTAGTCTTGCTTCAATTCAACTACTTTCTTGCAAGGTTCAAGCTGAGGACTGAGAAAGAAGGCTTGAAGCAGTTGTTGAAGACAGACTGCAAAGCAAATTACAGAAGAATAACAAAAGAGTTATCAGCCTTTGCCAGGGTATGACGAGTGGAAACCGAGCATCTGCTTCCAAAGCTTCAACACCACCAAACGCAATGTCGCCACTCATCGATCGATCTGAAGGCGGAGGAGGCAACGGAGGAGGAGGAGGAGGCTACAACACAACACCGTCAAACTACACCTACGGCAAAGACAACTCAGACATCAAAGTCACCGTCACGCCCGACAATGCCATCGACATCGAGCAGCAAGTCTCGTCCCACCTCATGGACGACAACGACCCCGTCAAGGGCCTCGGCGACCTCGACGGCGACCTCGTCACCGCCACCGAAGAGCGCGACCTCAAGCGCGGCCTCAAGGAGCGCCACCTGACCATGCTGGGCATCGCCGGCGCCATCGGCACGGGTCTGTTCCTGGGCCTCGGCAGCGCCGTCCAGACGGGAGGCCCGCTCGGCGCGCTGCTGGGCTACGGCACCGTTGGCTTGGTGGTGAGCGCCGTGCAGTTTGCGCTGGGCGAGGTCTCGGCGCTGCTGCCCGTGACGGGGTCCTTTGTGCGGCACGCCGAGGTGCTGGTCGACCCGGCGCTGGGCTTCGCCGTCGGCTGGAACCTGGTGTACGGCAACCTGCTGTCGATCCCGAGCGAGATCACGGCCATTTGCGTGCTGTTTGCGTACTGGCTGCCGGACCTCAACCCCAGCGTGTGGATCATCCTCTTCATCATCCTGACGGCCGTCGTGGGCTTCTCCGGCATCCGCTGGTTCGGCGAGGTCGAGGCCTTCTTCGCCACGCTCAAGATCCTCATGGTGGTGTTCCTCATCATCTTCGGGCTGGTCATCGACCTCGGCGGCATCCCCGGCGTGAAGCCGACCTACTTCCGCTTCTGGAGGGACCCGGGCCCGTTTGTCGAGTACATCGCCACGGGCAGCTGGGGCAAGTTCCTGGGCTACTGGAGCGTCATGACCGGCGCCGTCTTCTCCTTTGCCGGCGTGGAGTCGCTGGCCATGGCGGGTGCTGAGACGGCGAACCCGCGGAGAGCGATTCCGCGGGCGTGCCGCAACGTCTTCATCCGCATCATCCTCTTCTACATGCTGGCCATTCTGATTGTCGGCATGATTGTCAGCTCCGACGACGACCGGCTCAACGACGCGTCCGGCACCGCGGCGCAGAGCCCCTTTGTCATCGCCGTCTCGGCCGCGGGATACCCCGCCGTGCCGTCCGTCATCAACGCCATCGTCATCACGTCGGCCTGGTCGTCGTCGAACCAGGCGCTGCTGTCCGGCACGCGCGTGCTGTACGGCCTGGCGCTGAAGAGACAGGCGCCGCGGGTGTTTCTGCGCACGACGTCGTGGGGAGTTCCGTACGTGGCCACGGCGCTGTACATTCTCTTCTCGTTCCTGGCGTTTATGAGCCTGAGCAACGGGGCCTTGACGGCGTTTTACTGGCTGATGGACCTGGTGGGCGCGGGCGTCTTGGTGAGCTGGATCTGCATCGTGCTGAACCATGTGCGGCTGCGGATGGCGTTGAAGGTGCAGGGGATTCCGTATACGCGGCTGCCGTGGCACAACAGCTGGACATGTAAGTCATTTTCAAACTGGGCTACGCATATTATGTGATGGTGCGTGCTGACAAGAAATGATTTCCATCAACAGTGTACAGCTCGTCTGCCGCGCTCTTCATGTGCAGCATCATCTTGCTGACCAACGGCTTCTACGTCTTTACAAAAGGCAACTGGAGCGCCAGTGGCTTTGTCTCTGCGTATTTGTAAGTTTTCTCTCTTCTTCTTCTTCTTGTTGAATCTTCCTCCTTTCTTGAGCAGCTAATACTGACAAATGAAAAAGGGACATTCCGCTGGTGTTGGCAGCATACCTGATATGGAAGTTTTACAAAAAGACAAAGATTGTCTCGCTCAAGGAGATTCCTCTCGAAGAGGCGTTAATGCAGGCCGAACTGAAGGATGCGTTGGGTAGTTCTTGATAATTTTTTTTTGTTTTATTTGTTTTCATTTAGATGTGTTGATACCATAACGCGCGTATAAAGAGGAGAGAAAGCCTGACGGTTCAACGCAAAGCGAGAGCGTCATTCAGATATAAATGCTTTCAAACGAATAACATTACTATACAATATATGTCTATATTCCCTCTCGTGACCATTTTTTGGTATCTCGTCTTAGTGTTCTAGTGTATCCATCCAGGCGTTTCAATCGTCATATTGCATCATCTCATCCTCTCCCATCGTCGCCAGCGTATTCTCCAGCACCCGTCGGCATCGCTCCCTATATTCCAAAGCCAGCCGTTGATTCGGCGACAACAGCTCCACATCGTCTCCCACAACCTCCATGTCCGTCTCGTTTAGCCTCTCCAGCTCCTGCAGCACCTTGTGCTGGATAATGGCCACGGTCTGCTCCAGATACTCCTGGCACTCGTCGTTGACATGGCCGGAGAAGAATCTCTCTTGGCGCTGCCTCACTGCCTCCTCCTCCGATGGGAACGTGTTGGAGTTGAGCGGGATGAGCTTGATGAGCGGTATGGACGAGTGCTGAAGGAGCGTCATGAGGATATCCCAGACCATGTCGTGCTGCACGTGCTTGAAGGCCCCGAGGAGTCCAAGCGCCGGAGGGTTGATGAGAAGTGATTGCTTGGAGACGGCGAGCAAGGAAGATGGATCGGTTATAGGCCGTAGGGAGATGAGATACTCCTCGGGCACGCTGCTGCCGGACTGGGGATTTGCAGGTAAAGGGGCCGACGGAGCAGTGCGCTTCCGAACGTGGATATAGTCGTTGTGCAGCTCGTCCGTGACGGGGAGCATGAAGCCGTATCCCAGGAGGAGCTCGGCGTTGGTTTTGGGGCTGTAGTTGTTGAAGATTTGCTGCCCCGGCCTGTGCTCCCGGCCAACCTTGAGCTGGCACGCAGCCCCTGAATTCCGATCCTTTGCACCCTCCGCAGCTGCAAGCTCCCATTTCACGTCCACCGTCATGTCATGGTTTCCAATGTCAAACAGCGGAAGCAGCACTGAAAAGTCGTCGACCGATACGTCTTCCGGAAGGGACTGCTGCTGCGCCTCGGACATGACAAGCGAGGCCCTGAAGGAGCGGCTTGAAAAGATGCAGTACGCCCAGTTGTACAGCTCCTTGGTCAACAGTTCGCTGAAATCGTCCTCGGCATCCTTTTGCGACGCAAGCAGCAGGGCCTTGGCATCTCGAAACTCTCTCTTCAGGTCATTGCGGATCTTGTCCAGCCCAATCTCGACGTTTGTGCCCTCCAGCAGCTCGGCCTCCTCCTCGGGCCAGAACGGCGGCAGCGCCCAGTCGTCAACGTCCTCCGGCTGCGGCAGTGCCTGGATATAGGGGTACCAGAAGGACTCCTCGCCCCTGAGCAGCTCCTTGATGAGGAAGAGCCGGCCAATGACATGCGGCTTCGTTTTTGAGAGGAACTCCCTGGGAAAGGCGGGCGTTGGCTGCAGGGCGTTGGCATAGGAGAGGGACAGATTCGTCGGTAAGCTGACGATGGGCTCGTAGGGCGAGATGGACGATGCTGAGGAGGGCTTGACGCGGAACGAGAGGCCGGTTTCAGCGTCGTCGTAGACTTCGGCCGAGGGGTGCAGCGTTGCGTGGTGAGAAGCTGCCCAGTCCAGGAGGATGGAGATGCGGTCCTGGAGCGAGTCCATGGCGGTGGATGCGATGAATCAAAGGGGTGAGATGAGATGAGTCGAAATGAGCAACAACGGGATGTCCCTGTCCTCGATTACGAGATGGCCAAGAGATTCGCTCGCCCCTCGCACAGTCGCCGGCCAGCTACGACGAGCCTCATCAACGTCAAGCAACTACAAACCTCAACGGTGAACAATCAAAGAAACGGGTGAAATCAATCAATCAATCGCTATACTGCTGAAAGAACCGCTCAGCGCGCGTCGTCTCTCATATTTTTCGGGGAAAAAGAGTCGCCTCGCAAAAATCCCCCGCACTAAGAAAATTGTCCTGCCGTGTTAGTCCATCGCGTCCGTTTTTGGCAGAGCGCGCCGAGGTTTTAGCAGCCACTAACGGCCGCCGAGTTTGTTCCAGAGAAGCTTCACCAGCATCGACGGTGCTTGGATTGAGCAGAGAGGATTTTGCGTGCAAAAGGAACTCGATATTCAATTGATTGGTGTATTTGCTCATGTATTTGTCTCGGGGGAACCTCGCTGCTATATAAATAGGATGCTGTTAGCTGTAATGTAACATGTGTCTGAGATGGTTCGCATTAAACCCGCCTTGGAGATGCTGCTGCTACCATACAGCCTCAACTCAGCTGTATTAATTTGACCAAAAAAAAAAAAAAAAAAAAAGGGCCAAACGCGAGTATTTCGTACAGTAGCAGCAGCATCAACCTCAGCTCGACCATCATCCGCCTGTCGGTTCCCACCCCAGACGTTCAGCCTTCGCCTCGTATCGTATCGTATCATTCACAACCGCAAACAGCAGGGAGCATGCCGTAATTCCTATATTTATTTCCGAATTATCCCCCCACGACAAATAACTAGCTCAGGTCCGACTTAATCCGCTCACCGCCAAGCCGATCGGGACCCACGCAACATAATATGAACGACTAATAGGTACTCGCCCGAATCTGACATGAACGGGGCGAGAGAATGTATTACTTGTAGGTGGATTGCGAGGGAGCAACCGGCTGAAGATCGGCACACCTTATTGGAAAGTTCTCTCTGTTGCTATGAGGATTGTCTGAAAACGTCTGTGGGCAATTCCCGTGAGGACATGGCAAGGGTTGCCTGGCGTGAGGATGAAGTATTGTTGTTGCTTGCAGCGTTCCAACTCATTGGGCTTGATTTATAACATTGGTCAATTGGTGTCTGATTCGGCTGCAAGGACAAGAACAAGAATACGAGTGAGAAGAACAACCTATCAAGTTGTTGGATATGCTTGAGTTGTTTGGCTACCCGATTGAGTTGTTTCGCCAACGTAAACGCCGAACCTTTGAGTCATGTTTCGGATATTACACCTAGATCAAACTACAATGCCGGTTTGTTTTAAAGATATATTTAAGTTTTTGAGTTTTGCTTTTCTTTTCTTTTTTATTATTTGAAAACATTGAACAATCTTTTATTGACAGCCTATTTAACAAGAATATATTTAAAACTTTTAAAAAAATTTATATACCAGTTATTTAGTTATTGATAGTTTTAAAACTTATAATTTCTATATATTGCACAATAGGATAACTAGAAATTATATGATAAATATATTTTATAGAACATGCAATTTTATTATATCTCCCCTAACTGTTTTAGGCCAGTAGTAATTTACACTAGTTTGTTAATATACTGTTTACAACTTAGTTATTAATTGAAATAACAGGCGCTAAAATTATTAACCTTTCCATGTTATCTTGCTCACACGGCCCACTACTGACTTGGCAATATGCAATGCGACTCTAGTGAGAGCAACGCATTAGTAGATGGCTTGAGAGGAACAGACTACAAGCATTGATGAATCGCGATAGGAAGAGAGCTTGCAAACGTAACAGTGGTAAAAAATAAAAGCACAAAGGCTTTTATATAACAATATATAAAGATATAAGCAGTGTTTGTAAAATTGGTGTATAAAACATAGGATGTGAATGCTCTGCAACAGTATCTGATTTACCTGATAATGTACTAAGAATTTGATTATAAATACACCCATTAGAATATGAAGTGGCGTTAGGCCGAGACCTTATTACTACCTAACAGCCTAGTCCCCATCAAGCTTAGCAGTTCCTCGATAGGCAAATGTCAAAGTCTTCCGGATTCCGGCTCCAGCACCTCCAGATAAAGCCAGATTAAGCATGTGAACAGGCGGACCACTAAGCTGCCAAATGCCGAATTGGAGGCATGAGAACGTTTCTCAGTCGTTGATTCGCTTTAATCCCCTCTTTTGAATCGGAAGCACGGCTGGGTATGGGGTGGGATTGGCGAGATTAAGAAGGAAGATGACGGTGTAAGACGAATCCAACTTTTCGGTCTCCGATGGAGCCCCACGAGAATCTATCGCTTTTTGCAAAAGCAGAAACAACCTGAAGAGGAAAAAAAATCGTACAAGGCCGTCACAGGGGTGGACATGACCAACTGATAAGCCCCAACGAGTCCCTCATTGTGAGTGTCAACAACAGCAGATACTCGGGCAGGGCAATCTCGGGATATTTCGAGCTACTAGGCGCAGCACTATTTGTTGATCCTCGCTCCACTAATCAACCGTACTCTAGTTTTTCATCTACTGCCGGAGTTTGTACTAGCAGCATGGAGAATGGCCAATGGGCCCACGATGTCTTGGTCTTAGCCAACGCCCTAGTTTTTAGGTTCTCAGATACGCTCATTCTTGGCCAGACAGACTGAAGGAAGAATAAAACAATAAGAGAGAGCGACAAAGACACACACATACATACATACATACATATATACATGGATACAGTAGATGATGAAACAGGCATCACACAAAATCTCGCAATGCAACCTCGAATTATGGGCATATCAGATCGCAGCCGAAAGAAACTCGCAGACTGACACTTGACGCCTGCAGCTCTGATAACTTCATGCTACTACTACCCTGCGCAAGGTCGATACAACGGAACAAGTTGCCTGTTAAACTGCCACTAGTCAGTCAACGTGCAGGCCATGTATGCATCTGTTCCCGCCCTTGTGCAAAAAGAGCCCAAGCCCCCAACAACCAACCAACAGCCAGTACTACTAGTACCTATTATGTGTACATGTAGTTATCCAAGATAAAAACCAGAAAATTAAATAAAATTAACCCACACACTACATGTACCTAATGCCAAGTCCAAAAAAACAACAACCACATGTGCAAAACCAACAAGCCCTCCCTTGCCCCAAAAACAAGAAAAACTTCCCTTCGCAGTTTAGGCAAAAAAAAAAAACCTGCAACCGGTCAGCTCAAAGAATGCAACCTCCCTCGAAGTCGTCCTGCCCCCCCTGTCTCGGAAATACAGCTCTGCTGTATATACCAGCAGGGGTGGCTTACTAATTCCGACGACGGGAAACAACCGCCTTCTCTGTAAAGATGCCGAGGAGGAAGGGAAAAAAAAAATTAAAAAATTGAATGCGTATTCGGAGCTGAGCTGGTTTTTTGACACATGGTGCGTGGCATTTCATATATACTTAAGGGGACGTGCTGCTGCTTCGAAGGATGTGAGATGTTGGAAAAAGAGGCTTGTTTTCTTACACGCTTCTGCGTTGGAGCGAGTGTCGGTCTTCTCTCTTCTCTGTCTAGATATATAACATATCTATATATATATATCTGACACTTGCTGTTGATATCTTTTGCAATTGGCCTTCGTGTCACAGTATACCTATATACCACACACATACACTCCATCTACAAACACAGAGTGTATAGTGTATAAGTGGTATACATACATCAAAACACCTCCTCCTCCTTCTCCTCGCCATCTAGTATCGCCCTCACCATGACAGACGAAAAAGAAACCGCCATCACCGCCCCCTCCTCCTCCACCTTCAACATGGGCATCGAAACACCCTCGTCCGAAAAAGAAACCGCCGTCGCCACCTCCTCCTCCGACGAGGAATCCGCCCCTCAGCCGTCGTCCTCCTCCAAGCCCGTCCGCTCCATCACCGGCCTGCGCTGGCTCCTCGTCTGCTTCGCCCTCTACGTCGGCACCTTCATCTACGGCCTGGACACGACCATCGCCGCCGACGTGCAGGGCGCCGTCGTCGAAAAGTTCGGCCACGTCGAGCAGCTCGCCTGGATCGGCGCCGGGTTTCCCGTGGGCTCCGTCGTCGTCATCACCCTCTGGGGCAAGCTGTACGGCACCTTCAACATGAAGTGGAACTTTGCCGCCGCCATGGTGCTCTTCCAGGCCGGGTCCGCGCTGTGCGGCGCCGCGCCCACCATGACGGCGCTGATCGTCGGCCGCGTGGTTGCCGGCGCCGGCGGCGCGGGCATCTTCATGGGCACGCTGCAGTACTTCACCGCGCTGTCGCTGCCCAAGGAGCGCGGCACGTATCTCTCCGGCACGGCCTTCTGGTGGGGGATCGGCGCCGTGCTGGGCCCGCTCGTCGGCGGCGGCTTCACCCAGTCGAGCGCGACCTGGCGCTGGGCCTTCTACATCAACCTCGTGCTGGGCGGCGTCTTTGCCCCCGTCTACGTCTTCGGCCTGCCGGACGTGCACCCCGTCGTGGGCAAGACCATCATGGAGCGCATCAAGACGTTCGACTACGTCGGCCTGGTGCTCGGCGCGGCGGCGTGGGTGACTTACACCATGGGCTTCACCATGGCCGGTGGCCAGTGGCCCTGGAACGACGGCCGCACCATTGCCACGCTCGTCGTCTTCGGCGTGCTCACGGTGCTGTACCTCTCGCAGCAGACCTTCTGCTGGTTCACGACGCCGGAGAACCGCTCGCTGCCGGTGCACCTGTTCCGCTCGCGCACGCAGATCCTGCTGGCCCTCTCGACGCTGTCGTGCATCGCCTCGCTCTTCGTCCTCACCTACTTCATCCCCATCTACTTCCAGTTCGTCCACGGCGACTCGGCCGTCGACGCCGCCGTGCGCCTGCTGCCCTTTGTCATCGTCACCGTCAGCTTCAACCTCGCGTCCGGCCACTTCCTCTCGCGCATCCAGTACTACATGCCCATGTACGTCATCTCCGGCGTCATCGTCTCGCTCGGCTCGGCGCTGCTCACGGCCTACCTCGACCCCTCGACGCCCACGAGCTACATCTACGGCTTCACCGTCCTCACCGGCGCGGGAACCGGCCTGACCATCCAGATTGGCTTTGCTGTTGCCTCTCTCAAGTGCGACCCCAAGGACCAGGGCAACGCCCTTTCCATCCAGAACATCTTCCAGGTCGGTGGCCAGGCCGTCTGGCTCGTCATTGCCGGCCAGGTCTTCCAGTCCACCGCCATCAGGAACCTGACGCAAGTGCTCGCCGGCACAGACTTCACCGAAGCGGACATCCGGGCTGCCATTGCCGGAGCCCAGAGCGTCATCTTCGAGGAGATTACCGGCGACCTCAGAGCCCAGGCCATCTTGGCAATCACAAAGGCCATGCAGCGGACTTTTATCCTGGTCTGCGCCGGTGGTGGTGGCATGATTGTCACTGGGCTTTTCATGAAGCGTGAGAAGCTGTTTGGCGAGATTATCGTGACTGGTGCCTAAAACAGAAGAAGGAGTAGTAAAAGGAAAAAAGAAAAGGAAAAAAAAAAAAGGGTTGGATGAGGAAATTGTATGAATGATATTTCAAGGCGTAAACGATGTATAGACAATAATGGCAGTCTCCTGTTATTTCCCCCCCTATTATTTAGCCTCCTTGATTGGCATAATAGACGGCAAGCATGATTGTGGTTTTTGGGTTTTGGAACTGGAATAAATATAAACATTTTCTCTCCTATTATCTTACCGGTTATAATTAGACTGAAGAATTAGCATAGCACCTAGAAGCGCCTAATAAACATACCCAAACTCATTACCTATATGCACGAATCACTTTTGTTGAAACTTTCATGTGAAGCACGGCGTTACTCTGTTCCGCCCAATAACCATCTCGTAAAGCGTAAACGGCTCCATCGGCACCTCTCGAAGATCTTGTTGTGTCCACGCATCTGGCACCATCCTATTCACAAGGGCCATGGATCCTAAAGGCCGACGCTTTACAGATTTCTCCAACACTTTCAGCACACGGGCGCGGTGCTCCTCTGTCCGAGACTCAAGCCCAATGATGAACAGGGGCCAGGGCCGGTCGCAGTACTCAATCTGGTTAAGAATCTCGAATGCCTGGTCCATGGCGTTGGCGAGGCATTTTGACGTTTCAGGCTCGCCTTTGGCCATGCGTAGGAGATAGATGATGGCAGCGAGGCGGAACAGCTCGGCGGTCTGGGTTTCCTGCGTTTCTTCCTTGCCATCGCTTGGTAATACGGCAGCCTGCCGCTGCTCTAGATACTTTAGGCGAATTTCCAAGGACCGTACCGTCTTGAGGTGCGATTCGGATAGATAATCTGGGTGCCCCGGTTCGTAAACATTATCGACCACTTGGCATACAATGTCTAACAGTTCCAAGGAGCAGCCAAGGATCGGCACAATCTTAATCACCCAAGTTAGCAATAGCCCCGCCGTTTCTCTCATCGAGACATCATCACCTACAGTCTGTCTCTCGGGCGAAAACACCGCCTTGGAAAGAACCTTCTTCTGCCCCGCCAGGCGAATCTGATCATGATTCTTCTTCCGCCAGTGCCGGATGCTAAACTTGTACATGGCGTCGTGATAAAAGATCCAGTCGATAATCATTGCCTTGTCTCCAAAGTAGGTGTCATGCTGCTTGGTGACCAAGTTTGCGAGCCTCTTTGTGCCGCAGAAGAAGATGGCCCAGTTGAGATCCGAGGTATCAAAGTTCAACGTCTAACACACACACACACACACCCATATAATTAGCATATTACTGCTAGCTTAGATGGGAACAAAACACAGCTATTGTGCAGACTTTAGCAAACCTCATATATGTTCAGCAGCATGCTCGCCGCCATCAGCTGCATGCACTCCGCCGGCGACGCCGTCTCAATGGCCGTCTGAAGAGCGCGTATCGCCGCCATCTGATGCATCACCGCCGCCCTCTCCATGGCCAAATGCTGGTACGACAGAGCGCTGATGGCATATCTCGAAGCCAGCGACGGCAGGCTGTCGTCCTGAAACGCCATCCTGACCAATAAGCCGTAGAGCTCGTCGTTGCGTTTGCTAGCCGACACGATGCGAGCAACGGGACTCCAGGCTATCATCTCTCTCGCATTAGCACAAACAGTTTTTTTTTTCATGAAACGAGTATTTATTTGTTCCCTTTGGCCTGAAAACGCAACTTACTATTTGTGGCAAGGAAGGGATCCAGCTTGGCCATGTTGGCATTTGGCTGTCTTACACACCAACGCTCGCGCAACGCAGGCATTTCATACCGAGCCAGTGCTTCTAAACAGACAAAAAAACGAAAGAATCATCTCGTTAGCCCAAACCGCAAAACCGCAAAACCGCAAAGATGTCAAGCTTCAGGGCATCTTATTCATACCGTTTTCCTGCAACGCCCTCACATCCTCAGACGTCGCATGAACAAACACCGCCTCCTTGGACCGCACAGGAATGATAAAGTGCTTCTTATGCAGCAATGCAGCGCGTCGCTCATCGCCCTTCCGCGGCCACGACAGCTTCAGCCCGTAGCCCAGACATTGTCGACCCTTCTTCACACAATTGTTGCAGTGCGGTTGAGTCTTGTCACAAGCAATCTTCTGTTCTGCGAGGTGAAATTGCTTCCAGTTAGCGGCTGAGTCGGGGAGATGGAAGAGGGGCGCCTCTCTCTATCTAGCTTGATAGGGGGAGGGGGGGCGTTGAAGGAGGTCCTACGACGACAATTCCAGCAGCGCTTCTGCGTTTGAGTCATAGAGAAGTTAAAAAAAATAAAATAAAATAAAAAAATAGGCGTTTCGATCGTTTCGATAGGGGTTGCGAAGAGAGTTTATCCAGTCACAGACAGGCGAGTTGCGAACCCTGGTACTAAGTACTCCGTAGTTGCAGACAATTTGCTTGATGACAAATGAACAGAAAACGAGGTAATGCTCTGCCAGAGCTTAAAATCCAACCAGAGACGGTCCGGCGGCGCCGTTTATTAAGCTCATGGGTATGGAGCTTGCAACTATTAAAAACTCTGGGGACAATTATGTCAGCGCTGCCAAGTCAGATTGATTCATGCGCCAGCCCGACTCGGTAAAAGCTCGATGACTATAATGGCAATATCTACATATTGACGTAGCCATCACTGTTGGATTCTTCCTCTTGAGTAATATGCTTGTCGCCGATTCGCGGCTTCGCAACTGCAAGTCCCTCACGGCCAAGTTGAGACTCTTCCATCTCGATGGCAAGTACACGATTTAAAACTCAGCTGCCCAGATCCCAAACATCCTTCTATTGTGTACATGTACGTCAATATGCGCTTTAACAACACCGACACCAACACCAACACCAACACCAACACCAACACCAACACCAAGCATACAGCCGTCATCTTGATATATTAATGAAACTCGGCTTCCACCCGCCCATACCTCACGCCATCCACCTTGAGCTCAAATCCCAGCCCCGCACTATCCACAATCATCTCCAACGTAAAGTCAAGGTTGTCGAATTCCACGCCTCTAGTCGTGGTTAACCTTGTAAACAAGCTCCTCGGCACCGCGTTTAGATCCGTTGTCAATGTGCATACATTGACCAGATCCCTCGTGTATGCTGCAGGGGGGTCGTCGGCGTCGCACGCAATCAGGTCATCCGTCACGATGAGCGACTGGCCGGGACGAAAGTTGCGAGTATAATGGAACGCAATGGGAGATAGAGGAGAGAGCGATTCACCCTACATTGTGAGTCAGTTAGATGTATATAAAAAAAAAGAGTCCGAAAAGAAAACATCTTTCAAAAACGTACCTTGGCAATGTGCCACTGCATCCGGTCTGACACCATCCAGCGCTCCCACAGTGGTGACCAATATCGCTCGCTCACCGAGTGCTTCTCCTCGTCATATACCGTTGCAAATGATGTTCCGTAGTGCATCCTAGATTTCCTAGAGATGACCATGTTGCCCTCCAGACCCCTCAGCACTGCTCCGCGCACAACTGCCGTCCAGGCATACACCGGCTGCATCACCTCGATGGATCCGCTGTCCTGCGAAGAGTTTGCAGTCGCATGCGTTGGCCGCTCGCTGTACGGAGGCGGCGCGGCGCTGGAGAAATGTGACTTGAGCCGTCGGTAGAGATAGTTGCTCTGGCCGAATCCACCCACTAATACAATGCCAGAGACGATGCCTCCCTTGGCACGGAGGCCGTCCACTTGACCTTGAACTAGATCGCACACCTCTTTGATGACGGGCTCGAAAATGTCCTTGATCTGCTCGGCGCTCATGACCATGAATCCTGAGTCAAGCCCCGCTTCCTCATCATCCGGAAGGCCAGGGAAACTGAAAAAAGTAGGTTAGCAGATAGTCCGGTAAAGAAATATAGCGTGCATGTGAGAAACATACGGAACATTAATCTCTTGATGCTCATCCTCGTTGAAATTGCGCTTGACAAACTCTTCAAAGTACCGCAAGCCCATCTGCCATGTCTTGCCCTTTTTCGTCTTCATCTCGTCGAACCGGGCCTGCCCCAGCCTTGTCCGGACATGCTCCTCAAATCTGTAATTCAAAAAGGCACTTCCACAGAGCCCTCCTGTTCCCACAGCAGATTCCTCGACTCTCAAGGGTTTCAGGGATATAATTTTGTACGCAATCAAGCTGAAATCCTTTAGCAACTTGGTTTACCTATAACGATTGGTAACAGGGGGATAGGTGTGATACTTACTCTACCGTCCCACCGCCCGCGTCGCACACGATGAAATTATCACCAATGCTCAAGTGATTAGGCTGAATCGCCTTGAGCGTATAAACAGCCGCCGCTTCAGGCTCACTGATCATCTGAATCTCAGACCGGCTGCCCATGCCCGCCCGCTCAGCCGCCTGCAGCGTCGTATTCTTGGCCGCATCGCTCCAGACCGCCGGACAAGTCAGCACAAACTCGACCTTTGTCGATGCCATAAAGGACTCTCCATAACGCCGCGTCAGGGTATCCATGGTGTGCCGGTAAATCTGAGTAAGGTAGTCGCTGACAGCATCCACCACATTCTTGTTGAACTTCTTAAGTTGTGCCGCCGTGTCTAGTGGGCTGACGTAAAAGGGGAGCTTTTGAGAGCGATCAAGGAACAGCTTGATACACCGCAGCCTGGACTCGTCTGGCTTGAACTGGAAACCCCATTTTACAGTGGGCTCAGCGCCACCTGTTGTGTCGTTGGCAGGGAAGCTGTATGCAATCTCCGTGGGAACTTTGTCCGAGGTGATTCCATTGCCGCCTAGCCACGTCTTGATGATTTCGACGTCATCCGGCGTTGATGTATATACCGCAGCGACACTGAGATGATGTTAGCACAATGATCCAGCGCATTTTCATCATCCTCCCAAAGCAGATAGCAACAAAAAGGACGCCATCTACCCACCCTGAAAACGTCGTGCCAAAGTCCACTCCCACAATCAACCGATCCGTCATCGGCGGCTGCTCCCTCACCGGCTCCCTCACCGGTCCATTAATCGCCTCGGTAGAGCTCGGCGGCGTGTAGCTGGTGAAATAGCTTCTGCTCTCCTGATTCCGCCGACTCGGCGTCGACCGCACCGGCAAACTGAGGTTCTGCATCTCTCTTCAAGAGGCGGCTCAAAACGCCCGCAATCTACACTCCCGTGATTTTCAGTCCGTCCTCAATGAACACAGCCAGAACTCATTCCAGGAGTCTTGGCCCCCTCTTCTCTCTCTCTCTCTCTCTCTCTCTCTCTCCAACCCTTCCTCCGTCGCTTGCGTGAACCGTATAAGAAAAGAGACCACGTTCAAAAAGATGCCCAGATGCGATACAAAAACCAGCAATGCAACCCGCTGATGAGAAAGCCCTGAATAGTCGCCGAGAAAAAGAATGGTCCCGGGGGTGTGAGCAGAAGCGCCGGTCCCTGAATTCGCACAAACTTTCGTCTATTCGCGCCCCTTATCTTACCGCTAATTCACTGACAAGCCCAGGCAGAAATGTCCCTATCGCTGTCGTCGTCGCCGTCCACATCAAAGACCTCCTCCTCTTTTCTCTTGGTGTTCTCCCTCGAATGCAAGTAAAGGTGAAATGTAGCAAGATGAGACCCGCAGCACCTCGAAAAGCCGCTCAAAGCTCTGGCCCCTTCGCGCAGACTATCTCATATAATATCCTTCTTCGTCAAACAGCAAACAATGAGACGAGAGAAGCAAGCGTCTTGGAGAGAAAGGAGCATATAAAAGGCAAAATGTGCCCTGGTCGTCTCAAGATTATCCTGTTGCCTGGTGTCCTTTTTTTATAACGTCCAAGGCTGCCTTCAGCTCCCTCTAGCGGTGTTTTCCCCAATGTATAGCGCTGGGCTGCCCCGAGTTTGCCTTGGAGGGGCTTAGCGCGCTCACGTGACCACCGATCGTATGCTTCTTTTCCCTTCTTCTTTGACATGTACTCTTGTACCTTTCGCCTCAATGCTTATGCCTGTAATTCACTGTATTGCAGCTTCAAAGCGTATTGCACACGTTAGAATTATAATTTGCAATATCTATAACTGGCATCTCTCACAAGCCATATCCAAAACACACCATTGCAAATGATATCATGTACCGATGCTCTAAAGAACAAGCAAATAAAGGGTTGACGTGGCAGTGCATATCAAACCAAGCAATAGACCAGGTTCCAGCAAGGCTCCCAGATTTCGCCTGTGGATCTTCCCGTCGGCACACCTCACTCATCTCATATCAGGTAGGATAAAGAATCGTTCGTTCCCTCGCGTAAGCTAGGCACCGACAAAACAGAGCAGTCGAATCGCCGTCCCTCGTTATTCGCCTGCTACTGGGTCTACCGAGGTACGAATAAACGAAATAAAAAAGGGAGTGATGAGGGCGAGTTCGCATCTCCGCCGAATACGCTTACATGGTGTCCACTTGCAACCCTTACAAACCAACTACGGGCGCACACATACCGCTTAGGCATCGAAGATACAGCCACAGCGTCAATTAGCGGAATCCGGAGATTTCTTCATATACGATACATCATATCGCTTTGGCTCCCTCCTCATCATTACGTGGTTGCTCTGCATTTCAAACAGATGTTCAACCATAGAATCACTCAATAGAAACATAACAAGTCGAATAAATGTATATGTAGAAAGAAATTATGGAACAAGATAGAAATTTTGATAAATTATGCTTCATTGCTTTTTAACAAATTGTGTGGAGTGTAGAGCAGGACCAGGTTCACATCAAATAAAAACTCCAGTTTCCAATGAGTATAGCAACAAGAAATAAATGCACCTATATTGCTTCAGCCACAAACCTGGGGGATCTTTTGTCTGCAAAAAAGTTGGTAAAACGACCGTAAAGAAGAGATATACTATAGATATATATATAATGTATTCCAACCACAACAAAAATAGAAAAAATAACGCCACAGACTCCAGTCCCTAATCTTCAGTCTTTCTTCTTCTCATTCTTCTTCTCGTCTTCTCCCCCTCCTACTTGGTATAAAAGAAAAGAAAGGAAAAACGATGTTGACAAAGGAAATAATATAATATGGTGTACTATGTGAGGTATGTTGATTCAAGCAAGGCGAGAGCCATGCTCGCCCCTCTTTCATTTTTTTTTTCAGTCTATAATGGGGTATTTCGGGTGTTATGAGAGCGCGCTCAAATATTTCAAATGTCGAAAGAAGAGAAAAATCCAAAAGGCATAATAAATAATCCGAAGGCTGCCTCGAGCTGCGGCTTCGAGTTATAATGTCGAAAACCTTCCCGAGGGTGATATATCGTGTGTAGATGGATGTATGTAGGTTGAGTATGTGTTTGTGCCAGCCGAAATACGCAGAATAAACCAAAAGAACTTGATACCCCAATCGAAAATATCGAAAAATAAAAAAAATCAAATGATATGATGGTCGACCCGGCGACTCAAGATCCAAGGAGTGAGAGAAAATGTGTCGCACACCAACACCAAAACACCATTTATCATGCGAAGAAAAAAAAATAGTACACGCCATATTAAATAAAAAAAAAACCCAACTTTTTTTTGTTGCCTCGCCACTGAACATGAACATGTCCGAGAGAAGAAAAAAACAAAAGAGACCCCCTCCATCGCTCGACAATATATTATTAATGGGATCTCTTAGATGCGGTTTCCAGCAGCCCAAATGCTTGCGGAAGCCGAAGCACTCCACTCACCACCCTCGTATGGGGGAGTGGGCCACTTGTACTGGTTTGAGGTTTTCTTGCTGAGGTCAAGAGGTTTCGGTGCCATGGCCTCAGCGCCGTCTGCATAGAGCAGCTGGTTGCTGTTGGCAGATGGCGATGGACTAGGATATGGCTGAGAGCTGGACAGGCCCAGGTTGCTCGCAGACTGCCGCAGCGGCTTCGTGTTGTTTTCTAAGCGCTTCATTGCTCGCTGAGTCGCTGTAAGAGCCTCATCGAGGAGTTCGTCTTCCTCGGCTGGCGTCTCGTACTGCTGAACGTCGTGAACCGCTTGGGCACGTCGAGTACGGCTCGAGATGGGACCATTCCGGGCAGCGCCAATCAGGTTGTCGACAGATCTGGGCTGTTGATACGGCAGCGAATGGTGGCGCTTAAGCTTTCCGGCTGCCGCAAGCTGATGTGAGGGGGGAACGGGAGCTCGGGGCTCAGCGCCCTGGACATCGTGTAGGGCTTTATCCAAGGACTCATATCCTCCTTCGGCCTTTGGGACGACGCTCACTTGCTGGTCAACAAGCATAGATGATCTATTGCTGTTCCAAGGGCTGCATCCCACTTGCGCTTCCATGTCGTCGTATGCTGGCGAAACAGGAGTCTGGTGGCGGCCAGAGAAGCGTCTTGCTCGCTTCCGAAGGTGCGAGAAGAAGCTCTCCTTGTGAGCGCTAGGGGGCGAGGCAAGGCCCGTCTGTCCGTTTAGAGCGCGTTCGGCCTGAGCGCGATGCAGCTCGGTGTAGTTGTTGGTGCTCGAGTTCACGGAGAGCTGTCGGCCAAGCTTCTTGCTCTTGTCTTGGCTCTCAGTGTTGCTGTTGGCACGCGCCGTCACGGCGTCGGACAAGGGCGAAATCGGCTTGATGGAAGGCAGAATTGGCATTGGCGCGGCGCTGGAGAGACCGTTCGCCCAGGTGGTCCGCTTGGACTTGGTAACCTGCTTAGCATTGGCAGTATCGACAGTGCTGGAGGTTTGCACAGGCGACGGCTGGACGGGGGCAACAACCACGGTTTCGGGAATGTCGCTGCGGCCGATGAGAGACTTGCGGAACCAAGAAGGCTTTGAGACGGAGTTTGAAGGAGCCAAGCCCTCTTTGGAGGCGCGGCTTAGATCGGACTGCTTGCGACCCAAAATCTTGGAAGCGGATGACTTGGGCCTTGACGGATCCGTAGCGTCGGCGAAGTACTCGTGGTTCAAAGACTGCGTAGACGTAGGACGGTTCTTGGGATCCCACATCAAGCACCAGGTAACAAAGTGGCTCAGCGCAGGCGGCCACTGAGGAGACTGCAGGATGGTATCCATTGCGTGAGGCGCCATCTTGGGAAAAGAGAAGCCCAGCTTAGAGGCCAGTCTAGTACCTTCGCGCCATTCACCTCCTCCCACGCGGGCACCGGCCTTGTTGTACCAGTTTCCAGGGCTGCCCATGATTTCGCAAACCCTCCACACCTGGTCAACCTCGTTTCCACCAGGGAACAGCGGCTTCAGCGTAGCAATCTCCACGGCCATGGCGCCGACGGCCCAGATATCGACGGGCGCCGAATACTCGCCGGCGCGCAGCAGAACCTCGGGCGCTCGGTACCATCTCGTGGAAACGTAGGTAGTGTACGGGAGCTTGGAGTGAGTCTCACGAGCGAGACCGAAATCAGCCAACTTGACGGTGTAAGTAGGAGGAGTCGAGGGTGGCGTAACCAGGGCAGAGTATCTTCGGAATGAATTTGAGGTGTCCTGGTGAGCTGACGTGGAAACGAGAATGTTCTCGGGCTTGATGTCGCGGTGGAAGAAGTTGTGGGAGTGGATGTGCTCGAGACCCTGCATAATCTGGAACAAGATGCTCTTGACACTTGCATTGTCGAGATATTTGTGGTCTCTGGCCTTCATCAGCTGGTACAGATTGCCCTCCATGTACTCCATGGCAATGTGTAGCTTTTTCGTAAAGGGATCTAGGAAGATGTCGAGGGCGGGAACGAGATGGGGATGAGGAGGAAGGGTTCGGAGAAAGACGACTTCTCGAAGCTCAAGACATGGCGACAGAGACTCAAACGTCTTCTTCATGGACTTGATTGCGACCTGCAGCGAACGTGTTAACCAATGGTCGAGACGGGCATACGATTATTTTCGGTGTCTTACAAGAGTGCCTCGGCGGGCAACAGCTGCGCCCGCCGTTCGGGTTCGAGCGAGGACGACGCTGCCAAAACTTCCGTCTCCAATCTCCTTGATGACCTCGAAGCGGTCTTCGAGCGCCATGGTGCCGTGAGGCTGTTGCCGCAGCGTCATTTCCACGGTGGCCATGTTGCTGTGTGTTTGGATCTGGCCAAGACGGGGCTCGTCTCTTGGGATGGCGCTATCAAGAAGTTGCAGAGCAGCTTCAAGCAAGACGCCGAGGGTTGGGAGAGGGGCGGTCAGGAATAAAAAAGGAATAAATTCGACCGATAATAAGTCAACACCTAATGGCCCGCAAGAGATGAGCTCTATCGTAGAGCTACAGATCGTTTATCGTAGCATTCAGGTAAAGCAAACGGGGGAGAGGCAGATCGAAACTCAGATAGCTAGCTTGCTCGCAGGAGAAACGGGAAAAAGGGTGATTGCGAATGATGCGGTCGAACAGAGCGGTCGGGTTGATGCTTGGAGGAAGGGCGGGTCGCTTACACAGACAAACAAGAGAGGAGAGAAAGAATCAAAAGTGTGAAAATTCCAAAAAAGACGGATGAGAGAAGAGGCCGAAAGGAGGTCAAGCGTAAGGAGTGACTGAGGTGAGGATTGATTTCAAAGTGGATAAGGCTTGGAGGTTATGAAAAAGGGGAGCTCAAGTGTCAACGGCCCAGCCCAGGGGTGGTTGGAGGTACTTTGCGGCACCACCACCGGCCCCTACAATAGAGGCTAGACCCAGCTGATCGCGGACCGCTAATTAGTAGGCAGTTGGGCCTGTCTGTATTTGGGAGCAGAGTCCACTGTACTTTTCTGGACGGTTTTAAGCTTGGCAGCGCGAGCAGGGGATGGCAAGATGAGCAGCAGTAGCGCGAGTAGCAGTACTTGTCGAGATGAGCGATGAGATGAGATGACAGGAAACTGAGATGTGTTGGGACGGCGACCGGGGGGGGTTCGTGATTCCGGGCAGAGCGAGAGAGGTGAGCAGCAAGTGAGTGCCGGGACAAGAGCAGCAAAAGCGAGAGTGAGAGCGACAGAATGTAGGGAAAAAGGAGGGTCCCTTTTCGCGGGGGTGATGGCCTTGGGTCGGTCGATATGTATGCATCGAGCGACGCTGGAGAGAGATGCGAGTGGACAGCAGCGCAGAGCCAGGCGACCAGCGCTCTCCAGGCCGTGGGAAAACAGCCAGTCGCAGCAAATCTGCGGGTACGAGCGAGCGAGCGAGCGAGCGCAGAGGCAGCGAGAGGCCTGCAGCGAGTCGTATCTTGACTTGAGCGACCGCCGTCAGCCACCGCGCATTTCGATCCAGGACTGGCTGGTGGTTAGCCGGGGGTGGTTTTCGCTGCTGGAGCGCGTGTCGCAGAGGCGAGCCAAAGAATGAGCAGCGGCAGAAACACGCCAACAGGGGGTCGGTCATTCACGGCCCGTGCTTTTGCGCCGTGAAAATGCTGGTGTTGCATGCCATTCAGTGTGATTCTGGTTCACGAGATGTACTGGTACGAGCACGGTGCAGAGCGAGCGAGCAGGCGCCGTGCAATGGGAATACGAGTAAGCAGAGGCGAGCTCTGCGTGTATCTGTACCTGGCACCGACCGACGGGCTGAAGAGCAGCGGCACCGCGACGATGCTGCAAAAATGGGAAAAAACGAGTGGTCCAGAAGCCTTCTCTCCCACCCCAGCTCGATTTGACTACTGTATGGGGTGACAAAGGACTGCTGTCTGTAGTGGTAGCGAGCGAGTTGGTCATGCCATGGGGGCTTCGACAAGGTCAGGGAAAAAAAAAAATTGAGAGAGACCAGGCAGGGGTTTGGCTCCGCCGTCGCCGCCGTTCGCATGAATGGGTTGAGATTTTGGTGAGGAGGAGAAGAAAAGAGCGTCGTGATTGATCGATTTGAGGGGAGCCCGTGGCGGTACATGCAGGCATTTGCTGGTAGTGGTACCTGGAGCTGCCACGGGACTGTGCGCGCAGAGTGAGATGGGCGCGGGAGCACGCTGCTCGCAAACAGCAGGTACATGCAGCTGCCAGCGCCCACAAGTCACGGTTGGTTTGACCGCACTTTGGCTGGGCTGCAGCAGCTTTGGGTAGCAACAGGCCATTGATTGTGCTGTATTGTACTCCCAACCGCGCCGAGCTCTGCCCTCGAGGTACCTTTCCTAGCTCGTGGTGCTGTGCTACCGCCCGCCACTCCGCCCTCCGCAGCCACGTTCAGGTAGCTTCGTATCTGGGCGTAGTATCTGTACCCGTCGCCGGTAGCCGCCGCGGTAGCCATGCCTGGCCTAGCGCCGGCCATGCACTAGTCCTCACTCGTCTGGGCTGCAATAGGGACCTCCGTCTCTTAATTTATCAAGTGGGCCGTGGAATCTACCATAGAACTTCTTTTTGTCACGCTCAAATTGGGCAATTTGCGTAGCGGGCAAGGGATCCTAGATGGAAGGGGAGGCATGCTGGAGCTGGAGAGCATTCATCATTCATCGGAGATACACAGGCAAGTAGTGGCACTGTAGTTGGATTTGCGTGCTTAGTAACGGAGGCAGTACGGCGCGATTCAAGCACGGTATGCAAAATGCTCGAATAGTGCCAACACGTGCAGGCTCAATGCTGCGATATGCTCCTCCACGGCTTAATCGGGCATACACTACATGCCCCATGACGGATGAGAAAACTCTTTGTCTCTGGGTGCAGTACTTTGCAATGCTAGTTAGTCCTGTATGTACCCTTCACCGCAAGAAGATGAGATGTCACTGCTACCAATACTAGTATAGCACTATCAGATGGCAGCGGTACTATTGCATGCACAGCGGCAGTATCGTGAGCGAGCATCGGACAATGCAGACAGATGCAGCATGTACATGCCATGCAGTATCAGACTCGAGGCGCCACACGTCGCGCTGCCAGCACAGCACCGCACCAGTTGGCCGCCCACCCAAGTGTTCCGGGGCACGTTTTGCAGCGCTCCTATTCGAGGATATTCTGGATCTATAATGGGCCAGTCAGAAAGTGCCGGGGCCCGCGGCCAGTTGATACTGGAGCGTGTCGGCTGGAATACGGAGTACTGATACACGGCGTAATGAGAAGGGTACTTTACCCGCTGACACATTTTGTGCCGCGGAATGAGGTATAATGGCCTATTCTGTGCGTATGGAGTACCCCGCCCAGCACCAATCTCTTTTCATTTCGGCTGCTTCACAATTTGCTTTTTCCTCTCACTATTTGTTTTTTTTTTTCCCTACTGTTTTAATCACTTTCCAGCTGCTGCATAAGCGAAGGCGTTCACACGCGACGTCGGCTGCAACGCCAAAAGGGTCCCTCCCCACTGCGGCTAGTCTGCTATGAGCAGCGAATATAAGATTTCTAGCTTCCTTGGGATTAGGACGCTTGGATTGGGGGCATCTGCCATGTTTCTTTCAATTCCCGTCACAGAAAAGTACCCCGAAGCTACCGAGTCTGCGCTGTAAATTTTGAATTTTGACGGTGCTAGAAGGCGCTTCTGGTTGGCCGCTATTCGGAGGAGCGAGATTTGGTGATTTCGATCTGCCCCAGAGCGGTCCTTGATCTTATTTACTCTGTTTATTCTTAGAATCTACAGTGGCATACTACGGAGCACTAATATCATTGCTATATTAGCTCTGCCATGACTGGTTCTAATTAATCTGCAGAGCCAGCTGTGAATAGCAGCGGCGGTAATAATCTTTGTCAGCGCTTTTGAAGCCTCACGACTGGGCTTAATCTTACAGTGCGATTGGGCTCCCTCAAGACATCCACCATTACTGTATCAGGCCCTACAGGCAGGCCTAGTCTGTTTGCGAGTCCAACTGTGGCAGGGATGCGCAGGAACAGCTAAGCTTGCCCAGGCTTCCAGCCATCCGGATCGCGACGGCTCGCTGCCGCGGCGTGTTCTTTGACAGCCATCACATCACACTTGATGCTAGGCAGCGTCCTTTTGTTTTTTTTTGTTTTTTTCTTGCGTGTTTTTCTGTTTCTTTTTGCCTCCTTGTACTTGTAGAAATACATTGGCCCCATGAAACGCCACTGACATATGCACGGAGACGAGCGTTTTTTTTTCTTCGTTCGCATGAAATATGCTAGGCAGAAAGCCTACGAGCATAAGGTAGCTTTCCAAGTATTGACAAATGCTGCTACGAATCGCATTACGCGGCGGATCCAGCGTGTATGCATGTACACCTGGTTATCCTGACAGATTCTACCCCCACAACAGAAAATCACTGCTGCCTCCAGTCACAACCTTCCATTACAGATACTGGGAGAAGCTATCCAAAGAAAGGGGCCGGTTTCTTGCAGCTTCAATCAGTAAAATGCCGCCAAAAGAAATGCAGGGAGGCTCACACACGATACTAATCGAGAACAAACTGGCCGAGAGGGTGGCGGCTATCAGAAACAAACAGGCGACTCATGCAACGTCAAGTGTGGTGGCGTCACCCGTTCCAGCCTGTTGGCCGCTGCTGCGCCGAGACGAATTACAGCATGTGCCGTACATGTACATGTATGCACGGTACCTTACCTGTCAGGCTGCAGTAGAGTGTCTCGGGCATGTGAAGGCAGAGATTGGATGCTGCTGCTGCGATGCTGCGATGCTACGGTATCAGAAACGGTCGTTTTACGGACTGTTGCCCATATTTTTTGCGGGTTCATGCTGCCTTCTTCTTGACGTCTTCCCGATGAGCTCCACCCGGATGGATAGGATTCCAGTTGCATAGCCTTCGGCCAGAGCCGGACTGCCTGTTTGATGTGTTTTATCATGAGCTCGTTACGGAGTAGTATTCATACGCTTTAGGTCTTGCATGCGCCGCCAATATCTCGCCACTGGTAAGTTGAAGTCGTACTCACTAGTACTTCGTAGGTAGTAGACCCAAGCCATATATATATACATGTAGCCGATCTATGCAAGATCCAATAGCACTCGATGCTAAATCCATACCCGTGCTGGACTCGAAGTCGTTGACGCCAAAGTATTGGTAGCAGCTGAAAACTCCAGCCCTGGCAGCGTATGCAAGGGGAGACAAACCAAACCAGGCCAGACCCTTGCCCATGATACCGTCCATGCGGAACTGCTAGCAGTGCATCCGGACTGCAGGCAAGCGGCTGCTGCACCTCTAGTAGACGTTTGTCTTATTTGACCGCCGTCCATCATCCCCTGGCAGCCAATTTTCCTTTTTATTTTCTCCGCAGCAAGAAATAAGAAAGCCATCATCGAAGAGCCCCTCATGTTTATGCTGGCACTTGGGAAAATGCAAGAAAGAAAGGGAGCATGTGAGGAGGAACAAACCTGAACTGTCAGTGCAAAAGAGGCTCCAGGAACGACCCCACAGGACGTCTCAGCTGCACGTCAGGCCCGGCGAGCATCCAGGCTGACAAGACATACCACAATTGCACAACAAAGGTGCTATGTATAATAGATGGTAATGTTCATGCTACCAAGTACTACGAGTAGTAGTAGTACGAATGCTCCTTTGCTTTTTCCAGAGGGAAAATTGGTGCGTCTACTAGTGTTGATCGATTAACAGCAAGGGATATTGTAGGATAGCTGGGACATACGCCGCCATCCTTTGTGTACCTGAAATGGTGGCGACTTTCTTTGAGATGGTGGAATGGAGCTGGCTGGCTCAGGAGCAGCCTCACCAGCCTGGTTAGAGAGAAGAAGCAGCTTTGGCTTGGTACCACTGCCGGGAGGGCTAAGTTTAAGTATCCCTCCCATCGGTTACTGGACGGATCGATTCTCTCGTTGATGGTACATTCTCATATTGAGTAACCAGCAATAGCAAGGTCCCGAACCACCAGCAATGCCTAGCATATACCCGTATCGGTGACACAAGCACGCGTACCAGCAGCATCTTGGCTTCCATCGAACTCTCCAAGAGCAGCACCGTTGGACAGACGTCGGGCGCCGCGCTGCGTTTGACTCTGCTACGCTGCCTGCCAATTCGCCATTTTGCCGTAGCGGCTGGTCCCAGGTCAGCGTGGCGATAGTGAACCTCGTCTCTCATGCTCGTAGCTCATAGCAATGGGGGCGACGCGGGAATCCGGAACGGCCAGCCGACCTGGAACACGGGATTTACTCCCCATCCATCCCCAGTAGTCATTCTAGCCAACTTCCAACGGCAGCCCCTATCCGATTCCAGGCTCCGTCGCAGATCTAATGGCCTGTGGCCTGTGGCCTGAGCATTGGGTGGTGCGAAAAGAAAATGGCCAATTGCTAGGCCCATCCCGTTTCTTCATGTTTCAAGGCCATCTTCGCTCAGCGGGAAGGATTGGCGTGTCGCACACAAAAGTCCTTGTATATACGAGTGTTATCGCACGATGCACGTGTGAACCAATCTCGGTATCGGGGATATAACCACGTTCGCGTGCCTGTAAATTGTTCACGAGACCAGTCGACAGGTTTTAGCTGAACCTTGTCTCGAGGAGCCCTGGCTCTTTTGCGGAAATATCTGTACGACATACATGCACCCCAGCGAAACAGGCCCATGGCACTTTGTAAAATTGGTTGAACCACCCGTTGCAGCGGCGCTGGGGACGTGCTCTGGGCATAATCGTGCATAAAGAAGGTTCCGTAGGCGCGGAGACTCCGTCTTACAAGTATGTGAGTTGAGATCAGCGTCAAGGTCCGGAAGAGACTGTGCCGATCACCGAGGGCATCACGTACAGACAACATAAAAACACTTAAAGAACAGGTTCTCTCTGCATCGCGAAAGCGGTCAACTTTTCTGCCCAGCCAGTTGCTGGTTGAGTACATGTAGTTTTTAAGCTCAGGTTAGCGGCTGGGTCGAGGTTCCGATGTTTGATTGCGTTCTCCATTGCATGCATGAAAATCAATCCTTTGTGAACTTTTTGTCGTAATTCGTCTTGTCTATGGAGGAGAATTATATATACAATCCTTTTCTTCCTACTGCCGTCCCATGCTTTGCAGCCGTGCCTCTCCTTCAGCACATGAATGAGGATATTCCCCTTGCTTCTCCTAGTCAAACGTGAGAATATACCTTCGTCGCTGATTTTCATTCCAGACTTTGGGAGACTTATATCCCATCATACCCTGGCATAAATAGCACCCTTGGTTAATTGACCACCATGGTGGGCGAAGGGCGAGCCCCATCTCGTTCTCTCCGCCCAAAAAGCTGTCATCGGACCTCATTTGTTCCATCGCTCTTGAACGAGCCCTCCATAGAAGTTCTGCTCCATCAAAATTACCACCTGAATTTCCCTGAAGCTCGGCTAGCGCTTCCATCTCCTTTCTACGGAGTGCTTGGAAAGCTTGCATTGCCGGTGTGATATAGTGTCGAAGTCTGATGTCGCGTGCTTTTCTGGTTATAGCAGACACCGCCGTTAAGTCACCCCATGCAGTCTCGTTTGCACCGAAGACAATGCGGGATAGGTCGAGTGTTCCTGCAATGAAGATCATCGTGGGCCGTCCACAATTGTCGTTAGAAGTGACTCTCTTTATACCAGGAGGCAGTTGAGACAGTGACAAATACGCTTGCTTTTGCAGAGATACTGATATAATTAGTACATAAACCTCCTCAGAAGTATCCCCAGATGACGGAACTTACAGAAGGTACGCGGTATCTGGTCAGTTGAGGCGGAGGATAATTTCTCCATACATATCATCTGGTAGAGTAGCTGGTATGGACAAGCTGTCGGAACCATGTCACCTGTTGACGGAGCATTCCAACTAACTTCCCAACCTGCTTCGTCTAATACGCGGCGTATGAAATGTAAGAATCGGGAAAAAGAGACTCTTGCATCTGCCAGGCCTGAACCAATTGAGCGATGGGGCTCAATGGCTCGTGAAGCGGGCGTGCAAGCGTAAGCTTGGAATTCACTCTCAATCTTGATTAGAGAATCCAAAATAAGAACTTCTGAATAATAACAAAGACTGCGAAGGAACTCGTTGCTTGCTGCGGTATGTCTTTTGTGATAACCCATTGCCTCAAACATAGCGATATCTTCGTTCAAAGCGATGATTGCGCGGTGGATGACGTCGATGGGCTTGGCCAAAGTCCCCTGAATGTCCACATAGCTCTTTGGGGGGAATACAAGTTGGGGCTTCATAGCCGGGAACTCTCTCACAAGCTCTGGTGGTGCCATTTTATTAAAAAAGTCAAAATAGGCCTGCAGGCTTGTGGTGTAAACTTTGACAAAGGGTAGGTGAGTTGGCTTGGTATAAACGTTGTTGGATAAAGCTGGAGACTTTGGGGATCGTATAGGAATTGTAAATATCAAAAGGGAGGGAGGGCCACTCGAGCAGTTTGCGTTAAATGGATAAATCTGCTCTACACCATGTGGCCCCTTTTCACTTTTTTTTTTACTTCAACACAAAAGTAACTTGAGTGTCTATGTTGAAGTAAGTCACTGCCTCTGTTGAATGCCACGTGGCTCTCCTTTAATTTTGTGCAACAACAGTTAATCGAACATTCGCGTTGGGGTGAATCACTGCCTCTGTTCAACATTACGTGATCCCATTTTGACTTTTCCACAACAAAAGTAAATCGAATATTACGAGGCCCTCCCTTCACATTTCCACAGTAAAAGTGAATATTACCCGCTCCTTTTACTTCTGGATACTAAATTCTTTCTCTATCTCTCCATCCTCTTTTCCCTCTATCTGGATAGAGCTTCGTATGCTATTTTGCTCTCCTCCCAAGTACTATCATGGAGCCCGCAGACCGCAATGCTCGTTGGGACGAGATTCATGAAGAGTTGAATAGTCGCCGCCTTAACGGTGCAGACCACATGAGAGCTCTCGACGAGATGATCCCAGATATAGAAGAGCTGCGAGCATTCTGCGAATACCAACACAACATTTTTCTGCAAGAGAATTGTCCGCATTTAGCCAATCCTTCTGGTATCTTAACGCCGGCTCGATTTATTGAAATCGCAGATTCAATCAACTTTCTGAATCCGACGGAACGCAAAGAACTCCTGCCTGGACTGAAGTGGGATGTTCGGCCCTGGATACCCCTTGGCTATGAGAATACGACTCTATACCGCTTGCTTCCCTCTTTATACAACTTAGAACCACAGAAAGCTGAATATCCTGACACAGGTCTTGAAGTCATGGAGGCTGCATTTCTCGGCGTGAATATCACAGTGCAGCCCCGTGAGCCATCTCTGCCGCTTAACCGCCGCGCCCTTAATTTATCAGAGCAGTCTACCAAGTCAGCAGAGTCAGATGACGCAGAGGCCCCGGGATTTGTTTTCCACGAGCTCGGCGAGCTGCAGTGTTTAGAATGCGAGACTGCTGAGGAGATGCCGACAACATTGGAGGAAGGCGACGATCGTGACGAAGACTGGGAACAGACTGGCTTTTCTGTTGTAGCCCGACTTAATGTTTCTGGACATATCAACGGGGTTTATGTCATATATAACATGAAACCACACGATGAATACACTCGCAAGCGGGAGCAAATTACACACAGCAATTGGGGTATCCCGCCCAGCTCACCTGGAGAGCAATTCTCATGCGCACGGATTGGCAACAATATGCGAGACTTCGATTTTAAGAACAAGCTGATATGGAATGATCAAATCCAGCATCCGGTCGAGTTAGTGTGGGTAGTGAAATCGCCAATGGGAGGTGTGAGGCGTGTAACGGTGGACAGTAATTACCAGATGCACATGTAGTGTAGTTTGACACTTTGGTCGGAGCGGATCCTGATCTTGGCCAGTTTGATGGCTTCAACGGCCCCGAATACCTCAGCATTCCAGATTTTTGCCTTTGGGAGGGAGCCCCAGGCTGTTGTAGCGTTTGTTTTGCTGCTCAATTAGTGGAACGTTACTCGACTCCATTCTCGCGGAGAAGGAAATGTAGGTGGATTTATCTACCAAGGCATACATATAGAACGTAGTACATATATGTACATGTATTCAGTTGTAAAATATAAATAAGATATTACTTGAATTTGTTGCCCGGTGAATGGAGTTGTGTGTGTGCAGCTCTAAAAAATATATCCAAATGAACGCCTGTCCTACTTTAGATGAAAATGATAGCGCGTCTCTGCACCACATACAGCAGTATAGCCTCTTGATTCGGCCCAAATTCTCCTCTGTTCATTTCGGCTTCTTGCAGATCGACACGGGAAAATAGCAGGTTCTCGTGCCTTGCAAGGTGGATGCCTGAATTTGCCGGCCCTATTGTCGAACAAAGAAAAGAGGAACAATAGAAAGAGCGCCCCTGGCAGATTTTGGCACCTGCCGTGATTTAGAGTAGATCACATGCAGATATAAACCCTTTTCATCTTTCTTCCCTCTCTCTATCTTTCTCTTTCTCTAAATTCTCGCTCTTTCACCATCCACTCTTTTCCTCTTTGGCGCTTCCATACATCAGCACACGCTGTTCCAGCTACCGATATTGCTTGCGTTCTTGAGCTATGGCGAGCAAGAAAGCAAACTCCAAGTTCAACTTGTAAGTTTCATGAGTTGATCGCCCTATTTCCTGTCTTTGATTGCCTTGGCCTGTGATCTTCCACTACCACAGTTTTGTCTCGCCACAGCAGCTGGTGGACTCAACTCGCTGTTACTTGGCCAAACTGCAAAAAAATAAATCAACTGACTAGTTCTAGGGCGACGCAACCAAGCATCCCAGTCAAGTACGAGCGAATTTCTACTCTCTAAGCTGTCATTTGTTCCATCATCAACTAACTCTAGCTGATACTAGATATCGATGCAAGGTTGGCGGAGAGTGGAAGCCTCTTGATGCATTTTCCAAGAACCAACAGAGGTTCATTCAGTTCCAGATAGACCGTCGACATCCCATCGATGCAGCAAACTCGGGAATGACATGCAAAGAGCACACGTCTGGCCAACGCACGGAGATGACTTGTGACTTGTGCGGACTCGTCAAGCCCTTGAGTGAGTTCAGTGGCAATAGCAAGAGGCATGAGAGTGCTGTAGGTCTTCTTCCTTATACTGCGATGAACTAGCTCTAATTGACCATTTTAAAGCATTGTAAAAGATGCACAGCATGGATGGAGACCCAGGAGCCAGAAGTTGTACCTGCACCGCTCGAGACAGGCCACATCTCCGTCGAGGAGGAGCGTGGAGAAATGTGGCCAGCTTCTTTCGTTGACGACACCGATTTCTTTTCCGACGATCTCTTGCCCCAGGTATGTATTTACACAGCTTCAATATCACGGCACACGGATATGCTAACTGCAGAATAGGCTCCAGTCACTGGTCTATCGTCTCTTGGCTTGGGAGACATTGATCCTTCTCTTCTTGATATCTCCTCCATCCTCAGTAGCCGTCTGGCTCATTCTGCCTCTGGAGCGGTTGCTAAACCAGGACCAAAATACATCTCGCCCCACTTGAAAGTCAAGATGGCCAAATCAGAGACCACATTCATATCTCCAGTCGAGAAACCAAAAGATGCAGACACGACCAGCCAGGCTTCGCTCCGGAAGCAGCTGCCCCCGCATCTTCGTGGCATCATGATGCAGCAATCGACGCCTTCTCAGCATGCTAATGCTTCTGACTACGCACCCAGCGAAAGCGACTTCAACCCAAGCAGCATTTCCACGGCTACGACGGCGAGAGAGATGAAGGATGCCAGCAAACCACGTCGTATATCTTTCAACGCTTGGGATCCGACAGGAGTGCCGCACCGAAACGTCAAGTCACTCACAGCAAGCTCGATTGTAGACAACTCGAGCAAAGCCCCTAGCGACGCGGGAGAAGGACAAACCTCCTCGGCGAATTTTGGAGTCTCAGGTAGAAACAACTGGGTGAAATCTAAGGATGTTAGTGTCTTTCCCTTTTTATGTATCTATCTTTTGTTTCATTGAAACTCGATGCTAAGGAAATTCTCCAGATGCGAATGACCCAAACGGAATTACGCCAAGCTGGAACGAGCCACCACCTCGCAGCGCGACAAGTTGGTCCGGTGAAGCATCGCCCGGAGCAGCATAACTTTGACGACTTTTGTGAGCCAGACGACGACGATGACTAGGACTCAGGAATACGGAAAGGCATATTTGCCTGAGACACTTTTGTCTTTTTGCTTTTTAATCATAATAGTTGATAGCACCCAGCAGTGAAGCGGGATACCAAGGAGATTCATAGATATGAGATGATGGCGTTCGATTTAGTCTAAAATCGACGATGATGCTACGGATGATATATTTGTACATCTTTTTCCATCCTAGTTGTAGCGTCTGAAGCTAGTGAAATCTGCAACAGAAGTAGTTTTCGTCGCAGGTTGAAAAAGCACCTACTCGTAGGACATGGCCAACGCCAACGCGACTTAGTCTTCATCGCCAAGATATGCTCATACATTGTAAATCATCCATTGTAATTTTACACCTTTGTATAGCCCCCCTCAAAAACCCACTCCATCATGGATCCTATTTTCCCCTCCTTCTCCTCCTTCTCCTCGTCGTAACCTGCGTTCTGAATCAATGAAATTGCTTGACGTGTTAGATGTACCTTGCTTTGGCTGGGCTATTCGAGCCGAAACAAGAATGAACAACTTGACACGGGATAAATAAAAAATAAAAAATAAGAAAATAAACATCATAACATTGGTTTCTTTTCGGTTGTCCTGTCCTGTGCTGCCCTATTCTTTCCTATCCTATCCTATCCTATTCAAGTATATATGTTCAAGTAGTATTTCGTTACATGGTTGACTTCCTTCCTTTGGTTTTGGGTGGAAGAGATGGTATAAGATTGATTCGAAATAACTTTGACAGCTGCCTTTTTATAATAGGCGAGTAGTTATACATTTGTGAGTGTGTGTGTGTGAGTGTGTGTGTGTGTGTGTGTGTGTGTGTGTGTTGCTTGTAGGACTGCTCCTAGCTAGATAAAACGGTGTGTGCTCGGTCTACAATGCTTGTGTGAAAATGCAATGCAGGCTTTGGGGGGTTAGAATACCTTCTACTTCCCATGTTGTTGAAGCGTTTCGCATTGAGTGTACGTTAGTGTTTGTGTGTGTATGTGTGAGCGTGAGTGTGCGTAAGGGAGAGAGAGAGATGACGATGCCTGGTCTCATCATTATCCCCACACTTGGGTTTTATTCTTTTTTTTAATTCAAATCTTATAGTTGCTTATCGTCCTTGTTGAGAAAGCTGCTTGGAGGCGCATTCACCACCGCCTCAGCGTCCCCCACCTGTCGACGCTCAGTCACTTCGCGCGAGCTGCTCTTGAGCCTGCTGCGAATGCTGAGCGCCGAGGAGGTTCTAGCGTGGGCGGTGCTTAATTGCTATTGGAGAGGTTCTGACGATGAGGATAGGCGGTTAAGGTGGAGGTAGACGTCGGTGCCGTAACTAAGATTGGGGAAAAAAAAGGGGAGATAGGTTAGTATACGCATTTATTTTCTCAAAACTAGCGGTGAAGAGGACCTGCATGTCATGCAGGTCATAGGATCATAGGACCAGTGGCAGAACTTACCCTTCCATGCTGATGAGTTTTAAATCGCCGCCAAAGTACCGGGCATATAGTCGTGAGATGGGCAAGCCGTATCCGAAGCCCGCCATGGGGGCCTTGAAGTCGCTCTTGTCGAAATCTGGATCGAGATTGGGTGTGCGATCGACGGTGGTGTACATGTAGGTCCATACGAGGGGAATGGCGCTTCTTGCAATACCGCCGCCTTCGTCGGAGATCTTGATGGTGATGTCTTCTTTACCTTCGGCAACAATGACCTTGGTGACGGGGAACTCTTGCTTGTCCATGCCGTGGGTCTCGACAACGGCGCGCAGGGAGTTCTTGAGGGTCTCGAAGAGCATGTGCGACAGATGGCCGGGGACGTACATGAAGTCTAGGTTGGGGTTGCATACCAACTGGATCCGCGGGGCTTCGAACAGGCCATAGTGGTCCTCGCAGACGAAGCGGGCGTTCTCAATGGCCTCCTGCGCGAGCTCCTTGACGTTGGTCTTGGTGCAGATGACGCCGACGTAGGTGGGGTCGCGGTGGTGGCTCTGGTCGGTCAGGGCAATGTGCTGGCCGATGAGCATGCGGATGCCGATGCGGGACATGTAGAAGCGGTCGAGGAAGGACTGGATGTTGGAGTCGATTTGCATGCGCTGGCGGCGGCGCTTGTACTCCAGGATGCCCTGGGCCATTGTAGTGACGACGCTGTCGTGCCGCCTCTTGATCTTGTGCAGACACTGGGCAAACTTTTGGTTGTAGAGCTGCAGCTCGGGCGGCCAGTCGCCGTTGTCGTCAACGGTCGCAAAGTATCTCCGCGCAACGGATCGGGCCTTTCCATGGCCGTTTCCATTGCCATTGGAGTGGCCGTTACCATTGGCATTCAGGTGGAGGTTTCCCCAGCCCGAGGCCTCGCCCTCGTCAATGGATGGATTCGGCGTTGATTCGGACAGCTGTGCAAAGCCGCGCGAGCCATATTTGGCCGGCTTCATAAGTCGTTCCTTTGTTTCCTTGGCGAGCTTCGGTCGAGGCAGCTGGGTGATTTCCTGTTCGGAGGGGAATCGGACTGCAATTAGCCTCGGCACAGCCAAAGCAAGACATTACACGTTGCGCAGACGTACCTCGAAGGATTGGGCATACCAGTCCTTGACCTTTTGCACCGACGGCATGTCGTTGAGCCCGTCGGGCAGGGTTTCCAACTCCTCGACGCGATGCGCCAGGCGGATGGGCAGCTCCTCGGCAAGAAACTGTGAGGCGCGGAAGAGGGTTCCTGAGGCGATGATGTCAGCACGGCTGAAGGTTGAAGCGGCGCAACGACTCAATCAGGGCAATGGATCAGGCATCGCGAAGGAGAGAGAGGACAACGCACCTGTGGACGGCTTATCGCCAAACTGCACCATCTGGCGCAGACTCACGCCGGTTGCTGGAAACCTGGCATAGTGGCGGATGGTGTCCATCAGGGTTTCGGACGCCCGCCATGACATGATGGGCGCTGGCGGGGGAGCAGCGGCGCGCGCGCGTTCCCCCGGAGATGGAAGAGAGAATTGGATGTTTCAGAGGACAGCGGATGCAGAGGGACACGCCGCAGGCAGGTGGTGTCGAGATGCGCAATCAATGTGAGCCGAGCGTGAAGAAGAAGAGTAGCAAGGAGTGCGTAGTAGAGGAAGAGGTTTGTGAGGGCGAGACAAGATGAGGGGCTGCCTTTAGAGAGGGATTGCAAGGCAGGCCGAGGTGAAGCTGCTGCTGCGGTGGCACTGCTGGAGGAAGCGTAAGACGCGGCGCATAAGAAAATGGACAATTCCAACAAACACGCAGATGGCAGCGTGTCTTTGTCTCTGGCTTGAAAGCCTCGTCTGACTCTTAAGTTGTGGCGACGAGCGATTGCGGCCCCGCGGAAGCTACTAAGGTTAAAGCAGTAGCTGGGCGGTAGCCGAGGATGTGCGGGACAAGGCCGGAGGGATCGTGCGCTGCTGCTGGCTGGGCCGGGGAGGGGGGAGAGCTGATGCGTGCGATTATGTATATAAGGTGGGCATGTGCAATGGACGATATCTACAGCATGTAGGCATATATATACGCACACACATATATATAAAGTTGCAAAGAAAAAAGGGAAATTTTTCATAAATAGCAACAGCACAAGGAGGAGAGAGCGAGGTTGGAAAAAGGAGACGCAGTGGTGCAGATGGAAGAGACTTCCTTGCACGAGGCTACAGGTGACAGCGGCTACCACCACAATGAGTGACGTCGAGGTTGGCGGTCGTCGGTCATGCGAGCCGTTTCGTGCCCCCCAGAGACAGGCCTACCAGGCACTGAAAGCTGACACTAGCGGTGCGCCGTGGCGGTCCCAGCGGCTAATGCAGGTGGAGCCCCGGCGGGCACAGTGGCCAAGAGCCCCCAAGGACCGTGCTGGAATATTCATTTGCAAAACCTGCCACTTCTCGTCCAAGATCACTTGATCCCATCAGCCAATGCCGTCCGTCTTGTTGACCGCCAACTCGGGCTGGATCGTATCGCCATCGCATCTCGGCTCGTCTCATCCAGATCCCCTTCTCTTGGCCTCTTGGGCCCCCTTTTTGAACTTGCTACGATACTGCTAGTACTACTACTAGTATTTTGGTACCCTGTATTTTGGTACCTGCTGGCACTAGCATTGTCTGGCAGTGCTTGTATAGGACAAGCCCTGGCGATGGCTTTTTGTGAAAGCATAGATTGATGGCTGCTTGCGTGCATTTCCCTGCATACCTAGCCTTGTAATACCACGCCCGCCCGTTCATTCGTCCATCTCGTCCATCTGTCGGTCTGAAGGAATCTGCACAATCGTTCTAGACAATAAACACCACAAACGACGAGAAGCACAGTGCGGCCACAGGCACCAAACAAGGTAGCACCACGGACAAACGGGAATATTGGCACGAGAGACGTGCGCCATCTCGCCATGCTCCGTCAGGCACGCCCATCCTCCCGGCGTTGCTCAACCTGAGGTGAAAAATTAATTTGCATTTGTCCCCCCTTTGCAATTTTTCCTGGTTGTTGGGAAACCCAACGATTGGTCGCAGCTGTCTATAATAATAGAATAGAGAAAAAGAAGAGGGACCAAAACGCCTGACGTGAGAGATAAGAAACTTACCACGGATCTGGTCAGCCCACCAGTCTTTCGGCGTCGAATCTGAGCAAATCTTGGTGGCCTTACCTCAGCTTCCGCCACCGCTAGGGGGCAATTCAAAAAGATGTCCTCGGAGATTTTCAGCAGTTCCTAGTCGTAATACGACCCAATACTCCGAGTACGTCTTGTAATCCAGGGCCAGTTTTCACCTGTCGTGCATGAATCTAGAATATCGGTAGAGACTCGGTAGTCGGTGTCTAAAAGGCCTCCCCCCCGGTAGACACATGATTGTCACATGGAAAGTGGTATGGAATAGAAAACAGAATCCGCTTCAGATATCCAGGGTTGCCAGTTTCGAACTAGGTCTGGTTGGTTAATATCAATACCTACCATCTACATCTCTGGTGTGCTCTGATTGTCAAAACGCTAGCTAATCAAGCTCATCATATAGTGCCGAAGTAGTTATGTATTTTCATATTCTTCATCCAGCTTACCGCTTTTGATCAATTCAAACTGGATGGCCTCGATCAATATAGGTAACTGTAATTGTCTTCGGCCATAGTATTGCTCGCCGAAGACGCAGCAAGATCGACTTCAACAGAGGTACCAAGCGCTTAATGGATACGGCGTGTCCTGCTGCTCCTGGCAGTTGGAATTGATACGTGTAAAGGGGTCTGCGATTGCGCGCGAATATTAAGAAAAATCCTTAAATATAGGTATAGGTAGTATTTCAAGACAGAAGCAGTTACACCTATAGGTTAAGGTACCTATATGTAAATAGTTAGTCTTGAGGCTCCCCTGAATTACAGCTACATGTTAATGAAATTCTGTAGTCTCAGGCCAGTACGGAACTTAATTTCCATCTTCCTGCTTTTCTGCGGCGACTTTGAACTTGAAATCTGTTTACTGAATGCTCGATTTTCTTTCTTGCTTTGGCGGATGGGTATCGGAACCGTTTCTTGGTGTATCGGGATGCCTTGCAACAATGCTAAATAACGCGACGAGGCGTTGATGACGGCCTTCTCCAATCAACAACGACCTTTACAGCGTCAGACTCTGCAGCAGCTTGTAAGGCAGCATTTCACTCATCAAAGCTGTTACGTACGCTGCTACTCTGTTGCCTCTACCGTTTCCATCACTCCTATCACATATACCTATATACTGGATGTTATATAAAATGGAGACCTTTTACACACTTTAGCGCTATATTTCTATTTGTGTATGCATGTTCATTTTGCGTCGCTGATTTTTTTTTTGTCTTCTCCTTGGATGCGTCTTTGGCAGCTGATAAACTACTAGAGGTGATCCGGCTTAGCCTGTTTCCACAGCGGATCATCCATTACCCGAATGAGTCGCAACGAAGGGGGCATCTGCATTGGCATCAGCATCACCAGCATCCGCCTCTGCCGCAGCAAAACAGCGGTGATGCGTTTTTGCTAAGCTGCTGTGCTGGACGCTACGAGAGCTCCCATTCGTGCTTGTACCTACTCCTGCGTCGTCATTCCCCACGGCTGGCTGGGGCAGGCAGCACTAATACTGCTGCTACGGTATTAGCCGTCTGCAAAAGCTTCGCTTCTATATGTAAGTGCATAGGGGCTTGTGCCTCATGCGGCCGCCCCTTGCTGCAGAAATCTCTGGGTATCTTATTCGATGGAGGGGCACAGCGTACAAAGCAGGGCATATGCTAGCACGTATTTTGAGAATACGGTGTACCAAGTGCTGGTCTCTGATGTACGGCGCTTGCATGTTGAAGCGCCATTGCCGAAAACACGAATGTCGTCCAATGTAAGTCCAAGCACATGTATGCAGTGTAGAGTAGGTGCTAGGAGCTTTTTTGATGCCGTAAATCCTGCACGACAAAATGCCCATTTAATTGGAAAAATCAGGCACCACTTGAGCCCCACCGTAGCAGTTGGTACAGTATTTACAGCTCCGTTTTCTTGTTGGAGATTGCTGATGAAATGCTGCGTGCCGTGCAGTAGAGTGCATGTGGCTAGGTGAGGGCGTATCGCCGCCCCGTCCAGTCATGTACACAGATGATACGGTATGATGTGATGCCAGCAAAACGTGGCTGGGCCATTGCATGCCTTGTCTGCGACCTCACCTACAGCACGCTGCATATAATTCAGAGCATCGCGGCGGCTGGAGGTCTCTGGGCGGCCATGAGGTGCGGACGTGGTTGGGACGCCTCCTTAGAGGGGATCCCGGCATTAACGAAATTGGGTGGTTGGCAAAGCGTGAATAGCTAGCAATGTATAGCGCCAGCAGCGTTAACGCGTCCATCTGCCTGGGCGCTGCTTTCTTCTCTCTCTATTCCTTCTTCTCCTTTCATCGCGTCCTTCGTGTGCCTGAAAATGTCGCTTCTCCTTCTCACCTCTTTTCTCCCGCCCCTCGGCTCGTCATCTTTCACGTCATATCACGATATATCGAACCAGCGACGCCACGCAGCTTGAATACATACATACATGTGGCAAAGGCGGCCAAAGCCATCACATGGCAGTCTCTGCATCGAGTTGCCCGTCCAACCGCATGCTTTCTGATGGGACAGAGCCCGTCTGCCAATGACAGCCTCGTGCCAGCCCAGGCAGTCTGGCTGACGCAGGATTTGACTCTCATCGCTGGTGCCAGCTAATGCGCGATAGCAGGCGGCCGGCCTCTCACCGTCGAACGTGTGGCGCGCTTCTCATGCACGCAGCGAGAGGGTGTGGCGGTGCGAACCGGTTGCGAACCAGTCCGAGCGCGAGGCCAGGCAAACAAAACGCTGGATTAATTTAATTAATTTTTCTGGTGTCTGCCGGCGCGCTGCTTATCCATCCCTGCACACGGTTTTGCGGGTGGTGCGTGATGACTTGTCAAATCCCTGTTTGCGAGCACGGAGCTCCGGAGCCCCATTGATCCGCCGCCAGGCCTGGATGTACCCGTGCCTTGTACCTGAGCCAAACTCCTCCCCCAAAATCCTGCCAACCCGCCAAACGGCCTGAATTAGGGAGAGGCGGCTAAGAGTGTCACTTTTAGTCACAAACCTCCCCAGAGGCCAATGGGCATTTTCGTCCTCATCGCCATCCTCGACATCGCCAGCGACCTTCGATTCCGACGACAAGCCTCCGCAGCTGCGCCCGTCTGGCGTCCCGGTGCCGCGTGCTGAGGGGAGCCGACAATTGACAACAACAAGGAGACGCAAAGAGAGGGGGGCTTCGACACACACGACGAGAGAGGCTGGCCGGACAGCGACGCCCAACCATATCCCGGCAGTTCGCTGTGCCTTATTTTTCGGGGCGCTGCTGCGACGCCACACATTCCAGAGTCGGTGAGGCAGGCTCTCGAGTTCCCGACGCCGCCTGGCAGATATCGCAATGGGTCGACGGGATCATGACGAGGAGCGGCCAAAGGTGCTCGAGTCGATGAAGCGCCGCACCAGCTCGGGCACCAGCGCTGGCAGCCGGACCAGCCCTAGCGCATTCCATCGCCGAGTCAGCAACCAGAGCCAGAGCACTCGCAGCACCAGCAGCGCCACCAGACGAGACAGCCTCGCCGGGTCCGAGACGCCGCCGCCGCTGATGCGGTCAAGTCCCAGCGTCGGGTCCTCCAGCTATGCATTTTCGGGGAGCAGCGTCCTGAGCCCCCTGCGAAGGGAGCTGGACGTCTCCCGCAGCCGCGAGGGCGACGTGCGGGCCGGCAAGCTGGAGCTGGCGAGACGCCTCAGCATGCTGGCACAGCGTCTGACGTACGGCGACAGCATGGAAGAGCTCATGGCGCTGGACAGCCAGGTCAACCAGATCGAGCAGGCCCTCGGCGGCGGCATCAGCACAGGCAGCATCTATGGGAGCCCGCCGCTGTCGCGAAAGCCTCGCCCGCTGAATCTGGAGACACCCGTGCGCAAGAACAGAAACAGCGACATGGACAGCAGCGCCATTTTCAGCTCACCGTCATCTCTGTTCCGCAATCGCTTTCCCGACCAAATGTCACCCACGCCCTCGTCATCCATCATGTATCATGATCGCCATGACGAGTCGGAGGAAGAAGAGGCCCCGCCACCGAAAAGCGGAATGACGGCGGCGCAGTCCAACAAGATCATTGGAGAGTTGATAAAGCTGAATGAAGAGCTCGACACCGTGGTGACCAATCTCACAGCCCGCCAGGAAGAGTCCGACGTGAGTATTTTCTCTTCATCCTCTCATTTCATTTCATCTCACTCTATTTTTATTTTCGTCTCATTTTCCTCATTCGTCTCCGCCACCACTCTCATTTCCGCACACACACACACACACACGTAAATACATATATGCTGACTGGACCGTCGCAGCACATTCATAGGTTGTTGGTTGAACGGGCTGAGCGTGCTGCCCAACGTATCATTTTCCTGCAGAATCGCATTACTTATTTGTAAGCCAACCTTTTTGTTCCCACTTTTCACTTTCCGCTATGCATTTTCGCATTTTGCATTGCATTTCATTTTATTCATGAACTCACACACTTTATAGGGAAGACGAACTGCAGGAAAACGACAACGAGCTAACAAATCTCCGCGTCTGCCTCAAAGCTGTCGAGATTCAGTTACCACCCCATCCAGACAAAGAATTACTGCGATCCTTTTCCGTCTTCAAGGAAGGCTATAGGGCCTATAAGAGGAAGCGTGCCCTTCGTTCTGCTAGGGTTAGCAACCTGGGTTACGATTCTTCAATTGCCTCCTCTTCATCAGCGAGGTGAACGCTGCCTATAATTCCACGAGTATGACTAAAAATAAGATTGCCGCCGCCGCCATCAATCAGCGGCGCTCTCACGATATTCGAAGTCGTCTACCACCAGAGAATTATGGGAAGCGATCCGACCAGGACTGACTTACGATAATGACGCAAGGCAACGGCGTTTTCTTTTGTTTGGATGGAGCGAAATGATAAAACGGGCGATGACGACTATGCTTTTCTTTTTCCACGATATGATTCACGAGACATCGATTTTACCAACCCTCCCCCCAGCCCTTGCTACGGCCTATTTCATTTTCGGTTGATGCATCTTTGTTTTTCTTGAGGATTTGAGTGCATCCCTATCTCCTTTTCATTATGGGCTGGGGCAAATTTTGGAACATGACAGACTGATTATATTTGCCCCCCTTTCTCTTTTCTGAACCTGCATGGGACACATTTTGTTCCATGACTGAAGCAGAAGCAAAAGCAAAAGCAAAAGCAAAGAAAAAAAAAGCGAAGCGAGCGAGCATAACAGATTGAATTGCGACCTTCGTTCTTTAATTCATTTTGTCCTTTTCACCCTTCTTTTCTTTTTTTTCTTTTGCCAGCATTTTTCCCCTTCTACCCCCGAAAACATGCAAAAAATCGATGGAGTCTATGTAATGGACGAACAAAAGCTACCATAATGTGGCCGACCTCTGTCAAACCCATTGTTGTTTTCCACAATTTTTCTTTTCTCATCACTGAAGTACAATGCTCTGTGACACACTCTTTATTCCCCCAATTTTCCTTTTTTTGGGTCACCCTTTAAAGAGTGATTATTGTGTAAATCTTTTTATTACCATTTTTACAATCCTTTTCCGGCTGAGATGGAAAGAAGGAGAAGAAGAAGAACTCGTCATGGTCTTTGTGAGAGGATGCACATGATTGACTCTCTTTACCACTCAGCCTCAATGAAAAGTAAAACAAATCGGGCAGGCATAGTGATGGGCGCAAGGCTGTTTTTATTCCCACGGATCGTTTTTGCTGTCATTTCCACATCTATATTGTTTGCTTCTTTCTTGTATTTAGTGTATGCGTTGTCTTTTATCTGTTTTTGTTTTACAGCTACAATTTGGGCATCGCATCAACAAAGTGTTTGTGTCTTGCGAGCGGAATATGACATTATTGCTTTGATTTCTTGTTTGTTTTTCTGTGGCAAATTGATATGCGCCCAGTCCCCCCTTTTTATATGTTTATACCTTTCACGTATAAATATTCTTTTCTGCCTGAAATTGTTAGCAAAGGGCGGGAAAATTGGTCAAGATAGTGGAGAAGGAGATATTAATGAAGTGGCTGTTATTCGTATTGAAAATATCAGAAAGAGAATATTTGTGTGAGGAGGAAGAGACGAGATGAAGAGAAATGAGGAGTCTAAGTGGGAAGTGAGAGAAAAAAAGCAAAACAGGGAAAACTAAAAAAAAAAAAAAAACATACACAAAGATTCCCGACCTTAGACATCTTTTTCTTTCTTCATTTCAATTATTTTTTCAATTTATTATTAATATCCTAGATATAAAAACAAGCTATCGCTATTGATTATGCTATTCCAATCTTTTTGATCCACTGCAACGCCCCAATATCCTTTGCCTGTAAATCGATTCAATCTTCTCTCCCAGGCAAACATAAAATACATGAAAATCCCATCGGGATATAAATAAGTAAAAAAAAAAAAAAAAAAAATGAAAGACTAACATCACCTTTCAGCCACGCTGCCTCTCCTCTCTCTCTCCCTCCGTCGCTCATCACTTCTTCCAGAGCTATATCTCTGCTCTACCGACTCGCTAGGGCTAGATGCCCTGTATCGTCTGCTTCTATGACTGCGCCGTCCACTGCTCGACGGAGGAGGCGACCTCTCGCGCGGGCGGGAAGATCGATGACGGGAGTCGCGTTCTTTGGAGCGAGATGTGCGGTGGTGATGCTTGGACGAGGAGGAGGAGCTTGAGCCGGAGGTGGAAGATGGCTGCTGCTGCTGCAGCTCGGAGTGGGATTTGACGACATCTGCGGGTATGGACGAGGATGTCGAGAAGGAGGATGAGGATGGCGATGTGGGGGATGCAGAGGAAGGGTAGATGATGGAAGATGGACGCAGGCGTGTCTGGTCGATGTAGCAGGCGTCCTTGTGGCGGCGAGTATCTTCCTTGAGGGCCTTGCTCGCCGCTGGAGGGAGTTTCTGCAGCGAAGCCGGGATATTAGAGCTGAGTGAATAGGCAAGCGGGTGAGGAGGCGGCACTTCAGGAGGCGGGACAGGCACTGTTGTCGTGATTCTGTTCCACTCTGAGAAAGACGAGGCCAGCAGGTCAAAAGCCCGAGCGTGGCCTCTTTCAGGGAAGAGCTGCCGAGGGAGTTGTCTGGGAAGAAGAAGAAGAGGCCTCTCGCCAGAGCTGCTGCTGCTGCTGGCCCTTACGGGACTCCTGCTGCTGTGCCTGTTATCGTCTGCCAGGAGGGGGATATCGGCGAGGACCATGTCCAGCCGCTTGGCCTCGCGGTCGGGGAATGCGCGGATCAGCAGCGTCATCCAGTCCTCGAAGCCGGTGGGCGTGAGGGACGGGATGATGGGTTTGGCGGTGATGGATTCTTGGACGAGGTGGTGCTCGCAGCGGAGGTCGGTGAAGAGGAATGAGAGGCCGCGGAGGGATTTGTGGTAGCGGGTGTCGAAGACGCCTGTGATGAAAGAAATGAGTACGAGTATAGATGATATGTGGGGGGAAAAGGGGGGGAGGCAACGTACGTTGGAAGGGGAAGAATTCATTGTCGAGCTTGTAGCGGGTGTAGAACTTGAAGAGCTTGTCGGGGGTGATGACGAGGGAATCTGTGGGGGAGTACTCTGCAATCTGAAAGGTTCGCATATAGTATTAGCTTTCTGTGCCCAAGGAGATGTATATATATACATGTATGTCTTTGTGTGTGAGAGAGAAAAAGGACTGGTTATAACTTACAATGTAGTTTGCCAAACCACGGAGAAATCTGCCCAGTGCAGGAGTAGGCTCATCCCTCTCGTTAAACAGTGCTCCCCATGTAGGAGTCTGTCTCTCAGACACAACAGGAGGCCTTGGCTGAGAAGGCAGCGAATGAGTTCGGTATAATTCAGGTTCACGCTCAGCTTCCCGCTCAGGCTCGGGCTCGGGCTCGGGCTCAGGCGGGTCGGTGATGTAGTGTATAACAGGGGGTTGTTTGTCGGAGAAGTGAACTGTCGGGCGAGGAGACAGGCGAGGATCCTTTGGCTCGGCGGGGGGAGGGGATGAAGCCGTGGTGGAGTATGAGGACTGGCTGCTGGGGGAGGACATGGCCGAGTCTGTGGAGGAGCTTGACGAGAGTGAAGAGGAGCGGCTGAGCGGTTGGGAGGTGCCGTCTTGAGCGGTGTCTTGAGATTCAGGCTCTGATGCTGAGTCCTCGTCTTCATCGTAGTCTTCCACGGTGGGCTGGTAGCGCTTCATGGAATCTTTCAGAGAGGCGGCATCATCGTCATCATCATCGTCGCTGGACTGAGAGGATGGCGTGGGAGGGCAGTCATCAGAGACGCTGTGGTCTGAGGCGGCGTCATTGACTGTATAAGTTGGTTAACATTCGTTTATATGTATTAAAAAAAGGGGAAATTCTCATCTCATGGATCTGACTTACGCTCTCCTTTGACCTTGGCCACAAGCTCATCCAGCCACCGTGCGTTCCACTCCTCAATGGCAAGGCCCCTGACGACCTCTTCGACCTTCTTCTCCTTCATCTCGGACTTGTCTTTGCCGTGTGAAGAAGAGGGTGGAGAAGAAGGAGAAGGAGAAGAAGATGTGGAAATCTCGTTCTTGGTCATAACGTGCGATAGAACAGACTTGATGATGTCTCTGTACGGAAAAGACGACCGTCTTGAAGGCGCCCTTCGTCCAGACCCGACAGAGGCAGCGTCGTCTGAGAGGGCCTCTTTATCTTCGTCTTCGTCTCTCTTCCGCTCTCGCCTTTGTCTTTGTCTTGAAACGGCGGTATGGCTCAAAGGCCGGCCATCCAGCTTCCCGTCACCGCCGCGCGGCGTTGGCGAGGTTGTGCTCCCATCTGCCGCCGACGGCAGAGGTCCGTGTAAGACCGTCGCCTCGGTAGCCATTTGATGTGGGTTACGGGGGCACGGCAGAAATTCTGGCACCACCAGGAGAAAAAAAATTTGAAGAAGTATCTGCGGCAGTCGAGCCGGGGGAGAATGACAAGAATTTTGTTATCGGCAGTTGATGGTTGGGCTTTTTACTGTTTGATAGGCGGAGATAACCAGGAGAGAGGGTGGCAATATAGAGGAGGACACAGCGTTAGAGGTCCTAGGAGAGGGGTGACTAGATAGAAGAAGGGTTGTTTGTGTAAAGAAGAGGTTGAGAGAGAAGATGGAAGATGTGTATGAGAAGTGATTTGTTTTTTTTTTGTTGAGTCTGGTCGGAGGTTTGATTGCAGCTCTCGGGATTCACAAGGACGGGAAGCACAAAGAAATAAGAGGGAGGGCGATGGGGAAGCACACGGCAAATTATATGAAATTGATGAAGTGTCAAAAGAAGATAATTATAAAAAAAAAAAATGTCAGGCCAGATCAGGTACCCAAGTGGAAGGGGCAGTGAAACCGGCGGCTAGGAGGATAAAAAAAATTATAAGAGAAAAAGGAGGCACAGAGTCAAGCGTGTGGGAAACACAACATGATGACATCGCAGCCACTCTCTTGATCAAGAAGCTAACACTAGGATGTAACTTTTTCCCTTTTCTTTTTGTCTACCCTTGGACGCGCCGGAGAAAAGAGCTGCGCGCCTTTCTTGGGAGAAACAAGTGGACGGACAACCTGGTTTGCCTTGGCCAAGGGTATCTGGTACCTACTGCGCGCAACATGAGACTACGTGGTCGAGCAGGGTTCCAAGGCATTGGACAAAGAGTGCTGTTTGGAGGGGGACGCCCTTTGAGGCGAAACAGTCACCAAAGAAAAAAGCAGCCAAAAAAAGATTGGTCACGGCACCCCCCCTCGTGGAGACTCGGTTTTACAAAAGGTACAGTATGTCTGTGGTACAGTACAGTACAGGGGTTTGCTATTTTGGCCAGCCTCTTCTCTCAGTCTCTCTATCTCTCTCTCCATGTACCTGTTTTTTTGACAGGGGACAAGGGGCGAGTTTTGGGAGACGACGGCAAACGACGAATGCGCTTCGGCAGCGTCAAGAGTGGCTGCGTTTTGGGTGAGACAGGGGGGGAAGAGAGAGCCAAAGAAAAGAAAGGAAGCGATTTGCATCATGATGGGCCCTGCGGCGATGGGGCCGTGCCTTTTGATATGTGTAGGAGTTGGGTTGGTTGGGCTGCTGTGGCGGGAGTTGGGCAGGGCCCGCTCGAGATGATGTAAGTGGGCGATGGCGACGGTGCCTGTCTGTAAGGGAGGCTGATGGTACCTGCGGGATGGCTGGCGATGGGGTGTCTGTACGTGTACCACTGAAGAAGCAAAGAGTCAGATGCCAAAGTCATTGCCGTGCTGCGGTGGCATCTTGTAGATGGAGGTAGAAGCTCGTGATAGTCTGTCTCTTGTTTGCCTTCACTTACATGACTAACTACTGCCACTTACACCACCACGAACCCTCATCACAGCCCAACTGAATCCTTCTCCTCCTCAATATTCCCCCTCTTCAACCCAAACCCAAGAAATCAAAGCGAAAGAAAAGCATCACAAGACTGCCCAAGTGCCAGGATCATCCCTCTTGTCAGTCTTCTCCTCTCCTCTCCTCCCAGCCAGCACCACTTGGAACGTAGAAAACGCCAAGCAACAGCCCGGCCTGTCCACTCACGGACCTCGCCACAGCCCGCAAAGCCTCGCTCTGAATGGCCCCTGGTCCCTGTCCGGTGATTCGCTGGCCTGAGCCCAGCATGATTAGTTCCAGTCCAGTCCAGCCAAGCCTAGTCTGCAATAGTACTAACCGGATGGCCCTGTTGGCCCTGTTTTTGCTGCGTTTCTTGCTGTAGGGATGACTCCAGCATTGCAGTGTAACGATGAGGTAAGTCGGGGATTGGCCTGGAGCTGCTGGCTGCCGTGACACGTCCACCGTAGAGCAAAAAAAAAAATCTCACGATTACTGCTGCTGGGCTGCGTATCGCATTACTGCGGTAGTAGGTCGTATTTCTTTTCAGCTGCTGTGGACTTCTGTCGTCATACCCTCACTCATGTCGGCTCTTCGCCTTCTTTGTGCATTGTGCTTTAATGCAATGCATTATTCCGCGTTCCTCCTATGCAGGAATTTCATACTAACACCTAGCTATCATTCATCATCCATAGTCATCAGCCATTTTGATATACACTCTTGCATAGAGACTTACACCCGCAACACATCATGCTCTACGTGCTGCACAGGCAATGACTTACACCACGCATATCATTACACTCTGCATACCCCAATTCCATAGAGATCATCCCCGTCCTCATCCTCTACACAAATCACCACCGGGAGAGCTGAAAATCTTCCCCTCTCTCTGCCAGCCACTAGCTCATAAACCCAGCTATCCCTAGGCATGTGGTATTATTAGTCCCTTCTATGTATGTATGTACATGCATCCATGTACCCTAAACCATCATCATAGGGGACCCCTCCATCATCCGCATCATCAACTTCAACCCTGGACCTTGTCCAGCGCCGATCGCCTCGCCCAAAAGGAAAAACGCAACAACCACAGACGACCACGTATCCCCTTCCATCCCGTTATCTCTACATACATTACAAAGAGGCAAGGCAATAAAATGGCAAAACGATCAAAAAGCCATTGGCGTGCAGCCACCCGTTTTACCCATCGTTCGCCCGGCCCGATACAGCTAAACCAAGATGGAAAAAACTTGGATAAAACAAACTAGCAGACTCCCTCACATGCACTGCGTTAATATGTACCTGAGCGTAAAATATGTATGAAAATGGGGCAACGCATGAAAAGTATGTTCCGGAAGGTGAAATATCCGCAGGAATATACGAGCGCATCACCAACATCTTACTGCTTCCTCTTTCCCCCTCCCCCCTCTCTTTCAAGATAGACACGAGAGAGGCAAAAAAAGAGGATAGCTGCAGCTGTCTAGGCCCAAGACTAGATTCAACCCGGACACACTCTCTCCGCATGATGCCAGTTCATGCATCGCGTAGCTTCACTTTCCTTTTTTTGCCACTAGCGAAAAGAGCAAACGACGCAGGTGCCAGCTCTGTCTCTTGAGTCCCCGTCTAAGCCATTAGCAGCAGTAGTAAGCATGTATTATGCAGCTTTGGACTTTGTAATGATCCCATTTTGAGCCTTGTTTTGGATATAGGCGAGCGAGAGAAGAGAGTGGAGATGGTGACAACAACCAACAACACACAAAGAGGAGTAAAACAAAGTGAGGCTGTTCTAATCTCCTAGCTCAACTGCGTCTAATTGGACCACACTCCGTGCTGTCATTCGCCCTCTCTATTCCCCCCCAGTCCCGAAATTCCATTACTTTGCATATACGGAATTGAGAAACAAAAAGCAGTAAAAACATACAGTAATAATAAACCACTGTAAAAGAGACAAGACAAGACGTGCATGCATGGATGCATGTGCAGGTTACAGCAAGGCGAAAATGGATGCTACTGTCCCTATCTTCCTTGCCTTGCAAGACCGCCTGAAACAAAAAAAAATGATCAATCGACCAAAAGACCCGGTTTTACCAAGGATTCGTAACATGGCTTGGGCTTGTTGGACCGGTTTACTGCAGGGTTCGGACAAGTCCAGCAACCTGGATGGAGATGGAGGCGGACATGGAGATTTGAAATCGATCGAATCATCGACGTGGATACAGCGCATGTATGTACGTGTTCATGTATGTTATGTGGGTGATCGAGAATCTGCAAGACATGAGTCGCAGGCAGCAGGTTGTGCAACTCGATAGGACTCATCGTGAAGCGTGATAGATGAGGTTGCATGAGACTCTTGTGTGGTTGCACCTTGGATCAGTTTTTTTTTTGTTTCTTCCTATCTCCGTCTGCTATCTATGGCCTAATAGTACTAGCTAGCTATCCAAGAATAAACCCATGGGATAAAAAACAAGAAAAGGGATACCAAAAGAGACAAAAATAATACTACAAGTTTGCACTTCCGTAGTAGTAGTAACTCCGGTCGCTCACATGTCTAAACACAGACACAGACACAGACACAGACAGACACAGACACACAAGCAGGCAGACAGACAGATGCGGGCAAAAACTCCGTACTCACACACGTGCACTCGCACTCACACTCACACTCACACTCGTCGCCTCACTCTCATCATACCTTGTACAGCAAGTCGAGGAACCCTGTCGCCAGGTCAACAACCACCCCCTTGTTCGGCAGCGATCCCGCCACGCCGTACAGCGCCGCCGAGTCGCCCATTGCCTTGCCCTTGGCCCCCTTGCCCTCCACCAGCCTGACCCTCTCCTTCTCGCGCTCCTCCTCCACGACCGTCTCCAAATCAGCAACCAGCCGCTCCCACACCTTCACTATGGGCATGGTCACTGCGACGTGGATGGCCGGTGGGCTCTGCAGCGCGTTAAGGTGCCAGCCCTTGGATGACATGCCGTCTGCGATATCGTACACGTTGAGCGTCTTGGACGAAAAGGCGACAACCGACACCAGCGGCTTGCCGATGAGGTCTAGCTCGCCGCCGAGCACGGGGCCGTTCTCAATCGCCTCGGCAATCTTCTTGGTGGCCCCCACAATCTTGACGCAGGCGTCCACGTAGCCCGCCTCACCCAGGCGCATCATGCTGGCCCAGCAGCCGGCAATCAGCGCTCCTGGCCGTGATCCTGCCAAGCCGGGCGAGGCGTAGACGCCGCCTGCCCAGTCGGGAGACACAAAGTACTGGTATGATCGCAGCTCGGCGTTGCGGTAGAGCACCGTGGAGCTGCCCTTGGGGGCGAAGCCGTACTTGTGCGTGTCGCAGCTGATACTGGTGACACCCTTGAGGCGGAAATCAAAGGGCGTCGACTCAAAGCCAGCCTTTTCAAGGTTGGCAATGACAAAGGAGCCGAGGCAGCAGTCCACGTGAAGGCAGAGCTTCTTGCGCAGTGCGAGCTTGCTCAGGGCTGAAATGTCATCGATGATGCCGTGGGGGAAGTTGGGCGCAGAACCAACAAGCATAACAGTGTTGCTGTTGATGAGGCGTGAGACGCGGCGAATATCTACCTGATACGAGGGAGCAGGGCAGTCTACGTAGTGAATCTTGATCTTGAAGTACTCGCCAGCCTTGCGGAAGGCCGTATGTGCGGTGGCCGGCAGGATCCTATACAATCATTAGCATACTATACCATGCCATAATTTGCAGATGGCACTTACATCTCAGGCTCCGTAACTCCACGCTCATTGTAGGCCTTTTGGCGTGCAGACAGCACAGCCATCAGGATACTCTCAGTGCCGCCGGAGGTTGTCACTCCAGCAGCTCCGACCGGGGCATGGAACATGTTGAGCACCATGCTCACAATCTCGGCCTCCATCTTGCGCACGCCAGGGAAGACATCCGGGTGGATTGGATTCGCCACGGTAAACTTGCCAAAGGCCTCGGCCTGCAGCTTGAGCAGCTCGTCCTCGCCATGGTACACCGCGCCAGACACAAAGCCATCCTCCCAGCGCGTATGGTCCATGTTGGCAAGGGCGTCGAGCTCTGCGCGCACCGCCTCGTCCGTCATGCCCTCCTTCGGCAGCGTCAGGTATCTCGTCTGGCCGGGGGGCACCAGCTTGTTGGACATCTTCTCGAGCGATTCCTTGACCTTCTTCTGCACCTGGCCGCGCACGCCCGGCGCGCGCAAAAAGTAGCCATAGAGCGTCCGTTCAATGTCGCGGTACAGCTCGAGGATGGCGCCGATGATGCCTCGGCCCTTGAGCTTCCACCACAGCCGCCGGGTATACCGGAGCACGAAGAAAAAGAAGAGGATGTTCTTGAGGCTGCGGCAGAGGAAAAAGAAGACGTCAGCAACAAGCGGATCCATCGCAAGCGCCGCAGAACTCACAGGTCCAGGTTGATCATGCGGAGGGAGAGCGCCTGTCGGCGGCGCTTGACGCTCTCCAGACTGCCGCGGAGGCTCTGAGGAATGCGTGAGCTCCCTGGCATCGCGGCGGCGTTGTTTTGCGTTCGTTCCGTCTATGCTCGTCTAACAGGATGCTGGAGCAGCAGAGAGATCAATTCAAACAGGCCGGCATTGCACAACAGCAAAAGAAACGGAAATATCACTGCATGCAGCGCACCTAGGGCGGGGAGAGAGACAGGGCAATAAGAGCGTGAGGAGGACAAGCTTTGACGGCCTAGCAGACAAACAGTTGAAGCAACTTGCCACTAACACCAGCTGCTCTACGTACTTGGATGTACATCCGGCCCGCGGCAAAGGTACCCCCGCCGCCAGATTACCGCTGCCGAGTACATGCTTTCCCGCAATCAATTCGTCCAAGCAATCAATGATGCGCGTGTTCCGTGTTCCGGGAAAGAGCAAGTGGTCTTCGTCTCGAACCTGCCCAATCCCGCGCCTCGGCTGGCACGTATTGGCCCCGGAAAATACCCAATACGGGATAGCGCTCTGATATGACGCCCGCCTTCACATGTCCCAGCGGGACGGCCGCTAAGCCGAGACGGGACTGAAGCGAAGGATAAAAAACCCGCGGACGCCGTGAGATGCAAAGCCAGAGGACATGTTTGGGCTTTGTGCATGGGGTTAGTTGTTTACAATCCGCCTTTTTTTGTTAATAAGATTTAGAATCTGATAGATTTAGTAGAATATATTAATGATTAGGTACTGATTATAAATAAAATACTGCAATGTCGAAAACTTGTTCAGCACGCCATGTTCATCCAAGCTCTGTAACCGGATGGACCTGTGTAAGTAGTCTGGGCTGGGGATTGAGTTTGCTGTTTACCCACTTCGGCGCCATGACATGTCAAATCGATACGAGTCCTCAGGCTGAATGCGGTCGAGAATATACGTGTCGCCAAGTATTCGACCATAAAATACAAAGTAACGTTGATTGTTGAGTTTTCGAAAGACGGGGGCATTGTCCCACCATCAAATTGCTCTCTGCATAGTGTGCTTGTACATACTCGGTCCTTGTTTTCTATTGTCTTATATATCAGACACATTATCAAGCGTCAATGGTAATAATATGCCACCTCATCTTAAAACACAAGTCAGATAGGCCAATGTCAAATCATTACTCCGACAGAGCACTGATATCCAGTATTCACATAGAGTAGTATTATCAAAAAAGTAGCCAAGCAGCTATAAGTAAAAGTACCCGCCCTTCCCCAAATATCAACCCATCCTCCACGCAGGACGAGTCCAATCAAAAAAAGTAAAAAAGACATAATTCATCAGCGTAATACCGTTTGCTTTATATATTGCCTCTCCTCCCCTCTCCTTCCCCATCTCCCTCCTGTTGGTAACAAACATCTTCGTTTTCTTTAGATACTCCAAATCGTTTATTTGCACCCCTCCCCTGTATCATCTCTTTTTCAAATGCTTGCCCAAATCTCTTTCTTCCAAAGCTGTCGACGACACAACACGTTGTCAGCCAAGATAAAACGCCGTGGATGTATAGACTCCAGGAAGGATATATGCTCCGAACGAACGCCGGGTTATTACGCAAGAGTATCTTTTTTGTTTTGCTTTTTTGCCTTTGTGTGTTTCCTTGCCGCCGCCGCAGTCGCCCGCCTTCCATATTTCCCAAGTATTTGTTTGTTCAATATATCTTTTTTGCCCATATTTTGCCTCCCAAACCTCTTCTTTTCCTGTGGTATTTTTTTTTTCTCCTGGTAAATAAGTGGAATGCTTGCTCTCCGTTTAGTTGCCGAAAGCCGAGCTCCATTTCTTGTAGTAACTTGACGATTCGGTTTCGCAGCTGCCCTGGCCTGACTTGGCACAGCCCCAAAAGTAGACCACAAAGTCGCCGTCTTGGTATGCATCGCCTTGGTCGGTGCGCGTGTACGGGCCGAGTGTGCGCTGAGGCACGAGCGCCAGCTTCGAGAGGATGGTGGGGTGCCATTGAACAATATGTTCCTGTATTTCCTGCATTAGTTCTGCCTTCTTCTCTTCTCCCCATTTGCTTGTTCTCAGCTTCACTCACCAGAGCATGTCTCTCTGCCTTTTGGAAGTTGTAGCTTCGGTACAGAGGGTCCATCCAAGTCTCGATGAAGAACTTGCTCCATTCGCTGTTCCTCACAATCACGCTCCCAGCCACCAGGCCTGACCTGTCCTGGCTGACGATGAGATCAACATTATCCGCCCTCAAGTGCGAGAAGGTTCTGATAATGCTGTCCGGAGGAACAACAGGGTAGTTCTTGATCATCAAGCCCTCCAGCTTCCTCTGGCCCAGGATATGTTCCTCCAATGACTTGTTGACGTCCATGATGTAAGCGTCCTGGTCAAGATACCAGATGAACTTGCACTCGGGGAATTTGGTCAATGCGTGTCGCATAGCCATGAGCTTCGACCAGCTCTGTGGCGCTCCCTGAGTATCGTAGTCGTAGGCCTTGACGATAAATGCCTCGTATCCTGTATTATATACTGCGTGTCAGTCATTTCTGCGCATATTGGAACAATGGTATAGCGTGTCTTGAGACAAGAAGCGACAGAGCAGAGAGATGAAGAAGAGGGGCAACCCACCATGCTTGGCCGCATACTGCTCTCGGTTCTCTCTGATTGTTTTTAGATAGGCGTTATTGTATGAAGTCGGGTCAATGACTGTCACAATGACAACTGGCGGCTGGCCTGAAGGCACACGCTCGCGATCAGGGCGAGGAACGCTTGGATTTGAAAACAGCCAAAGCAGCGCAAATATCGCAAACGCAACAATGCCAATGGTCCTGAGCCGACTCCTTCGCAAGCCGGGCAGTCTCGTGGATCTGGGTCGGAAGGGAGGCGGGTTGGAGCTCTTGCGAGCAGGATAGGCGTAGTGCATCTTGACGGTTCGAGGGGGGGATCTCGTATCTCGTATCCCCAACGCAGCAGCCTGTTTTGCCAAGGATTTGGATCGATTGAAGCGGTTTCTTTTCGAGTTCTTCTTGTTTCGTCTCGTCGCCGTGTATTAAGTCAGATTGTGCAGTCGAATCGCTAAATTGCAGAGGTGGCAGGATGCGAGAGTCGCTTCAAGGCGTCTTCTATCGTCCTGAGACCAGCTGTGCGACGGCCGATAAGGAGAGCGAGCGGAGGCCGGTCCGTGACAGCCACCGTCTGCAGCGTCCGTCGATAGAAGCTCGTGCGAAAGAAAAAAAAAATCAATAAAATCAAGAACCCAAATCGAATCGAATTAAACGAGTGGCGGGATGATTGTTACGGGCCGCTGCGAAAAAAAGGCGATTTCGCGCGCGGTGAGGCGATGGCGAACGACGATCCCTTATGACATTTGTACTGCTGCTATTATTAGGGGTCTCTTTTTTTCGGTCAGTGTTAGCTGGCCTGGAACACGAGGTGCCGGCGCCGGGAGTACGAATCGCCGGCCCAGCCAGTGCTTGCAAACGGCGCCCTGTCCTTGCGGCGTCGCCTCGTATTTTTGCTAGCACTGCATACGGACTCAGGCGCCGAAGCTGACGGGCTAGTACCAAGGAGGAGATGTGATTCAGGCGTTATCGCAGAGACGGGATGAGGCTGATAAGGGCGAGGCTTTTTCAGAACTATGAAGTGTACTTTGTACCTCGTGTTAGGCGGCATACGAGCTAGATGTACAAGTCGAAGCAGTGTCCAATCTACCTGCCATAACAACATCATTGATTAGGTACATGACACCTGAAGGACTCAACAGTTTAACGGGTATAATGGTTACATTGAAAAACAAGAATTATAGTAAATCATAAATTATACAATCAACACTCTATGTAACAAAATGTGCCGGGCTGTCCAAATGATGCTGCTTCAAGGTAGGTGTACTATGGCGTACGGAGCAGATACTCGCTGGAATCGCAGTGTCTTGAATCCCCAAGGGGCTTCTCGAGCACGCAAAAACGCACCGGCAAATCTCATACCATGCCAGCGGACAAAGAACCAAGACGGCCTTTGCCCAAGGCAATGGTAGAGCGTCGCTATTTGCACGCAGACTAGTTGGCTTGACACGGAAGAGCGAGTTCGAGACAACTTAAGAGTGTGCAAAACGTTGGGATATCGTCAACATAAGGGTGGAAAGCAATGGTAGATCCGCATGGAAGGCAGCAAAGTTTCATCATTGGTCCTTCCTTTCGTCCTCATCAAGGTCACCGTCATCGTCGTCAGCGCCGACATCCAAGACTCTCTCACTCACATTCTTCAGCACTCGTTCACTGAGCTTCTTGACCCCTTTCCATATTCCCATCAGGGCGGTAAAGGCCCCGATAATGACAAACAAAATGCTGATGTTTTCAACTCTTGCTCTTCCGCCTTCCTGGCGTCGGCCCGTCATGCTGCGCAGGTTCCACCAATGCCACGGCGAAACGGCGAGCATGGATTTGAAGATGCCGACGAGCCCAAGGGAGAAGAAGCCCTTTGTGAAATGCTCCACCCATGTCGTCGGCGGCTCCCAATCTGGCTCCTGAAGCGCTTCAATATCCGTCACCACGCTCGTAACGGTTTCGCTGATTGTACCGACGGGATCAACCCAAAGATTGATGAGCGGGTCTGCCAGAAATCCCAGAAAGAATATGCTGACAACAAGTATAGCCACCGTCAGCCCGGCCTGAGCCCATTTGCTACTTAGCATCGAGGCCCAATGGAGGCGCACCAGTCGATAGGAGAACTTGCACGTTGGGCATTGCCAGTAGTTTCTTTGGGCCGTGGGGTTTGATAGCCGCCAAGAATTGAGACATCCCTCATGCACATATTTCTGCGATCCCTTGCACTTGCAGGGGGACAAAAGCCTTCCTAGCTCGGCGTCATCGGATACGTATACCGGCTTGCCCGAATTTGAAGGGTATTTTGGTTCCACGACATCGAGGCAAATACGACAGGTTCGTGGCTTATATCGCCTCTGCTTGTGCGAAGCGTCTGGCGGCGGCTGACTCTGAGCTTGTGCAGATGCATGCTCTCTCTCGTTGTCAGATGCTGTCCACTCATCTGGATACGTCGTAAAAGTCTTGTCATGAACCGACGACTGATACGGCGTTCGGGCTCGCTCGCCAAACCAATCCATCACGGCTGCAATTTCTCTCCAAGTAGCAGTAAGCAGTTGCGGGGTCAGCCTTCGACGCGTCCAAAACGACAGAAAATCAGAAATAGTCTCTCAGCCAGCTGGTAACGCAATAAGTAGTATCAAGAAGAAGAAGGATGACAAAGGGAGAGCAGCTGGTAGCTTCACATGGTACGAAGTAGTAGTACCTGGCGAATTGTCTGGTCAGGCAGCAGTGCGGGAAAGGAAGAAGAGCGACGCGTCAAGTCTTCACATCGATAGCAGTAGAAGAGGCCACTTCATCGATTTCCGCATCACATTCCATGTAGCTCAGCTAGCCGAGTTCTCCGGCTGCGTGACTGCGGAAAAGGATTTTTTCTCTGGCGGAGTTTGGACGACGAGAAAAGCTCAAGCACCAAAAGTGGTAGTGCTGGAGGTTCCATCAAAGCTCCCCCCACCGGAACTCGGCAAAATAAAAGCTCCGCAGCCAGCCCACTGCCTGGCAAGCTTGACGCGCAGCTCAGTGTGCCTGCTGCCGCCAGTGGGATTCCACTGTGTTGCAGCAGAGCAGCTCGGGTCAGAATAGCTTCATCAACACTCGAGAAGAAGCATTTGGCGCACCGCATATCAAAGCAATTGACCCGATAGATTCTCGGCAGGCTTCTAGACATGGCTGACAGATACTCCTTCTCTCTGACCACATTCTCGCCCAGGTACGCAGGCTGATGTCATCTCCATCTCCCTCTCCATCTCCCAAAAGACCCCTCTACTGACCTTGTTCCCTTCGACAGCGGCAAGCTGGTACAAATCGGTACGCATAGCTCTTGGCGACCGGACCCATAGTTGGAGCTATCCAGATGGTCATACAGTTGGAATGGTTTGGAATAGGGCTGACATGCTGATTTCTGTCTTGCAGAGTATGCGCTGAATGCGGTCAACCAGGGCATCACTGCTCTGGGTATTAAAGGTATGGCTTGCCAGCGCAGCGAACAGATGACCGGCTAGCTAATCAGATGAGACCTACAGCCACGAATGGCATCGTCCTCGCTACCGAAAAGAAATCGTCCTCTCCCCTCGCCGACCAGAGCAGTCTGTCCAAGATTAGCCACATCACTCCCAACATCGGCACCGTATACTCCGGCATGGGACCCGACTACAGAGTACTAGTCGACAGAGCGCGCAAGGTTGCACACACGGGCTACAAGCGTATCTACAACGAATACCCTCCTACCAGAATACTCGTGCAGGATGTGGCCAGAGTCATGCAAGAGGCCACCCAGTCAGCTGGTGTTCGACCATATGGCGTCAGTATGCTGGTTGCCGGCTGGGACGAGGGCATCGACCCCGAAGAGGAGGAGACCGAGATCAAGGAGGGCGAGGAGGTGAAGAAGACAAAAAAGACGGGAGGAATTCACAAGGGAGGACCTATGCTGTACCAAGTTGACCCCACGGGCAGCTACTTCCCCTGGAAGGCCACAGCCATTGGCAAGAGTGCGACCAAGGCCAAGACCTTTTTGGAGAAGAGATATTCCGAGGAGCTGGAGCTGGAAGATGCTATTCACATTGCTCTGCTGACGCTCAAGGACAACATTGAGGGTGAAATGAGCGGTGATTCTATTGAGATTGGTAGGTCTTCTCCCCTTGCATGATAGGTATATATTGCGATTGGCGTTTGCGTGTTGCTGACAGTTCATTACTTCTTTAGGCATTGTTGGACCCCCGGCTCACCATCTGCTGGGCGTTGAAGGCGTTGAGGGTGCCACTGGCCCCCGGTTTAGAAAGTTGACTCCCCAGGAGATTGAGGATTACTTGTCAAGTCTATGATAGACATACCCATGCTCTGAATAATGATAAAGCAGGCTTTGATGTATACCAACGAGACATAAAAGCTTAATACAAAAAAGAATTTGGCACGATAGAGGTTTACTTTTTGCTGGCTACCTACCCCTGGTAGTCGAAGCCACTGGGCCAATTCTAAAGCAAAGAATGCGTAAAGCGTTACCGCTTCTTGAATGTGAAATGTCATATTCTCGAACGCTCGTAGGGCAGACAAACAAATACGCATCTTTCTCCAGAGTCTATCCTTGATTTGAGCTTTAGCAAACTGCTGTGGCAACTCATTCATGTCTTGGCGGTTGGAATAAAAGGTGCCAATTCTACTATAGACATGCCCATGTTCTGAGTAATGATATACAGGCTTTGGTGTAAATAACGAGGCATAAAAGCTTCATTGACAAAAATATTTGGCACGATGAATGGCTACTTCCAGTCAGTTGCCTCTCATGGAAGCTGGACCCAGTGCTAAAACAGATAGAGCAATAAAAGCGTCAATGCTTCTTGCATGTAAAGCAACACACGCCCGGATGCTTCTGAATAGAGCACTCCAAATAAACAAATCTCCTCCTTTCCCCCTTTCAGTAGGCTCTGCTGCGACAACAAAGCCATCTATGATTTGGCGGTCAGAATGAAAGACGCTCGCGGACCAGCCGCCACACCCACAATCTCATATCCATCTGCAGCGAGGAACGGAACTCTCATCCATGTCTCTGCTCTTTCAACTTCTTTCCCAAGCCCAAGCTGACCATTACCATTCTCACCAATCACATAGATTAGTCCATCCAGGGTCAGTGCAATGGCATGAGCTTCTCCCAAGGCAACATCCACGACGTCTTTTCCACCGTCGACTTCCGTATAGTTGGGCACGCCCGACAGCTCTTGAAAAGCATGTCCCCGACGACGAGTCTGGGAGCTACTTGCTGATGTTTTCGAAGCTGCCGATGGCGGAGAGCAGCCCCAGACGTAGACGCTGCGGCTGGTGCTCGTCAGCGCCGCCACAGCAGTTCCGCCGGCGGTGACGAGCTTGAATGGGTCATCGGCCGACGCGATGTCATTGAGGTCGGGTACCGGGCCCGGCTTATCAGATGGTCTGTAGGGCTCGGTTGACCGGGTTAGTGGGACACGAAGTCTGGTGTGCGTCGGGGGAAGGGGAAGGGGTTTTCTACCCTATGGGGGGGTTTTTTTTTTCTTGGCTTACCGATCTGGCGTATCAGTGTCTCTTCCGAGACAAGCTTCAAAGCGAGAGTCGCCAAAAGTAGAGACCGAGCCGTCAGAATGGAGGATGACGAAGCCGGTGTCGAACGCAGCGACTTGCGTGGCTGGAGGGTGGCAGTCGAAGATGGACTCTGGCTGGGCGCCGGCTCTTCGAGACGATAAGGACGAGTACTTTACCAGCTTGTTGCTGTCGTTGCCGTCGCCATCTTTGTCGGGGACAATGGCTAAAAGTTCCCCGGAGGCAGTTTCGGCTGACGTGTAGAGAAACTCGGCCTCGGCTTCTTCCAGGGTTTTGGGGCCTAAGCCGGCGACGATGAGGCCCCCATCTCGATGAACTGCAAAAGGACCAGTTTGTTAGCATAAGCGAAATCGGAGCGTGTCTGCTTGCTTCAGACGGAGTTAATATAATGTGAGTTATTATATACCGATGGTGTAAGTGAGTCGAGAGACTGGTCGTTTGATAGTCGTTGCGGAAAGAACTTTTGTAAAGCGAGGGAGGTCATGAGGCTCCTCCTTTGAGATTTGGGCATCTTGACTGACGTAGCAATTGATGGAGAGCTGGTGCCAGGCGTTGAAGCCTGCTGCGAAAAGGTCCATGGATCGGATACGCGGGTTTGCCAGTTACATGGTTAAAGCGGCTGGTGGATCAGGAAGGGATATCGACAGGAAAGCCAATTGGCCTTTTTTTTTATGAACTACAAAGAGCCCTGTGAGTGACAAAACGAGGCTGCCTGGTGACTAGCCTCGATGCTACGACACCATTTTGGCGATTGGCTGCAGAAAAGGGGGTTTTTTTTTTTCTGTTTTCATCACAGTAGAGGAACGGCGACTATTTTACAATCCTGGGTGCTGATGCAGGCCTCGTGGCATCAAGAGAGGCTGCTCGGACAGATTCAATTGATGCCTGCAGAGTAGATGGATTGGATCATGCGGCCAATGAGGAAGCGAATCTCAATTGGGCAGAAATGCTACCTCGTACATGATTGACGGCTCTTTTACGATTGCAGCGGGCCATTCTCTTGCCTCTTTCTGTATCCTTGACGCTACATTGAAATTTTCTCGTCGTCTTGAGGTAAATATTTACACGCATCCTTGGCAGTCATCTGCTCTGCTGCGTGCAGGCATTGGGTGTAAGTCGAACTGGCGTATTACTCCGGGCCCGTTAACTTGGGGCGTATAACCCACTAGCACGGCTTATTTATAGCGAATCGTACGGCGCTAGGCTCTGTGATTTCACGGCCTGTGAGCCATATCCGAATGATGACTCTTATGACTCCCCCAGGCTGCATAAGAGCACGGAACACCGCGGCGGTAGATCGGCAGTAAGGGCGTCTGTTCTGGCGAGTTCCTTAAATGATAAGATCCGTGATGGTGGGTCGATAATTCCCGAGCAGGTGGAGGAAGTGCCGGCCGAGTGTGGCTTGTACATACATGGATGGCATCGAGATGGATGGTTGGTTGGCTATATTAGACGAGGTGCGTTTTCGAGTGCATTTTCTATTACATCTACAGTCACAGGCTGTTGTATCTACATTGCTGTGACAATATATAGCTTTGCAAGTCGAATTGGAAACTAACTAAAGGTGCGTTCTTTTTCAAGTTCTTCTCTTCAATATGTTGCTGAGTGTTGAGTGCTCCAGCGTTCTAAACTTTAGCCGGAACTTTGGTGATCCTTAACATTGGCAGTGAAAGCTCATCCTGTCAATCCATATTAAAAAAGCACGCATTGTGTTCTCATGCCTAGCCGAATCCTTCCGCAACCGAGTGCTCCGTAATTATTAGGCTCCTCCAGAAAAACAAAAACATAAAATTGTCGCAGTGCCCAAACAAGCCTTGTGACCACCCGTCGATTGATTGGCCTGCCGGGTAAAGCGTCTTTGTGAAACACGAAATAATATCGCTCGCAGGGCCGCCGACATGTCAGACTAACTGCCTTGGTCTGATACGTGACCAAGTCGGGAGGCAAGCAGCGCTCGTGGGGCGGAAGCAACAAGAGAATTTGCAGTTTTTTTGTATAGGTATTATCATCTGGCATTACTAAATCGTCATTGTGAGGCCATCATGATTGGCTGTTAGGGTGTATGTAGATATTTATTAGGCAGCACGTTTACGTTTCTTCAGCAGAGCTAACAACGCCAGCCTTATTTTGGTCCGCTAACATCACATCTAGGTCTACATACTGTAGCAGGGTGCGGTCATATCTACGCCAACAAAGACGTCCAGAGGGCGAAAGGATTGAAGTTACTTTGGGGCACAGCTTTTCGTGTTCGCTGCCGGTGTAACAGCCCAGTGTGTAACCGGCAGACAGAGCTACCCAAAGAGAAAAGAGATAAATTGAAGAAATAATTGGCCCAGGCTCTATACAGGCCCCGTTTGTTGAGTTGGGCGCCTATCGCTTCAAAGTATGCTGCGGCCTCCCGCTGATTCGAGTGTAACGAACAATCATGTCGATGTAGCCAAAGCCAAAGTCGTATTTAAGGCGCATAACACAGACTTCGTCCCCCACTCGTCATCGGATTGCGTCCTCGCCTCCAACATCTTTATTACTGCAAGCTGAGATTTACTATCGAATTGTCCCAGCAACCGCTACAACGAGGCCTGCAGCCCGTCCCACATTCGGAGACGCCTCAGCTGTTGACGCCTCGGGCTGTCCTTATGCACCTTTGAGCTGGGATTATGCTGCCCACCACGCGTACCAAACGACATGACTTACTTGCCTAGTTGGTAGTCACACGCATTTCAAATCAGCCTGTCTGTTTGCTTGGCTCGCAGCAGTCGATCCGTCTTATACAGCAGGGCCACAAGCGCCTTCACCCCCCCAAGGCTACCCCGCAACACGCTCTACGCCTTGAGAAGTGTAAAGCATACTTGTAATATCTCGAGCTAGGGATCCGGCCGGCGGCCCTGCTTTCTCTTTCGGGCAACCTTGGAAGCAAACAGCCATACCGCCTTTCCCCTTTCCGTGGTGATTGCGTCTGGAACACACGTCAGGTTGCCATCCTGGAGCCTGTGGCTTCGTCGAGGTGGTCGTTGCCTGAGTCACACCCGATCCGCAGCTGCGGGAACGCCAAAGCACCGCCGTCTCATGTGGCGCTCTCCGGCATGCAAGTTAGCGGCGGAGGGCCTGGCATCTGGTGGTGGCCCTGGCTCGGCTTCGGGACCTGCTCCGGGCGCGCTGCCCAGGGCCCTGTCGTCGATGCGTCGTTCGTCTGGTGGTGACGTGACGCCGGCCAGTGTCGATTCAGATTCAGACGTGTCCGGATCGCGGACGCCTGGAGGGCGTGCTGTGGGCGATGCCCCCCTGGATGGCGAGGCTAGTCACAGCATCGAGAAGTGGGCGGGCGTCGCTGATGATGCTGGCGCTGGCGCTGGCGTGGACGAGGCTCTTGTGCCTGGGACCGATATTAGAGACGCCGCGTCCACCCAGCAGGTTCTGGGCCCGGGAGGCCAGGCAGAAACTCCAAGTGGCAATGGAGAGCAAGCAATAATGGCGTCGAGAGCTTACCAGCTTGAGATGCTCGAGCAGAGCCTCAAGCAGAATGTGATTGTTGCTGTAAGTGGGAGCTTTCTAGTTTTAATCAGTGACTAGTTTTCATGTGTCGATGTCACTGTTTTGAAATTGAATTATGTTGTTCTGACCAAAGAGTGGTGGTTGAGAGGTGTAGATGGACACGGGCAGTGGCAAAACTCAAGTGTAAGTCGAAATAGACTTGCGTCGACGACCATTAGCCCTGACCGATCCACGCTGACTCGAGCTTGCATCAGGGCTGTACTTCGCATCAAAGCAGAATTGGAGAAATGCGACCCGGAAAAGGTGAGCTACTGTTCATGGCTTTATGCTAGAGTTATGCAACCTCATGAAAGAATAATGGGCGCTCATAAGTCATCTCTCAGATTATCTGGTTTATTACGCCAACTGTTTCGTTGAGTGCTCAGCAGCATGTAGTACTGAAGCTGCAGATTCCCTCCGTGCCCATGAAAATGCTGGCTGGCAACCGCCATCTGCCCACTTGGGGGCAGGACATCTGGAGTGCCCTTCTGGAGAAGACTCGAGTTGTGATCACTACACCCCAGATTCTCCTGGATGCTCTTGACCATGCGTACATTCACATGGGACACCTGGCTCTGATTGTATTCGACGAAGGTATGCGTTCCCGTCCCTTCCAGAAACAGAGAAACAAAAGGCAGCTTTCCTGGCTTTGAATGTTTTGAATGGCTGACATGTCTTGGTCCAAATCTAGTCCATAACTGCATTGGCAAAAACCCTGGCGGCAAGATCATGCAGAACCATTACCATCCATGCCTGCTGGCTGGCAAGAGCGTGCCCTCGATATTGGGTTTGACAGCAACCCCCAGCATTCAATCTAACGCCACAGATCTCCCGGTTTTGGAGCAGCTGATGGATGCAAGATGCATCTCTCCCACCCTGCACCGTGACGAGCTCGTCAAATGTGTCAAGCGACCCAATATCCAGCATAAAATCTACCTGCCTGCCGAAGAACACTCTACTCCTGCCATGAAATCTCTTCATCAGGCTTACAGTGATCTAGATATCAATACAGACCCTTTTGTGGTGTCGTTGATAATAGAACCTTCGGAGAAGAATCAGCGTTTGCTAGAGAAAACGATTCAGAAGCGCGACACCTTTACGCAAACTCAGATGAAGACATTTTGCTCGCAGTCGCAGGGGGTATGCCAACAGCTTGGGCCTTGGGCTGCTGACCTTTTCATCTGGAAGAGCATATCGGCTTATCTTGATAAAGTAGATTCGGGCGACTTATTTTTTGACCAGTGGTATCAGTGTCGTGACCGTGAAAAGAAATATCTGGCCGACGTCTTTCGTCGAGTCGACATCAAGCCCCCTCCCAAGACTCCGCAAGACATAAGCGACATTTCAGACAAAGTTCTTATGCTCTTGGAAGAGCTCTTGTCAATGGATGAATCGAACACGGTGGGAATCATCTTTGTCGAAGAGCGGGTCATGGTGAAGATGCTCGCCGAGATCCTCTCCGTAAACCCCGCCGTCACAAAAAAGTACAAAATTGGCACCATGGTTGGATCTTCCAGTTATTCATCGAAGCGAAAAGTCGTGTATGACTTTGGAGAAAAGGGAGATATCAAGGCCCTGCAGAATTTCCGCTCTGGCAAGATTAACCTGCTCATTGCAACCTCCGTCTTGGAAGAGGGGATTGACGTTCCTGCCTGCAATCTCGTCATCTGCTTTGATGTCCCAAAGACTTCAAAATCATTTATACAGAGGCGCGGGCGGGCTCGAATGAAGGACTCGAAACTTGTCATTTTCTTTGACCAAGATAACCCAGCGTTGCAGAAATGGGATGAGAAAGAAGAAGAGATGAAGAAGCTTTTTGAAGATGAACAGAGAGAAATTCAGAAACTAGAGATGATGGAAAATTCCGAGAGCCCAAGCAGCATATGTTACACTCACCCATCGACTGGAGCGAGACTCGACTTTGACAATGCCAAATCGCACCTCGAGCATTTTTGCAGGGTGCTATCGCCGACAGAGTTTGTTGACAGCCGGCCAGATTACATTATTCACAAAGACCCGGATTCTGTTGCCTTGACGGCCACTGTTTTGCTTCCGCCGTTTATTCCCGTGGATCCGAGGCAGTATAACAGTTTGTCTTCGTGGAAATCAGAAAAGAATGCCACCAAAGATGCTGCCTTCCAAGCCTACATGGCTTTGAACGATGCCGGGCTCCTGAACGAAAATCTGTTGCCGTTCAAAGCTGATGAGATCCCCGGTATCGATAATCGAGCATCTGATGTGGCTGTTGAGCCCATGATGAATCCATGGCATCATATCGCCCGTGCATGGCGAGAAGCCGGCGACAAATGGCTATACTCTATTACTTTCACCGAAGAAGATGGCCAGGTGATTGACGAATATGAGATGCTGCTGCCTGTAAAGCTTGATCAGCCTCCACCTCTGCACTTGTTTCTCGAAAGAGGCCATAAGCTGGAGCTGCGGTTCACCGAAGGGAGGGCTGTGCCGCATGACCAGGTTGCGTCTTTGCCAGACCATACCTCAACTCTCCTCGCGCTGCATTTCTGCCATAGGTGGCCGAAAGATGAACTCCACAACGGAGAACGAGAACACGTGGTACGAATTTGGGCAAAAGGCAAATCGCTCTCAATGGACCAAATTGGCACAGTTGAGTTTGATCCGTTCGATGAAGATGTGAAAAACGGACAGTATCTTATACGAGACAACATCAACTCTCCCTATATATACAAGGATATAATCGAATGCAAACCGTCTATAAGCCTGGTGCAGAACGCCTTTTACGGGTACGAAAAAGCCCCCGAAAAGGGGCCTTATCTCGTGCTTAAGAAGTGGACACGGAGAACTGATTTCCTGCACCGCATGCAGGGGGACCCCCAAAAAGAGCAAGCTAGCAGCAGGCCTTACTCGCGGGTGTATCCCATGGATTGGGCAATGGTTGATTCCATACCGGCGAGGCATGCAATGTTTGGTATGATGATACCCACGATTATACATGAGCTGGGCTTGATGCTCATGGCCAGGGAGCTGGCCACCACTGTTCTTAAGCCAGTCGGGTTGTCGGACTGGGGTTCAGTTAGAGAGGCTATATGTGCGCGGAGTGCTAATGAGCCGATGAATTATGAAAGAGTAGAATTTTTGGGCGATTCTATTCTCAAGATTTGCACTTGCATACAAGCTGCTGTTACCAGTGAGAAGACCTCCCAATTGCGACGAATTCCTTGGTTTCTACCCCCCCCCTTTTCTCTTGCTAACATGATGTTGCTTAGATCCCGACTGGCCTGAGGGCTACCTATCATACTGGAGAGACCGACTTATTTCCAACGTAAGACTATACCGAGCAGCAGTTGACTTTCGGCTGCCTAGGTACCTTGTCACAAAGCCTTTCACAGGTCAGAAGTGGCGCCCGTTGTACTTGGAGGACAGCCTACAGGAGGACGTTAATGCTCCTGCATCCGAGAGGAGGCTTTCGACTAAAACACTCGCAGATGTGGTTGAAGCATTGATTGGAATCTCATACAAAGAGGGAGATATCGCCATGGCGGAGAAATGTATCGCCTTGTTTCTCCCGGAAATCGAATGGAATGGCGTGGAAAAGGGTAGAAAGATCCTTCTGAATAGAGTGCCGCCGAATGAGCCCCTTCCGCCGATTTTGGAGCCCCTGGAGAGGCTACTTGGATACACCTTTCAGCGGAAGGCTCTTTTGACAGAGGCTTTGACGCACGCCTCATACGTGGCGGACAATGTGGTGGACACTGGCAAGCGATCCCTCGAAAGGCTGGAATATTTGGGCGATGCTGTTCTTGATCACATTGTTGTTACCAAAATCTTTAAAGTGGTGCCGGAGCTGCCCCATTATACGATGCACACGTTGAAAACAGGCCTGGTGAATGGCGATTTTCTCGCGTTTATGACGATGGAGCACGGCTTGAAGTCCGTCGAGGCCGTCGTGACGGACGAAGGCGACGTGGAGCACGAAGAAACGCATACTTACCTGTGGCAGTTTATGCGGCACGCGGCGAATTCCATTGGAATTGAGCAGTTGGCGACTGTGACGAGACATGCGGCCTTGCGGGGCAAGATTATCGACGCCATGGAGAACGGCACGCACTATCCCTGGGCTCTGCTGGCGGCACTGAATCCAAAGAAGTTTTACTCTGATTTGTTTGAGGCGGTGCTTGGCGCGGTATGGATCGACTCGGGATCGCTGGAGGTGTGCGAGGCTGTGTGTGGCCGGTTTGGGCTCCTGAAGTACTTGGATCGGCTGCTGCGTGATCGTGTACACGTGCAGCATCCGAAGGAAGAGCTGGGCAAGTGGGCGAATTCCGAGACTGTGGTTTACGATTTTCATACTGAAGACATTGCTGAGTCTCCTGGCGACAAGGAGTTCTTTTGTAAGGTTGTGATTGGGGAGAGGGTGGTGGTGGAGGCTCGGGGAGGGATCAATAAGGAGGAGATTAAGACGAAGGCTGCGACGGAGGCGGTGAAGATTTTGGCGGAGGAGAAGAGGCAGAGAGATGCGGTGGCCAAGGCTAAGGCGGAAGCTGAAGCTGAAGCTGAAGCCGATGGTGATGTTGTGATGGGTGAAGCGAGTGTGGGTTTTGACGACGTTTGAGGATCAGCATTTTTGATGTATATGTTTGACGATGCTATGCAAACGAAACGTTTTTGGAGAAGACATTTTATTTTGGGATATATAAAAGGGAGCTATAGATGACAGTTGCCGTCTTATATGCTACATTGGTTAACTAGATAGACATATTTCACTTCTTGAGCGATGCTCTCATCCTTTGAGATGCTTTACAAATCATATAGAAAGGGCGAGAAATAAAGAGCCTCTTTTATCTTCTATTACCCAAACCAAGTTTAGTTTTATTTTCTCTAAAAAAGCATTAAGCGTGCTTCTTCATTTCTTCCAATATCAGATCCACCATCCATTCCAGAATCTTGTCCATCTCGCCGTCTACGCCACTCCCACCCGGCACCCTGATTGCCTCTCGCTCCAGCACATCAGCCTTGTACTCACCCTCCACATCCCCATCCTGAAACATCCACGAATGCTCCGCCACGTAATTCGGCCAGACAATCTTGTCCACGTATCCCGGCGGATCGGCCCAGAAGCCCTCCAGCGTGACGTATCCGTCGCGGGCCTCACGACGAGCCTTGGCCTGGGCGTACGAGGCGCGCAGGAAGATTTTGATGTCGAGATGGGGCTGGATGGCGGACATGGAAGGCGGGTAGAGGAGGAAGCCGTCCAGGATGCAGAGATGGAGGGCGGAGGTGGCCAGGGGGTGGGTTGAGGGGAGGAGGGAGGAGACTTTGGATTTGAGGGCTGAGATGGTGGATTGGGGGACGGGGCATTCGCCGACGGAGTTTTTGTCTTGGTAGGAGTCGAGAGTTGGCTGAGAGGAGGAGAGTTTGTCAGTTAGTTAGTTGATTGAAAGTGAGGATTGGAGGAAGAGATGAGTTTGTGGCGGCGTACGGGAAAAGCGGCGTGTTGGCGGATGTAAGAGAGAGTCTCGGCCATGGCGGGAATGTCTATGGCCTCGGCGCAGTCCCAGTCTAGGAGATCATCCTTTTTGGGGAGCCTAGAGTTTTTGCTTGTTAGCATATATAGAAAGCAAGATATAAGGGGGGAGGCATGAGAGTCGGGAAGTGAGAAGTGAGTGGAAGCAAGTTCATATTCACTGAACACATCACAACACAACACAACACCACACAGTGGAGGGAAAGAATCTCACTCCGTCTCGGGCCTGTAAAAGTCATCTTCGTGGAGGATAAACGTGCTGGGAAAGATGTCGCGCAGAAGCCGGGCGAGCGTTGTTTTGCCGCTGGAGGAGCAGCCTGAGAGGGCCACTATGAGGGCCTTTTTGTCTGCCATGGCGGTGGTGAGAGGAGGAATGGCGTTATGGATTCAGGGCGATTTATAACAGACTTTGGAGGATTCGTCGATTCACATGAAGACAGAGCATGCGGTCTTTAGCGCTGGATTAGCGGCCGAAGGTGGGGGTTGGAGGGGCTTTACAGGGCGGGCAGGTCGCCGTATTCCGGTGAAGGGGGGCGCTATTGCTGGTGTTTTGAAGATGATACAGCGCATGCACCAATGGGCTCAAGCTAGTGGCACTTTTTTTTCCTTTTCTGCGCCCAAGACTTGAAACTTGCATGTCCCAGATCTCTTACAGCTCCTGAGCACCACCGCCTTGAGATTCTGCCTCTCATCTTCTCTCGCTCATCCTTTACTCACCAATTCACACCAAATCCACCACCGTATACAGCATTTCTGCGATCGCCATATCCAACAACCAACTCTTCACCCTCCCTTCCACCCCGCCATGGCTTCCCCCGACCAGGCCACCCAGACGGGCGTCATCCTCACCACCGCCCTCGCCAGTGTCATCACAGGCTACGTGTTTGGCATTTACACCTCTAGAGGATATCTCATCTCTCCAGCACTAGCGGAAGAGCGACGAAAGTACCGAAACGACCCTGTCGAGAGCGAGGAGAGCGACGTGGACGAGGGCGATGCCATACTTGACCATGCTCCGAACTGGGCGAATGGGCTGGACGCGGATATGAGACAGGGGCTCAAGTTTAGAGATTCGGGAGTGGCGGAGAAGAGGAGCTTGATGGAGGATACTAGCGAGGAGTGTAAGCTGGTGCTGGTCGTGAGGACGGATCTGGGCATGACCAAAGGTACGACTGACTCTTTTTTATCTTTCCCTGTTCCTTTGGGTTGGTGTGGGTTCTAACTCAAATCGTCTACCAAACAGGCAAAATCGCTGCGCAGTGCTCTCACGCCACCCTCGCCTGCTACAAGGCCCTCGCCCGCGCCGACCCGGCCTCCCCCGAACGCAAGCTGCTCGCCCGATGGGAGCGCTTCGGCCAGGCCAAGATCGCCGTCCAGGTCAAGAGCCAGGCCGAGATGCTGGAGCTGCGGGGCAAGGCCCGCGCAATGGGACTCACGGCCGAGGTGATTCAGGATGCGGGCCGGACGCAGATTGAGGCGGGCAGCATGACGGTGCTGGGAGTCGGACCGGCCCCGAAGAGCTTGGTGGACAAGGTTACGGGTGGGCTGAAGCTGTTGTAAGGAGTTGTCTTTGAGGACACGCACGCGCGCGCATACATATATATATATATATACGGGATATCATTGCATATGGTTTTGATTTATGGGCTGAAAAGAAGATGTGCGGGCATGGTTGCATCAACGGCGTCTAGGCGACAGGCTGCAAAGTATTTTTTTTAGCCAAGATAGGTAGGATGCTATGTATGGGTTTAAACAAGATAAAACACACGATACATTGGGAATAGGAAAAGAAAATAGAGTGTTTGATGATTTCACGACAAGGTGTTATTCCTCCATCGGTATACGTGATCACAGCCTTGGTTCTTTCATTGGACGGGCAACCTTTGTCTATAATGCCATGGGTATTAGTATATACTACGTTTTGATATGTACCATCTGCTACAACTACTCCTTCTTTGCAAACCGCGACAGCGCCGGCCCCAGGTCCTCCTCTACCTCCTGTCGCTTCTTGTCGTTCTTCTTCTGCTGCTCCTTCCACAGCTCGTCCACCCGCATCCTCTTCTCGTCGATGATATTCCTCTTGCGCTGCTTGCGCAGGTACTTCTTCAACGCGCCATTCTTTCCTCTCGCGCGGTTGCGAATCTCCTCTGCAATGTCCGTGGGCTTGGCGTCCAGGTCCTTTTCGGCCTTGCGCTGCGCGTCGGACCTCAGGTCGATGTTGCCGATGAAGTTGGGGTCCAGGGCAATCATCTCGGGCGACAGCTTGTTCAGCAGGCCGCGGACTTCGGTCTCCTGTCGCTGCTTGTTCGTCTCGAAGGGGTTGGCCTCGAAGGCGTCGAAGTTGGCCTCTCCGGCGCCGGGGATGATGATGGAGGAGAAGCCCTTGTCGTGGCTGATGCCGAGGACATCTTCATAGGGGCACCAGCGGACGCGCTCGACCGTCTTGCCCTCGCGGCCCCATTTCATGTATGGGTGCGTTACTCGCTCCTGGGTGGCGGCGTTCTTGTTGAAGAGACCCTTCCAGATGGTCGTTGAGGTGCCCCAGCCGACGGCTGTGAGGCCGGTATCTGAGATGGCGACGGAAGATGCCGGGGTGTATGTCGAATAGGTGTTTACTTCCTTGAACATTCGAATATCCCAGACGGCCATTTTCGCGTCCTGTCCTGCTGAGACCATGTATCGGCCCTCTCGATCGACCGCAATGGACCGCACGGGGCCTCGGTGTGCTAATAACTTGACGACTGGCTCAGCGGAGTTTGGTGACCAGAGGGTGACGGTGCCGTTCTGATGTCCGGCGTGGATGATGGCGTTGTAGGGGTTGTGAGTTAATGAGCAAGGGGGGCCAAGTCTGGATGGGATTTCGGCGACGACTTGACCGGTTGAGGTATCTTGGTATTTCAGAACGCCTCCGGTGTTCTATAATTTCGTGGTTAGTTGTTTATTCTGCGTGCTATGTGGAGGGAAAAGGTTGGAGAGACTCATACCATTGTAGCCAAGAGGAAGTGGTATGGCAGAAACTCCATGTGTGTGACCTCGGAGTGCTTCCGCAGGCAATGTAATTCGACGCCATTGCGGTCGTAGATGTAAACGTATTTCTTCTGCGCTACCGCGAAGAATTGGTTGTTGTGCAGCCACTTGACATCTCGAATCGTTTCCCCCAGCTGGATCTCGCATCCGAGTTTGCCTTCTCGCCAGTCCATGGTCGCGACGTGGCCCTTTCGCCCACCGAGCAGCAGCTCTCGTCCATTCCTCGAGTAGTCGCACAGGTATGGCCCTAGTTGATCCAAGTTGAGCTCGAATCGCTTCTTCGCCGTCTCGACCGCAACATTGGCCACAATCTCGTCTTGTCGGACCTTGTACGTTCGCTCCAGCTCTCCTTCGGCCTCCAAGAACCCTGATTCGTTTTCCAGCAGAATCTCGGCATCTTTGGCTTTGAGGGCTGCATTTTGGTATTTATTCTCCAGCTCTTTCAAATTTCTCCGGAGTTTCTTGTCTTTGATCTGCTTGGTGTTGATCTGTTTTCCACGACCATAGGCTTGGTTGGCTTCCCTTATCCGTCGGGCTTTCTCTCTCTCTGCGCGAGTGGCTATGTCTGTTCGTCGCTCCTTGGTGACAATTGCATCGCTCTTGCGAGCCGTGGGGGGCCGCGCGACGGCTGTTTCCGCACCCATTGCGCTGATGTGAGTTTTGGCGATTTCGCGATCAAATTCGAGAAATCAAGACGCTGGGTTCTAGCTATTGGCAGAAAATAACGGGCTATGAAGATCGCAGACAAAATTTCCAGCGCCTAGACTTTGTCGCGGCCTATCGTAGCGCTGCCATTGGCAGAGCCGGAGTGCGCTAGCCCACCGCGGTTATCGATAACGAGCCACAACAAAAAAATTCATGATAACCAAGAAAACCCCACCATCCAGATAATCGATTCTGCACTTTGCCTTGCGTTTCCTGTATAGGCTAATCTTGCGAATCCTCCAAGGTTTCACATCGGAGTGAAAAATTGCCCAAAAAATACCAGCTTTTGGGCATTTCGCAACACACCAAACTGGCATCGCTACCGTTTCGGTTCAAGGCTGGGGGCGACGCAAAAATGTCCGCCGTGGCGCATCATCATCGGCCCACGACCAAAGTCACCAACAAGCCATTCAAGTCCAAGGCCGCTTCCAAGCATGAGCTGAGGGATCGCGCAAAAGGTGTAGTTGCCTAATTGCATGGACAATAAACTTTGTTGGTCTTTTCATATACGACGGACAAAACCCTAACATTGCATTCCATAGGCCGAGTCCCAAACGAAAAAGGATCGCGCAAAACTCCCCACCAACAAGTCATGTCTAAATTCGACCGACGAAACCAGGCGAAGCAGAATCGTCTCACGAAGCACAGAGAGCATTTGAAGGACACGTCGATTTTCTCTGGGAAAGATGCAGCGCCGAGAATTGCTGCCGTCATTCCTCTTTGCGCTGATGGCGACGCCAAGGCAGCCATCCAGTCGCTAAACAGCAGCGTCGATATCGAGGCCGATCTTAGCAGCAACAACTTCCAGGTGTCGGTCGACCGATTTAAGCAGAAGCTGCAATATGTTGCTCTTGAAAGAGACCTTAGCGCATGCTTGGATGCTGCCAGTGCTGCCGATTTCGTCATCATTGTTCTTTCCGCCTCTGTCGAGGTTGACGCATTGGGAGAGCTGATTCTTCGAAGCGTCGAGAGTCAGGGTTTGTCGACACTGTTCACGATGGTACAAGGGCTTGATAGAATCGAGCCTGCAAAGCAGAGACCTGGTGTCATGACCTCGCTCAAATCCTTCATTACGCACTTCCACCCCGAGCAAGAGAAGCTCTACAGCATCGATAATAGGCAGGATTGCGCCAATCTGATGCGATCCCTCTGCAGCACAACCCCCAAGGGCATCAGGTGGAGAGATGAGAGAAGCTGGATGCTGGCGGAGAGTGTCAAGTTTGCATCGAATGACTCAGAATCCACAATTGTCACTGGTGTGGTTAGGGGTAAAGGGCTGAAGGCGGACCGACTGATACAGGTTGGTGACTGGGGTACATATCAGATCGAAAAGATTGTTGCTGCCCCTCTACCAAAAAACGTTAAGAAAAAGGGAGAAATGACGATTGAGACTGAGGAAGAAAAGATTCTGGAAGAGCCCTCTGAGGATCGAGATGATTTGGATCAACTCGCGCCCGAAGATGTCATGATGGACGCAGAAGATGATGCCGCCATGTCTGTCGCGCCATCAGAGAAGAAGGGTGTATTGCTAGACGAGCACCATTACTTTTCGGATGAAGAGGATGAAGCAACAGCGGGAACCAAGAAAGTACCCAAGGGAACCTCAAAATACCAGTCCGCTTGGTATCTGGATGATGTATCAGACTCTGGCTCTGACATGGAAGATATGGAGATGGATGATGAAAACGCTGATGAGGAGGAGATTGGTCCTGAGGATGGCATGGAAGGCTTTGCGAAGCCTGAGCCCACAGAAGGTGCTCCTACGGAATATCCCCAGTCTGAGATGATGGAACCCGATGAGGATGAGGATGCTGTACAGCTGGAGCAGTACCGAGCACGGAAGCGCGATGAGGCTGAAGATGACAAGGAGTTCCCTGATGAGATTGAGCTTCACCCTAATGTTCTGGCCAGAGAGAGATTGGCTCGATACCGTGGTCTGAAGAGTCTCCGAACTTCACCTTGGCAGGAAGATGAGGATCGAGCTCACGAACCAGAGGAATGGCGCCGGTTGTTGCAGATTCCTGACTACAACTCTTCGCGATCAAGAGCGACTCGTGAGGCTTTGGTTGGCGGTGTGCAGCCTGGAACTCGCGTTCATGTTTATATCAAGGGTATCCCAGCCGCTGCAGCGCAGTCCTACAACCCCAGCTCGCCAGTCACATTAGTTTCCTTGCTCCGACATGAGAACAAGAAGACTGTGGTTAACTATCTGATCAACCTCAGCTCTGATTATACCGCTTCGATCAAGGCTAAGGAGGAGTTGATTGCTCAGTGCGGCCCTCGAAGAATGGTTATCAAGCCTCTGTTCTCACAGTCTGGCTCGACGCCAAATGACGTACACAAGTACTGCCGATACTTGCACCCTGGTCAATCGGCTATTGCCACATTCATGGGACCTGTTACATGGGGCGCTGTTCCTGTTCTGTTCTTCAAGCGGACTGTTGCGGGTGCAGATGTTGAGGGTGAGGGTACATCCAACGCTGGCCTGACATTGATTGCTACAGGCACAGCTCTTCCTCCTTCAACGTCCCGCGTTGTTGCCAAGCGCGTCATCCTCGCAGGTCACCCGTACCACATCCATAAGAAGATTGTCACCGTTCGATACATGTTCTTCAACCGTGAGGATGTGGAGTGGTTCAAGGCGATGCCTCTGTGGACTAAGCGCGGACGTAGCGGTTTCATCAAGGAGCCCTTGGGTACTCACGGTTACTTTAAGGCGACGTTTGACGGACGTATCAACCCCCAGGACTCTGTGGCAATTAGCTTATATAAGAGAGTTTGGCCGCGACATGCAGTCCCAGTTACTGGGCCATTGTTGGAAGCCGGCGCTGTTGCTGTTGAGCAGGCGCAAGAGCTGGATGGAGATACCATGATGGAGTGATGGAACTGTCGCAAAAGATATAATGGCATATTCTAGAGCTTATGATTATTATGAATGTTTTCTCTCTCTCATTATACATTATTAGTTGTGTATCCCCTACTTTACCAAGAACATTATGTGATGTGTATCTGTTTGATATTGTGACGCTGCATTCTACGGGACTTTAACATAGCCGACTGCTATCTCTGACGATTCTAATTCATACTTGATAAGTGCTGAGGCTAGGGTAATCAACGTCCCAAGCTGATCCAAGCCCTCACACCACCTCAGCACATCCTTCGTTATACATCCATAGCTATCCCCAGTTGTAGTGTTGCGGACAAACTCCTCAGCGGACAAGTGCTGCGACAGCTTGTAATCACCAAGAGTAAGTATCTTCTCAGCAGACCTTGCGCGGAGAAACGCATTGTATCGCTTCTTCCATTCATATGTGGAGGGGACTTCCCAGAGATCGCGGATACAGGGGAGTGGAGCATTGGAGAATTTTTGACAGCTGTGGAAATCGTGTTGGCGGAATCTGACTTCGAGGAATATTTCTACAGTATAGATGAGACATATGGTTCTAATTTATGGTATATTAGTAATAGAAGATGGGAAAATAAAGTAGATTGGAAGAGGAAGAAATCGGACTACCTTCGTGTAGCTTCGTAGAGGGCCCACGTTTTGCGATCCAGAGGGTTGTCGAGAGTGTCGACGAATGTGTTGTACTCCAAGGTTTCATGTACTTTTTGGCAAGTATGCTGTGCAGTGTGTGAGTCTAGGGGCTTTAGAGAGGGGCGGTAGAAATATGTGCCTACCGCTAATGCCGTGAGGAGAAACTTGACGTCGTTTTTGACTATCGTATCTGTATCCTGTGCTTGGAGTAGCATATATATTGTCATGGCCTGCATGGACTCGACCGATGTCTCCATATCATACGACTCGTACTGACATGTTCAAAATTAGACGTTAGTTCACATCTGTTAAAGAATACAGGTATGCAATAATACCTCGCTATCCAGTTTGGCAATCTCCTTGTATATCGTCTCCCATACAAAAGGGCTGCTGGCCGGTGTTCTCTCCAGCCACATGCCTATTAGAGCCGCACAGATACTTAATGTCTTTCCTAGGCATTCGTGCTTTTGTGCTTTTGCACAATTATACGTCGTACTGTCATCCAGAGCACATCTGCTGTGGATAAAGGGAGGAAGAGCGTGTCCGCTGACCATCATGGCGGGATAGGCGCACACCTGGCCAAAGATGGTCCTCGTTGAGAGGATTGCATTTGCTGTGAGGCCGCGACGGCTGGTGAGCATGCAAGATGAAGAGTCATGGGCGAGGACATTTGAGTGAGTGCCTGAGCCGTTGACGGGATTGCGCAGGCGAGCGTCGTCGGCCTCATCGGTGGCTGGATTCTGAGTGACATGCATGTCGATGTTGCTCATGAATCTCATGACGTTGTGGCAAGGCTCTATCATCGACGCTATGGTAAACGCCATGTCAGCTCCAGCCCCGAGATCAGCTTGCATTGTGGCCGGCCAAGTGTCAGAGGAGTCCAGAGACGGAGCCAGCACCGGCGCATCGACCGCAAGAGGAATCGACTCGCTCAGAGGGCCGCTTTCTGGATCCGGATGGACACCAAGCTGCTGTCTTCCGTGCTTGGCGGAGACTCTCCGGAAATCCGTAGCGCCGTCATGCAGGTTCCCGGATCGACCATCGTTAGCAGTGTTAGTGGCGATGGTCGAGTAAGGGGCCATGCGCGGGATCGTGACGGCGGCGTATTCGCACGAGAGGCCCTTGTCGATGCATCGCGCGCAGCGGGGGAGAGTCAGGCTGCAGCGGGCTTTTGCTTTTCTGCACTGGACGCATGTCTTTTTCCTGGATATGGGCATCTTGTACAGAAGAAATATGAAGTCGATGCACTGTATCAAGACTGCTAAGAGATGAGGTTCTGGGATGCAGAAGTCCGCAAAGGGAAAGACACAAAGACGGCCATTCAGTGTAATTCGCTATTAGTCAAGGCGGACGGATGAATCTCCGTGGCATCGGAGTTCGCGTGGGTCTCACTGCCGGAGTTCAGGTGGAGCTCGGTCAGGGGGCAGCGACGTCTCCGACATGGCTTGATCTGGTGGCGCCAGATTGCCGTCTTAACAGGCTAGACGCGGTTGAGAGATGGAGCGTATCATGTAATGGCCCGCCTCCAGGCTTAGTTAATCAACAAGAGACATATTTATCCTTGATAATCGGCGGTGGGTAGGTTATTCCGCCTTGTGTTATATCTGGCGGAATTCCGATATTGTATGGATGGCGTCATTAATAATGCAATGCTAGATGAAGACGCAATACAGCATGAGTGAAACAGTTATGGCTGGATATGGGGTGATGAGGAGGAGAGGGGGGAGACGAGATCTCATATGTCTTAAGTACAAATAGTCCCTTGAGCCCTCGGACAGATGAATGAATGGAGAGCACACATTTCGATCAAGTATCATCATCATCATCATCACCACCTTCGCCTTTATAAGCCATTCACTTGGACACAGAAAACAACCTCACACCCATCTTAACCAATCATCAAAATGGCCCCTATCCGAGTTGGTATCATTGGTCTTGGTGCCATAGAACCTGGACTTGTTGCTGCTGGAGCTTGGGCCGCTTCTGCTCTTCTACCATCCTTTCTCTCCTCGCCTCACTATGAGCTCGTTGCCGTGTGCAACTCTACCGTGGCATCTGCTCGTCGATCCATCGAGTTTCACAAGCTGGGCTCGACAGTCAAGGCTTACGGCAACCCAGAGGACATTGCCAACGATCCCAACGTTGACCTGGTGGCTGTGTCTATCAACGTTGGAAAGCACTACGCTGTAGCCAAACCCGCCCTCTTAGCCAAGAAGCAAGTCTTTGTAGAATGGCCTCTTGGAGCAAACACGGCAGAGGCAGAAGAACTGACAAAGCTGGCCAAAGACGCCAATTTGAAGACGATTATTGGCACGCAGTTCCTTGCTGATCCCGCCTTTGCCAAAGTCAAGGAGTTGGTCGACAGCGGTGCCATTGGCAAGATTACGAGCACAGAGGCTCAGCTTTCGCCCAACTACGGACCTCCCGATGTCTGGGGGTTTGATGCAACCTATTACCTGGATCTCAAGTCGGGTGGTAACGAATTCCACATTGCAATGGCTCACTGTAAGTGAAATTGAAACATGTACATCGCGGCAGAAGCTAACCATGATGCGAAATACCAGTCCTTGCAGGATTTCTGCATGTGCTGGGCGACTTTGCTACCGTCAAGGCGTCATTCCTCACCCAGTATCCGACAGTGAAGCTTCTCGACCAAAGAACTGGCCAGATTGTCGACCCAGCATATCCCAGAAAGGCCCCGGACCACATGTTTGTTCAAGGTGTTCTCAACAATGGCGCCATCGCCAGCGTCAACTATCGCCGTAACCCTCAGCTCGTTGGAAAGCCTACGCGCTGGGTCATCACCGGCACAGAGGGTGAAATCGAGTTCACCGTTGACGGGCCCATGCTGCAAATGGGTAGCCACCCGCGAGAAATTCGCATCAAGACGGCTAAGGAAGAGAACGGGGCTAGAGTGGTTGCATGGGGAGAGGGTACCCCGGCACATGTTGAGGGCGTGGCATTCCCAGGACAGAACACGGCTTACCTGTTTGAAGATTTTGCCGTGAGCAAGGAGGGCGCTCCTGATTTTGAGGACGCATTGAGGTTGCACAAGCTGTTGGATAGGATTCTTAAGGATGCGAACCCCAAGTATGATTGAGATACGTGCGATGTCTGGTATCTTGATATAAGTGGTAGCTCGTATTCAAGATTCCCTTGTGTAGTGATAATAAATTGTTCAATTTTATTTTAGGCCTAATGATTGAATGCCATGAAGCTAACTACCTAGAAAATAATACTTACACTTTACATCTTACATTGAGGTGAGGTATATGAGATCTACAGATGGGCATCTCGAATTAGGAGAGTAATCTCTCTGATCCCTTCAGATTTCAGTGATAGAATACACAACAAAGCTTCAATTCCTTCTTCAGCACTGGCTTTATCTTTTCTTCCACATGGGGAGAATCTTAATATAAGTTGGCCAAGCTGCTTTGGGATAGTAATAATAGCCGCGCGCTCGCAATCATGGAAGTGCATGTACGTAATTTCGATGGCGACAATATGATGCTGGCTACATATTAAGCACACGTCCGGCTATACTTCTAATGTGTTTAAGTGGAAGCGTCTTCGCTGTCACTTAAAAGCCGCTCTGGCAGGGCATTGAGTGGTGCAAGGGTTCCAACTATTAAACCTTAAGAGGGCGCTGTTGTTGCCTTGTAGCAATTAGAATTAAGAGTCGCGTAATAGTTAATTTACCACGGGATATTTAAAGGCTAATTTTATACCTATTACCACATAGACAAATAGTCTAAGAGTATACAGCCAGAATGTGGTGCAAGCTAGCGTTGGTGGTTATATGGAATCAAGTTCTAGCGGCACGCGATGTTGATTTGGCTGCCGGCAGTTCGTGTTGTGATTGCGAACTGTTTAAACTCCCGGGATAATATTTTTCAGCCAACAGAAGCTATGTCTTCTGCAGGCTCCAATGGACTTTTGGTAAAGAGAATAATGAGTCTGGTATATTAAATGAGGGGAGTGTAGATTGGCTAGAACATTTAAGAAAGCGTGTTTCATCTGGCTACCGTTGTACGAGTCGAAGCTAGTAAGAAGAATGTATGATGTCTTGATAGATCGCGGTATATCTTTATCTAACTCTACTTGAACGTCCATTGAGTAAGGTTTGAGTAATACGTGTAAAGTATTATGTATGCAGCATTATTATCAATCCATCACATGACAGAAAATTAAGAAACACATTACTCCACTGCATTTCTGCATTATTGAAAATAATCCGTCAATGGCATCTTGTCGCGGAATCCTCCAAAGTTCTCGGATCTTCGCTAAGATATACCGGATTCGATCACTAGCAGATATAAGTCCCCAGTTCACGCTACGATATCGTACTAGTTCTAGAACAGAAGCTGCAGAGGAGAGTAACAATCGGGCAAAGAATTACTAGTTGCGGCCAATCGCTAAAAAGCGGACATTTGGGCGGCAATGGCATCGGCATTATTATCAAATGAGTCTCAAAGCACATGGCAGCTATGACGATAGTTGCCTCTTGAGCTATCTCGAAAATATACCCGTCGGATTGCCTTGCCTTTATAGGAGATGGAGCCTCTTCGCTTGAACGCTTAAACATTGGTACAATACGTCCTGTCGATCCAATTTCACTTATTCTAAGCCATCATCCACGCTGTCGTTGGTATTAGTTAGCATTTACCCGTCGGCCTCACCCCGCATTTCGGTCTGATCTCCATTACGATCTTCAAGTTGAAGATGCCGTTATAGTATAGCAAATGGGATATAAAAGCTTGGCACCAACCGTTAGCTGCACAAGATATGACTGCCGATGTAATATACAGCATTGACATCGCCCAAAGACACCGTCTCCCTAAGATGAAAGCCTGAATTGGCCTTTTAACAGCTTCATACTTGGGACATTATAAATATTCTAGTCGGCTAATTCGCCAATCTCGCCTTACAATGAGACTCCTTCGGCTGGAGTTAGCCCGGCTCTCATTTCTTTTGATTGCCTTCTTCGTTGCTTCTTCATATCAGACATGCACGTCCGACGAAGATTGTAGCCTCAACGGCGTTTGCGGCCGCAACGGCGTCTGCAAGTGTGATCCGGCTTGGACTGGCGATGATTGCGGCGCCCTTGACATTCGTCCTGCCAAAAGGGCGGGCGGTTACAATCTGACTGCAGAGGGCACATCATCATGGTGTTCCAAGATTGTCAAGGATCCGTGGGAGAAAGATCTTTATCACCTCTTTGCTTCTGAGTTTACACACGGCTGTGGTCTTGACTACTGGGCTCCCTATAGCCGCATCATCCGTGCTGAATCTCGCACTGGTCCTGCTGGTCCTTACAGCTTTGCGGCTGAGGTCATGGGAACTTTCGCCCATAACCCGAACGTCGTGTATAGCCCGGCTGATCGAGAGTGGCTCCTGTATTACATTGGATGCCCCACGAACGTATCGGACACATGCCAGTCTCAGAGCGTCACTTGCGGGCCGGGAAACAACAACAATGGAGAGAGTGGTATATCCGTGCTCAGCAGCAGAGATCTTCGACACTGGGAGTTCAAGGGACAGGTGATGCAGGGCGACAATACAACCGATTGGGATGCCGATGTCACGAACCCTGCTCCATTCCCCCTGTACTCCAACTCGTGCTCGAGAACAGGGGCATACGCAAATGGCCAACACTGCCCTGGCCACACTGACGCTATGCTCTTGGTCTACCGAGGTTGTCCATTCAACTGTGGTGGTGCAGAGCAAATCAATGTCGCCATCTCAGAGACTGGCTACGAAGGTCCTTACACAAAGATTGAGCCAGATCCCATCTTTGACGAAGGCAACGAAGATCCATTCGTCTGGCGCGACAAACGAGGCAACTTTCACATGCTTCTGCATTCTCTTGAGGCAGATGGCGCTTTTGGCTCGGGACCAAAGGTTGGTCGACATGCCTGGGCTAAGAACTATACTGGGCCCTGGACGTTTGGCAGCCAGACGCTGGCATTCAGCACCGAGGTAGAATATGATGATGGGACAACTATCAACTTTTACCGCAGAGAGAGACCAGAGCTATACTTTTCGGACGATGGGCTGATGACGCCGCTGTTGCTCAATACTGGTGTGCAGCCTCAGAATAGCCCTCAGAGCTACAGCATTATTGTACCTCTGGGAGATGCTGGAGTGAAGGCCCAGGGTAAATAATACTTTTCTTAGAAGAATAAATTCAATTTTGTCAAGCTTAGTTAATTGGCGTAGATTGCATTGCCTCGGTAAAACAAATTGCAGTCCAGGATGTTGACGCAAAGTATCTACAATTCTTTTGAGATTGCTCCCTAAAATTTGAACTATTAAATAGAGTGTAACTCATAACTTCGTTATCAATTTATCTTTCTAGACCTATTGGTTTGTATTATCATGTCAACAGCGTGGAAGGACCACCTTCACTAACGATCTTCTTTTATACTCAATATTGGCCATCCTGAAACAGGAGAAATTCTTTCAGGGTTCTTGTACCCAATTCCATGACCTTTTCAAGCCATTGTGCTCCTCTTAAAATTGAAAAAGAGTTTATAAAGCATATCTGAATGAAGTATTCTCTTTGTCAGATAGGTCTTCGAGAGCCTTGTCAAAGGTAGGCGGCCCATAGAGTTTTGTTCGATTCTTGTTTTCTCTATCCAGCATAAAGCGAACCGCTTGAGCAAGGAAGAAACAAACAGCAAAGCAAACCATGATACCTGTAAAGCTTTGACTAAATTTGGGGGCAAATTTCCTGTAAAGAAATTAGAGTTAGTGTCTCGACCAATCTTCTAATAAATAGGACGCAACATAAGCTATAACTTACTGATCGAAGAGTAAAGAGCCCATAACATTGCCCAATGAATAGCCGATAAAAGTTCCGGCGGCATATACGGATTTCTTGGTATAACCGCCCGCGTTCGACGTCCCCAGGCCAATACATTGGACCCAAGCTGCTGAAAAGAAATTAAGAAAGTAAAAGCCAAAGATCTTTGCGCCTCGATTGTCGACTTTCCAACTTGGATGCATGTTAGTACGTCACACAAGGCAGAAACATGTAATGAAATGTAACATACATTAACGAGCACCCAAGAATGACCGGCAGGCAAGAAAGTGAGATAATATAGAACCGACCGTTGTTCCAGTTTCTTCCAAGATATCCTGAGCCCAGGACACAGATAAAAGCCATAGCGCCAGTTGGAAGATTGAGTAAGAGAGAAGTGTAAGCATCAAATCCCATGCCGTTGAACACGATGGACGCAAACTGAGTGACAACAGCTGCGCCGGTGCAACTCAATAAAGACAAAACGATAATAGCCCAGAACTGGAACTCAAAGAGTGCCTCCGTAATCTGGTAGAGCTTCACCTTTGTGTTCGTGGTGCCTGCGTTATTAAGACGTGTGCGCTCAATCACGCGCTCTCTCTCGCTTTCTGTAAAGCCCTTGGCGTGCTCTGGAGTATCGGGGAATATAAAGAGCAGTGCAATGCCCCAAAAGAAAGAAAGTCCGCCTGCAAATAAATACATGATCTGCCACGGGTGCAGGCGGCTGCTCTGGATATGAGCCAACCCAAAGTTGATTACCGGGGAAATTAATAACGAGCCGCCGCTGAATGAAAACCAAATGCTAGATCGCAAGACTTGCTCCTGTTTCGTATACCACATGCCGACAACGAGCATAAATATCGGGTTGACGCCGGCTTCAACGACGCCGAGGAAGAATCGATTCGCTAGAATGCCAGAGTAGGTTTTGCAGGCGGGAGTTGTGAGCATGATGATTGACCACAGAACTGATAGGACAGAGCAAGCACGCTTTGGGCGGAACCGTTGGGCAAGTAGCGAAGCAGGATACATGCCAGCTATGTGGCCAAAGTAAAATACCACAGAGACCCAAGAGAATGATTTTCCTTTTGTCAAGCCTAGGTCTGTTCGCAGACCAAACACAGCTGCTTGTCCAAGCAAGCCTTTATCCCAGTACTAATTGAGAGCTTGTCAGTGGGCTACTTACTTTCTCCAAAACTTGGGCTTCTAATTTCGAACATAGAAATGTCCCAACGGAAAATCTAAGAATTCTCACCTGAAGGGCATATGTGATACACAACTGGAAATTAGTCAGTATGTTGATTACATTTTTAAGCAAATCTTCAGTAACTGAGACTCACCACTGGCATCAAGCGCCAGTCAATCTTTCGCAGCAGCGCCCGATCTGCATCTGTTGCAATTTCAATAGATGGGTCGCTTTCCGTAGACCTGTCTATCACGCCCTCAACTACTGTTTCGTCTGTTTTCTCCATTTTGATAGATCTGCAAAAATACTGCAGGATAACAACACAAGACAGTCAAAGGGAAAAAAGGTGGCCAAGGGTAGGATTCAATGCTTATCATAGGTAGGTAACATTGGCTTTATATTATAAAGAGAGACGGCAGTTCGGGGGTCGACATGTCCCACTCGGCTTTTGTTAGATCAGCACTAGTCTGCTTAAAGGCGAGACGGGTAAGCGGGCCAGCGGGTATCAGTAAATCAGGAACGGCAAAATCGAAATATACACGTAAATGCAAAATATGAACAGCTGGGGGGACGGTTTGTTGCCGCTTCTGTGTGTGCGAGATCCATGTCTGTATGCCGCCGATCCTTTCGGAGGTCCCTCTTTTTTATATCCGCTTAGTTCGAGTGAGGAAAATGCTGATCAGCAATTGATTCATCTTAAGATACTCCGTATCACTATAGCGTATAAGGGTTATTAGCCCTAGGGACTCTTAAAAGAAGACTCTTAAAAGAAGACTCTATCAGTATCAGCGGGCGTCAATCATTAGGAAAATAAGCTATTTGTGCTTATTTCAGAGCCTATTGCGTTGCGGCCATGGTCCGTACGGCAGATGTGATTCTTAGCTTGGTCGGGTGATTATCCAATACCGGACGTAGTGAGCTTTTGGTTAAAGACATGGTTCGGCGTTACCCCTGCCTTGCATTCGTGTTGGATTAGCAATCCCTTCACTCTTGACTTAAACCTCTTTAGTAGCCCTTGGCTGCCTGGACGACTTGTAGATCGCAGAGGAGGGTGCCATAGAGTAGCTAAACAAGGCTGTCTATTACTTGATACAGTTGGAACACAGGCATATTCTCTATATCCCACGTGGGTTTCGTTATTGAACAATACGCATACACACTATTTACTGGATCGGGATAAGATCCAAGTATCAAACTTACCAATCGCAAATGCTTCCTGGAGTGGTGACGGAGAGCAGTAGCAGATTCGCGCATGTGCTTTTGTGACATATTGTACGAGCTCCGCGGGTCCCATAACCCAGCCTATACCCTCAGTTAGCTTGAAAAGAAGCATTGTTGGGAGTTGCATCAGGAAAGGACTTACCGACTCGCCAGCCGGTGGCGTAAAAGTTCTTTCCCGCGGAACTGAGGGTTAGTGTGATTTTCTCAACCTCCGGTGATAGAGTCGCAATGCGAGTAAACGGAACATAGAATAGTCGGTCGTAAACCTCATCTGAGATGATGAGAATGTTGTTCTGAACGCAGACGTCTGCAATTAATTTGAGCTCCTTGGGGGTGAAGATCTTTCCCAGGGGGTTGTCTATGAGTTGAATCGGTTAGCAACAAATCCACACTTGGCGGGTTCGGCGGATGCTCACGGGGTGTATTTAATACGAGCATTCTCGTTCTAGGAGTGACAGCATCCCGGAAAGCGGCGATATCAAGGGTCCATTCGCCAGCGGAATGGGTTTTTGTCATGCCAGACTTTGGCGGTTGTAATGGCACAGAAACAACCTTGGCGCCAGCCATCTCAATATTGCTGATGTATCTGCTTTATGTTAGAACATAAAAAGAGCCATTTTATGCTAATAGCAAATAAAATGTAAGACGGTGCGCTTACTGATCGAAGAATGGTTCTAGTAGTAGGACTTCATCGCCCTCTTGGAGGAACGCCATGCAACAGCTCAGGAACCCTTCATTGGCGCCGGTAGTAACTGTAATTTCTGTCTCAGGGCACAGCTTGCGGCCCCAGAAAGGAGAGTATGCGTTGGAAATGGCCTCTCGCAAACGAGGACGGCCCTTTGGAGGAGCATACTGGTTGCAGTCGAGGCGTTCTACCGCGCTCTTGGCCGCGTCTATGAGAAACTGAGGAGGATTGTAGCCAAAAAAGCCTTGTCCCATGTTTACCACAGGCTGATTAGGTGTAGTTGCGGCAGCAGCATTGATAATGGACCTATTGACAGCATTAACGAATCAAGATGACAACCAAACACGTGGTTGAGTCACTCACCACACATCCATTGTAGAGCTCGCTACCCTCTGAGCCGGTTGGATCGGGGACTTTGTCCCATTCTTTAATTGAGCCATCAGTGTAGTGATTGATCGTTTCTCTAAAATTTCAGATATATTCCCCAAGACTTGAAGCCAAGGACGGCGCGGCAGGTTGACACGGCCTGCTTTATATCTATTCCGCACATACACATAGATAGTGAGGAAATTGCTCCGTAGACCTCCGGGAGTGAGCTCGCGTCTAAAATCTGACTAGGGTAGATTTATTTTGCCATCACTAGATTCTCAGGGCCGCGCGCACTTGTGCCAGCTTACCGGCCGTATTAACTTGTTTGATATCATGACTCGATGCTACTGGCTCACACTCAGTCATTATGGGGTCCTTTTATATGGCCGCCATCTTTCTGACAGTAATTGAAATCTCTCGCCCCTTATTTCGTTCCACTAAATATACTAGTTTCGCTCAAGATCCTAGCTTTTCGACTTTCTGTCTCTTTGCCAGAATTGACTATATCACTAGCTTCATCGGAGCCCTCTCTATTTGACAAATGCAAAGAGCAGTAGTGGCTCATCGGAGTCGATACGGAGGTTGAATCGACCCATCAAAAAACCCACAGCGCATAATGGCCGACTGTCACTTGCGCTAATACGATGTAAAACTTTGAGATACGTTTCGCCTCTGGGACTCGAGAAGAAACGCCAGACTAATCGATGATATGCTGACTAAATACGCCACCATCAATGTCTAGGCTGTAATTGTATTTATGACATGCCGCGAGGATCTCAAGAATATTCGTAAACTATCCTTTTCTTCCTTGTAGTTCTGCATCATCCTTGACCCCTGATAATCATGAGAGGGCAATAATGAACAATGCAAGAGCGTAGAATAACAACCGTATAGACGCGCGCAAAACTCCGATTTTCGGCGCCAAACGTGTTCGTACCGTGAGCCGGAACCTCGGATCGGGTCTGACAAGCTCTAAGAGCTGTTTAGTCGATTCATGCGCGGCTGGGGCGAACCCTCTTCTCAGAGCTAGCAGTAATACGTAGCCACTCCGTGCTACAGACTGCACACGTTGTTCCACCATCTATCCATCCAATCATCGGCCGGCGGTTTTCATCCACAAGTTGTAGTAAGGCTGAGCGGCTTCCTTCACATGCAAGCATTTCGTATTTCGCTGGCGCTTCTTTAAAAAGAATCTGATATACAGCTTCCAGCTGCGCCTATTCCCACAATATCTCACAGTCCCACTTGCGCCGTTAGCTGGGCTTGTAGGCATGTAGTTTGCAGGATGCTAAATTAGATGGCAGTCTCACTTTTGAATGATAGCTGAGCAGCAAGCTTAGATAGGCTATTGAGCAATCAAATTACCATTGGTGTTGCATTTGGGACAACGCCAAAACCCTTTGCAGTGAGCCATCAGCGGCACCGAATTTTGTCACGGCGATCAACGCAAGTCTTGCGCCTTTCTATATTATGTATAGCTAAGGGCTATGCTGTGACTGCATTGTATCGGTAGTATGATGTCTCGAAAATTTACATTGTAGGAGTGTGCGATTTTTTGTTTGTATTCTTTAACTTAAACTAACATCAATTTTTAGCTGTCTCCAATAAGAGCTGTGAAGAAAAAAGAAAACTATCTTGCGATTGTCATTAGGGTTTATAATATCTCTAGGAGCACCTAGTCTTCAAATACTATCTATACGTGTTTTGTCAAAGATTGATGGCCATCTCACGGTCGCACAGCTCGGTAACTGACGGCACGCAATATGCGGCAGGATCTATATAACCGACACGGCGAGCAGATTCAACATATTTTTTTGAATCTTTGAGCCATAACGTCGTCTCCTGCAGATTCGTACAACTCAACGAGGCGGTACCGATCATCAGATAAATGCCAAGTAATGTACCCTTGCATAAAGCGATTGAGAAATTCGTACATCTTAGGGTCTTTGTCATGGAAAACCTGGATTATCTCTTCAGAACTGCGGATTGTATCTTTGCAGAGTTTGCCGAGAGCCTGATGGATAGTGATACCCTCGCACTCTACATAGTTGTTAATTAGGGAGGTCTGATCGCGCTCTATAAAGTACTCCTTGTAGAAAGAGAACAAATCGTTCGTCCAGGGTATCCAATTCTCTACCTGGGCAATGGCCATGGTGATTTCGAGAAAGTGTTTTTCTTCATTAATTAACTCGATCGGCCAGATCAAAGCGCCAACAGACTGCCCAAGACCATTAAGACGGCGAAGGAAGCAAGGATAGTCGCTTGAGCCCCGGAAGCCCTTGAAATTGTGCTGCTCAATCCAGCAACCCTGGAAGACTGTATTTGATAGCATGAGACTTTTTGCCTCAGGTAGAAATAAAAACATGTAAACTTACAGTCAATTGTGCTTCGAACTATGGTCATCTGGCAGTAGCCTCCATAATGACGAAGAACTTTAGGAATGAAGTCGTTGACCAGTCTCCACCAACCATGAGCTTGTGGCTTGGCATTTAGAAGATCGCCGTACCAGGTCGCCATGGTGTCAGCGGGCTCTTCCCTGCTGTCATCAAGAAGCAGAGCATATGTAAAGTAGATGCTGAGATCTGCCATGAGCTCTTGACTCACACGACACCAGGAGTAAACGCACATGCCGACAATGGTCTTGAGAGCAGCATCCAGCTGTTTAGGAGGCACTTTGAGAGCTTCTTGAACATGAGGCTGAGCGAAATGCTCAGCAGCTTTTGCATAGCAATATTTCAGGCATTTGACACGTTCTGCATCTGTCAAATTCTCATCATTGTAGCTTACAGTGTCCAATAGGCGGACCATGGCCTCCATATAAGTAGCTCGAGGGAAATGCTCTTCGCGGGGAACATTATTAAGCTCAACCATGACGATGATATACGTAGAAGAATAGAAAGTAATTTAAATTTAGAAAATTATGCAACTAATTGTTTTCGGTGTTGAAGAACTCATCGAAAAATTCTACAGAATAGATCATATTATGGAAGATCCTGCGTCTATATATACTGAAACATGAAAACATACTCTACATGTGCATGATCTAGGGTGGATATTTGCGCACGCTTCAGATGGAATCTTCTCGCTACTCTAATTATCTCGCATTTCCGATCCTAAACCAAGATACTGCATATTAAATTAAGCACCTACTTCTTTCAGCTGGCTACTGATACTTCCATCTAGCCCACCGCAAGATATTCACTCATTAATCACGCAACTTCTCAAAAGAAACGAAAACAGGCTGCGTCGAGAGTTTCACGGTAAAGTTGGATAGAAGCCGCCATTCGTGCTAGGTAACACATGATTACATGGAGTGTTGCAGCACTCCATGGATATCCTACCAAGTTAGCCTTAGCTTGCTGTACGACACAACTTACTCGAGTCTAATGGTGATTAAATGCCAAAGGCCCAATCTTTGGTCAAATTAGCTCAGATTTTGCGAATGGACGTTGATATTTAGAATAAAGGGCATTGTGCCGCGTCCGGCGGCGTGATTCAAATGTGGTGGGCAGAATGGAGAGGTAAGAGATATATGAAACGCATGATATGAATGATGCCGCAGTAAATTGAGTGATTGCTTCTTTCAGCTAGCTACTGGTTCCATTTGGCCCGCTGCAGGTTCATTATTCCATGTGGCACGTAGCTACTTATACATAATAACATAACTAGGCTACATGGAGTTTTATCGATCTTTACCGGCAACCTCCAATATTCTCAGCCCCCAATATTCTCAGCTCCCAATATTCTCAGCCACCAGGCGTGCTCATTCTTTGTGTATTCCCATGTCGTATATAACAAGGGTCATTGCACCAATAGCCGGCTACCTAGTTTCGTACAATGATTGCAGCGTCATCTAGTGTTGGTGATGGAAGTCTTAGTGAATGTTTTAGTATTTAAACAATACAATGCAGTATAAAAGAAGCTTTTTAATATGGTTATATTAATTAATAAAGATATATAGAGTAGAATACTAAAAGTTGTCAAGTTCTTTGTAAACTATTGAAGTATTAAATGAATTGATAAACGATTTAGAGTAATTAATTAACATATATATAACTATTATCAATATAATTAGAGCAGTTAATTAGGCGCTAAAGGCCGGGAATTGAGAATTGACGTGCTGATAGTCTAAGCACTAACAGCGCCACTGACGCACTAAATTCTCTCACGAAGTGCCACCAGCCTTTATTTTATGCTTTTCGTTCCCGTGTTCTTGTTCTTCATATGCAAGAAATCAGTATACAGGTCTTGTTTCTTTTTCATCAGCTTATGAGTTTTTTGCTTGAAACGGCACATATGCTATGTACACACATGTGTACCTTGACTCAGCCGATTCGTCACTGAATCCTAACTGCTTTTGAGAAATTGAGACATCAACATCTTCCTCATAAAAGATGCTACCTGTTATGTAGATATTTTCGGGTACAATCTTTAAGCTCTCTTATTAAATACACAATGCAGACCACCGGCTTTCAAAATTGCCTGGTTTATCATATCTCGGTGGATCGAAGTCCCATCCTCTCCAGGAGCAAACTTGAAGTCGTAATTCCAAACTGTATACGCTATTGTGAACCGTATCACAATCATAGCCAGTCTCTTCCCTACACAATTGTATGGGCCGAGGAGGAAAGGATGAAATGCCCGCTTGTCGATTACTAGGTCAGGTCGTGTTGTCCACCTTTCGGGGATAAAGCTATCTGGCTCTTTAAAATATTTCGCGCCTGTTATGATGACAGCGGTTAGGCAAGGGCTGTGCCAAGTGACTTTGATGATAGCTCCAAGATCATGGAAATGAAGGAATTGATCTAGATAGATACTCACTTCTATGCATAGAATTTATTGGCACATAAACTAGTGTTTCTCCAGGAATTAAAACGCCATCAATTTCGAGTCCCTCAGGTGGCATCATTCGAGGTCCGTTGGCGCAAGTTGGATTATCCACTCTCATCGTCTCGTTAATCACGGCGTTCAAGTATGGCGCCGCAGCCTCACCCAAGTCATGGTTCGTAAATTCGCCAGGTGCTGTACGCCCAAATAATGGTTGCAGTTCTGAACGCAGCTTGTCTTGGACGGTGGGATCTCGTGCAATATAGTAAAATGCGAATGACAATACGGCTGCAATAGTGTCAGTTCCACCAGTCATAACAGCTTGGGCGTCCGAGTATATGTCGTCAATATGGTGCATAGTTTTGGGTTCCTTGGAGTGATAATCTTCGAGGAAATATTTCATTATATCTTCATGTTCGTCATCTGCTTGCTGTATTGCTGTCAGAAAATGACTTACAAGAAGCGTGGCGCAGAGATTGCGAGTCGCAGTACCTACCTCTCCTCTTCTGTCTACCATCTGACAAGCTAATTTTTGGAACTTGATGAGATCATTACTGCCACCGATGGCATTCATCAAAGCAATCGGCCACCATAACAGTCCAAGCTTGGCAAGGGTACCCAGAGTGACTTCAAGGTAGTGTAACATGTCATCTTCTTTGCCCGCTTTGATTGATCCGAAACTGGCTGAAAATCCCATTCGGCCCATGTTTTCAAATGGTATCAAAGTGGAATATAGTGAGGTGTTGATGGGCTGGCCCTGAAGCGATTTCAATTTCTCTAGCCATTCGTATACTACTTCACGAGCGTTGCGTTCGTATGTTTCTAGAGCTGATAATGTATAGAGATCAGTACCAGGGGGAAGGATAATAAATCTAATATACTAACATTTGGTGCTAAAGGCCTTGTCCCAGATCTGTCTTCTCCAACGATGGTCCTTGTGGTTCAAGATGGTATCAAGATTTGGGTGGCCCTTATAGTTCACGGACTCGTAGGCTGAGTTCTGCTTTGAACATGGTGATCCTGCTCCATGAATCTTCTGCTGAGCGTCTATCGATAGAGCCATGAGCTCATTAGGGCCTATAGCATTTAATAAACATATCAGCCCTATTTCCACATAGAGATCTGTCTAACTGAAGGCTTACCAATTCGTATGATGTCTCCATATTTGTCGAAAAGCTTGGACCAGTGAAGGTGTGGTTTCCTATCCAGAGCTGTATATGGTCCGTACAGTTTTGTGACTTTTGCTGCAAACGGTCCAGGGAAGCGCCTTAAGCGATGGAAGAAGATGCGATATACTAGAATACTAGTGAAGAGTCCTAAAAAATAAGACGCCGATATGATGCCAGCGTTTGAGGCTCCATGGACCGCCCCTTGTAAATGAATGCACCGCATCCATAGTAAACACACTGCGACTATGTAGAACCCAACAATCTTGGGCGCTTCCATAGACCTGTGTCCATGAATGAAATAAACAAGGTGGGATAAAACACCACCTGACGCCGAGGCAACGGCCAGCATTTCGGGCCTCATTGTTACGAATTGGTGCAATTCCTAAAACCAGTACTATTAGCCCAAAGAGGCTCGATAAGGTATTACTGCATACAAACTGAGTAAAAACAGGCAAATTTTTTTGCGAATGAGATGGGGGGACGTGCATTTTTAAAAAGAATACTCGAGAGCGGTGTAATATGCAAGGAAGAAGATAAGCACGGCAAAAAGTGTATTTTAATGGAAGTTAAATCTGAATCTTTTTGAGCTAGGATAGGCTGAGCGGTCCGTCCAACGCATAAGACAAAGCTATTACTCTCACACGAGACATTAAGTGTTAGGGCTTATTCAGAATGACTTACAAGCCGAACTGATTTAAGGTTTTCTTTGCGTTAAGTCAGATTAAAGCTTCACTACGGGATACATGTAGTTTCTTCTCATTACTCCACATTCCTATTTCAGACTTTTTATGTCAATCCCTTTCAATGATTGGTTCTTAATAGCCGCTGAATCTGATTCGGGTTATTCATTCATAGCGCTGTGGCGTAGTGCTGTCGAGTTTGAACTTAAGCCAGCCACAACTGGTTTTTACTGTACTCAGTAATCTCAAGCTAAGCCTACAGTGTCGGTTTTAGAGAAAGATGAGAGGTTCCTAGGTTCACTCTTTAACTGCTAGCATCTCCTTTCGCTAGCTCTTTTATTTGAGAAACAGTTCTGAAGAATTATCCAGAAATTTGAAGTCTTCTAATAACCAGTAGACCAAGGTTTTGCTTCAAAATATCCAAGGACTTTTAGAATTCGTCAGGCTCCTTATACATAAAAGAGTCAGATGCGAATGTCCATATGGCTCCTGATTAGGAATATCATCACAATGATATCATATTTAGATTATAATTAACATTTAATACACGGATAGAACCCGAAGTCAAGTCAGAAAAGATAGATGTTTACTGAATAGTATAATGAAAATTTACACAATACGGTCAGTAAACTTATCGCTTACGAAACTTCGTGAATATGACATCGCTAATAATGTTATGGCTCTCATTGGAATCTATAGTTCAAACACAGCTCTGTACCTGATGGCATTTGCTTCCATATCACTGATAACTTTGTGAAGAGAGCTAACATTATCAAGTTTAGTGACCTGAATCAGAGGTTTAATGTCATTTTTGGCAGCAAATTCGAGCGTCTCTGCGTGCATTGCTCTGGGGCCAACTAGACTTGCATGTATGTGATAGGCATCGAAGAACATATTGCGTGTGCTTGCAGTTGTAGTTAGTAAAAGTCAAACCCAAAATATCCGTGCTATGATAGAATTCAGATCTTACTTAAGATTCATAGCTCCAATTGGGGCAGTCAGTGGTACGATAATGCCATTTCGCGATAAGAATTCCTTTGTCGTTGTTCTCATTCAGATTTTAGCGACGTATATTTGACAACGAAAGAAAAATTAACTTTTGCAAGGCATGACAAAGAAGCAATTTACTTACTTTTCAAAATCTGGATATAACTTCCAGTAATCAACAATACCTTTATTGGAGCTTTGATGGTTTCATACATAGTACTGATTAGGTGAAATTCACTGGCTCCCCAGGCGCGTGCTTCCTGCTCTTTGTCTGCAGATGTGCTGTACACAACGACTTTAGTACCCATCTTGGCAGCATATTGCATTGCAAGATGGCCAAGGCCACCAATTCCATATATTCCAACTCGCATACCAGGCTCGACTGTTTCCCGGAGAGCAGTGTATACTGCAACGCCAGCACACTGAAGTGGGGCAGCATACTCGCTAGGAATGCTATCCGGAATCTTGTGCAAAAACGTCTCTTTGCCGATATAAAACTGGCCAAAGGTTCCATTGTCGTAGTCTCCCTCGCCCATGACAATACGATCATAGCAGTAGATATCTTTGCCTTTAAGACAGAACTTGCAGTTGCCACAGGCATCCCGATGATATCCGCCGCCAACCCGGTCACCAACTTTCAACTGCTTCGCATCAAAGCCGACCATCTCAACAATTCCTACCCCTTCATGGCCTAGAGCAACGGGAAGTTTTACCATCGCCACATCACTAGCGCAAAGACCAGTGTGAGTGATGCGAACAACAATATCTCGAGGACCCAGTTCCGGAATTTTGGCGTCAAACGCAGTGACACCTCCATCTTTAGATCGATAACCTCGATACTCCTTCCCCACAAGACTAGATTGAGTCATAATGATGGTGTGATTCCTTTACTTCCGTTATTCGCTCCTGTGAAATCTCAATATTAAGTAATGTTTCACTGAAGAGACCCCTTGAAAGGTTTTCAATTGTTTGACAAGAAAAATTACACTCAATTTACCTCCGAATTAAGCAGATACTCATGAACTATATATAGGGTATATTGGACAACACTAAAACAGGGACGAATGACACCCGTGTTGGCCGGAGCTGCGAGGCTTATGACCGCAAAAATCGATATCGCGGATCTTACGGCGAAGCTTGCAAAACAAGCACAAATCAGGAGAATTGAAGACACGAATCCAGTTTTTAATAGACATTCTTTGCCAGCGGCTTACTTCAACGATGCGGAGTCCGAGGGAGCCACAAGGAACCGAGCAGTCGGATCACAGCTATCCACAAGCAATGGATTATTCACTCATCCATACCCAAACTAAAAGAGAAACTCCGCCAGATATTATATTGTTATGAGCAAAAAGACCTGCCTCTGGAAAATTATATGTGCTGTTTATAGCTGGCATGGAAGAATTTGAGAGAAGATATACATTAAACAGAGACCAGAGTCTGGACAAACATGAGGTGGTCTGGGAATGGTTTCTGTTAGCGTAAGGTACCTCAAGGTATCATAAGTACATGTAAGTACATGTAGCATTGAGGGAGGACAGCCTCAGTGCGGGGCAAAACCCAAGTACTAACGCTTAAGCTGCCGGCAGACATCTGGCTCCGAACAAGTTTCATGGAATCCTGTGGAAACCCGGGGCAGCTGCATGTTGCCAGGCTGGAATACAACACCAACTTGGGATGGCAGCTGCATGCGCTCTAAGTGGTTGCGGTAGCTTAGGCAGCAAACTTGGGTTGGGCACCTGGGATAGAGCAAGTGTAGGAACTAGGTCGACGCGCTGGCACCTCTGCATGAGAACCTTCACTGATTCAACTTGACACTGCATTATAATCTTTTACTGTGTGTTAAATATCAACTCGCGTCGTCTCTACTAAAAAGTTATACCGGCCGCGAAGCCATGAACGAGCTAGAAACAGGCTTTGATGCACTAAGCATCAACCGACTGATTAATCCCATAGACAAAGATATACCAAATGAGATTCCGTTCTGTCCATCAGGCAATCTCGCAACGAAATTACAGGACACTCCCCGTTATCTCTTTCGCGTTTTTTCAAAGAATTCCGCAGGAGAGAACAGTAGTGAATGGATGAAATCCGTTGACGCGCAAAAGGGCAATTTCACAGATATTTTTAAACGAGATAATGCTTCAGCTGTCGCTTTAACTCTCAACGAGCATCTCATGCCGTGGCCAAAAAAAAATGGAGATCCTTTCATCTCCTGGACAACTTCGCTTCTTTTCGCGATCCAGTACGCTATCTTCAAGTATAAGAAGGAACACGTCGAACTGAACACGATTTATCTGTGCATTGTTGACACTACTCAGTTCCCTAGCGGAGTGTTCATAAAAGACCTCGACCTGATCGAGGAATTCCAAGATAAGGTCACCGATGACCACGTCATCTGGTATAAAAACAAGCGGCGTTACTGGAAAAACATAGGGCTCAGCAACATCCGTCAATTACGAAATAGGAAACCTGAGGGGTATTCTGGTATTTACTACTTCGGAGAATACCTCTCACAGGGGCAGACCAAGATCAATGGCCGTTCATGTACGGTGCCTTGCGATAAGGTTATTAACAATCACTTGTTTGCCATGATGCCCAACTTCAAAGTGGAAATGGAAAGCGAAGCTCAATTATGGGCAAAAGCAGTGATAAAGTTTCGAGAGCCGTCGCAGTCCAAAATCATGGAGCAAGAGGCGATAGACAATTCCGAATTCTTCGAGGCAAAGGCGATAGCATTAGAATTTGGCACGAAATGGTTTCTGCCAATGCTAGCCAATTTATTGGCCATGAGTCCTCGTACGGCTAACCCCGCGAACATACGTCTGATATCGAAGCTATTTTCCAGTGCGTGCCGGCCCTGAAAGCGCGGTGTCCTGGCTTGCTAACAAAACGTTAGACGGCGTGGAACACAGTCTATTGTCCAAAATCACGAACGTTGTGGCCGATGACAATATTCCTGAGGTCCTCCGGTTTAGGGAGATCGTTCATGCTATTAACAAGGACTACCACGCCGATCGTGCTGCCGTCCTAGTAAGATCTATGGAAGAGACTGCAGGTGCATCCCTCACCACAAACTACCTCACAATGGTAAACCAAGACAAATTTCCAAATGCTAATACTTCAAGTTCTATGATAGATATTGTGCGCCACTTTATACGCGACTCTGAGACCACTGAAAGCCAAAATACGTTGGGTACAGGCAACTTAGCAGGCTGTCCTCCTACCGTACATCATGATCATGTGCAGTCGCTTAAGCGGAGCTTGGAAACGCTAAGCATAATTATACAAGAATTTCAAGAAGCTACGAGTTAGAAGGGCGGATCAGAGATCATGTGGCACTGAACGCCTCCAGGTATTGCCGTTAACATACGGCTGTTGAACCTGACCCCAAAAATGAGGTTTCTGGGATAGTAAGTAACAAGCGCGAATACAAAGATTCATACTATGTGGATTCTTTAGCTCTTGCGACAATCTTGACAAAATCTGTGTAAAGCAGCTGGAGAATTCTTCTTAAAGCCCTATTATTTGCCCCCATGCACTTCAATGTCACTCCAACCCACTTTTTCACTTGCAATTGCCTCACATGTCGTGATGGTGCATCATCTGACGAACATACGAAGGCGTAGTACGTGTAGACCAAAATAAATATGAGTGTTTTGCTATTACAGGCATAAAATATATACTAAACAATAATTGGAGATACAAATAGTTATATCGAAATACACTTTTCCTTATCGCACAGCAATATAACGCTGAGTGGGGTTATCATTGAACGCAAACAAGACTCAGCCAGCCAACGAGTACTCCCGATAGCCCACTACTCTGTTCCGCGCACTGGCATTCCTGCCTTCTTGTAGATACCATCGATAATCTCCATAAGCTTCACGCTTTCATCCATATCAACCCAAGGTCCATTATACGGTTCCTGGTTTTTAGCCGCCCTGACACGATCCGCAAACGCCTCAAGTTGATATCTATACGTTGTCCACCAAGATTCTCCCCGCTTGCCCCATAGGGGTCCATCTTTGTAGAGAGTTTCAGTGGTCTTCTTGCCGCTCTTCTCGGTGATGATGATCTTGTGCCCAATATACGGGCCAACATAAGCCGTAAACTCGATTTTGGCTTGCTCTAGCTCCACCACCGTTGTCGGCGTCAGGTCCCATAGCTGTGGAATAAAACCCAAGAACTTTGGCAGCACCAGTTTACAACTGGTGGTGCACATGACTGGTGGTCTTGTACTATCCGCATTACGGATAACAAAACTTGCGTCCATGCCTTCGTCAATTCGTTTATCGAGCTTATTGACCTGAGGCTTCGCTTCCAAGACCTCAAAGGTGGCTCCTTTCACATCATTGGGAGCGGATGCCCAGTACAAAGACGCCGAAACGACGTAGCAAAGATCCATGGAAGCCCCGCCTCCCAGGGCATAGTTGAAGCGGATATCGTCAGCGCCTAACGCTCCGGGAGGAACGACCATTTTCGAAGACGTAGCCGTGACGTGGCCATATTTGCCGCTTTCAATAATCTCCTTGACACGATGAGCGGCAGGATGAAGTCGCCAGTGGTAAGCTTCAAGAGCAAGTTTGCCATTTTCTTTGGCGCAATCCTGAATCTCTTTGGCTTCGGCAGCATTGGACCCAATAGGCTTCTCGATCAAGACGTGCTTGCCGGCCTTCAATGCTTTAATGGCCCATTGATGATGAAGGCCATTGGGAAGAGGAATGTAGACGGCCTCGACATTGGGATCTTGGAGGATGTCTTCATACGAATCGTATATTTTGGCTGCAGTGAGCTTGTATTTCGCCACTTGTGCTTCTGCTTTTGCTCTCGATCTTGCCGCAATAGCTACAATCTCGACGCCTTGGTGGGTCTGGACCGGGTCGAAAAAAGAGGTGAAATTAATTGCCGCGGCTGATATGACGCCGAACTTGATTGCGTCTGGGTTCTTTTCTTTCAGGCTTGCTTTGATTTTATTGACGCCATTCCACCAATTATAAACATTAATTATGCGCTTCACATGAGATTAGCAATGCTCAACATGGACGATCCTGATCCAAGGTCTAAGCGGCTTACCTCAACCATGGACGACATCTTGGAGTTGGAGTTTCACGTATCAAAAATATGACAGGTTTGGTGAAACAAAGTGAAAGTTCTAGGCGGATTGGAGTGCTGGGCGCGAGGGTATAAAGTCCGCACAGGAGAGGCGGACTTAATGGCTGGAACCCCGAATCCCGTATTTTCACAAGTCTCTGCGCGACAAGGCCAAGGACGCTCTCCCTCTTTGATCCAGACAGTCGAATATAGGGGGGTGTTAAATAAGACTCGAGAGCAACAATCTTAGACTAAGCACAGGCTTCAAACCAGCAGGCTTCAAACCAAGGGTGTGTTTAGGTTCAGCCTCAACAAAACGTCTACGAAGCCCACACTGAAGAATGACGAACGCTCCAACCTTAAGAGCATCCAAGCCGATACCATAAATTGATGGTGGTACAATGAAACCTGATATTTGGAATCACAAGCAATAATGTTAAGGACGGAAAGCTGCCAGAAGAGACAAACAGTTCAAAGAGCCACATTGCACAGATTGAAGCTAAAAAGAATGCGGGGGCCCAAGTGGACGCCACAGATCATGCAAGGTAGCAGGGGTGCTTTGTCCTTTACTTGTCAAAAGGAGTTCCAAGTGAAGAGCTGTTATTGGAACATTATCCTAAAACGAAGGCCAATGACGTGCAGGAATATTCTGGGGCCTGCAGGCGTCTGATGTGATAGCCCGCGGCATCATTGCAACTCATGGAGTTGTAACAGACGGCGAAGTTGCGACACCCAGAAACGCACGAAACGGTTAGGCACTAATCGCGGCCGCCGGGTATGCAAACTAGTCGCCAAGGTAGAGTTGCTACGTAAAAGGCAATCTATTAGAAATCACATTTTTATGCTGTAAATGGCCACTGTTGGATCTAAAAGCGCCTCAAAAGACTCTAAAGATGAACAAGCGGCCCGACACGCGTTCTGCTGACAGGCAGCAAGCCATCAAAAAGATAACCTTGTTAGTAGACAAAAGTCACATTACATGCGTAGCAATGATCTATATGTGGAAAATACAGCTACTGCATGATTAAAGGCGACGGCCACTTGATAAATGTCTTCCGAATGCTCGAAATCGGTGCATGTGGTTGCATTTACTATTACGACCGAGTCCATATAGGTATGTACTACTTACACAGAGCCTACTATACCTATCCAGCTGCAACACTCTGTTTCGAAACTAGTAGCAAGCCAAGAGTAATACGACAAATTCTTTTCTTTAACTCTTTTTTTATGCTTTTTCTTAACCAGGTTACGACATATACTATTAAACACCTGCTTCCCTTGCATAGGTTAGTAGCTGGTGCTTCGTGATCGTCCGCTGTCAGTTAGTCAGCGCCCAAACGCCACTTAACGCGTCCCAAAACCCAGCGCCAGCATCTCAACCCCACCAAAGCTCCAAAAAAAGCCCAACCTCAGACACGCGAGGCTCTCTGTAACCGCGCCCGCGATGCAGACTCGCCATGTCCTATTACGACGTTGACGCCATTCTCACTGACGGGGAGGTACGTATTGCTCTTTAATATCCCAATGCAAGAGGAGGAACGAGCAGTTTCGAATGGGAAGCTCAAAATCAATCACCAGAAAGTTCCCTGTCGTTTCGAGCTCGACGTGCCTTACCTCGGCCATCTCGACAACTCCAATGGCCTGAAGCCCGGCTCACGCCTCGCGCTGCCCCTCTGGCTCGCCGAAATGTTCGCCCTCGCCTCCGCGGGCGAAGATTCCAAGCCGCCGCTGACGCTGACCCTGCCGCCGTGCCTGTCCGAACAGGTCCAGGCCGCGCTGAAAGCCGACCCGCGGGCCGTGGCACTGCGAGACCAGAGCGCATATTTCTACGGCGTGGCGGTGCGGATGCTGGATCTGTTTGACGAGAGGGAGCTGAGCGCCATACTGAGGAGGACGTTTGTGGTGAGGGCGGCGGATGTGGGATTGCATGCGCGCAAGGCCGAAGAGTCGGGACTGGGGGGCCAGGGCGAGGAGTTCCTGCGGGGACTGGATGAGTGGGAGAGGCGGTTGTTTAGGAGAGGGCACGAGGGAGTGAGGGGGGCCAAGGAGTGGACGGATAACGTTAAGAAATCATGATGTTGAGCGAGGAATCGGGCGATTTTACGATGATACCCTGGCATTTGGAAACGAGATGCGGTGCCTTGAATAGAATGTATGAATAAGGTCTAAAGAGACCTGCAATGAAGACAATGATCAATTGCCAAATGTTTACCGCTGAGGTGCAAATCAACATCGGACAAAGAAGCGTGACGGCGAACCATCGTTATTCAACAATGCTATTTCATTATACTCGCAAACCACAATCTCAATAGCTTGGGTATTTATTTTTTTCTAACACTACACACCTATTGTCAGATACTATTTGCAGTAGCCTTTCTACTACACATTTCGGCCATACATGGCGATGGTCACCCAACAACACCTCTCCACAGCCTCAAAGGAAAAAAGAAAACAGACTCCAGACAATTATCAATCATGAGACACATCCATGCTCATTTCGTTTCACAGCCTCAACAGCAGTGACAACTAGCGGTGTATGCGCATATGAAGACAAAGCCCGTATAGGGTATCTACCTAATGACACGCCACCCAGGTATATTAACCAGCACGACATAAGAACAGAAAAATTAAAAACACCCAGAGCCAAAACAAGCGGTAAATAAAAAAACAAACAAACAGGCGGTAAAAAGACATGAGCCTCAAGTTGTAACCAATACTTCACATACCCAGAATCCTACCCTCCACTTCCTCCTCATCCAAAGTATTGATACACGCACGCATGGCGCATGTACTCAGCCTCACGCAATACAACACCAAGATATGCACCATGACTCCATCGCACAGTTCCCGTCGCATATGAGGTAGACTAGTAATATATCCAAATGGAAAGGAGGAAAAAAAAAGGCTGCCAGCTCATACCCTCCCACACGCTCGCCTCCCACACACACATACAAATCCCAACAAACGCCCAATCATCCGCCTCAGCCTCCCTCCTCCCACCGCAGACTTGTCCGCATCTGTCTCACTTTTTCCCCTAAAAAAAAAAAAAAAAAAAAAAAAAAAAAAAAAAAAACTCCATCAAATGCCAGGGCCCATCCCTGTTACTCCTCTCTACACAGAATTCTGCACGATGAATTCTCAGTTCGAAGAGCTTCGGTGAGAAGTCAGCCAGCAGGATCATGGCCTAGGTTGAATTTAATTTGTAACCATGTCTCTCACATGCAGTAACACTTGCTCATGGCAGAAAGCTAAAAGGCAACAAAATTTGCATTCCTATTGAGAAAGACGTGCATACAAGTTAAAAACCAAAACAAAACTACTACAAAGCCTGATTGTGGCTTCATAGCATAGTATATCATCCTGTACCCTGTTATGCTACAAGTGCACCTCCAGTATATCAGTCTAGGTCTATCCTAGGTGCACTTTGAACTCAAACAACATAAGCCCTGCAATCCAAAACCAAAAGAGTCTCATCCAGCATAGCATCATACAATTCCATAATTCCGTAGTCATATCCATATCCATACAAAATACCTCATACACAATTAAAAAAAGAGCCGACTCCAAACAGCCCGCTGTAGGCGTCGCTCGTCAAACACCGTCAGTCTACCGTTCCTTATCCAATAATCGTCGCACAACGCCGCCCGCTTCACAAATGCTGCGACACACGCGTGTGCGTGGCGCCAAAAAAAAAAAAAAAAAAAAAAAAAAAAAAAAAAAAAAGCGACAACAATAGAAGCAACAATAGTATAAAGGCCTCTTGCTTAAGAAGAGACAAAACGTGGTAGCAACCGCTGTGAGTGCTGCGGCGGTCTGTTGAAGCCGGAGCCGTTTAATCGTGTCATTGGCTGAACAGCCCAGAACGTATCCAACCCTGGTTCAAAAACAACAAGTAAAAGGGAAAAAAACAAGCACACACAGAGGATAAAAAAGGCAAAAGGGGCAAAAAGAAAAAAAAAAGAAAGAAAATTAGAACCAAATCGAAAAGGAATATACAACGAGTAAGAGCAAAAACAGAAGAAGCACAAGTACTTAAAGTGTGTAGTAAAGATAGCTCAACAGCGCGAGATACCGAATTGCTCATCGCTGTCGGTTTCTCTTCGCTAAGATGATAGCTCTTGATTTTTTTTTTTGAATGCTTTTTCTTTTTCTTCAAAAATCCGTTCCAAAGTATTTCCTCAGATCCAAAAGCAAGTAGCGCATTACTCATGAGATGAAGCAGAGTATGACATGTCTGGTATGAATAAGTCATAAGGTATTTTCCCTTCATTCTCCGTATGATTTATACATTGGCCATAGGGAAGAAAGTCCATATCTTGGAGATCTGAAGCCAGAATCGAGTCTTGCGACGAAGTGTCCATCCCAATGTCATTGTCGTTCAGTCCAGACACCATCATGTTGAGACCAGAAGCTGCCTGGCTAGATTGAGCCAAGTAACCGGCAGGTATGATATCCATAGAAGCCAAGTCAGGGCTAAAAAAATCGTTGTATGTATCGGTGTCTTTCAACTGGCCAACAGCATCTGGCATCTGTGTATCGGGAATAAGTTCGGCCTCTCCAACTCTGTGGGAAGGAGAGCACTTGTCTGAGGATTCAGCAGCCGTGCCAAGTGAATCAGATCCGTCACCTTCGACAGTAACCTCTTCGAACCACAGCTTGAGATGCTTCATGGCGGGCCAATCGCCGCCTCCTCTGCCTCCGTTCCTGTTAGACGAACCACCCCTTGCTCGGGTAGGCTTGACTGTGAAATGTGTGCGTCGAAGATGGGCAGCCGCATTATAGTATGCGCCGTACAGCTTCCCCGATGCGCAGGCCTTGCACTTGGAAAGTGAATAAAGGGTCCTGAGTTCAGTAAAAATACCAAACTTGGTAGGATCGCGGCATCTCCACTTCTTGACGATACTCCTATGTTTGGCTTTAGTATGGCGTCGAAGCTCATGATCGCCCCGAAAACCATTAGGATATTCATTGCAGTGTGGGCACAGCTTGGGAGGCTTCGACTTTGGCTTGTTTTTATTGTCTTCTTGGAGGGTGCGCCCTTCCCCAAGGATAAAAGAGGTGGCCGTGTTTGGGGGCAGGGGCTGAGGCATAGGGGCAATAACAGTATCTTTGCTAGTTTGGATGACGCGCTCCGTAGCCGCTTTGAAACGACGCTCCAAATTAGAGGCCGTCGACTTTGTGCTCTTGATGCTGATATTCGAGGTTTCTCTTTCCATCGAAGCAGAGGAAGGGAATGGTGGTGATTGATTTTCTAAAGCATCGTATTGTTTAAAAAGAGAAGAAGTAATGCCATTGCCGATGGCAAAGAGATCAGTATCTAGGTTTGATGGCTTCCATGGGCTGTTTGGCTGAGAATAATCGGATGCCCCTTGGCCAAAGTGTGGTTCTTCTTTGAAGGACGAGAACGAGGGCATTCTGTGCATGAAGCTAGGGCTGGCTTGAACATGACTGCCTTCGCGGGTCATGGGATACGGTAGATCACCAACTGAGGATGCCGAGACCATTGAGGGAGGAGCTGAAGGCATATCGCTCAAGGGCATGTCATCGGGAGACAGGTTTGTTCCCGTGGTAGATAGGTATGTCCCTGGGTTTAAACCAATGTTGGGGGAGATGAGAGAAAGAGAGTTCTCGTTGACCCCATCAAACGGTGCAACAGAAAGCCCCTCAATGCTTTGAGGGTGGTAGGTTGATGCCAGCGCCATTGCCCCTTGGCCATGGCCATGGGGGCCTTGTAAGGGCATGCCGGGTTCCGAATGGATGGATGCGTTGCGTTGCATTGGAAACGCCAGCGTTGTCGGCTGGTGGAGAGGATAGCTGTTGCGGTTCTAATCAGAAAGGAACGTGTTAGCATATACTCTGCTTTGGCCAAGGATGCGTGCAGTACGGGAAGACGATGAAAGAACATGGAAGAAGGGGATATCGGTGTAGACATTGAGCAGTGTGTGCAGAGAGGTAGGCACGTGTGTATTGAGCAGAGGCAGGGCACTCACATTGGCCTCGAAAGGCACAAAGGCAGGATTGGCGCTGAAGCCTCTGTTCAGGGCCGGCGCGCCGTATGTAGAGGCGGCGTTGCCCTCTGTAAACTGAAAGTTGGAGACCTGCAGTCTCGGAGCCACAGGCCGCATCTGCACATGATGGGCTGGCTGCAGCCGCGGGCCTGCGCTACGGGGAGACGACTCCATGGGAAACTCCATGCGTTGCCAGTTGAAAGTCTGGTCTGGCATCCGCTGGAATTAGGTAAATTATAAGGTCTGTCTGGCTTAATATGGACCAGACAAGACAGGCGGGATGTTGGATGTTGACAGATATTGATGGATAGGTAGAGAGAGGAATAGAGGAGAGGAGAAGGGGGCGCGACGAGTATTAAATATGTGCAGTTCGCAGTACGATATCAGTAGCCGCGTAGATATGTAGCGGCAGCAGGAGCAGCAGCAGAGTGGCAGCAATAGTAGGCCAAGCACGTAGTGAATGGCTGACGTCGACAGTATGAGAGCGTGTAAGTGATTAGGGCAGAGATTGAGAGCTCCGTGTCAGGGTATATATAGCAGGACAGATAGGCAGCAGTATGTTTGTGCAGCCACTTATGATGGTGGTAGCAGCAGCTGTAGGGCTATCAATATCGGCGCAAGTCGAATGTAGAAGAAGAGAAAAGGAGGGAAAGAAGGTCGTAGGACGGTGCTCAAGTAGAGAATTATAATAAATGGTATGTAAGTAAGGTGTAAAATGAGAAGTAAGAAGATGAAGAAGAAGATGAAGAAGAAGAAGAAGAAGAAATAAGAGAGAGAAAAGTATGAAGAGGAAGACGACAACGATAAGGAGAGTCGGTCAGAAAGACGAGCGATGAAGTGTTGCTGGGCAAGATGGACAGTTTGTATGTAAATGCGAGTAGGATAGAAGGGGGAAATAGAAGCAAACGACGGCGGGCGGCCAGTTATATGGTGCCGCGGCAGTCCGCCAACGCGCAACGTACATACATTGTTGGTGTATAAGCCCAGCCAGTTGGCGCTGCAGATGACCGACCGCCTTGCTGGGAAGCAGCAGGAGAGCGCCAGGCGGTCGAGACACTTTGGGCGCTGCAGGTACTCGATACCAGCAGCGGGTGTGCCTTGGGTGCGTCGAGCACGAGGTACAGCGCAGGTAGCGGAGAGAAGCAGGCGGGCTGCATTGGGTGGCATCAGACGCAGCAGCGATACACGGACTCGCGCAGAGAGAGCGCCGGGCAGAGCGCCTGTGCCCTGTGCTGGCTGGGACTACTGCGGGTGCGGGTGACTTGATTTGGGAGCCGGAAGAGGCTCAACTAGGCCCTTAGGCTAAAGACGGTCGCTGCCGTCGCTGCACGGAGCCCAGGTTCCTCTACCGTGCTGGTACCTGCGCGCGCTGTATCTGCGCTGCGAGCTGCGTCCGCGCTCACCGGGTCGCCGCTACCAGCCAGCGCATGCAGCCCGCCAGAGGAGACGCTGGAGCTTCAGAGGGGGGGGGTGACGTCTCGCTGCTTGCCCAAGGCGCTCTCTGGGCGCTGATCCGCTGTAAGCCCCTACCGGGACGGCCTTGTACCCGTACACGCTCGATCGCAGCGCACTTGGCGCTTGACGACGAGGACGAGAGCTAGACGGCGGTCGGCTCCATCAGGATTGCCTGCTCTCTCGCGCTCTCTCTCGACTGCAGCTGAGCGTTTTGAAGACCTGCAGCTCGTGTTCTCATCCCCCGCCTCATCCCCCAGGCGCCAATCTGCCGATTCGAGAGATGCTAAGGCCTGCCCATGCCCTGTCTGTCGTTCGCTTGGCGACGCTGCCATGCGTCGTCCACTGCCTGGTCGCTCCAGCTCTTGGATCGGTGCTAGCAAGGATGCTGCGAGCGAGACGAGCGATATGGAAATCGCTCTCCGTCGCCACCGCAAGTGGGTATGGTATTGGACATGCCTGGTAATGGATGTCTCTGTCCGACAAGATCACCCGCTGACAGGAAACAAAGGCTCAATGCCATCACCATTCTGCTAGCAGTGTACTGTGCATACGTACATGGCCGCTAGCACTAGCTGCCAACTGGAGGCTGCCAGGATGGCGCGATTGGATGCTCAACCCTGTCCGCCGTCGATGAACCTGCCAGTCATCCGCGGCAGCCAAACCCAATGATCGGGATGCGGCTATGCGGCTTGCACCGAAACATGCCAGGCCAAATCAGCAGCGTTGCACCGTTATTGCTGCTAGCAGCATTTGAAATCTGATTTAGTGACCGCTAGTGTGCCATCCTTATCGCTGCTCCATGGTCCATGGGAACCGAAGCCAATGACACAATGGCCGCCAGCTCTCTCTGGCTCTCTCCGGGTTCGCGCCATGACTGGGCCACCACCACCACCAATGGCTGCGACTGCAGCGGAACATGAAGAAAAAGGAGAAAAGGAGAGGAAAAAAAAAAGATGAACACATATGCGCAAGCCAAAGGAGCACCTGCGCTAGCAGCATATTTGTGGCTGGCGATTTATTACATCCCACACCAAAACGCCAGGAAAGGCCTTGGCGTCGATGGAGCTGCTTTGTGCCACAACCCCCAGGGGATCGGCATCAAGATGTTGTTGAAACTGCGACCAGGACGAGTACCTCGTACCCGTACCTTGCGGCCGAGCAGGTGATGTCGACGAGGGAAAAGACTACGGAAAGCCTGCCAGACACGTCGCCGCTCTGTAGGCGTGCGTGCGTATGTGTATGTGTCTGTGTATGTGAACGTGCATGTTGTGGGCGATGCTTCAGCAGCACCCGTAACGGTGGCACGCTCTGGGACCGTGTCCCCATCCTTTGGTGCCCAGATTCAAGACGTCAGCCATCCGGATGCCCAGCGGCGCATCAAAAGAAGGCAAAGGACCTTCGGTGTCTCGTTGGGGGCGCATTGACTCATCGTGCTGTTCCCGTGGCAGCGTGGCAGCTAGTATTTCGCACCTTACCTTGCTGTGGGAGGCTGCCAAAGTAGCTCCAAAAGGGGGGCGATGCCGCTGTCCATTGTCGCCGGCGTCAAGACTTTTGCCAAAATCATCTCCCCAAGTCCTCGTTCGGTCAGTCCCAAGTGTTTACCGAAGAGGAGGGGCTGGTGCTGTAGCCAGCCAAAACTAAAGCACTGCCCGATGTGTGTCTTGGTGGCCGGACACAAGGGTTGCGGCTTGAATTCATCCAGGACGCAAGGCAGCAACAGCAACAGCATCCATGCCTCCCACACCTCTCGCCAGCCCGCCAATTGGCTCCATTGGAAAAAGTAAGGCGAGAGCGCGCACGATTAGCGCACAACAGCTCGCTCACTCTGCGCCCCGGCCAAGCCCAAGCAAGTCAAGTTCCCAGCGGTCTCTGGCATGGGGTGGGCTCTGCTCTGGCAGAAACGGAGGCTAGGCCAGGATGCCCGAGATCCCTGGTGCGCCACAAAGCAAGTCTATTTCTTGTTTCCTGGCATATGTGTGTGGTATACGGAGTACTAGGCACCTTGATATACGATACGTACATACATACCTGTGCGATATCTCTGCAAGTGCGTGTGTACTGTATGCTCAATGCGATGCGAGCGGTGTCGAGAGCATGCGCATGCACGTCGCGGCAGACACACATGCTGCTGCTCACTCACAGGCTTACCTCACACCAGCTCATACAGGAACCTGCCTTGGGTACCTATCATCACTGGGTACCTTACGTTGCCACATGGCTTTTCCACTGTATCTGCTACGGGCCAGCCATCTGGCGGTGAGGGCCAGCATCCGGCATGCTCGTACAGATACCATTGCTCTGTACTTCGTACATGGTGCCTGTATCGAACCCTGACTGGCCGTGGAGTTGCAGCGGCTGCAGTGGTTGGTGTCGAGTGAAACCGGGGAACGGCTGTCGTTGCTGCTGTTCCTGGATCTGCAGTCCACTAAGGCAGCCTGTTTGCACACCTATCTGCATTATTTGTACATGCCTGTGTACCCTGGTGTATAGAGTATCTACAGATTTCCTGTACTACAAGTACAGTATGCATGCGCAAGCAGTTGCGGCGTCGAGTCTCGTTGTCGTGGATGAGAGCTGCCATGCCTGATTCGGGCTGGTTTGAATCGGTTTGGGCTGGTTTGCTGGCGCGACGTGAGAGGATAGGCCAGAGGCCAAAAGGCCAGCAGAGGAAAGGAAACGGTGGCCGAGGCCTGGTGCCCGCATCAAATCAAGACCACTGCCGCGAATCGCGCCTGGGACGGTCTTATTCGCCGATGACGATGGCCAGAGGATGGTGGGGATGGGATAGCGCTGGCTGCTGGCATTCGCATCGAATGCAAGGTCCAAGTGGTTTCCCCCCGGCTCTGGGCTTGGTGGGACGCTGCGGAACCGTTCCTGGCTGTCGTTTTTTTCTTTTCGCTGCTCCCTGCTGCAGTCTCAGATAGGATCGAGCCGGTGCTAGTGCGTCCATTCGACCCGGTGGTGAAAGTGCCGATTCCAAGCCCACGGCCTTATTCTGGAGGCGCATCTAGGCAAGCAAGGAGAGCCCAGCCCCTGGGATTCAGCTGGCCATGCAGCCATTCACAGAGCAGGCGCTAACCCAACAATCATCGTGCTCCTACAGCAGCATGTCACTCGCAGGGCTAGCCACGAAGCGTATCTTGTTCGTCTCTCCTTGCTGGCACGGCGATATATACAGCCAGATTACGAAACCCATGCTTGGCTGTATTAGTATAATCGGTCGCAAGAAAAGCAGCCTGGCGGCACTACTCCAAATAGAGGCATTGTCGTGCTGCATTCTATATCATATCGCGTACATACATATACCTGCTTGATGGCTGGAACGCGCCAAAGTTTCAGGCGTGGACGAGCATGCACAGAGATGGCTTTCTCTATGGCATGTTTCCCCAGGCAGCCCTGTAATTCAATCGACAAAAACCGCGCATTCGTTTTTGGCAGCAGTGATTTGTTTTTCCTGTTCTAGTGCCGCCATAGTCGCCTCAAAAAGCGCTCAAATCGCTTCTATTTGCGGATATAGCACAGCGCAGCTATGCCAAGCATCTCTGGGATTGAGCCAAATGCCGGACCCGGGCAAGTAAAGGACGCAGTCAACCGGGTACGTGTACGGAGCATTTTGGTGGTTGTGCAATGTCATATCTCATTAATTCCCTTTCCAGCTGCCTACTATGGGAATTCGCTTAACAGGTTCTCTTAGCAAAAGAAAAAGAACCGGAATCGTCAGCCGGATAGCTCCAACTGTAATTGCTGGCCACAAGTTAATGCCTCTCGTCTCGCTGCAAGGTGAGCACTTGAAGTGCCCATAGTGCTAGCTCATTAGCTCGCCAATTCAGCCTTGTCAGGATCATGGCGCTTGTTCTACCCGCCGATCCCGCGATTCATTCTCTTGCTGCGAGGAATACGAGAAGCGCAACAAAGTACGAATTACATGCACGCGACACTGGCTCCATTGCGTACATACAAGCCATCTCTCCAGGCGGCAGCGCGGTAGGAGATTTCAACCCCACGCAGCGAATGGAATCGAATCCTTCCTCATACCGTCGTCCCAGCACAGACCGGCCACCCAAATCCCATCGTCGCAGGCTAATTGATGGGGCTTGACATCAGCCATGGACAGCTAAATTGCAGAGTATGACCAGGGGGCTTTAGGCTAGGCGATCGCGGGGCTGATGGCGCTTTGGATTCTCGATGGATGCTGCCGCCCGTGCCACCGTGCTACAAGTAGCAGTAGTAGATGGATGCCATGGAACACGTCTAGAAGGCTTCGACAGCTTCGAAGCCCTTGGCCCGAGCGTCGGGGAGGTGGTCTGTGATGCCCTCTAGTGCTCAAAGGTGACCAGGTCGCAAGGCATTTTCGTGCCATCGACGTCGTAATATGCGTTGGCAAGTGGCTTTAATCGCTCAATGCAATGGGCTGCTAAGAGCAGCTGCGGTGGCCCTCGCGAGCGTCTCGCTGACCTCCCCTCAAAAGTTTCTTCAGCTCTAGTACATGGCCGCGTCTCCGAGCTCGCAAGGAAGAGGCGAGACGGAGTTTGGAAGACCAAGGCCGGAGAGCCTAGGCCTTTTGGCTCGAGCGTCAGAGCGATCAGCTCTTTTGTCATGTGAAAGCTCACACAGCCTTCCAGCCTGGTGTGTGACCACTTGTGCTTTCTCCGAGGACCCTGGCGCGCTGCTCTCTCCTAGTGGTCAATTGCGCCGCTGCGATTGAGTTGCGATTGAGACAGGCCGTGACTCAGATTTGCCGTCTGCATGTACGTCAACCGCTGGTCGCGATCGTAAACGGTAACCTGCATTTGGCCAAAACAATTGATTCTGCAGCAAAGCCACCACGTGTACTTGGTCTTGTGGAAGAGCAGTACAAGCGAAAAGGCTCATTGTGCCATACGCTGGCTTTGTACCCGCTCTCCAAGCCTGACCCCCCTCCTTTCCCAGCGTTTGATCGAATGCCAAGTGTTGCCTTTTCTCTCATGCTGTGTGGCCTTTCCTGATTCTGGACCCCTTCCGTCATCGACGGATACACTGGAAGTCCAATCCCGTCCGCTGATGCAGGGGTGCAACCTTTAATGCTCAACTGAGATGGCAAGTTGGCGTGTCAAATGACCTATTGGCTGTCTGGAAGGGCTTAGTCCATTTGGAGCCGGCTAGACGTAGGTACTCGTACATGTACATACAGCCACTTCTGGGGGATGAGAGAGTCCACCGGGGGCTTTCTGGGGTGGGAGGCAAAACACGCAAATCCGGGGAAAGCTTCGGATGGCATGGTCTGTGGATGTGGACATCTAAGGGTGTTGGGCTGTTCGCTAATGAGGGCGCATCTCGCCGATATCCTAGCTGCGGTGCCGGAGGGAACTCCAATTCGGTGAAGGATTGGTTGATTTGGAACATCTCTTATCTCTCGGCTTAGAGGCTCGACTGATATGCTTTTGGTCTAACGGTGCGGAACTGATGGCAGATGAGCGGATGTTCGCGGCTGAAGCAGAGGCTAACGCATAGGGAAGCACATGACCAAGAAGGGCGCTGGGACACAGGCAATAGGACGAGGCAGACGGTTATGCATGATGAATTGATTTGACTAAATCACAGAAACTCTTTATCAGGCATGACAAGGCGATAATTGTAAAAGGATTTGGAGGCTGGGTGCTTATCGTGAGCTTGCTGTATGATGGCTTCCGTTTGCTGTGCTATGCTTTTCTTTGCTTGCGTATTAGTGATCGGCAAAAGCTCGGCTGAACCCTACGGCGATGACACAGTGACCTCAACTGCATCGCATATCGGGCGGTGTTGATCCGATTGCTTGGGGGTCCAAACCCAGTCCAAGAAGCCAGCCGCATGCTTTGCCAAACTCGCTGGCATACTATGGCATGATGCGCCGTCTACAGCTATCGCTTCTGGCGGCCTTGCCGCTGTGCAGGGCCAAGTCGCCCGCCTTTAGCATCCACGAGGACTTGCAGGCCTTTCCGCAGGTACGGCTCTTGAGCTCATGCGCATGACAAACCACAGCTGACGATATCGCAGTTTGAGGTCGTCTTCTCCAACCACTACATCTCGGAGAAGGATGCGCAGTCGCTGCTGGAATACAACATCGAACACCCCACGTTTTCGGCCGATTCGTCGCAGCCTACAATCAGCGATACCGGCGGCAGCGGCACAGCCCAAGATGGTCACGATGGACGCTATACTGCCACCAAGAACGAGTCGCCTCTCACATACGAAGTGATGAACATGCCGCCGCATCGATACCTCTGCGCCATACCCGTCATCGAGCCTCCGTCTCCGGAGAACCAGACGGCAACCGAACTGGCCAAGGCAGAAGAGGCACGCGAGCTTGACCGAGCTGCTGCTAGCGGCTGGAACCTGCTCAGCCAGCTCGACGACACATGCCTCTATTTCATGTCGGGCTGGTGGAGCTACAGGTTCTGCAACAATCGCGAGATTGTGCAGTTTCATGCCCTTCCCTCGACGCCCATGGGAAAGCCGCCCCAGCGCGATCCCCATGCCGCCGAATACATCCTGGGCCAGGCGTCTCTCCCCGAAACATCTGAAACACACTCGACGTCATCTTCTAGCTCTGGCGATGATGAGAAGCCACCGGCCGAGTTACAAGTCAAGGGCGATCAGCGATATCTCGTGCAGAGGCTCGGAGGGGGGACTATATGCGATTTGACGATGAGGGAGCGAACCATTGAGGTCCAGTACCACTGCGTTCCGGGAATGAAAAACGACCGCATCGGATGGATCAAGGAGGTTACAATTTGCGCATATGTCATGGTGGTCAACACGCCGAGACTGTGTGACGATGTTGCCTTTTTGCCGCCGGAGGAGAATAAGGCAAATCCAATTACTTGCCAGCTCATTACCGATGATGAAAGGCAGACGCCTCCGCTTATTGATCAGCGCCCAACTAAATTTCCCAAAGTGGATGAGCCGATTGAGCAGGAAGAGGAGTCGGGCGAGCTGCATAATACGGTGGATGAGACTCCGGTTACAGTTGGCGGCGTGCTTGTCGGCGGACGGAAATCACTTTCTGCCGGTGACAAGGATGGCCAGCCGCCAATCATACTGGCACCGCCCCGAAACTACATGAACACTCAGCAAGCTACGGAGCAGCTCATCAAGGTGCTCGTCCAAGCAGCCAGCAAAGAAGACGGCGGTAAGGTCGACCGCCTTAGCAAGGAGGAGCTCGAGAAGCTGAACATCAAGCCCGACATGGTAGAGGAGATGGAGGAGGAGATGAAGCGGCTCGCGGGCGATGCTGGCTGGCAGCTGGAGATTGTGGGTGGTGTTGACGATGAGGAGAGGCAGCTTCGTGGGTGGTTGCATGAGGAGGGTGATGGTGATGGTGATGGTGACGGTGACGGCGCGGATGAGAAGGCGAAAGGAGGGAAGGGGAAGAAGAGTGATAAGGGTTCGGGGAAGAAGGGTTCGGGCAAAAAGGAGAAGAGTAAAGACAATGGTGGCAATGGGAAGCGGAAGAAGGGGCCGGATGAAGAAGGGAGTGAGGAGCGGTTTTTCAAGGAGGAACTGTGAGTGAGGGGAAAATGTATGAATGAAGCACGTCTTTTTTCTTTTTGGCGTTGAGGAAATTGTCTTTTATTGGCATCATATCATATTCATATCTTAGCATCGTCATCATCATCATTCGTTTATGCTGCTGCTGGTTTCGTTACTTGGCGCAGCAGTGTATTGTGAACTACGAAATAGGTATATAGTATATAGCCGTTATTAACGCTGCAAGCATGGTTGAACCATGTCTGCATTGCATTACACTGAAAGTATTTCAATTGTCTACCTAGTGATGTTATAAGTATAGTAGATTTGCATTACACGATAATTATTCCAATGATCTAGAGATGTTATGAGTAGATGTATACATACATGTATCTATAGCAACCATCTCTCACTCTAGGTGGCCATCTGCTTGTATGTATGCATGTATGTCTGTCTGTATGCAAGGAAGATGAAGCAGATAAGATGGGATCAGGATCACACAAAGACACACAGCTACTGGGATATCCAAGACACCGTTTCTTTGATGGAGCGTCTGCCACGTGTTGTGCGTGTGTTCCAGTATGGCAATCGTGCCTGTGTCGAGGCGAGCAAAGAAAAGATCCGGATATGCGGTCGGGCTGAGCTTAAGTGATACACCCGCGCTTCCAATGCATTTTGAATGCACATGTAGGTACTTGGATTTTTACGTACATACAACTTACAGTAATTACGGGGCGCCACGACATCGTCAGTGCGTTCGCTGTCTGGTGGAGAGAGCGCAGACGTGGAACGCTTTATGCGTTGTTACGGAGCAGATGCGGATACGAAATAGCATTGAGTGCGGAGCATCAACTACCGAGCCCAACCGGGTATACATTTTCTTCATTTCTTCGCATATCGGTTGTGCTATATTTATGTCTGCGTTGTTCATTCTTTACCGCTCTTAGCGACAGGGATACCATACCTTATGCCCATTGGTTCTGTGAGGCGGTGTCGATGGGGGCGAGGATGAGAGAGAGAGGGGTTTTGACTGGGAATTTATGCAGTGGTGGTTCGTACGGCGTTGATGATGAGGATGGGAAGTTTTTTTTTTTAGTTCATGGTGGTGATGTAGTGAGCGAATCATGATCGAACGGTCTGATATGCGTGCTGGATAGGAGTTGGCAGCGGTGGGATGTTTGCTCTAGGACTTGAAGCTGCGGTTTGTTTTACCTATTGCTTTTGTCTTTTGCTGACTACTCCGTACATCGGGTTTTTTTGGTGAGCACCCCCGCTTGTTGAGAGAGGATGCAGGAACATGGGTTTTGAGGATGATCGGTGTGACTTGCGTGATTGCTTGCTTACGGTTCGTGGGTATCTGGCGAGCTGGCCTTGTCTCATACAAGCAGAATGATCACGTAATGATATAGCCAGAGTCGATCCCCCGAATAGGGCGGTTGTTACAAGTCTATCGTCATTCAATGTCTCGCAAAGTTAATCGATAGCAGCGGAGTGAGAGATGTTGGGCGTCTTAGTGATGCTTCACCGTATAAAGCGATTGGTCGTTTGTTCAGTGCCGGCACCGACGGATTCAGTATGCGTGATGGAAGGTGGCATTGGCAAGCCAAGCGACATCACATCATGGCAGCATAGGCGAGGAAGAAACGAACGAGAGATGCTCAACGAACGGAAATACTCCGTAAATGCGAAATACACCCTGCCCGGCCTGGGTAGCGAGCGACGAATCAACTGTGGCTGCCACGTTTGTCGCGCGCCACGAGAAAACGAACGTTGGCCGGCGCTGTGGCCGTGTGGCGCTGGCGAGAGATGAAGATAAAATGGAGCCCTGAGAGGCGGAACCACGGCCCCGGCCCCAGCTGGAGACGAAACAAGCCCCGCGGCTGCGGGAGATCCAGTGATGGGCAGCCCCGGAAATCGTAGCAGCGAGTTTATATGATAGGGGAGTCTGTTAGCGATGAACCGCTGTCCAGGCCGTCGATTCGTTGTTTTGCTCGCTTCGACGAGCAGCAGTGCCAAAGAGACAGGATGGCAGAGACGAGAATCGCGATTAGCCTCAAAAGGGGTGGCTGCAGGAGGGGACATGCAGGCGGCGCCACCTGCTGGAACCTGGATGCGGCAGCAGCCCGGCTTCTCCACCGCTTTTCTGACGGGCGGCGTTTGGGAGAGGCGCGAAGAGTGCGGTGCGCTAGAAGAAATGGAAGAGGAAACTGAGCCATCCAAGAGGCCGTTTGGTGTGGTCGGGTGTCACTCATTCTCGAAGTCTATACAGAACAACCCCATGCAGCTAGGCCGGAGTGGGCAGCGCTACCATCAGAACGGGTGACATTCATTGACCGCTAGTCCTTGATTCCAAGTAGAGCATCAATGGACTGGCTGGACGTCAAAGACAAAGAGGGACAAAAAAAATTGTGTTGGGCTGAAAGATGAGCTGCGTCGTTGGGCTGCTGCAGCCTCTTTGTCTTGCTGTGCGCTCCGCCGCAAACTGGCGGGACAAAGAGCGAGACAAGAAAAAAAAAATGAGATGGCGGTAAAAGGGGGCTGGGGTCGAGGTCTGGGCTGAAAAGAGTGTCATCGTGGCTTTGCGCGTACCAGGAAAAGAGAGAGGCGGCGGGCAGGGCGGGAGACCACAAAAGGGTGGATATGCGGATGGAGACGTGGTTTATGCGGCAATGCGGACACACGCCGGGCATTGCATTGACTGGGTCAGCATAGGAGAGAGAGCGAGAGAGAGGAAACAGAAAGACAGAGAGATTGGACTCTTCGTGGCTACCTGTGCGCTCAATTGATTGATTGCGCGTTTGAGCCGTTCAGCGCTCTCTTATAGGTCGGGCGTCGCAGACAGCAGCCACCCATTTGCGCTTTGCCGCCAATCACAGCCGGCCGCTTCTATCCCGCAGCGACCTTCAATTCAACTGATCTGCTCCATCCATCCCTCTGCAAAGGCCGGACCGCCGCCCCTTTGCGCTAACTCTCAGGCCTGGCTTCAGGCACAGGCACTAGCGCCGACCCCTGGCTCGCTGCAAGCCACCCACTGAAGCACCAAGTGCTACAGCAATTACGGAGTAGCCGCACTACGCTTCACTCGCCCAGCAGCTCCTCCCTCGACGTTCATTCTCCATCATCTGTCTCCATCTCCATTTCCCGCATCGCATCGCATCGCATCGCATCTCTCTGTCCCTGATTTTACGACTGACGCTGCATTGTTCGCACTTGAATTCGATTTTCGCATGGATGGCGCCGGCCCGTACAGTATGTTCTTTCTGCTTGACTCTGCCTGCTCCCTCTAGTCTGCCTCGCCTGCATCGCGCACAAGAAAAAGGACCGGATCGCATCTGCCCTCGTCTTTCCTCGCCATTCCTCCGCCAGAGCTTCATATCGCCTCTCCACCCCCGTTCTCATTCCCGACTGCATTCCTAGAGTCCCCAACTCGCACTGCAAGACGCATATTTGATTGTTGTTGTTGCCGCCGCTATTGCGGTCTTGCTGATCGCCAACTTGTCTCTTTTTTTCTGCTGCTGCTGGAACATAATACGAACCCTTGCCTTAAGCGAGTTTCCACGACGACGGCATATTCCCACATCCATACCCACCGCCTTGCTCTGCTCTGCTTTTTCAAGCCCGTCACTGCCCGCTGCGCATCCTATTCACCTTCGCCTCCTCTCTGGCGCAAAGTGCCTGCTCTCTCTCCTTATCCACATTCACCAGGCCAGACCTTGCCAACGCCTGGAGCCGAGGCTGGCGGCCGGAATCTGGATTGCGATACATACCCCTACCGCGTACATGCTCCAGACCTTGCGGAATCGCGAGATCGACCCCCTTGGACTGTGCCTGCACCACGCTCTCTCGCGCGCCAAAGCCTCTCACGCGATCGCGTCTGACCTCGTCTCGACATATTCTTATTCCTACCTGGCATACATTCACTTCGTAGTCCCGGCACCGACTAAGCGCTAAACTCTCAGGCCTAGTAACTTTGACTTTCGATGCGGCCTTCAGCGCAAACCTTGAACAGCCGCTGCACCTGATATATATACCCACATAGGCATATATATATATATATATATATATATATATATCAGCCATCGTGTTTGCTCCTACTCGTCGTCATTCCTTTATTTTTGATTTTGCAGCTTTACGCTGCTCCGCAACCATCATTCAACACATAGTTGCGCCATGGATTCGTCAAGCATGTCGTCAAGAGCCTTTCAAAAGGCTCCGGCTCAGTATCCTCGCGCCTCTTCGCGGGCGTCCAACAGATCCGCGTCGACACGTATGACGGCCCAAGGCGTAAGAAGTCCGGTCCCAGGCCCTCGCCTTGCGCCTTCACCTCAACTTTCCATCGACCACCCGAGCCATCGATACCACCACAGCCCTTACAAGGAGCCTGTGCTGTCGCCTCGATCTACTCCCAAACCTACGCCCCAAGCCTCGAGAGAGGGCAGCGTCGAGTCCCCTCGTACCCAGGCAGTTTCGTCGTTCCTACAGGAGAAGCTACAGCGAGAACGAAGAGCTGAAGTCGACAAGCTCAGCCAAAGCTCCCTATCACGAGTCAACGAAGACTTTGGCGTACCACTCAGTATTAGCCGCATTAACTCTCCAAGGAGGAGATCGATTGCAGCGTCATCAGATGGATCACGCCCCAAATCGAGCAGCGGCAATGATCCTGCCAAGAAGCCTGGGTTGGGCGTTAAAGACATGGACAATGTATGTTACCGATGAGATGAGGAGGCACTCTCGCTCGCCAATTTTCTCTCCCCCGTTCTTATTTCTCAAGCTAACCGATTGACAGGTCATCTCAAGACTCCACAAGGAAAATTTCGATTTGAAGCTGGAATTATATCACCGTCGCGAAAAGCAGTCAACACTGGAATCAAGCATCGAGAGCCTAGAAAAGGAGAAGCGCCAAACCGAAGAGATGAACGAAACCTTACTCGACGAGCTCGAAAAACGCGACAAGGCTGTTGAGGAGGCCGTCGCCATGATCGTCATGTTGGAGGCCAAGGTAGACCAGTTACTTCAAGAGAGAAACATGGTTCTGCAAGTCGAGCAGGAAAGATTCTTTTGCCGTCAAGATATGGAGCAAAAGTATCTCAGGCCATCTCTCGACCTTCCAGCTGACGAGGCCGGCAAGCAAGTAGATGGAAACAGGGCCATCAACCGCGTGCCAAGCTTCCTTTCAGAAAAGAGCGAAAACACCGAGAACCTGCGCAACGTTTATCTCGGAGTCCGGGGTAGCGCGCTCAGCCTGGCGCGGGTCACTGAGGGGAACCTCGAGGTGGACAACGGCGCAACTAATGGGCCGGCTCCGGGTAGTCCAACCTTGAGCGTCCTCAGCGAAAGCTCCTTTGCCAGTGTTTATGGTAAAAAGGGCCAAGAAAGCATTTTCCCCCCACCCGTCGATCAACCCCTTAGCCTGGATGGCCTTGATGCCGACTCGCAGATATACACGGCTGAGGGCCGGGACGTCTCCAAGAGGATAACTGGATTCCCGCCCCGGGCCGCTTCTGCCAATCATTTCAACGGCGGAAGCCGTTCAGCCGCTCCCCGCCATCCTAGCATCTCGGGTTCCGTGGGTCACGCCTCCCCGCTACAGCAGATCGAACAGCTAGCCCGGTCTCAGAGCGTGCTCCAGGAGGGCTTCCACCCTGTGGCCAACTCGAGCAGAGATCGACGACGCTCACAGCCTCCCCCTACATTGAGAAAGGTCATGACGGACGGCCCTGGTACTTTTCGACTTCATGATCCAAATTTCCCTCCCACCCCAGACACGATCTCGACATCGACACTGCATCGAATGCGAAGTTCCAACGATTCACTTACAAGACAAGACAGCCGAAATGACAGGGCATCAGTCGTATATAGCGATCAGGACAATCAGTCGCTGCGAGTTTCATTCCGAGGAAAGCAAAGTCAATTGCGGGGCGTAGACAAGGGTGCTGGCGATGAAAACGGACACTCTTACGGTATTGCTGTTCCCATGCCACAGCAGCATCATCATCATCACCAAAGAGCCGCTAGCGAGTCTACGACGTCTCGTAAGAAGGACAACCAATGGGACAGCACCGACTCTGATGAGCAATCCGATTCTCACTCACCGCGATCTAGTCTTGACATTTGGATGCGAGAGAGCAACAAGCCAACACGAGACGATAATGTCTCTTCCGATATGTTCAACTTTCCACCTGGCTTTGGGCATCAGAAGACTCAATCGCAAGGCATTGGCAACGATGCCGACTATATCAACGACCTCTTCTCACTACGCCAGTCTCTCGTTACGAATACGGCTCCGCCTCCACCCGGTAGGCGGTCGAGCCTCCATGCTCGGACGTCATCGACTACCTCATCTGCCCGGAACTCACCCAGAACACTCACCCTTACCAGCACTCCAGAACAGCCAGAGCACCCAGAGGAGCTGGAATATGTCAATCGCTCTAGGCAACGAAGTAATAGCGTCCAGGTGAAACACGATTACCACACGCCTATCCAGTCTCCGTCTATTCCTCAGCTCCCGAATAGCGAGAAGAGAAACCACTACCCTCCGGTCAGCGGACCACGGACTGCATTGAATAGACTGTTCCGTCGCTCAGTAGCTCCCACTTCTCCATCCAGCATGCCTGCGAGCGCCACGGAGACTACCTTTTCCGAATCGTTCAAGAGCACCCAGGGCGTTAGTCTTCAACCTTGGATGAACAGAAACATTGGCAGCGAGCTCGATCCTCGTGCTGGCTCTACGCCACCGCCCATCACGCTTACGCTTCGACAGAGGAGAAGGAATACGGTGGGAACCGAAGCAGCACCCTCCTTTATACCCTCATCGACTAGTGCTCCCGTACGACTCTCCGAGACGGCTGTTAACGGGCGAAATTCACCAGCTGCGAGGAAGCTACCGGCTGAGCCAGCTACGCCGGCGGCGTCAGTCATTGGAACTCGGAGGAAGTGGCTACCTGGATTTTCAAGGGGTAGCAGCAGCTTGAGGAACAGGGCCACTTAGAAGCTGCGCTCTGCATCATGAAAGAAAGCAAGGGCAGCAAGCAGACACCAGACATTACACTCACTATCACCAAAGATTCTTTTCCTTTGTCAGTGTATTAACGGATATGTCAAGCATTATAATGGATCAGGGCATGCATTATATTGTGACTCTCCCTATCCATGCGCCTCGACAGGCATTTTTTCTTTTACCTTTTTTCTGCTTTGCCTCTCATCTCCTATGTTGTGAGAAACAACCATAGAGCGTGAGAGACTCAGCCCACGAACACATTCTCTTCATTTTCCTGTATTCTCTTTTGTCCTTTGACTTTACGTCCTTTTTATTCTTCATTTAGCCACATAGCAAGCATCGCACGAGGAGTCGGAAGCGTGTACATGTGTGTATTTTTTTTATTCATGATGCATGACGAGGGAAGCAAAAATGAGGCCTTCACAGGCACTCGGTTATGATATTTGACTTTTTGTTATTTCTTAACGGATTGATGAGATATATAATTTACAATATACTTTTTACTTTAAAAAAAAAAATCTTGAAATTGCTGGATCTATTGTTTTCGAGAAACTTTCTTTTTCCTATAAAGCTTTCTTTCTTTCCTGTGAAACTTGCTTCTTTCTTGTGCGTACAGTATTATTAGGTATTGTGGCGATGTGATTAAAATGGCAGCTGCCAGCTCCATACAAACGAGTTGCTCTATATGGGATGAGATTGCAGACAGGACATTCACAGGTATGACAGCAGACGGCATTTTGAATAGGAAATGTGAAATCCAAGGGGCAATGCTCATATGATGACCGTGTAGTTCCAATTAGATGAAAGTATGGTCGACAAAGGAAACCAATCATGAGAAGTTGCATAGAGGCAGGCAAATGTCGAATCTCCTCCACTTTAGCAAGTTTCGTCGTGTGTATAGAGAAGCCGCCACTTTATTTATAGCATCATCATTGGAGGATCTTGAGATCTGGCTTGGAGCGCTGGGGCGTATATTTTTATCGCTAAAGGAAAATTAGGGAGGCGGCCGGGCGTGGATCTTGCGGCTTGCTGATGTGGCGCTGTGATGGGGGTCGCAGGTGTTGACTCTTGAGATTCTGTGAGGGAATGAGTGCATGTGGTATCGATCGATGAGATCTCTGTGGCTATGGCGGTAGATGGCACGTTTGACAAGAATCGCAAAACAGCAAAATAGCAAAATAGCTCACTCTTCATGTCGTGTCTCCCCTTGGACCGGAGCACAGAATGTAGTCAACGAGGATATCAATCCTTTGGAGAGACAAAAATACCTGGTCATGTTTACAGCAATGGCTGCTTCTGCATGGGCTCTGCGGTGAAATCTCGAAGTGTCAATATCCTTGACGAAGCCCATAGCTCTCTCGAGACTGGCCTACGCCTGGGAAAGGGGTCTGGTGACGGTCATCATATCGTCATAAGACGGTGTAACTAGTCTCATTGATGAGATGCTCCAAAGGAATACCATGTTGGACGTTAAGGGGGTGGTGTCTGTCTGACTCGTAGGATGGAAAGCTGCTTGGCTTCCAGCTACCTCTATGGTGCAGCGTAATTCGGCGCCACGGACGTGATTGGGTGCAACTCGGCGCGGTTCAGCGGCGCGGTTCAGCGGCGCGGCGTTCTGTCAAGGCGCGTAGCTTGGCTTCCATAGGACAACGTTACCAGTGAGTCGATATGTTGACAGTCAGCAGCCGTCTCAATGCTGCTGAATGTGGTGATATGGGGTCACTGGAGAGACAATTTGGAGTCTTCAGTAGGCTGTTCAGAGGCCTCTGGCAAGCCTCGCAGGTTGAAGAGACTCTTGTGCCAGACTCTAGAAAGCTGCTTTCCGAAATTGCCAAGTAAATTTCAACCACTGAAGAATGCAGGTAGATGGCAGGATGTCGTTGTTGCAACTTGATAGGGCGTTGTTGAACTCGAATGGGATCGTCGAGATCGTCGCTGTAAATGCCGTTATGACGAGTCAGGCGAATGGCTGTGTTGAAGTGCTGACCTACATGTAACTAGGTGTCCAAGCCTCCCTATACTAATCATGGGCTCGATTAGACGGATGGAAAAAGAAACAACACGTCTGATTCTTCATATAGTGACCCCTAGCTTTCGTGATAACCGCGATCCTTCAAGAACAAGGCTTCGCCTCCTGGATCAAATAACGTTCGTGACGTGTTCTCGCCTCGTGGTCTCGCTTCGTGGTCTTTACGCCCCGCTAGTGCTGTGTTGGAGCGTTTGCTTACGGTGCGGTTTCGCTTAGTCTTGGCAAAGAGTCGATGGAATTGATGAAACGCAGCCGGGACCACCGCCCCCATCCAGCTCTGTTCTGTTCCTGTGCCGTATTGATGATGTACACACATGGGGAACTTGGACTGCCACGGCAGATTCGTTGCGGTGCCACAAAACAGCAAAAGGTAGCGTCGCAGTATTCTTCGCATAAGGAGCGTGTCCCCCAGTCGCCATCGACTTCTTGTCCCGCAATCCGGCTCCCTCCAGTGTGGGGATCCCTGCGTTCACTTGAACATGTCTTTTGCCCTTGTCGTCCAGCCGCAAAACTGCTTTTCGATTCCAGCATCGATATTACCCAATGCGGCGGCTCCTTTGCTTAGCTCCGGTCCGCAACAAAAAAAAAAAAGAAAAGAAAAAAAAAAAGAAAAGAAAAAGCAGAAAATTAAAAAGAGAGGATTGACGAGGCGGCAGCAAAGCCGCATACCCGTTGAAGGAGCCGGTTTGGGACAGTAGTGTACTACCTACAGCGCAGTAAGAGAGAGAGACAGAATCGAACGCACCCCACTCGGTACCTTAGTGTAGCCGCTACTATAACATCCATGTGCGGCTGGCCAGGCGTCCAGCAGCAAGATACGATGCTGTAAGCGGATTGTCCGTCTTTATATAGACAGAGAGGCACGAGGGGTTCCGTAAGGCAGATCGGGGCAACTACGGTGCCGATCACGCCGCCGGCGCAATCCTGAACTCAATGCCACGACTTGAGCGAGCTCTCGTTGGCGTCAACCTCGGAGTGAGCCTGCCTCAGTTCAGTTTCAGCGGCTGTTCCTCGCATCTCGCTGCCCCGGACTCACTATTATACAACGTCGCCAAAGAAGCGGTCGAGGAACGGAGGGCTGCATGGTAGAAAGGCTACCGTCTACCGAGCGGGCGTTGTCAGGGATTGTTAGTAAGACCGGAGGGTTAGAGAGAGATGTGGAATCGGCAGTTTATATTCGCTTGCTTTCTTCAATTTTAGTTAGTGCTATAATAGACGGCACTGGCGAGACGTAAACCGGTGTGAATCAAGTATCGAGCAATTCTTGAAACAGCAAGGCGGAAGGAGCAGGATCCTCGAGAAGCCGTTACTACTTATTGAGAGACAGGGTTGGGAGGGAGAAAGGGGAAACGAACTACTATTGGGTTTGGCATGGCATGGTATGCTTGGTTACTGACGTTACAAATAAATATTTTATGGGGCTATGTGGCAGTCAAGTCGTTCCTATTCGATTTTTCCGAAGTTGTAATAACCATAATTTAACAATTCAGCAACCAGGGACCCCAGTTACTTTCTTACTATTTTATACAGAGAATACCATCTCTTTTACTATTCTTCATTTACTTAATAACACAAAATCCTCTTACTACAATAGGAAATTTTCGTTTCTCAAATGAAGAGAGGGAGAAAAACATACGATTATATGTTTTATTACTAAGAGATAGACGTTTTAGGAAATAGATAGAATTGGCCATTCATTTTCACTCGAATCAAAAGAAGCCTAGTAATTTCTTTAAGGCTTAGGCCTTACTAAGTTCTGCCTTTAATACTACATACATCTAGTCTTGTCAGCCGGCCATGGGACTTTTTGGTAGAAACAACATAAAATGCACGCATGTAATGATATCAGCTCGTGTTTGCAGACTTTTGCCACCCGCTACACTCATACTGAGCCTAGTTTTCTCATCTCGACGTTTGTCCTGGGTGTAGGTATTGAATGAGATGTTTATTTTGTATGCTTTCCTCTTACGGTTCAGCTGAGCAAAAGAGACAACTAGCTAGACGGCGGCTTGATATTGGCTACGTAACGTTCCTCTTTTCTCTTCCCACAACCCCCGCTTTCACACGTTTTCAGCTACCGCATGGCACTCGAGACGTTGAACTGTGAATCTTTCTTTATAAAGTGGTCCGCTAGCTATCCTGGGCAATCTCTCGACCGATCATGGTAAATAGTGGAGGGGCTTCCATCACAATCCACAATCCAGTGTTCCGAGGGAATATGCTTCACTTGCGCAATAGTCAGAGATAGGCACTTGCTGCCTCCCTCCGCTGGCTGTGCCCCCCTCCCTTTGCCCCCTCCTTCTTCTGCCTGCAGCCACTGCCCTCCGTATTATGCAGTCAGATCCCACGTGTGAAACTTTGCATCACTCCACCAGCCCAATGCTTCAAATACGACGAGTTTTAGCGCTGAGATTGGGGAGGCTTCGATTGCTCATGGGGGGCTCCCTGATGAACGGATGGGCCTGGCCCTGGTCTTTGCGCTTTCGCAGTAAACCCAAAGCATCCAGATGCAAAAGTACATGTAGCTAATGTCCATGCCCTAAATCCTGCGGCCTCAGCCAGGAACTCCACGGTAGGGCTTTGTGGCGGTCGCCTGTGCAAGCACGGACGTCAACGTATCAGCAGCACATGTAGGTACTCGTTGCAATGGCAACACTAACAGACGAAGGGGTCTTCGACATGCCGCTACTGCGGTGCTATCCCTTTTGAGCTCTGGGAGGATTTTCAGCCCATGACACAGGTGCACTAGAGGGCATATCGACTGGATGGATCCTACGCAGGCCTGGGGATACCGAACCCCTGGTTGCTAAATAAACACCAGCATCAAGACTAGCAGGGGCTAGCAAGCAACCTGCAATTCGGAGCACCGTCAAGCTAAGCCCCATGAGCAACTGCCGTGCAACTCCAGAACTCTCCACTGATGGCTCCCTCTGTCTCCGAGGCGTAGGTGTGGCAGCCTTTATGGCATTAGGGTGCCGAGAAGCGCCCATGGAGAATTGCATTGGTGGCTTGTCTCACCCGTATCCACGCTTACTGGCATCCGACACACTGGCTATCGCGGGAGCTGCCGGGGCATGTCGATTGGTTGGCAGCTAGTCTATCCACCCAGCAAGTAATACACGTAAACGTAACTCGAGCACGTTTGCTCGCCCACGCCCCCTGACCCCTGCTGCGCCATCCAATGGGCTGGGGGGGATTACATGTGTTGTTCTATAAATCTCCATTTGGATATAACATATACATAGGTACTTAGTTTTTGTACATACACACCCTTATATATATATATATATATATATATATATATATATTAATATATAGAAAACTGTAAATAAACAGTATAAAAAACCTCAGTTTAATATACAAGTTGTTTTTGAAATGCTTTATACAATAATAATATAATAAAAATACTTATAAATAACTTTAATTGCCATATTATAATAAAAAATACAAAATTAAAAATTAAAAATAAATAAATAAATTTATTGTATTGTATTATTGTATGAGAAGCAACATTAAAATACTCTATAAAAGAAAATTAACTTGTTTAATGAATTAAAGGCAAACTGCTAGCAACGGCTTGCATTGCGCATGTTAATGTATCCAGCTGATGTCATGTTGCTAAACGGAATGCAACAATGTCCATGAACTGCACGGTGGGGCGGCAAAAGACATATTAATTCTAATCGAGTTAACCTGTACTTGCTACATGGGAAGGGGGCACATCAGGTTATATGCACACTCGGGTATGCCTGCGCCGTGGGCGTGCAGGATAGGTGAGCACCAAAGAATCAGCTCTGCTGCGGGAAAATAGCAGTTGTCGCTGGTCCTGCGAGGCGACAAACACAGCCTATAAGCTGCCAAGTTCGCTTAGTTCGTTCCTGACAGGTTGCAAGGGTGGCCAAGAGTCGGTAAATCATCACTTGTGAGCTTTTGGAACTAGGGATAAAAGTACGGAGGGGCCGTAGATCTGTTGCGAGTATACAGGAGCCGTGCCCTACGAGACAACTTATAGGATTGAGTCTTTCTTCACTTTTCCTGGGTTGCACTGGATATTCAGATGCCAAGCTTTACGCCACGCTCACACAAACAAATCCGGTTGTTATCGAGTTTCCATTGACGACATTCTGCGTCGTCTACTAGTTATTACCTCTGCCCTAGTTTCTATTTCTGGCTGTGTCATCTCTTTCCTTATTTCATCTTTAATACCATTGCCGGAGCCACTCTCTTGCAACCGTACACCAAGCCGTCTTATCGGCACGGACCCGCAAACATGTTCTACACAATCTCCTACAACAACGGCTCGGCGGAAGCCGACAGCGTATCCAAGATGGCCAGCAATCACACCTTTGGCGAATATCGACAATCACGCCTCGCTTGTATAGAATGCCGGGCTCGAAAAGTGTGTAAATAATAATTATAGCATCATGCTCATTGAGACGCACGCGCCACTAACACCACAGCCTACAGGTCAAATGCTCTGGAGAAAGCACAGGCTGCCAGCGATGTCAAGGGACGGGTATTACATGCGTCTTTCCAGAGAGAACCAAGCGTGGCACCAAGAGACGAAAGAATTCGCCTCCCACCGACAGTCACGACAGCACAAAAGGCGGCTCGAGCAGTGAGACGAGCCTCAAGAATGGAGAGAGCGGCAGTAGCACATCTGCGGCGCCCATAGGAGACTCTCATCCCCTTGCTTCCACAGTTCCCACTTCAGAATTCTCGCCGTCGCTGGATTTCAGCCCTTCATATTTTTCATTGGACTTGAGTGACAGCTTCAATATCGGTAAGGCTTTTCTTTGGGCAGGTGGTTGTTATCCAGCTTATACTAACACCGCGATCCGTCAAATAGACCTTGATCAATTAAACTCCACCCTGGGCGATCTTAGCAGTCTAGCTTCAAGCAACAGCATCTCTCCATCACAAAGTCAGCCGTTTCCCGCAGCACCACGACGGACGCTGAGAACGACAGAAGGGTTGTGCCTGGGCGATAGCCCGTCTATCAAGGACGGAAACCTATGCGCCTGTGCCCAGTCTGCGCTTCACATGCTCGAAGAGCTTGAACTACAATACGAAAACAACGTGGACGTTTCCAGCGACACTATACTCGGCTACCAAAAGATTGCCCTGGCACGCCTCAACTCGTGGATATCCTGCGACCACAGCCAAACGCCTCGAGCGACGACTAAGCTTATCGTACTCGTCATAGAGGGGCTTTCGCTGTATTTAGAAAGGGGTGCCGCGAACTGCATTCGACAGATGCGACAAGAAGTCGAGGATGAGAATCCTTCTGCCGCCGCAAGACTGTGCAATGTGGGGGACTACCACGTTGAATCGAAGCATGAGTGGGCACACATCCTTCGGGTCTCACTGTTGGTACGGTGCAGAGAGCTTTTAGCCGCAGTCACGAGGCTAAAGCAACACGATGTCAACGACGTGTTTTTACCGGCCGTCGAGACGAGGTTATCGAGTGTCATACAGGAGCTGAAGGGCTGGGAGGATTATTTGTAGAATTACAATGTGATTGGCTGTTTTTGCACTACTTAGACTCTGGAGGCTTTCATTAGCAGCGCGCGTGTACATGCAATACTATCTTGCCCTCGCATATCTTAGATAATGAACCGTCTCGCCCTCACACCCACCACTCCAAGCAACATGTGGCATATGTCGTCAATGCGCGTCCATACTCCATCAGTCCTAGATCTTCGGCCTTCCGGGACCCTAAAGCAGGACGAAAACGCAAGTGTCTGTGTCACTCCCGGTAGCGCTAGCAGGCGGTTCCGTGGACACTCGCCCTATAATACGCAAAATACCCCAAGTGTGTAACCAGAATCAGGTGTATATGTCGAACAGAGATTTCCTGATTGCTGACATCCACACCTATCCGCACCGAGATTCCGTTAGTCCCCTGTTCACGGTCCACATGCGGCTGTAGATGTCATCTTTTACGAGGAGAACGAGCCTAGTGCATCTCACTTCTCAACTACGAACAGCTTGCTTGGTTCACAGCACAAGGGGGGTTTTCTGGAAGACAAAACCCTGACGAGGAGGTTTACCACTTGTAAACTCGATAAACTAATGACATGATTTTTGCCAAACCCACATCAGCGAGAGGGTTGCATTATTGAGATGGACTCCTTGCAGTGCTCAGGGTTGCATGCATCCATCTCACACTTCGCCCACGTGCGGAGTAATGATTACCCTGCTTATCGCATGGAGCAAAGGAGGGTAAGCCACTCACACTCACTCCTACAGAGATAGGTGACCTTCGAGCAACGCTTCCCTGTATGGGCGTTTTACCACGACTTCTATTCGACGACGAAACTGTTCAGTTGGGGAAGATCGCCACTGCCACAGTGTCTCAGCTCTTCCTTAAATCCTTCGAGCCGAGCAACTGATAGCCATTGTTGTCAAAGTCTTGATTTCCATTTTAGGATCGAATTTGCGGCGACTTATTTAGTTTCTTGGCTTTGACAGGGTGTCATCACTAAATGAAAATAGCCAGGAACCGTTTCTAGTTGTGATAACGACATTAGCCGTACCGTAAAACACAAATTGCACCATTACCAATATAAATGATAAAATTGGGAAATGCGCTGGCCCCCGCTGTGCTTGCACTGTAATTCTTGCAATAATAGAAAGCAGTGATCGTGATTGATGATAATTACATGGAAGCTTAGCGCCAACACACAGCCCTCGCAAGATACCAGGGAGTCCCCCTACATTCTTGCTGCCTTGCCCACTACACGAATTCAGTAAAAAAGATGGCGAGACAACAACATTAGGCAGCGCTTGGAGATACCGGGTATTCACGCAAGACTCACTTGTGGAGTGTCCCCATAAATGTACCAAGCCTCGTGATGTTGCAGAACCGTTATACTGGATCAAGAGAGGGTCAGTAGTTGTTTTGCAATACCTGGGCCAATATCATGGATGCATTTTCCTTTAATGCTATAGTGTGATCCTAAATCTTGGCGACTTGGTCAATATATGGGGACTCTCCACTGAACAGTTTTTGGAAGGGAACCTCGTATACAGTCATTGCTGCCATGCGCATAACGACGTTCAGAGTCAACAACGACACTCTCTTTCAAAAGTTATACTCAACGCATGTCCACTTTATTGGAGTTTACGATACCCGGGTGGATTTTTCTCATTTACAATCTTTGTAATTAAATGGTTTAGTTGGAAAATGCACTGATCAGTAAGTTTACGTTTAATAAATTATGTAGTTACCCAGCTTGTTTACTTCAAACTATTCCTTACTCCACCTGTCAGCTTACAGGTCTGCTCTCATCAAATTATCTGTAATTAGTATGACGAGTAGGTTTTACCTTCCCTACCTACATATTGCAGCCCAAAGTAGGATTCATATCCTGATCCGCGTTCATCCACTTACCAGGGGGAGCCACTTCTCTATCCCGATCTTTGGCTCTCGCTAAGTTTCCCCATCATGTTCTCCACAACCACTTACATCAACAAATCTCTGGGAGTGGAGACAGTCTTCTAAGAATGTTTGCATCTAACACCCCAAAAGAGCCTCGCATGCTTTGGGTACCGGGCGGTCGGCAGAGTTGCTGTTCCCTAGTTGACCTATCATCAGTTCATGGGCACCCAATATTCTCTTACATGGCCCCCCATTTTAGATGACACTTCAATACCCAAATTCAGCCCTATTGACGTCCTTTTTCAACGGCATGCATGCTATTCCTTAAATTGTTTAGCCTCCCTCGATAAGACCAGTAACATACATATACAGTAGAGGCTGAAGCATATTGGGTTTAAAGTTCTGAGATCGAGGCCAAGTTGGTGAGCCAGCCCAGATTATAAAAAATACCCTGGTTAATTCAACCCTTGATCACTATCTTCCTTCGCCTTTATGCATTGTTCTTATAAGACATGGATAATATTCTCTAGAGTTGAAGGATATCACTGTGAGTTGGAGACTATGGGGCAGGTCTCTTGCCTCCATACTGTTAGGGGATATATTTGTTTAAGAGCCCTCCATCTAGGACGTATTTGGTGGTATTTTTCGGATAAATGTGGACATCAGGGGTCATAAAAATACGTGAAGAGAGCGTGAGCAACCAACGAGTGGAGTTCGAGTAGAGTTCGTCCCTGGATATGGAAACTTAACTAACCGTTTGACAACCAGGTACCATGCTCATGAGTCGCCCCTTTACCTAATTTGCTACTCCACATAGTTTGGTTCAAGCTAGTTAAGCTCCTTACCATGTTTTCTCCTATTGGTTGCTAAACACTAGCGGTCAAAGAGTCTGTATTACTCGGCCAGGCGGAGTGTTATTCCCGGTGATGGTATACAATTGGAAAGGAGAGACACAGATTACGCTTGGATTACATTAATGTGTAATTCTGCTTTAGCCATAGACAAGAATTGGCTTACATTAGCTCTTAATTATTACACTACGTTTAATCGAGATAGTATATTGTGTAAGTAAAAGGAAACAAGGATAGAGACCGTTATGAGTATTAGGCAGCCATAGTGGATGTGTAACCGTTGGAAATAGGCAACCCTTACAAGGATAATGCTACGTTCTATGTGAGCAGGTCTGTCTTTTACACAATAGCAATTTAGGCTGAAGTGAACGTTAGAGGTTATTCAGAATCAAAACTTTTAGGGGAATTATGCTGCCTCATTCTTTCTAGTATATTAGCATTGCCGCTTACATTAACTAGGGTCTTTCTTGTGTCATAATGTTAGTACTTACCTCTTTGTTCCTAATAGCGCATTAATTGTCCGTGTTATCGGATAATAAAATCCTCTTTCCCTTATTACGAGGTCCTTTCATTTGACGGCCAGTTCAGGAAAGGGTGTGATTAGAGAAGCATTTAATAAACCAAGTGCTTGTAGCGAGCAACTAAGTCTTCGTTAATTACTTTAATTACTTGGTGTCCATTTGCTTGATTTAGTAAGGATGATTTTCAGTTTGATAGATGGCAATGGGTTCTTCTTTCTAGCCTATCTATATCATGAAATACTTGTTATGCCGCTTAAGGGGAGACGAAGCCTTCCATGCCAGAGTTGGTCAGCTCACGAACCGGCTTCATGTTTGTCTGACTGCATTTATCGGTACTGGCGTCGGAAACTCCCGCTCAGTGACATAGAGTCCATCGTTAGCGTCATCTTTGCTGTATTGAGATCAGACTGTCTTGTGCGTCAAGAACGCTTCGTCCTCAGCTGCTCACTACGTATTGGCTTGATTCATGTATACAAGTTTTTTTTCTGGTGGAGACATAGGCAGCAACGGAATCGGTCCGTCCCAGCTGAATACCTGAAAGAAGAACATGTAAGCTGTGGCACTTTTTTGTGACAGCTGATCGTATTACTGCTGTCTCAATTCTTTGTGGGGTCTCATTGCGTGGCATGGCTGATATCCCACCCACTCGTGCGCAAACCCCTCTACCCTGTCATACCCCTAATCGGATTTGAGGCTCTTTCACATCTAAGGAGATATTGAAATATTATGCTCACGAAGACACTAATGCTAATACGTGTTTTCAGGTAAGGATATATTCCTTCTTCTAATGCTTCGCCAAAAGGACCAAGCAGCCACATTAAAAATAAACATACCGCACTATTACATGCCCACGTGTTCGATCCCTGAAATTGTGCAAATCGAATAATTAAGGAACTTAGTAGAGCCAGCCAAATGTAGAAAATGCACAGATGCATTTCTATTAAAATGCTAAATTACTCGTTTCGTACTATAAATGAAATTTATGATTATAGATTACTACATAGAAACTCGGATTAAGTATTACAAGTTGAGACTGCTTGAAGGGCATGGCTTGTATTTAGATACATTTAACATATATAAATGCTACACGTAATATACTATGCTAGACCTTCATCACCAAAGTGGGTTGCTGCAGGTCAAGACATCAATAAACAATGGCCTCTTTGCAAGTTCCCAAAAACGCAACCCTGGCTCTGGGTTGTATTGCATCTACGATCAACATGATTAGGCCCTGTCTATCAATTTCCTTTTTAGGCCCCGGGCCGATCCCGATTTGGCTCGGGGTTTTATGTGGACCCAAGATCCATCTACGGTGTTAGTACCTTGTAAATCGTACCAGCATGCAAGGCACCCCTCTCATATCACAGGGTGTATATTAATAAATCCTGAATTGCCATTCGTATCTGCATAGAAGTGTATTAAGAACTTGGTACCTAATCCGGTTATTCTTTGCGTTGTTAGAAGAAAGCGGGAAAATGGAGGGGAAAAACATGGGGAAAGTAATTTTCGGTTGCCTGCCTATTTTACACGGGGGGAAAAAAAAAATAATAAAACTGAAGTAAAACTTGAACTATAGCAAGTGTTTTTTTCTTCAAAATATTTGAATAATATAGCAGTAATTTTACTTAGTTCGTATTTAAAATACTTTGACTTATCCTTGTTTCTCCGCATTATACGCAAGGTTTCTACAATGTCTCCTAATGCTCTCAATGCTCTATAAATGCTACAATACTGTATATAGGTAAAGTCTTTGGTGCATACCCTAGATAGGGCCGGCAAATTCTCTCGGCATTTTAATACGCCGTCTTACTTGCTCGGTCTCCGCGTTCTAGCCTGTACTTTGCATTCCAACGTGTAGCTTTCCCACCCCCTCGCAGTACTCCATCTGTGTTGGTACGATAAGGCGTAATTGGAGCTCTGAGGGGAACGAGTTGGCCGTCTCCACACCTCCGATTGTCCCCTGTATTCATGTCACGCGCGCTTTCCTGCTTTCGGCAAGTTTTTGGCGCTGCATCAAGGTTTTCAGCTTGGCTGCCCAAACGCTGGTATAAGACATTGATCTGTCGTGGGAGCGGACTTGTCAAGAAGGGCATATCTCTACTTCTAAGACACCGCGTGGTTGGTGACTGCGAGGGGGAATCATCGAAAAGGTTGACCTGTAAATCACTGTACATTGTTGTAGTCTTGGCATAGTTATTCCTTTCAATCGTGGACTCAAGTTCTTCCTACATACTCGTAAAGCGTGCTGCACTGCCAACCGTCGGGTTGCCCGTGCTTTATGTGCAGCAGCGGAGAGTCGGGGTATCCTCTGGCTGCGTTTGCTTCCCAACCGAGCACCTTTGCTCGGAAAATTAACAGATCAGGAGGGGGCCCGTCACTATGGCCCAACTCTGGCCCCAATACTCGTCACTTATATAGGTACTACTACCTAAAGATCTAATGGCCTCTAAGTTGCTCTCGTTGGCTGCAAGGTATTGATTGCACTGCTTCAAAGTCTCCAATATGAGCGATACACGACAGCCGGAAGGTCCTCATTACCCGCTTGCTGACTTGCCGTCCTCGTCTTCTCCAGATACCTCAGATCTTGAGTCTCCCGGCTCAAAGGACGAAATCAAAGATGTTAACCAAGTATTGGCATCAGACCAAAATGGCGAGAGCGCGCAATCGGAATCACAATACATTTCCGGTTTCGCGCTCTGGGTCAACATGATTTCTCTTATGCTCTGTATTTTCTTGATTGCCCTTGACATGGTATGTTTGTTCCGTTATTTTTTCCACTTGTAACCATGAAGTCATTACTCATCAACTGTCTCAGACCATCGTCGCAACCTCCGTTCCCGCCATCACCAACGACTTCCACGGTATCAAAGATCAAGCCTGGTATGCTGCCGCCTTCTTTCTGACCGCTGGCGGCTGTCAATCCACTTGGGGCAAGATTTATCAAAACTTCCCTCTCAAATTGAGCTTTCTCACAGCTATTTTCATCTTCGAAGTGGGCAGTCTTATTTGTGCCGTGGCGCCTTCATCAGCAGTCTTCATCGCAGGCCGTGTCATCGCCGGTATTGGGTCCTCTGGCGTCGGCTCCGGCTCCTATACAATAGTCGCTTTCATCGTGGAGCCCAAGAAAAGAGCGAATTACACCGCTATGCTTGGGGCCATTTTTGGTATCGGAAGTATCTTAGGTCCCTCGATCGGCGGTGCGTTTGCTGCTGATGTCACCTGGCGATGGTAAGATATATATCCGTCTTCAACCCCCCC